TGGTTGATGGTTGATGGTTGATGGTTGATGGTTGATGGTTGATGGTTGATGGTTGATGGTTGATGGTTGATGGTTGATGGTTGATGGTTGATGGCTAACGAGAAGAAGAAAGACTTGGAGGGAAGAGTCCTCTTTATAGATATGACAAACGGCGAAGTTTTGCTAGTGAATGTTAGTATCCGGAGCGTGTTGGTGAGAAGACTGAAAGACAAGAAAGATATCCAACTGACATATTCACTCAATTTCAGAAGCAAACGAAGCCATGCGCCAGTCACGAAAAGATACCGTCTTTCATTGACACTCTCACTCGTACTATCTCCATTCAAAAGTATGTGTTGTTTATGACTGCCAAGATGCACGATACTACGAGGAAACATGATGTTGCCCACTGAGAGGCGATATATCGTCAGCTCTCTCTGGCTACGTCTCCGGTTCTGAACACAACTATGCATTTTCATAGTGTATAGATGCTCCACTTCAGCACACAGGGAAACATGCCACTGCGAGGTTCCAGCAATGAGAGAACTGTCTTGTGGAATATGTGGAAGAAAGCCCAAGATCTTCTCAAGCATCCTACGGTCGAAGATTCCCAACACAAGCAGACGACCAATATCCCACAAGCAGAGCCGAAATCCTCTCCTTCTCAGCTTGTCCGCCAAATATAGTATCCACAGCACCTCTGCAGAGCTCCACAACTTGCGTGCTGTCAAGATCAAAATTCAGTGCTGCAAGCATATACTCGTTGCTCAGCGTTGACTCGAAAATGCCCACATCATCGGTAGACAGAGCGATAGGTACACCAAAATCCCGCCATTCGCCGAAGTGATGAGCGCCAAATCCGCCTTGACTTAGGCCACAGAGGACGTTGCAGCTTAGGCACAGCTCGAGTCCTATCTTCTTCTCTCTGATGACTTTTCGTAGTTCTTCGGGTACGTGGATGACATGGCCTAGTCTTTGCGGTTGCCAGGATAACATTTCTTCCAGTTCGCTGGGGTCCTCTTGAGCAATCTCTGCAAAGTGCAACGTGATACCGAGTCCTTGGGCTCGAGCTTCTGCAAACGCTGGCTGTAGGTGAGAGATCGGTTTGCGAGTGGGGTTGCCACACAGGTCTACACCAACGACACCAAGATGACTGTACTTTAGAGCCAGACGCACGACTTCCATGGCTTCTTCAAGTGAGTTTTTGCGATCAACAGACAGTATGAGTTTTGCATGTAGCTTGTCGTAAGGAGGTGCACCTGCAATATTCTCCTTCACCGATGCTCTGAAGTCGTCCATAGCTTTCAAGACAATGGCGACATAGTCTTCCTTACTTATCCCGGCATCTGGTATAGCGCGAGGCGTGGTTCGAAGCTCTAAATAGCGAACGCCGTCTTCCTGAAAGTCTTCTAAGACGGATGTGGTCGCATGTTGTATGCTCTCTGGATCAGAGACCAAAGCGTAGATATACTTGTCAAAGATCGGAAAGAAGCTGGGATATTAGACTGAATTTTGGCATGGAAGAGCCCTTCTGATCTCTTACCTGGAAACATTGATCTCACCACCCGCGGCCCTCGGTATAGCTGTCAATGGGTCTTCTAAAGCGAACGAATGATCTTTGGTTTTCTTCCTCAGCCATATCGTGTGCAGACACTGTCTACTAATGCTACCTGTTAGATGAGCATGGAGTTCGACTTTGGGCAACCCTCGAGCAAAATTGACATCGGGCGGTTGCGACATTGTTTCGAAGTTGAATGACAGAAGATGAGGTTGGGAAGAAGCTTGATCAAGGGCACCCTGGTTAGTAAGTCTGTGTAGGAAAGAATAGCCGAACAGCGTACAAGTTGATCGACAGGCGTGACGCACCATTCTTTCTAGCAAAAAATGGGCAACATGTTGGAGAATTGATGTTTAATTGAAAGCACAGTAAAAGCTAATGTCCTTGTTGCAGTAAAGAGAAAAAACCAAAGCCATTTTGCTCACCACGGTCGAGAATCAGCAGGAACACAGCTTTTCGCTGCCATTACAATCATCATTTTTTCGCATGATTCCGATCAACCCCACAACGCATCCTTACCACGACCACTGCCGTGTACTACGGGGGGAGTAAGGATCTTGTGGCTCCATGCTTCCTCGCCGTCGATGAAGAGACGGTACTTGAGCTCGGACTGGTCAGAAGTCGACGGTGTGCTAATACTGAGAGCACCGAACTTCGAGTTGCCGTCGGGCATGTACCTATTCAAGTCAGTTCTTGCTTGAGAAATATTGGATCAAATCGGGGTACTCACTTAACACACACGTCGTCGTTGTCGGTCTGCTCGTATGTGCGGACTGGAAGGTAGAACATACTGAGTGGGCTGACGCTGAACTCATGAACTGTCGCACTGACGGGCCACTTCTTGGTCGCCAGCTTTCCTGCAGCTGTATCTATGCCGGTGACCTTGTCTTCTGTAGGTGGCGGGAAAGATGTGGCAGCAAACTCGTGTCTATCACCACTGAGGACGACCACTCCAACACCGCCGCGAAGGCCGACATCCCACATGGCCTCGAGAATGATTTGTCTCTCACCAAGGTATCCACCCCAGGTGTCTTCAGTGCCGAAGCGCCAATTCTTGGTGAAGGGAATGCTAGAAACCAAGACCTTCCATCTGACTCCGTTGGGAACAGGTGCTGCAAGCCAGTCGAGCAGATCCTTGAGCTGTTGATCACCAAGCATGCTCTTCTTGTAGCCACTTTGGGTTCGGGCGCTGTCATAAGAGCCGTCAGTACCGTCGAACGGTTGGCGGTAGCGGCGAGTATCGATCATGAAGAATGATGCAGGGCCCTGATCGAATGAGAAGTAGGTGGCGCCCGAACGAACTGGATCAGGGTTAACAGAAGCCTGGTAGTGGTGCCACGGATCAACAGCAGCTTCGTAAACCCCAGTCGTGTTCTTGTCCCAGTCGTTTGCAATCTCATGGTCGTCCAAGACGTGGATCCAAGGCAACTTGGCCTCAGAACTCACGGCCTCCCACTGAGGTGATGAGTATACCTGACGGTACTCTCTACGGTATGTTTCAGCGTCGGTGCCGAATCGTTTGGGCACATCGGCATAGATGAAGTCGCCCATGAAGACCATGAAATGAGCTTTCAGCGAAGGCAAGAGTCTGGCTAGATGCTTGAAACCTGGAAAATCAAGCGGGTGCTGCAGCGGGTTGTATGGGAATCTGGGCTTGATACAAGACGAATGTAAGAATGTGAAAACGTCATTGTTACGAGGAGCGGTGCGTCCGATTCTGGGTGCTGTGATGAAGAAGCCAGTGTGATTGTTGGAAGCAGCGTACTGGTAGGTTGTGTCAGGCCTGAGCCCAGTTAGATGGAAGATACCCGTGTAATCGGTGCTTTCGTCGACATCGATGGCATTTTGAGGGTGTTTCCAACTAGAGTCGTGATCGCGGAAGCCGTCATCAGGCGACTCGCCTGCGTATCTGTAACTCATCCGCAAGGGGTGTTCCGAGGTACGTGGCTCTCTGACCAGAAGCTTTGCGCTGTTCTCGGAAACATGGCCGACACGAACGAAGGAAAGATTGTGCGATGGATGGAAGAGTGGAGCACGATAGACCATGTCGGCCACCATGGCCACGAGAGCGACGTTAGTCAAGAAGGTTACCACAGACCAGAAGAGAGAGCTAGGACTTGGCAAGCCAGTCAGGAGGCTGCGCAGGACCTTAGGGTCCTTCTCTTCGACCACAATGGTCTCTTGGACGTCTATCTCCTGGAGGGGCTCTTCAGTCTCAGCATCGACGAGCAATTCATCGTCACTATCATCGCGATCAATGGTGTCTCTAGTGATGATATCAAGCTCATCTGCCACGACTTCGTATGGGCTCGTGTGAGTGAATTGATAAAAGAAAGTTGTCGCGTAAATAGCGAATGCTGTAACTATGACAGGAGGTGCGACCTGATGATATTAGTAGTGGACAGACATCGCTGAATGCAGTGCAACAAACATGGCCGGGAATCTGGATTGACTATAGTTAGCGAGCACTCAAGGGAGTCAAGGACTATAGTAAGCGAACCCAGCGGAGAAAGACATAAGTGGCCAGGCGCAAGACGGTCGACGATAGCACTGTTACTGGACCTGCGATACTGAACGACATGATGGACGCGCTTCTACGAGCGTGTTATGATGTGCCAGCAGGACGTAAAGGTAACATTCCAAGTTTGACGAGTAAGAGCTGACCATGTGAGTGAAAGCAAGACGAGACGCGTTTGTCGTAACATCGTCATCGGCATGTGACATTGCGGAGAACCCTGCATGCCCATCTTTGATGCAATTTTGACATAAGATTTTATGCGATTTATGCAAGAAATATGACCAGTGAATTTAGTCTGTCGAAATACACAGTCCTGTGTCGAGAGTGTCAATAAGAGATGAAGATCTGGATCCAAAATCCTATTTTTACAATTTTACAGTAGTAGAAAAACACCTATCATGTCCCATCCCAATGTTCCGATATTGCGCCATAGAAGTGCTGAGAGTTTTTGTGTCGTATATGTACAATTGACAATGGCTTATTTCTTGTTGAACTTTTGCCATCTGCGCTCGTAGTCTTCGGCCTGCTTCATGAACTCCGCAGAACGTGTCTTGCTCTTGGGCTTGCCTGATCCGCGCATTCTGGTGATTTGATCGTTCAAGCCCTCCTTCATGGTATCCCATGACTTACCGGCTTTGTTGAACAGACCAAAGCCCTTCTCCTTGACACTGTCAAACGGGCTCTGAGGTGCCTGAACAGCGGCATCTGCAGACGATGCAGAAGAAGCGGCTTGCTTAGGAGGCACGGAGCTAGCCGAGAATTTCACATTCGGTGCTTGGTAAACAGGTCTCTGATCAGCAGCGTAGGATTTTGCCTTGACATCAATGGTCTTGGGCTCTTCCTTGACAAGTCCAGCAGCTACAGCATCACGCTGAGCTTGTGCAGCATCAACCATGGGGGTCAGACCAAACATGCGACGGATCTCAGGGCGCTTGAAGATGTGGACCTGAGTCATACCCATAACACCAGTGGTGGCAAGCCATACATTGAGAGCAGCAGGAAGCCAGGCGGTAGTAATGAAAACGATACCAGGGAAGATATAGAGCAAGAAAGGTCTGGCAGCCTCAGTCATAGGAGTGCCAGTCTCACCTCCCATACGCATGACCATGTGCAAAGTACCACCCATGATAGCGGGAAGAAGGAAGTATGGATCAGTCTGAGTCAAGTCGGTTATCCAGAGGAGACCACCAGTCTCGAGACCGGGAACAGGAAGGTTGGCCATAGCACGCAGCAAGCGGAAAGCGCAGAAACCGAAGACACCCTGGACGACACTGGGTACAAGCATGCCGAAAGTGCTGACACCTGCAGCCTTGTTGATCTGCATGAGTTCCTGGCGCATGGTCATGGCGGTGACTCTGTCGCCATCTCTCATAGCTTGCATCATCTTGTCGTTCATAGGCTTTGTGATAGGCTGCATTGCGCGCATCTTGGCACCATTCTCGCTTGCCTTCATGAAAAGAGGAACCAGGGCCAGACGATAGAGGAAAGCGGTTGCGGCGATTGAGCCCCACCAGGGCATACCAGACAGGACGTGTACGTGTTCCAGCGACCATTCGATCACAGAGGTTGGACCATAGCCGTAGTCAAGGCCGAGGTCTTTCAGGAAACCAAGTCTCTCGGGCAAGTTGGCATAGTCGGTAGCGTCGCTAATGTCAAAGGGGTTGCTGTCAGTCGCAAGTGCATCGGTAGCGGATGTGGGAGGAGGAGCGGTCGTGGCGGCTGAGACGGCGGGAGTCGCAGCGGGAGCTGAGGTCGAGGCAAGACGAGCATGTGCAGCGAGCGAGATCACGGATCCTTGGAAGATGCGACTTGTCGAACGTGAGTTGAGGGCAGCTAGTGGCCTCGAGGGAGTCGAGATCTGCTATGGGTAAGTCCAAATTGTCGTCCTCGTGCGCCCAGAGAACATACAAATCTGCGATTGAGGCGAGCGCCTTGACGGACAGCGCCCGCAAGTCCTCTACTCGGCATCATCATGGTTGTGACTGTTGATGTGATCAGAGTCCAACTGTTCCACTACTTTTTTCGAGCCTCCACGCATGACCGCGATGCTGGCTACCCCGGCATTTTCCGCTTCCGCAACTCACCTCCGAGCGGCTCAAATGTTCTTTGAGACTTTGACAATGACAATCGTACATCTCGAGAGACGTATCAGCTGAATCTGCCAGTGCGATGGCATGTTCACACTAGTGAATGACTATCTGTCATTCGAACTCTCATGTGAACCAATGTTGACATGTCCCGTCTCGCTACCAGCCCTCCCGAAGCGTCTTCCCACAGCGATATAGAGCAGTAACGCAAGGTATAGGATCGAAGAACGGTCCAGTGCATGGTATGCTGTCCATTGACAGTGTTTGAGACGAGGTTTACGCGGACATCGCTCATGGTTCTTCAATTGACATTGTGCTCAAGCTTCAGACCTCGGCATCCTGCTTTCTCCACTTCGAGTAACCTGACATTCTTCATGTACTAACTCATCGCACCGCTCTCATTCAGACCTGACATATACTGCAAGCAATGTCTGAGACACCTGTCATTGTCGGAGTCGGCGACATTATAAATCGCCATCTTGCAGTCCATCATGCCGCAGAGCCTGCTGAGCTAATGCTCGATGCCATTTCCATCGCTCTACAGGATACTGGTCTCTCATTAAAAGTAATCGCAACGCTTAAACCCAGAATCGACAGCATAGATGTTGTTCGCACTTGGACGTGGCCATATCCAGATCTGCCTGGTTTACTCGCTGAGAAACTTGGTGCTCGACCTACTCACAGCTACTGCTCTCCACATGCAGGTAATCAATCTGCGAAACTGGTCGATGACGCAGCTCGTAGAATCGCGAGTGGAGAGACAAGGTTGGCGGTGGTGACCGGAGGCGAGGCATTAGCATCACTGGCTGCTTGTGCTAAAGCAGGAGTTATGCCTCCACCAAACTGGACCCCGGTCGAGAAGCCTGCGACACAAGTATTCGCCCCCTCAATGAGTGAGATGGCCAAAGGCATTGGGTCAAAACATATGATCGGAGCACCCATCCAAGTATATCCACTCTTCGAGAACGGTCTTCGTGCTCAAAGGGGCCAGTCAATGGAGGACAACAACACTGAAAGTGCAAAGCTATATGCTGAATTTGCCCAAGTTGCGAACAAGAATCCATTGGCATGGAATTTCCCTCGAACTGCGGAAACCGAACAAACAATTGGTCGTGTCTCTAGCAGGAATCGCATGATATGTTTTCCATGTACGGCTCGTCGACATTGAGACTATGCAGAGCTGACTTCGAGTAGACCCTCTACTGATGAATGCTTTCAATACAATAAACTTAGCTGGAGCAATGATTCTGACGTCCGTTTCATATGCTCGCGAACTAGGCATCGCCGAACACCGGTGGATCTACGTGCTTGGAGGTGCAGGCACACAAGATAGCGACAATTTCTGGGAGCGGCCGGATTTTTACTCGAGTCCTGCAATCAGTCGCGCGCTGGACGCCGGACTCGAGGCGTCTGGACTCAGCAAATCTGATATAGACATGTTCGACTTTTACAGCTGCTTTCCTATCGTACCCAAATTGGCCTGCCTACATCTTGGTCTGGACGTGTTGCAGCCTGAAAAGCCCATCACTTTGCTTGGCGGTCTGACAAGCTTTGGAGGAGCAGGCAACAATTACTCTATGCATGTGAGTGACTTCAATAGTCTTGCTATAATGCGACATAGCTGACCAGGAGCTCAGGCAATGACAGTCATGACACGAAAGTTACGTGCAGGCAGTGGCACTCATGGTCTTGTGCTCGCAAATGGCGGTGTCCTGACATATCAGCATGTCATCTGTCTGTCGTCTCGACCACGAGCGGATGGTCAACATTATCCTGCTCGTAACCCCCTGCCTTCCAGACTTGAGGACAACACTGTGCCTGAAATCAATGAGACTGCTGAAGGAGAAGCCATTATTGAGGTGAGATACTTAGATCAATGTGAGCTTGTCCAGATGCTAAAGCTGTCCAGACATATACGGTAGACTTTGACCGCAAGAACGAACCTTCACTAGGTCATATTGTAGGTCGACTGAAGAGATCCGGGCATAGGTTTATTGCCAATCACGGAGATGCTGCAACGTTGAAGAGGCTTGCGAGCAAAAGTGAAGAGCCTATTGGCATGTGTGGCTATGTGCGAGCGGACAGACAGAGTCGCGGAAGGAACTTGTTCTCTTTTGGAGCGAGCTCTAGACTGTAGCGAGTCAGTGGACAGCTGAAGCGGGGCTTATCTATGGAAGCGGTGTCTCCAGGCAAAGTGTGTTTGTAGAGGGCCTTTGCTCTCTTCAAAATATCTTGGGCGTCAATGTGTGCATTCTACATCGGGGTAGCCCCAAGCTAGAGATGTACATGTGAAGGATGCATGTTTTGACGAGCAGGATTTAGGCGGACAACGGCGTCGCAAGCGAGCCAAAGACGGATACGGCGAGGTGCAGATAACGATGATGCTGTATAGAGACGGCAAGATGAGGAGTCGTATGCTGTATCTACGATGAGCCGTCAGCATGTGATGAAGAAGGCTGCACATGTTGTATCTGTTTACGCGTGACGGTCATGAGTGAAGGCCGAGCAAAATGATCAGCATGACGTCGATCGTTGACACCCCCACCTGCCCTTTAGTTTTGCGCCTCATGCCAATCCAGTGCACAGATAACAAAGGCTATTCTCGTCTGCGTCACTTGCTCTTAACTTTCGTTCTGTCATCTTCAAATCGATAAACACAACGTCTTTGACCGCTGCCTCATAAGGTACCAACACTTCTTCCACCAACTACAATACCTTCGCATTCAGCACACCCAAGCTTTCATTTTCAGCTTGCACCTCCATCCACAGCAATCATGACAGCTACTGGCTCTTCACCCGAGGTCCCTAAGAGACCCAAAGGTATTTTGCGCTACTATCACTCCCATGCGCTCAGTCGGCTAAATTGCGTGGCAGGTATTCTGAAGAATAACAGCTCATACATGGGCGAGCACTCCTCGCATGGCCCCCAATCGCCGACTAACGCACATGCCTTCAACCACACCGACTCTGTTGGCAACCCTGACCGCCCTCCCATGAACCGCGAGATGTCCGAGAAAGAGGTTGTCCAAATGAACACTGAAATTAATGCTGGCGGTCGCCGCAACTCTTCAAATCCTCGCAGCAGCATGTCGCGTCGCCAATCGGCTGTTGATGGCAGTCACCAAGGAGAACACCCGTCACCAAGACTGAAGTGGGATGAGGGTAACCTCTTCCTCAACGAAAGCCAGATGGGCGGCAAGATGAAGATCGATGAGCCCAAGACACCCTACGTTGGTCGCTACGACCCTGATGAGGACGAGGAGCCACAAAACATCAACCCCGATGATCTGATGGTCGATGAATTGGACAAGGCCAAGGTGCTCGAAGGCGATGCGCCTCAAAAGAGAAAGCCCCGTGAGGTGGATATCCCTGATCTTGATATCGGAGAGCCTGAGCAAGACACAATTGAGCGCAGACACAGCGACACGGAGAAGAGAGTCATCGTTGATCCCGATCAGATGGACATTGATGGCGCAAGACATGGCGAGACTCCGGAAAATATTCCTCAGGAAGAAAGAGAGAAGCACGAGAAGTTTGAGAACATGAGGAAGAAGCACTACGAGATGCACAACATCAAGAACTTGCTCGGGTAAGCATCGTCTTCTGCATTCCATTTGCTGTTCCCTGCTAACGAGACAAACAGTCACGGTGCGGAAGAGCTTGACGACGACGAGTAGTCCAACGTACATCACGCCAAATTCACGCGACCAAGGATCGGTGACTTCCTTCTGATTTCGTATTTCCTTTTGCATAGCGGCGTTCTACATCTGGGATGCGTGCATGGATCACTTTGGGAAACTCGGCGATGGTGGTACAGATTGGTTACCTTTTTTTTGCAGTTAGAACATATCCCATTTCCTTTTTTTGGTTCCTTTGGTCTACTTTTCTCCACAAGCTTGCACATATGGGGGCTAATCTCGTTTCGGACTTGTTGCTCTGTATTATGACTCTGTTCCACGAATCCATATGTCTAGGCGTCGTTCGTTACTACATGACAAGTCATAGAAGAATGTCTTCAAGCAGGGTTGGGCTTGAGACCAATCTGCAGACGCAACTTCTCTCGCTTCTCCATCTCATTTCCATCGCGATCAGCCTCGAGAGCACTGAGCATGGCATCAACGGCGATGACTATATTTAAAACAAGATCAGTACCTTGCATCGAAGAATAGTCAGATCAGAAAAGAACCAACCACTCAATTTAGCCAAAGCCTTTGGCGTATCAGGAAACTTCTCAAGCTTCTTGCCATTCTTGAGGCTCAACAGCGGATGCAGTTTATCATCTGCATTAACCAGCTGACTGTTGGCTACTCTGGCAACATTGTTTGCATTTCTGTTTTGTTTTTGCTTGGTCAGCTGTAATGCGCCTCAATCTCCTCTTCCATGTGCGGCCGTTTTTGGACAGAGGTCATGATAGAAACATACACGGCTTTGGTCTTGGTCTCTAGCTTCTCGATCATGTGGACGGGGTCCTTTTGACCACTAGCGGCAGGTGCTTTGGCCTGCTTGATAGGGGTGGTGGTGGATTGAGACATGATTGTATTGCCTTTTACGAACAAAGGCTTTTAAGCGGTGTGTTTCGATGGTTTTTAACTTGACTATGATGGAAAATGCACCAAATAAGGAAGCTGAATAGATGTTGCGGTCAAGTCACGAAGAGTGTAAAGAACAGATGGAAAAAGAGGAAGACTTGACATGACGGGCTGCCTTGATTTTTCTATGATGGAAATGCAGAAACATGGTTGTTCATGGATGCAGGATGCGAACCTGTTCCTGGATCCCTGTCCATAGGCTGGCAGACGGGACATGCGAAACTCTGATGGAGCGCTGTGACGAAATGGAGCTTGCGAGTCAAGCAGCTTGCAGGCCGTGGGGAACTTGATCCATGTGATTGTGATAGAGTCTGTCACAAGGAATGCGACTCGGAGTATGAAATGCATACTATCCTCAGGAGTCATGACGATATTCGCAGGAAGGCCTCAATCCATATATCTCTCGCGTACAGCTTTTATTTGAAGCTGATTGAGTAACTGATCAGAAGATTGTGTACAAGCTGGGAAGGAGCTACTCCGCACGCACCTGCCGTTTCAAGCGGAATGCGATGGCACGGTGATTGGCTGAGGTTAAGTCCGAGCGGCAGGTCAAGCTCGGGTCATTGATCAGATGAGATGGCGGTGCCTGGGGCAACTGGAACAGTCATACACGTTCAACCAGCTGCTGATAACACGCTTCATCTCTCTTGTCTTCTCAGCATACACCTCTTCTTACAGTCGCTTCCCGCACCCTCCTGTCCATAGCCCATCTCTCACTTTCCCTCCACAAGTACTCGGATCCTCCCATCAACACAGCCATCATGGTCAAGAACATGCAGGGACTGTCCCGCAAGACGTCAACACAATCCTTTCACCAACACCAGATGAACTCACCGCCGCCGGCATTCGACATGCCTCAGCTCATCAAGGAGAGGCTTGAGTCCGAACTCAACAAGGCCGCCTACGCAGACTACCGTACACAACTTGAACTCCTGCACGAGCACAACAAGCAATGCCTCCGCCTTGAACAATTGAAGCTTGACAACATGCTGCAATCTGCCACCCTACACGCCCAATCTTCTTCCTACCAGCCCATGTCCGAGGCACCTGCTCTCATCTTCGCTACATCACAAAACGCCGAGTCCTACGCTAAGCCTTTCTGTGACTTCTTGACCGACAACCCTACCGTCTTCCACGCTGTTGCCAGCATGGCCCAAGACCTCAAGCACGATGGCTTTACCAAGCTTAGCGAGAGAGACTCGTGGCGCATTGAGCCTGGCGGCAAGTACTTTGTCGAACGTAACGGCAGCAGTCTGATCGCTTTTGTCGTTGGTGACGACTACAAGTCTGGTAATGGTGCTGCTGTCCTCGCTGGTCACGTCGACGCTCTTACTGCCAAACTGAAGCCTGTCAGCAAGATTCCCAACAAGGCTGGTTACGTCGAGCTTGGTGTTGCTCCTTACGCTGGTGGACTTGGTCCTACCTGGTGGGACCGTGATTTGAGTATTGGTGGTCGTGTCCTGGTCAAGGAAGGAAGCAAGATTGTTACAAAGTTGGTCAAGCTCGGCTGGCCAATTGCTAAGATTCCTACACTGGCTCCTCATTTCGGCACTCCTGCCAACGGCCCATTCAACCTAGAGACACAGGTTGTGCCTATCATCGGTCTTGAGTCGTCAGCAAAGAACCAGATCGAGCCTCAAGCAAAGGTTGGCACTTTCGCCGCTACTCAGCCTCCTCGTCTGGTTCGCGCTATTGCCAAGGAGCTGGGTCTCAGTGATGCCTCCAACATTGTCAACTGGGAGCTTGAGCTGTACGACATTCAACCCGCCACTCTTGCTGGTCTTGACAAGGAGTTCATCACTGCTGGCCGCATCGATGACAAGCTGTGCAGTTGGGCCGCCCTCGAGGCGCTCAAGCAGAGCGCCCACAACGGCACCTCCGGCTCTGGTATCATCAAGATGGTCGGTCTCTTTGACGACGAAGAGATCGGCAGTGGCCTGAGACAAGGTGCTCGTGGCAACTTCCTTCCTATTGTCATGGAACGCGCTGTTGGCAGTCTTGCAGGCCAACATCCCGCCTCAGATCTCATGGGCCGCACATATGCCAACTCCTTCCTTGTCTCATCAGATGTCACCCACGCAGTCAACCCCAACTTTGAAGGCGTATACCTTGCCAACCACGCCCCACAACTCAACGTAGGCGTTTCAGTCTCTGCAGACAGCAACGGCCACATGACCACTGACGCTGCATCTACTGCCATCTTTACTCGCTGCGCAGAAAAGGTCGGTGCTACCCTCCAGGTCTTCCAGATCAGGAACGACTCGAGATCAGGAGGTACCGTCGGACCTATGCTCAGTTGCGCTACTGGCATGCGTGCCATCGATGCGGGTATTCCTCAATTGAGCATGCACAGTATTCGTGCTACCACTGGTACTTCGGACCCTGGTCTTGGTGTCCAGATGTTCCAGGGTTTCCTTGACGGCTTTGAGGAAGTTGGTGCCGAGTTCAGAGATTAAACGCTTCATATACATATCAAAGCATAGACAACAGTTGAATAATGCATCAGGCTGAATCTTGTAATCAGATAGCCTGCCATAATAAACATTTTATAATTTGCCTGCGAATGCTCTTCTTTTGCCGGACCGACCAGAGGTCATCCGCCCTCAGCAAATATCTCCGCCTCCGCAGAGCAGGTATTGGCAAACTTCCTGATGAGATGTTAGAGTACGATATCAATCCAACCCAACAGAGGGTCTCAGAGGTTTTCAGAGGTGTGTTTGACTTATCCTGCATGCCAGATGCACGCATGCCACTTTTCGTTACGAGCCATAGTTTCCGTACTGCGAAGATATCAGACGGCGAGAAAGGTGAGTCTCAGGTGGTCTAAGCGATGATGCTTGGCTGATGCAAAAAAGATGTTACGAGATGACAGCATAGGAATCAAAGTGAAGATGACACGTCCTTCGCAGAGATATTGGCAGGAATGTAATCATGATATTGAGCTAGGGTTAGGATACAAGTGACGAGCTTCTACGATGGAAAGCGCCATATCGATCTATGCTTTACCCCTGACTCTTCGTTGTTGTAGGATTGAATCAGCAAGCAAGTCTCGCTGATTTATGAGCGATAAGGGATACCATTTAAGTACACCAGCTCGGAGATGTCTCAGAACATCTAGCGTACCCCCTGATGACGAGTTCCACCAAGCACCTTCTTTCCCGATTGATACCTCCTCTCAGCAATAAAGAACCACTGGACTGGATCTCTTTCACGGACGTCTGCTGAGTGTGTAAACCATGCTGTTGGAAGCGTCGAACTTGGCGAACCTTAGCTGAGGCACGGCATCAGTGGCAGTCTTGCCCTTGAGATAAATCAGATCAACACTCTGTTCGAAGTCGTCGCCGGCGCAGGCTGCTCTTTGTGTCAGTAGAGCGACTCTTCTTAAGTCACGTTGGATAATAAAACTCACTCTTCCACTCTTCAGGAGACGAATGTTCGTGGTAGGCGCAGGCCTGGCCCTTCTTGACCATGTCTTTGGAGTGACCACACTCGTTCTGGCATGCGAGATCGTCGATTACGTTGCAGCATGGATCAGAGAGCACAACGCAGGATGTCTTGCGGCAAAGGTTATGGTATATGTTATCCATGGCACGGTCCAGATGTGTGTAGAACTCTGGGTGATCTGCTCCCATGAGGTATACATCGTGATGTGTGACTCGATCAAGTATCCAGCGGACAAGACCTGAGCTTTTTGGAAGAACATCGAAGGCCTCGAATGCGTCCTCGACACTTGGACCGGTCCTTCTATGACTGCGCTTGTGGATGTGAGTCATGATGTCCTTGCGCATGGCTGGAATGTCGGCCTTGTCCGCGAAGATGTAAAGTTGAAAGAGGGTCAGGTAGTCAAGGTCCTCAGGGAATCGTCCAGAGTACAGCCAGGTGACAAACCACTTGGCTTGCATGGCATCCAGCTCAAGTGTGACATTGTCTTGTCCAGCTTCCGAGAAGTTACCTCTGAGGAGAGCATCATAGTAGCGTGAGAAGTAACAGAGAAGATCTTCAGGGATGAGAATATTGAAGTCGCCGCTGGCTTTGCATTTGAGCATCTTAGAGTTTGAGGTGATGATGTTGCCGACTGCTTCAACGGTCCAGGTGTGACTTTGAGGATCAGATCTGGTTCCCATGATGGAAATCGGCGTTGAAGATGTCTTGGTTAATAAGAAGATGAGAGAGGAGGATCCATCGGAAGTGGGATGTATAAATGCAAGTTTGTTGGTGAAAGTGTTGCTCAAACAAACCTCCGCGTGCACCAAAATTGTTACTTGCTTTGTGCTCCGACTTTAACAAAGAGTAAAATTAACAAAAGGCGCAGATGTTTTCAGAAGCAAAGACGCGTACACGGAGAGCAGATCTGCTGTCTCGTCTCAACGGACACTGTTCAGTTTTGTGTTACTGTTGTGCATTTTCGTGTGTTAATGAGGAGAGAACCTGTCTTGTATTGCATATCTCAGGCTGCCTATCTTGTTATTTCTGTCTTCCTCTTCTTTTTAGGCTAGCCTGTCACATATTTGCACTCATCTGGTGCTTCCTGGACGATCGCCTGCCTCGCTTCCCTCCTTACTGTGACGATCGGCCGACATTGAATGGTTGCCATTCTGCACTCAATATGTGGATTACTGCTCTGCGTAGTAAGCGCGGTATGGCTGATCATCAACTTCCTCATGTCTTGGGATTCGACCACAAGCTGCGTATGTCAGCACAAGTTTGCAACATGTTTTTGTATTCCCACGTACTTTCACGCCATTCGGTCTTGTTTACATGCTCATGGTAGTTGCATGCTCTTGCCAGACAAGTTCTGTGGTCTCCTGATTTGGCTTCCGAGTGGTTGTCTTCACTAAGACTGCCGAACCTTTCAAGTGCTTCATAGAAAAATTTTCTAGGAATACGGCCATCAACATCCCACTCTGCCATCTTGGTTCTGCCGTCGACGCGGCCCTAGACCCCGACCCAGTAATCGATGAAATAGCGAAACAGGCCAGAGCTTTCAGGCAGGCGCTTTACATATGGCATCGCGAGATCGTCCTCCATGTGTTCGTAACCTGGGTCATGAAATTGAATGAGTCTGGTCATGATCGATCTGCGGAAAGCCAGCATCATCTTCTCGTCAGCGAAGACGTAGAGATCGAGCAAGTCATATTCTGTGAAGTCGATGGTGTTGCCGGAATACAGCCACGAGACAAGATTAGCCATCTGATGGTTGGGAAGATCCAGAGTGAGAGTTTTGTTCAGTGCTTCGGCGAAGATTCCTTTGAGTGCAGCGGTGTAGTAGGGCGAGAAGAAACAGAGCAATTCTTTGTGAACAGATGCGCTAAAGATCTTGCCGTCCTTGCTGGGTTTGTTGCCCACAATTGTGATCATCTCTGCTGAGCTAGCGATGATCTTTCTGCTTATAGTCAGTCAGGATCTGAGGCGAAGTAGTGAAGTATACGGGAGCACAACATACGTAACATACTCCGAGTTCCAAGTGCTTCGTTCCCATTCGCTCTTGTCTTTAGCAGCTTTGGCCAGTTTCGAGTCTGAGGGCCCATGAGAGTTCATGGAAGATGCCATGGTCCTTTGTGTTGATGATATGATATTTGCGTTCAGGTCGTTTAGAAAATCTTGTGTGCAGGTGTAAAAGCTTTTAAGTTAAGAGATGGAAAGCAAGAGCTCGCAAGTGCGCAAAGATTCAGAGAAATGCAGTAGTTTACCTTCACGGTCATTCAGTGGCAGTAAGGGGTCCTGGTGGGTGAAGAATGATTGACTGGCAACAGAGTCTGGTGCACAGTGAGAGCTCTTACGTGTTGCAGAAGGACTAAATGCCCTGGGGCCAGCAAGAGCGATTGGCCCTTTGTCACTTCCCTCATAGCACCTTCCCGTGTACAAATGGCCGTCACTTCTCTGTCTCACTCTCTTCCCACCGCAACATATGATGATACCTCAGTCCATAATAATACAAGATGTGTTCCAAGAATGACTACTATCCACGGGAGACTCTTCTCTCAAGGTGTCCCCGTAGGCATACTTTGTTTCCCAAAAACATCTTGTGCATTTCTCCAACTCCATCATAACAGTTTTTAGTACTGGCGGGACGAGAAGTTCCGATGCATATTAGTGGCAAGGATATGCTCACATGGATTGGAAGACTCGAAAATTTGCGGTATACAATCAGACAATTGCTTCATACAGGGGATGAAAAGAGTCTGTTCGAATCAAAAGCGTCAGCATACCTTGACTTAATTGTTGTTTGCTCACAACTTAGTTAGAGCAACGATATCTTTGCAGTCTCGTGTTTGTGCAATGGGTCATCGAGAGTTGCGGAGTTGGTTTCTCATATTCCATACGTTCTTGAATATGGCAGGTGCTGCTGCACCATAGTACCCATCCTATTGTTCCTCCCCCTTTCCCTATAGTTCTGCCAGTTCATGACCTCCTGACCTTTTGCTATTGTAGGATGCAGGCTGCTGGACGGTATGTTCCATGAATCCGATCTTTTTCGCTAGGGTTTCTGAAGTATTCGAGCTGAGGTTTAGACACAGACCGCTGGATGAAGTTCCTGCCACAAGCTACATATTGTCAGCATATCTTCATCATGACGCAGTGCTGTCTAGCTTACTCATTTTCCATTCTTCTCCGTCTTCGTGCTCATGGTAGTTGCACTGGTTGTTCAATCTTGGAGAGCCGAAGCCTTGTCCTTCGTTTTGAAGATGACCACTTAGGAGTTGGGCATAAAAATCTTCGGGAAAGTCCTCTGGAAAATAGCCCTGCTGCTCCCAGTCCCATGGAGTTGCAGTACCTTTGTATTCTGCATACATGCGATAAGATACGGCCTCTTCTAGCAAGAAACGCCGAAGTCCAGAAGATCCCGGAAGTTGAGAGACAAGACTTGCCAGCTCGTCAGGGGTCACAGGCCGGCGAACAGATGAGCTTAGACGAGTCGTGATGGTCCTGCGAAGGGCGATGATGTCTGTCTGGTCGGCAAAGACGTAAAGGGCACAGATGTCGTCGCTTCCGTGTTGGTTCCACGGATTGTGTTCACAGCGTCCTGTGTATAGCCACTCTACGAACAGTCGCGTCTGCGAGGCACCGAGTCCCAGAGTGAACAGATCCTTCCGACTCTCAGAGAAGCGACCTTTGATCGCAGCAGTGTAGTATGGCGAATAGAAACACAAAAGCTCTTTGTGGACACTTGCGCTCAATGGGGGCTCGTTACCATCTTCCTGGCTTTGAATCTGGATCATGTCGTTTGATTTGCCGATGATGTCGCTGGACGAGTCAGTATGCTGATGGTACAAGGATTGACTGAACTTACCTGGTTACCCACCAGCGCCAAATGCGACGGTCATAAAACTCCATCAGTTCCATTGTGTTTGAACCTGCAATTCTGTTACTCTGATGAGGCAAGATCCATGGTCAATCTGGAATATCCAGCGACTGTTTTTATAGCGGGCGATCTAAAGAATATGACACAGCGATGTAGTGCGAGTTATTGAGGTATTTCTTAGCGAATAGATAGACCCCATTTGATTGCTTTGATTCAGATGAGTGAGTGTGAGTCAACTCACCTGCTGACGGCGATAGTGTAACAAGGTCGAGACAAGAGAAGATTTTAAGCCAGTCAAGTCGTGTATCAGTCTTGACGTGGAGAGGAAGCAATGTCTTGTACGAAAACTTTTTCTTCTGATACAGTGGGTGGAATAAGAAAGCATACTACCAGTCAGAGGGTCGCACTATGAAACCCGTTCCCGCAACCCTGTAGAATTACATGACCAGCTGGAGGTTAAACAAAACTAAATAAGACAAAAGGTATCTTTGTGAAACTCGCGCACCGAATGTTTGTTGGATTTCATTCCAGAAGTGGTCAAGCTTAACGACGTCCAGAGCGAGCAACACTGCCCTGCATGCCCTCGATCTCAGTCTCCAGTTGCTTGATAAGCGCGTGGCTGGTCTCGAGGTCCTTGTTGAGGCGATCACGCTCGGCGATGAGCTTCTGTTCCCAGGCACGGAAGCGCTGCTCCTCAACCTTGACTTGCTCTGTGAAACGCTTGCGCAGAGCCTCTTCCTCCTCCTTAAACTTGGGGTTATCAAGCTTGCGTGGCCTGGCTTCGCCGAACTTGCGGGTCTCCATTTGCTGTGCACGGTAGGCCTCGTAGTGGTTCTCCTCTGTAGTGTGGATCAAGTCGAGCATGTGGGCGCGGATCAAGACAGCGCGAAGCTTCTTGAAGTCGCAGTGCTCCTCGTTCTCGACTTCGGCAACACCCCAAGCGTATTGTCTGCCCTTGACGCTGCGGCCGTCGGGAGTGGTGACATCCTTCTCGGAACCAATGACGGCGAAAGGCATGGAAGTGATGAGGGATTGGGCGTGTCTAAGGGCGGATTCGTCATCCTCCTCGAGAGGGGGCGAATAGATCTTGATTCCCTGGGCTGAGATGATGTTGCGGATCTGTGGAGAGTTAGAAGGTGGGGAAATGGAAGGACAGGTTGAGAACATACTCTCGACTTGAACTTCAAGAGGTCGTTGGGGCTGAGAGTATCTGCTTTTGCGATGACGGGAATGAGGTTGACACGGCTAGATAGGCGCTTCATGACTTCGATGTCGAGAGGCTTCAAGCCGTGGCCAGTGGGACGGATGAAGTAAAGACAAGCGTGGACACGCAAGTCAATGCGCTCACCACGACGGGGTTGTTGCTCCTGGAGCATGTATGACTCGTGTTGATCGTCGAGGAACTCGATGATGGGTTGCCATGAGTCTCTGTTGTTGACGTAGTCGCCGAAGCCAGGAGTGTCGATAACGGTAAGGCGAACTAGAGGGCTTGTCAGAATGTGACTGATGGGGAGGTGAGAGGGTAGTGAACGACGGACCCTTGAAGAACTTCTCCTCGAGCTCGGCCTTTGTGATCTCAATCTCGACAGTCTTGTCAATTTGCTTCTGGTGACGGCGGCGGTGGTCTGCGTAGTTCTTGATTGTGGTGGAGAAGAGAGTGTTGATGAAGGTGGTCTTGCCGAGACCGGACTCGCCAGCAACCTGGGCAATCGTGAGTATTTCCGAGATGCGACTGGATACATGTTGATGAGCTGACCATGATTGTGAAGGCGGCGCCGCGCTTGGCGACAATCTTGTGGCTAGGGAAGGCATTAGTTGGTGTATGGTCGAGGACTGGAGGCGAGTGTATACCGTTGGTTAGGGAGCTACATCGGGGGTCAGTCATGGAGTCTTGTCGTTTTGAGCAGCGCATCACATACGTTGGCAATGCCAATGGGCGAAGCAGAGTCGGCCATGGTGGTCGGTATTGTGTGTGTGGGAACTGTTGGATGGCGAGAACGAGTGACAGGCGACAAGTCAGCAGCGCAAAATCAGACGCAGCTTTCGGAAACGACGGTAGATTTCGCAGGTGCAATAGCGGATATAACGCAGGCAAGAGCAAGAGGCCTCGTGTGGATTGCTTGGAGGCAGTTGCAGGTCCCTTGGTCTCCTTTCCTGTGCTGAGGAAGCCACCGTCGCCGGGCCCGTGCTCGCCCGCCGAACCCTTTTGCGGGGAAGCAGCAGAAGCCTCCGACAAGCCGACTTTTGCAGCGAGAAGCCAGAAAAAATGTTGGAAGTTGCGACCGAGACATTGACAAGATGAAGACTGATTTCAAGGTGCGCTCCTTCTTATCTGATACAAGAGAGCCTTTACACTAACGTCGCCGACAGTTCTCCAACCTGCTCGGTACCGTGTACAGGCGAGGAAACCTCTGCTTCAGCCCAGATGGCACATGCCTGCTGTCGCCTGTTGGCAATCGCGTTACTGTCTTTGACCTAGTCAAGTGCGCATTTCTCTTGCACTTTCTGATCCAAGTACATGTACTGACCCGAACTCTAGCAACAAGTCGCATACCCTCCCGTTCGCCCATCGTCGCAACATATCCCGTCTCGCCTTGAACCCCAAGGGAAACCTGCTTCTCACCGTCGACGAAGATGGACAGGCTATTCTCACCCACCTCCACCGTCGCATATCCCTCTACCACTTCTCGTTCAAGGGCTCAGTCTCGTCGCTCGTCTTCTCGCCCTCTGGTCAACACTTCGCTGTAGCTCTTGGCCGTAAGATCGAAACTTGGAGGACGCCTTCCACCCCCTCAGATACCCAGGATGGCTCCCTCGAGTTCGCTCCCTTCGTCAAGCACAGAGAATATGCCGGCCACTTTGATACGGTACAGAGCATCGAATGGTCTAGCGACTCACGCTTCTTCCTTACTGCTTCCAAAGATTTGACCGCGCGCATCTGGAGTCTGGATCCCGAAGCAGGCTTCGAGCCCACGACTCTTGGTGGCCACAGACAGGGTGTTCATGGTGCATGGTTCTCGGCAGATCAAGAGACTATTTGGACTGTTTCAAAAGATGGAGCTCTCTTCCAGTGGCAATACCTACCGCCTCGCAACGCCCCCGAAGATGAGATGGATATCGAAGAGAACTTCCGCTGGAGGATCGCTGAAAGACACTACTTCATGCAGACCGGTGCCACCTTGACATGCGCCTCTTTCCATCCGGAATCAAATCTCTTAGTTGCTGGTTTCTCGAACGGTACCTTTGGCCTTTACGAACTTCCTGACTTCAACCAGATTCACAATCTCAGTATTTCACAGAACGATGTGGATTTCGTGACGATCAACAAGACTGGTGAATGGCTTGCCTTTGGTGCTTCTCAGCTGGGTCAGCTCTTGGTGTGGGAATGGCAGTCAGAATCATACATTCTGAAGCAACAAGGACATTTCGATTCTATGAACAGTCTTACATATTCACCATCTGGAGATCGCATCATCACATGTGCGGACGACGGCAAGATCAAGGTCTGGGACGTTGCTTCGGGATTCTGTATTGTCACATTCACCGAACACACATCAGGAGTCACAGCGTGCGAATTCGCGAAACGAGGAAATGTTCTGTTCACAGCTTCTCTGGATGGCTCAATCCGCGCATGGGATCTGGTAAGATACCGAAATTTCCGAACCTTTACTGCTCCTGAACGTCTCTCCTTCTCTTCCATCGCAGTCGACCCATCAGGCGAAGTTGTGGCTGCTGGTTCCCTTGACAGTTTCGACATTCACATCTGGTCCGTCCAGACTGGTCAACTGCTCGACAAGCTGTCCGGCCACGAAGGCCCTGTTTCGACATTGGCTTTCGCTCCTAATGGCGGTGCACTGGTTTCAGGCTCTTGGGATCATACAGTTCGCATTTGGTCGATCTTCGCACGCACTCAGACTAGCGAGCCTCTTCAACTACAAGCAGATGTTCTCTGCGTCACAGTACGACCGGACTCGAAACAAATCGCAGTCAGCACGTTAGATGGCCAGTTAACGTTCTGGTCTTTGTCAGAAGGAACACAAGAAGCTGGATTCGATGGTCGTCGTGATGTTTCTGGTGGCCGTAAACTCACAGACCGTCAGACTGCTGCTAATGCCTCAGGCACCAAGTCTTTCAACAGCATCAGCTACTCGGCAGATGGTAGTGTGGTTGTCGCATCAGGCAACAGCAAGTATATCTGCCTTTACGATGTCATGTCAGGTGTCTTGCTTCACAAGTATACTGTCAGCGTCAACCTTTCTCTCGAGGGTACGCAAGAGTTCCTCAACTCGAAAAACTTGACAGAGGGTGGTCCGGCAGGCATGATCGACACAACAGGCGAAGCATCAGATCTCGAAGACCGCATGGACAATTCCCTTCCCGGTGCCAAACGTGGCGATGCTGCCTCCCGCCGCATTGGTCCTGAAGTCCGCGTTCCAGGTGTGAACTTCGCACCCACCGGTCGCTCCTTCTGCGCTGCCAGTACTGAGGGTCTGCTCGTCTACTCTCTCGACACAACAATCGCCTTTGACCCCTTTGACCTCGACATCGACATTACACCCCAATCCACCCTCAAGACCCTTGCAAAGAAGCAATACCTCAAAGCCCTCGTCATGGCCTTCCGCCTCAACAATCCTAAACTCGTTACACGCATTCAACGCTCCGTCCCTGCCGCAGATATCCCTCTCGTCGTCTCCGATCTCCCTATCGTCTATCTCCCCCGTCTCCTCCGCCATATCGCCGTTCAAAGCGATGCTTCCCCTCTTCTAGAACTCAACCTCCTCTGGCTGCAAGCACTGCTCAAATCCCACGGTGCAATCCTCAAGAAGAACCAAGGCGAATATGCAGAAGTTACTCGTCTTGTTCAACGCGCTGTTTCTCGCATACAAAAGGAGATCTTCTCTGTAGTCGAGAACAACGAGTTTATGGTGGAATACTTGCTCGCTCAGCCTGTGCGTAAGCAGCAGAATGGACTAAAGCTGCTGCAGAGTGTTGAGGACGGCCCGGTCCAGGAGGTTGAGATGGCTGATGATGATGAGGATGAGGACGGTGAGGATGGCTGGATCGGTCTTGAGGACTAAATCAAGACTTTCGCTGTAAGTTCTGTTTGAGGATCTTTGTTTGCATTAGAACGGTGGCATCATGGTGTTATTGTCGACAAAAGGATCAAGGGAGTTTTGGATACATATGTATAGGCGTTTTAAAGAATAGTACTTTTGGTCATGTAGAATCAAACCATACCTTTCACATTCTACACGTTAGCACGAGTCTCCAAGTATTTTCATGATCATTGGAAGCTAAACAAGGGCACGAGCAAGACAGAGAGAAAAGTAGTAGTACGACAGATAATCCAGGAAGTAAGCAAAAGCCGCGAAAGAAAACAACACAATCCACCACCCCTGAGAGACGAAAAGACGAAGTTAACCCTACACACCAAAATGCAACAACAACAACGACACCAATGATTCTCCCATACAACAACAATCCCAAACAAAGCAATGGAACCACTCCTCCAAAACCCCCCCTGAATACTAAAACAAAAAGACAAAGAAAATGCTGGCTGGGGTGTTTCTGTGTGGGCTTTTGATGTGCTCCAACTTTTATTCCTCCTTCTCTCTCTTTCTTCCTTTCTTGCCTCGTCGTATGCGTCAATTTTTGTTCTTAGGCATCGTTCATGTCGACTTCGCCTTTTAGTCGTTTGAGTTCTGCCATGGCAGCAGTAACGTCTCCCAGAATCTCAGCCATGGGTCTAGAGTTGGATAACATGCCAGGTCTGAATGGTTGGACCATGTTTCTAAGCGCCAATGTAGTGACACAAGTCTGCAGAAACCGAGAAGTTAGTATTATTTCTTCCAATTGGTGTGTTTTCGGTATTCAAACTTACCTCGATTCTACTGATCTGATGCTCGATAAAGTTGATGACGAAGCGATCAGTCATTTCTCCACCACGCTCTTTCATGCGTTCAAGAAGTGCCGTTTCGGGTGCTTTCAGTGCTGTCAATCCAGTGTTTTCGAGACTGCTGCACAACATCTCTAGACGTAGAGACACGCTCCACAAGTCCCAAACGTGTTCGGTGTCAATGCTGAGTTGGCTGTCGGCGCTCTTGACTGCAGCCATGCCAGTCACTGCCTCAATGCCAACATTGCGTTCGGTAGGTAAGGCAGCAGCGGCTGCCTTGACTTGTTCAGCCTGTGCTTGTTGCTGCTGTTGGACTACCAAGCGTGCTGCAAGCGAGTGAGGGTACATGAGGTAGATGTATTCAGGGTTTTCCAAACCCTTGAGGTTGCGCTGACCGAGATCCTTGACCTCGAATCCTTGACTGCTGAGTGATCGCAATTCGCGACGAATAGCATTCCCAATCATCTCATCGCCCATGGCATCATCGGAGCCTGTAGAGCCATTTCTGTCGGTCTCGATATGTGTCTCGAGCAGACGTTGAATCTCCGCGATGAAATCTGATGAGACGGTAATCTGACCGCCATCAGCGACGGATTGGATACGGGCAGATCTGTTGACCATGGGTCCGAAGTAATCCATACGGCCAGTGACAGGATCTTGTTCACACACAGGGCGACCAAAGTGAATACCCATACGGACCGAGAGACCACGGAAGATACGGTTGCCGTCAGCATCGAGGACTTCTTGACCATGAATACTGTTGAGAATCTCTTGCGGCCAAGGGACCTCGAGCAGTTGACTCTGAATGGTGAACGTCCACAAGAGTGCACTGGTGACGGTCTGGAAAGCTACCATAAACGCATCACCTTCAGTTTTGACCTCGTAACCACCGATAATGCGCAAATGCCTTCTCATGAGCTCGTTGTGCAATTTTATCGCACTTCTCATGGCAATGGGGTAAGATTCCCATAGCATTGTGCTGTTCTTGATATCGGTAAAGACCAAGGTAACTTCGCCTTGGGGAGGATCAATCTCTTGGTCCAGACGTGCCAGCTTGGAATCTCCAACATTGTCTCTGCCACGCTTGGGGCGTCTCGAGATAGTCAGAAGCTCATCGGGTGCGCCACTTGGACCCATACTCATGCTGTGAGTTCTGAAGCGAGCCCGTTCCCTCTTGCGCAAATCACTCACACCAATCATCATGACCATGATTTTACCTGTAGCACCAAATGCAATGGCCAGATCACGAAGCTTTTGCGAAGCACGCATCAGGTCACCACGTTCTGAGCGAGCAACATCTACTGCAAAGTCCATGGTCAGGTAGTCCCAGAGCTCACGAGAAGCAATAACAATGATCTCGTCAGACTCCTTTAGCGATATGCGAGCCGTGTGAGGGCATGCGATAACACCCGGCAGATGTGGCACAAAGCCAAATGCTCTAGAAACTTCAAGAGCGTCGTTAAGCTTTCCTTGACGTGAGACATAGCCACCGGCCTCTCGGATGCGAATGCGCTCGTCTGCTTCTGCGGGTGCGTGTTTTCGAGTGATGATTCGGTGACCGCCCTCTGAGTCAATCAACAGAGCTTGAGCGTCTCCAACATTAGACACATACAACTCCATGCCTTGGAGATACATGATTGTAGCCACTGCGCCGGAGGTCATGTCATCTTCGCCCAGCTCCAGACCTGTGACGCTTCCTCTATGGACTAGTGCAGCACTTGGATGGGCGCGAGCTTCAATGGCTTGGGTAGCTGCTGTCGCGAATTCCTTGTTGAGCGAAAGATATGCCCTTCTTAGCGCGTCTAATGGTGAGTCGTCGCTGTCTTCTTGAAGCTTTGCGAGCTCGTCTGCAAAGTGATGTCTGAACTTTTCGTAGAGGAACTTGGCCACCTTGCTACCTCCAGTGGTCAAAGTGTGTCCGTCAAACATACCAAAGAGTAAACGATCTTCATGACCTCCAAAACTAGGGATGACCATATCCAATGTCGATAAGTGCTCATGACGTCCAAGCGTATCAGCCATTCCATAGGGAATGTGTGTGCCGATTATCGATCCTGCAGTACGCACACGTCTGTCGGGGCCTTGGTCGGGCACCGAAGGAATGGTAAGCGTGACATCCATAAGACCAAGAATCCTCAGATGTTGCAGAGTAGAGAAGTCCGTTAGGTCTCGCGTCTCGCGTCCAGGTACCACATTGACGTTGGGCTTAATCTCAAGACGTTTATTGCCAGACATGTTGAGATACCTCAATTGGTGATTCCAGTTCCAGTTCCAATCATATGGCCAGTTGGACACGTTGTATTTCAGTGCATTGCTGCCAACATCTAGAGTCTGAAGTTTCTGGATCTTGCCAAGCTCTGCGGGCAGGACGTTGAACCTGTTGCTGTTCAAGTGCAGCACTCGTAGACCAGAACCCTCTTCAAAGTCTTCTGCTGGTAGTGCAGACAAGTCGTTGCCTGACAGATAAAGTTCGGTCAAATTTGGCCATCTCCGGATGGTTCTTGGTGGAATATCATAAAGCTCGTTGTACGAAAGGTTGAGAATCCGTAGTTCTGGGAGAAGGACAAGTTCATCAAAAACATCGTCGGAAAGGCGGTTGTCCGCCAGAATCAGGTGGCGTAAAGTAGAAGAAAACGTTGATGCAAGCCTGTTAGACATGGTCGAGTCCTTGCGAGGTCCAGGTGTAGCAGCAGCACTGCTAAGTCCAGACTCTGTTGATCCTCTGGGCGCCAACGACGGATTTCTTGACTGGGGTCCATAGGTCGAGGCAATTGAGGCTTTGCGCCCAGCTGGTGATCCGCCTGGTATCATGCCGTGACTGACTTGGCTAGGTCTCCTCAGCTGGAACGCTTCAAGTTTGCCAAGCTCATCGAAATCAGGAGTCTGCGGTCCGCCAGTTGTCGTGACAGGGGTTGGTGCCTCAGATGGTAGAGACGGCGGTGGTGCACCCGGCTTGGGGAACTCGTTCAGAACATTGGAGGCAATGTTGAGCGACTCTAACCTACGAGCGTACCAAATCTCTTGTGGCAGTCTGCTAAGGTTGTTCTCTCGAATATCCAGATATCTCAAGTCCTGAAGTCTGCCAATATCTGACGGTAAGCTGTTCAGCATGTTCTTGGCCACACTGAGATGTTCCAATCTCGTCAGTTTACCAATCAGAGGCGACAGAGCTGTAAAGTGATTTTTGTCCAGCACCAGCTTTGAGATGTTCGATATCTTCGCGAACAGATCATCGGGCAGCTGTGTTAGTTTGGCCGAAGCAAGGTTTAGCACCGAGAGGGTGGGAACAGGATTAGTGAGGCCGAAGCGGGTGACGGGGTTGTGGTCCATAGAAAGAACCTTGATACGGTGGAACGAAGCTTCGTATGCAGCAATCGAATTGTGCCCAACCAGAAGGTGCTCCAATTGAGGCAGTTCGGCCATGACATCAATATTGTCAAGCGCGTTGAAACGAATGTCAATCTGCGTAAGTTTGACAAGTTGTTTGAAGGTCTCGGGGAATGCACCAGACAGCTTGTTGTTTGTAGCGAACAAGCGTTCCAGATTGATAAGCTTACCGATTTTCGGCAACGCCGAAATGCCATTGAAACTGATGTCCAGATCGACGACAGTTCTGAGCTCACAGAGGAAGTCAGGAAAAGTGTCGAGGTTGTTGGACGCCAAGTTCAGGCTGCGAAGGGCTTGATAGCAGCCAAAGTAGGCAGGAAGGCTAGTCAGCTTGTTGTTGGAGAGTTTAAGACTGACAAGATTGTGCAATTTGTGTAGATCTGCGTGCTGCATCTGCTCAAGTCTGTTGTTCGAGACATCGAGCATAGTCAGTCTCGATGCCAGACAGATACTTGCAGGTAATTTCCATGCTTCATTGCTGGTATATTTGATCTCGCGAAGGTTGGTGCAGCTTTGAATGAAATCCTTGGGAATGTCAAGAGACAGGTTCCTGGATAAATTCAATGTGATGATCTCTGTGGCCTTTTGGTACAGGGTGATGGGGATGGTAACCAGATCGCGCCCTGCAAGATCGATGTGGTTGAACTTTTGCATACCCTTGAATCCAGGATCGCGATCCAAGCTCGAATATCCGCTTAGCTTTCCAGGCAAGAATGTGAAGCGCACCAGATAGCCATGGTCTTCACGACCCAAGTCTTCTGGTTTGTCCTTGTCGTTGTAGCCAGCCATTTCCAGCATGTGCTTCTGTATCGCCAACGGCCGCTCACCACCAGCTAGGATACGACTCGAGCCAGTCTTTCGCATAACAATCTGATACGTGTCGAGCTCGTCTTGCAAGAATGTCTTCTTAGCCATCATTTGGATAAGCTCGCTCGCAGTTGTGTTCAGGCCAGCCGAAATAACTGCAAACGTACTGTCTGCTCTGAATATCCGCATGAAGTACATAGAGCCCGGATCCTCATCTCGGGGAACCTGACCCTCGTCGTCGACTTCGCGAAGAGCAGCAACATTCTGATCGGGTACTCTTTTGACTGCCCAGCTGTCAGGCACCTCCCAGGTTCCATTGTCGTCCTCGGCGAGCTTCGAAGGTTCCATTCCAGGAAAGCCAGTGAATATCTCGCTAGTAACGGGGGGCGTCATTGGCTGACTACGATTGACAATGCCTTCCATCTGGCTCATATCAGTATCGAGATGCCACAAAGCGGACGCATTGCGAATGGCTTCGGGTCTCGGAGCATTGGGATCCTTCTTATTGAACTCAGCACTTGGCTCTGCGCGCCTCGGTCCTTTGAAAGGAATTCTCGTGTGCTCTTTCTTGGTCAGACCCAATGCCATTGGCTTGCCATCCGGCCCCAGAGGGCCCTTTTTCTTTCCCACTGGGGCAGCTGGAGTCTGAGAGAGCGAGCCAGTCGATGCAGGTAAACTCTTCAAGGTAGATTCTGCGGTCTTGTCATGCTTCTTGCGGCCAGTAACTCGGTCGAATAAAGAGCGTTTGGCGCTGTATGCTCCAGGCGAACGTTGACCTTGGGCATCACTAGCCTGGCTTTGTTGAGCGCTCATCATACTTTTCATACTAGGCGAGGGGCTCGTCGCGCGCGGGCGTGCGCCATTGAGGTTTGTGGGGAGTGTCGAATCCTTGCGGATAGTGCCAGCACGGCTACTCATGACGGAAGCATTATCGTCGATGTCGTCGAGACTGGACTTGTGTCTGTGGCCAGGGAGGTGAAGGCGATGGTGACGGCCCGAGACAGAGCCCTTGTCTTTCCGCGACTGCTGCTGTTGCTGTATGGAAGGAGCGGTGGATTGTTGCGTAGGCTGCGTGTGAAACTGTCGAATTTGACATCAGTAAATTATTTATGACAGCACAACAAGACGACTTACGTTTGCTGGAGCAGGTTCAAAGTCCCATGGGGTCACTTCACTACTGGTGTTTGGAGTACGTGGACGCGATGCCGAAGGACTGCCAGGACGAGTGGTTGCAGTGACTTGTGTGGCATTGGATGGATTGCGACCTCTTTTATCTGACTGATCGGGCGCATCTTTGGGCGGCGGCGCATTTGGGTCGAATTCATCGCCGAAGAAGCCTTGCAACTTCTTGTGGAACTTGCCCGTGATACTTCGTTTCGATGAGCCAGTCGAGGACATTGTCGTCGTACTAGCCACGGAGGGCCTTCTGTCTTCACCGTGCCATTCGAGCGATAGGTTGTTGCCATTCTGTGGTATGAAGCCCGGCGACATCTGAGCAATGTCATCGCTTGATGAATTGTAAAAAGAATGGTTGAAAAGATTTGACGAGAGTTGCGATGGACGGTTGTGACGGCCATAGGGCGGTGGTGTGAAGTCATTTGGTTGCTGTCGTGAGATGGAGGGTACAGTGCCGCTGGAATCGAGACAGGACAATTCCTTGCGATGGTCACCAAAGTCGGGCGTGTCCCATGCTAGTGGAGGGCCGCGATTGTATGTGGAATTCACGACAGTGCTAGGCGATACGTCTACATCGGGTTCTCTGTCAAGGAAAGCGTCAGCTCGTGGGCTTCAGGCTGAAGCAGGCGGATCGACATACCGAGCCAGTCGCTCGGGCTTTGACTTTTTGGGAGTGGTTTCGACCATTGTTACTGTCGCTTGCTACAGGTCAGGACTCGTTTCGCGGCACGGTACTAAAGAGAGAAGTCTTGTTCGCGCAGGGCTTCATGCCATCAGCCGACACTGGATATCGTTTGGCCGGTCCTGTCCTCCAAGTCGGACTCGGACTCGACGGCCAGACACTCTGCCTCGTTGGTGTGTTGAGCTACTGCTGGTCCAGAATTTCAATCGGACGAGCGTGAATTTGACAAATGGTCGGGAGTGTCGGGAATGGAGTTAGCTTGATGCGGCGACGATGGACCGGGATGGACAGAGTCGCTTTCACAGGTGGTGGACAGGTCTTTGGCATGGGCAAGGTGTCAATTGCGTCACGGGGGACATGGCCGAGTACGGCGGTGTTTTTTTGGGAAGAACGTCGAGGGTGTGTGCAAATGAGACTAGGAGTGAGAAGGATTGTTGGACGCGGCGTGCTGTGCGGGCATGGTCGACGATGGGGATGTCTCGACGGCTGCTAACAACGAAGGCTTGATGCTGGCGCAACTGCTCCATCGCTTTTGGCGTCGCTAAGGGCGGGGCGATCCCAAGTTCCAGCCAAAGGCTCGGCTCGAAAAGGAATTCCCGTCAGACCCGTGCACGACCGAGTCCTCGACATTCACCTAGACGTTTGATCACTCATCACAAAATCTCGTAACCAAAGACTTTGTCTATACTGCAACTGCTCCAGCATCGGGCAGCCAATACCAGCAACAGCAGAAGAACATAGTCTTCCCCGCCCTCTTTGCTGTTGCGCCGCATCCACCTTCTGTCTACAAACTAGGCACGTTATAGACTGACCCTGTAGTCTGGCTCGTGGATTTCTCGTCCAACGGTCTCATGGACGTCGTTGGAATGAACACTTCCTGCACTGCACGTTAGGCCGTCTCGGTCTTGACCTGCAAAGTGCTTATCCGCGAATACCCACATCTTTTGAGCCTTTAAATTTCCCACAGCAACCCGCCCTCAAGACTGTCCTTTTGAAATGAACAAGGAAACTATTATACGCACCGTTGGTCAAAAAGCAAACTTGCCAAACGTCGCTCCATCTGTGTCCTCATTCGTTTCATTATTTAACCGACAACGTCGTTGATCGTCAAGCATAGCACGGCAGTACTATACTCCGCTCAACTGCAACTGAGTGCGAGATATCAGATTATCATATAGGTACATGTCTCGAAAACTGCCGCAACCATAAAAACAATATCCGGACGCCACAAGAACCCTGCAACCAAGACCATCATCAAGTGTATAAAATCGACATGTCCCAACGTCTCGATGATTGTCTTTTTTGCTGAAGTGAAATATCGTACAGTTCATTACGGCTCATCAATTAGTAAAGCCCTGGACAGGTGTTTGTGCATTGATTACACCATTTGACATTGACCGTCGCTGGCCGTCCCTACCAAACAAAGCCCTCAATTTGCTGTATTTAGATTCCAGCTGGGGCATATTGGGAGGTGCAGTGACATTTGGCATGGCTCCAGGTTTGGATTGGTTGTCGGTATGACTGCAAACATAGCCCAAGTTTGAATGTAGTCTGAGATTGATCCTGCAAGTCACGAACATGAATACTGAGAGTCGGCGGCGGAATACTGCGACACTTACTGGGTGTACTCCTCGGACGCGAGGGCATCGGGCAGGCCCTCTTTCTTAAGATGAGCTGCTGCCTGTGGGCTGGTCGCGCCGCCCTTGCCCTGCGCCTGCAACCTGTGCATTTCCTGTAGAAGTTCAAGATTGATCTCCAGTAGCAGTGATATCCTTTCCTTCTCTTGCAAAGTATTCACGGGAGATGCGCCGGCAGATGGAGAGTGGATTGGTCGTGATTGCGGGGCAGCCATGGGTGATTGCTGAGGCGAGGCCTGTGTGACTGCAGAAGCAGCATATGGTGGAACACGGTTCGAAGGAGAGGCTGCCATAGGCATTACGGCTGGAGGCGACATGGCCTGTGAATATGGCGCCGCGTAGGCTGATCGAAGCCAACCATGTCAGCACATGCGCAACCACACTGCCGTCTTTCCAGCGACTTACCACCAGACAGCTGCTGATATTGCTGCTGCTGCGGGACATTATGGGCAAAGCTAGACGCCGGCTGGGCCTGGACGGGAAAGGGTGGCTGCTGTAGAGGAAGAGACTGGTTGTTGGTGTATGGAGAGAAGGATTGGCCAAACGAGGCGGTATCCAAGGTGGATAACGACATGATGACCCTCGGTACTGTATCCGGAATTCGTACTAAACGATAATTATGATCCACTAGCAGATGTCAACAAGCACTTTGGGGCCCGTGGCGCTATGCAAAATCGAATCGACAAAGCCTCAAAATCCAGACGAACCAGGGGAATCGCTCACCTTGATTTGTGGGGCAGCCGCGACCTCTTCCCAACCCACCGCTGCTGCCGCGTTTTTTGCTTTCTCATCTGACCACTTCCTTTACAAGACTACTGATAAGACTGTCATCACACCAGCTGATTCGCTGCATCATGTCCGGTAATGTACATCCCCTCTCATGCACGATCGCGTCCGTGTTGCGCAATACAGTCCACCACACTTTAGATTCTGTGGCAGGGTTCCCACAAGGGTCCAGGCTCCAACAGCTCGCCTATCAAAATCATTGCACAAGTCAGTCAGTCTTGCTCCAACAGCATTCACTGACACGTCTGTGCTCCAGGAAGAGGAAGAGGTGCTTATTTCAAGGCCAAGTATGCTGGCAGAGGAGGTCGTGGAGGTCATGACGCTGGAGATGAATCTCGCCAGCCGCTTTCCCACCAGTCCAGCTCTACAAGTACATCTACCTTGGCACAATTGTCGCGCACCTTAGACTCCATTGACGGACAGCAATACGGTCGGTCGTCTAGACTCTTTTTTCAGTCTGCGTTTTCTCTCATTTTGGCTCAGGTTCGTACAAACGTCTGCAGAATGCCCGTTTCCGACACAACTCGCCGGATTTTACGCTATCAATAAATCACGTACAAGCAGATGCATATGCGTCGCCTTCAAGGATCAGTGTGTCTATGGATTGGGTAAGTTCTGGCTATCACTCGATGCTTGGCTGTGGTCTCAAACAAGCCGCTACTCAAGAAATCATCATGGTCTAATCAGGTTCAGAAAACCACTGGCTTTCCGGACGAGTATGCGGCCACCGATATCCGTCAGATTGCTTTGGCCGATTACCTCTCCAGGAATGCTGCTGCTTTCATCCGCAAGAAACATATGGACCAGTCCGCAGGTTCTGGAAACTCAGGCTGGTCCGGCCCCAAAGGTGGAGCTTTCGCCATCAACACTCCGGCCCAGGAAGTTTTGCCTCGTACCAGTGCTCTCATAGTGCCTGGCGAAGACAAAAGTCTTGAGATGCGCTTTACAGTATCCTTGCCTGCTCGTGGCCGTACCATCCTGGGTAGGGAAGCCAAAGCAATTCTTTGTGTCAATCTTCCGGAGCTTGTCAAGAAAGTCATGCTTTACACATCTCATGTGGCTGATGAGCTTAAAACTCACATTCATTCCGTTGAGGACCAAGCGTACATGCGATCTCAACTGGAAGCTAAGGGCTTGGTCGCATTTGTCGGAAACGGTTCGATACTCCCAAGAGCCAGTGGGGCTTCCAGCCGTGGTATGATCGGTAAGCACGTCGTGCCGTTTGAATCGCCGCCTGGACTGGAAGTCTCCCTGAAACGTAAGCATGGCAGCAAGGTACATGGAATGGGCATTCCGAAAGGGGTGACTCTGCTCACGGGCGGCGGCTACCATGGCAAGTCCACCCTCTTGGAGGCCATCCAGTTTGGTGTCTACAATTATGTCCCTGGCGATGGTCGCGAGTTAGTGGTCACCAATCTTGCCGCAGTCAAAGTCCGTGCCGAAGACGGTCGCAGTGTCACTGGAACTAACATCAGTGCCTTCATCAAGAATCTTCCAGGAAAGAGAGACACGGATGCATTCACAAGCGATGATGCCAGCGGCTCAACTTCAATGGCAGCCAACATCTCAGAAGCTCTCGAACTGGGAGCACAAGTCATTATGGTCGATGAAGATACGTCTGCTACCAATCTCCTTGTCAGAGATGAGCGTATGCAAATGCTCGTCAAGAATGAGCCAATTACGCCTCTTGTGTCAAAGGTGCGCGCTCTGTACGATCAACACGGTGTCAGCACGATCATTGTAGTCGGAGGACTTGGTGACTGGCTCGATGTCGCAGACAATGTCATTGGAATGAACTCTTATGCCCCTCGCATGCTCACTGAGGAAGCGCGAGATCTAATCAAACAAGTCCCACGACAGGTTATGCAAAACAAAAAGTATGGAAAGCTATCCGATAAGGTTGTCGGCTTCCCGGCAGCAATTCTCCACGACAAGACTCCATATGCCAAGAGAAAAGACTTCATTCATATCTATGCTGATCGAGTGATGCAAGACCCGTCACAGAGCGAAGCAGGTATTGACGTATCAGGCGTCGAGCAAATAGTAGATTTGGGTCAGACACGAATGATCGCTCACTTGATACGTACAATTGCTGCTGCGGAGGATTCTGAAGGGTGAGTAGATGAGCACATTATGGGCAAAGGAGTTAGCTAACATGGTGGCAGTGTCTATCTAGCATCGGCCTTGGCAGGCATCGAGGCTGAGGTTGCCTTAGAGAAGGCCATTCCAGCGAGACTGCCTGGAGGAGATCTTGTCGCAGTCCGTCGCTTTGAGCTAGGCGCAGCTGTTAATCGTGTCCGAGGCTTAGAGTCACGAGCAGCAAGGGCGGAGGCTCAGACGGGAGAAGGACCAAAGAAGAAGGCACGCATTGACATTTGAGCGACCGGTATGGAGGCTTAGTCGTGCTTGTTGGTGGTAGGATGATCGACCGTCCACGGAAATAATTGACGAGCCTAATTGGGTTTGAGTCATGGATGCTGGGCGCCTGATCCTGAGGATCAAGCTTCTCCGCAACAAGAGGAAGTAAAAGCTGCGCCCAAACATAGCAACACGCACATCAGATAGCACATCTTTACCAAAATGACATCAACGTCCATGATTCTCGAACAGGAAGTAACCAAGTCGCTTAAAGGATAACCGGCACAGAACAATGATCCTTCTATCGCACCATTGCCAAGGCTTCTGTGCAAAGAAGACAAAATGGAAGAAGCGTGTGACATGGCAGTGCATACACTTGTCAAGTGATCAAAGAGTACAGAGCCAAATTCGTTGTAGGATTCGTGTGCTCAGACCGCGATGCAGTAATGTAAGAGTCAAGAGTCTTGGTGGTACGCCGAGATGGCCCGATTTTGCCGGTGGATTTCTTGTCAAAGACAGCTCTTCTTTCGTACGAACAGAAAGTCGAGTTTCGAATGGATGTAAGGTGTGCTTCCACCAGTTTAGCCAAACGAGATCAATGGTCATGGAACAATCCTTCAATATGACTGCGCCTACTTTGGCCCTAAGAAAGCTTTGCGTTATTTAGAACCCATTGGTGAAAGGATGAAGATGGGCAACATTCTCGAGATGCGAACGTCTCGGTTGGATAGTACTCGGCAATCTCGGCATACGACATAGCCCGAAACTAGACTCAAAGTAGTAATGACTAGACCCAGGCTGTGCATAGTGTTTGCGGGGAGCTGCTCCTTCGAGGCAGTTTGTTTGGTTCACGAGCTGTCTAAGATCATCACCAAGGGACCAAAGGTGGCGTGGCTTGAGACGATTGTTGCTGGTGTGCCTGCCTGCCTTGTGAGGCAACAGACATGATGTGACACACATATAAGACGAGCTTGGGTCGCACAATCTGTGGTAGCTTCATCATTCAAATCATCTATCTACAGCTTCGAGCTTGTCACTCAGTCGACCATCACATTCCACCCAAGACAGCAATAATTCAATTCATTAATTTGCCTGTCCGCCACTGACCAACAACCAATCATTAAATCACCATCTTCACAATGAACAACGACGAGCAAGTTCGCCACGAGAACTCTGACCTGGGCAAGTCGCCCATCCGTGGAAGCAACAGCGATCACGACCCACTGGTCAAGGTCCAGCCTCCTCGCCGCGAGGATCTTCAGCCTTCTTACGCCTCCGTCATCAAGCCTGACACCGAAGATGCTTCTCAGCACGGCTGGTATGGTGGCATGATCAATGCTCTTGGTTCCGTCATTGGTAACCTTGGAGCTATTCCTTGCTGCATCGTTTGCCCCAACCCATACAAGCCTGTCAACCAGGGTAACGTTGGTTTGGTCACCAAGTTCGGTCGTTTCTCTCGTGCCGTCGACCCTGGTCTTGTCAAGATCAATCCTCTATCTGAGTCGTTGATTCAAATCGATGTCAAGATCCAGATTGTTGGTAAGTCATGCCACTGATTTCACTGCAAACCCTTCGAGCATATACTGACACGCGCGCAGAGGTTCCTCAGCAAATCTGTATGACCAAGGACAATGTCAACCTTCACCTTACCTCCGTTCTCTACTACCGCGTTACCTCGCCTCACAAGGCTGCTTTCGGCATCGCCAACATTCGTCAGGCTCTGATCGAGCGTACTCAGACTACACTCCGCCACGTTATCGGCGCTCGCGTCTTGCAGGATGTGATTGAGCGCCGTGAGGAAATCGCCCAGAGCATCAGTGAGATCATCGAGGACACTGCCTCCGGCTGGGGTGTTGAGGTCGAGTCTATGCTCATCAAGGACATCATCTTCAGTCAAGAGCTGCAGGAATCGCTCTCCATGGCCGCCCAGAGCAAGCGTACCGGTGAGGCCAAGGTCATCGCCGCTAGAGCCGAAGTCGAGTCCGCCAAGCTCATGCGCCAGGCTGCCGATATCTTATCATCTGCACCAGCCATGCAAATCAGATACCTTGAAGCCATGCAAGCGATGGCCAAGTCGGCAAACAGCAAGGTCATCTTCTTACCTGCTCCCAACCAGACCGTCCAGCAGCAGATGCAGATGGCCGATACCGTTGGCGAGGGACCTTCATCATACCAACAAGTCGGACAGCATGTCAACGACTTTGGTGCCGGCACTGAGGGCTTCCAAAATGCAATCAACAGCCGCGTTGTTGAAAACATGTAGAATGGAGATGCAGCGTGGGAGCAAGTGCTCACTACACCTTCACGCCAATCACTCAATCCAGATCGGAGACCTCTGAGGAATGTCTCGGAGAGATCTTGAGTGGATCGACATGGGAGATTTCTGGAGAATGGAGCTGGAAGCTGAGCGGGGTGCTCACACGGACGAACGCCATCGATTGTGACATGATTTTATGGATACCCCTTTTTGTTTTTCTTTTTTCTTTTACCATACTTCAGACGCAGTCGTTTCTCCTTGCGAGTCATCACGACTAGCAGTTCGCTAGTAGCTTCTGTATCAGACACAATCATAATCAGAATTGTTAATCCAATCCTTCTATTTCCAAAGCTATCGTTATGTCTTGGTTGTAGGCGTCATTGTAGGAGAAGCGTCTGAAACACTGCCCACTTGTCAGCGACGATCCGTTTCGTTCAGAGGCAAAATGGCCGACGGTCAGGGTTGTACCGCCGACAAGCATTTTTGAGGTCGATATGTTCATCACCGCCGCCACAATTGTGTTGTAGGGTGTTTGATAACTTGGTTCCATCCATATATGATATTTCTTATGTGTTTCGTTTTTTTTCGGGATGTTGAAACGGATGTATGGCTGGCACATCGTAAGTTTCAATATTTGGGACGTGACTTTTGGAAAATGGATGTGGTAGCACTGGTATTGGTACCGTTTCAATCGCAAAGGTGGAGATTCTACAAGTAGTATGTCAAAGTATCGTATGAAATTTTTCATATCCTGTTATTCTCTCTCAATGATCCAAAGAGGTCGTGAAATATAAAAGCAAGACGCATGGATAACAAGTGCACCGAGAGGAAAGGTGTGCCTAAGACTGCGCAAAGCAACAGATCCAGCGTCCGCAACGCTGAGGCCAGTTCGAGTTGAGCATGTTGCCTTCGTCGCTTTTGTTTGCAACGCGAGCGCTTATGTCACTGTTCCTTTGGAAGGCAACCTGCGTCGACAAGGAACATCCATCTTTCTTCTAAGAATATTGGCCATATCACTGCAAAACGCATTCTTGAATAGATCTTTCCATAGTGAAGAGTGAATTGAACACTTAAGCTAAAAAGCTCCTAAATGCTAAAAAAACATCTAGAAATAGTAACCATCATCCACAACCACATCTCATCCATAATCATCAACATCCTTGTCGGAAAGCACAAGTGCTACTTTCAGAGTCTACTGTCAGAGTTCCATTGCCAAAGTCCAATCACACTACGCACGATCATCCAGATAACCTCGCTTACATCCTGCTCAACATTCCAAGAAGCAGTTCTTTCTTCTCTTTTGCTCATCTTCACGGACTCCTGTAAAACCCCTGTTGATCGTACAAACTCCTCACGCTCTTTGGCGTTTCCATCGCTTTGCTCTTTCTTCTGTCCCAAGTAGTCGTTTCCTCTCCTTCGTGCAAGACTTGTAGTTCTTCCTTTCCCGACTGCCCCAAAGGACTGTGTTTTGTATTGTTTCCGTCTTTTGCTTCCCAACCCAACATTCTGTCCAAGGCATTGGTGGGCGTATCTACAGGACTGGATGTTACGGCTTCAGTGACGCGACGTTCTTGGTCTGCCCAGTAGCCTTCTCCATCATCCCATACGGAGAGTCTGTTCCTCTTTGCTTCGGGGAGTGTAGTCAAGAGACTGAGAACAGGCTTTGTAGGCGAATAAGTGATATAGTGACATTCCCTGCTTTTATCCTTTTGGTCATCTTCTTCTTCTTCAAGCAGAATATCTTGTGGTGGATCGTCTTCTCCTTCATTGTCAGAGACCTCCGAAGAAAACCCAAAGTCGAAGGGGAGTTCGAGGGAGGCTTCGCGCCCAAGATGGAGGTAGCGGTGTGAGCCTTTGCCGAGCTCGTCCTCTGACATTTGTAATGACGAGTTCATACGTCTCAGTGCCATGATACTTTTGCGGATATCCTTCGGTGGTTGGGCACGTGGTCCTGTAATGCGCTTGCTGCGAGAGGAGGGTTTTTCAATACCACCGCTGCGACGACGAGGACTAGAGCTGCCACTGCGGCGGCGTGGGCTTATGCTGCTACTGCGACGATCTTGACGGCGAGTACTGGTGGTTGGATTTGCAAGCTTTGCGCTGGGAAGTGTATCACTGGCGTTACTAACAGTTCGACAAAGAAGTGGAGGTGTTTTACAAATGCTGGAATTGGGTGATGCAGGTGGAGAAGGTAAACTTGGATCCAAGTCTTCCATGAACGAGACATGGGGACGGAGAATAGGCATGGATTCGAAGGGTGAGCGGATGCGTTCAGTGAAAGCGGCTGCACGAGCATATGGTGATTCGATCTCTTTTTCGCTCTTTGGAGATCTGAGTTTATCATTCTCCTTTTCGTCGTCATAGTCAGCTAGGAATGACAGCGGTGATGAACGAGCCAATGGTGCAGGTTCATCTTTGAGCGCGAATGGAAAGTTAGGAGAGCTGCTGTCTTCCTCATCGGAAGAATAGACTGATATTGGCCTGTTAGGGTCGTACTCTTGTCCACTAGCAGGCGGGTCGTATTTGTTTGACCATGATGGCAGTGGTGGAGATGAGGCAGGGTTGTAGACTGAACGTTTCGAATTGCTCGGTGTGACATGGAGTCCGAATGGAGGACTGCGCTCATGCTCCGACCATTCAGTCGATGGACGGGTAAACTCTATTGCAGGTGTTTCCGGTCCTTGCTGCACCACTTCATCTTGTCCAATGTGACTCAGCTCCGGAAGACTGGGTATACTGAATAGTGATGCCTCTCGTGATCGTGCAGACTTTTCCCCTGGCGACACGTATGATGCACGTCTCGAGTTTACTTCACTGTGCCAAGGTGACGGCTCGTTTTGGTATGCCACCATAGAGAGAGTCGGTGAGCTAGGTGTCAGCGATGCACGTAACCTCAAGGGATCCATGGTGGTTCGCGGTCGCAATGTCACATCGCCATTTAGATGCTTATCGGCCACTGGTCCAAGTGTACGATCCGGTAACTCTTCTTGAATCCCATCCATTGAAGGGCTAGTCGATCTGCTCCGAGCTCCTGGCCCCAGAACTGTGGGTGCGAGAGTCGATAAGCGGACACAATTTTGTCTGCGATGGCCTTTTCTCGCACTGGGGCTGCCCTTCAAGATGGAGTGCTTGGGACCTATCACTGATTTCTCCCATTTGAACATGGTTTCGGCACCCGGATCTTTCAAGGTACTCTTCATCGGTCTTTGTGGGGAGCCAGCATTGCCTGATACCGTCCGCAAGATATTTGGCTTGGGCTTCTCTGATGGTGACCCAGTTGCTGAGACTCTTGAGGATCCGGTATGTCGCCTTGGAGTACTGACCATGGTAATACCGCCAGTACCGCTGCTAAGAGAGCCTGAAGACGATACACGGCTTATACTGATGCGATCAGCATTTAAAATTTGTGGTATCGATAGTCTGTTTGACTGTTTCTCTAAAGTGGATGTGATACTAGACACAGAGTTGCGATTGCTGCCAGTAGACGTGATACTTGGACAAACAAGACTTCTTCGATGTCCGATGTAACTTGCTGGTCGAGAACTACCACAATTAGTCGAAAATTCAGCGCCTGCTTCTGCTGCAACACCATCTGGCGTTGGAGGTTTCTGGATGTTCCTGAACTTCGGTATAGGATTGATGTTCTCTGAACTCACGATCCTTTCCCAGTTGCGTTCAGGACTGCTGTTCAGGCTCGTTGATGTGCTATCATTATGCTTTGTTGAAGGTATACCAAGAGCGCTATGCCGGTTCGCAGGATTGTAGTCACTTTGTCGACTAATGTTCCTTGGCAGAGGAGGAAGAGGAGGCAAAGGTCCTGTTGGTGCCGGTCCAGGAGCAGACGAGAATGTATTTGTCGAGTTGGGCTTATTGGGGTCAGAGACAGTCCCTAATGACTTTGATCGAGCTGCTCGGGGTCGGCATGATGGCTCCCGCGTTGGTGGTTCGAGAGTAGGCACACCAGCCAGCTTTATTGGTCGCGAGGCTGAGCGAGGAGGTATTTGCGGCAGATCTGTCGTGACGACCTCTGGCTTTGGAATCAACTGTTCCACAGAAGCGGACACTTCTTGTTCTCGGACAGCTCCTCCTTTGGTTGCAGTCGGTGAGTTTCTGGAGTTAGCCTTGGGCGTACCCCCTCTTGGACTCTCCATGATAGCTGAAAGTGCTTGCAATCTTCTAGCACCAGATGGCATAAGTCCTATCCTTGGCCTCCTTCCAGGAAAGCTCCACCCTGACCGTGCCTGCTCTTCAGGAAAGACAAAAGTTGGGTGGGTGCGGTTGTCAACCTGCGCAAAAGGTGATAGATGATGTATCGTCTCTGTTGATGTCAGTGCACCCCATCCTCCACACGGCGCATATGTCGGCATGAATGGTAGTTGTGATGCGCCATTTCCTTGTTGTAGCTGAGAGACCTCTACAGGTCGCGCTGGAGGAAAGCCTTGTTCAATCTCGGCGATTTCGCGGTTGTGTTCGCGTTTACGTTTGTAGATTTGAAAGACGACGAAGCAAGCCGCGCAGAGAAAGAGCGCGCCGAGGCCTGCGCCGATTCCGACGACGGCGGACGACATGGTTGTTAGCGCGCTCTTGAGATATACTCCAGTCGACTATTTGTGATATTATCGCGTGCTCAGCGATTCATTGATGCTAGTCTCATGTCGATTCTTGATGGTCATCACCTTGTTGTTCATGAATTGATCGTGGCATAGTCAGCACAAGCTATGGCTGGAGTGATCGTTCCATAACACAACAGGCCTAAGGCATGGAAGGGTTGCCACAACAGGGCTTGAGGAATGCTGCTCACCATCACAGCATTGGACATCGTAGAAATTCGTGACCAGAATTGATGATTCTGATCTTGCTCACCACCCTGTCTTGCAGGGATGATCATCTGCTTCACATATCCATAAAACATATGAACATCATAATGGATGTCCCGGTGTATGACTTACAACAATCTGTTATGGCAGACGAGGGTCGAGCATTGTCTCTCATGAACATTCCACAGGGATATGTCAGATCCTCCAGACCATAAGAGTCAGAGATAGCCCTATGGAATAGAGATCACACCCGTAGAATCTCGATTACGTCCGACAGCGTTCGATATATTTGCGGTAATGGATATCTTGATCAGTTGCAGACAAGTGCTTGATGGTATGCGTGTGCGATCAAAGGAAGTCGCGGCTCCTGCAAAATTACCCTTGCATTCAGCCGGGCCCGATGATGACCCTGGACCCTGACTCGCCTCGGCTTCGGTCGACTTTGACCCGGTAGAATAAACACAACGAAACATCTTCGCCAGTGGTAGACGCCAGTGCCAACTCAAGACGAAGCGAACAACCGGCTAAAGCAGAGCTCGTACTGGACCAAAGGAAGGCCATGGCGAATCGGAACGACTGGTGACTGGTGAAAGGGCATCGCTCGTGCCCGCCCCCACCTTGATATTGCAAGCCGGGGAATATCGACGACAGTAAATCTGGGGCATTTCTACCAGGAACAAAAAGGATGAACTATGGCTCATTAGACTTTCCTGGATTTCTTCCTTTCGAGGTTCCACCGGGCTCAACGACAAGGGTAAAGATAACGAAAGCCTACAAAGATGTCTTGTGTTCGGTTGTCCCTCGTTCTTAGACGAGCTGTTCCTGAGTCGTCGTTGTCTTCATTGTCTCTTCTGCCTCGTCAATCCGCACGCTCAATCATGGACGGTGGTATCACTAAGGATGGTCTCTTTGCTGTCAACAACACTGTCGCTCCAAAGCCCAGCAGCATTTTGTCCTTGTTTAGCTTGAAGGGTAGGACGGCGGTGATCAGTGGAGGTCCTGCTGGCATTGGTCTTGCGGTTGCAAAGACATATGCCGAGGCTGGCGCAAATGTTGCTATCTGGTACAACAGTAACACTGTAGCCCACGACCGTGCTGCGGAAATTGAGAAGGAGTATGGTGTCAGCTGTGAGTAGGCTGCGAAAGTTGATGTGCAATTGATATTCTGACAATGTTCATGACAGGCAAGGCATACAAAGTCAATGTAACAGACGCCGAAGACGTGAAGAGAGGCCTCACCGAGAGTGTGAGAGACCTGAACGGACGCCTCGATATTTTCGTCGCCAATGCCGGTATTCCATGGACCCAGGGCAACATGATCGACGGAGAATTGGACCACTACCGCAAAGTTGTGACGACAGATATCGATGGTGTATACTATTGTGCACGCGCTGCTGGCGAGATCTGGAGGCGGCAAGCCAAAGAAGGCACCGACATGAACGGCAACAAGCTCGACAACTACTCATACGGCTCGTTCATCGCAACTGCTTCAATGTCAGGACACATCGTCAACTTCCCTCAACTTCAGTCAGCATACAACGCAGCAAAGGCCGCCGTATTACATTTGACCAAATGCCTGGCTGTTGAATGGATCAAAATCGCAAGATGCAACTCTGTCTCTCCTGGATACACTGCAACAGAACTTACAACATTCGTGCCGGAAGAAACAAAAGCCATTTGGAGGAGCAAGATTCCCATGGGCCGTGAGGGCGAGACACATGAGATGCGCGGCGCATACCTGTACTTGGCTTCGGATGCTGCATCCTATACAACTGGAGCAGACATCATCGTTGATGGCGGTTACTGCTTGCCGTGAGCATTTTCCCTTAAAGTCAAATGGGCTTCTCCATTCGAAATTATTTCTAGAAGCGATGGACGTCACAACCAGTGACGAAAGTCGTTATAAGAAGAAACATGGTCTTCCACCTTATAGCGATATTAATAGAATACAAACTCGTATCCGTGTACAACGTCTGAATCCTGAGCGGTGTTCACCTACATTTTTGGTAGCGAACAATCGTAACTCGAAGATTCTGTTGCACACCAACATCAATACTACTTCTTTCTTTTTTCTCAGCAGAGCAACCTCTCGGCGCCGCAGAGTGGTATTATCTCACGATATTTGAGACAGGATCGTTTGACCAAGGTCCGAGTCGGAAGGATTTGCTGACTGCTTGGCTTCTTGTGTGCTTGGCAAAGTCAGTCTATCAGCTCAGGAAGACCTTCGGAGACATGTCGCAGGATGTGATATTCTCTCGATCCACAGATAAAGTGCCGCGTTTGAGACCCTAGGATCTTCATAGTCGAAACGTGTGACAGGAGTCAAGAAAGACAGAGTGGTTGCTAGCTCGTGGATGGTATACCTGCAAAATGGCGCCTTGAAACAGCCAGTGGACCCTGAAGATTTCTCGTGCCATGCGGCTCAAGTCTTGTGTCTCAGTTCGTGACCATATGGTGGGGACCTCATCTGGTTTTGTCTCTGTATCTTCGTCCACCGCTTGTTTCTACAAGACGATCACAAGATTCATGAGTTTAGAGTTCAAACTCGCGAGTTTAATCGACAGCGTCTGAATAGCTCTTCGAAACAGATTTTCTCGTTCAAAACTGGCGCAAAGTCGGGGCAATCTGTGCACCAGCCGAATTGAGAATATGGTATGAGATTGAGGACAAGGAGGGAGGCCTTAATTCTGTTGACATGGTGAAGCGCGACAGGTGGGTCGATGCGAATCGCGTGCGCGCAGATGAGGCTGGGGATTCTCGTGATACCCGTTGCTCCTACAGCGCTTGCTATATGGGTCCTTGCAACTGCTCATCTACTCCTAAGCTTTGCAGCAGAAAACGTGTAGACAGATTGAGCTCTCTATTGCTCGGTTCTTTGCATGCCAAGCAGCATTGATTCCGTAGATTCCGAGGGCTTGCTGATAGGCGAGAGAGCAGCGCTGTAGATCGTTCACTTTGAATGCTTATCTTATTTTGGAAACTAGCCCAATGATACAGAGTCAGGATAGCCGGTAGCACTGTGGCCATATCTGGTACGCGCCCACACGAGGGGCTCGCGTGATGGTGCTCATTTATGGTAAAAGGAGAATGTGGATGCTTGTCGAAGCGCGCAAAATTAGTACATGCAACGTGGGCAGTATCTGTGGCTGACAGAGTACGACCTTCGGAAGATCGAAGATCACAAGAATGCGGTGGAGCGATAGTCTCCGGAAGAGAACATTTTAGATGGTGAAGGAAAGAGGCCCCGGACAAAGACTACGCAAGTATGTCTTCATGGTTCATGTCGAGCATCGCGCACAGAGTGGAGTCTGCAAACGCGTGCTGTCCTGTCGGGAAAGCGATGGAAGACGGCAAGCAAACCATGCTCCCGAGACCAAAGCCAAAAGCCGTTGGAACTGATGAGCTGCAATCGATCAAGGAAGCATGCCTGTCAAAATGGGAAGTCTACCGCGGTACGGGTCGGATAGCAGCAACGTGAGCGCTGATCGGTTGGCTTTTCACAGCATCACCGATTTCTTGAACGGCACATAGTCCGTAGCGAGAAAGACGGCAGCATGGTTTTCAACTTTCTCATGAAATCGAAGTTGGCGGGCCGGGATATTTTTTGAATAGAGTTGTACAAGCAAAAATCTCCACCATTTTGCAGCCACAGATGACGTGAGTGGAATGGAAGGTTGTTTCGAGGATCGGGCTGAAGGCTGGGGACTCCTGATTTTCAAACAGTTCGTAACTTTTGTCGAGTAACGGCACGCGGGATTTTCTGTCTGTTGGGCCTTTGGGTGACGCCTTTGTCTTCCAAACTTGACAGGCACCCTTACAATATGCTAGTTTGGCCGAGCTGGAGGCCGCTGGTTCAAGTCTAGACTGTTTCTAGCGCTAGAGCGAGCACAAAGTGAATGATTTGCAGGTGATGCAGAAAAGCAGCATGCGAGGATTTCTTGTCGAGGGCACAGGCAAGCATGTCAGCATGTGATTGGCGAGGTGCATATCTTGAAATGTAGGGGTCGAAAGACGGTGAGAAAGTTCACATCTCAGATACGAGCACGAGTCTCACATGCGCGCAAGGAAGCCCTGAGAGTCTGTGTGAGAGACATGGATATACCCGGGTATGGATTGACTGGGGCGCGGGCGTGGAGGATGAAGCGTAAAACGATGCTACTGTACGTCTGAGCTTTGGGTTACAATTCTTGGGTCCACATGCTGGGATGCGCTTTGATATAGAATCTTCGATCTCCCGCCTGTGCCGGCTGCCAGTCTGCCCTTCCTAAATCCTGTTTCTCACATGTTTCATTGTTGGTCTGCATCTCTTATCACAGCGAACCTCTTTGGCTTCTGATAGCAATCAATACATCAACCGGACAGCCGCCAACGCCTTTGACGCGCGACCCCTCACATACTCTATCCTCGTATCGTACCGGTACCTCCAACCTTCACACAATCCAGGCCACGTCCACCCCCGCTCTCACACCTGTCTGTGCCGCTGCTGGTCTACTCATAACTCGCCTCTCGCTCTTCCACACATCCTCGTCGCCATGGCCGCATCATTGGACTATCCGGCACAGCAATTCAGCGTGCACCGAAGGCCTGTACCGTCGACCGCGCCTGCCATGGACTACCTGGCCCACTCTCGCACGCGTACCATCTCGTCCAGCGTTGTTCCTCCTCAGCAATACCAGCAATCACCTCAACCCCCGCCGCTCAATCAATCTCGCCGCACTCTCTCCAATGCCACCACTTCGACCACAAGCACCCACAGCAGCGTGCACGGCCGCGTTCCTGCCGCTCCTTCGTCATATGCTTCGTCAATCCGCCGATCAACTTCGTCCCGATCGAACAACTCCCCTTCGTCATATGTCTCCCTGATGCGGAAACAGAAGGCCACCGTCTGGTGCGATCGTGCCCAGCTCGAGGACCCTCGCATGCTCGCCCAGCAAAGGGCTGCCAAGATGCGCGCTCAGATGGAGGTTGTTGGTGGTGTCTCGGCTACTGGCAACAACCGCACAAGTGGAAGCAGTGGAGGCATTGCCAGCAAGATCCGTCATCACGGTGCTGTCAAGGCTTCAGCATACTCCGCTGCTGGCAACCTGTCCGGCGCTGGTGTGCCTATGCGTCTGAGTGCTAGTGAAGTCGACGAGGACAACAGTGACGATGACAGCGCTATTGCTCGCTACCACCAACGTAACAACTCTGGTCGTAGCAGTCTGGGTTCAGGCCGTCATATGCGCGAAAGCTACTATGCTGGTCCTACACCTACCGCCGCTCGCTTCAGCAATGGTAGCACACCACCTAGCAACCACAGCCCCGTCGACAAGCACCCAGAGTCGCGTGAACGCCAGGACTCGATCGCTACCACTCGCTCATACTCTGATGCCACACCCCAACAAGGTGCCCCTAGAAACGACTACTTCAACCATCCCGGCGGCAATGGCGGGTCCAGTGGCTCCATCCAAGAAGAGCGATCCTTTGGCGATGTCGGAGGTCTGCCCACTCGTGCACCCCTCTCATACAACTACGACCAACAAAAGACGAATGACGAGTTGCGCCGACGAGGCAGCGTCGACGACCGCACAACCACCATGAGCGGTGTACGCCTCTTTGTTGCAAACCCCGACATGGACGACGACTAGACATGACTGCTCCAGACTTCTTGCATGCAATCGAGGGAACCCCCGCTGGCTCGGGCTGCTCTCCCCGTTTCTGGACATGAGAATGACCTCCTTTTGCCGAACGAACGTGTCTTTTCGATTTCTTTCCCTGTACTCATTTCTTTAAACACCTTTTCCTTTTTCTTCATTGTAATGCCCCGCCAATCGCTTTTTCCTCCTGCTGAACCCTTTCGTTTCAATACCACTACATTTGTGTTTTTGCCGTTTCACGTTCGCTCCTAGCACAATACGAGACCCATATATATATCCATGTTTCCTCATCATGAAAGAGGACGAATTGAAAGATTTGAATATCGTCAGTATATCTCTTGCCTTTGTTTGCTTGATGTGCCCTGGTCCGTTATCCTTGAATGTCCCCAGCCGTCCACAACCATTTGTTCTGATGGCTTGTATATCGGCTCAAGCTCTTGAGCAAGACCATAGCGTAAGAGAATTGTATGTTCATTAGACAGTTAAAGAAAATTTGTGAGGAAAAATGAAGTCTACAAGAAAAGAAATAAGAAGAGCAAGAATCTCGATTAGAGATGAGGCCAAACACTCATGTCTTCAGCGTGTAGGTCTCTCAGACAATGCCCCTGTCTCCCCACAACCTCTTTCAAGTACTCGACTGTGTCTGGATCTTGCGTCCAAAAACTGCTTCCTCGGACTCCGCAAGCGATGTTCGGTGCAGCTCCTTGTAATCTGCCTTCACTGTCTACTCCAATCCCTGGCGGCGAAGCTTTCAAGTCATGCTCTTTGGCAGTATGGTCTTTGCCCTTTTTGGCGTTTACGATGGCGATTTCGCTGGGTGCGTCTTGGTGGTGGAAAAGTTCTGGGTTTGCAGACCAGCAGCGGAAAGACAGATCACGGCAGGTTTCGAGGATGCGCACGTCGTAGGCCTCACAACCGCCTTCTGGCTCCGAGGCAGCGACGTCGTAAAGTAGTCGTTCGGCGCCTGCGCGAGATAGCGCAAAGCCGAAGGTACATAACGGAGAAATGGATTTGTGGACCACGCGCGTCTTGATCGGTACACCTATTTCGGCGAGGAAGCGGCGGGTAAGGATATGCATGTATTCTGGCGATGGCAGGGTTGGGTCGCTGAGGGCGACGCGGGGGACTTCTGTTTCGTTTGTCCATTCGGAGCGTGTGAACATGTCGCCGCAGTGGCCGAGGTAAAGGATATCCCAGTCGAGGTGGTTGCCCCAGTAGCCTCCTGCTTGTTCTGGCGTGACTATCTTCTGCCTTGTGCTAGGTATTGCGGGAAGATGGTTGGCCTGCTCGGTAAGGAGAGTGCGCATGGCGGCTGCCACTTTAGGTACTTGCGATGTGCGTAGGTGTATGTCCCAGTCCACATCGTCTTCCATGACTAGCATTGTTTCAAGCCCAGAGTCCAGAAACCAGCGCAGCACATTCAAGTGGCCCATCCATGCCAGTGCCGAGCCGCGTGTGATTGTAGAAACGTTCTTTGCCACGAAGTTTTTCAGGTCTGTGTCCGTCCAGACTGGTTGGTCGGGGATGGTAATGTCGATCTCGGTGATGTTTGCTGCCAGCAGCAGACTGTTACGACGTTTCGATGTGAGTGTAGAGACGGCGACGATAGCACCGAACTGGTCAAATATGTCAGTAATAGCAGACCAGCTCTGGTCAATCTAGTCTTACACCAAGAGTCGAGTTTGCCGCAGGGAGATCCGGCACATGAAGAAAGTAGTCGAGTCCTGCCTGCACTGCAGAGGATACCGACGGCGGATGCCCCACCGATATGTAGAGGAAGAAGAGCACAATAGTGACAAGAGCGATAATGACGAACCGCCTGCGTCGCGGGTCCATTCTACCCGGCGACGACCGTGACCGTGATTCGAAGGCGACGGCAGTCGCTTTGGCGTGGTGCATGTTTGGAGGGGTATCAAAGGAGTGGACGGACACGAAGGTGGAAAAGTGAAAATCAAACGGCAGAGCTGCACCTGAAATTCATCCGGATGCTCGTCTCTAGTCAGCTAGCTAGCTGAATGCTTACCATCTATCTTGCCCATCAGGGGCTCTGCGCCGGTTCGATAAACTATCGTCGTTCGAAGGCACGTTGCCAAGCGTCAACTTGGCAGGAGTTGCAATGGGTAGTGGCTACCTAAGCCCTCTGGGTGGTGGGTCTAAGCTGAAAGACTTTGATTGTTTGCTACCTGAAGTAGCAAACGCTGGACAGCGGATTCATGCTGGTCGAGCTGAAGAACAGGTCTTTTTGTGTCGCGACTTCAGGAGTACAGCTTCAGCCCCTGCAGGAGGTCGAAAAGCGGAAGTGTCGTTTGACTTTCGGCTGCTTCTCCGCAAAAGGCTTCCACATGGATCCAGCTCCAGTGCTCCACATTCTAGCCTTACGATTATGCAGTAACATGTGAAGATCTTGTATAATTGTGTATAGAGTCGAGGCTGGCTTGCTCATAGGTATCTAGAGTACAGAGCGCTCACAGACTCTGTCGGGTCTGCAACCGAGGTATGCAGATCAGGGTTACGCGAGTGCTTATCGCCTTGCATGAGAGCTTATCTCACAAGTACGTAGCAATACACACATATGACAGTCGATCGGAGGGATATGTAGATGACCAGCCTACCTACTTGGGCCTCTCTTCTGCATAATCCTCGCGACGCTCATCAATGTCTTGGAAGGTATCGGAAGCGACACTTGCTGACGTTCCTGCAATAACATCGATCTACTCTCAAGATGAGCCCACGCCATTCCTAGAGCTCTGCCTGGGGTCTTCGAACTTGCTTGCGCTGAATTACAACCAAGCGACACGGATCACTGAAAGCTTACAAGACCCAGAACAATCCTGGTTCGTCAGTCGGAACGAGCGCAACAAGATAGTCAGCTTTGCTGAATGGCAGCTGCCCAAGGATGAGGCAGATAGTGAAGAGCAGATGGTATGCTCTGGAGTTATTCCCGATATCGAGTTCAAGAATGACACAGGTTAGGCCCAAGCACGGAGACTCGATCGCACCCGGGATGAACTCAGGCCTCATCGTGGACTTCAGACAACGAGTCATGAAGCTTCGAAATGACGTGCTGCGTGGACGAAGGCATTATTGTTGGTCTTGACATGTTGCTGGGATGGTTGCCGAAGGCTAACGACTACCAACAGTGCTTTCAAATATCGGGACTATGAAGACAGAGCGCCAAAGGGGAGCAGCCACTGCACTCGTGAAGCAAATGATAGAGGCCGCGGATCGAGCAAAGATTACACATATTTACCTGGACACGGTATCCGAGGGGCCCGCTAGACGGCTATTCGACAAGCTGGGGTTTGAAGAAGTTGGCAGATTTGAGATTGATCTCAGCAAGTACGGCGGCGTCGGGATTCATAGGCACGTGGGCATGATCAGATGGGCTTGGAAAGTTGTGTAACTCGTATACTTGTAGAGCAGGAAGAAGGATGAAGGAGCAGTCGTGTGACGAGTGTTGTTTTTTGGGAGCTAGCTTGGCCGATGAGGAAGGAATCCGTAATTGGTAGCGGGCTCGCCTGCTCTTGCTGCTTTGCTCCGTAGATCAGAGGGTCTTCTGGAGCGTTGCCGCTCCTCCATGTTTCGAAATTCATTTCCCAAACATACCCCCCCTTTGGTGTTATTATTATTAGACACCTCTCAGACATTCATAGACACGCCAAATTTTACCTCGTCAGAGTCGCAGCAGGCCAGCGACACTTTTATTCTAACATTGCTTTTCATCCATTGACCCTGGTCCGCGGCAACGCATCAAATCGACTCTTCTGGCCCGTTGGTTCCTGCATGTGACGCAATCGCCAGAAAACAATCCATACAAAAACATCCAATTCACAACACAGCGACGGGACACGCGACATGGCCGAACCTCAGGATGGAAAGCCCGCGCGCTACCGCTCACAACGAAAGGCCCCAGTCACATCTACACCGCAAACAACAGCCGACGAAGGCATAGGTAGAAGCAGGTCTCGCTACCACAAAACACGCCCCGGTGCTCCTCATGCTCAAGAACAACCTCACTCCGAACCTACCAACGATGCCCCCATCTTCCCGACTAGAAGTCGCTCTACTCGTGGTAGCCGTGGTAGAGACGGATCACGCGACGTAGAAGCTGGCGCTCTCGATTCTGGAGACGACGGCTACGGAAGCACGCGATCGCAACACAAGAGCCTGGAACAGTCAAAATCTCCTCCGAGAGAAGATTTTATGGCCAGGGCAAGAGCACAGGCTCCTACACAAATTCGCGCCAAAGTCGAGAACTTCATACCCGATCAGGAAGAGGGTGAAGTTTCGGCTGAAGAAACAGCTGGCTGTTTTGGAATCTTCGGTCGCAAGAAGAAGAATAAAAATTCAACTCGAAATGCTGCTGCCAAACCACTCAACTCACGGCCTGCCGTTAGTCAGTCGGATGGCCCTACAGGTATCAGACCAGGAGGTCGTGGCATAGTACCCATGACAGATGCACCCATATCAGCACTCAATGGCGCACAAGAAGGAAGCAGAGTGAGCAATATCAGGCTGGTGTGTCGACGACCGACTAACGAATGTTTAGAATGTCCGTATCGAGTGTAACGGAAAGCCTTTCAATCTGCCTGTCGGACCTACAACTTCTGCTGCAGATCTGATAGCATCAGCCGCTAATTGTTTGTCTGAACCAATTGATCTCAAGACAGACGTCCTTCTCGAGAAATTTACGTCAAAAGTGGACGTGACACGACCACTCAGACGCTACGAATATGTGTTCGACGTCATGAACTCCTGGGACGAAGATCGCTCCAACACGTTGCAGATTGTCCCTGGTCGCGTCTTGACAAGCAATCCAAGCAACCTGAGTCTGGCCAACGTCCCTCGAGAGAAACCAAGAGATTGCTCATTCCTGATGCAACATTCCCATAAGCCGGGCACGTGGAACAAGCGTCTGATCACCATTCGTCAAGATGGTCAACTCGTCGCGGCAAAGCCTGACAAAGAGGCCGAGACCACCAACATTGGTCATCTCACCGACTTTGATATCTACAACCCCACAGCTAGATTCACGGCCAAGATGTTGAAACCTCCTAAGAAGATCTGCTACGCCGTAAAGAGCCAACAAAAGTCTAACATATTCCAACAAGACTCCAAGTCAGTCTATGTCCATTTCTTCTGTACGTCAGACGAGACTCTTGCCACTAGCTTCTATGATGCCGTGCAGGGCTGGCGCAGTTGGTATCTGCACCATGCCAAGGATGAGGGCAAGAAGAAGGCGGCTTCTGGACTGGGTCGATCATCTAGCAAAGCGACAAAACAGTCCTCTCACGCCCACCAACCTTCGACTGGATCGATGGATGCTCACTACCAATTAGGCAGCTACAAGCCACTTATGGATCTTGACAAGTTTGAGAGACCCTCTTCATCAAGGGGTCAAGACACTGCTTCCGGTGCTCCTGCGCGAAAGCCTTCAGTGCGAGAGCGATCAAGTCATCCCTCCGTTCTATCCCAACAGGAGAAACTGGCGGATGATGAACCTCTTGGCAGATTGGCAGGAAACAGAAGAGCTTCTGTCGATCAAGATTCTGCAGAAAGAGAAGCATTCTCAGGAGATGGATTGCTCGGCAGAAGCTACTCTACTCGCCAGAAGGCTGCCGCAGAACGAGAAGCCGCAGCAAAAAATCCATGGGTTACAGGTCCATCTCTACTAAGCGGTAATCAAGCAGAAACGTTGACCCGTCAGGGCTCTGTCAAGCGAACGGGCTCTACAAGGCGTACCGAAGGTCATGGCACTGACCTCAGGCATCGTCCATCTACTCGTGAGCGTCTCATGGCAGCTGATGACGGGTTAAAGCGATCTGGATCGACTCGCGCAAGGGATCCGCCGAAGCCACTGCTTGATCTGACTCCTACCTACCAGCCACCACCTCAGCATGCAAGAAAGGGCAGAGGTGTCCATCCCGACCAAGTTGGACCTGGAGGGTTAATTGACAATGCAACGAGCCCTGATCAGCCATATCAAATACCATCTTCTCAAGATTGGCGTGGTAACCGAGGCAGTGGCCCTATAGCAGCTAGTGCAGGAGTCAGTCGCCAAAGGTCATTGGCCCATAGACCCGGGCATGATTCGACAGACGATGCTTTCACGGGTCGTGGTCTTCTGAACAATTCTCGCAGTGGCTACGATGGTAAACCTTCTGTTGGTAGAGGTGTGGCGAGCGGCAACAGAAACGCACGAGAGCCCTTGGTGGATGTCTCTGAAGAGGGTAAGTACATCTCCGGCAGTCTCCTTAATCAGGTCGCCAGGAAGGAAAGAGAAGAAGGCAGAGGTGGACCCATCATTGACCGCAGCAAATAAGGCTGTGTATTGTCTGCCCTCAATTTCCTTTGTCATGTTCCAAAGCCAGCGTTCCACCATTCCCTTGTTCACAGTTCACAAAAGTTGGGAAAAAGTCCTATCTGTACCAGCAGTCTCGTTTGTGGTCTTCTTATCGCTCTACAAAGATATCCCATACTTCTTAATGCAATCGTTTGCTTCGGGCAATGACCATCTCTACCTCTTTGCGGAAAGAAGTCGATGATATGTGAGCGTTCACGAATTATAGTGTAGGTGACGATGTGGCTGGAAGATGGAGTAGACTGAAATCGATTGGCATAGATAATGTTGCTTTTGTGGTCGCAGAACTGATAATCCAAGTCTCCATAATCCGGATGCTTGATGACATACATGAAGGAAATGCAGCAAAAGTACCTTGCATGGATCCGAGTCAGGTCCTGAGGAGGTCACATCTCGGATGCTCGTTGCCCAGGAAATGTCGATTTTCCGTACAACTCATGTTTGGGTGCAGTGGACGACATTATTAGCTTAGTTCTATGTTGTGCATACAGTTCTCTCTACCTCAAGCATCTGTATCAAGACCTGTATCAGCACTTGAATCAACTATGGGACGCCACCACTTTGTACATTATAGAGGCGCATCGCCTACGCCCTACTCGGTGTTAGAGCCAAAGTCGGACTTCCCACAAATCCTTGTCAAACGGACCGTGACCAAAGAGAAAACCAGCAACTGGATCTGGGGCCGAGCGAGCCAGGCAAGCAGTGTGAGCTCGGTGACCGAGCCAGCGCGTTCTGCTTCGCCTGCAAGGGTTACACGTTATCGCTCGAGCTCTCACCACCGTCACCATAACTCTCGGCACCATTCGCATCACCATCCTCATCCCAAGGCTCTTGACCATCACGACGAGCACAGACGTCACCGACGCCATCACCGGCGTTATAGCGAAGACGCGCCGCGTATCGAGGATAAGAGAGCCGTTCACAAAAGCTGCCACTGTCAGCACAAACACTCACTTCCCGCTGACCCTCACCGTACTTGCCCGCCTCCAATTCTTCTTGCTGTTCCCATCAAACCTTCTCGCAAGATGGAGGAAGTCGGTGGGTTCAGCTATGAGGAGTGGTGCAAGAGGCGTGAATGTGTCCCAGTTCCTACTGAGACCATTGCTCCCAAGTCGTCCATCTCTAATCGTTCGACTACTCACAGTCAGAGCGCCGTGTCTGACCAAGACAATGCTTACCGTTACGTTGCTATGAGAGAGCCTGGCCCTCAAGACGCTGTTGTGAGTTGACCCACTAGAGATCTTTTGCTCAATTTGACCTTTGATCATCGCAGCCTGTTGCATACGCACTTTACCCTCAGCCTGGCTACACTTACATGTATCCACCTCAGACATTCGCAGCCATGGCCGCACCTCCAGCTCCCGCGCCTGCTCCACCCACAGCTGTTGCTTCGGTACACTCCAAGCAGGAAGCATCTCACTATCGTCACTACGTTCGTGAGCGCGTGCACGAGAAGTCTGTCCGCCCTGCCTCCGAGCCTCCTACCATCGAGGAAGCCGCACCTACCCAGTCTGCGCCTAAACCCAACATGCCCGCCATGGCTTACGGCGCATTTACCTATGGCATGCCCGCCACCGCCATCCCAGTCGCCTACGCCATGCCAAACTACCCAGTCCCCGTCCATACCGAAACCGCCAGCACATCCTCTCCCAAGCCCAAGACCGATCGCATCTGGGTTGGCCGCACCAAGAAGCAAGTCGACGAAGACAATGCCAAGATTGCACATAAGGAAGGTGTCTACAAGCCCAACGAAATGGTTCCCAAGGCAGCTTCTCCCGACCAGCTGTTCTGGGTCATTGAGCCTGATGACTCCAACACTTTGCGCACTTTCCGCACTATTGAGGAGGATCTGCAGCCTGGCAAGTGGAAGGTCGATCCTAGATATGGCAATGCGTACTTTGTGCGTGAGAAGGAGAAGGCTAAGAAGTGATGGTACAGCCATCGCTCTTGAATCCGCGCTTAAGCAGTCTTCACGGCGGTATGGTTCTTTCTTTCGTGAATTGTGGATGATGAGGATGGACAATGAAGAGAGACAAAACATACCACTACTCGACCAGTGGGGTTCGCTAGACGGAGGAGGCGAGATTTCCAAGACCTTTCTGCTTTTCTGTTGCTGCTTTTCGCTTACTGGCTGCCCTTTCCCTTCTGCTTAGAACCACTCACAGGGCAGCTGCATTTTCATCTGTAACAATACAGTCTAAGTTGGACGCACACAGCACCTTCATTGCTGCTTTGCTAATAGAGAAATTGAGTTCTATCGTGTTTTTCCAATATCCAATTTCAGCATAGTGATTTTGTGGTATGATGAAGCAAGTGTGAGGAGCAGCCAGCAACCGACGTCCTGAGCTTCAGCTCCAAAAAAGAGACCCTCAAGATGACGTCGGTGCTCGACCCGCAATCTTTCAACTCTCTTTCTCAAATGCCAAACACCAACACCACACACGCGACAAACGCATACCACCTACCTTTGATCCTTGGAATCTTCATCCTCGCCTTTTTTCCTGCTCTCATCGGACCTATCCTCTACTCACCTCTGACTCTGCTATCCTACTCTTGCAGCTTACTGCCTTGGTCAAGCACCACCACCACCCCACCTTCGCCATCTTCAATCACACAGCAAGCAACCATGTCCTGGACGCAAAAACAGTTTACCCTGCCCGCAAAGAGCAGAGGCAGTTACCTCATCACCGACACCGTGTACGAAAAAGTGCCAGAGATCAAAGACTACAAAGTCGGTATCCTACAGCTGTTTGTGCAGCACACCAGTTGCGCATTGAGTTTGAACGAGAACTGGGATGAGGATGTTCGGTATGCTTTTCCTTTGCCTTCCCTTCCCTCTCCTCCTACTTGCCTTCCCTCACTAACGCCCCAACCCAGCGACGACATGTCCGACGCCCTCGACCGCATCGCCCCAGAAGACCGCAAAGGAAACCTCTACCGCCACTCTGCAGAAGGACTCGATGATATGCCTGCACACATCAAGTCTGCATTAATCGGTGCTTCGGTCTCTATCCCCATCACAAACGGCAAATTGAACACGGGAACTTGGCAGGGAGTGTGGTTTTTGGAGTTTAGGGCTAGTAAGCATCAGAGGAAGGTTGTTGCTACTATTCAGGGCGAGAAGGCTTGACTTGTGGAAGAAAGAGAGAGATTGTAAGGCGCGTCCTTGAATAGAGGTTTCTGATTCTTGAAGTTGGGATGTTGGATGGAAATGAACATGCCCTGATGATACGCGCTGCTTCACCAAGAAGATAAACTGCCCACTTTCAATCCTTCTTTCTTAGTCTTTGATTGCCAATCGTTGCACATTCTCTGTCCTTTGAGTTTTTGGTGTAATGATGTAGATTTCATGGTTGAGGTTTTATATACACTTCAACAGACGGGAAGAAAAAGGCTAAAAGAGAACAATTTATGGAAAAGCACCCAAAGAAGGGGCACATTTATCGCTGTTCCAAAGGCTTTCCAGTGTTGCTCTGGTATCCCTTGGGGACCTCTGCCTCATGACCGGTAGGCTCAAGAGGGTACGAAGTCGAAGGAAGAGACTCGAGCATCTTGCGGTTGGACTCCTTGGCCTGTTTGCACACACATGTTAGAATGATTTACAGTTTTGAGGGAGAGAGCTGATGTGGGACGTACGTAAGGAAGACCGCAGTAGGTGCACCAGCATATTTGGGGTCTGTCGACGTTGATGAAGATGCGAGGGTGGCCGAGGGGACCGCCGCCGCCGTCGCACTTGACGGTGCGTTCCTTGACCCAGTTGACGGGTTGCTTGTGGATGAGCTCGATGGCTGCCATAGGGCGAGGCTGTGTTTGTGTATCCATATCAGCACATTTCCTTCTTCTCTTCTTTGCATCATCCTCCAACACTGCCTCATGATCTCGTGTATCTTCTCACCCAATCCAATCATCCCAATTCCCCTCCTTTTGTCTTGGCTACAACTTACCTGATCGTACATGATCATCTGCTCGAATCTCGGTCCAACCATAGCTTTCTCTCTGGGCTGCTGGCTACGGCTCCAAACACCTTCTCTGTTGGGCGCTTGCATGACTCTGCGCTCCTCTCCCTCGGCAACAGACTCTTGCAATGGCTTGTCCATGTTGCCTTCGCTGCTCAAGGGCATGGCATTGGTGCTGCTGACGGGCGAGGGTGTAGAACGGTTCTTGGGGTCGTTGGCTGGGACGGGGTTGTCGGCGCTGCGGACGAAAGAGGTGCTGGTGAAGGTGCGGGCGACGGCGGTGTGGGTGCCGCAGCAGCTGCGTAGGCAGTTGCGGGCAAGGCGTGCTGGCAGCATTGTGACGAGGTGTGTGGTGTGTGTAATTGGCCTGAGGTTCCGATTGCGCGCGCGGCTTTGGCGGTGATATGCGAGAGAGGTCGCTGTTGCTAGTGCCAAGAGTTGGTGTGCCCCGTGCGTTTGGACTCCCGCTCTCCGGCTGTCTTTGAAGCTTTTGGTCAGCAATTCTTCACACAACATGATGACATCTTAACGGTAATGAAATACAGTAATGACTGTCTTGAAGAATTGCTTGCGCAACTTAGAATATCTAATCTGAAAAGCCTTATCGTAACGTTTGAAAACAAAAGAAACACACTATGTTATGTCTGTCTAAGATCAATCATGGAGCAGATCTTATATCCACCCGCACATCTCTCGTCTTGAATATCTTCGACTTGCTCTGCCGATGCGCACTGTTAGACCTACTCTCTCGGTGCTCATACGGTGGTCTAGATGTCCTCACCAGCGACCTTCTGTCATTCTCGTCATCCTCCAGGAACTCAGCCTGGGCTTCCAACCTGCCAAGATCTTGTAATTCGTGTTCTGACTCGTCCCCAACTGCCACACTAGCCATCGAGACACCATACTCATCATCGTTGAACTTTTTGAATCCTTTGTTGGCTTCGGCTCGCTCGACAAAGCCAAGTCCGTTGGTGCGTCCGTTGGCTCGTCCGATTGTGATGGGCTTCTCGATGGATCGTCCACTGCTTGATGAGACACCACTCTTTTTCGATCCCGTCCATTTGAACATGAAGGTGTGCTTGATGAAAGATCCTGTGCTCGTATCTTCGAACACTTTTCTCCAGAGTGGTCTGCATGCTGCTAGTGATGTGGCTACGATCGCGAGACCCGGCTCGATGATGCTCCAGAGACCAGTCTGTACTGCTTGCTTGAAGAAGGCCATGTCGAACTTCAGGTTCGACAGTGTGGCGACGCGAATCAAGGCGCAGATGGAGCTGACGGAGCCCATGCAGAGTAGAAATCCTGCAGTAAGTTTCATCCCCAACGGCATGTTTGAGTTCCACAAGATGTATATCGGAAGGAAGGCGTAAATGAAGTCTGTCAATGTATCCAGGCTTCCAAAGACATATGTCATGACCAGCAACGTGTGGTCTGGTATGCATTTGCCTTCTGCCCAGTAAACGAGCTGCCGGGTGACATTTGGACCACAACGGAACAAATAAAGGAATGCGTATGCAAGGCCATAAAGAGTCATGGTTGTAGCAGCAATGCAGATGACAATCTTTTGCCATCGTTGAACGATGATTCGGAGGTAGAAGAACGCGAGCGAGATTTTGAGGAAAATGACACTCAAGACATAGAAAAGAGTGAAGAAGACAGAATCCTGTGAGCGTGTTAGCAATCGTCAAAGGCTGCTGAGTCTCAGGCTACCTTACTGTATAAAGCTTCCCAATGGCTACCATCGCAGTTTTTACGCTCTCTTCTATGGCTGCCTTCAAATTCGGATCATGTTCATAATTGATCAACTTGATCGCATATCCACAGAATACTAAGAACCAGATCTAGATTATCAAGTCAGCACAGGCCCAGACTGAGATGTTCATGAGACCGACCTGTGCACCTATCAAGAACAGATCATCAAGTCCGAACCCCTTAACGATGGATATCCTCACATACAAGCGCAACGACAGCGCTACAGATGTGATGGGTATGAAAGCCAACGCTGCATTCTTGAGAACCAGCGATGACTTTCCAATTGCTGCTACCGCATTGGGATCCATGAAAAAAAGAAGTGACATCCAGAATGGGGTTCCTCCAAGGCCTGGAGGGCTGGCTTTATGGTGAAATGTTTTAGGTCGGGATCTTTTCCCTACGATGTACGACGTGGCTTGCCGCGGATGGTGGCCGGCAATCGAGTAACGTCAAGTTATCAATGGTGATTTGCCCTGCACTAATATCGTGTCCGAGATTGTAGACAGAAAAGGCGGCTTGTAGCGAAGTTGTAGTCGATACAAGAGCGGATCGTAGCACACAAGTAGTGACCATTCGTTCTTCAACAAGAACATACCCGCTCTCGACCGAGATTCATGGTGCCATCAAGAAACGAAGAAGTCCATCTGCGAAAGTCAAATACAATGGATATGGTGCAAGTGAAGGGGCTAGCCAACGATCGTGCGGGCGATGAATCCTGATTGGCCAATGAGTGCAGCGTACTTCATATAGCAGAGACCGTTCCTGGCATCGAGCACATGGTAAGGACCACTTGGGGGCCTGACTCAGTTGAGTATGCGTACTCCATGCACGTTGCTGTTGCATCAAGAAATAGTCTCATGACTAAAGGTGTGTGGGGATCTAGGGGACCACGAAAGTAAAGATGTGGCAGGTCATGCGAGTGATGACAAAAATGGACATCAGAAACGGCGATGGCAGTGGCAATGCGGAAAAGACAAGGCCCGTTGTCATTCAATCGGTCCTTGTTGTAGATTGAGATCTCGTGGTCCGAAAAGCTTGCAATACTTCAGTGGTGTTTTAGGATGGACGTGCATGTCAAGACGAGGTCTCTGCTTATGGCCGGTAATATGACGCCTTGCTCTGCTCAGATCGGCATTGCGCAAGAGGTCAAGGGGAAGCCATCCGATCCGTCCCATCATTGTGGATTTTGACAGCTGTGTGGCTGTAACTGTAACCTTAGCTATAGCTGCATGAGACTGCAGTGGTGATGGATCTTGCTGGCCATGAGGCATGTAGACACGAGACTGATGGTTGGTCCAAGCACATCTCATTGTCAAGCCCTACATGGTACGCGCTTCAAGTGGAGAGTAGGGCATAAGACCAGCAGTATAAGTGCGTTGTAGTGTCCTCGTCCATTCAACCAAAGTCTCCGCTCTCCCCTCTTTGAGACTATGGGCGGGATGAGATCGTGCGCCAGCTTCTCTCTCGCTCTCCTCTGGTCTGACACGATGGCGCCGATTCGGCTGGCGTCTCATGCAAGATTGAGGTCCCAGCCACATCAAGCGACAAAACGTGGTTGTCCAATATCCTCGTGGCCGTTTGAAGAGCTTGGGATTGTCAAGTTGCTAAATTCGTGATCACTTTATTCATCTGGGTTCTGGGTGCCCGACGGCCATGTCATCGCAATATCAGAGACGGCGATCAATCGGACAGGTGGCGATCACCGCAGGTATGTCCTGGTTGAATGCAGGCTCGATCAAGCGAGGACGAGCTGTTTGCTCTTTCCTTCCGAGATCAAGCATGAGGAAGAGGCTCAAAGCCACCAGACAACGCTTACAGGGAAGTCTCGTTCTCCTTGCGATTTGCCGGTCTCATGTTTCGAAATCCAGGCGAATCATGAGAGCAGGACCGTCGGGCAAGCCATGCTTGTGGCATGTCGTCGCTCATGCAAAATGCACGTAAGGGAAACGTTTAATATGCATGAAATGTCTTCGAGGGCCCGACAGATGCAGTCGCCGATGAAGCCGGCAGCTCCCCCGACGCCGTCGACACCGCCGCTGTGGGTCACGGTCCGCGTCCAACATCACACGCAGGAGTAGTGCAGGAAGAAACTCCACATGGCTCTGGCCAAACACATCGTTGAAAGCCTATCAAAGTGGAAGTGTTTGCGACAGAGGTCATGCTTGCATATCGATTAAGCGAAGTTTCAAGATCTAAAACTGTGGCCAGGGTGTGCCTGCTAACTTCATTTTTCAGAATATCTGCCCATCCATGTAGCAACCTCTCATGATCTATCACGCTGATAGTGGTCAATTTGAGGCGTTGTATGAACTGCACAATCTGTATGAAGCAATGACGGATCTCTCCTAGCCATTTTCTGAGAGAACCATGGCCACGCATGCGGCGAGGTCTTGCGACGACCAATCCAACCTCACCTCACACTTTCACTTGACACCAAAGATGTTTCTTTAGCGTCTCGAAAAATCCCAACACACTACATCAAGATTTGTCTCACTCTCCGCTTGTCAAAGACCATCAAATCGTGGTTGTGAGAATGCACAATATACTTCGAACAGGGGTAAGCTTCGCAGAGAGACACCCATCCCCGAGCATCTATGATTCATCTATCTTGCAATCGCTTCTGATAGCTACTCGTAAGAGAAGATTTGAAGTCAATAGTATGTCTGCGTGCTGGTATCTGACGGCAAATTCTCGACAAAAGAATTTGCTCCATCCAAGTAAGCCTCGCTCATCTGTAGAAATCGACAAGGTAACATAACAATCTAGTCAGCAAACCTAACGAAGGCTTAATCGAGCCGGGCTTCTGCATCCCCCTGAATAAATTGCTCAGCATCACATCTCTCACAAAGTCTCTGGACACCTTATATAAAGTCATGGCAGTCATCGTACTCCTCCAGCATACTCCCTACAATCTCCGCGAAAGCTTCTTCATGGAAGCGTACACATGAGAACTTAAGATCGCGAATGGAGGACCGAAGTCAGAATTCTAACAGATTTGGACAAAAGTTTTCAGGCTGTATGGCATGTATGGCATGTAGAGGAGCAGAATCTTGGCTGGTAAAGGTCTGCGTGCCAGTACTGCAAGGCCAGTTTTAGATCATGAGACTTGCTTGATCTGAATGAGGTTCGCTCGTTTGTAGATACGAAGAAGATTATGTCGTGAGACGACTCTGCAACCTCGACGAATGCTTGATCGAGCAAGGTCTCCACGTTGTTGTGAGAAGAGACTGCTCAACATCGCATCACTTCGAGAATCTCTGAACGCTGTGCACAAAATCGTGTCAATTTTCGTAATCCTCTAGTATGTTCTCTACAACTTTTGCGAATGTGGCTTTGCGGAATCGAGCACATGAGGACTGCACTTCGTAGACGGAGGGACCAAAGATGGGGCGCTGACAGATCTCGATAACAGTCTTCAGGCTGTAGCGTATATAGAGGAGAATGTTCCTCGTCTTCATGCTCGTGGCAGGAGCTTACGAGCTCCCTGCATGCTCGACCGAGCAGAGTCAACATAAGCTCATTGTTCGGCAATGAATCTTCCAGGCAGATGCGGTATACAATACGCAAGTCGTCGTTCTTTTCGAGAGCTAAGCTAGTAGCTGATGTGTCAAGTCATCGTCTTGCTCTTCCGTACTCACGTCGCTTGCCGTCACTCTGCTTCTCTCGTCTCAAACCACCCTTCGACAAGCCTGTATGCTCCCTCGTTGTAATGAAGCGTTCAGTCATCATCGTTCTCATCGTCAGAACCCATCTCAGCTGCCGGTGCGTCTTGCTCTACTTGCAGCATCTTCTCCAGGCCCGACTGGACAGCCGCGGTACCTTCGTACCTCTCCCCTTTTCTCAACCAAGGTATTCTACCGTCATAGATTTGGAGGTAGTCAAGAGAAGAGGAGTTTTGCTGAATTGAGACCAAGACCTCTCTCCAAGATCCAATCACGTCACAGCAGCCAATGGTTAGACGACGTAATGATGATCCCAAACTCTCCACGAGACCAGTCATGGCCTTTTGGCTCATGTACAAGTCTTGCAGGCGAAGCACTTCAAGAGGTTAGCGCGAGATGATCTGAATGAAAGGTTCGAACTTTCTCTCATCGTTATCCTCGAAGATCATCAAAGAGAGATCCAGACTTTTGATGTCGGTGCCGTATGATAGCAAGTCTCCCATCCACAGTGTAAAGTCCCGAGGCTCGTCATCTTCGTAGTCGTTGACAAAACACAGCTCGAGCGAAAGGTTCGAAATTGAGTCCATAAGATCCGATACGTGATAAGAGCTGTCATTGTGGCTATTGTGGAAAAATCGGCGTGCAGCGACTGCGATGTCGAGTTCGGATACCTTGCAGCCACTTTGCCTTGCTGACCCCAGGAGAAGGTCTAGGGAGAAAGGTACGTCTGCATAGAAGTGTTCACTGTCTAGATCTGGCGCGAAGATCCGACTACGACCAATTGATGTGTACTCGCCTGTCGAGAGGGCAATTGTCAAGCTGTGGTCCGACTTTTTGAGGTGCGTGAATGCCTTCTCTAGCAGGGCTCTTGCATCAGAGACTTTGAAAGATTTCTCAGCATCACATCTCGCGTCAAGAAGGTGTATTTGATGATAGATTTCTTTTCGCGTATAGTCGCAGTCTACCAAGTCCTTTAAGTATAAATTGAAGGCATCCACGTCAAAATGAGTGCACGAGAGCTCGACTCTGCGGATACCAGGCCCGAAGATAGGATGACCACAGACTTTGACAAAAGTCTCCAGGCTGTACTCGGTGTAGAGGAGTGAGACCCCAGTAAAGTAGCGTTTGCCGAAAGTCTGTGTAGCCGATGCGTGAATGCCTTGAGCTTTGCTGGTGAGACGCAAAGCGACGAGATCTTTCTTCATGAGATCGGGATCGCTGCAGATCTTAGAGATCAGCTCTGGAGGTAGTGAAGAGAACGAAGCTGGCGCCATGATCGTTGTGTCTGGAAGGATGTCAGTGCTTGGCCAGAGAGAGCGTGAAAATGAGTTAATGCGAACCTCGTTGTTGATTGTGATGAGTTGTCATCAAGGTTCGTAGGGGTAAAGTTGTTGTGCGATGATGGTTGTTGAGAAAGAAGAGGCGTTGCACTTGTCTTTCGAGTGAGGGCGGAATGGATTGTTTTGAGACAATGAAAGCGGAAGTTGTGAAGTGCAGTTCAATGAAAATGACTGAAGAGCTTTTCGACGGGGTTTGATTGTTGTGCCTGCGATGATGTTAGTCTAAAGCCAGAAATGAGTCGTCGTGAAGCGCGTGCCTTGAGCGATGACTATGATGAACTGATGTCAAGGTTTGAAGAGAGCCAAGGAGCTTTTGCATTGTGTTGAAAGCTTGAACAAGGAGTGCGATCAAGTCGCGTGTGAAATGAGTCGTGGTGCGACTGTTGAAGTGCGAAATGAGCGCGGTCAACCAAAGGTGAGCGTGCGTGTCTTATTTCACAGAGCGTTTAGATGGTTCACAGTGAGTAGAAGTAGTGAGAAGTAATGCTACACGCAGTCAATGCGAAGTCTTTCACCGGCAGAAAGATAGTCGGACTCGGCTGTTAACATACTCAAACGACAGAAACAACAACCGAATATTGAAACAACAACCGAATATTGAGTTGGATTGAACAAAGCGTGATGTCTTCAGAGCTACCATGCTCTATGCACATATCCACGAAGACTTAAAAGACTTGTCTAAGTAAGAATTCAGTAGACACAGTATTGCATTTTTCTTTTGAAACCTCATAACCAGCAAATCTGGGTTCTGGCCATTTGTCATACCATCTGCCTGCGTCTGCCTTCCCATTCTCCATCTTTGATCGCACTAGGACGATGGCGTGGTGACCGGACGACTTTTGTAGCCCAAGAGTACCCCGGCCAAGCTTGATTGTATGTTTCGCTGACCATACGCATTGATACACGCAAGGAGCTCGCTCTCGTATTTATCCTTTGGCCCCCAATGATCGTCGTCATATAAGGCGAAAATATCCTCAAGTTTAGACATTACCGATATATCCGTAATGTGCAACTCATCAAGCTCTCCAAGATGGTCCTTGATGAAGACAATGACAGGCAGCAATGTGTCATTTCTTGTCAGGCACTTGTCGATATTCAAGTAGCGAAGTGTCTGTTGCACTCTAACCAGGAGTGATCGAAGCACCGACGCTGTAATCTCAATCCTGGTGAGAGAGAGACTTTCGAGGAACAGCGAAGAGACGGAAGAAATGCATCGCAGACTACTCGGATTGTGAGTCGACCACTTCCAGTCTGAAGTATCAGCGCCTAACACGCGAAGCACCTTGATTTGCGTGGGTTTGGAAAAGACTTCCGCCACAAGGCTGGCAAGATTGTGGTCCGAGTTCCACTGACAGAAACAAAAGGCTTGAAGGTCCAATGCCTTGACGTGCGTAAACATCTTAAGTGCGGCTGGCTCAACGGTTCTTCGACGAGGCAACGAGAAGTCAAAAATGTCCATGGCTCTGGCGTCAATGATGAGCTTGCCAAACGGGTAGCTGCTATCGGAAATCGCGGTAGCGAGGATCTCGAGTGTACTGTAGATTGCATTGTACCACAGACTGCTGAAAATGTTTTTCGCGCGTAGGACTCTTCCACATCCCAGACCGTTGGTCTCGTCGACAGCGATGCCGAGAGCAATGCGATTGCCCGACTGGGACAAGCACTTCAGAGCTATGGTCAGAAGCTCAACGGGCTTGCTGCTGCGAAAACGATCACTCTCGCACCGGTTGCGTACAGAGTAGGAATGAATGCGAGCCGAAATGTTGTCCAAAGCTTGCAGTCGGGAGTCAACTCCTACCGGCTGATCGCTACGTGAGGCTTCCATTTGGAGTAAATTTGTGGTCGTCTGAAGTCTTTCATCATTGTTGCAGCGGATTGAAGACAGCTTGACGCTTTTGATACAGCGACTGAAGACTGGATGTTTGCAGATCTTGACAAGCGTCTCGAAGCTGTGCTTGGTAAATAGGACTTTGGTATCCTCGAAGTATTTGCCAATTGATACAGTCGCTGCGTCGTGAATTCCAAAGGACTTGCAAGTGAGGCGGAGAGCGGCCCGATCATCCTTATCCAGATGAGGGTGCTGACAGATTTGAGAGACAATCTCGTAAGGTAGTGAGGAGAAAGGATGTGAGTGCGCCATGGCGGAGTTCTGTACCGCAATGTTCTGGAGAAAGGTTGATGTGGGCGAGGAAGATGAAGCACGACAGCTGGCGAATGCGGCGTTTGTAAAGCCAAGCACAAACCTTGGTGCGTTCTGAACAGAGCTAGAGGGTTGGTGGAGAGAGGGCGATGAGATAAGGGAGCGAGTGTGTAGACTAAGTGTCTTCGAACTCACTCAAGGTTGGAAAGAGCTGTTGAAAATTGGAAGGAAGGACAGTAAACAAAAGTCGGTGTTTGAGCGAGTGAGAAGAGCTTATCGAGTCGAAGTAGTGCACTTTCACTTAACCTATCTCATAACATCATATGTCTTCTTGATGTAATATACCTTCACCCAAAGTGCTTGTATTATGTGATTATTTTTAAGCACTTTTATGGCTACGAATGTGATGAATCTTTTGCACGCGCGGAAGACACAGCTTGCGAGTCGACATGCAAGCAGGTGCCAACCTACCTGTGGCGCTGGAGTTGATAGCGAATCATCATCAGAAGACAAGACATATACCAACTCGATGGCTGAACAAAGGAAGAAGTCGACGAGGTCGGAAGATGTGGTTCAGGGCGGGCGCCAAGACTGGTGGGGCCCCACGATGCCCCTCATTTCACCTTCCTCTTCCTGAACCTGTCACTTTTAGGCTAAAGTGCACTTTCCAACCAAGGCACATGGGCAGCTTCCAAGAGTTCGAGGGTCGTTTACGAAACACAGCCTGTACAGGCCAGAAAGGCAGGCTAAACACGACGGAGATTGCTCTTCATCCCTGCCACTTTATAAACACTGCTGCCGATCCTTAGGTAGGTCGCAAACCACTTCTATCCTGACTTCATTCTCTAGACCACCTTCACCATGTCGGACAAGAAGCCTCTCATCACTCACCTCTATACCGCCGACCCCTCGGCCCATGCCTTCAACGGCAAGATCTACATCTACCCATCACACGATCGCGAGACAGATATCGAGGACAACGACAATGGCGACCAGTACGACATGAATGACTACCACGTCTTCTCGCTAGACTCACTCGACGGCCCCGTCACAGACCACGGTGTGGTCCTCAAGCAAGAAGACGTACCATGGGTCTCGAAGCAGTTATGGGCTCCCGACGCCGCTACCAAGGACGGTAAATACTACCTCTACTTCCCTGCTCGCGACAAGGAGGGAATCTTCCGCTGCGGTGTCGCCGTCTCGGACAAGCCTGAGGGTCCTTTCGCTCCTCAACCAGACTATATCAAAGGCAGCTACAGTATCGACCCTGCTTGCTTCGTTGACACTGATGGCTCAGCCTACCTCTACTTCGGCGGTCTTTGGGGCGGTCAATTGCAGTGCTGGCAAAAGGAGGGACACTTTGATGCTGCCTGGAGCGGTCCACAGGAGTTGACTGGTGAGGGTGTTGCAGCACAAGGCCCTCGTGTCGCCAAGATGTCCAACGACATGCTCGAGTTTGCCGAGACTCCTCGCGAGGCTCTGATTGTTGACGAGTCTGGCAAGCCCATCCAAGCTGATGACCACAAGAGAAGATTCTTTGAGGCCGCGTGGATGCACAAGTACAACGGCAAGTACTACTTCTCCTACTCGACTGGTGATTCACATCTTCTGGCATATGCTGTTGGCGACAGCCCATACGGCCCCTTCACCCAGCGTGGCACCATCCTGGAGCCTGTAGTTGGCTGGACCACTCACCACTCCATTGTCGAGTTCAACGGAAAGTGGTATCTCTTCTACCACGACTCGTCATTGTCAGGAGGCAAGAACCATCTGCGTTGTGTCAAGGCAAGAGAGATCTTCTACGACGAGAAGGGTGACATTCACATTTAGACTTTCAGCATGTACTTTATGATACCACTATTTCGGCCAATCTACGCGTCTCACACATTCTCTTTTTCGCAGCAGATCAAGTTTCGCCTCCATACACTCCTCGCCCTTGGAATCCCTGACCAGAGCAAAAAGTCATTGATTAATACAATATGCGTTGTTGTACGGATTATGAGCTTGGTGGTGGATAGATGGCTTTGATTGTTTCAATGGACATCCCCTCAGACTCTCTTCATACTCTGCATCTCTACAGTAAGAAGAGTCTCATCAATCAACCCTGAGAGCACCACACATCTCACTACATACTCCACACATATCTTAGTCTATCGTATAAAACGCAATGTTCAGTTGCAAAAAGCTTCTTCTCCTCATCCAACCCAACTCTTCCCCATCGCATCCGCCTGCGAGTTCTCCTTCACCTCATGTGTGTGTTGCCTCTTCATTCCCACCGCAGTCAGTGTCGCCTGCCCACAGTATCTTGGCGAGGCGGGTCGATGACGAAAGTCTTCTTCCCCGAGTCTTCGTGAGGTCGTGACCAGGAGAAATGTCTTCCACGGAAGTTTGTCAGAAACGACGGCGATTGGAGAGAGTTGATGAAGCGGTCACTGAAGATCCTTTGTGTCGTAGTGTACCCGGTCCGCGTGTGTGAGTGGTGACTGGCTGTTTTCCTGACCTTGTTTTCGTGATAACCAAGTTGCCTTATTGATACGGAGTACTTGCATGAATAGATCTTCATTGGTATCGTCTATGATGCAGAGTGACCGCTTGTTCGGCCTATCATTGTACCCGGGTGTCGACGATCCAGCTTATGCAGACATGATGTGTTTCAGCGGATTCCATCCAGTCTCATGAAATTATCGTGCATTTTTACAGCTACCTCAACATCAGTGAGGAACCCGGAGACATCATCTTTATCTCGAATCAGTCATAATACTCCTCGTCCTTGCCCTCTCACTAGCATCCAGATGCCACTCCAGTCCAGCCTCCCTCTGCTGCTCTACACTCTGCGCCCTAACCTCCTCCCACTCATCCTCCTCCATATTCAAAATCAACGTCATCTCCGTACACCTCTGGAAAGCATCTCTAAGCGAATACTTTCCTCCCTTAACAGCAGCATTCACGATGCCAGAAATATCGCGTTCGAGTTTTGCAGCACCGCGTTCATTGACTCGGCCGTAGTAACTCCAGATGCGCTTTTCGAGTGCGCGAGCGAGGTACGAGATTGTGGAGGTAATGAGGGCGTCGTAGGTGCGATCGGTGAGGATGCGTTTTATGGGGCGGGTGAATTGCATCCAGCCTCTTTCGAAGCGTTGGGCAACTGCAGTGTCCGATTCTGTGGTTTCGGAGGTGGCTTCATCGTCGAGAACGTATTCGACATCGCGGAAGGTTTCGACAAAGACGGGGCGTAGACGTGGTCGCATGACTTGTTTGAGGAGTACTTCGATGGCTTCGGAGATCAAATCGCTGGTCTTGGACTCGAAGGTGCTGAGAATATTGCTGAGTGCATTTTCGACAAAGACTGCGTCGTGGGCGAATGGGAAAAGGTCTGAAATGGCGGCGTGTTGATTTTGGGCTTGGGAATTAGGGTCTGCTTTGCCCAGATTGGTATTTACGATACGGCGGAGGTAATCAGTGGAGACGTCCAAGTTGTTGATCAGTACCAGGAAAGAGATGATAACACTTTCTGGCGGTAGCGCCCCTTGGATGGCAGCTTTGGGATAGCTCTCGTCGCGCATCTTGCGTTGGATCATGCCGAAGAAGTCGCCTGTCAGGACACGGCTAACCGAGGGCATGACACTAGCGACGACGGATCGTTGTGATGTGGCCAGAGTTCGTTGCAATACTTGGTTGACGATATACATAACATCGTCGACTGCAGAGGTAATGAAGGGCGGATTGGAGCCGAGAGGCTTGTTTGGGTTCAAGGTCAGCTCGAAAGGCGATTCGTCCATTTGGAAGGCCTTTTCGACGGAACGGCGGAAGAAGAAGGTGGACATGGTGTTGAAGGGATCGATCAACGCGTCTGCAATCTTCTTGTGCAGCCTGCTGTTGGCAAGAAGATCTGGCATGGCTATGTGTTCTTCGACTCCAGGCTACATGGAATCAGCGATGTATCATGCCAATTAATATGTCAAGACTTACGTGAATTTTTGTAGCGACAAACCGGGTATATAGAGCCCATCTGCTCAGCATCATGGCAGTCTCACTAAGAAGTGCATCAATCTCCTTCATATTGACACTTTCATCTTCACTAGCACGACTTGAGGCCGGAGACGATGACCTCGCAGCAGAAGACTTTTGACTTGGGAGGAAACTCTGGACAAGAAAGGAGAAAGCATATGATTTCACGTCCTTGATCTTTCTTGCAAGGCTACGCTCATCAGTCCAAGCGTCGAGTACGATGCCACCTTGGGTATCTGCTTCTGCTTGCAAGCGCTCAATAACCTTGGCCATGGAACCCTGACCATAGTGTCTCTCGACCAGAGGTTCATGACCATCGACGATCAAGGCGATCTGTTCAAACAGTTTTGTCAGGGCGCTCGCATAGAAGAGGCCATCAGAACGCTGATTTGTTGCACTCAAATTGTTCCTTGCTCTTTGAGCTACGCCAGTACAGACATAGCGACCGTATGCGTCCAAGCCCTGGTCTGATTTGCCAATCAAGGGGAACAACTTGAAAAAACGAGTGACCCTCTGCCCATCTCCTTCGCTCGCGGCCTTGTCGAACTCGCGCAAGAACAAGCCACACAGACTCTCCGAGGCTTCAGTAAGGGTAACTCGCGGCGCATCGGGGACTTCGGCAGTAGGAACGATTTCTTGGGCGAAAGCACCATCGATGACGTGGTCAGGGATCTGGGAAGCGCGGTGGAGATATGAAGCGGCGGTTTCCCAGTCTTGGGCAGCACCCATGGAGCCATTGACACCCAAGACACAGGCTTTGAGTTCGGCGACCTGGTCGACGACATTCAGAGTAGACTTTACGGCAGCTTGTTCGCGATCGAGCTGGTTGACGGCGCCAGAGATGCGGGCGGCGGTCGAGGCGGCCGAAGAGAGCATGCCATTGCTGATGGATCTTGTCTGGATGACCTGAGAGCCTAGATGAGCTCTTGCGAGGTCAAGCTTGGTTAATTGGCGTGAAAGATCGCGTTGCGATGCAAGCAGAGCATCTAGACGGGCAGTGACAGTAGCTTCCTGTTGACCCAGCTCGGCCAAGGTGGCTCGTATTTCGGCGACCGAAGAAGCCTTGTAGATATCTCCAGTGTCTGGCATACTTGTCGCTAACATCTTCTACTTCTTGTTCTGATCTCTTCAGGAAAGAACGGGAATACCAGAAGGTGCGCGTGTTTCAAAAGTTGACAAACCAGACAGCTTCTCCTTGATCTGCGGGTGCTGCATTCACCCAAACATCCGACATCCGACGCTCAAACTCCACACAGTTCGACCACTCTGACCCCATTCTCTTCTCGCATCACAACATCTTGCCATCCAGACTTTCATCTTTCAGCTCTGTGATGATTGTGCGAAAATAGCTGGAAATATTCATGACTCTCTGTCACGCCATGCATCTGCCAAGTGTTGTCCGAGACGAGCCGAGTCGGCAAGATTCGCATTCGAGATGGCGGCCAAAACAGCAGTCGCGTTTCACCATTCGGACTTTCTAAAAATGTCTTGAAGCACTCATCCTTCTTCGGAAACTCTGTCTATCGTCTTGAAGATCTATCTCGACTCCGATCGTGATCCAACATTCTGCAAAACTGGCTCGTCCTGGTCTACTCGCTATACCATTATGTGTGCGTGCACTAAAGAATCACGATGCTTGTCAAGCTCAACTCTTTCCCCTGCCGCGACAGTGAAAAGGTACCCAAAGCACCTCAAAAGTCACTGGTATTCCTTGCTCAGGACTTGTCAAAATTTTGTCCTGAAACCGTTCTATCCCGTGAACCATACGCAACGCCTATGCGCACGTCTTCTGCTCTCTGGTCCACACACTCCACAGTTTCGGGCGAGTAAGTTCTTCACTAACTGTCAGTCCTTCCAAATGAGCCGTTCACCAACCAGAGATGTTGCCGAGCCGTGCCATGTGCTGACCTTGAGAGATGAGCTCGGACGAAGTATCATGAGAGCTCCATACAATACTACCCCTGCTCGCATGCTGGGCGTGGGTCAATCGTGACAGACCTGTATCAGTTTCGTCTCCAGATCTATAATTGTAAGAGGCTCAAATATCTATCCCTTTACAAAACCATTTCCTCTTCGCTGCTTCCTGATTATCTCACGTCCACTTTTCTTTCTTACCTGTGGTCTGTGACTGCTTTGTTGTAATCTCAGTAATTCTTTTCTTGCAACATTCTTTGCCACGATGGTGTCCTGGGGCCGCCTGATTCTTCACGCCTTTTCCTTTTCTCCCTTATCTGATAATGGCCTCGCCGCGATCTACCAACCAGACAAGGCATCGTTTGCCATTCCTGCTCCTCAGCCACCAAAGAATGTCCTAGGAGGAATCAATGCTGGATCATTCCACGGTCCAGCCTTTGTCTCCAACGGAATGCAATCATTGCAGAACGCTCTAGGTGCGAATATGCAAGACGGCAACTCTTCTCTTGGAAGCTTCGATGCACCTACTCTGCCTCCCTTCCTTACTAATGGCGGCACGCCTCTTCCATTCGGGTTTCCCTGGGGACAATCAACCGCCAATAATACCAACTATTACAACACGACCCCCAACACTGGTGTCACTCGTTACTACGATTTCGAGATCTCCGCTGGACGGATTGCACCTGATGGTGTTTTCAAGGATGGTATTCTTATTAATGGCCAGTTCCCTGGTCCCACTATTGAAGCCAACTGGGTGAGTCGCTTCTGGGACGCCGTGTCGCGATCATATCTAACAAGTGCAGGGTGACATGATTTCGGTCACTGTCACGAATTCTCTGGACGAAGGAACTTCTTTGCACTGGCATGGTGAGAACGTACACGCACATCTGAGAGCTCATATACTAACATCTAGCAGGCTTGTTGCAAAAAGCCACTCCATGGTACGATGGTGTGCCTTCTATCATGCAATGTCCGATTGCTCCCGGCAAGTCGTTCACATACGTCTTCCAAGCTGATCTATACGGCACAAGCTGGTACCACAGCCACTTTAGTATGTTCAGTTGAGTAACTCTTCCCGGCTCCTGTAACTAACATGATATCAGGCGCACAGTATGCAGGCGGCGCAGCTGGTGCCATGGTCATCTATGGTCCTAAGAACGTCGACTACGACATCGACCTCGGACCTGTCATCTTAAGCGACTGGTACCACGAAGACTACTACACTCTCGTTGAACAAACCATGTCAAAAGCATCCGACAAGACTCCTCAACCCGCTTCCAACAACAACTTGATCAACGGCAAGATGAACTTCCCCTGCTATGAAGGCGTCAACTGCACCGCCAATGCTGGTGTCTCCAAGTTCCCTCTCACCTCTGGCAAGAAGCATAGATTGCGATTGATCAATATGAGCGCTGAAGCTATGCAAAAGTTTTCGATTGACGGACACAAGATGACCGTGATCGCAAATGACTTTGTTCCTGTTGAGCCTTATGAGGTCTCTGTGGTCACTCTTGGAGTTGGTAGGTTTAGTGTCTTCAGATATCTGTACTTGCAACACTAACAAGGTAACAGGTCAACGTACCGACATCATCGTCGAAGCTGACGGCGATCCAACGGACAGCGTCTGGATGCGCTCAAACATCAAATATTGTTCATTGACTGACGGCACTGTCGACGAAGCTGTTGCCGCTATTTACTACGAGCAGGCTGACAACACTACAATTCCCACGTCTAAATCCTCAGTCACTACTACCCAACTTTCCTACTGTAACAACGACGATCTCTCGGTCACCAAGCCTTTCTTCCCCATCACACCCGACCCCAACCCCTCCACCACCGAAGACTTGGTCATCGAGTACCGCACCAACGAGACCGACTTTAATCTCTGGTTCGTCAACAACGTCAGTTTCAGAGGTGACTACAACAACCCCATCCTCCTGGAAGCCAAACTAGGCAACCTCGACTTCCCCGAAGAAAACCATGTCATGAACTTTGGTTCCAACAAAACCGTTCGTCTCGTGGTGTACAATTACTTTTCATTCAGTGGCCATCCAATGCACATGCACGGGCACAATATGTAAGCTTCCTCTTTTCCCCTCTTGTCAACCTCCCTTGCTAACCCTACCTCCCAGCTACGTCCTAGCAGAAGGTTTTGGCGAATGGGACAACAAGGTTACAAATCCCTCCAACCCGCAACGCCGCGACACCGTCTGGGTACAAGCCGCAAAAGACAAAGACACACCGGCGTACGTTGTTCTGCAAATCGATCAAGACAACCCAGGTGTTTGGCCTTTCCATTGCCATATCGCTTGGCATGTGTCTGCAGGCTTGTATGTTAGTATTCTCGAGAGGCCTGACGATATTAAGAATATGAATGTCCCGGGAGTTATGGCGCAGAGTTGTAGGGATTGGAGTGTTTTTACTGGGCAGGCTATTGTGGATCAGATTGATTCGGGGTTGTAGTGGTGTAGTCTCTCTTATACTATGTTTAGTGCTCATAATTTACGTTTTTTCACTTGAATTTGTGTTGAGAGCCATGATCTCAGCTGAAAAGTGTGCAAAACCTAATACTATAAAAATGCACAACTTTTTCTGAACCAAAAATGTGTCCACGGAGAGCCCTCTTCACGGCCAGAATCATCATAATCTCAAGTAAACAACAAGCAATGTCTCTCGATGGTGCACATCATCAAAGTAACAAAAAGCAAGTTTTGATTGTAGTCGCTACTGATGCTCTCGTTGTACCCCTGAGCTATTCTCAGGTCCTTGACTGTTGACTTTGATCTCTTGTCTCCAAGCGGTAATGACTGTGGTGTAGTGATGCTCTGATAATCATGCTTTGGTGTTCATGCTCTGTGTAGAGGCAGAATGTTTTTGAAACTGGATGAGCTGTAATAGAGGTTAGTTTGACGTGGTGAGGCAAACAAACAAGGGGTAGGGACATACAAAGACCACGGGCTGATGACGGGTCGTTTGGAGCTCGGTGCTCCAACTCAGCGTGTGAGTATGAGAATTGTTTGTGCATAGAGAAGTGGATTTGGGAAAGAGCTGTGAGAACAAGTCGTCAATTACTGAGCAGATAAGGGGCAAAGGGGCAAGGGGCAAAGACATACAAAGACCACAGGCTCATGACGAGTCGTGTTGCATCAACCCTTCAACGGAAGACGCAAGTGCAGGGGATGTCGATGGTAGGGTTGGCCTGACGGTCTGCAAGAACTGCATCGTTGGCTTGCTGCTCGGTGAGGAAGGTGTAAGGAGAGACATGAAGTTGCTCGTCCTCGTTGTACTGCTTGAATTGGTCACCGAAGACAGCGTTGTAGAGGAGGGCATCCTTGTTGTTCTGCTTGATGTCTTCCCGGGCCTTCTCGTCGTTGGTAGCCTTGACTTCAGCGCGGACGCGGCGCTCTCTGGCGTCGTTGGCAGCCAGCATCTCAGGAATGTGATCACTGAAGTTGAGAGCGGAGCGGAAGTTGCCTCTGGGATGGCCGTAGAGCCACAAGACTGTCTTCTTGCCACCGTTGTCTTGGAGCCAGAGAGTGTAGCCTTGAGGAAGGTCTCCGGTGAGCTTGATGTGGCCTGTCATTATCCTGTCAGTTTTGTTCCTGAGCTGCGTCAAGCAGGGAGTATGTGCTCACCATATTGAGCAGCCATCTGGGCATTGCGGTTGCAACCTCTGGTCACATACTCAAGATACTCATTGTAGCGGTCAGTTCCTCTGAGGATCTGAGAGAATTCAGCTCCGTTGGGTGTCTGACCAGTACCGTCGCTCCAGAGACTGCTCAAGTCGATGTTTGTAGGGGCTGATTGAGCCATCTTGTCGTGCACTCGCGTATGAACCTGTGCGGATGGGATTTGGAAGGAGACGGATGTCGGAAGGGAAGTCGCTGAATTTGTATGCGCTGGATCCTTGTCGTCGCTCGAAAGGTTCGTGTCGGTTTCGTGCTCTGTTGTATCCGCGGCGACGAGGTCGACGATACAAGGCTCTCGAACGTAATCACAATAATGAACTGTCAGACTTGCAGGACTCGTTGGAAGGCCTTCTGTACCAGTTTAAGGTCTCTCATCAATGTCTCTAGCATCGCCTGAGTCTGCTTGACACCTGTTCCGCTCCTAGCTCTAGTCGATTTGTCCAGAGCTATACCTCAATGTCTGATATAGATGCATAGCTCTCCAGCTATGATACGCAAACTGGGAACAGGGTGCAAGATAATAGATCAAGCAAGACCACGTCATTCCCTCAGACGTATAGATGCTTCAATTCCAGAGCCATGTCATCTTCTAGTATTCTTGCAACCGTGACGAATGTAGATGCAAAAAAGTGAAGGACAAAGACATAGCAGAAGATGTTGTCTTTTGATTTGCTGGCCAGTCGCGAATCGGCTCTTCTGGGGACTGTAGATGCACAGTGTAGGGTTTCAACAAAATGCAAGAATGGAAGTGAGAACCCATATGTTTGACTTAGACCTACCTGGTGGGGCTGGCAAAGCCCTCTTTCTCAGGAGATCATACAACAGCACGCCTCTACATGACAGCACTCTGAGCTCATACCCTGTGATGAATCTAGTGATGAAATGGAGTTCTTGCTGAGAGGAAAGTTGATGGGTCATCTGGCTGAGGCCTCGTGTGCAACCGCCGCCCGGGCAATTGTCGGTCCGTGCACGTAACCCTTGGGCACCACCTCGTGCGTAGCTCCTTCTTTTCTCATAGCAGAAAACCTTTACCTATCAACTGTGACAACGCAAGAAGATGTTTCAGGAATCAGCAACGGTGAGCAACGGTGGGTGCTTTCTCCTGTTCTGGTTGAAGTGTGTTCGCCGCGCTCCTTGCTACGCATCCCAGAAAAGCGATACCGAACTCCAGAGCTCTGAATAACAGCAACAAACGCATGTAACTCTGAGACGCAAAGCTGCGAGCGTGTCTTACAACATAAACAAAGTCGGGTACAAGGACCGAAAAGCAAAGGGTCGACGAAGATGGCCTATAATAACAGATAAAGAACAGGGGCAGTAGGCACAAGAGTGGTTTGAACAAGGACAACGAGTGAGTTCATTTTCTTTGACTGTGAGTACGGGATAGCAATCTTCCATCCCTTTGGTCTCGCCTTTAATCTCTCTCGGGATGCATTCAAGCAAGGCAATGACATTTGAAAAGACGGAAAGAAGAGGTACAGGAGTGTTTGTGGCTCGGGCTTATCGAGAGTCAGCTCGTGCTTTCACCTGGTTATATCCAAGACTCACCTTAAGGGCAGTTGCAGACTACTGCTTTGTTGGTAGCGGCTGTGAGGCGAGCATTGTTGGTAGGGTTGGTTGGCTGATCGTGCGAGATCAAGTTGCGAATGGAGAGTTCATTGGCGTCCATAATCTCAAGAACATGTCTGAACAACTCTGGGCAAGAGCGCAGTCTGGCAATGCGAGGGTGACCGAATGTCTCCTTGATTGCCTTGGAAGCCCTAGGAGGGACCTTTGTGCTGGTTGTCATGTGCTTCCAGTAGCTGTATCCCTGAGGGAGACCACCGACGAACATGAGCTGGGTACCTGCAAGTCAAGTCAGTAAGTATCATGGTCGTCGTTGAACGGGTTTCCAATTACCCCACTTCTGCACCAAGGCATTGTCTTCGTTGAAAGCGTCTTCAAGGAGTTTCAGCATTTCTGCATCTTCAAGCTTGTCGTGGGTTGTGGGATCGGGCTCCTGGCTATTGCCGTCGCTGAATGGCAATTGGCGCAGGTCAATCATGACTGATGTTGGCTCCTGCCTGTCCATCTTGTTAGGGGTATTGGCTGTGAGCTTGGTGCTCGCGTCTGTAGTGGTCGCGTCTTGAGGAAGGAGAAGGGAAAGAGAAGACACGGCACACGGAGTCAATAAGAATGGCCGCTTCGGGTCTCTATCGTGTCTCGTCGTTGCCGCGGCGCTCAGCTCGATGACAGCAGCCTTGAACAACGACAGACAATAAAGACTCGGACCCGTGAGAGGCTCGGCATCATCGCAAAGCCTGAGGCTGCATCTGGTCTCAAACAGGGATGATTGCCTTCTCCTATGCAATTTCGTGGAATACTGTAGCTGTGTAGATGCACAGTTTGCTGATCATCAGAGCTACGTCCAAAGAGATCTCGAGAGATTATGACTTTCAGTGGACGCTGCTCTGGATCTGAAAAGCATTGTGCATCTCTAAAGCCTGTATACCGCTTGCTACGAGGAGAGAGATTCACACAGCCGTATCTGCAAAGACTGAAGACCGGGCTTCGATAAGCGCTTGAGGCATAGCAGAGTGTATATCGCCCATGAGGCTTCTTACTCGAACTCAAGGATTGCGTCCTCAGCACCGGAGGCCTGCTTACCTAGTCAGTGGTCGGTGTTGCAGGAAGGAAAGGGAGTCCGGTTCTTTTGCTTCACAGCAAGATAATATGACACCAGAACATACGCGGATGGATCTGTCCGCAACACAAAATCCAGGTTCAAGACAAACTAGAAAGCAGGGAACACGAAACTGGCACAACAAGTTCACATGGAGAAGGGAAAGATATTGGATCCAAGCGAGTGTGGTATTCATGCTAGCTATTGATGAGGGCCTTCTAGCGGGAAGCGCAGTGCATTGCGGCGAGTGATCAGGTCGTTTTTGTACATGGAGGTTGTCTAGTCGACATGCTGGAGGTAGGTCTTCTTGAGCAGACCGATGGGTCGGCTATCACAACCAGTCAAGCTCTCTTTTGAGTTGATGCAGTACTTACTTTCTCGATCGTCATGAACTGAGGTGTAGGTTTCGTCGCAGACCTTGCACTCGCAGATACCATACATACCACGAGCATCAATCTGGTACCAACCAAGAAGCCAATAGGCGTGCAGGACGAAGTTCGAGACGGAGTTGAAGGGTTCGGCCGCGTCAGGATGACCATAGATGTATTTGTCCGGAGTTGTCTTTCTGGCCTTGGGCTTCTCTCCACCATCATTCTCTCCGTCGTTCTCTCCGTCGTTCTTCTTTGGCTGGAAGGGTCTCTTGACAACACGCGGTTTGCTGACGTATTGATAGCCAGCAGGAAGTCCACCAACGAACCTGACTCTCTCGCAATCTGTTCCAAATGTTAGCATCCGGCGTGCGTGATCTTTCATGCCTGCGAGCAAACTTACTCATCTCATCCAGCACATCGCTGTATGCAAGGATTGACTCTCCATTCTTCTCCATCCTACGAGCCTCCTCCAGCCATTCGTTGAATCTTCTGGTGAGTAGCTTGAGCAAGACTTGGTCGTCAATCTTGGTGTGAATGTTCGGCTCAGGCTTCTTGCCGTCGCTGTAGGAGTCGCTGTTGTTGAGGGCACTCAGATCGATCTCACGCTCCTCGACGTAGTTGGAGAAAGGTCTGAACAGGAAGAGAGGTGCATGAGGTTTGCCGGGATGATTCATTTTGTATCTGATGAGCTGGAGATTCGCATCGTTGGACAAGGGGTTCAAGCCAAAGCTCCTGGCCAAGCTGATGTCTTTAGCAGACCAACCGATGTCTTCGGGCTTTTTGTCGTGACGAGAAGTTTACATGTTGACGATTGACGAGAGATTGATCCTTGGAAATCGGAGAGAAGCCTGGTTTAAGTACTCGCAGGCGGCGCCCACGGATCGTGGTAGAAGCTTCCGGGGACGACATCATAGCTTGAACATCGTGGATGCCTTACTCCTTAGTTCGATCTAACTCAGAGGATGTCTTGACCACTTCGTCAGCGATTGTTCCGTCACAAACGGTCTTGCCAAAGTGCAACCAATGCTTTACAAAGACAGTATCCAAGCAAAATCTGAAGGAGTATCATCCCGGTTGGGCCTAGCCTGACTAACATCTAAACCAATATCCCGAACAATGTTGGTATACAATCAATTCTGGCGGACTACAGCAGAAGCTTTCAAAGAAAATGTCATAGTAGCAAGTCAAGCAAGACTTCGCTGTTTGACTTAGCCTGATTTGACAAACAACTCGACGATTGTCTCAATAGAGCTGCATGGCAGAAGCAGACTCTTATCAAAGCACTGGAAAAGTTCGGGAGACAGCATCATATGCAGCTCTGAGCTCTTCAGATACAGGCCAATCTCTACTAAGAGACTGTGAAGAGAAACTTCTTTTCAATTGTGTAGACCACGGATTTGTGGAGAACGATCAATTGTGAAATAAAGGATTTGAGCAGGGGAATGAAATCAGACGTAAAATCAAACACCCACAAGTCTGCAGGAAAACATATTCTCCTCTACCGGAACGTGCATCACCTAGTGCATCGAAATGAAATCAAATTGCACTCTTTCATTAACATCACGCCAACATGACTTTTGGTTTGAGAACTTACATTCAACTTTTGTCACGTTGTCGTATCTTGCATATTGCATCATGGGCTGAGACAACCAGATTAGCAAAGCATCGGAGAAGATACATGGATACCAAACACCAGCCACCATATTTCGCGACGTTGGCAACCTTTTCCCTGGACATGCAGAAACCCGTCACTCTCATACCAGTGGGCTTTCAAGGATGCCCAGCAACCAGAAAAGTGTTTGGGAGGATTCGACGGTCCAATGACTCTGAGGCAAGCTTGCCTCTTCGGGACTTCATAGAAGAATGGAAGTCATGTCCGTCATTAAAGCTCAGACAGCACAAGTATACCGAGCGAGTTGTCGCAGGAACCGCCTCTCTCCCTGCCTCCCGTCAGAGCTGGGATAGCAATCCTTATCTGACACAAGCAAACATCGAGGTCTGTGTGTTTCATTTTCCAGAGAGGACGAAGCCTTGTAAGGTCGGATCAACACTAAAACCCAATCTCAAACGATAGCTGGTCCGTGGCGGGCAGGATCGAGTCACGAGAGCCGCATACCGTTGGTTTCAACGGACAACTTGCATCCATCAAAGTAGAGCAGTCGAAGGCATATAACAAGTGGCAGGAGAGGTATTCTTGAGCTGCAATAAAACAGAGCAATCACAACTTCTCCGGCATTACAGCATAACCCGATGTTCAATTCGGCATCATCGCGTCATCCATTCGTTGGATGGCCTTGCTTCAATCTCAAATTGCCAATCGGAGGTTGGAGTTGGTAGGACAAACGCTACTGCGGAAACGTTGGGTGGCACAGAGAAAGTCGCGTTATGCAGCAAGCTTACCGCAACTTATGCACGGAGCAGGCCGTGGCCAATCATTGCGGCTCACGGGCGTTCCTGCCAGTGCCGAAAGTGAGGGGCTTTCCAATTTCGGCAAGAGTAGTACTTGGAACTGGCGCTTCCACAGACACGAACACGGCGCGAGGGAGGAGCGAACGCGACCTGAGAGCGAGTACAGGACGTCCAAGTCCCCCTTGTCTACCGCTGACACGACTCTCTCCTCGCTCTCTTTACCCAAGGCGCTTACACTCTTTCAACGTGTCCGCAGACCAACTTCTCGTATCCAGCATTATTATCTTCGTTGTTGTGAAAGGCTTTGTGACGAACCAGTAAACAAATTGTAAACATCCAGCCTCGACTATCCGATCGGCGGTATACACGTCGCAAGCGATCATGGCAACTGTCTCGATGCCTAGACAGCCTTTTGGTGTGCTCGACAGTCCTCGTCTGGCTCATCTGTCTGGTATCAAGAACCGTCAGAATGGTATGTCGAAGGCTTCATCATGGCAGTGATAGTGTGTTTGATATATAGATGGCTGACATTAGCGTGGATGCAGGCATAGTCAAGACTCCTAGTCCATTGTCTGGCAAGGCAAAGATGGTTATTCCGACGTCCTCACCGAGTCTGAAGCCTTCTGCGAAGCGTCGCATCACTCCTTCCTTTGATCCTTTCGACGGACAAAACGACGACGCCGAAAATGTCAATCCCAACATGCTCCTGTCTCCAACGAAGCGCACCAAGATGGACACTCCCTCGACCACACTCAAGCCTAAAGGCCTAAGCACCTTGCCGTCCTCGTTCAACTTCACCTTCAACCCTACCAAAACGACACCTAAAACTTCCATGCCTCCTCCAGCCACCGTTCCTTCTCGTCTATCCACTCCTATGAAATACTCTGGTGTGACCAAGCCTTCCACAAGGACACCCCTCACTGCTCCTGCTGGAAGATCTCCCAAGTCAAAACGCGATCGTCGCAGACTCAGCGTCCACACTCCCGTCATCTCTCGTCCATCTGCTCGTACCGGACTGCCTTTCAGCATTGATGCTGCTCTCACTGCCTCGCTGAAGGCTCCTGCCCCTGCTGCTGCTTTGCCGAAGCCTGCCACCTCTCTTGAAGAATCAATGCCCAGCTCGTGGTTCTTTGCTATCCACGAGGACACTCCCGAGGAAGAAGCCGAGAATCTTATGGAGCACTCTACCCTGACCTTGGACATCTCTTCCGACGATGAGTCCGCGGCAAAGGCGAACGAGGATCGAGGCAAGGAGAATGTTGCTCCTGCTGACTACGATCCTGTCGCTTCTTCAGCTTCCTCTCCTCGTCCATCTCGTCGTTCACGGAAGTCACCCGCTGACATGGAGACCGACGAGGCTTCACGTGCACCTCTTGGCTCACTTGACACAGCCGAGTTCATTCCGGAAGGTTTGACAAAAGACTCTGTCGTCGTCATCAACGAACTTCCGGAGACGTGCACATTCGAAGCACCCGTCGAGAAGCAAGATCTCGAATGCACCCCACCAATCGTCATCTCTCCACCCAAGAAGTCATGCTTGTCAAACCTCAAGGATGAAATTTTCATCTTCGAAGACGAATCTGCTAGTCCTGCCCCCTCTACGGGCGGAAAACGTAAGAGAAGCGCCGAAGATGATGACGACGAGTGATAATCATCGTCGCTCCAAGTAGTGGACAATCAAGCATACAGATGTGGGATCAAGCGACATAGCGTTCTTTTCGAGTTTTGGAATTTGAAGCATCTTTACGAAAGCGGGTATGATTACGACGGCATTTTGCGGCGCTCTTCCTTTCCGGGTTTGTAACATGGCAGGGAAGAGGTGGAATTTGTTTGGGCGCAATTCTTCATGTTTGGGACTTTCGGATCCTGTTTTTTTGCTTTGGCTCTTTTCTTGCTGGACACAATCGGTATTCTTATTGGCGTTGTCTGGTGACACACTCGTTTCTTTAGATAAGTAGCTATAGCTTCTCAATCACACAACAGCCCAATTCTTATGCAATATTAGATTTCTCCCACGTAACTAAGTGGTATGATAACTGCACACGCGACTCCCTTGACTTTGCCTTGGGTGTGACAATGGCTTGGTGAGAGGTGGCACGACGTATCCGCGCAACGCTCTGTATCGCAATTCGTATAGTAGCTGCTTGCTAGGAAAAGGTAGAGTATGTGCTCGTTAATGGGTTGCACAAAAGTGGTGGTCTATACCATTTCGGCGCTACCCCGCTCGTGCCAAACTCAAAAACTTGAAGCAGGCAGGTGCTGCTCGTGCTTCTTTCTCTTTCCACTCTCGAAACATCATCATTTTGAGCTGGTCTTATCGCCACTCCCCTGTGATATGTGACCTATAACTCTACAGAACAAACGATTTCTCTAGCCAACTTCTTACACGACTCACCGAAATAAATCATCATTACTATCTCAAGCCATGGCTCCTTGGTGGCCGTCTTCGTCCGGAGCAGATAAACCTGAACGTGACGATGACCCTTTCGCCGCCTTTCGTCGCTTCGCAGATGAACAGATCAATGCCCTGGTCCAAGGTATCAACTCCCTTCCAGGCTTCAGCTCTGCTTCTCTCGCCACTGAAGAACAGCGATTGTCTGATGAGATGAGGGAAATGCGTAGACGTCTGGAACAAGATTTTCCTCCACTCTTCACTTCCCTCCTAGGCGCTCCGGAAAGACGATCATACCTCGGAGGCCCTATCAGTGAAGAAGCTCGTCAAGCGGCACGTGTTCTGCTTCTCCAAGCACGCAATGCTAGCGTTGGTGTTGATCCCAGAAAGATACTTAGTCTCTACCAGGATCATGGTCAAGGTATGATGCCTGTCCATAGCAAGTTCCCTGTCCGTACTACGACCAGCAACACGACTTGGCTTGGTATCGATTGGTTCAGACACAGCCCATATTCGCCTATTCAACTTGAACAACACTCTACCGCTCATCAACATGGAGGCAAATGGCGCGCTGCCTTCGAAGATCTACTCTGTGCCCATCTTGAAAAGCCACAAGTCGCTCACGAGGCTTGGAAAGCTGAAGATACGATTGCCGCATCTGATCCTGACAACCAGACCTTGTACAATCACTGGGCTCAGCCTGGTATCGACTGGATGCTTGGCCTACAATGTAGAGGCATCTTGCCACCTCAGCTGCCCAGTCTGTATAACATCACTCCTCTTGAGACCAAGAAACTCGATCGCGTCTTCGGCAAGATCGTGTCCGGTATTAGTAATTTCTGGACTCCATATGGCCGAGCCGTCTACGAAGACTTTACGCAGCTAGCAAGGATAGTGGCTTCTCCTGATGCGGAAGATTTAGTTGTTAGAAGCAAAGTGCAGCCTGACACAGAGTTGGACATGTACGAGAGATTGTGGGGACCCGAGGAGGGGAATGACAAGGAAGAGACAGAAGGTACCAAGTCATTGATGACATCCGACAACGACCTCTTAGCCCCTTCTCCAAAGAAGGACGAAGCAGATAAGCCAAGCGTCATTGCAGTCATGACCACCACAGAAATGCGCACCATGCCTGACGGCACAGTCTACACGAAACGTGTTCTGAAGAAACGCTTCTCCGACGGCACCGAGGAGAACAGAGAAGAAGAATCGACTGGACTACCTGACGGTGATGACAAGTCTGCAAGTGGAGATGCGGGACATGAATTGCAGAATAAGAAGGGCGGCTGGTTTTGGCATTAACATCACGGCAGGGTCTACTCACTGCTGATGTACTAACGAATACCATGATCATCAACAACTTGAACATTTTCATACTCGTTTCGCGATTGCCTGCCACAGTTTTCGAGTTCTGCAATCGTTTTTGTATTCGTTGATGTCATAAAAGGATATCTTCGCAACGAAAAGCAGAATTGTCGAAGCGTAACTTCTCGCTGGGCACATCGTCCTCATAGGCCCAGAATCTCGAGACCCCTTGCAATAATTTCGTTCTCGGCTTTGTCTTTCTCAGTTTCTTCGTTGACATATCCACCTTCGTCAACATCTTCGTCTTCCCACACACCTTTCTCGTCTTCTTCCCAAACGATTTCTTGTTTCTCCGGTGGACTGGCATCGCAGTCTCTGCACTTGAGTGTCCACTGTCTGACTGTATACCACACCAACTCCTCAAGCTTCATCTCATTCCTCAGAATCTTTCCAGCAGGGTTTTTGGGAATAGATTCCTTGAAGCGGAAGTTCAAAGCTGCAGTCTTGTAACTTGCCAATTTGTCCTTGCAATACTCTGTCAATTCCCTCATGATGGTGAACTGCTCATGATAAAGCGGCACACCAGCCTTGAGCACGACATGTGCAATGGGCATCTCTTGGTCGACATCAGAAGCGTAGAAACCAAAGACACCAACATCAGCCACCAGCTCGTGAGACAACAAACAAGCTTCAATTTCTGTGGGAGAGATTTGCCAGCCGCGGTATTTGATGATGTCTTTTTCGCGATTGGTGATGTAGAGTTTGTGATCTTGAGAGAAGTAGGCTACATCGCCTGTGCGTAACCAGCCGTTGCGAAGCGTGTTGAAGGTTTCGAGGGTGTTGTTATGGTAGTGCAGCATGTTGATGGGGCCTCTGACGAAGAGCATGCCTGGTTCTTGGGTTGCTGTGATGTCTTTACCATCGGCGTCGGTGATCCTGATATGATCATCAGCAAGGAGAATGTCAAAGGTGCTATGTAAAACTTACATTGCTTCATAGGAAGGAAGAAGGCGGCCTACTGAACCCGTCTCGTCCATCTCAGGGAACCGGAATGTCGTGATCCAACCAGCCTCAGTCATGCCGTAGACCTGAACGATGCGCGCATATCGGTAGAACATCCTCACAGCTTCATTCTGCATTTTAGCCGCCATGGGAGCACCACCACTCCAGATGAGACGAATCGAGCGAAGGGCAGTGCGTTCGGCCTCGGGTACCTGTCGGAAAGCCAGAAGAACGGGAGGAGGCGCAGCAATCTCTGTAATGTTGTAGCGCTCGACGTACTCAAGACAACTCTTGACATTGGAACGAGGCATGACATAGGTCGTTCTGCCATGAACGAGAGCATCGACCAACGCGAGAGGGGCGGTAAAGCCGTGAAAGAACGGGGTAAACAGCAAACGGGCAACCTCGTAGTTCTTCGTCACACCGTCTTGCAAGGCCAGGTTCTCGGTGACCAGACTCAGATGTGATCTGGCAGCCATCTTTGGCAAACCGGTGGTGCCGCTTGTCGACATGAGCACAGCGACCGTGTCTCTAGCTCGGGTCTCATCGTCGAAAGAGACCGGGTCGATGACCGGTGCACCAGCAACTCCTGCTATGAGATCGGCGAGCGAGTACCGGGCACCGACCGACGAATCGGCCTCTTCATCACCCCAAACGATGATGTTTCCACCATCGAAAAGACCTTCAGAGGCCTCGGAGACCGCAGCGAAGCAGGCGGGAGTGGAAAAGACAAACTTAGTCTCCGAGACCTCGAAGTGGTGCCGGAGCTCACCTGCCTTGTACGAGGGATTGGCCCCCGAGAACACACCTCCTGCCATGATTATGGCCAGAAAAACCACCGGGTACATGATCTAACGTATATCTCTTAGCAACCTCATCAACAAAAATGTTTCATGCTGACTTACATCGTTTAGATGAACGACACAGACCGTGTCTCCGTGCTTGAGGCCCAATGCTTGCAGACCTCGCGCCGTCTGTTCCACCATCACCTTGGCCTGTGCCTTGGTGATGGCCCTCTCAGGGGCGGCGGCATCGATAAGAACGGGTTTGTTCTCATCATATGTCCCGTGGTTCAGGACGAAGCGAGGCAGGTCCATGTAACAGGGACGAAGAGCTTGCGAGCCTGATGCCATCTTTCTCACTAGCAAGGCTTGGGTTAGTCAATTTCGTGCAATTGCACAGTGTACTTGAGCGTTGGGAGGTAGCATAAAACAAGTGTAAAGGGGTGAATGAGACAGGCGTGTGAGAATGAATAGCTCGAGTGTATGAAATGAAAGCAGGAGGTGAAAGCATTGAGGTATGAAAGTCTGGTAGAGAATAGAGGAACAGATATGAGAAACAGCTTGTCAGGTGTGAGAGCGAGACGTCAGGGAGTTAACTACTGCGCTAAACAATACGCAGTATGGTATGCGCAGATCAAGGCGCAGTATGTTTAATACACCGACAGCCAGCGGGGAAATCGAGACCCAGATAGCCAGTGTAGTTGACCTGATCGACGAGGTGTGGGAGGGTGAGATTGAGACAGAGAAAAATACTTACACAATCGACACTCGATAGAGATGTTCTTTTGTAAAGAAGCAAACAGGCAGAGTTGATTTTGAACTGCGTAAATGCATGCCGAGACATGCTACGGGAATGCAAACGACTCAAACGGGACCACCGAAATTGTCACTTTGAGTCTCTCCCGATGGCCATTTGACCTTCAAGATGCCATCAAAAGGCGAGATGCAATATCACCTCGTGACCATGTCCAATGAGATAGTTAGATTGTTGACAAGTCATCGGGCCTTCAATGGAGGTGCATAATCTCAAGTAAAATTTGTGCATTTTGATAGGCGCCTGAAAGAAAGACGAGCGTCGAGGGAGGCAGTATACAGATACTTATGAGCTTAGGTCAGAGTTCAAGGTAGTGATATTTCATGTTATGAGATAGGTGCAACATGACAGAAGCACAAACGCGAATGATATCGCTGATCTCTATACCGAAGCTTACCCCCCGTCACACGTGTGGATCTACCAATCAGCGTCGTCGAATGAACCGATATTTAGCCTTAAGTAAACGCCTCAATACAGTGAAGCTTATTGATGACGACCTTCTCACCCTCAATGTTTGCAATGCATCGACGACAGACTCAAGAATCTAGGATCATAAATCATCTGCTTGGCCATCTGGACCTGGTATATAAGAATGGATAGATCACATCCCGAGGACCTGCTTCTCGAATACGGTGAAAAAGCCGTGTCAGTGAGGAAGTGTGATTGCTATATACACCAAGGTCAACGATTCTGGAAAGTCCAACAAAGAGGTTGAGATCCAAAACCGATCTCAAGAAAGACCAGTCTTAATGTCTGTTCTGAAAGCAAGGCGGAGACAAACCAACCAGCCATGCATGCAAGCTGCTTCAGCGTTTGTTGCAGATGAGTGCAGTCGAATGCAGTACCAAACGACAAAGTATATACTCGGACAAGCATGTTGAAGCTGGCGATCAGAAGTCGTCTCTGAAGAATTAAGGTAAGGAAGGCATTTGCCTCTGTGTCGAAGATGAAGAACGAACAAATCTCGGAGTTTTCATGTCGGCAGCTGCACACAGCAAAGTGGTCCAGGTGAAGTCCTGCCTTCCCTCAGAAAATCTCATCGGAGCGCGATGCTTCAACAGCCCGACGCTGTCATACGCGCGATTATCAATGGCGCGTTTGGATGGTGGTGGTCAAAGCGGACGAACTCGGATTATTCACACCACTGAGCAATATCTTCAGACCTACGGATTCACACCCTATGAGAACCTGAGCTACTTTCATTAATCGGTCTTTCATCTCTTGCTCTGTCGTTTCTTGTCCGTTGCGCCGTCGTTTTCATTGCGCCGCATCATCTTTCAACCTACTCGCATACACCCATAGAAAGATAGACTGTCTGAAAGCACCTGTAGAGTTTCGCTTTACCTTAATACCGCTAGGAATAGTAAGTCAATGGCTCTATTAAGGATACGCTCGCCAACGTTCGCCTAACGATAACACTCTAAGATGTCTGCACGCCGCTTCTCTGGACCTCCGGCCGTCACTGTGGCCATCAAGCTGGACGTCATTCGTCCTCGCGCCAACTCCGAGCCTGGAGCTAACTATGGCTCCATTGGCTCTTCTCCTGAAAAGAAACGCGTTCCTCGTGCCCTTCGCCTCCAGACCACCGCATTCTCCAACCGTGGTCTGGCCGAAAAGTCGTGGTTGCTTCCTCTCTTGGAGTCTCCGCCTATTCCTTCTCCCATCCTTGAAGAGCAGGAGCGAGTCTGCGAGAACGTCAAAGACCCTATTGTCACCGACAAGGGCGTATTGGAGTGGCTTGCTTGCGCCCAGGAACTCCCTCCTCAGCTGGACACCGAGACCACCAGACGTTTCTGGGGCTTCTTCTCTCTATACAGGCTCATTTTCGCTTTCGCCCTTCTTGCCAACCTCGCTGCGACCATTTTGGCTACCCCTTTCGGCAGCATCACCAGCTCGGATGCCGCCACGGGCGCTGCAGTTAATCTTTGTGTCTCCATTCTCGTGCGCAATGAGCACGTCGTCAATGCAATGTTCCGCTCCGTATGCACCCTGAACCCCTCGACACCCCTTTCTGTCCGCAGGGTCGGAGCAAAAGTCTACTCCTATGGTGGCTTTCACTCTGGTTGTGCCACTGCTGGAATGCTCTGGTACCTGGTTTTTACTGTTCTCCTGGGCGCCGAGCTCAGTGACCCAGGCAAAAGATTCGCGTTCGCCTTCGCTTTGTTCATCAGCATACTTCTCCTGGGCATCAGCTGGTCTGCATTCCCTGCGTTCCGTGTCGCCCACCACAACGCTTTTGAGGCCATTCATCGTTATGCTGGCTGGTTCTCCGTTGGCCTCCTTTGGGCACAGCTTGGGACCTCTGTCGCCTTTTCAGGAGGCAAGTCTCTCGGTCTTCTCCTGACCCAAAGCCCCCTTTTTTGGTATGTATAACAGTCGCACCATCTCCCAGGTTGGAAGCCTCAATCATCTACATCCATCGCAATGCAAGATTCTATCCGTCCAATTGCATGTGTCCACTGAGAGTCTGCTCTGAGACAGGTCTCAGTGGACATGTAACCAGATTCGAATAATATTCTGCATTGCGATGGATGTGAGTTTTGGCAGCAGCCTCGGGGAGAGATCGCTATTTGGAGCTCTGCCAATTGATTTGCTCATAAGGTGCTTGATAATTATTACTTCGGCCATCGTTTATCCATGGAGTCGCCTCAGAGAACGCAATGTCCACGTCCAAGTCCTCTCACCTCGAGCTGCGCTTCTATACTTCGACTACAAGCGCATGGACATTTGCCAAGGCATCCGTATCACCGACCATCCTCTCAAGGAGACTCATTCTTTCGCCACTATATCAAGAGTCGGTGACGAGCAAGGTTTTCGAGTACTTATGTCAAGAGCTGGAGACTGGACATCTAACTTCATCGACAACCCTCCCACTCGCATCTGGGTGAAAGGCGCACCTGTCTTTGGAGTCATGCGCGTCGCCCTCATTTTCAAGAAGGTCCTTGTCGTTGCGACAGGCACTGGCATTGGCCCATGCCTCTCACTCTTGGAAAGTTGCCCTGAGCACCCCATGCATGTACTCTGGATGGGTTCAAACCCTAGACAATCCTACGGCGACGCTATCATCAATTCAGTCTTGACAGCAGACTCCGGCGCATGCATCGTCGATACCTCCAAGGCAGGCAGGGGTGACATTCTCAGATTGGTCTACGCCAGATATGTTGAGTCACAATCGGAAGCGATCATCATCATCTCCAACGCTGTTGTCACCAGACAGGTTGTTGGTGGTCTTGAGTGCCGTGGAGTTCCGGTGTTTGGCGCCATCTTCGACTCCTGAAGGAAAGTGGATACAGCGCTGACCATGACTACTGTTGGGCTGCAGTATGCATGAAGTCTTGGGTGGAAGGAGCGACTGTCATCCTCACCGTTGTGCTTTGACCGCAAGGATCGAAGGGATTCTCACATTAATTGTCATCACCAGTATGCTTTCGATGACTTGCTCCTTTGCTTGTTTATTTTCTCGTTTTGTTTCTTGGTATTGGGTCGTTACCCATGGCTCTGGGAATTAGATGCGTAGCACTCTGGATACTTTTTTGCTTGCAGCCCGTAGCTTACTTACCCTACTTGACGAAAATAACATGCTCGTTCGCTTTTTGAGCCCCCACGTACTTGTTCTATTGCCAATTAAGGCGTCTGCTCTCAGGTGGAACGCCTTGTTAGGGTAGCATTCCGCGACACTCCACCGACTTTATCCCATGGAGCTTTTGCAGATCCCGTGAGTACCCGCTTGACGTGCATACCAAGGTTACTCCTCTGAGCCAGCTTCCTCAATGCTGACCGACTACCAAGGCAGTGGAGTCATCATCTTACAGGCCCGTGTTCAGGTGGATTCAAGAGAAAGGATCGATGGTGGCTTGATGAGTATCCACCTTGGCGGTGAGCCCGACGAACAACCATTTGTGCCTTTTTGATGTATGGTGGCTACACGAAGCCGGGCCTTGTTTACGATGTACGACATACGTAGAGGGTTACCTGCCGTTGTTCGGCTTTGAACCGAAGCTCTAGAAGGGCACTTGGGCTCTGGTCGTCTTGCGGCAAGACTACGCGCAGACGAATAAGAAAGGTATGCAGCGGGATGGCGACTTGAATCATCATCACATGCAGAGCAATCTATTCCACATGTCGTTGACACCTTGGTGATGCGTCTCAACCCCTGCGAGGATGTGTCGGTGATTGATGGTCGCAACGGCTTCATATTGATGTCGTATTCGAGCGTGCTGACCTGCAGCCCTATAAGAAAAGTATTTGGAAATGCTTTGAATGAAGCTCGCTGATTGGCTGTTTCTTTTACAGAGCGTCGGCAAACGCAGCAAAGCTTCTTTCAACTTTCAACAGCGATGGGAATTTGCACAACTACTCTTTGACAAAGACACGACATTTGTGTTATATTCGGAGAGTTGTATTCCGTCGGACCACACTGTTTAAGCATAACCTCGTGGAATCTAGGCTCATCGCAAAGAAGAACGTGCGCCATAACACAGAAGCCAAAGAATACCTGGAAGGCTTGGTCACCAGGATGGGCAAGTTTAGACTTGGACTGCCAAGATGCCATGTTTGGGGATTTGGAATCTACGACTCCAGTCATCAAGTTCGTCGACGAAGGCGGCCCACTCCCGACACCATGTGCAAACGATTGGGATTTCCTTCTTCGCGCCTTCGACACCGCCATGAACAGCCTCTGTCGCTATCACTTACCTTAGAAGAAAGAGTTGAGAGTCAGGGTAATGGCGGATGAACTGTTGACGGTGAGGGATCTGCACGATTGATCCTTCTACAAGAAATATGTCGTGTTTTGAAGCAGGGTATTTGTCAGGCTGATCGTGTGTTGCAGGCTCGCAGCTAGCCACCAAACAAGATGGATTGGTAGGATTGCAGTTTGTTGCGCAACAATTCATCTGCCTGCTACACGCAAGTGCTTCCATCATCGCGTGGGGTTTGAGACCCTGATCTCGTGTGCTTCGACTTCTAGTCGAGATCGTGCTCAAGTCTGAAACCAGCTAGATTACTTTAATGCTCCAGGACGCTATTTCACCTCGCTTGTAGCAAGACCAGCTCGGTTGCAGCGCTCTTGTGAAGTCGCATGCTAGAGATAACGCGACACTTACATTTCGATTTGCTTGTTCATGCAAAGCATTTGTCAGATGGGTCTTTCCTGGTCTGATCAGGCGTTGCCGAACGGCGGAACCAAGAAGCTTACCCTCGAAACACACGGGCATAACGGCCTACTTGTCTTCCTTCGCTCGACTATCGCGGCCTAACCAATCAATCGGGCTCTGCTCATGGATCAATGGTCGCATGAACCATATATTTGCAATCAGACCACGGCTCTTCTTGCTGCACGCGGTGTCATGGCAGGTTTAGGCAATCCCTTCGGAAAGTGCGTGCCATATCAAGTTCGTCCGACAATCAGACCGTTGGCTGCCGAAACCTACATCAGTCAAGACTTCGGGGCATACACAAATACATGAGCTTGCCCCGGCTCTTACGGCGTGCTGATATCAAGAAGCTTGCTATCCTTTCATCATCTTGAATTGTCAGAAGTTTGTTCTATTAATTCCATTCTCGATTTACCCGGTGGTTCAAACGTGTATAATATATACCCAGTCCCTCCCATCATTGCAATATTCCTCTGCTGCTTGTCGCTTTCTTGAGCTTGCCGCTTTCTCGATATTGTCGATATGTCGTCAGTCACCAAATCATCAAACAGCCTTTCTCGACAGAACTTGAGCTCTTCTCCCCCAACCGCCAATGCCATGCCAGCTTACCCCAAAGGCGGATACAATCCGTCTGCCATTGAAGCCTGGACACAATCAATCCCAACTCGTACTGTTAGCTCTGGCAGATCGAGGGATACCAACGATGCTGCTGTTCAAGCATACCTCCAAGCAAAGATGGCACTCTTTTCTCGCAACTGATTGATTGGTTTGCGTATGCTTTGAAGCAATTCGAATGCCAGAACATCCCGTCAGCAATCAATGGTCACGACATTCCACAAGCACAAAGCAAAATCCCGAGACCATCTACAAGATTCACATGGCAAACATCAAACGCCAAGTGTGCTGTCCTTTTGGTCTTCGCACGCCAAACTCGACATCAGCGCCTGTCGACTGCCGATCGCGTATCGTGCCGCATTCCTAGGGCAAGAATCCCTGTTGTTACATGACAACAACATACTCCCTCATGCATGCCGAGGAAGATGTATCATCCATCCCTGAGCTTGGCTATGGTCATATACCTCCTGCTACTGTATGCACGCCAGTCCACGGGCACGAGGGTATCACACATACGAAAGCTCTATGTGGCCATCACCTCAGAATGCAGGCTCCATTCTAGTCGTTGGCGCAGCTATCAAGGTCTTCTCGTCCTTCAGATGACCGAGAGTAGTGGACATCGTCCTCGCCGAATCTCAACTCATGTCCTTCCCCACCTTCGACACAGTCTAAAGCTTGTACCCCAGGTGTCTACAGTCAAAGTTCGTGTCATCGAGCTTGATTCGTTGTCCAAGATTTGACTTTGGACGATGGTAGATTTGACTCGACTTGTTAGCGACAGAGTCACATGGCATGGTGGACCACATGCTCAGTTGAGGAGGGGTACACAAAGGTCACACAGCAAACAGCAAGACATCGCCAAAGAGGGAAAAAGGTTGAACTGTTGTTGGAAGAATGTCGGTGTTTGTGCGATTCTGATAGTGGCTGAATTTGGAAAGAGCTCTTGCGTGGCTCCTTCTATACAATATAATCCTAAGACTTTTCTTCTTATCACAACATCACCTATCCATTCTTTGTCACTCTTCGTCTCCTAATTGACTCTCCCGACTACGCTGATGTTTTCTTATCAATACTTGACTTGACATGACGACGAATATGGCGGCGACAGAGCCATTGCACCACAAGCCGAACCTACGTTGGGATGCTCTCACACCTACCATTATCACAACCACACTGGCAACGGCCGTAGTGATTCTGAGACTCGTCGTACGATGCAAATTTGTCAAGGCTGTAGGCTTTGATGATTTTGTCATCATGGTGTCGCTTGTGAGTATCCTTGTTTCTTGCCGTGGAAGGTGTGAGCTGTGCATGCACTTGCCTCAACTCATCTTTTCCAACCCATCTTTCGTCGACCAGGCTTCATTTCCTCATCGAACCACATCTCATCCACCATCGTTCACCCCTTCTTCGCTCATGACAGAACTGGGCTTACAAATGTACAGTTCCTTTCCTGGGTCGTCCTTGGTCTTACCGTGGCCATGGTCGTATCAGGATTCGGCAGCTACGTCTGGTCCAACCCTCTCGATCTGCATTCAACGACAGCCAAACTCTACCTCAGCTGGAACGTCCTCTATGTCGTCCTTATTCACGTCACAAAATCTTCGATTCTGACTCAATACTTGCGCATCTTTCCAACTCGTACAATGCGACGGCTCACATGGCTCCTCTTTGCCGCTCTCGTACCTTCTGTGCTATGGGGAGTCTTTGCTTCCATCTTCATCTGTGATCCAGTCAAAAAGGTGTGGCGACCAATGACACCTGGCAAGTGTCTGAGCACGAGGACGTATTGGGTGAGTGTCACGGCTGTGAATATTGTGCTTGATTTTGCAGTGCTGGCGTTACCAATGCCAGTCATTTCACGCTTGAAATTGCCTAAGAAGCAAAAGATTGGATTGGTAGGCGTTTTTCTGCTGGGCTTCTTGTAAGAGCTTCACTCTCTCCTCATGGCCAAATACTTGATGAGCTGACATGAAGCACAGTACGTGTGCAGTATCGGTGGTCAGACTTGTTCTGGTGCACAATGCATACGTTCGACACGATTTTACAGCATCGTCTGCAGAAGCAGTGACTTGGTCAATGGTCGAAGCCAACGTTGGCATAATATGCGCCTCATTACTTGCCCTGAAGCCGCTCATGGCCTACCTCTTCCCTCAAAGGACCAAAGAACGTCAGCCACCTCGGTGGAGCTTAACACTGAACACGGTACACACGGCTGAAACCACCGAACCCGATCCAGAGAAAGGAAGAGTCGAAGAGGAAGAGCTAGTTGTACCGAGAACCATGTCGAGTACAGACAGGCTGGAAAAGATACAGGAAGAGCTTGAAGACTCTGACGAGCTGACACTTGTTGATACACGGCAGAGCTACGTGAACTCGGATATGAAGAGGGAGAGGACTAGGAGCTGGAGCGAACAGACTATACTTGACATGGAAGGGATTATAGCAAGACCAGTGCCAGCAGTCACGAGTTCATTGACGGCACACATGGCGGAGCAGGCAGTGGATGGACGGAGTGCGGCGTTGGATCAGAGGCGAGAGTCAGATGCAAATTGGGGCACTGAAAGATAGACAACATACCTAGTCGCATGAAATCAGAATCGAGCTCTTTGTGTCACTCACAGGAATGAAATAGAGACAGCTTTGTTTGAACGAGAAGAGTAGCGCGAGTGCTGATTTCGTTGCCAACATCGTGCCAAACATTCCATGAATTGCGGAGGCGGCAGAAAGTCGAGAAGTTGAAGGGCCGCAGGAGCAGCAGTCGACAGCAAAGCAGCGCAACCACACACATCGCTCGACCATGTTGCTCCCAAGGATACGGGCACTGCCCACAGGCTCATCGCCAGCCATTTCTACCCTCGAAACTGCTCTGTCCGCTTTGCGCCTGTCGTCATCAGCAACCACCAGCATTACCAGCATCGCTGTGCGCCATGCCTCGCACAAGGCTCAGGGAGCCGCCAACTCTGCAAAGGACGGTCCAGGAAAGAGATTGGGTGCTAAGAAGAGTGGAGGTATGTGGACTTGAGCCCTTGTCTGCTGAGAAGCATGTCTGTCATGAGAGCACATGCGCATGCACGACTTTTTTTCCCTCTGAGCCTCTACACCTTCCCAGTCGCATACGCAGATTCAGTCACCAAAACTTGCAGAAGAAGGAAGTACAAAGAGACTGACAATCTTTTCGCTACAGAACAATATGTGATCCCGGGCAACATCATCTTCCGCCAACGCGGCACCAAATGGTTCCCAGGCGACAACTGCGCCATGGGCCGCGACCATACCATCTACGCCACCCAACCGGGCTACGTAAAATACTACAAAGACCCCCTGAAGCACCCAAAACGCCAATACATCGGTGTGGTATTCGAGCGCAGTCAAGTGCTGCCACAACCACCTCATGCAGTGCGTAGACGACGTCTAGGCATGTTGGCCTACCAGATGGAAACTCCCCACTTGGAAGCACAACTGCAAGGCGACCTAGTCACAGGCGCAGAAACAGGATTGGGTGGAAATGCAGGTATGGGCGCAGGACACCCCTCCACGATCCGCGAGGCTCCCAAAGAAAACAGAGGCAAAGTTGTTGTCAAGGACAAGATTACTGGCGAGGTTGTTAGAGCAACACCGACACTTAGACCTGGATACCAGTACCGCGCTGCCAATTGGGAGATTGGAAGGGCTGCTGAGAGAGCTGGAATCAGAGTTACGCCATTCAAGCCCGGAAACAGATTTTTGGCTTGGAGAAAGGCGGCGGCGAGGAAGGCTAGGAATGCTGAGAGGAGAGGCTTGACGAGGAGACGTTAGGAGGGAAAGAAGAAAGACAGTGTAGGAATATAAAGGGTGTTTTGCAAGGCATGGGGCATTTTGTACATGTAAACTGGAGAACAAAGTATTTGGCTCATCGAATGGCTGTGTTGTACAAAGTTGAAGAAGATCCAAGTTTATGTGTCTCGTCCTCATTCCTTGAATGAACGATGATTTTCTCGCGGTGGCAGCAGATGAACTCTTCCTTTCAAGTTGTCTAACAACGCCATCCCAAGCCGTGTATCCACGAAGCAAAAAGCAATTGTATGGAAAAAGTTGTGTTTTGGCTGTTATACAAAATTGTACAGGTATATGCAATAGAAAGGTTTCGCTTTTTCAGTCGTCAAAAAATCACTTGAGGCCAAGAGGGTTCAATATCCTCTCCCTCACAATCTTGTTTGCAAAGTCTCCTCCCTTCTCCATGGCCACGGCACCAACGATCGAGTAGAGAGTGTGAGCAAGAACGACATCGACACCAGATGATGAGAGGTTGTCGACCTATAGAGAATGTTAGTCTTTGATCATGCACAGCGGTTTCTTCTGTCAGACTCACGTTTCTCGGCTTCCATCTCACAACAGCGTCCAGACCGTATTGCCGCGCCAAAGAAGCCAATCTTTGTTTATCCAACGTCTTGTTCTTTGCAAATTCCGAAACATTGTCCACGCCCCTCATGGCGGGATGTCTGTACTGCTTGTATTTGCCTGTCGCCTCTGGGTCGGGTTTTGTGTAAGTGGGAATCTGAGAGGGCTGTTCAATCAGAGCCAGCGAACACTGGACATCGCACAATCTCTTTCCGAGAAAGGCAAGCTTGTCGTTAAAACCTCTTCTTGCGTGGTCGAAAGACTTGTGTGTGACGGCTAGCCATTTGATCTCTTCAGGAAGTACAGAGTCGCCATTCTTGCCGAGGAAAGAGGTGTATGCCTCGTCGAGGAGAGAAGGGTCTGAGTTTACGGTGAAGGGAGGAGATTGGCGTTGGCGAGGGCCGGGTCTTGCGCGGACAGGCATGGCCATGCGTGAGGGGGTGGCAGCCCAGCGAGGAGTGTGTGATTCGGAAGAGGTGGCATAGCTGTTGGTAGATGTGTGCTGTGTGAGGCGGCTGGCGCAACGAGAAAGTTGAGGACGGGTCATGGAAGTCCTGAAGGCGGCGCCGACAAGGGCGGGTGGTGATAGTGCGGATGCGCTCATGGTGGTGTGGTATGTGGGCACGGCGATTTGGCTTGCGTTCTCTCGTCCTCCTCTGGTCCTTGGTTGTTGCAGCTTCTCCCCGTCACCTGGTCGCTGGCGGGAGTCTTGATCGTGAATCTTTCTTGAGACTCTCAATGACGCGGTTAAACATCGGCAGTTTGGCGGAGTCTGGAAGCAGCAGCAATGTTTACTCGTTAGCATCCGTTTGTTTCGCTGCCAGTCAGATAGATTGAGCAAGCATTTCTAGCAAGATGGAAGAAGACCAGTCGGCACAGAGCAGAACAGAGTTGTATTCGCGATTGGAGAAGGTGCTGGGTGCTGGGTCCAGGTACAAAATCCACCATCTCTCGACGCGGCCGACCAAGTCAGACGCTCTGTTCGCTGCTGCCCCGGCTACGAGGCCTCAGCGCACCAAATGCGAATCGCACTTTCTCACTCTCGCTGTCGCTTCTCCTTCCTCCTCAACCAACTCGCAGACCCAATCCGGCCATGTCTTCGCCTTCGCCATTGAAGTCCTCGTCTACACAACTTCTTCCCTGACGACGCTATTCGTCTCCAAGGCCGACTCGACTGGTTATCTATCCTCGTCGCCTACAAAATCATCCCTGTCGCCTATCCGTCCACTTACTTCGACTTTTATAACATGGCTCGCTGAGTCCAGACAAAGACCCGGCATACCGCTTGTCGTTTCGCTCTTCGCCAGAGCCCAAGATCAGTACCTCTTTCCTGGCAGTGTTGATCACGGCGCAAAGCATGTCTTGGATGACCGCCAACTTGTCAAGTGGTGGTGCAAGACCCTCGATCCTGTCCTGAGACATGACACTGCCGATCAAGCTTACACCACTCGCGCCCATGTCATTGTACCCGGCTTCGATTCATACGAGACCACTCAATTCTTCCCTCCTTCGTACCGCTCCGATCCACCCGACAATCGCAAATGGCGACACGGCCATCCGCTTCTCGACATCGCCCCTTACCCCTCCGCACCGCCCCGCTGTCTCGTACCACACTTTCCTGACGACCCCAAAGCACGCTACCTCGACGAACTCGACGCCGAAATACCCGATTCGCAACCTTCCCAATCCTGGTTTTCGCCATCTAAGAAAGGCAACGGCATGTGGAAGAGCATAAGGACTTTGGATCAGTTTTGGGATACAATGGCTTTTAGACAAGAGTGTTCTTCTGGACGCATGGTCGGTTTTATCTGGCTAGTCTTCACACCGACACAGCCCACCATCCAGTCGTTAGAAGACTCTGTCACAAATCTCACTCCAGCGACTTCGTTCAATGCAGACGATTTGCTTGGAGCAGACCAGATCTTCTCAAGCCAGGAGAGCCTAGGCCAAGCTGCTGAGGTCAAAAAGTCGAGTCCGCGAAAGAGTGCGAGGAGGAAGAAACTGACAGGTCCAATCATACCTCGACAACCCAAGATCAAATCGACTTCTTCGAATTTGTCGTCGAAGTCGTTCAAGGCAGCTAGTAAGGAGTGGCCAGAGAGGGGCCGTGGTCAGATCTTGTTAGATCATGCATCTTACACCAGAGTGCATGATTTGCTATTACGGCTCGACTTCCAGGACATTGGTGCTGCGACGAGTAGTACGCGGAAATGGCTCGGCGAAGTCACCGCAATCACAACTCCTACTTCAGACTGGGGTAAAGAAGTAGTCGGCGCGCATGAAATCGCAGAAAAGAAGTCTATCGCTGAAGGAGCGCTACCATCAGTACCTGGTCAAGTCAACGATTTGTCTAGCATGTTGGTTCGCAAGAAGAGAAAGAACGCTGATGATGGGGCCCAAGCACCGGCCCCTGCAGAAGCACCAGCGGTCAATGTCCTGGGTGCTAACATGATTCGCAAAAAGCCAAAGGTCAACAAGCCATGATGCAGCATGGATATCATCTCTCGGATTGCGCACCGAGAAGATTGAATACGAAGACTGGGCTCAGCTTCGATAGCTCTGAATTTTCTATTCTCTCGACGAGATTCTGCATTGCACCATCTTGGAAAACGCATTTGGTGAGAAAAGCCGCCAAGACCACCTGCGTATTTTCCAGACTTCTGCTCGATATGGTGAATAATTTGTCCCACCAAGGTGGAGACAGCTCCGCCTCTGCCTTGCTTTTGTTTTGCTCGTGCCTCCTCGTGTGCCGTCACTTTGGTTGACCCTCTGAATACCCGCACAGCAGCTTAATTCCAGCTATCGAGTAGCTAAGACCGCAATTGTTTGATGTTAGTATCTTCAATTGCTGTGAGACCATTCGATTGTTGTCGCGAAGTGAAACTCATACAGTTGGTATTTTAGAAGCAATGAATGCAGCGCCTTGATTCATATGTAGAAGCCATTTCGTCATTCAATAGTCAAGCTCGGAGCCATTGTCCACTTCCGCCGTCACTTGGAATCACATTTCTAGGGGATATGAACGACGATCGGATCGTTCCATGTTATGAGCTTTGTGCATGCACGCCAGTATCCTTGGGTGCTTGCTTAGTCTTCGCGATCTTCCTTTGTTTTTGATGAACAGAACACAGCATATCGATTATCGAAGCAGTTATCACAAAGATTTGCCGATATTTCCGCAACGTTGGGCAGAGCATTTCATGCGACTCGCGAGCAACAGGTCACCATCCTAATTGGACCCTCATCGTGCTCATCGACAACTTTAACTTGGCAGCATCGTTCCGAGGCGAAAATTAGCCTCCGCCAGGTTCTCTCGTTTCCCCCATCATCAGCAGAGCCGCAATAACGTTACGGCTGCCTTTCACAAATGTCGGTCGACGAGCACGCAGGCTGGACACCTCCAGCTGCCAACGTCACCACACCCACATCACTGATATTTTCGGAAAACCCAGGCATGGTTTCTTTGGAGTCTATTCGCACATCGAATCTTGAGGCTAGCAATTTGGAGAATTTGGTAGCTGTGTTTGGTATGTTCTGCGTCTTTCTTCGTTGCCTGCCTGCCTTCGCTGCCTCTTTCACGTTGTCCAACCGTTTCGCTACGTTGTTCACAGCTAGAATCACACGATGGTCTCTATGTTTTGCGTTTACATGATCATTCTGAACCCTCTTGTAAGCTTTGCCAGAGAGATGCCGATGCTGACACGCGTCTGATGCTATAGTCGGAGGTACGCATGGTGTCGCCGAGAGTACGATCAGGGAGTTGTTTATGCGAACAACAACACCGCGAGCATACATAATCGGCAGGTGGGATTCATCGCTACACAAAGGCCAGGCGTATGTTGACAATGATGTACAGGAGTCAGGAGAAAGCAGAGAACCTTTGTAAGGAGCTCGAAGACCTCAACCCTGGATCAAAAGCCATCTTTATCAACAAAGACATCAGCGTGTTGAAGAATGTCGATGATGTCTGTCTGGAACTGCAACACAGAGAGAAGAAGATCAATATCTTGTTTCTTTCTGCTGGTTACATGTCCTTGAGTGGTCGAAATGGTGAGTGTTAAGCTTCAACATAATCTAGCACAATGCTAATAGTGGTTACATAGAAACACCAGAGGGATTGGATCATAAAATGGCCGTGAACTATTACTCCAGAATACGCTTCATCATGAATCTCATGCCCGAACTTACAGAAGCTGGAAAAAACCACGAGCTATCACGCGTCTTGACTGTCCTCGCAGCAGGATCAGAAGCCGACATCGACATGGACGACATGGACCTCCGAAAGAATTACACGCTGCATGCATGCCTCTCCCACTGCGTGATGATGACAGATTTCATGATGGAAGAATTCGCAAAGAGACACCCACAAACGTCCTTCAGTCATTCCTATCCTGGTACTGTCAAGTCTGGAATCACAAACCAACTCACTGGACCCATCAGACTCGGTGTTAAGGTGCTCTACTCAGTCATGACACCTTGGATCTTGAACTTCAGAGAAAGTGGCGAAAGACACATGTTCCAAATCACCAGCTCAATGTACAAAGCCAAAGATGGAGCTGCTGGAATCCCACTCAACGGTGGCTTGGACATTGCAGTTGGTATGGATGGACAAAAGGGGTCAGGAGCATATTTGTTGGATTGGGACGGTAGGCCAGCAGGCGACATGGGGATCCTTGCAAGGTATCGTGAGAAGAATGCGGGACCAAAGATATGGGAGCACACCATGACAGCTATCAAAAAGGCGACATCGAAAAAGAGATTGGCAGATGACAATGAGCAAGAGGAGCAGAAGCGTAGAGAACAGCACGCTGCTGCTGCTCCAAATTTGGCTGGATGGAGAGCTGGTTGAAGGAGTTGGCATTCGTGCCAGTACGAAGAAAGAACGGCAGACTACGCGATACGGCGTTACGATGGATGAAAATGCATTGCTAAGTTGAATTATCATAGCTGTTCAGATACTATCTATAGGTCTATGGACTGCACAAGAATACTCAGATCTGGTGTGCCAGATTCGGTATGGTGCATGCAAGTGGATTCTGTATATCATGCTCACGCCGCAATGAGTCATTATCTCTCGGTAATTGGGCCAGTAAATAGATGACTAGCTATCAAAGGTAATTCCTCCAAACACTCAACTGCACACAATGAAATACATCATAAGTTTGCTGCTGTCGTCGATGGACTAGTTTGTGCCAGGGTCGCTTTCACAGTGACGTGTTGCCATGCGCACAGACTACCGCAACGCCAAAACGTTCCCAACACTCTTGACCTGCAACACGAAATTCGCACATCCACTCCCGCACAGGTTCGATCCTCCTCGCGCGCATCCACTTCCGCGCATCTTTTTTTCCTATCATCCGCTTTTGGTTGTTTCCATCAAGAAGTCATGCGCAGCCATGGCTACTGGCTCGGATGTTCTATTGGAGCATCTGCTGTTCCAAGTCGCTCTGACTGGTGATATCGGTACGTCTTTTTCTTCGCGTCGCTCTGCTGTGGTCGCATGTCTTTTTTCTAGTGGAGTCGGAAATGATTTATTCGCTCGTAATGCATGGAGTCGAATTTATGTCGCGCTTTGCAATGTACAACGCCATGAACTAATTACATAACACGATATAGGATTGACCATCACAGCACTCAGCGCAGCTTTTGTCGAATTCAACAACAATAATGCTGTAGAAGAGGACGCCACCAAAGATGAAGATAACACAGACGACGGAGATCTTCTCTTCTCGCTAAAACCACCTGGTGCCAATTCGACTGCAAATTCACAAGCTTCGGATCCTCAACATCTCGAAAAACTTTGGACTTGGCTTGTCGACCATCCTGATGTTACCGTCACTCAGAATGCAGCTGCTGCGGATGATCCATATGGACGTTCTACTGAGATTGACCCCTCCAACCCACTTGCTCCTGTCTTTGCTGCCCACGCCAAGGAGAGACTATACACCACTGAGCAACGCATCTGGCACGCTCTTACTGAACATGATGTTGATTGGAAGCGCATTCCGAAACTTGAGTTTCACTGTCTTCAAGTCATTGCTGCCGCCGGTCGTGAAGGTGTTCTACAACCAGACGTCACCAGAATCACAGGTCAAGACAAACGCTCAGTTCCGAAACGTACCGATTCACTTGCCACTAAGGGCTACATCACCAAGGAAATGTGCTTGGGTGGCGGCATCAAGACCAGTCTGCTTCGGCTCAAGAAGTTGGTGCTTGAGCCTACTTCGACGTTCTACACCATCAAGGCAAAGGCTGGTAAAGGCGAGGGCAGTACCCGTCGTATGATCAACTATGAGCAATGGTTCAGTGAAGTCATGACCACTCTGAAGAAGCATGATGGCCTCATTGCCTATGAAGACTTGCGCAAAGAGATGGGCATCCATGGATCGCGATGGGAGACCAGAGCTCTTCACCGATGCATCAAAAGACTGGAAAAAGCCGGCTGTGTTCAGAGACTTCGCGCTCGTCTCGAAGGTGCACGCCCTAGACAGGCGAAGAAGCAAGCCGAAGGAGTCACCCCGGCTTTTGATCATCGCTATGAGATCGACCCTGAAGCCCCCACCGAAAAAGTCGATGCCGAAAAGACAGAACACGACCCGGAGAACGTGTTCTGGGTCAGGTGCATCAAGTTGATGCGTGAGCCTGTCGAAAAAGATCTGGAGGCTTTCACGTCTACGATCAAGTCCGGTAAAGTTGGCAAAGCTGCTGAGGATCAGGAGTCCGATGCAGAAGCCGATGCTGATGAAGATGACGACTATGTCGAAATTGATGCTGCAGCCTTGGACGGGCTGGGAAAGATGACCGAACTCACTAGGCGTGTACCTCCACAATGGCGACCGGACATGCACCACACTCAATTTTTCTTCCAGATCATCGCAAGCGCCGGAACAAAAGGATTGAGTACCATGGACCTTGCCAACTTCGGACTTGGTCCTTTCTGGCGTCGCCCACTTGATGAAATCATGGGCAGGCTCACAGATGTCTGGACTGTATCACAACCTCTTCATCTTCGACATCTCGCTATTATCCGAGACACCTCCCAGCTACACAGAATCTCGCACTATGTCTTCCGAAGCTACCATAACTTTCAAAAGATGGTAGACAACGGTGAGGCTAATTGGGAAGCAATCGACGTCAAACCGGCAGAGATACAGAGAAAGCCTGATCTGGATGAGTGGGGCTTTCCAAAAGTCAAGCCATCTACTATGGTCGGTCACGATGGTACGCACAACATGGCTGCCTGCAAGAACGTTCTTGTCAGATCAAAGTCAAAACCGAAAAGACCTCTGTGGGAAAAGAAGGCATTCAAGACCGTGGATCCATTGTCAAGCATGAACGCTCTAAAGACACCAAGAAAGAGAGCCGCTCTTGCTGAGGTGCCCTCTGCAGCTGCACAGCCAGCCGAATCAGTCGAAGACAGAGATGAAGCCACTCCTGCTACTGCACGCTCATCAACGACTAAGAAGAAGGTGTACAAGGTCATGTTTAAGATGAATCCAAAGCGTGTTGAGGCAGAGCTCAAGGAGTGGAAAGTCAGATCGCACAAGCTTGCTGTCTCGAAGGCCAAAACAGAGCTTGGACTGGATGTCAAGAACGATATGTCAAAACCGAAAAGGCAACGCAAATCGACTAAAGTCGAGCAGGCTGATGCTGAAATTCCTGGTCAAAACCTTCCTCCGCCCTCAGAATTGCTGCCTGCTGCATCTGTCGGTGAGCTCATGTCACAAGCATCTGAAGGAGCGACAGAACAGCTCGGCCAGCAACGCGATCAAGATGGCGCTGCAGGAGTGCAACGAATGCCCGATCAATCTGATTTGCTAACTTCCGAATCGTCCAAACTTGTTCCCACTGAGAACACGCCCACCAACTTGGAGCTCGACAAACGTGTGGCTGAACTCGAACTTGAGATCTTGAACATGGCCAAACCTGGCATATACATCAATCCTCCAGGCTCTGGTCAGTTGAAGAATGATGTTGTTCAACCAAAGGGACGTCCTTCAAGATACCTCATTGGAGTTTTCAAGTCTGAGAAATTGAAATCTCTTCCTTGGTTCACCGAGGAGGACTCTGATCGCCTCTCATCACAGGCTGCAACGCCTGAACCAAACCTTGATACTTCACAGCCTGCCACAACTACTTCCGTATCTGTTACCAGACACAGTGAGTCAGCTCAGGTAGCCGAGACACCTCAATGGACCACTTTGAACTCAACGACTCCAGTTTCAACAGAGTCTCCTATGCCTGCAGAGCTCGGAAAGCCTAAGGAAGAGATCATCATCAAGCGAGGCAGGAGAATTCAGGTTCAGAGACAGGGCAAGCGGAAAGCCTATGAGCCGTTACGACAAAAAGTCGCAAAAAAGCTTGCTGTCGAACAGGCCGCCGATGATGGCAAGTGGAGGCCCTTGACTGAACTCGAGGCTTACAACTCACAACTGAATGAGTCACCTCCAGGCACACCTTCATCATCAAGGAGAGCAGTGTCTATCCCGGAGACACCGTCTTCTGTCGTGTCACAGTTGTCCTTCGATACTCCTGGATCTGTTGCCGACTCGCTCGATATCTCTCCCGAGGACATTACTGCAGTAGACTTGCTTCTTCAAAGAGCTGACAGTCTGCCCTACGAGCCAGAAGAAGGATCCGAAGCTGCAACAGAGGAGCGCCGAGCCTCAACTGGCGCTGCGGACAGTGATGTGCAAATGGAAGATGCAGATGCAGCCGAGAATGGCGAGCAGGAGACGTCTGCATCAGCGACACCAACACAATCAGCTGCACAAGAACCTGAAGCCTCACAAGTAGAGCCTGTTGAGCCTAAGCAAGCGCAATCCACTCATGTCACAGACTCACACAAGATTCTGGAGCCGTTTTTCAGAAGAGCTTCGAGACGCCCCGATGCACCAGCTCCTTCTACCGAAGAGGTGACTGAGAAGACAGGTTCACCAAGCACACCTGCTCCGTACAATCCATTCGCCAAAACAGAACTCAAGACAGCCGCTACGGCAGCTCGCTTTGCCTCTCGCGCCAAAGCTCCTCAGAAAGTTGGCGTGGGTCGCTCTGGTGGTATTGTTAGCTACAACCGCAACAGAGTGCTCATGGAGATTGTACATCAGAACGGCGGCATGTTCGGTGGCGATAGAGAACTTTACTATCCTTTCGTTACTGTCTGGGATAGAGAATTTCAACGTCGACCTGATCGCCATACACTGGACAGAGTCCTTGCTGGTCTGATCGAAGAGGGCAAACTGAAGAGAGAACCTTTTTCGTTCTCGGCGTCTGATGGAAAGATTTTTACCAAAACACTAGTGATGGAGCCACACATCGATCCAGAATGTCCAGAGGCACAGGCACTGAAGCAAAAGATCATCGAGTACCATCCCATGACCTATGTCCCTGAGGGTATTGAAGTGCTCCCTGAGCTTCGTCTTCGTATCGAACACGATTTGAGAGGTGGCAAGGGCATCCCAGATGTTCACAATCCCAACAGCTCTTTCATCTATGATCCTACTGCTGTCGTCACTCGCATTCAAGGTCCACAAAAGGTTCAGCTCGGCATGACAGAAGCCAGAATGAAGAAGGGTGTGACAGCCAGAAGACATAGACGTGAAGAAGAAGAGAGGCGTCAACAACGATACATACAAGCACAGATGGAAGAAGATATCGACAATGCTGTGGCTGCTCTAACAACAGACTTCCAACTCGACTCTTACCAACACGATCCGTCCAGAGCGATTGTCGACAGAGGTCCGCGTGGTCGTGGAAGACTTGCCAAATTGCAACGCTGGGGACCAGAAGAGCAGATCATTCCTAGACGTGCTCTTGGTTTGCTCACAACTACTGGAAGAGATGATCAACTTGAAGCTGAACAGAACAGCCGTGATGCAGTTGCAGCTGCCGACTTTGGTGTGTTGAAACCTCAATTGATCCCCACAATACCCTCGAGAGAAGTGCCTGCTGCGCCAAAGGTTCGCTTCGATGTTCCTCATGAACCTTCACTCGTACAGATGTTGCAGCAGAAGCAAGCAGGCACATTTAGCGTTATTGACGCTTTGTCTATGACTTCTCCTTACCAAAGATTCCATCGTCAATCAGGCACTTTCTCGACTGATCCTGTTGTCATCACCACGTCCAGCTCACACTCACAATATGGCTTTGTTGGTCAGCAGATGCAAATTCCGAGGTCTCTTGCAGACATCTTTAAGCAAGCTGGAGAGGAGGCTTCTTTGCTCGAATTGCCTACAGAAAGTCCACATGTTGGATATGAGATACCACGATTTGCGGCTGTCGGAGTCACCAGACTTCCTAGATTGCACTCTGCACGACCTCGTCCCGCACCTAGACCTCAACCTGAATACAGATCTTATGGTGCCAAGGCAGTCTTGCCACGTTCGAGCAGAACTGGTATCTTCTCCATGTCTGAAAAGGAGGAACAGCGCCTTATCTATGCTGTCGTGGTTGTCAAGACTCTTACTGGAGGTCTGGAGCAAATTGTCAACTGGGGCCTTGTTCATCAAGTCTTCCACTACAAATTCGATCCCAACTATTGTCGTCATCGCTGGGTGTTCCTTAGACCAAAGCTTGGTGGTACAGCAGACAAGTTGCAAGTCGAATTCCAGAAGTTGTTCCTCGAGGCTTATGAAAGTGGCGAGATCCCTGGCATCGACTTTGTGGAACCAGAAAAGTATGATTGGCTGGGAATTGTAGAATGGGCCGAAAGAAGACTCTCTCAGACCAACCCTCTGAACGGACTGCCGGAGCTGCCCAAGAACCGACAGACCCTCGACAAGCGCTTCGACGTCAGACATGCTACCGAGGTGTATAACATTCCTCGAGAAGACTTTTGGGTTGCCAACGTCACACATCTGCGCAGAGAAGAGCTGGCGAACAGTTGGACCTTTGCTCGTCCGCTTGCTGGTGCCACCGAGCCTGTGCAAGATGATGATGATCTCATGCTCGCTCTGTCGTGGGTCCGCGCTAATGTCATCACTCCTGATCCGGTCTATGACAGCAACAAGGCACACGAGAAGCTCATTCAAATCGAGCAACTCCTTCCGCAAGCACTCGACCATCTGCTAGGAGCCAAGATTATTCGTATGGAGAATAAGGGCCGTCAGATTCCTGGGCGCAACTACGATGTTTCCGATTCCGTCTTGACGATGTTCAAGCGTCAATGGGATGTTCGTTATCTCAAAAAGACTGCGGCGTTCAAGAAGACTATTGATGAAGCGTTCGCCAATGATGGTAAATTCACTATCAGTTACCAAGCTACTGATGCTGAGATGACTGCTATGACGAACTTGGTTGCTGCCGGTCGTGCCAAGGTTGTGCCTCTTTTGCCAGAGGTGAATCATACTATGGGTGCTCCTTACCCTCGTCTCACCAAATGGGGTTTCACAGAAGGTAACTACAAGACTGTACACATGGACAAGTCGCGCCTGCACTTTTTGCTCGAACTGCATCCCACAGACACGTATATCCATGGTGTACCAATCGCGCCCATCCCATCGCCTCCCTTGTCCAAACAGTTCCCAGGCGAACTTGGTCCACGTCTACCCATCTGGACTGACATCCACGGCAACATCATCAAAGACTACTGGCAGATGACTGTCATGGCTACCCTCTGGCTCTTGGCCTTCCGTCCTGGCCTCAAGATTCAAGAAATCTGCAAGGGTGCTTACAAAGGCAAGCTTTGGGACTGGGAGATGGAGATGTTCTTGGCTTGGGCTGAGAATGCTGGTCTTGCCAAGAGGTTGAGCTATGGAGGTGATGATGGCCCTGAAGCTGATGGCTGGGTTGTACAAGAGTGGTGGTGGTTGGCGTTTGCTACTGAGTGATGTGGTGTAGGAGATGGCGGAATGGCGTTGCTGGCGTTTCAAGAGAAGGAAGGGGTTGTGAATACATGCATAGCTCTTTATATCGTCCTAGACAGAAGGATTAGTATTGCTCGTACAAATTCTGTCACAATCATCATTTTGGGCGACGAGAATGTTTCTACTTGTGTTCGAAGGTTGTGATGTAGCTTAGCCTCTCCAATCGCAAGCGTCAGTTAATAAGCAGCTATCAAAACGCACAATAGTTTTGCAGAATCATTAATCGTTTTCTTAAGAGACCGATTCGTGGTGCCTTTCGTTGACACTACTTCCAAATACTAATCAGTTATGCCTTTTCACAACTCAAATATTCGCTGGGAGCGGAGTTAAGAGGCATCTATTTCTTGTTCACCTGGCGCCGTTATCTCCTTGTAGGTTCGCTTTGTTTAGATGCAAGTCTGTAAGTATGCAGCAACTTTTCGATGAGCTAGCTAGTCTGCAAAGAGAGATACTCTCTGTGAGGGTCTCTTTGGAGACCTCTGCCGATTGTGAAGTGACTGTGTACCGCAAAATATCTAGATAAGTATTCGTTGTGAGGAGGGAGGTCATATGGAAAGTTGTTCTAGGGCTCTAGGCGTCTGTTGTCTGGAGAATGGAGAAAGGTATCACCCATATATGCATAGCTCTTTCTTACATTGCTCTGAATAGAAGATTGGGCAAACCGTGCAAGCATCGTCAATCATCACCGCCACTATGGAAGCTGACGACCACGACTCTGAAGAGCCAGCATCCGTAGGAGCTTCGGTCGAGGCACTGGACGACATGACTTCCCTAAAGCAAATACTGGATGATGAGCCCGCTGAAAAGATCAATCTCCGGCCGAAGATTGTTCGCTACTGGAACAAGGAAGATCATGAGTAAGACAACTGGTATCTCTTCGAGAGAATCGACGCTGATCCTCTCCAAGTCGAATCATCGAAACTTCTTCTGACGAAACAATAACAATACACGCCACCTGCCGTGGTCAAACTTGCCTTTGCTTTCCAGAGCAAACCCCAGAAAAATCCAGTATCAACAAGAGTCTTCTATGTCACTTCTCGGCCTACTTCAGAGCTTTGTTCTTGGGTGGATTCGCCAAAAACACACAAGAAAACTTCAGCTTCAACCTTCAGCCCCTTGACGCACAAATCTTTGAGAGATGGCTGGGCTGCGGTATTCTGCATACTTGGAACGATGGACAGCCCTGTTTTGGGACACTACTACGACTCTACGTCTTCGCCGATTATTACGACCTTCCAGCTCTCCGTCATGCGATCATGTTTGTACTTGCCCCTCCCGACAAGAAGAATGCCCACCCAAGATTTTTCGGAATGAAGTGGTGGGAGTTCAGACATCATCTTGCTGGACTACCCACCACTTCACCCTTTAATCGATGGCTACTTGAGCGCTACGCGAACTGTTCGAGGCGCGGTACAAATCGCACCTTTTTAACCACTCAAGTTGCGTTGAACACAGAATAATTCCGCGATCTGGCCTTGGAGGTGTTGGTCGACAACCGAGACGGCAGACAGTGTGAATGCTGTCATCATCTCTGCGACTTCCATGAACACGAGAGTAAGGAGCAATGGAAGAAGAGTAAGAACTCTCTTTTCTTCCCTACCTGTCGAATGATAGTACTAAAATGATAAACCTAGCTTGCTACCTTCTTAACAGAGATGTCCCCGAACCCGATCCATCAACCTACTGCAAGCCATCGAGGGCACTGTGAGCAACACGGGCGAAGACCGTGCATGACAGTCGTGTTATCAAGCATGACTTGAGATGAAAGAGAAGGACACAATCCATCGAGCGAACATGAGAGTCCTAGGATTTTACACTTCAAGCGTTCTCTTCTTTCTTGCACAAATTAGGAATCCTATAACTCTGGTAGTACAACTTTCCCTTTGCTTTCAATAAAAGTGATAGAACTTCTTAATGAGCTGATGCTGTGTCTCACTAGCTGGTGGTGAGCCAGCTCGTCGATTTTGTCATAACAGACTCTTCTTGGTGTTGCAGAGTTCTTGATGTATAGACTCCATCTATGGCAATCATACTTACGACATGACTGCTGACTGTATACTACTACTGATATACAGGAACTACGCGAAAGTCTCGATGAACATCCTCACACCACCGTTCGGTCTATCTTGTCCGCAAAGTGCTCAATCTTGAGCTACATCACCCCGAACAGATGCCACGCTACAACACTTGGTAACTGGAACTGTACGTATTTACGTGGTGTCAGAGACAATTTCCAGAGATCCAAGAGATGTTTCTCCTGTGGCCCAATCTTGTGATCAGGTTGATCCCCAAAATTTTAGTCTCGATCGTTACTCGACCAGAGATCTCAAAAAGACGCGACAAGATCTCTTGAATTGGTATGATTACCGACGACTGAATTCAAGACATGATGTTTAATTAGAGTGCACGAAAGCTATCGGCCGTAAGGGGTGGTCCGAAGGGACCCCGCATCGTCATTCACCGGATGCCAAGGGTGTTATAGCGAACTTCCATCTTGGCTCACGCTCCTTCACATACATCCTTCGAGAATAGACGACAGCAGATCCACCAATTCTTCCAATGTTGCCGTACCAGAACTCTTGGCGCTGCTTGGGGGAGATCTATGCCCTGGATTCGGCCCCCATTGCTTCGCCGCTGACAATTGTTGCATTGGAGTAAGTGCTAGGCACGCGAACTTCTTTGTTATTCCCTTCCTGAAGGAGTCTCCAATTCTTAGGCTAATTCTGAACATCGAACAGCATGGCGCCTTGGTATCTTGGCTATGGCAGCCACGTTCACAGGTCGATCGCAACTGCCGCTTGATCTGTGCATACTAGGATTGTGCCATTTTTGTCATGGATGCTGCCTGAATTGCTTCCATCAATGGTGTATAGTCTATCTATATCTATCATGTTTCAGTTGTAGGTCACTGCTCGAATTCAGTCTGCCTTCTGCATTCTGCATTACATAACATATTTGATATGGCTACCTCCATACTTCTACTCACAGTCTCTTTGGCCATCCAAGCTTTGGCACAAAAGTAAGCCAATCTGTCCCATCACCAGTACTTTCGGAGACTGACTGTCAACAGCAGTTATAGCGCAAACCTCACCGTCTCGTTTTCCCCTGCTACACTGGACAACTGTGCCTCAAACGGCTCTACAGAAGCCATCATCTTTACCACAAGCAGTATTCCACTGTCATATCAATGCTTCAATATCGAAGACCTCTTTGGCTCCTCAAATGCGTCCCCTAGCTGGGGCTCTCGCACGACCGAATCAGCCTCCCGGACCTATACCTCTGAAGAAATCTCCCGGCGCGTCTTCAACGCAAACAGCTACTCTGCTCAAACCAATTATTCCAGAATCTGGTACCAGCAGCAGAATTTCACGTCACCAAAACAAGGCGAAGATGCTGCCAGGATCTTCGAATGTTTAGCGGCCGAGACTGTCACCAGACCGGGTCTTCAAACGAGACAGTTTATCCTATTTTGGGATAGACGTGTCAGAGCTCGGGAAACGGTGAATGCTACGAGGCTCCGTATAATATCGGGAGTTTCCAGATCGGCTCTGCGGCAGCTGTCAACAGCGGAGCTAAGAAATGTTGGGTTGCCTCAACGGGTTCGGCTGCTGAGAGATTCAGTGGTAGCAAGACTGCTGCCGCCGTGGGCGCTGCGGCCATACTTGCAGCCGGAATGTTGAGCTGGTGATCGCGCAGTTGGACTTACTCACCAATCAATGATGTCTGAAATGAAGACTGGTTGCTTTGTAATTCACTTTGTGAGAATTAACGAATACTGACTTCCAAAGCGCCTGTGTGAAAAAGTATCGTCTAGGCTTCCTTGTCTAAACATCGCCCTTCATATCCCTGCCTTCAATAATGGTAGCTACCTCCACCAAATCATTACTAACATGACCCTTTCCAACCAAAGGCGTCTTGATCAAGTGGTACTTGAAATGATCTCTCGTCCTGATGTTGAAAACAGCATCCAATTCCTCAAGCGGCCGAGCTTTGGTCTCAGGCAGGCAGAACCATGTGAACACGAAACCAAAGAGGTTCCACGCAGCATACCAACAGAAAGCACCTTGGGGCGTGAATGCTTCTTGAAGAGGAGGCCAAGTCAATGCAAGCAGGAAATTGAAGCCCCAGCATGTGGCGGTTGCGAACGCCATGCCAGTGTCGCGGACTGCGAGTGGCTATCCCTCATCAGCAGGAGGACACTTATAATTTGAGTAGATACTTACAAATGACTCTGCAGAGTATGTGAAAGGCACTGGACCCATGCCTGGACTATAGCCGACCATGAATAGGTAGATGCCTGTCGCCACACACCCAATGCGAGCAGTACCCTCTTCAGGGATAAAGAAGGAGAATCCAGTGAAGAACAGGCATGCAGCCATGTATGGGAATGTGGTGAGCAGAAGCCATCGACGTCCTTTGGTATCGATGGTAAGGATACCAGGAATGGCAAAAAGCCTGTGCATCAGGTTCAGTTCACAGTACATTTGATCACTCGCTGATTTCAGCTTACCAATTAATGATACCAGTCCCCATGGAAGCAAGAAGTGCTTGTTGCTCTCCAAAGCCAGCATCTCTAAAGATTGCTGAGCTGTAGTACGCAATTACCTGATTTAATCTGTCAGCTTAGGTGCCATGAGGTATGTAAAGTCATTTCTCTGACATACATTGACTCCACAGAATTGTTGCATAAACATAACGAAGAATGCAGATTGCGCAGCACGACGATTTCTAGGCACTGAGAATAATTTGGTTGCTCTAGCCCAAGCGGTCTTTGGTTTGAGCTCGTACTCAAGCATGAGACGAACGTGGATGTCGTAGAGATCGCGAGCTGCATGTAAACGACATTGACGGAGTCTGCAAAGCGACTCGAAGGCTTGACGATAACGACCCTTACTCATGAGCCAGCGGGGACTTTCAGGCGCGAAGAAAGTCATACAGCAGACAATAATTGGGCTGTGCAATGTTAAGCCTCGCTTATCGAAATGTGGAGGTCGAGCACACTTACGGAATACTTGTAGAGGCAAGCATCAGTCTCCAGTTCAAGCCAGGGTAACCATCGGCTTGTACAGAATAGAAGGCTACTGATGCGATGAAGCCTAGCATGATACCAAAAGCAGTCCACATTTGCCATTGAGATCCCAGAGCACCTCTAATCCGAGGAGGGGAGCACTCGGCGGCATAAGCAGGTGTAGTAGAAGACTTGGCACCGATCGCAAAGCCTCCAACGAATCGTGAAGCGAAGAGCTGCCATTTGCCAAAAGTCGCACCTTGCCAAGCTCCGGAAGCAACAGAGACAAAACATGAAATCCAGATAGTACCACGTCGACCGAAGTACTTGTTGAGAACAGGCGATGTCCAACAGCCTATGAGCACTGAGCATAGATATGGAGCACCGTTGATCAAACCTTGTTCCCATGTATTGGTAATGCCAAAGTCCTCAAAGTAGAAGAGCTGAGCTCCGTTGACTGCAGTCTGATCCATGCCTTGAACGATGGCAGCAGCGCCGCAGAGCACTTCAGATGGTCAGCTAATGATGTAATTCAAAGACCAAAGAGACTCGCCTGCAACATAGTACATCATCTTGGTTTGAGACCATTTGTCCTTGAACGCCGAGCTTTTCTCTTTTGCGATCCAATGTCTCTCTTCCTCGTTGGGATCGAGGCGGTCGATATCATCACGGTTGTAGGCATATCGAGCACCACGGGCCAGCTCTCCACCAAGGTCGTGAAGATCATACTGCTGGATCAGGCCCTCGAGGTCCACAATGATATCGTGTTCTGATTTGCCTAAGTACGGATCACGTTGTCTCTCCCAGAGTGTCGCTTCGTGCAGCTGGCTGGGTGAAGCGGAACCAGAGCTTCTTTCATCCTTGAAATCAATTCTGTCTGTCTCGCCTCCCGGGCCAGCGCCTTTGGTGCTATCAAAAGGAGGCTTCTCGTTAGCCATATTGTTTGGAGGTTCGTGAAGATGATGAAACTGCAGACATGCCAACAACAGCTTATTTAGAGGCACCGCCATCATAGAGGATTCTGAAGCCCAGAAGATCTACATTATGGGACTTGTCAGCCAAGCAGATATTGGAAGGGCCATGGCTATGATTCCTCGGCTCTTTCTTGGTCAAGTTTCTGGTAGGGTAGCCCCTTGGGGCACCGCTGAGTGTGATCCCTATGTTTTCACAAATTCTAAAGCTCCACCTACTCATACGCATATAGAATACAAACATGCCGTTATTGAAATCTACATCACCTACTGTGCATTCGACAATAGCATGACTTGTGTCTCGCGCAACCATGTATTGCTATTGCACATCTTGCTGCAAATCGGTGTTGTATGCATGACTTGGCGAACGCGCAATAGCTCAGTATTGTCTTGATGCTGTCATGGCTGACGCTGCCTAGCCCATTGGCGGACATAGGACAGAGGCATCGGGGTATTCATGGCCAAGATAACTCCATGGCTCGGCGGTGCTCGGCGAGCTCGAAACGATAGGTATGGATATTGGCGGCTGGATGTTCGAGGATATTGTTCCTTATAGTACTGCTGCTATCAATATTATCAATGCTCGCGAGAAGGAGGTATGGATGTCTTCATCGTCCCAGTCGGGCAAAAAACGCAAGACTCGCAGACCCGTGCGTGAGCTTCAAGCGTCGCGTTGTACTAAGGTTTATCTCTAATTCTTTCCACATCAATTGGTTCTGTGGTGTAGTTGGTTATCACTTCTGTCTAACACACAGGCGGTCCCCGGTTCGAACCCGGGCGGAATCATTGTTTTGCCCGTGTGCAGCATCGTTTTTGTTCGACAATTGGCCGTGGTATAGTTGTCCGAAGCCTACATTGAGATTTTGCAGAATTTTGGTGTGGGAAGGTGCGAGTGGTCGGTCGTGCTTGCAAGACGCCGACGCGTGACATGCGACGACAGACCATCACAACACCGACACTCAGGACAACATATCCATGTTTTACTTGCTACTCTTCACCGCAATTATGATCAATACACTTGTCAAGCGCTTGATCAATCGTTGTACATCCATGACTCTCTACTCCTGCTAACATCTCTCAGCGACCCCTCCATTGTACTCCGCTCTCGAACACCACTGCTCCCTCTCTTGCGGACTGCCTGCAACATATCATTTTCTGTTGATGTCTCTGAGTCTCGCACTTCAATTTTCTGCTCATCTCCGTGCTCTCAACCAGTGCTCATGATGTCTTGGGGCCCGTCTGCATCACTCGCTAACACTCTTCGTCTTCTCTTGCATACTCGGCAAGAGCTCTGAAGGCTTGACTCTTGGTGAGGCCGACTGGAATAGTTTCCTTCGAGAGAACTGGACTAAAGTTGAAATCAAGGGGACGCGCCTCAGTTGCGGCGGAAGGAAAGGTAAAGCCAAAGCTGAACAATTCGAGACCTCCGTCTTTCTCTTTTCCAGAAGACACAATCTTTGCACGAGGACCATGAAGAAGCTTTCTTGCTTGGTCAACAGTGATACAGCTCTCACTGCTTGACTTGTCTTGCTGACGTACCATCAATGCGACAGGAGCTGCGAACACGGCCTCATGGCGTTCTGGTGGTAATTCAAAGTTATGTTGCTGTGTAGCTCGCTGCTGAGGATTGAAACTGTCAATCGCGATTCTTTCTAACTCCTGTATTATGTGATCACGAGAGGGCAAAACTGGCGATGTACCCAACCATACCACTGGCGAAAACTTGAGGGTAAGTGGTTGAAAGAGATTGGCGGGTAGATGGGCGACGATTCGGAGCTGAGCCTGGCCTGAAGTGATGTCGACGAAGCTTGAGACTTGGACGTTCCGCAGGAGGTGGCCAAGGAGACTGTCAACATGATTCTGGGCCTCAGCGAGTCGTTGAGGGAGCTTCGAGGTTTCTGCGATCATGGTAGAGTGTTTCAACGACTCAACGACCTTTGTGTTGATCGATTCTCCAGCAAAAGTCGCGGATTGCGGTTCAATAGTGTGAGCACGCACACTACTTCGGAACATGGTGATGATCTTGCGTTGTGTCTCTCGTTCCTGTGATGCTCCGCCTATAGCGTGCGCTCCAGCATCGCTTTGACTGCGTTGATCAGTCAAGGCAGGTGGATTCACCTCATGGAGCAAAGGCTCGCTCGAGGAAGAAGGGTTTCTAGTCTCGTAATGCTGGATCATATTGACTGAGGGAGACGCAGGCAATGATGATACGATAGTGGCCTTGGAGCACCAAGCCGAATTGACATCATCAGCAACGGAGAGATAAGCCTGCTTTCGAGATGGTGACCCATCAGGGATGCTGTTTGCTTTGCGTTTGTTTCCGCGCGCTCCTTCGATGTCGAGGACAGATGAGCTACTTGTAGTCATTGATTGAGCACAGCTCATTTCATTGACATCCGTTGATGAACGAGATTGGTGTTCGATAGCGCCATCGGATGATCTCGTGCTGGTGGATTGAGAAGCTTCGTCGTTCTCGATATGAGTATCTGGGTTCAACTCATCGAGTGACTGCGAGCGATGTCTACTGCGGAGCTCAGTGTCCTGACTTTTTGGAGAGTCGTCAATCCACAGAACTCCTCGCTGTCTCAACCAAGTGGAGCCAGGCAGGAACGGCAGCTCTGGATGGCCAGGTCTTGATACATCGTCCTCGAAGCCATTGGGGTCGAGAATACCGCGCATATGCTTGAACTTGTGTAAGATTTCCCAGACGCCAGTGAGATAGAGATTCTGCTTATCTCGCTTGAGCTTGGTCAAGTCGAACAGTTTGGTAAATGGTGGCCAAACTTTGTCTTTGTCGACTCTGCCTGGCAAGCCCTCAGGCTTGAAGACAGTCTTCCTGGGCCCATAGCAAAACTCAATCCTGCGCTCTGTGGGAGCGTAGATTGGACGATACCAGACGCAAAGAATCCCTTCTTTGAACTTCTTGCGACCGAGCAAGACATAGCCATTCATCCACACAAAGTCCAGGTGCTGGACAAAGGCGAACAATGCTGCTTCGCAGTCGCGTTGTTTCCATTTTGTGTCAAGTTTGGTGAGAACTTCAAGCTCTTCTCGGATAGCATTTGTAGGTACCCAGCCGGCTTCTTCGCACAGGTCGTCGAACCTCTCACGAAGTTCTTCCTTGACCTCGACAGCATGAGGTTCAGTGATATCAAAGATAGGAGGCACAACTGGATACTTGAGGCGCGGCTTTTCTGCCTGAGCAATGTCGCGAGCTCTTCGTCGTGTGGTCATTGGAGGAGGTAAAGGCGAAGGCGTGGAAGCCATGATTGTTCAGACTCAGTGATTTTTGCAATTGTCAAACCTGACGCGCAGTCTACCACGAGACGTCAGCGAGATTGTGCGACGAGTTTGTGTAACAGGGACAAACAACGACAGGTCATTTATTTGGGTCGTGGTCGACGTGACGACTCATCGGGACGTGTATGCAGGTACGAGTCGCTTGCATATGAGATAAATTGTTGCGGGGCACGATGCAGGGAGACCAAAAACGACATTAATACGGATTTTTGAATGCATTTGGATAAGTTATGGCTGCTGTCTAAAGGAGACTTGCCATGGTCTTTTTGAACTCCTCATACCATCGACATGCGCCTGCATCGGCTAGTGTCCAGCCAGATGATTATCCTAGAAAAGCTTTGTTTACCACTTCCAGCCGTCGGAACCAAGTTCTGGGATATCGTCGCCAAAGTATTGACACAGCGCAACCTTGCATCGTTGTTCTTGTGCGATCTTAAGCTTGGTAGACCTTGTGTGTTTGCGCTTACTCCTCTTCCTCTTCGGACTCCAAGGGCCAGAGTCTTCCGAAAGGCTGAAGGGTAATTGCAGAAAGCGCACTTGTAGGAGAATGCGATCGAGCTTTTGTGCGAACAGGCGCTGCACTTCATCAACATGGTCTCCTCCTTAGGTCCCTTGAGGAAGCGTACGAGAAGGCGACCTACAAAAGGGCCCTCATCTTGGATCATCTCGACGAAGTTGTCTTGCTTGGCCAACTTGTGCAAGTGCTTTGCGCAGAAAGCAGCAGCAGCAGCTTGGACGGAGGGATCCGCGATGTGGCCCATGGAGGGACCGGTGAGCTTCTGGATTCTGGCAACGAAGTCGTCGCTTTCCCAGGTAATCTCCATGAGATCCTCGAACTTCTTGACAACGATGGGGCGGAGAGAAGGGACATCGTACTTGTCTGCAACAGCGTACACATTGATATGGAAGAGAAGGTCCTCATTCGTACTGTAGGGGGCCGAGTCGTCGACAGTGTTCCCCTCAATCATCATGTCGTAGGGAAGGTCGTAGATGTGACGGATCATAGCGAGGATAGCTTCAGGATCCTCGTCATCACCGAGGTCAACTTCATTGCTTGAGGCAACCTGCGTCGTATCAGTGATGAGCTTAGCAGAAGTGGATGCCAAATTGCTCACAGGAAACTGGCTTGAGAATGCCCTGAAGAAGTACTCAGATTTGCGCGCAAGGACTACCTTGTGGCAGGAGAGCTGCTGTCCGCCAAACTTGAGCGTGACATCGGAGAGAAATTCGTTGTTGAAGAAGCTGCTTTTTGGTCAGCAGTTGTAGATTCTGCGCTGTGAGGAACAATTGATAGACTTTCTGTCGCTGCTGCTAGCAGAACCGCTCGTAGCCATTTTGGACAGAGAGAAAGGGACAAGGCTCTAGATCGCAGATCTGAGGCTCAGGGATTCGAATTACAGTCAGTATAATCCTACAAAAGTGAGGTGTTGTCTGATGTGGAAGCACTTGAGCGCACACGCCAGCGCAAACAGCAATATCAAGATCCGAACACACAAACAGCAATGCCGCATAGTGCATTTGGCACGGGCAGACAAATGTTTTCCTATCCGGATTCATGCATAGATTATCTCGTGTATTAGGTCCACGTCTCGAAGAAGGAAATGGAAAGAAAACCTCTATCTTCAACTCACACTGGTTCAAGAATACGAACGGAGGGTAGCAAATGATTCCTTCTTTTTTTTTTTTCGTGGTAAGCTATCGATGGAAGAATCGCTCTGTCTGTTGTATCGTGATTTCCCCTCATGATAGCAGTCACCTAGAGCAATGAGAAGAGCCTCCACACACAGGCAGTGGAGAGTGGCTAGAGTATAAAAGGGAACCATGAGGTTAATGAAGAAGCTTGGAAGGCGGGATATATGTTTGTGATAGATTGTCCAGACAGACAGCTTCGTAGCGCCGCCTACCCAGGACATATTGATGCAGCATACTGCAAGGATGCCTACTCAATCAAATCAAGTTGATGGCGAGACACGGCTTGGTGCAGCAAAATGCAGGAGATGATGTCTCCAGTGCTTCCCCACACGAGTCATGAGAGCTTCGAGGCCGCGCGTGCACGGACCATAAAGATTTCTGGACAAAAAACCAAAAAGTGCAGTGAAGCTTTTGAGCAGCAGAACTTGTGTAGCTTTTGATTCGACCTTCCTTGCAGACCCATTCAACCAATCTACACCGACCTTCACTACATATCTCCGTCGAGTCACCCTTTGCGAAGCTTCGTCCGTCAATTGCGCATACACTCCAGATCGCGATCCGCATATATCACAATGTCCGACATCAAGGCCACTCCTACCGCTGAGGCCGACCCTGCCGCCACCTCGATCCAGAACGACAAGACTGTCGAGCAAACTTCCAACCCCGACCAGACCACTGAGCTCTCAGCTGCACCTACCACCTCCGAAGATGCTGTGAAGGCCGAGGCCAAGACCGAGGAGCAGAATGAGAAGAAGGAAGAGGCCGCTGAGACCAAGACTGAGGAGGGTACGACTATCCATGGCGCGCACAGTCATTGCGTAATCACTGACAATAACATAGCTCCCAAGCCTGCCGAGAACCAAGGCGAGAAGAGAGGTGGACGCAACCAGGGCGCAGGTCGCAACCCTAAGCGCGTCAGATCCAACTACGATGAACTGCCAGAGAGCAGCGACCCTGAGGAGATCCGTCGCCAAGTCGAGTTCTACTTCTCCGACTCCAACCTTCCCACCGACAACTACCTCCTCAAGCAGACTGGCGGCCACAAGAACCTCCCTGTCGATCTCAAGGTCATTCACAACTTCAAGCGCATGCGCCACTTCCAGCCCTACTCCGCTGTCCTCGAGGCTTGCAAGGCTAGTGCTCTGATCAACGTTACTGACGATGGCCAAATCACCCGCAAGGAGCCCATCAGCGACAAGTTCAGCGATAACGTCGACGAGAACCGCAAGATGCTCGAGAACCAGACCATGGCCCGCAGCATCTATGCCAAGGGCTTCGGCGAGGAGAAGCCCACCAGCCAGACCGACATCGAGGAGTTCTTCAGCGTTTACGGTACTTTCAACGCAGTTCGCCTACGCAGACACCAAAACGGTGACTTCAAGGGCAGCGTTTTTGTCGAGTTCTCGGACGAGAAGACTGCCGAGGACTTCCTCAAGCTTGACCCTAAGCCTGCATTCCAGGGTCAGGAGCTGAACATCAAGAGCAAGCAAGCTTACGTGGATGAGAAGCTCGAGGGCATCAAGAACGGCACCATCACCCCCAACGACAACTGGAAGGAGAGAAGAGCCAACGACCAGCGCGGTGACCGCAACGGCCGTGGAAACGGAAGAGGTCGTGGCGGTCGTGGTGGACGCGGTGGAAGAGGAGGACGTGGTGGTCGCGGAGGCCGCGGTGGTGATCGTGGTGATCGCGAGGACCGCAAGCGCGGTCGTGAGGAGGATGGCCAGCAGAGCGAGGCCAAGAAGACCAAGACCGAGGAATAGGTGGTGATGAGATGGTCGAGGGTGGATGGGATATGATCTTGCTTGACGACTAAAGTGATATTGCATGGGTCATGGCGTTTCTGTTCCTTTAAAAAGGACTGGGAGGTGGTTGTACAATTTCCGGGCTTGATACCTGCGAGTGGTTAGATGAAGGACTACCTCAGAAAAGCAATTTACTGATTTCTGATTCATCTTTTATGACAGACTCGGCATGAGTAGGTCTTGTTTCCGCTTGTCATTGTCCTGCATCCAAACCGCAATAGTGTTCTTGACTTCATCTGGAAGAAACCGAAGCTTTTATCTTGAATGTTTGTCATTGAATTCATGACCTCTACTTCTTGAATGGAAGCTTCTTGACATCCGGTAATACAATACCTTTCTTGAAAATGGATTACCATCACCTCTGCCGTGGATGTCTGCATTCGAGATCAATGTCACAGCAAGGTCAGGGTGTTGCCCCAAACCATTGGGTTTCCCAAGTCCGCAAAGTCCGAAGCACGTCCAGAAAGTCTACACGACGATCTCGAGGTGATGCGACAACTTGTCAACACGTTACACTTGCACCATATTATATTCAGGCGAGCCTCTATCGGACAGTTCGAATTGACACCGAAGGGTCTACCAGCAAGACCTTGAGCGAAGAACCCTCACCCCTGTACCACAATCACCAACAACCTCTTCGAGCACACGACCTATCATGAACAAACTCCTTCCTTGGGTCACCACGTGCGCCAAAGGCGGCTTCATCGGCATAACCACCATGATAACCATAAACGATCACTTCTTCGAATCCATAACAGTGACAGGTGTCTCCATGGCCCCCACCCTCTCGGCCTCTTTCAATGAAACCGGCGAAAAAGACGTGCTGCTCATGAAAAAGTGGAAACCAACCAAGGACCTACAAAGAGGAGATGTGGTGATGCTGAATCTCCCACACAAGCCGGAAAAGCTGGGGATCAAGAGAGTGGTTGCTTTGGAGGGTGATTGGGTTACGTTGGATTGGAAGAGGAGGCCGAAAGATAGCATTGAGGGGCCGACTGCGGCGGGACAGGTTTGGGATGCTATTGGAGAGCAGAAAGAGTTTGGAGTTGGGAAGAGGAGGTGGAAGGTTCCTCTGGGTCATGTGTGGGTTGAGGGTGACAATACTGGCATGAGCAAAGACAGCAATGACTACGGCCCCGTGAGTTTATGTGGGCTACATAATGGTAGCAGTCGACAAGCTAACATGGTGGTTACAGGTCTCTAAATCATTGATCGCAGGAAAGGCGATATACTGTCTCTGGCCATGGGAACGCTTCGGTGAAAAGCACTGGACCGGTTACAAGATAAAGACCAAAGTCGAGCGAGCTACAAATGTTGATGTCGGTCAGTGGGAGAACTTGTTCTGAGCACGGTTTGAATGTATCGATTAAGGTGAGCTTCTCATCTCCCAACCTACTTCTTGAAAACCGTCTCGATCTCCTTGCACACTGCTTCTGTCACTTCTTTGGTATTGCTGTTTCCTGCCAAGTCCTTTGTTTTGACGCCAGCCTTAGTCACATTCTCAATCGCTAGCATAAGCTTGTCAGCGGTGCTGTCCAATCTACCCTGACCAAGCCACCTGACCATCTCCGCTGCACTCCAGAAAGCACCAACTGGATTGGCGACACCTTTGCCTGCAATATCAGGAGCACTGCCGTGGATGGGTTCGAACATACTTGGATGCTTTCTGGTAGGATCCAGGTTGCTGCTAGGGGCAATACCGATACTGCCACTCAGAGCAGCTGCCAAGTCACTGAGAATATCGGCATGCAGATTCGTCGCGACGATAGTGTCCAGACTTGCAGGATTGTTGACCATACGCACAGTCATGGCATCAACCAGCATCTTGTCATGTTGAACATCTGGATAATCCTCGGCGACCTCGTAAAAGACCTTGTCCCAGAGAACCATGCCATGTCTTTGGGCATTGCTCTTGGTCACCATTGTCAACTTCTTTCTTTCCCTCGACCTTGCCGTCTCAAAGGCGTATTTCATGATTCTTTCGATTCCGACACGACTGAAGATGGCTAGCTCGGTAGCGATGGTGTGTGGACTGTTCTCATGGGTTGTACCGCCCTGGCCTGCATATTCTCCCTCGCTGTTCTCGCGGATGATGATCCAGTCGAGTGTGGAAGGGTCGGTCTGGCAGGACGAGAGTGGAGATTTTGTGCCTGGCAGGATGCGTGTGGGACGGACATTGACGTATTGGTTCATGTTCTTGCGGATAGGAAGAATCAAGTTCCAGAGGGAGATGTGGTCAGGGACATCTAGGGCCTGGATCAGCATGCTTCACGACGGTGGTAAGCATGGTCAAATATACCTGGCCAACCAACAGCACCGAAATAGATGGCATCATGCTTCTGCAACTGGTCCATGCCATCTGGAGGCATATACCATCCTCTCTCCTTGAATGCTTTGCTGCTCCAATCAAAATGTGTGTAATCGAACTTGAAGCTTCCCTCTACTGCCGCCAGCTTATCCAAGACTTGGATAGCGGCTTCGGTGATCTCTGTACCGATACCATCTCCTGGAATGGAGGCAATCTTGAAGGTTTGTGTACTTGACATGTTGAATCGTATGTGTCAAAGCTGGGGAGAATTAGGACGGCACGAAATTATATTATATCACTACCGGCTATGGAGGGGTATTACAGCGGGGCTTATGTAGGTGATGCGGAGTAACAAAAGTGCGGATGAGCCGAGCTCGGAGGTGTGATGGCCCGATGACATTCACATGGCATATCACTAGCCTTAGTGACCGGATGTTAGCACTGGCGCAGTCTGAATCTCGAACCCAGCTCTTGCTACGAGACCTCATAGCGTTGTCAGGAAATGGAAGGAGCTCAAATGGCCTCGGAGGAGAACAGGCGGAGGAAGGAGCTCGGAGCTTGGCCTCGCAAAGTCCGAGGGGTGACGATGTTTACTTGCAGCTCGAATTGTTTTGCGACAATTGCGATACATCAACAAAATCATCATCCTCGCCATAATCAGATACCATAGTGCATTTCAACAATACAGCTCTTATTTTGCATCTGATCCGCTCAGCATCATCTTCACCAAAGCATAACTAGACATACCATGGAAAAGTTCCTGCGCGACTGGCGACAGGATGCTTTGAACAAACACCAGTACGAGTCGGCCATCTTTGTCGGCGACAAGCTGCTCGCCTTGACCAGTGTGTGCCGCATCTCTTGTCTGACGTCTGTCACACTCATCTAACCTCTAATGAGCAGACAATGACAAGGATGCCTTCTGGCTGGCCCAAGTCCACTTCTCGACAGCAAACTACACTCGCGCCCTCGGTTTCCTTTCTCGACAAGACCTAATCGCTCGCAATCCGTCATGTAAATACCTCGCCGCTCACTGCTACGTCAAGCAGAGTCGATACGATGAAGCATTGCACATCCTCGGCGACAAGAATCCTGTTCACCTCATCACCTCCTCTGACCGCTCGCGACGGAAACTGCAACACCTAGACCCACGCAACCCCCTCGGAAAGATGGCAAAATTGCCCCAATTGAGATCAGACCGGGCGGACCGCAGTGAAGAAAGAGACAAGGAAGATATGAGCAATATTCGCTTCGAGGCTGCCATGTGCTATCTACGCGGTCTCTGCTATGCGAAACAAAACGCTTTCGATCGCGCCAAAGACTGCTACAAAGATGCCGTACGGATCGATGTCCTCTGCTTCGAAGCTTTCGACCAGCTCATGAAGAACTCGCTCATGTCACCAGCTGAAGAGTGGGAATTTCTGGATTCCTTGGACTTTGACAGCGTCAGTGCTTCCGATACTCCTACATCGAGTATGCAAGAAGCTGGAGAATTTACGAAAATGCTCTACATGACGAGGTTATCAAAATACAGCAGGCCAGATGACTTCAACGCTGCAGTCGAAACTCTGTCAACGCATTACAACCTCTCTAGCAATTCGTCCATCTTGTTGTCCAAGGCTGAACTGCTTTTTACGAATCGCCGCTTCCGAGACGCTCTTGCCTTAACCACTCAAATACTCGAAACCGACCCTTACAATTTTTCTGCTCTACCTGTTCATCTAGCCGCCCTCTTCGAACTCAAGGAAACAAACGCCCTCTTCCTGCTCTCGCATGATTTAGCAGATACACACCCAGAAGAAGCGTGTACTTGGCTAGCAGTAGGAACATACTATCTCAGCATTAACCGCATTCCCGAAGCTCGCGGTTACTTCTCAAAAGCGTCTTTGATGGACCCCCACTTTGGGCCCGCCTGGATCGGTTTTGCCCACACCTTTGCTGCAGAAGGTGAACACGATCAAGCCATCTCTGCTTACTCGACAGCCGCCCGCTTGTTCCAAGGCACTCATCTTCCTCAACTCTTCCTCGGTATGCAAAATCTCTGTCTCGGCAACCTGAGCCTGGCAAGAGAGTACCTGGAGACTGCATACACAATGTGCGAGAATGATCCTCTGGTGCTCAACGAGATGGGCGTTACATATTACCAAGATCAGCAATTTGACTCTGCGATACGCACGTTCGAGCTTGCCATTTCCATCGCTGAGGAGGTTTCTGCTTCTTCAGCGCCAGCCGCGAGTTTGGATATCAAGACTAATCTTGCACATGCCTATCGCCGCAACCAACAATACTCGAAAGCTCTTGACACATTTTCAGAGGTATTGAGGTTAGGCGGTAAAGATGCAGGTATCTTCTCTGCCAAAGGACTGGTGTTGCTCGAGTTGGAAGAGTGGTTCGAAGCGACTGTTGTTCTGCATGAAGCACTCGCTCTATCGCCACAAGATCCTATCGCTACCGAATTACTCTCTCGCGCATTGGAAGGCCTAGAAGGAGAAACGCCAGTAGCAGATGCAGAAGACGAAGAAATGGACAGCATACTAGAAAGCAAACTCGCCATTGCAGAACAAAGAAACAGGAGAAGAGGAAGAGCAAGGTTAGGCATGGACAGTGAGATGGAGAATTCAGAGATTCAGGATGTGACGGAGGTTAGTGGAGTGGACGAAGAGGATTGGACTGGAGCAGATGAGTCTGAAGTCTAGAATGCTGAGGTTGCTTGGAGAGGGAGGTGACTTGGATGGTTTTTCTTTCTTCTAGTATTACGATACCATTTTTCTCTTCTTGAACGACGAGATATTCCAATTGAACTGTGCATATATGCAATGGCAGTGACGGTGAGTCTTTGGAGATGAGAGTGACTCAGGACTGCAGTTCCTCAGTCGTAGACACGCTCCATCAGGCAAACGTCACCGAATGTTGCGCATATCCCAAGCTGATCAGTCTGTCATCCAAGAAGCTGATCGGCAGCAAGAACTTACAAGCGACCCAGTCATCGTCGCTCTCATGCTCGAATTGTTCAACTCACCGTCACGTTTCCCACTCGCATCAGACAACAGCCTACTCTTCACTTCAGCTCCATTACATCCGGTTGAGTCAGGTCCTGTTTTGCCTTCCCGTCGTGCCGCAATCAGAATGCTGTGCACTCTGGCGATGGGGACTGTGGTTGAGGATACCCAAGGATATGAGTGGAGGTTGGTAGGCGCGACCGATGCGAACTCAAGCGAGTCAAAGAGCCTTCGATGAGGTTCGTCCGTTCTAGGCAAGTCGTACAAATGAGCGTGCTGGGTAGCAACGATAGATCTCGAGGGAAGAACGATGCATCAAAGAAGAGGAAGGGATAACGATGATGTGAATAGGACAGTGAAGGAAGATGAAGGAGGGATGTACGATATGAGGGCTTGCTTGGTTAAGAAACACTACGATCCGTAGAAGTGGCTTCAGAAGTCAGACGCATACAGATAAGATATTGAGTTTTCAGTCATTTTTGAGGCCATGTTTCGAGACGTATTGAGGGAAAAGAAACAGAGTCAAGGTGTAAGGAAGTCGCAGTTCGAAGTGAGCGATTCTTGGACATCGGGCTCGGGTGAAACGACGCCGAGATGACTTGCCTTCTTTCGCCTTGTGCTCCTTTCATGTGAAGATTCACAACTTCTTTTCTTTTTCAGAGCTGCTGAGCTTTGCGACCGAAGCGCCATGTATACCAGATCTGCTTACAGGAGTCACGACTCTGTTTGTGATTATCGTAAAGCGTGGAAGATTGACAGCGCGAGAGAGGGGCAGTGTGCCTCGGCTGCGATCCACATTGTGGACTTGAATCGATTCAAGAACAACCCCTCCATGTAACCCCGCCAATGCTCTTTCCTACTCATTCTAAAGGGCATACTGGAAAGACACGCATACTTCAAAATGGCTACAAGACTGGTTTCCTCATCCACCGATGGATTCTTCCAAGAGTTACCAGTCGTACCATCCCTTTTCACCACCTTGGACCAGAAAACAACCACCAAGGCAGATGTAATCTCAGACGACAAAGCATTCGCCAGAGTTCTTGAACTCTACCTGCCTTCATCAGCACAACAGCCTCTCCAAGCAATTCATGAGATGAGTCGACTTGCACTTCGCCCAGACATTCTAGCACATTCAGTCGATGCAGAGACCAATCATCCCAAATTACGGCCCTTCAACACTTTCGGTCAAGAAAACAAGAATGATCCGTTGTGGACTACGGCGGGCTGGAAAGCGCTCAAGGCTATATATCAGGAGAATGGTCTGATTAGTGTCGCTTACGACACAACGAATCAAGATTGGAATAGACGTGTGCATCAATTCGCCCTGGGCCATGCTTACATCTGTACGGGAACATTGACAGGCTGTCCCATGGCTATGAGCGATGGTGCGGCAAAGTTACTCCAAGGACATCTTGACAAGCCAGATGGAAATCAACCTGGTTTAAACAGAATCGTAAACGAAGCATATCGGAGACTCATCTCTAACAATCCAAAAGAAGCTTGGACAGCAGGACAATGGATGACAGAGCGCTCCGGCGGCAGCGACGTCAGCGGCACCGAAACGTATGCAAGGAGACTTGATGCTTCAGAACTGGCCGAGGAGTCTCGAAAAGGTCGAGTTCTTGATGCCCATGGTATGCCTCTTGGCCCATGGTGTATCAATGGTTTCAAATGGTTCAGTAGCGCTACTGACTCCGATATGACAATGATGCTTGCTCAAACTGACAGCGGTCTCTCGTTGTTCTACGCACCCACTCGTCGCCGTGTGCCCGCGACAGGCAATGCCCCTTCTTCCGAACTCAATGGCATTCGCATCCAGCGGCTCAAAGACAAACTCGGCACTAAATCGCTTCCCACAGCAGAGCTAGAACTCAAGGGCGTCCGCGCATACCTCATCGGCGAAGAAGGACGCGGCGTAAAGGAGATTTCTGCTATTCTGAACATGACGCGTTTGTACACTGCACACGCCGGCGTTGGCTACTGGGCTCGCGGGTTGCAAGTCTGCCGCGCTCACGCTCGCGTTCGAAAAGTACGAGGTGGACTCCTTCAAGACAATCCAGCGCATCTGAGATGGATGGCCAGCGAGACGGTAAAGTATACCGCAGCCACGCACTTCGCTTTCTTCGGGATCGCAATGCACGGTGCCATGGAACAAAATCCAGACAAAGTGGTTGGCAGCACCAAAGCTTCCTCCTTGATTCCTTCAGCCAAGGACGAATTGGCCATTCTACTACGCCTCCTGACTCCAGTGATGAAGAGCCAGATTACGCTGGCAAGCGTAGCAGGCCTAAGAGAATCGATGGAGTGTCTGGGTGGCGTCGGATATTGTGAGAACAATGAAGATGGCGGCCTCATGAACATCTCCAGAATTTTCCGGGATGCGCAGTCTGGACCCATCTGGGAAGGCACCGTGAGCGTCATGGCCGAAGACGTAGTCAGGGTCATCACAGACAAGCGCATTGGAGGAGGCAAGGTCATCCAGACAGTATATTCTCCTTGGGTGCGCCGCGTTCTGACTGAATGCAACCCAACGTTTTCCAGCGAGGTTGAGCTTGTATTGGTCAGACTCACGGCATTGGAGAATATGGTCAAAACCATCGACAAAGAGCAGCTATTATTTCAAGGACGCGAGTTGCTGCAACATCTTGAATGGGTGACTTGTGCGGTATTGCTCATGTACGATGCTTGTACTGATGAAGATGAAATCGCGACTGAGATAGCGCGAAGGTGGGCAAGAAGCCATCCCATGAGTCCGACCACTTTCCAACCCCTAAGCGGACCCAGTTGGGCGGAAGTATCGAAGATGGACAAGAAAATATTCCTAGGCACCAGTGGGATTGATTCCAGCAGGACGACTGCAAAGCTGTAGAAAGCGTCATCAGTAAGACTAGCAGTACTTTGTCTTCCACCTCAGCGTGAACTTCTTCTTCCGGCACTCATCGTTCTCGTCGCATTCTCTCAATGAGATCCTCTCTGTTCCCGTCGCATCGTCTGCACATACATCGTACGTCAGAGGCTGTAGCTTTCGAATCGCTTTCTCAAGTTCAACTTCAGTGTACCCTCCGGTGTCACGACCGAGACTATCTTGCACAGCCGATGCCAAATCAAGTACCGCACGCCAAGTCCCCATGGCACCACGTTTCTGCAAACTTTGACTTTTGATCTCGACGAGAAGCCAGAGTATTGCGGTGATGAGGAGCCAGATGCTGTTGACGGAGGTAAGGAGGATGGTGTATTGATACGAGAAGCCCTAGTTTGGCACAATGTTCAGTTTCACACAATGTTCAGTTTCGCTCTGTCTTGTTTCACTATCATCATAGGCCATGTACTCACCCATGCATAATCTGTTGAGGGCAGGCATCGAAAGTTGTTCTTGTCTGTCCACCACGTCGTATTGGGCATGTAATTTGGCCGCTGAAAGAGGTCTTGAAGCCCAAGCATATAGCGATTCATACACGATGCGGATGGGTATTTGGTAAGCAATTTCTGGCGCGTGGGATCTGTGGCTCGATAATCACCGGATGCAAACCAATCGCCTCCGGACTCGACATCAAAGTAAGCGTCTGCCCAGAACATGCCCATCTCGTTTACGTCCAGGCACTGCTCGAAAAGCATAGTGCCGTTTTTGCTATCAGATGACGATATTACTATCGCCGTTGGAATCATGTTAACCTCCATAGACCAATTTGGCGAGATCGTGACGTTGTTTAGCATCGTGACGTTCTCAGGAGGTTTGGGGTCGTGAATAACATCATTAAGTATAGCATGCTCCACAGTAAAGTTCATGGTTCTTGTTTCCAGCAGAGTACCATTAGGAAACTTGAGCTGTGACGGCCAGCAAAATTAGTTTCGAGGGTCTTGGTGATAATTGATTGAGCACACTTACCCACGTCATCTCACCAGTCACGTAGCCAGTCATCAAATCGGCCATTGTCACAATAAACAGTAAGTACACGATCGAGATGAGTATCCATATGACGGCGAATGTGTTGAATGGGCCTAGCTTGCCACGGTGTATCGTCTTAACGATGGGTCCGAAACTCAACAAACTCGTGGTGGAGAAAGCGAGAGCTGAGAAGGTCTCCGCAGACACACTCTGTTGCTCTATCAGGAGATAGAGTATTCCTGTGAACAAGCGATAGCATATGAATGCCGCAAGAACTTGGAAACCGCGACCTGCGAGTATATTCCATGCCAAATCTATGGTTTTTGCTGCAGCGAAGGAGATTTTGTCAAAGACGATGAGGTTAATGGCTACAATAATCAGCTCAGCTGTCTTTTACCTCAGACAGGCGGTGATATTGGTCTTACCAAGATCCCCAGGTGCACTTGTTGAGGCCTTGTTTGCAATTCTGGAAGATCATTAGTAAGATCGAATATGATCGTTCTCGCTGGAGATGCTTACGAGCAGTCAAAAGTGTCCCACTGTGTTGTGAATTCAATCTGAGCCATTTGTTTGTGTGTAGTGGCATACACTATCAAAGGGATGACAGAGACAAGACAGACAAGGCCTGCTGCAGGAAAGATATACCGAGGATCGATGTGTCTACCTGTATCCTTGAGAGACTTGTCACCGAAGCAGAAGGTTTTGCCTGGTCTTGGTTCTGTAAATGCTCGGGGTGATAGATGCGAGTCTTTCGTTGTAGTAGTATCATTGTGCTGGAGAACATTCTCTGACTTGGACTGGGCTTCGATAAGTTGATATTCGTAAGAAGCGGGCGACACTTCTCGTTGCGCTTTTTCGTCTTCCATCGCAGGTGCGCAAAGGAGTTTAGTGGTCCGAAGAGAATGGTCTGAATTTTGTGTAGATCAATCTCGATGGCTGTAGATTCGCGATGCGTCTGGGTCAATATCCAAGTCACAAAGCCGTATTCACTCAGCGACGACCAGAATGTCCGTTGCTAAAGATTCCAGCATAATATATTCAAACCTGAACATCGTGCTACCTTATAATAGCACGATTCATGCAGCATGACATGGCTAATATGTTCGTCAATCTGTGCGGGGGCTGTGTCCGTTGTAGGATTGCATCCGGGTTTGCAGGCTGACAGGATCACTAATTAGCGTAGAATATTCGTCGTCAATCTGTGAGATGGAAGCGAGATGGCAGTCATATTTCAAGATGAAATGGAAAGGTTGTAAGTTGTTGACGAGAGTGAGAAGTATTCAAGAGCTCGAGCATCGCTCAAGTTGTAAGGAGGTAACAACGACCTTTTCATCCGCAAGAAGGCGCATACTGTGGCGTCTGCAGTTGAACCGGGGATGCATGCGGGGACGAAACAGCCACCGACCTAACTTGTCCTGCAGGAGCATTCGAACAGGATGGCATGATCAAGATAGTCATCGATTTACACCTACATATCCTGTTCCACATCATCTTTCCCTTTTCGTTTTCATTATTGCATTACAAGAATCCGTCTATTTACCACCCTTGCCAGTAGGAATCTGGAAGAAGACAGCAGGCTCACCATTCTTGAAAGCCTTGTCAACTCTGTAGAAGCCCTTACGGTCGAACTGCATGATATCATCAACCTTGAGGTCAGCGACATTGCAGTCAGCCAAGCACTCGGTGAGGGTCGAAGTGTTGGGGTTCAAGAACTTCTCGAAGTCGTCCTCTTCCTCGAGCTTATCCTTTGTGAGCAGGTAGTCGAACTCGTAGAGCTTGACGGGAATGAGCTCCTGGTCGGTGGAGAGCCAAGTGACCTTCTTGGAGGTCTTCTTGACGTCACCTTGGAGGTGAAGCTCGAGTTCCATGGATGAGATGGGAGCATTGCCGCTGAGGGTGGCAAGAGGAGACTTGAGTGCATCGACGACGGTAGTGGACTTGGACTTGACGATAGCGTTGCCCCAGTTCATAAGAGTAATCTCCTCACCCTCGGCGAAGGAAGCGGCGTCAACCTGGTCAAGAAGAATGTTCTTGCTGAAGACAACCTTCTTCTGACCAACGGCGGGGTTCTTGGCGTGCAAGTCCTTCATGTCAGTGTGAGTGGCGGGAGCACCAGTAACAGTGACGGTGACCTTGTCCTTGGTGTCGATGGCAGTGTAACGACCGGCAATAGGGTCAATGTACTTCTTGTTGGTAGCCCAAATCTTGGTCCAGTCCATCAAAGTGATAGACTTGGAAGGACCCTGAGAGAGGATGAACTCCTGAAGAGCAGGAACGGTCATACCACGACGACGGATACCTCTGACGGTAGGCATACGAGGGTCATCCCAACCCCAGACATCGCCCTTGTCGACAATCTTTGTCAGCTTGCGCTTGGACAAGAAGGTGCGGACGAAGGCCATGCGGGCAAAGTTCCAGTTGTAGACGTGGCGCAAGTCCATAGCCTTGAGCATCCACTGGAACTGAGCATCACGGTCGTTGTACTCAGTAGTACGGAGTGCGTGAGTGACACCCTCGACAGCATCAACAACGGGGCAGGCAAAGTCGTAGGTGGGGTAGATCTTCCAGGTGTCGCCAGTGCGGTGGTGAGCCTGGGGGTTGCAGCGGTAGATGACGGGGTCACGCATGGCACCGTTGGGGTCCTGCATGTTGATCTTTGCACGGATGAACCAGGTAGTACCCTCGGGGGTGCCCTTCTTCATCTCCTCGAAGTGGGCAAGGTTGTCCTCGATCGAGTCGTTGCGGTGCTTGGAGTCGACCTTGTTCATACGCTCGTCGCGAAGAATTTCCTGAGGAGTGTTGTCGGCGTAGGCGTGACCGCTCTTGATCATCTTCACACAAGCATCGTACAGCTCCTGGAAGTAGTCGGAGGTGTGTGTGACCTGGTCGGGCTTGATGCCCATGAGCTCAAGATCCTTGACGATCGAGTCTTCGAATTCTTGCTTCTCGTTGGAGGGATTGGTGTCGTCGAATCTCAGAATCAGCTTGCCCTGGTACTTCTTGTGGGCAAAGTAGTCGTTGAGCAGAGCAGCCTTTGCGTGACCGATGTGAAGGTATCCTGAAGGCTCAGGAGGGAAACGAGTGACGACGCCCTTGTCAGTGCCCTCGAGACCAATGTCGTAGTTGCCCTGGTCTGCCTTGCCCTCGGCCTTCTTGGCCATTTCCTTGCCACGGCTGGCCAGCTCGACAACGGGACGCTCCGTCTCTTCGATGAAGTTGAACCAGCGGCTGACATTGATGTAGAGGCCCTGCTTGATGACGGACGAGTGGGCAATGCGGTTGCCGCGAATGGCCTTCCAGACATCGAGGTCGGCGTCGGTGGCCGAGTAGCCAACAATGTAGGTGCGGAGGGTGAGGTGTGCGTCGAGCTCGGCAATGGGGCCCTCGATCTGCTTGAGGTTAAGAGGCTTGAAGGCCTCTGCGCGCTTTTGCCATTCGGCGATTTGTGCTGCTGCCATTTTGGTATGTCTGTGACGAAACAAGTTCAATCGCGAATTTCAATAACCAGAGCTCAACCCCGCCGCCCGTCGTGAGTCATGCGCCAAGATTTTGGGTCCCACTTGTCACCCTGACCAACCACACAAGTACTGATTTGAGCTTCTGAGTCTGTTCGACTGATGGACAATCAATCATTGATTCGCTCGGCTTAGAATTGTGAACTATGAAGAGGACTCACTCCAGCGTGCATTGAAAACGGGCAGCAAATTCAGAGAAGCTCACGCTATGGTATACACAGGTCATGGAGAAGGAACAAGAACGGTATAAATACATGCAAGAAGAATTGGTTATAAAAAGCAACGAAAGCAAATCGCTAGGCACCTTTCCCCATTCCTTTGCGCCTAGCGCTATGCACGAAAAGACTCCAAAACGTATCAAATACTCTCAAATCAATATCACTGCTTCTCCCCCTCTACAGCCAAGCCTGCCACAACGCATCAGTTGTGCATAGGTTCTTGGGCTCAGTAGCCTTGGCCACGAGGTCAAGCACGCTCTGACTGGCTGGCAAGTTCTTCGCATCAGGCTCCTTCGCCATAGCCACTGCCTTCTTGACAATGCCGGTAGCATTGCGGTAGACATGCTCGCGCAATTCGCCATCCTTGATGCTTTGCTTGTGCTGCTGTAGTGACCAGAAGTTCATTTCGTCGCGAATGAAGATGCTCAATTGGCCCTCCAAGTCTGAAGTATTGCTCTCGGTCTCGTCTTGGTTGTTGCCTCCGTTGCCTGAGCCGGAGGGTGTAGGAACGGCGGGTGGAGTAGAGGTGGTAGGCGAAGAAGACGAGTCGGTCAAGCAGCGAGCGATGGCCATCAGAGCGGCGACGAAGATACCCTCGGTATGAATCGGGCCCATCAAGGTTTGCAGGTTGGGTGTAAGACGGAAAGGCACCGCTTCTGGGTTATGGAAGTACGGCTTGGCGGCAGCCATTGCAGGAACCAACTCTGATCCCCAAATATTGCCAGTACCCCTCGAGATAGACATCTTGTGAGGATAACGCATCGTCATGTGCATGGTGAATGTGATGAACGTCAGAGCAGCCAACTGTGCAGAGAACTGGCGACGGAATAGCCAGAGCGAGTCGTATGAGGGGTACGTCTGCTGGAAGTAGTCCTGAACGATGTCGTTCGGAACGTACTTCTCTTGAATTGCGTTGAAAGTCTCGAGGCGAATGCTTGCAGCCTGCTCGGGTTTTTGCTGGAACCAACGGTCAGTATCACGCTCTGTTGCTTTGCTTTGGGGTTTGCTTACTGGTGTCAAAGCACGGAGCTTGTCAATCTGGAACAAGACTGGGTCGTCCTTGTTGATGCCATTACGACGACAATAGTCTTCGTAAATTCCTTGCAAACTGATGTACGAAGCATCGTCCTGAACCATACGAATGCCGGGAGACAAAGGAATCATCAGCGGCAAGTGGAACTGCAAGTTGCGACGTCTGCTCTCCTTCTTCTTCGCCAGTATGCTGTTGAAGATTCTGAACAATTGCGAAACTCTCTCCTCGCGTCTACTGTGCCTGGCTGTCGGGTGCTGGATGGCAAATGGATGTACACTTCCATCATGACCACGAATGGTTAGTCTCCTATGACAACCAGTGACGCCTCTGACCAGCTCGACATCAGGCAAGAATCGCTCGATTCTGACAAAGTCTTGGTTCTTGTCACGGTGTTGCAGATACTGCCCAGGCACCTCGACTTCGTCAAACTTCAAGAAGCGGAATTCAGCCAGATGAGTGGTCTGTTCCAGATGCCACTTGGAAGTTCTGCGATCAAGCTTCTCTTCAAATCTGTCCCTCCATCTGCGCAATTTGGCAATGTATTCGAACATTGATGGCTTCTTAGTCACAAAGTCGGCTTCGAACGACTTGCGAATGTGAGCTGGCAAGATAGATTCTGCGAATCTAGTGATATTGGCCTCGGTCGAAGGCGGCAAGTTCACACCTTGAGCGTATGAAGTTGGGTATCTGCCGACATAGGCCAAGCCATCGTTCAACAAAGCGACAATGAGACGGTAAGCATCTTCGTCCAGAGTACACTTGAAGTATTTCTGGACCTGGTCAACCATAGTCTCCATCGACAGAGCCAACAGAGGGAATGCCGTCTTGAGCGTCTGGGTGAGTTCTTCAGTATGGTCCCATGGCTTCTTAGGCTTTGGCGGCTCAGCCGCTTCAGGCTTGGGAGCTTGGCTTGCATCTTGACCTTCAACCTTGGGCTGAGGAGTGGCACTGGCAGTATCTCCATTGGGCTTGGTCTCTGACTTGGCGCCTTCAGCTGGTGCAGCACCACCAGATTGTTTGGCTTTGGCCTGCCTCTCTCTAGCTTCCTTCTGCTCTTGACTTCGCTTGATGACTGACATATCTTCACGGCTGGTACGCAGCTGGAAGTAGAGTGCTTGAGGGTAAGTCTTCGCGAGCTTACTCAGGATGCCATGAGCAATGTTGGCCTCGCTAGGGGTACGAGACAAGTTGTTGAGCAACTGAGGAATGAAAGTGATCCAGTACCACACAGGAGTTTCTCCCTTGAAGTTCTCGAATGCCTTCGCGAGTGTGTTTTCTGCATCGTCCAAACTAAGAAGCCAGAGGATTCTGCTAAGGAGCTTTCTCGACTTGGCACTCTTGTACTGGCCAGCAGCTTCAAGGTAGCAACTGATGGCTGCACTAGCCTTATCAATGCTCTCTTCAGGCTTTTCCTTGAATAGCATGTCGTTGTATCTACCCCATTCACTCCAAGCCTTTGGAAGCTTGATGTCGAAGTAAAGAGCAGTACCGAATGCATCGTTGGCTTCTTCCTTGTGGTTGAGCTTGGCCAAGAACATGCCCTTGAGTGTATAGAACTCTGCCTTCTGTTGAGCACCAAAGTAGTTAAGATTGGTGTTATTGATGACATCCAAGCCGCTGGTGAGCTCGTTGCGGTTCTGGTAACAACACTTGGCCTGCTCTCTTAGTTTGAGGAAGGCTTCTTGGATCTCGATGTTAGGGAGAGTGTAAATCCTGCTGAGTTGAGTGATGCAGACGTCAGGCATCTGGTGCTTACGAGCGACATGTGCAAAGCGATTAATAATCCAAGCAGTCTCGTGGTAACCACGGTAAGCATAAGATTGACCAGTAGCATTGCCCTGGTTCGTCGATGGCAACAGTGTCAGGTAGGTTCTATTGATCAGCTGGAAGATGTGTTGACGCCAGGTGACCAAGTCCTGCCACGAGTTAATGTCGTCCCAGAAGTTGGGTAGCCTGTCTCTCCAAGTGCCAAGAAGCAGCTTGAGCTCTTGACTCTTGACATCAAGGTTCGCAGAGGTGGTTTGAGCCAGACTGCTGCAGATTACGCTCGCGTCGTGCAATTCAACCAAGTTTTGGAAGTTCTGTAGCAACCCAATGTGAGCTTGTGTTATCTGCTTGGGAAGCTTGTGCCAGTTCTTAATCGAGAGCTGGATGTTCTCGTCGCAAATACGGTTGAAATCTTGTTGAGTTTCAGTCTTGTTGTGGAGCTTCAACAATGACATGAAGGCTTGGAAGAACATTCGGCGAGGAGTAGGAGCGTCAGACACGGCCTTTATTATAGTGTCGAGCTGAGCTCGGTTATCAGGCTCCTCCCAAGCGTCAAAGTTGCGCCAGGTTGCCTCGAGGAAGAGATCGTTCAGGTTTTCGTGCTTGGCAAAGTCACCCAAAATCTCCCATTGCTGGAGTTTCTCGGCACAGTAAACCCAGTGATCTTCCCAAAGCATGTACTCGCCAGGTGAGAACGCAATCGAGCCAGTACGAGCCTTGATTTGGGCTTGCTCATACATTGCTTGTGCCTTGTCCCAGACGCCATTCTGCTCGTACGAGAGAGCAGCATTCGTCTCGACGAATTGGCATCTTCTACGCCAAGTGCCATAGAAGAGGTCATCTTCTTGAAGAGTGGCGTACAGTTCGACTAGTGCATCGAGATTGCTCTCGCGAGTCGCAGGAGTATCAACGATGGGCTTCATCGCCAGCTCTTCGATATAAGTGGCTGCACTGTACCACGCATTGTAGTTTTTGGCCTGGAACTTCAAAACATGTGGTGGGAACTTGACACGCGGTTTGGCACGGACGATGCCATCGATCAAAGTAGCCACGCAATTTGGACGCTTATCTGTTTGGCGTTGGTGGAAGTCCTTGGTCAAAAGGTTGATCAGACCAGTTTCCATATCCTCACGATCATCTCTTGATAGACTCGACCAGATCAAAGGGAAATAGGCAGTCCAGATGTCGTGAGCTAGGTTTGAATCAGTGTGCTGAAGATTAGCCAATGGTTCAAGGACGTCTCTCGTCTTGACTTCGCCCAGCTCTTGCACAAAGCGCTTGTGGCTCGCAATGAAGTTCTCAAACTCAGAATCGAGCATAAGGTCAGCAAGTCGTGGATCTGCGGAGTGTGTGTTGAAGAGCTTCGAGGCGGGTAGACACTTGAAGTCATCATTGTGCAGCCTCAATGAATTGTTCATGTCAATTGAACCGAACATGAGGTGGATGACTTGACTAAGCCAGAAGCTGTCGGCAAGCACATCCCACTGTTGCTCAGCCAGCAATTTGAAGAAGCGGTTGGCAGCCGTGCGGCTGAGGTTGCGATCATAGATAGTCATGAAACGAGTGCGCATGTGGATATCAGGGCTTCTGAGGCCGATAAGGAAAGCATGTTCCATGCGCACAGCCAGTTCAGATCTGAAAATCTTAGGATCCTCGTAGATTCTGATGACAAGATCGAGGAACTTGTGGTAGAGCGTCAAATCGGATCGATTCTCAAACATGAGCATCTTCTGCAACACAGCAGTTTTCTCCTTGAGAGTGGGGACGGGCTCTGTTGAGTTGAAGACCCATTCTTCGACCATGCTGAGAATCTTTTCACAAAGTGTGTTGTTCTGCGATCTCTCGACGAGCGAGGCGAGAACACTCAAATAAGGCCTGCGCTGCTCGCCAAGTGCAGCAATACGAGCTGAAAGCATCTCAATCACTCTGATGATCAAGACAGTGTTGAGGTCGACCTCTTGAGGATTGGCGGGAAGCTGAGCTGCGACTCCGTTTGCAGTGGTGACTTGCTGAGGCATCTGAGCTGCAAGATGATTTTTCGCTAGATTGCCCTGCAGAGCCTTAAGAAGAGCGGGAATGTGAGTGTCAACACTATCGGCCTTCCGCTGGGAAAGAGTCCAGAGGATATTGATACCAGCGGTTTGAGCTTGAGTGTCCTTACCAGTAGCTGACATGCAATCACCCGCAAGAGTAGAGAGGAAATTGGTGAATTCCTCCGTGGGACTCTCGGCATCAGGCAGGTCTTCTTCTGATTGCTGTAGAGGGATTGCGTCCAAGATTGCCTTCATCAAGGGTTTCAGTTCAGGGAAACCTTCGACTGGCTTGTTGCAATGCAAGCAGTCCTGGATTTCAGCAATCTCGCTCTTCAATGGTTTAGCAAGGAGCTTTTGCAGTTGAGGCAGACGAGCCACAATCCACTCGTCAGATTTGGCATTGATGAGCGAGCGAAGCATCTGCAATGTGTTGATGACACGACTGGTCCAGGCCTCCATCTTCTCATCCTGCTTGGGTTCGGAGAGAAGAATCTGTTCTGTGACCTTGGGGAACATGGCATCGACATCAATGTCATCCCAATAGCCCAGCGACAAAAACCGCCACAGTAATTCTAGCGACTTTCTTATAGTCTCGTTGGAGGTTGCAGTGGGCCGCTCCTTGCCTTCCTTGGCATCCTTGCCATCGTCGGTAGAGCTCGGGACAGGGAATCTTTCAGGCAGAATAGCGATGAAGTTGACCATGTACTTTATCATCATCGTGCGGAGGGCGTACGAAGCTGAAGCGGCTTTCTTGTTTGTAGCAGGTGCTTCGTTGTTAGGAGACTGAGGACCGGAGAGCGATCCGTTCTCCTTCACAGTACGTTCTTCCCAGTGCCAGATCATGCTGAAGAGGTTGATAGCCAGTCGCTTGTTCTCAGTTGAGGGATTGGGCAACTGTGCGACCTTATTGAGCGAAGGAATGATAATGGATGCGAAAGACTCTCTAGCCTCATAGAAGAGATCAGGGTGTCTAACGAGGAATTGGAAGATACTTGTGAGCTGTGGCGTGTTCGAAGTCTCTTCACTGAGAATGCGACGAGGAATGCGAGTCCAAGCAGGTGCTCTTGCTTGTTCACCACCGGTTCTCTTGACAAGGACGGGCTCAAGAATCTCAAGAGCTTGCATAACGAGTGGTCGACCTTCAGCTTGATGTGCTCCCAGTAACTTGCCGTAAATTTGTACAACAATCTTAGCGGGAGTGTCGTAATGGGCAATGAAGTATGAGATCAATGCGTACGAAGCATACTTGTTGATGGTATCCTCAAGTCTGATATATGTCCATCCGAACATGATCACATCCTTGCGTGCATCAGACAGCATATTGTGATGATACTTAAGAAGCATAGAAGTCAGCTGAATCAATTCCATCCTTGACTGATCGACGCCAGGCTGGGTAGGGTCTTCAGAGATGTCACTGTTGGCTTGCGGCTTCCACAACTTGGCGTGCACAATGTCCGTCATGGATTTGTCGAAAAGCTCAGTACCCTTGTTGTTGCCGAAGAGACTCTCCCAGTTGCGTTGAATGTCCATGGCGAAGACAGGGTTCAGAATGTAGTGGAACACGAATGATTTCATGCGCGGTGTCTTCTGTCGGTTGGTGTAGATATCGATGCAGCGCACGGCAACTGAACGTTGATACTCAACTGATGTGCTGGTGATGATAAACTCATAGATGAAGTGGAACAAGCGGTGTGATTCTGCAAGTTCATCGTTGGCGCAGGCTTGAACGAGATCAAAGAAGAAATCCAGATCATCCGGCTTTTCGGACAGGTATCTTGTGAGGATGATCATAAGCTGATCGCCAACCTGCTCGACTGGTAGACGAAGTGGCGAAGCCAATGTCTTGTTTTGCAACTTCTTCTGTAACGATTGGGCTGCCTCAAACAGAGCCAATCTCGTCTTGTCGTGTTTCGTGAGCCAAGCACGAGACTCAGAGAACTCTGACAAAGACAGAGCGACATGGACAGCATTGACTGCTGCTTGATCTTTTTCGGCATCGGTCAACCCTTCTCCAGTCAATGGCGACCAGAAAGAATCTGATTCCATCACGGCTGTACGCAGTGGCGCAGCTGCCTGATCTGAGAGGATCTGAGCAAAGAACCTGCCCTTCGCCTCGTCCTTCAAGTTTGCACTGAAGTGCTCCAAGGCCTCCTTTGAGTAGTGGTTGAGGTACTTAATCAATGGCTCGCGGAAGGGACTGAAGTGAGTTCTGCGCAGACTACGTTCAAGCTCAAGAACCCTTTCGACCAGCGTAGGGAGGAATTGCACGGCTGCAGCAGGAAGAAGATGGAAGACCCCGAAGATTGCGGTAACAACGCGCATCTTAGGATTTTGCTCGATGAGAGAGAATGAAACTTTTTGCAGGCTTTGAGCGTCCGCAATATGTTTCATATGGTCTAAGAGACGAGAACCGATCTCAACCTTGAAATAGTTGGTAAGAAGCTGGAGAAGTGTGCGCAGACCTTCAAGGCCCTCAACACTCAACTTGCGAGGGTCCTGAACATTCATAAGGATGGGCCTCAAGCCGCTCTGGAGGAGATCCTTGGGTAGCTTCTGAGTAGCTTGTAGGACTATTTGCAGACCAGCATTGGCGGTCGTCTTGACTTCGACGTTTCTCGAGTACAAAGATTTGAAGAAGACAGTGATGATACGGCTGCGGTGTTGCGCGTGCGGAGAGTTGTTGAACGCAGGCAGACGAATTGCAGTAGTCAGCAGACGAAGGCAAGAGACTCTGAGGTTGACGATTGACTCAGCGCTTCTGTGCTCCATTGGCTTTGGTGCAAGCGTCTCGTCTTCAGCGTCCGCTAGAGCCAATGTCTCCATAAGTGATCGGTTGAGACGGTCTTCGAATTGTAAGACCTCGTTCTCCATGTCCAAGCAGAAATTCAAGGCATCGATATATCCAATCTGCACTGCGAAGGGTAGCGCTCTAAGTGGTTTGTTGAAGATAGGTTGAAGAACCAACTCCTTGACCGGCTTGACGATCTCGTAAAGCTTGACACCAACAACCTCTGCAAGCAGTCGAAGACCATCTTGAGCTGCCTCACGAACATGTCGGTTCATGTGTGACACTTCCCCAACGAGTTTGTTCGACACATTATGTAGAAGAGTGTTCGCCGTGCCAATATCAGTTGTTGGTGTGCCTTGGTTGCATTTTCTGATTATGTCCTGCAGCACGTCTTTGGCTTGAACACGTACATTGGCTGGAAGATCTTGAGGCATATCCTTCATCACGAAGAAAAGGGCTCGGATGAGCTCAAGTTGACGGTCTTTCAACCAAGCAGTGCTGAAGTTCAGCTTGTTGACGATGTAATCGATACCAGCAGTACCTCCAGATTTTGAGAACCATTCTTCCTCGAAGCAGTGATGAATGAGAGATTTTGTGAGCTCGCGGAAGAACGGCAAGCGCTCGACGCGATCTTCAGCCCCAAAAATCATGGCTGCCGACTTCCACATGGTGTCCAGAGCGTTGAAAGCGACATCGCGAACATCTGCAGAGTCTGAGGACAAAGTGTCGGCGATTGCATCCGCAATCACCCTACTGTCGACAAATACGGGGCCTTCGCCGGACAATGGCTCGAAGGGGCGCTTAGCGTGCTTCTCTTGACCGAGCGATCGTCCAAGTTCGAGAATAGTCAAATGCTTGTAGAGGCCGTCCAAGAAGGGTGTCACGTCCTGCTTGAGTTCGGGGACTGCGGCAGCTAGCATGGCAGCCTTGATCAATTTGAGCAAGGTCGCTTGCTGGGCGTCTTTCTTCGCGACGGACTTCTCGCGCTCCGACTTCGAAAACAGATCGTGTCCAACATCGTAGTTCTTGTCGAACAAGTCGTTCGCCTGCAAGCGAACGAGTCTTGCAAAGTCATCCGGAAGATTGTCATATCCGACCAAAAGCTTGATTTGAGCTTTGACAAGATTGAGTGCTTGTTGCTTGTGGAAAGCATCAGATTTCTTCGCTGCGGCCGCCTTTGGTTGTTCTCTGAGCTTGTCGATAGCGACATCAATACCTAGCCTTGCTGGGAATGCTCTGTCTTTCATGGAGCCGATGAGCTTGATGTCATAGCTAGCTTCATCGTCCGCATACGGCTTGTATTCCAAAGCAGGAGGTGAGGTGAGAAACTTGCGGTTGCGACCTCCCAACTTACCGAGAATGCGCATAGTAGTGTGGGCATGGAAATGGCTGTAGGGTTGGGGTTTGAGATGATCCCACAGAGCAGCCATCAATTCGTCGATGACAGGGGCCATGATAGGATCGAGGTAGTCAGCAGTAAGATTGTCGACACAGAGTTCCAAGGTACGCAAACCTTGCGCAATAAGCTCAGAACCAGCACGAAGAGCCACTACAAGCGGTCGCATCAAGTAGCTCAGGTGGGGCAGCAGATGACTGAGACGGGCAGGTACAGTCAGAGACAGTTCAACAAAGAGGTCCCTGTCCTGAGGCTTGCGCGCAGAAGTGAGCAAATTGTTTAAAACTTCCAACAGCATTTCCAGCAAAGGTAGGATTTCCTTGTAAAGGTTCTCAAATCTGCCACCTCCAATACTTCTGAAGAGTGATCTGAGGAGAAGGAAATAGTTTGTGGGATCCTCAGCGGTCACTGATAGCTCAATGGATCTTGTGATGAGTTTGGTGACGTGCGGTAGCAGGACCTGCTCGTTTTGTGCAGAGAAAAGGGTGACTGCCATGAAGGACAGCTTGAAGAGCCTGAGAAGCACACTAGACTTCTGCACATCGGAAGTACCGACTTCCTCTAACCTGCCCATCAAGAATTGCAACATCATGCCGCAGAATGCAGGAGATGTTGCCTCACTAGCGAGCAAGAATTGTGCGATGTGCAGTAGAGCGGGATGGTCGAAGATCATTTCGTAGAGGTGTGGAATCTCGGCTTGGAACACTTCATGGAACGTGGCAGGGTCGATATGATGGAAGATGGTTGCAAAAGTCTCAAGAAGATCTTTCTCTTCTTTTCCACTGCTCATCATGTGGTTGTTGGCCAAGAACTCGACTGGGTTCATCATGGGTGTTTCCGTGGGTGTCTTCTCTGCGTTGTAGTATCGGAAAACCTGAGCGCCCTCGTGGAACAGCTTGATGAGCACCTTGACCTCCTCAGCATTGAATCCGTAAGAAACATCCTGCCAATTGGGAGGTACGTTGGCTGCATCCATTTCATCTCGGATACGAGTAGGATTTGAGGCACGCAACGAATAGAAGAGCGTCTTCAAGCCGTGCAAAAGGTTCTTGAACAAGAACTTGTTGTCTGCTACAGGGTCTGATCCACGATCTCTGAGGTTGTTCGTCTTAATAGGTGTTGCATTGAAGATGTCAATCTCGTCCCATTCGGGTTTTTGGTTGACATCGGCAAGGTAGTTTTCAGCACCGGCCTCCATGGTGGTCTCCGCATACTGTGCAGATGCCTTGACGGCGTTGTGGTACTGGCGGTTCATCGATGCAAACTTCTCGCCAATTGCATTCAACACCAAGGTAAGGAAGTAGCGCGCATCCTGCTTATCTTCGACCTTGGCCATGCACTCAGCCATGTTGAGCAGTAGCTTTGCACTCATGGTCTGGAAGCTAGTGCCGGGGTAGTCGTCATGCAAGTTTTTGGTATAGACAAAGATGCTCTTCTCAATCTGTGCTGGTTTCAGGTTTTCTCTCACATGGTGAATCAGATCAGCCAACATAGTGAACGCCAAAGGTCGTAATGTTTCGTAAACTGTCAAGCCGTCGCCGATCAGAGTGCGTTCGTCGAGCAACTCGTCCAACTTTGGCAAGAAAATGGTCCTGATGTTGAAGTTGACGATGTGTCTGATAGCAACCAAGAGCTCTTTTCGTGCACTAGACTTCTCTCTGGGGCAGTCTTGTAGAAGACGCACGACAATCTCTGGAAGCTCTGTCAAGAAGTCTGCGAGAAGTTTCTGGTAGACGCGCAGCAAGTAGGCCAAAAAACTCATAGTCTTCACTTGAGCAGTGACAAGCTCGCCAAATGCCGCACGGTTCTTGATGTCCTTGGCCACACCAACGAATGTTGTTCCCTTCTCTCTAGCCTCCTCGTGTGCTCTCTTTTGTGGTCCAGCTTGGAGTGAAAGGATTGCCTTGATACGGTGAACAAATGCTTCGACGTTCTTTGCTACCATGCTACGATGTGCCTGGAAGATGCTAACAACGATAATAGGGCATTCTGCGACGAGCTTGAATGACTGTGTTCCCTTTTGAAGTTGTCGAGTTTGAGGCTGGTCACTACCAACTTCAGCAGCCAAGGATGTTGTTGATGCGACCGGTGACGCGGGCCTAGGAGAGTTGTACTGTGGTGTGCCTGGAGCGACGGCAGTAGACAAACCTGCGGCTGCTGGTGTATCGAAAGTATCCTTGACGGTCTGGTCCATGGTCTGGAACAGCTCCAAGATGAGATCCAGAAATGGCTGGACTTTGCTTGCGCATGAGTTCAGGTGGTTCCTCTCAAACTCCATAATGATCTTCATGCAAAGTACAGCATTGTCCTCGTTCTCGATACGCGCGAGTTCCAACAACTTGTCGACGATTTGTGGAGCATACTGATCAGTTACGTCCGGCGTAGACATAGGCAAGCGATGTAGGATCTCGAGGGCGCAGTTTCGTAGTCGCTGTTCCGGCGATGTGCTAATGAAGACTGGAGAGCCACTGAGGATCTCGAGTAAGACGGGGACAAACTTTTGCAGAAAGACAGGGTAGGTGGTGCCCTGGCACCAATGGTCCATGCCATCACGAATCTCGATGAGGAAGTTGCATTTTGTTCGAAGATCTGCGCGGGTGGTCAGAAGATGTGGCGGCGACACAAGAAACGTGAAGCAATGTATGAATACCTGTATTGGGATCGGAGAGTTTGCTCTCGAAGATGTCCAGATTGCGCTCGGTCATGGCTGCGCTGTGCTGCACGACAGCAAGCGATGAGGTCGTTCAGCTGAGCTTCAGTAGTCGTCTTCCATCAATGGAGCGCTACAGATATCGTTGCTCGTGTGTGGTGTTCTTTATGGGGTGGTAATGGTCGAGCGCGCAAAGTAGTGTAGAGAAGACACGCGGGGTGGAAAGCGAGTTTGATTTGCGACTTTTGGGTATCTGGAACGTCGAAGTATTCAATATACTTTTGAGGAGTATTAGAGGTCGTGAAGACAGAAGGCAGAAATGCGCCGATCGACTGGATCCCAAGAAAGAACAAGCTGCCGTAAAAGAAGATGGTCGTTAAAGGCGTGAGAGTGTTGTACAGTGCAAGCTTGTAGCAACGAGGAACTGCCAGACCAAAGAGGAGGGCGCGACTGTCGCGACTTCCAACCACGCTAGCCTCCATCCCGTTAGTCTTCCCGCTCCGTGAGCCGCCCTGATTCGTCCCTCGGCTTCTTCCATCAAGACTCCGATCGATATTCTAGCACGAGCAATCTTGCACAAGACTTCGTAACATCACAGATCACTTCTGGACGGCTTGACGAGCCAATACAGATCGTTGGTACACTGTAAGCTAACAATCAGAGTAGCTGGCTACTTCCTATGTGCCAAGTACGGCCATGTAATGTCACGGAATCGATCTCGAAGACTGTATACATACCCGCTTCGATCGTCTTTCCTCTTGCTGCTTCTCTTTGAGTTGGCTTAGCAGGCGCAGGCTCTACAAAATCATTCTTCCTGTTGAAAGATTTATTCTGTTCATGTAGCACTGTCTGTCAATTCTCGGGAATTTAAATAACACTCAACGCGACATTCCTTCTATGTCCGCTCGAGAACCAATCTGGCACTTCTGCGCCTCTACACATACGCGACATTCAGCGAGTCCTCTTCTGTACACACACTTTGCTTTTGTGTTCAGCCCATTGAGCATTCTATTCGCGTTATTCACGGAGTGCAGCCGTCTCAAAATGCTGTTCAGCGGTCGTACTTTCGAGAGCCGAAAGACATCTCTGCTTAAGAAGCTGTAGTAAATGGAGAAGTCACTGACCATAAACATACGGGGTAAAGATGGAACAGCACTGAGATGCCAGGCCCCTTCTGAATGTGGTACTATGTATGCCTATCATATGTCATTACACTGTTCTGCTAACAAGAGGATAGATTTACGTCCGGGCCATTGCTCTAAATGCTTCAAGTCTACTTTGATCGGTACGCTGCTCTTTGGTTTTGCCAGACACTGAGATCCTTTTTTTTTTTTTCTTTTGAGCGGTCGAGCAGTCTGTAAACTCGAATCTCACGTGCGGCATATGTGTTAAGGGCTTCGTAGACAGTGTTCTTAAGCTTGCGATGTACTTTGGCCACTCTAGTGGTTGGCTTTGCTGCTTCAAATTGAACCATCTGCCTGCAACGGACAAATGGAGATATTATGGAAATCACCGAATGGTAATTAGTTGTTGCCTGATCATGGCAGTGATCATGTTACACAGAAACCGGCTCGAAACCCAATCATTCCTACTCCAAGTACGATATCGGCTACATGAGCAGAAAATTTTCCATGGTATGGCTCATCCTGACGGCGATTTAGATAATACCCCATGTCAACGCCGGGGAGGCTGGGGTTGTCGAGTCAGTGCGCGCTTGCTACGTCAATGTCGAGATGGAGGAGGAAGAGGGCATTAGGATATCGTCAAGACTTGACTGTGTATCGTTACTGTGCCCAAGTTACTCTCAAAAACAGCAGCCAAGTAAAGATGTGTCTGCAAGCAACAACTGCAACAAGTCACCGTAGGAGCGGGCAGTAAAGTCAAAAAATGTTATCAGGGTTCACTTATACGCTAGCCGTTTTAGGCCGCCCCTCCACGTCCATCCAAAAAATCTCGCGCCGACCATCATTTTGAACGCTTCTTTATCCATCTCACTTCCTTCTGGTGTGAGCCTTGGTAGCTCAACATAACCCACTATGGCCTCACAAACACCCTACCTGGCTCTGCCAGGCTCTTCTGCTTTCTCTGGGTTCCGTACTGCTCGTCTTGCTGCCGCAATCGGCGCCACCGAGGTCCGCGCGGTATGGATGCATTATGTGAACCCCAAGCAGGAGCTCAGCGGAGAGGATATGAAAGTTCTGGATCAGCTTCTGAAGTATGGAACTCAGCTCTCCACTCAAGACAGACTTTCACAGGTTCTTCTGGATGCTGTTCACCGTGGTGGTGATGCGAGAGACGACACCACCCGTCTCTACTACGTATCTCCTAGAGCTGGAACAATTTCACCATGGAGCTCAAAGGCTACCAGTATTGCCCACGTTTGTGGCTTGGAGAAGCAAATCAAGCGTATTGAACGCGGTATGGTCATTGCTGCAAGCTTCAAGGATGCTCCTGAGAAGGATGATATCCCCAACCCCGATGTTCTTCACGACCGTATGACTCAGACCATTGAATCTGGACCTCCGGACCTCGATTTGATGTTTGCCGAGCACGAGCCTGCAGAAGCTCAAGAAATTGAACTCTTTGCCGAAGGAAGCACACCTAAGGAGGCCCTTCAAAAGGCCAACCGTACACTTGGTCTGGCCCTCGATGCCTCAGAAATTGACTACCTGGTTGATGCCTACTCGAACCAACTGAAGCGTAACCCTATCGATGTTGAACTTTTCATGTTCGCCCAGGTCAACTCCGAGCACTGCAGACACAAGCAGTTCAACGCAGACTGGACAATCGATGGCATGCGTAAGCCTAACAGCTTGTTCGGCATGATCAGAAACACCCACAAGAAGAACCCGGGGTATGTTGTCAGTGCTTACAGCGACAATGCAGCCGTTCTTCAAGGTGAACAGGCCAGTCTCTGGGCCCCCGAGCACTCCACTGGTGAATGGAAGCAGACTAAGGAAATTGTTCATTTCTTGGCCAAGGTCGAGACTCACAACCACCCAACCGCCGTTTCTCCCTACCCTGGAGCAGCCACCGGATCTGGTGGTGAAATTCGTGACGAGGGTGCTGTTGGACAAGGCTCGAAGCCCAAGGCTGGTCTTTCTGGTTTCACCGTGTCCGATCTCCTCATTCCTGGTCATGAGCAACCATGGGAGTTGGACGTTGGAAGACCTGGCCACATTGCTAGTGCTTTGGATATCATGCTTGAGGCCCCGATCGGCAGTGCCGCTTTCAACAACGAGTTTGGCAGACCCTGCACTACTGGTTACTTCCGTACCCTGACTACCGAAGTCCCCATTGACGAGAACACCACCGAGATCAGAGGTTACCACAAGCCCATCATGCTTGCTGGTGGTGTTGGTACCGTTCGTCCTCAGCATGCTCTAAAATCAGAGGAATTTGTTAGCGCCGGCGCTTCTCTTATTGTTCTCGGTGGACCCGCTATGCTCATTGGTCTTGGAGGTGGTGCAGCTTCCAGTGTTCAGTCTGGTGAGAGCAACGTCGAACTTGACTTTGCCAGTGTGCAAAGAGGCAACGCTGAAGTCCAGAGACGTGCCCAGGAGGTCATCAACACTTGCACTTCTCTTGGATCTAACAACCCCATTCAACTCATCCACGATGTTGGCGCTGGTGGTTTGTCCAACGCTCTGCCCGAGATTGTCCACGACGCTGGACTCGGTGCCAAGTTTGAGTTGAGAGAAATCGACAATGCCGACCGCAGTCTCAGTCCTCTACAAATCTGGTGCTGTGAAGCACAAGAGCGATACGTCATGGCCATCTCCCCTGAAGGCCTGGAGCTGTTCAAGAAGATCTGCAAGCGTGAAAGATGTGGTTTCTCCGTGGTCGGTCAAGCTAGTGACCGCGCCTCGAAGGAGGAGAAGCGCCTGATTCTGATGGACCGCGATTCCGAGAAGTACCCCAGCCCTATCGACCTTCCCATGTCAATTCTCTTCGGCAAACCTCCTAAGATGTCCAGAATTGTGGATTCCAGAAAGCTCAAGCTTCCGCAGTTCGACAGCACTCTTGCGACTTACCTTCCTAAGGTCTCCACCAAGGACGTTTTCGGCGAGGCCGTCAAGCGTGTTCTGTCTCTGCCTTCCGTTGGCTCTAAGTCTTTCCTTATCACCATCGCTGACAGATCTGTTGGTGGTCTCGTTGTTCGCGACCAGATGGTCGGCCCTTGGCAGACTCCTGTCGCTGACGTTTCAGTCACTGCCACCTCGCTTCTGCCTGGCGTCAAGACTGGTGAGGCTATGGCTATGGGTGAGCGTCCTTCGCTTGCTCTCATTTCCGCAGCTGCTTCGGCCCGTATGTCGGTCGCAGAGTCCCTGATGAACTTGGCTGCTGCCAGCATTCCCGACAGACTCAAGCGTATTCGTCTCTCGGCCAACTGGATGGCTGCTAGCGGTCACCCTGGTGAGGGTGCTGCTCTCTACGAGGCTGTTGAGGCTATCGGTATGGAGCTCTGCCCTGAGCTCGGCATTTCCATTCCCGTCGGCAAGGACTCTATGTCCATGAAGATGAAGTGGCAAGATGAGAAGACCAAGGAGGCCAAGGAGGTCACTGCACCTCTCTCGTTGGTCATCTCTGCTTTCGCTCCTGTTGACCACATCGACAGAACCTGGACACCTACTCTTTCAAGACTCGAGGATGTTGGTGAGACCGTCCTGCTCTTCGTTGACCTTGCTGCTGGCAAGAAGGCGATGGGTGGTTCTGCTCTTGCTCAAGTCTTTGGCAAGATTGGTGATGAGGCTCCTGATGTTCGCGATGCTGAGGTGCTCAAGGACTTCTACGACGCCATCGAGTCGCTCCACGAGTCTGGCATTGTCCTTGCTTACCACGACCGCTCTGACGGTGGTCTCTTCACCACTCTCGTCGAGATGATGTTTGCTGGCCGTACTGGTCTTGAGGTCATGCTTGACGGTATCTCACAGTCAGATAAGACCGAGGATGTCATTGAGGCTCTGTTCAACGAGGAACTCGGAGCCGTCTTCCAGGTCAGAAAGAAGGATGAGATTGAGTTCAACCGCTGCTTCTCCAGCTGCGGACCTCCTCCCGGCATGATCAAGAAGATTGGTAGAGTTCCTGCAGCCACCAAGCAGGAGATCTCCTTCCACTACAAGACCGATGTCATCTACAGAGAGAGCCGTCACGTCTTGCAAAAGACCTGGCAATCCACTTCTGTTGCTATGCAGCGCCTCAGAGATAACCCTGAATGTGCTGACGCCGAAACTGCCAACATTGCCGACAACAAGGACCCTGGTCTCTCCTACAAGCTCACCTTCAACCCTAAGGACAACATCCTACCCTTGACTACCACCATCTCGTCGGCTCTTAGTGCCAAGCCTCGCGTCGCTATCCTGCGTGAGCAAGGTGTCAACGGTCAAGCTGAGATGGCATTCGCTTTCAACGTCGCTGGCTTCTCACCTATCGATGTGCACATGAGTGATATCCTCTCCGGTCGCGTGTCGCTTCAATCCTTCGTCGGTCTCGCAGCCTGCGGTGGCTTCTCCTACGGCGACGTTCTCGGCGCTGGTCAAGGTTGGGCCAAGAGCATCCTGCTGCACTCCGGTGCCCGCAAGGAATTCAAGGACTTCTTCGAGAGAAAAGATACTTTCGCCCTCGGTGTGTGCAACGGATGTCAATTCCTGTCTCGTCTTACAGACATTATTCCTGGCGCTGAGACCTGGCCCACTTTCGAGACCAACGTTAGTGAGCAGTACGAGGCCCGTGTGTGTATGGTTGAAGTCATGGACCAGCCCAAGCAACCCAGTGTCTTCTTGCACGGCATGGCTGGCTCGTACCTTCCCATCATCACTGCCCACGGTGAAGGTCAAGCCACCTTCGACACCAGCGCTGCTTCCTCTTCTAGCCCTCAGGCTTTGATGAACGAGGGTCTGGTCTCTATGCGCTATGTTGACAACTACCTCAAGCCTACTGAGAAGTACCCTTACAACCCTAACGGATCTCCTCAGGGTATCACTGGTGTCAGAACGCCTGATGGTCGTGTCTTGGCTATGATGCCTCACCCTGAGCGCACCATTCTCAAGGAGGTTGGCAGCTGGATGCCCAAGGATCAGTCCGACACTTGGGGTGAGTTTGGCCCTTGGGTCAGAATGTTCAAGAGCGCTAGAAAATGGGTTGGTTAGAGAAAGGGCTTGAAGACGAAATGCTAGAAATGGGAGATAATGAGAAACCTTTTTGGGTGGTTATATGGGGGAATTGGAATGGCGTTTGTTCTTTTTTTCGAGGTTGTAAAGATGGCAAAGTCGAAAAGACGGAGATTTACTAGATATAGGCTGCGGAATGCCACACAAACAATGATTTTGCATATGCTTCTTTTCCGAAATTATTTCGGTCAGTAAAAGTGTGTTTTTAATTCTCAAGCTAATCTGTCCTTGCTTTTAAAGCATCTATTGTACTCCCAGCAGAAGTGCTGTCAGACTTGATCTGATGAACCTTCATATCCATACCAACCCATAACTTCTTGCCTCTCCAGACTACCGTGACGCCTCCATAGACCGCCCATGTCCAGATGGGCAGCGCTAAAGCCTCACGAGCAAGCCAAGCAGCTAGCCAAACCAGAAAAGGTCGACGTCTGCCACCCCTCGGAGGACGTGCGAATGCTGGTGTGTTCTCGTCGACTTCTACCGATGCGCAAGAATGTAATCTGCAGTAGAGTGTCCAGTCGATATAACACCATGTGCACACGCTGCAAATCCAGAACAAAGCAAAGGCTGTCCATGTCTGAGGTATACCGAGCTTGTCATGGAATAATGGAAGCGTTGTGAAGGCGAAAGCGCCATACAACGAACACAAGAAACTCTCTGTGCCGGGCTCGACCAAAGTCGCCAACGTGACGGTAAACTTTCTCACTCTGAGCCATCTGCTTCGGCGAGCAATATATTCGGCTACACTCATACCAGCCATGGGCTGAATAGCCAAATCACCAAATACTTGAGCATGCTTGCCCCATTTCTCGCCGCGCTCTTCTTCTGGTATCTTTCCTTTCCAGAGTAAATCGCCAATGAGATGGTCCTCACAGATGTTCTCGGAGAAGAAATCGATACCTTGTCCGTTGGTGAGGCTGTTGAGATGGGATTTGCGGAACATGGTCGACTTGCCGACGATGCAAGGTGCAATCAAGACAGTGTTGATGGCTGTGTAGAATTTTGCATGTGCTGAAGACATGAACAATTCTTCAATCCTTCCGCCGCCTTCGCTCAGGATATCCGAGGATGCACTGTTGGACGACCGCAGTTGGTGGCCAGCGGTACTAGTAGAGACGACTCGGAAGTTATTGTCAGGGTCGCGGCCTTGTAGGAGACTCTGCGCACTCTCTGGGACGGGTGTGCCCGCAATATCGACGACCAATGGCAAAAGATGGACGAATTTGTTCTTGATGCCTCTGTTGCCGATCAGCGTGTCGACCATTCTTCCACAAGCGCCCCTGTTGACCCAGACATTGCAGTCGATGATCCATACGATATCTCCTTTAGCCTCTCTGTATGCCCGACTCATGTTTCTGACTTTGGGATTGGGACCAAGTCTTGTGTCTGCATCGCTTCCTTGTAGTTCGGGATCTTCCTCTTCAACCAATACATGTGCATCGAAAGTCGGATTGTCCTTGATGAGTTGCTGCAGGACAGGGAAGGCGGGGTCTTCGCGATCGGCGACGCAGAGAAAGACTGTCAATTTGTCTTTTGGATACTCCTGGAGGAAGGTCGACTCCAAGCATTGGTAGAGGCTGGGCTCGAGGCCTTTGACGGGTCGAATGATGCTGACATGTGGTGCATCTGAATTGGAGACTGTGGGCTTTGGTGGAGGATGCGAATAGTGGCGTCTCCTATATGGAGTCAGTCTAACACATCATCGTCGAGATCGTACGCACTTACAACTGAGTATAGCCCACGGCGCAAACCAGGGAGACTGCGGCGTACCACACAGTGCAGACTACCGCAGCGCCCAATGTGATGGTTGAGATATGAGTAGCATGACTACCATCACTGCGAGACACTAACGTCTCTGTAATAGCACTCAATCGGTTCATGCGCTGCGAATGTTGTGTCCTGACATTCGACAACAAAACACTCCCGACTTGTTGATCGAGGAGAAAGATGAAACTCTCGGTCCGACCACTGAAACGTCATTTTCGTCTGTCGAGTGACCCTGGTATGAATATATCGTTCTCTCCTCCCACCACGATGATACATAGATCGTGTTTTTACTCCGGGTAACATGTTGAAGATGTCCCTAGAGACGTTCATCGTAGTTTCAAGTCCTTCTGTAAGCATTTAATCAATCCCGGATAGATACGCTCAAATTTGTAAATTTGGCTCACTAATGTACCGTAACAGGTCGTCCTTTTCTTTGAACATGTCAAAAGTTTGATTTTTGGCAATGGTGCGACAGCGAGGACTACTATCGCCACCAAATCAAGATTTGAAGAATCTAGGGATGTTAGGATTCTCACGGCACTATCATTGAAAGGGTATATCACCTCCTAGTGCCTCAATATCGCGGCAGCCATCCAAGGCAATTGTTAATCGTACCGCCCTGGCTTCCCAGCCATCTCAAACTTCGATGCTAGTACTGCCAAAAACATCACGTCATTGCACAAGAACGAAGAAAGTAAGACGATAAAAAGCTACTGCATGAGCACTTCAATTGTGCCATCGTCTATGAACATGCTTTTTGTAAGCATGCTGTCAAAAAGCTAAATGCACCCCTTGTCCCAGTATAGACCAGCTCACCGGCTGACACAAGAATCCTCCCACTCTGATAGAAATGTTGCTACAAACATGACGCGCCAGTAGAATAGCAAATGCGGCGTTGGGATATGTCGCTGAAGAAGAGAACAAGCAAAGAAAGTTAATCGGTAGAAATCATCAGGGACGTGTGGTAATTTATGCGGCAACAGCCTTCCAGACTTTGTCCGCTTCGTGCTGGCCAACGCGAGCGAAGCCAACTGACAATGTTGCTTTGATCGTGTCGTTGGTGTGCTTAGGGAATCTGTCAAGGTATTAGCATTTCCTCGACCACAACATGACATGAACACATACCTCTTCTTTAGAGCTTTGAGCAGATCAACCTTGGTGAGGTTGCTGCCGTCGACAGCGTCTTTGAACTCGGCTAGTTCTGGTCCCTGCAGAGGCTTGGGAGCTGGCTTTGCAGCCTTTGTAGAGGCCACGCTCATGATCGGTCCCTTCATGCCAGACGAGGCACCGATAATGGTCATAGTGTCGTTTGTGTTTGAGCGTGGCATCAAAGGAGTCTTGGGGGGCTTCATCTTGCCGTCCAGCTGCATCTGACCGCCACTAGTCTTGGCAGCAACAACAGCTGGTAAAGATGGAGCCTGCCAGTAGCTCGTTGAAAACGGGTTGATGGAAGGCTTAGTGAGAGCTGTAAAGTGTTAGTATTACTCGACCAAAAGATGTAACGCTGAACTTACGAATGAAGAAGTCGATCTTCATACTGTCGAGATCAAAAGGAGATTCTTCAGTTGAAGACTTGAATCCGCCCTTAACATCTTCCCAGCATAGACCCGTGCTGACTGGCTTGAGGTCACCAGTGATCATGTGTCGTTTGCTGTCGGCAGCATCGTCTTCCAAGAATTCATCCATCTCCTCTGCATCGCCTACACTCTCCTCGTCTTCCTCGCCATCAGAGCCAATGTCTTCTCCCTCTTCTGGCTCTTCCCATTCAGCTTCGGAGTCATCGTCATAGTTGGTATCTTCCCTGAGTTTGCTGAAGGGGTTTTTACGTAGTGTTGCGGCGTTGGCGGAAGAGATCTTCCGTGAGTACGTGCCGTAGTAGGCTGGTCTCACATCCTCGCCGAAGTGAAGATGACGAACGGTTAAGGAATTGAGGAGGTCGGCGGGACGGTAGTGCTCGCCTGATTCATCAGTCAGGTCGATTGGAACTTGTGATGAGCCTTGTATTGACTCGATGACTTCGCGGGCAGTGGGTTGCCAGAGGCCGCGTGAACGGACCCTCTCCTCTGCGAAAAGGGCCTTTAAACAGGATGTGGGCGATGCCTTGGTTGTGATGTGTTGAAGGACTTTGTCCATCTCTTCTTGTGAAACTTGCAGCTCGTTGGAACTGAGGGCCGGAACGTAAGGGGCGCACTTAGTGTGTGCCTTGAGTTGGAATGGCAAGAAGGTCTTGCGGTAATCGCTCTGCTGGGGTGACTTCTTTGGTGTTGGAGAAGTCATAGGCACATCTGTGTCGACGGGTTCTGAGCTCGTGGTGTTCTCTTTGGCTGGAGAGGGTTGCACTGGCGTAGAGGCCGCTGGAGATTTGTTCAAGGATGGCGTCTTGAAGAACGAAGCAATCTTGGGTTGTGCCTGGACGAGGTCAGTATGTAGCCAACGATGAAGAGATACGAAAGAGACGGACGCGTGCTTTCTTCTGCTTCTCCTCTTCTTCTCTGGCCTTCTTCAGATCCTTTTCGCGCTGCTTCGCTTCCTTTTCTTCATTCTTGCGACGCTTTTCTTCATCCTTCTTCTGCTTTTCCTCGTCCCTTTTCAACTTGAGCTCAGCTTTCTCCTTGTCTTTCTTTTCCTTCTCCAGACGTCTCTCTTCCTTCTCGGCAGGAGTGTACTTTCTTCGTTTCTTTGGTGGAGCGTTAGGGTCGGCGGGTTGGTCATTGGTCCCCGACGGGGCACTGCTCAAGGCTGAACTGCTTGGTGCTGGACTCGCTTGACGAATGGAATCTTTGTTGGCGGGACTAGCAGTGAGAGGTGGAGTGGGCACCTGGCTCTCTGATTTTGAGACAGAAGTCTGGTCGTCGTCTGGTAGTGAGCGTTTACGCGAAAGGTCTGGTGATGAGATGTCCATTGGTTCCGCCATGTTTTGTGACAGCCAGCGAGAGTGGCGAAGTAATTTGGTATGAGAAAATTAGGCCGAGCAGGTCAGGTCGATTATGGTATTCAGAGTAGGCACACGTCAATGCCTGAAGCACGAGGGTGTTGGAATCGAGAAAGAGCGAGGCTAGACGACGCGTCGCAACCGCGATCAATTTGCCAAGCCTCGCTCCGCGTTCCCCGCCGCTCACTCTCTTGCTCGAGCCTTCCACTTCCGTCAACGAATCTCGAGAAGCCTGACATCTCACATTCAGATTACAATACAGCCATGAACGCAATGAAAGATGATATCGATGTTGATATGCTCTTTCATGATAGCATAGAATCTTGTGGTAGTCAAGATGTTTCCCTCTCCGACGGCCCTCAACTCAGCCGCTCAAGCAAGCATCACGACGTACTCATGCGAATCGAAGCAGTCTTTGAGACCGTAGCAGACGCTCTCCTCAACGAAAGAGCTGATGTTACAATCTCGCTTACCTCTGAATCTTCTGACACACTTCGAGATCCATTTGTTCGACCTCGCAAAACAATTTTGACCTTTCCTGGGAAGACTGCTAATGACGCCTGGAGATTCTGTTGGTGGCATTGCAAGACAGGATACACAAGATATGGAAAGCTGACATCTAGACAGCTGTGGTTATTCGAATTCTCGAGATAATACACGACTCACTTTCGGACGGCGTCATTCTGACTAAGCGGCATGTGAGGTGAGACTGACTACAAAAGACGCAAATCTAACACCGGCTCATAGCGACCTATACTATCGCGATCCGGCGTTGTTTGGCAGGCAGTCTACTGTAGACCGCTATATTGACCAGATTGCTGCCGCCTTCGCATTACCTAGGTCGTGCCTCAATGTGGTTCGCATACCAATAGCACGAGTGATTGCAACGCAACATACTAAGAATCGCAGACTGCTGGAGTGAAGGGCCTGATGGCCGGTGCCGCTGTGGTACACAGGCGAGACGGCTCGAAAATCGACCTTAATACTGTGCAGAGCAGCATTCTTGTTCCAAACATGGAAGAAGTCCTATCCGTGGATCTGAGCCGGGTCAGATGGGTGCTTGTGATTGAGAAGGAGGTGAGATTGTAGTTCTGATGTTGAACCAATAGGTGGTTGATACTGCTTCAGGCTGCGTTCCAGTCAATCGCCTCGTCTCAAGAATGGCAGGAGATGATGTGGCATGCTGTTCTCGTCACCGTAAGTCCGCAGCTGGAAGCTCTCAAGTAACCTTTCTGATGAGTTGGCCAGGGGAAAGGATATCCAGACATAGCGACAAGAGCAATGACTCGCTTCATGACGGTGGCTTCACCCCAAAATGGCTTTGCGGAACCCCCAGTCCTTGGTCTTGTAGACTATGACCCAGACGGTCTGGCCATATTACACACATACAAACACGGTTCCAAGAAAATGTCCGAGGACAATGCCGCGCTTATCGTTCCGAGGATACAATGGCTAGGCCTACACAGTCGAGCCATCACTGATGAAGACCGCACCCATCGTAACCAAGGACTACTGGCTTTGACCTTGAGAGATCGCCACAAGGCAAGAAAAATGCTTGAATGGGAGCAGAATGCCAGCTCTGACGAAAGGGCACAATGGCGTCGAGAACTGCAGGTAATGCTGATGCTGAACCTCAAGGCAGAAATGCAGATTGTCGATTCTGATTCATCAGGTCTGATAAACATGATCAAGAATGCTGCATACGGTGATACTTCCATGTGATCGATTGGACAGGTTTCATTGAACTAGCTACGTTGCTCAATTGTCGTATGACGAGGAAGAATATAGCATAGCCTATAGTACGACGCCCCGAAGAATGCTGACTATGCTATATTTCCACCAAACATTTGACTCTTTCCTACATGGTCTACAAGATTTCGGGGCGGCTCAGCTGTATTATAAATTCGCACAAGCACATGTGATCTTGTTTCACATTGATCCGTTCCTGATGTTCATGCAAGGCCAATCCTGGCAGATCCACGTTCACTGGACGGATGACACTCCATCGCACAAAATCACCTTCGTTCAAACACACCCAATCCTTCGACATGACGCGGCCTTCTGACGAAAAACACGTCGGAGAAGAAGATGCGCTTTCTACTCTCATTGTGTTGATGTGGCGCGCCGATTGCAGAATTAGGTGTCGGCGAGGGGTGTTTGCATCTTCGCGAGAGTGGACTAGTGGTTCCGGACCGGAGCTGCAGCACTGCAAGTCGAGACCACTAACACAGCTTGCGGTTCCGAAGTGATACAACAGCTCATCATATCAGATCCAGATATTACCTGGACGTGTTGTGATTCGCCGCCTCGTGAGCGCGAAGGCATGTGTAAGATGAAAGGTGTGCGCGTGGTAAGCCCCATCTGTGTTTTCCGAATACTGAGGGCCGTCTTTGCACCCTTCTTGAATACATCCTGATAGCCACCTACAACTCCGCCAGTTCCCAGCAATTTATCACTTCTCTCAAGATGCAGCAAGTTGTTCTGTCAATCATGGCGTTGCTGTCTGTGACGGCCAATGCAGCAAGCTGTCAGCTTTCAGCTTATTCATGCCTCGCCTCAAATTCTGCTGCTTATGCATACTGTACCTCTGCACTCGGTGTTGCAACAGAAGCAGTTGTCACCTCTCTGGATGTTATATCAAGGACCAAGACCCTCACGGATGTGCCCACTAGCACGGTCACCATCACCTCGACTGAATCAATTGTCTCTAAGAGCACTACAACAACATTTACGACATCTTCTGCCAAAGCAACTGGCAAACGACGCAGAGTGAGATTATCATGCGATACAGCCGAGGATATTCTATCTGGGATGGACAAGTCAGAGCTGTCAGAAGCCTGCTCTTGTATCGGAGCACTGCCGTCTATCGAAGCTGGTCTGCTCAAGGCAGCACCATCGACCACGACACTAACTGGCGAAATATGGTTCACTGTGGCGCCCGAAGTCACGACGTCAGTCACACAGACTATATCGACAACTTCTGTGTCAACAGTCAAGATGGCAGCACCTTCATTCACTCAGGTCTGGGGACCGAAAGCTGGCTGTGACGATATAGGCATGGAGTGGTCGCAAACATTCATGCTTTCAACTCTGAACGAGTCAGTGGTTACTGACGCTTGCAAAAGTACCTGCATAGGTATGTTGGCCGTATTGATTCCAACAATAAAAGATAGATATTGACGAAGATTAGAAAAACCGGATTGCATGTCCTTGTATGTCCAGTTGACCTATCCAGCGAACAACTTCTGGAGCTGCTACTACAACAACCATACATTTGATGAGAAGAAGGATCTCGATTGCAGCAAAGACGCTTCGATATGGGGCACTGCTAAAGGTCACAGGTAAGTGCTTTGATAATGTTGCAGGACAAGAGGGTTAGCTGACAGTACCAGTGTCGTTGGACGGCCTTGAGCTTGTCACGTCACGAGTGTCGATGTTCAAGAGCATGAATAGCTGGACTACTGATATTGGAAGTAGTTTGTGAAGATTGGTTCGTTGAAAGTGAGGGAGAGAATGGTATAGGATGATGAGGGAAAGTTTGCCGAAGGGACCCCGGATTGTTGACACGGACCCGTTTGTTCTGGATCGAGCCAATGACGCGGGTTTAACGGCAGGCCATGTGTTTCGTAGCAACCTGAAATAGCAATCTAATTCCCATCTAACAACACTTTCCTATGTCTGCAGACTCTCGACAGCGACGCGCTCAGTATGGATGATCTTTTGAACACGGATTGGACGGCTGCGGCGCCTGCAGCCAAGCAGAATGCCCCGCGGCCTGCCTTTGGCATGCCCATGTCTATCCCTAGTGCCGCCTCGAGCTCGCGTGCCAGTCCGGCTCCTTCACCCTTTGCCAACAACTTGCCTGCTGCCAAACCTCCGCCGAAAACCGCCTCACCTGCCAACGACATCTTTGCCAACCTTGTGTCGACGAATGCGAACAAGAACCAGGGCAATCTAAGCTTACTCGAACGCCAGAAACAGCTGCAGCAAGAGAAGATCAAACAGGAGCAGGAGCAGCGTCAGAAATATGTCCAGCAGTACGGAAACGAGGCAAACTTCTGGGACAATCTGGGCAGTGGAAAGGCGACGCCTCAGTCGGCAACGACACAGCACGTCGCGCATCCTGCTCAGGACGACGAGGACGACTTGCTAGCTGCCTTTAACTCGGCTGCTCCGGTCGACAAGTCTTCACACTTCCCTGTACCCGCCGCCTCTACTGTCCCTAGTGGTCGCAACACTCCTGCGGTTGCAAATCAGTCCAACTCCGCTTCTCTACTCGCAGATGACGACGATGATCCGTTTGGTCTGGGAGCAGTTCCTCAACGAAAACCCAGTCCTTATCAACCTTCTCAATCAACTACAAATGACGACGATGACGATATCCTGGGAGATCTGGGGAAGCCTGTGACTGCCAAACCACCCCGTCGCGAACCTCCTAGACGCGAGCCTGTCGATGAAGCCTTTGCTGTCAATGACGGCCGCTCACCTCCTTCCTCCGATCCTCTCGACCGCCCGATAGCTGAACTGGTCGATATGGGCTTCCCCGCTGATAAATCAAGAGTCGCCCTGAAAGAGACGGGAGGTGATGTGCAGTCGGCTGTAGGTTGGTTGCTGAACCAAGCACATCAAGAATCAAAAGAGAGGACACAAAACCGTGGTGGAAGCGCCCGTGCTAGTCCAGCGCCTCAGGCTCGTGATGACTCGCGGCGTGGCAGAGGCCCCGAAGATGCTTCAGTACCTGCTTGGATGCGACAAGAAGCACGCCCGAGTTCCAACCAACGCAGACAAGACAATGGCACACCATCCTCGGAGAAAGACGTGGCTGCATATGCCCAAGAATTTGGCACATCATTTCTCAAGTCTGCAGGTTCTCTCTGGAAGACTGGACAGAAAAACTTCAAAAAGGCTGTTGCTGAGTTCCAGCAGCCCGAGGGTGATCCAAACACACCCAAGTGGATGAGAGACGCAAGTGCTGATAGAGCTCCTGCTCGACCTGGACGCTCTTCAACTCCTCGTACAGCTGCACCTGCTCAGACTGCCGATGAATTGACAAACGAGGCAATGCTGTTGGAGGCTAGGGACGAAAGGCCACGACCAACAAATTCACGTACACCCGAAGTCCGCGAACCTGTATCTAGACCAGATTCTAGGGTTCGATCGCCGGCTCAAGACCTGCCTGTTCGAAACCAACCGCAGTCACGTTTTGCACAGCAAGCACCTCCTCCACAAGCTCAGCGCCCCAACGCCAAAGTTAGTCGCTTTGACGTCGAGGAAGAGTCATCACAGGCATATGTCAGCTCTGCAAGACGAAGAAAACCTGCCAAACCAGAAGCTCAGCCAGAGCCCGAGGTGGATCTGTTTAGCCCTGCACCTGTTCAACCAACTCCACAACCTGTATCTGCAAGAACAACTCCCGCTCCTCGTCCTGCGTCAGCCAAAGCCTCCACACCGGTACCTCAAGCTCCACGACCCAGAGCACCTCCACGGAACATCCCTGCTATTTCTCCATCCGCACTCTCGACGTCCAGCAGTCATCGCCGCGCAGGTACAGAGGCCTTCAAAAGAGGAGATTTCGACGCTGCACATACTTCATACTCCGCTGCACTCACTCCACTGCCGTCCACTCATCCTCTGATCATCATCGTGCTCTCAAACAGAGCATTGACAGCCATCAAGACTGGTGATCCCAAAGCTGCAGTCGTTGATGCAGACCGTGTTTTGGAGCTCATCGGTATTGGAAGAGGCGAAAACGAGAAGATTGACCTAGGCGGCGGCGAAGGCGAAAAAGACATGAAAGAGTTCTACGGCAAAGCTCTAATGCGCAAAGCTGAAGCACTAGAAAACATGGAGAAATGGTCCGATGCAGCTAGTGTTTGGAAAGATGCCATCGCAGCTGGTGTAGGCGGCGCCGTAAGTCTGAGAGCTCGCGACCGCTGCGAAAAAGCTGCCACAGGAGGTACATCAAAACCTGCGCCCGCGAAGCCTAGACCTACGCCAGCTGCCGCAAAGGCACCAGCAGGGAAGTTACAGCAGCCCAAACGCCCTGCAGTCTCGCAAGCACAATCGCAAGAAGCAGTACGCAAGTTGCGCGAAGCAAATGCTGCAGCCGATAGAGCCGATGATGAGAAGTTCGCCCTCTCGGATCAAGTCGAAGCCAAAGTCACTGCATGGAAGGGCGGTAAAGCTGACAACCTTCGCGCTCTTCTGGGTAGTCTGGATACCGTGCTTTGGCCTGAAGCTGGATGGAAGAAGGTCAACATGAGTGACTTGATCATGCCCAACAAGGTCAAGATTGTGTACATGAAGGCGATTGCCAAAGTTCATCCTGACAAGGTGTGTTATGGGAGCCTCTCTTTATACTTACATGGATGCTAACATCGGTGAACAGATCCCACAATCGGCCACGACGGAGCAGAAGATGATTAGTGGATCGGTGTTTAGTACCTTGAACGAGGCTTGGGACAAGTTCAAGAAGGACAATGGTCTGTGAGGAAGGTTTAGCCATAGTCATCAATACTCTTGAAGTCACCAACAGCTTAAAAGAAGAGCGACAAGGGAAGCTTAAATGTGTGCAAGAGCACGAGGTGCCTTTGGTTCATAAAGACCCCAGTGGGACATTAACGATCGGAATCGTCATCTAAAACCTTTGCCGATGAGATGTAGCCAGTCACAGAAGGTTCATAATCATGTTTTCTTCCGTCTTTGCAAAACGCATCGAATGGCATACTTGCAACAAAAAAAAAACTTGCGGTTGGTCCAGAAGTAAAGAAGAAGGGCTCGAAGTTTTTCGATTCTACCTTCTGGAACTTATGTATTCTGGCTACCATTTAGAGCAACTGTCAACTCTGAGCCTTGAGACTCCATATACTCGTTTGACATATCTGTCGAAAGACACGGATCCAAGACACGTGCTTAGACACAAGCTTAGTTTTCACGATTGAAAAAACACCAACTTCTACTCGTGTTATGAGTGAAAGCTCTATGAATGGACAATGGTCACACCACTATCTTGGTATCAAGGGTTATGCTATGACCAAATGGTTTGTGTACATTTTGCTCAGATACCAGAACGGATCTGCTCTTATCGATCAGGCTCTGGTCGAAAAGTACTGGGGTGGAACTCCATCAGTAGCTGAAACAAGACAACAAGATAGTATGGCATGGATGGCTTTCAGAACATTCATCATTGGATGTACACAAACATACACAAAGGTAAGTAGTTCGTCGGTAGGACATATCATGGGGAGGCATTGCTCTACAGAAGGGCAAAAGCACCAAGAGCAGCGACTCCAGCCATACCCATAGGACCCATGGTAGCAGCAGCGTTAGTCGAATGGCTCGCGGCGGAGCTGGCCGATGAGCTTGCACTTGCGGCAGCACTGCTTGCCGAGCGAGAAGCAGAGCTTGCCGAAGAGCTGGCTGCCGAGCTAGCAGAAGAGCTCATAGAGGCTGCAGCACTACTTGCGCTCTTTGACGACGACGAAGCGATGGAACTGGCAGATGAAGCAAGAGAAGACAGAGTCTTGCTTGCTGATGAGAGCGCAGAAGAAGCGGAGCTTCCAGAAGCGGTAGCGACAGCGGCAGCGCTGGTGCCTGAGGATGAGGCTGAGGCAGATCCAGCACACGATGCGGCAGTAGGCTAGGGACGGTTAGATCAATCTATGGAATTGAAGTGTTGCAACAACTTACGAGGTTGGTCACACCGACAGGGGCGCAGATCTGCTTGGCATAGCTGAGAGCAGCTTGCTGGCCAGTCACATCACAAGCAGTCGAGACACAGCATGAGATGATGCTGATGAAGCTGGCATCGGAACAGATGCATTTGGGGTCGAGGTTACAGCTGCCAGGCAGAGCCTGGGAGATGCAAGTCTGGGCACCTGATTTTGTTTGAGCGATCGCGTTCGTGAAGCTGTGGTAGAAAGATATGCTTACAGGAGGGGATGCTGCCAGATTGAGCGGTGGCCAAAGTGGCAGCAGCAAGGAGTGTCAAAACGGTAGCACGCATTTTGCTTGTGATTAGAACAGAAACAATATGAACGAAAGTGAGGGATGCACGTTGAGGATCAAAAACGACTGCCTCGGTGGGATCGTGTCCTTATACAAGCGCTCAGGGAAGTCGCGACCTCAAGCCACAAGCGGAATTCGAGAAGACAAGTTTTAGCGATGCATGCAGCTGTCCATCCCGAGTTCTGATTGGCGTCGATAAAAACAGAAGCTTGTTCGTTTCCATAAAGGTAAGAGCCGTTATTGGAGCGAAGTCAAACCGGATGTCCTTCTATCCAGAGTCGTGCTCAAGAGATGGTCGAGACTTGAAACCATAGGTTTACAGTACTGTGGGCGGTGTTGTTAGAGCGACAAGGCGACAACACAGCGCCAATTATATTGCGCCAAGCAAGTTTAATTGAAATCGTGGGGTTGTCCTGTACATCTAACGACGCTTCGGGATCAATTGGTCAAAACTTTCGATCCTTCGTCGCTCGCGTCGCTCCATCCTGTGAGAACATTCCATTCTCCACTTCAAATCAGAGACAGGCATGAGCAGAGCCAGACGGTATAATGCAACGAAGAGGTGCTGCGTAAAAGTCGCTCGGAAGTATAATCACAGGTGCATGCCAAAGAGCGAATCACAGTAGAACAACGGTTCATGCTCAGCTGAAGCCATGTTATGTGGCTTGACCCGGAGGAAGGGGCTACGACTGGTCGGTACGACCAGTGAAGTATGCTGTACTCATCTGCTGTCACGGGTCCCCGGCTCTTAGCTCTCAGCTCTCAGCTCCTCGCAAACAGGATTCCCAAAGCAGACATTGGTACCTGAGATAACGCTCGTTCTTCCGCGCGATTGCCGTCGACATCCTATATTCACATTTCAGTCTGAAGTGTGTCGACCTTTGTTTCTGGTGACAACACTTTGATTTCTCGAGCTCGGTATGGCTCTGGGAATATTGGAGCCTCGGGCGGAAAATGTGCCTGGCACTGTGCAAGTCACCCACCGGAGCGACGACGAGTCATCAAACTTGCGAACGACAATTCTTGTGCCAAAGCCTACAGATGACCCAAATGACCCACTGGTATCGTCTCTCCAAGTACAGTTGGCCATGGATGCTCGGAACTTGACTGGGACCCAATCTCGCCTTGTCTCTTGAGGCTGCCAATCCGCATGGCTCGTTTAGCAGAATCGCCGTCTATCAAGCGACTTTCTTCTAGCGTCATTTTGGTCCTGCGGTCTTCTCTGTCGAAGTCGTGACTTCTGACACCTGCAGCCGTAGCTCTAGAGACGAGAGATATCGGTTCTCGTGCAACTTCTGTGCAGCTATGTCGAAGCCACTGTGATAGCAACTGACAATCATACAGAACTGGCCTCTCTGGCAACGCGATATTATCCTCGTCATCCTTTGTATCGTTTCAGTCCTTGCGACCACCGCCTCACCTCTTCTGGCCGCAGACTCGGTGGAGCTCGCGCTCAAGTTTCAACGCACGTTCGAAGATGCAGCCCTTCTCACAGCCTATCACCTAGCGGGTGTTGGGGTAGGAAGCTTGCTGTTTGTTCCGCTCGCAAGGGTATGGGGAAAGAGACACGTATTCTTGATCGGATCACTGCTCATGATTGCGAGCTCTGCCTGGGGAGGATCAACCCACATGGGTTATAACTACACCAGTATGCTATGGGCGCGAGTCATCCAGGGGGTCGCTCTGGCCCCGTTCGAGTCGCTCATCAATGCATGCGTAGGCGACCTCTATTTCGTTCATGAGCGCGGACCGCGTATGGCCTTCGCAAACGTCTCCCTCTTCGGCGGAGCCTTCTTGACTCCAGTCTTTGTTGGCGTGATTGCCCATAATATTGGCTGGTGGTGGTCTTTCTACTTCATCGCCATCTTCATGGGTGGCGGCTTCCTCTTGCTTCTGTTCTTGTGCCCCGAAGTGGCATATCGTCGACCCGATCGATTGAACACAGATATTATGACAGCAAGCTCAGAATCTCTGGATCCTACCGACGTCCTCTACGATGAGAAGTCGCCTGCCGCACAAGTCATGTCAAGAGTCAGAGGCAATGCTTGGAAGCCTTTGCGCCTTTCGCCTTTCGACGGACGTAAAACCGACGAATCATTCTGGAAATTGTTCCTGCGACCATTCCCACTCTTCTTACACCCTGCAGTCATTTGGGCTTGCTTGCTGCAGGGCGTCATTATTGGCTGGACAGTGATGGTCGGAGTTATTCTTTCAGTGATCTTCCTCGGACCACCACTGTTCTACAACGAGGAACAAACTGGCAAGATGTATACCGCCGCGTTTGTAGGAAGCATAATCGGTCTTCTGATAGCCGGAGTATACACCGAGCTCACTACGCGTTTCATGGTCCGACGTAACAATGGGAGATACGAGCCCGAATTCAGAATCCTTCTCGTGATCCCGACGCTCATCTTCGCCGCCTCAGGGCTCTACGGTTTTGGCATCACTGCAGCCAAGATAGTACGCTATGGCTGGTTCGTTCCTGAAGTTTTCCTCGCTCTCATCGTCGCTAGTATGGTTATGGGCGCCACAGCTTCAGCGCAATATCTACTTGATGCGCACAGAGACATTGCGATTGAATCCTTCACCTGTCTCATTATTTTCAAGAATATGTTTTCGTTCATTCTGGCATACTTTGCTTATACCTGGGTCTTTTCTGGAGGCATCGAGCGACTGTTCATCATCTTCGGCAGCATCGAAGTTGGTATCTGTGCATTGAGCTTGCCGATGTATGTCTTTGGCAAGATCAGTCGCGACTTCTTCCATCGGCATGATTTATTGCAGATATTTAGATTGCGATGAGATGTTGAGCAAGTCATTAATAGATGCTTCAGCTTAGATGTTATTCGTTTGCCAATAATCAGATGATTGTTGTCTAGAAAAAGACATAGAGTTTTGGTGTTGTACCCTCCTTACAATGTTCTTGTCCATATCAAGGTCGGGATTTCTCGGGATTGTTCTCCCGACCGACAAGCGCCGAAGTGAAGAATCAGTCTTGTTTCAAAGAATAAACAAAGCGGACAGTCTCCTCAGCTTTCCCTTTTCTCTCTGCTCTCTGCAGAAGAATCAAAAATGTAGATACAGCCGAATATGGGGACGATGCTTATCTTATCGCTCAGTACCCAAAGGGGAAACTCTTGGAGAAGGATGGCAAGATAGAAGTCAAAACCTGACTCTTCTCGAAAATATCTCCGCATCCCGTGCCCGGAGAGGACTTCCTTAGATAAGGATCTGGGATATTGTTGGTCTGCTCAAAGTCGAGACCTATTTTGCTGACAACAACGAAGCGCGAAAATGCTGAAATCGTTCTTTTCTTGATTGATGTCTTATCTTGGTCCCTGGTCGTTCTCTTTGAGAAAATTATGTGCATGTCATGAAACTTCTATCGTCTTCAACCTATAAGAGGGATATAGCTAAGTTATATATAATCTGCTGCTCCCATCTCATGCAGATCGTTTGAGCTTGCTCGACACGATATCAATTCTTTGCTGTGTGTATTCAACACGTCGGATATGGTGGATCAAAAAGTGTTCGACAATGCGACTGCAGACGATGTCGCTCTCGAGCAGCTCGGATACCAACAAGGTTTGCCAATCGAATATTGCAGCAATATCACAGCTTTCTGACTCTAGTCTAGAGCTCAAGCGAACATTCAATTTGGTCAGCATGATCGGTTTTTGCTTCTCAATCGTTTCTAGCTGGACAGCATTGTCTGGTGTACTCATCATTGGCGCTGAGAGTGGAGGACCTCCGGTCATGATATGGTCATGGGTAGGAGTTTGTGTGTTCACAATGGCAGTTGCGCTTTCTATGGCCGAGATGTGCTCAGCCTATCCTCTAGCTGGCGGTCAATATTCTTGGGCAGCCATCTTGGCACCTCGCAGCTGGTCTAAAGGATTATCATATGTCTGCGGATGGTTCATGCTGATCGGCATCATTGCTATGGGTGCTGTCGTCAACTTTATCGCCTCCGGCTTCATCCTTGCAATGGCAGTCCTCAACAATCCAGAGTATGAGATAACTCGCTGGCATTCGACTCTAGTTGCTTACGCGATCGCCGTTGCTGCTCTATCGCTCAACATCTTCTGTCCGCAGATGCTGCACAAGATGACCAATTTCTTCCTGATCTGGAACATGGGATCCTTCCTCATCATTTTCATCACCATCCTCGCGACGAATGACCACAAACAGACACCCAGCTTTGTCTTTTCTGAGTTTCAAAACTTTACTGGCTTCAACAAGCCATACGCTGCCATCTTGGGCCTGCTGCAGTCAGCCTTTGGTATGTGCTGCTATGATGCGCCAGCGCATATGACCGAGGAGATTAATGACGCCAAGAAGGTTGCTCCAAAAGCAATCGTTCTTTCCGTTTCTCTGGGTGCAATCACCGGATTTGCCTTTTTGATTGCAGCTTGTTTCTGCATGGGATCAATTGACAGCGTCGCCGAGAGCGCTACTGGCGACCCAATTGTTCAGATCTTCTACGACTCAACGCAATCTGTTGCCGGTGCTTCGTGTTTGACCTTTTTGATGGTTATGATTCAGTTCTTCTCGGCTATCTCGCTGCTTGCAGAAGGTGGTCGTGCAGTCGTAAGCAGAGCCTTTATTGATAATCGAGCTTTGCTGACTTATTGCTGCTTAGTACGCATTTGCGAGAGACCGCGGTCTTCCCTTCTCAGATACACTCAGCAAAGTACACCCAAAGAAGCAAGTGCCAATCTACGGCATCTTTCTTACCTTTGTAGTACAAATAGCCTTGAACTCGATCTACTTCGGCACAGTGACGGGCTTTAACACCGTGGTCTCGATCGCCACAGAAGGCTTCTGTAAGACTCAGCACGTTCTGTCTCATACATTGCCACCCACTGACAGATTATTCACACAGACGTCTCCTATGCCATTCCAATCCTCCTCCGTGTCATCGCTCCCCTCGCAGCTTCAACCGCATCCACTAAGTTCGAAGGCCCATGGAACCTCGGCCGCTGGAGTATGCCCATCAACATCATGGCGTTGGTGTATCTGCTGTTTACATCTATCACGTTCAACTTTCCCACTCTCAAGCCCGTTGATTCGGAAAACATGAACTACACTTCTGCGGCTGTTGGAGTTGTCATGGTTGTTGCCTTGATTACTTGGTTCACGACCGCGAAAGGACAGTTCAGATGTCCTGGTGTTGGTGAAGAGATGGTCATTGATAGTGCGCCGCATGCAGAAGTTGAAGAAGAAGCTCAAGTTGTAGGGAATGAGAAGGCAAAGACTGCATATTGAAGATAGACTTTGTTATCATAAAGTACAATAAGATTATGCCATTGAGGCAAGAAGCCGGTTCGTCGATCTTGCCCTCCCCCTTTGTGCCTCTAAGGAGGTGTGATCAAGCGCGTGTGTGCTGAGTGGGTGCTGAATGGGGTCATCCGATGATTAAGGAAAAGACCTTTCATAGTGATCTCCCCTTTTGATGTGTTACCTATTCGTATTCGTGGTGACTATATATAGTATGTCTATCCATAGTCAATCGTGGCCTTGAACGATGTCCTGATGTTGTGGAGACTCGTCGCCATAGAACCCGGATCATCAACACGATTCAAAACAAGACCGAGCACACGTTCATTGGGAGTCGAAACAAGCAAACGATACATTCGGGCTACTGCACCGAAATTTACAACAAAGGTACCTCTTTCACACCCACTACACGTCTTTACAAACTTGACCACAATCAACGCGTTCTTCCAACATGAACAATTCCACTCCTACCCCTGCCGCTAGCGGGGCTCAAGAAATCGACCTAAGCCAGTACACCAGCGACGGCACAGGACAAGAATGCATGAACCTAATTACCGTCGCCCAATCCTCGGAGACCTTCCTTGAGCACTTGACACACATCTTCAATACACGCGGCTACGCAATGACTGCCTTTGGTGTGTTTCGTCTCTTTACACCCCTGAAGATCGGGCGACTAACAATACGACAACCAGGTCGCTATGTCAATTTCGTCAACTCCCCACCCAAGGGCTACACAGAATACTGGCGCCATCGCAGAGTCGTACTCCCTGATGACCCACAATACCTCACCATTGGTGACCTGTACGTGTACGGACACCCATCAAAAAAGCCTTTCAAGTCAGTCGCAAGATTCGGTCAGCATCTGGTCAGCATCGTGCTAGGCGACCTAGACAATTGCAGATGTGTTTTGTGTGATGGAGATGGTCCACCTCCTCAGAACCCCCAGTACCCGGTCGATCCTACTGTGCCTGTCATGCACTGAGGGGGTAGACGAAAAATAACGGGGCTTAAGTCTTGCAGGGGAGGTTGGAAGACAAGGACCGGGTTGATCATGCAAACGAGGACATAATGAAGAAGCTCATGCTACAAAGATCATCTTGAAAGCACTCATCATGAACGTCATAAGGAGACAACGGTCAAATACTGTTAGACGTTGTCGACCCGGCATTCGAGACAGGGCCATCTCTTTTAACTGCTACGTCTGGTGAAAGCCCATCAAAATGCACAATACTTCACAGCAAAAAGGCGACCTCCAGAGAGAGTCAGTGTTTTCCTAGATCTCTACGGACGCTTCTCACATTCGAATATAACTGCTGTTTTGATGGCATATTGACCAAGTTGAGAGTGAGGTTGAGACCAACAGAAATGCAATAGTCAAGGTTCCACGCAGACTGATGTTCTCTGATCAGGCTCCACAAATCAAGTAAGTCGCGAATTTAGCGCTGTGTAAACGCACAATAGGAAGTGTAAATTACAAGACTTCAGTGAGATATTCTTGACTTGCACGCTTTCTCTGAGCAAAGCTCGTTTCCGATATCATCATGCATTTTTACAACAGTGTGCATAACAGAGTTTGCTCAGAGAGAGGTCATGCATAGTCCCATAGCTTGTTTTGATGCCCTCTGTACTGCCTCGTTCATATTCGCAGCTCATCAATCGTTCTTTCCTCATTCATATGCTATGAAAGTATTTGGAACCACACCTCTACGGTTCCAATGCTCGTCTCCTGCAATGAAGTCCGAACGAACAATTTTAGCACGGTCAATCGTCTTGCCGTCCTTCTGTCTGCGAAGGTAGACTCCCTCTATGACACCATCATAAAAACTCGACTTCTGTGTCCTTACCAAGTCGATTAGCGACTGCTCATCCAAGCTTTCTGGCTCGAGACGACTGACTTGGTGTATGTTTGTGCCTTTGAGTCTTTCGCTCAGTGCATCTCGGCTCAGAAAAGTGCTTGTTTCGGTGTCGAAGAGATCAAAAGCGAGGAAGAGATCTGGAAGAGTGGTGTAATGAATCGAGTGCTTGGCATATAGCCACTCGCCATACAAAATCCACCTGCCAGGGTGGCTATGTTCCGAGTCCAGTACAGCGCTCAATCCTTCATAATGGTCATCCAACCACTTGTCCAGCTTTTTGAATTGGGCATGCGACTTTCTGTTCACGTAATGCGAACGATTCTGTACTTTGAATGCGCCGGAAAAGTCAAGACTGATGCCAAGATTTGCTCCATCGACTTTTTCTTCGACAGCAATTGTTGTAGACGAGTTAGATGCTTGAAGGAAGGCTTGGGCGTCAGAAGAGGACAGGATCAGGTCGTCACGGGACGCAGAGCCGATGTTGAAGAGATGCCTGGTCCGTGGGAACTTATGGATAAATGGTCTTTCCGGCATGTCAGATGCTCCGGCGAGATTCGCCTCATGAGCGATAGTGTCTGGTTCGAGAACCACGTCTGCTTGTGCGAGATTTTTTGCAGCAATACCAAGCCTCGATAAGAGGTCAGAAGCAGCAACACTAGATGATACTCTGGCGATGCAAGCGAACTTTTCCTTTTTAGTCGGCGGGACAAGGGTCTTGACGAACGAATGCACAATTCTCTTAGCTCTTCCCGGTGCAATGGTTGGATGATTCGTTCGAGCGTCAGCTCTGCGGACACACAATTCGGGAGCAACATCGAATTGAACACAAAGCGCGTCTTTCGGGTGGAAAGCATGTGCCAACCACTGTTCTCTATCCTCGACGTACGGGTTGCATCTGTCCACGATAATCTTCTGTCCTCTCTCCAAAGCATTAGACAAAGCATTGAGACAAGCAGTTTTGCTACCTAGTTCGTCTTGAGAGATTACAGTGTATCCACGAGTCACGAGGTGTGATGCGAATGTGCTTTTGCCTGAGCCGGGTATGCCGCAGCATACTATCATGGAAGGAGTCCCAGGCAATTCCCCATTGAGCTCAAGTGAGTCTTGTGATTCTGAGATCATTGTTTCTTGTACAACAACTTTCTCTTTACCGCTTATGAGATATTGTGCATAATCCTTGATGAATGTCTCCTGTTCAGTTGTTTCAATGCTGCCAGGGCGCATATGACGCAGGATCTTCATGGCATCCGCAGGATATATACGGATATGTTCTTCACCGGTGATGCTTTTGGACGAAGTGATTTCGAATCCTCTAGCAATGAGGTAGCATGCAGCAAAAGTACCAGCGCGGCCTTTGCCACCGCCACAGTGAACCAAGGCAGCTTCCTCAACTGGTAAATCGTCCATGGACCGGATGAATGTGTCCACTTGCTCGTTTGTGGGTGCTTGGTAATTCCGGACAGGCAAGAATAAATTTCGACAAGGCGTATTCTCAAACCATTCCGCTGGTAATGGCTCTTCTTCTGTTAGAGTGACGACTAATCTTATGCCCAGAGCTGCAAGCGCCTCAATATCTTCTCGAGAGCGTGGCGTACTCATAACGGCGAGTCTGAAGGGTGTCAACCACCGAAAGAACCTCGGTAGCCTGTAGAGTTCTCCTTGTAGTGGTGTAAATACATCTTGATTGGAGGCTACAGAAGGAAGCTTTGAGAGCAAGCTTGCGTCTTCCGCAATAGCCCTACTCCTGGAGACCTCCGTCTGAATAAGGCGGCGTAGGGCAGAATTCTGAAAAACGTCTCCGTATGTCGAGTAGAAGGGTCGATTGTCTTTCCAATCTTCGGTTTCGTGGTCCAGAAGAAACGAGCCGAACTCTGTGTGTGCCGAACATCTCACCAGAGCCTCGACACACTGTGATTGTATCGTTTCACTTTTATTGGACATCAGACATGCTGCTTGAGCAAACATGAACATGGCATGTTTTGCTTGGCGCGGCATCTCACAATGTTGTGCCGCACGCAGCAATGCAGCGACACTATTGGGAAAGAGGTCCAGGTACTCATAAGCAAGCTTAGAACTTTCTGTCTTACTCGAGAATTTGAATAGTAGTCGCCATGCCTGGTCGAATGACGTTTCTGTCAGACGCGAGACATGGAACTTTGAAATGAATTGGATGATCTCCAGGGCATAGTCTCGATCGGTGGCAGATCTCGTTGCTAGCGTACAGCAAGTTGAGATGATTTGATCAACTTGCTCCGTTGTTAAGGTTTTGCAATGAGTGATAGCATGAATGCCTTTGCCGATGTTGTGGTTATTCTGTCGCGACAAGGTGATATGCAAGTCTTTGCTAGGTAGTCCAAATCGCTGTCTAATTCTGTTTCCTTCTGGCCAGAACAGCACATTGAATGCGACGGAACCATGTATGGCGACTCCCAGATCGATTGGTAGTTGTAGGTTGAAAGGTTCCTCAAACAGTTGCTCAATTTGCATTTGTTGTTGGTCATCCAACTCCCTGATTTCGGCTTTCGAAAATACTGTGACATGGTATGGGGTATTTGGCTTTTGTGGAGATGGTGAAAGTGAGCTTTCAGCTATATTATCGATGTATTTGCCCTTGAGGACGACACACCCAAGAGTCTTGATCAAGTCCAAATCCATTTTCGGCATTCTTTTTGAGAGTTCAATGGTTGTCGCCGGTATACAAAGTCAGATTCTACAAGCATTTAAGGAAGAATTGATGGAGGAAGGAAGGCGGTGACTCGGCGAAATTTCAGCCATCAACACCGCAGTTCCTCTTTGGGAACCTTCGCGAGGTGTCTCTTGACTGACGAGTGTTTTGTAACTAATCAGAACTCGTAGATTTGCGACGTTGATTCGGATTGAAATTTTGCAATGCGATCACTCGTAAATGTGGTACGCCGTCATCTCCTAGAGAGGGCGGCGGTGGTGTTACTCGTAATGGCTGGGGCGTCGAGATGAAGATGCTGTCATCCGAGCCTCGAGTTGCCAACATATCACGAGATATTCAATGAATGATATCTAGTCAACTGCAAATGATGGCAACTCCAAGGTGTTCTTAAAGGAGGTGGTAGTTATGTGAGCGAAGTTGAGTTGGTGCATATTATCAAGGAAGGTTTAGACGAGCACTCTACACGTTTGTGACGCGTCGCGACTTCCACTTTCTTGCCGTCCATCGTGGCTGTTTCCTATCGCGAATGCCAATCTTGATCATCCTCTCCAACACATCAAGTCTTTGTCTCTTCGGTCGTCTGTTGTACGCATTATTCTCTGTCTGCATTGTCTGAACCTGACTCGCCACCATCCGGAACACATCATACCACACATACAATCATGGCATCAAGACCAGAGCTCAAAGTAGAGGACGAATATGGCTTCATCAAATTCTTCAGAAACCTGTCTGGTACAGACGACGATACGATACGCCTCTTTGACAGAAATGATTACTACACAGCCCACGGAGATGATGCCACGTTCATTGCACAGAACCAGTACAAGACAACCTCGGTACTCAAACAACTCGGTCGCGATCCTGGTCTCCCATCCGTCACACTCTCACAAACAGTGTTCCGCAACTTCTTGCGCGAGGCTCTCTTTCGTCTAGGCAAGCGTATTGAGATCTGGGAGTCCACTGGCAAGAACAAATTCACCCTCGCCAAGCAGGCCTCACCAGGAAACCTCCAGGATGTTGAAGACGAGCTCGGCAGCAACATGGAAGCTGCACCAATCATCCTGGCTGTCAAAATTTCTGCTAAAGCATCAGAAGCACGCAATGTGGGTGTCTGCTTCGCAGACGCAAGCGTGCGTGAGCTCGGTGTGAGCGAGTTTGTCGACAACGACATCTACTCCAACTTCGAGAGCTTGATCATTCAGCTGGGTGTTCGAGAAGTCTTAGTGCAGTACGATGGACAGAAGAAAGATGGAGAGTTGGCCAAGCTACGAGCTATTGCAGACAACTGTCAATGCGCCGTGTCAGAACGCCCCTCAGCAGACTTCAGCAGCAAGGATATCGAGCAGGACTTGAACAGATTGTTGCGTGAGGAACGCACTTCGACTCTGCCACAAACCGAACTGAGATTGGCTATGGGAGCTTCGGCTGCCCTGGTCAAATATCTGGGTGCCATGTCGGACTCTTCCAACTACGGCCAATACCAATTGTACCAACACGACCTTTCACAATACATGAAGCTGGATGCGTCTGCGCTAAAAGCCCTCAACCTCATGCCCGGACCCAAGGACGGCTCCAAGACGATGAACTTGTATGGCTTGCTGAACCACTGCAAGACACCTATTGGCAGTCGACTGCTCGCTCAATGGCTCAAGCAACCTCTGATGAACCTCGAAGAGATCGAGCGCAGGTTGCAACTTGTCGAAGCATTTGTCAACGATACTCAACTAGCCGAATCAATGTCGTCAGATCATCTGCGATCCATTCCTGACTTATATCGCCTGGCCAAAAAGTTTCAACGCAAGAATGCCAATCTAGAGGATGTCATTCGTGTCTATCAAGTTGCTATACGCATCCCTGGTTTTATTGGCACTCTTGAAGCAGTCATGGACGAACAGTACAAGGATCCTCTCGACACTGAATACACCAACAAGTTACGCGAGTGTGCTGACGCCCTGGGTAAATTGCAAGAGATGGTTGAAACAACTGTGGATCTGGATGCGCTTGAGAACCATGAATTCATCATCAAATCTGATTTCGACGAAGGCTTGCGTGTGATCAGAACCAAGCTCGACAAACTTCGTTACGGCATGGACAAGGAGCACGGCAGAGTTGGAGATGATCTTGGTCTCGATACTGAGAAGAAGCTCTTCCTCGAGAACCACAAAGTGCATGGCTGGTGCTTCCGCGTCACAAGAGCAGAAGCTGGCACAATCCGCAACAAGAAGCAATATCAAGAATGCTCGACACAGAAGAACGGTGTCTACTTCACCACAAACTCTCTACAAGCGATGCGCAGAGAGCATGATCAATTGTCCGAAAGCTACAACCGTACTCAAAGCGGCTTAGTGCAGGAAGTTGTTGGAGTCGCAGCTTCGTACTGCCCTGTCGTTGAGAAGCTTGCCGGTATCCTTGCACACATGGACGTAATCGTCTCGTTTGCGCACGTCGCTCTGCATGCACCCACTCCTTACTGCCGACCGAAGATGCACCCTCGCGGTACTGGTGATACCGTCCTTGTCGAAGCTCGTCATCCCTGCATGGAAGCCCAGGATGAAATCACTTTCATGGCCAACGACGTTACCCTCAAGCGTGGAGACTCTGAATTTTTGGTCATCACAGGACCCAACATGGGTGGTAAGAGTACGTACATCCGCCAGATAGGTGTTATTGCTCTGATGGCCCAGATGGGTTGTTTCGTGCCTTGTACATCTGCTGAGCTCACCCTCTTCGACTGTATTCTTGCTCGTGTAGGTGCAAGTGACAGTCAACTGAAGGGTGTTTCCACTTTCATGGCCGAGATGCTGGAGACAGCCAACATCCTCAAGTCAGCAACAAAAGAGAGTCTGATCATTATCGATGAACTGGGCAGAGGAACAAGCACATACGACGGTTTCGGTCTGGCTTGGGCAATCAGCGAACACATCATCAAGGAGATTGGTGCCTTCACTCTCTTTGCAACACATTTCCACGAGTTGACCGCACTGGTGGACACCTACTCACAAGTCCAAAATCTGCATGTCGTTGCAGATGTCACAGATGGCTCATCGGCAGACTCAGCACCTCAAGTGTTACTCATGTACAAAGTCGAACCTGGAATTAGTGATCAAAGTTTCGGCATCCACGTTGCTGAGCTCGTCCGCTTCCCCAAGAAGGTCATTTCAATGGCCAAGCGCAAAGCAGATGAGCTTGAAGACTTTGCTGGCAAGAATGAGGAAGCAAAATCAGAGCTCAAGAATGCAAGCAAGGAGGATGTTGCAGAAGGAAACAGACTTCTTAAGGAACTTTTGTTGAAATGGAAGCAGGAAACTGAAGGCCAAAGCATGGATAGCAAGGAGCAGGTCAAGAGGCTGAAGACCTTGGTCACGGAGAGTGAGCAACTGAGAGCCAACAAATTCTTCGTGGGGCTGAAGGGACTGTAATGGAGCAGTGTTAGTAGCATTTTTCACAGACTGTTATGCTATGTTGCTGCACGATGAATCGATCATAGCTTCGCCGGTGTGCAAAGAGACGAATAAACCATTTACATTTCTTATGAAACTTCGCTTTTCCCCAAGCCTCTTGGGTCGTCCACTTTTTGCATTTCTTCGAAGTACTCTGGTCGCTCTCGACCACCTGAACGCTTACTGAATCGTCAGTAGCAGGAGGAGTAATAGGGAAGAAAGAGTAAGGGGTACTATCACGACCCTCCGACAAAGAAGCAGACGAGCCCTTAGAGCTCGGGCAAGGAACAACACAGAGTGTACATCTGCATCCGACCAGGCTGTGATACTGACGACATGTACTGAGAAGTCTCTGACGAACGTGAAAGCATATCCATGAGGATGACCCCAAAGCTCGACCATGGTGTGACCTGCAGGAGTCGTGTTGTTGAAAGCCGCATAGCCCTGCGGCAGAGTGCCGATGAAGTTGACATTGTGGCCTTGCTTATGTACGTCAGTCTTGGGAATGGAAGCAGCAAGCAAATTCATACGTACCAAAACCAAAGAGACGAGAGCCATGGCCATTCATGTTGAAAACTTGACTAAGGAGGTCAGGAACGGCGCGCTCGTCGGGTCTCTGCATGTTGGGAGGGTAGCGGCCAGTTCCATCGCTGGTCAATGTGCTGAGAACAACATTCGTGATGGGTAACGATGCATTGGCATCGGGCAAAGGACCCAGGAGAAAGAGCTGGTTAGCCATACTTGATTTGTTGCCTTAGGGAGAGGAGTAAAGATCAAAGAGAAGGCTTTAGAAGCGTGCAATGTGCATCCAAACAAGACGAAACAGAGGTCCGGAACCTTCTCTTTCTCGTCTCCTATCGCTGCGGAAACCTGCTGTCTCGATATAAGAACTTGTGCATTCAGGCAAGTCTTCCTTCTTCTTCACCCACAACCACACACACCCTCTCCATCCACAACGGGTCATCGACCTGTTCCCTCAAGATGGCAGACAACTCCAGAACCTCAACTCCTAAGCCAAACCCCAAGGGCATCAACGAAGGTCACCAGAACTTCGACCTCAGCGACGAGCAGTTCACCAGCGACGGTGACGAGACCAAATGGCCCACAACCAAGACCCGCGTCTCTGACAAGGAGTTTCTGAGACTGCTCAACACTGCATACAACCAACGTCAAGACCTCGTCAGTCAGTGGAGTAAGTAGTACCAATCTTTCCGCGTTATAGACCTGAGTTTGGAACTTTTGCTGACCTGGCGTAGGTGGTCAGCCCGTCAACTTCGAAGGCGAGCCACCCAAGGGCTATGCTCTGTTCAGACTGTCTGACTTGACTGTTCATGGACACCCCAGCGGCAGACCATTCAGATCGGTCAAGCAGTTTGTTGATCATGTGCACAGTATCATGACCGAAACTCTTGACGGCTGTCGTTGCGCTGTGTGCCGTCCTGATCTGGTTTGAGAGAGGGCGAATCGTGGGCTCTCCTTCCCTCTTTGATCTCTTCAGTGCGTGATAGGATCAGGGAAACTTCGCAGGCAAGTACAGGAGGTTAAGGATGGTCTTCATGTACATTAGCAATGGAGAAGGTAGAGAAACTGGGGATGTGCCTTGGTAGCCCCTGACTCTCACTCTCTTCGTCAGTCGAATTCTCAGAAGCACCATGTCAAAATGCACAAAAGTGCTGAAATCAATCATATGTCCAGTGAGATTCTATAGGCGTGTCAGCTCTCTCTGAGGTCTGTCTTGTCTCTGTTGTTATTGTGCGTTCTTATAGTCGCAGACCACCGGGTTTTGCAGACCGAGATGCAGCGATTCGTGGTCACTTTATTGAAAGCAGATTGAGTATCAGTGCAGGACGGACTTTTCATTATTATATTGTCATCATGATTGCGTGTCCGGTAGACGAACAGCAATGTCGCCGGATTGTGTAATGTAGCGGACCCATGGCAGGGAGGGGTATTGCAGCTATAAATTTGAATCAGTGCTTGTTCATGATGACCCACAGATTTCGCTCTTACCTTGGGTTCGATGATCTTGAGATACCTGACGTTGATGCCTGATGTGGTAAAGTATGGGATCTGGAAACGAGTCAGCAGGTGTAAGAAATTACAAAATCCACAGAAACATACCTCAAACTTGACGTTGATGGGTCGCTTGCTTTTACCACGATCACCGACACCACCCATGCTGCCACCAAAGCCACCCATCATACCGCCACCCTTCTCATCATCACCACGCACTGATGGCAAGCCCAGCTCAGCACGCATCAAGAACTCCTTGCCACCACCAAACTGCTTGATCTTCCACACAATAGCGCTCTGCTCGGGTGCGTAGTGTACGGAACCAATATTCGTCCTGAAGCGTGGTGTATCGGCGTCTTCTGGTACGGGAATGGAAATTTCGACATTATTTGCTGTAGAGCGGCGTTTGAATTGTGCCTTTGCCTTGAGCATATACTCGATACGGCTGCCAGAGTGGTTTTCGACGATACATTCGACCCAGATGAGAGGCTTGACTTGGGTGTTGAGACGGTAGCTCATGAGCTCGAACTCACCATCCGGAGGGATGAAGCTGATTGTACGGTCGTTCTCGAATCTCGATAGACGAACGCACTGATGGAATTTGACGTCCTCCATTTCGACAGCCTTGCCTCGGGTTGCGCGACCGGTGGTTTCGAACATGGCTTTGTCGTTGAGACCCAGACGCAGCTCGGGCATACCAGACAGATAACACTTCATCTTGATGGCACCAAGAATCTCGGAGCGCAGGACGTTTCCACTGGACGAAACAAGTAGGTTGAGGGATTCGACGACATCGAGGAAAACTTCGTTCTTGCGGTAGCGGATACCTTCTGAGCGCCACGAGACAGCGTTTGTGACAGCGATAGGTGGTCGTGCCTGCACTTCCAGCTTGTGTGATTCTTGTGTAATGTATTCTTGCAAGATTTTGCTTTCTGTTGTTTGTGGGTGACCAAAGTCCATCATTTCATCGAGCAATTCGTAGATGATGACGAAGTTGTCACGGATACTCTCCTCTTCCAGCTCTTTGAAGTATTCGGTAAAGACCTCGACGATTTTGTGAAGGAATAGGAGGATTTCTGCAGCATTAGAGTTGCGCTTCGTCAGGGCGAGGAGGTAGAGGTTGTTGTGACGGATGTAGAGGTAGTTGATGCCTTCGTCGCTGAAGCAGGGAGGTACGGCGGAGCTCTCTTCTTCGGCTTCGGAAAGAAGGACGGGAAACTTGTCGACGGCGCTCATAGGAATGTCACCACGATAGTTGCGCGCCAGAAGGGTCTGTCGTTCTGTCAGCATGCGCTCGCAGCAGGAGCTGCATGGTCATGGATACCTTGCCCTTGAGGTCAAGGAAGAAGAGGGCCGAAGCCATGGTGTCGAGAGGGCGCTGCCGGTCGGTATCTGAGTATTAGTCCTGTTCGGTGTGAGAGATCCGGCCTGTCGAAGAGCAGCGACTTTCTCTCCTGCGTGGGATGACTCCTAATTAATTGTTGTTGCTGTCGAGTTATGACGGGCCAGCCAAGCGTCGTGCCTGTTGCTTGTTGCTTGTCCCCTTCCCCACACTCTGCTCACAGCCCACATCTCGGTTTAATTTCGGCAGTGACGACGATAAAACTTCTGTCGTGCTTGCCAAATCTTCCGCTTTCTTTCTCCCAACGCAGCCTTTTAGACAGTTCTTTCCGGCATCTGGTCCAGACTCCACGTTATGTGCGAGCCTGTGCTGTATTTCAATTGCTGGTTTGCGATCAGGTCGATGCGGAGACGGACAAGTGGTTCTATAAGAACTGGCTACGCATAACATCTGTTGTGTAGGCGGTGTCAGAAGAGCCCGACATCTCTAGCCATACTAATAAGTATTTCAAAATTTCAATCGATCTTGTCAAAACGATTCATCGCACTCTGAAAATCTCTCAAATGTGACACGATACTGCTGTTCATTCTCTTCGTCTTTATGGTCTTCAACTGTGGTGTGCGCTGATCATCTTCTTGCGTAGCTGAAGACCAAGTCATCTCAGCCATGTTCAAGTAGCTGTCTGCTTCGTGCTGTGTTCTGAAGATATGTGCTGCTTCTTGAGGCGCCTTGAAGCTCAGTCGTCGATGGTCATGTAATCAATCTTGGGCGTCTTCAACTTCCTAGCAGCATCATACATGTCCTCAGCAAGCTGAAACATGACCTCCTGCTCCACAACACCAAACTCGCCCACCGTATCCCTGGCCACATCCTCCACAAGCTCTGCAGCCGACCACACAAGCGCACTCTTGGTGCCATTCTTCCATCTGGCCAGTCTGGCTTCTTCAGCATGAACCAGTTCTTGTCCATCCTTGTCTTCGAGTTGGAATTCGAGGTTTTCTTCTTCCATTTCGAGGACTGCGCCGAATGCGGAAGTGAGGTGGATGATTAGGTTGTGTTGCTCGGCATAGAAGAGACGGACGCAGGAGTGGATGAAGATGCCGATCAAGCGGCGTTCTTTGTCTGTGTTGTGGTCGCTTGAGGAAGGCATGGTCTTGGGTTGTTCTTTCCTAAAGCAGATTGTCAGTACTGTGAACATGTTCGCTGACACAACACTGACTTTCGTATGGTTTCTTTTAATATGGAAAGTGTGATCAGATGAGTGTTGCCGGTTTGGAAAGAGAGCAGGAAATTGTTTCGAGGTCGTGGATTGTGAAGAAGGCCGAGAGTGAAGGCACAGCGCGGGTGTTGAGAAGGAACACAGTGACACCTTTCTTTCCGAAGCATCCTGACAATGCGAGTTGAGACACTCTGGACTCACTTTAAAATCAAAGCAACACGAAACAAAGCCAGTGAGCAAACTTGTTCAGACTTTTGGAATTCGAATTATGTGCTTCTGTTACCTTCCTGTACCATTTGACTCCTTCTTAGAAGCCACGATCATCAGGTTCCTCGGACTCTCCTTGTAATCAAAAATCGGCAACACATCTACTTCCTCCATGCCAGCTTCTTGTAAGTAGAACAGTCTATCCAAAGCAATGACTGATTCGACAACTCTACACAACAACACTGACAAAGTCCACAAGACTGCCGTCTCTGCCACTCTGTGCTTGTACCTCTCTTCATACTCTGCAATCTCTTGCTCGGTGACATCTTTACCAATCTTCAGCTTCAAAGACGACAAAGCACGTGAAGTATATGCAGTGAAGCTCTTCAAGTCGCCATTTCTAATTCCCCAAACTGGTCGTTGGTTGCCCTCTTGAACTAGCTTCTTGTCGTGAAGCAATTTTTCTAGGACCGCACGGTACCAATGCTTTCGTGCGAAAATAGAGTCCGGGTTGTGGATCCAGTTTGTAGGAGCTTGACATCCTGTGATCAAAGCCGAAGTGGAGAGGTTAAGTTCGTTTGTGCGCATGAAGGAGGAGATTGGGAAGCCTTTAGGGTTTTCGGTTGAAGCAGGATTGATGTGATTATAGCAGCATCCAACAACTGCGAGGTGGGTTATGCATGAAACCGTGGTAGAGAGACGGATCATATGTTCAGAGAGCGAGCCGCAGGCGTGGAGCCCAGTGAGCAGGCACCTCTCGCCTCGAGCCCACAGCGCTATTTCTTTTCCTAGTCCGTCTGTGCCCGTAACAAATCGAGTGAGATGAGTAACATTGTCGTTTTCAACGAGTCCAGCTTGCTGAGCTGCTGTCCTTGAACCTTGGATCTGCTTCTCACTGCCATCAATGGCGAGAACTCTCAAGCCACAGACTGCTGCTAATGTCAAGGAAAGATAGCCTTGACCACTACCGATGTCAACGACGCGAGTGATATTGCGTGTTTTACAGATGTGATTGATGTATCTGGCGCCCGCACGTACTTCTGCCAACTTCTTCGTGACCATACGACTGGCTAGAATATCCGGCACTTCAACATGTGGAATGTCTTCAGACAAGACCAACTGCTCACGATTGAGACTCAGGTTGCGTATACGTTCTAGCCATCGTGATATGCTGTCTGGCCGACCATGTAGATCATGACGTCTAGCTTCTGGCTCTATGCGAAGACTGTTGATGAGATCTTTTTGTGCATCTTGAGGGCTGGGTAACGATTCCCACCATGTCGTCCATTCGCTAGGTAGTTTCTTCCAAGCATCGTAGATGAAAGCATCATTCACATGGATCCCTCCTGTGATCTGGACCGAGAGCGGCTCGTGCATAAATGCTATGACATCCTGGGCATACTTGTGGATGTTGGTATAGCCCAATGGTAGGTTGACCATGTCGAGAGCCTGTAGTATGAAGCGACAGCAAACAGATCCCAAAGCCAGAAGCAATGGTAATCAAGATGATCGATGAAGCCAAATCAAGGATATCGGTTTCCCTGGAACAATTGTTGTGAAGTCCAGTCGATTGATCGAGGAGTCGAGGAAGAGCAAATGAGTCGTGTCCACCTTCAGCTATCAACACCATCAACCTATGACTTACCTGACAATCATATGAACCTACCTGCAACAAAAACTCTCTCTGAGGATCACAAAAAGTCTAAGGATCAATTCGGAGAAGGGCTGATAAGTTTTTGGGAACCAGAAGTGATCGTAAAGCATTCGAGTCTGGTGTGATCGACGGACTTTCGCTCTAATATGTGGCACATCTAATCGGAGAATGTCTTGAGGATTCTTAGCAGATAAATCTCGACTTGAGTCTTCACGCAGCACTTTACTCGAGCGGTCAAGTCTGTTTGCCCAAAATTTGATTCTGCAAGAAGGCTCGGCTATAGTTCCTACTTCTGACAGAGCACAGTTCATCTCCTATAAGCAGCAACTTTAGACGCCACTACATCTGGGATACCTTCCACATGGTCGTCGCTTTACAGAACAATATCATGGTTCCACCTGCATAGTCAACCCATAGGGATGAATATGCGCCATGATAGAATTGGAGTGAGGATGACTGCCAACTCAAAGGTCTACAAGGCACAATGTGCTCTCCGAAATGATGTACAGCTAGTGTACAAAAGAGACCACCCATCCAGCAACCTCGTTTACAATGGCAGTAGCTCAGCTTCCCATCCTCGCAGCATCAAACATCTTCGGCAGCCCAGTCTCCTCATAAGTCTTGCCTTCCACCATCTTTGCTAACCCCTCAGTACAAGAAAAGATAAAAGTCATACCACCACCATTAAACCCAGCAGCAACGAACCAGTTCTCCTTTCCGGGCACCTTACCCACAAACGGGAAGCCATCTTTAGTCTCACCTTGGATACCCGTCCAAAGATGTGTCACTTTGGCCTTGCTTTTCTCCCAGCCTCTGAAATTAGATTGCATGTATGTCTTAAAGTAGGGCCGGACGTTGGGAAGCAATGCGCTATCGTCTGTGGTGTTGTACCACGAGTCCTTATCAGATTCGAAGAGATGCTTTGCACCACCGACTACAATGCCGCCGTCCGGTCGTGGGTTCAGATAGTCAACTTGTGTGGCTTGGTCTGCTGGATGATCATGGTAGATGTTGTAAGTGTTGTTCAAGTGTGGAGATATTGGTTTTTCTGGTGCGATATGGCAGGCTGTTCCTTTGTACGGGATGATTTCGTTCTTGTATAATGAACAGATGGCAGGAGTGTAGGCGTTGGTGGCGAAGATGAGTTTCTTGGTTTTCATAGTACCCTTGGGCGTATGAAGGATAGTCGACGAGGGACCAGAGGAGTGGATGGAGAGAACAGGAGTGTGAGTGTACAATGTTGCTGCTCTCTTGTTGATCATGCCGCAAATGAGCTGCGTCACGAATTTGTAGGGCCAAAGGGAACAGACCGGCATACTAAGAGCAGCCTTTGCACCTTGGATAGAAGTAACCTGCTTGCTTGTAAGTCTATGTGCCATCTTAGTCTTCGTGGGATATCTTCGAAGCGACATACTTGCTCAGCAACCCGAGACTCCACGAAGTCAAAATCTCTCACCCAGCCGTGACCTTCCTTTGTGGCGGTACGATACAAATTCTCTGCTGCTTCTGCCTCTTCCTGGTCGATAAAAACATCATAGCTGCGCCGCATCTCGAACTCACAGGTCAACTCTTCCCGGTCAACTGCATCTTTCATGAGATATTTCTGAGCGGATACGAAAGCGGCAAATTCGTTGGCAGCATCGACGCCGAAATTCCTGATCATCTTGCCCATCGTGAAAGCTTGTACTTTAGAATGGCCCTATGGCACATGTTAGCTGCAGCCAGTGGACGTTGAGAATGGCTCAGCATACGCCATTGCGTCCTGTGGCTCCAGAGCAGACTTCGCGAGCATCAAGAACAACAATGGAGGGCTTCTTTCCCGAGTCGTCTGCAGTATGGAGTCGCGAGAGGTGATAGGCTGTGCTGACACCCGTCATACCGGCTCCAATGATTGCGATATCACATTCTGAGGGTGGCTTTTCGTACTGGCCACGAGAGTCTATGGGGTGCAGATCTGATCGCCAGTACGAAAGAGTACTGTTTGGGACTGGAAGACCGTCCGGAGTTTCTGACGAAATACTTTCGTCTTGGTCAGTTTGGGTGCCCTTGCCAAAGAAGGACCACAAGGTGTTCATGATGTTCTTTCACGCGACAGAGGCAGCAGTATGACTGAAGCCAAAAAGGGTAGAATGTTGCAGAATTTGGCATCTACAGACAATCTACAAGTAATACTGTAATAGATTGCAAAGTTGTTGCCTACCATCCTGGCTCATTCAGGAAGGTGCCTGGTTCCTGCGTGAGGGGTCAAGGGTGGCGGCGCAGGCAGTGCGGTCACCATTAAGATCCATCTTACACCTACCTTTGCACTTTGTTTATGTTCATCTGCAAGCAGACCTTCGAGTAGTTAGAAACCGAGCTGATGGGTATGGCGTCGCTTGCTTCCAGAAAGGCTAAAAGAAGATGCGGCTCCGTCGGCTGAGGCTGGTGAGGCTTTGTTTTTGTCACCGCCGATCATGACGGAGAGACTTTCAACACATGTTGCTGTCCAGCTCCCACATTGGACGAACAGTCCTCTTCGAGAGATGCAAGCATTCTTGTGTACAAAGCCTGCAGGCACAGCCCGACCGACACAGATGATGTTCTTTGTCGTAGATTTTCCAGGTTGAAGTGTTGTCGCCTTTCGCATTTCTCTGTCCATATTCTCATCCCGCCCCATCCTATCTGTTGTTGCCGTTATCTATGAGCTTGTCAAAGCAATAGCGACGGAATACTTTAAACATCGAGCAAGACTCAGAAAGTGCGGAAAGACGTACACAGCATGCAACAATCACGCTCTTCGGCGCCGCCGCCAGAGTACACGCGACAGGACCCAGCGCTGTCGACAGCAACGCCATCGACACCGTCAATGCTGTTAGGGTCTTCTCGGGTACCTTCGTCTCAGGCCAACCCACGCAGCAATGCCCAGTCACAAGCACAGACTGAATCCCAATCGCAACCACCAACAGTGACTGAGCACTACGCTCCCAACCCCACAAACAAGAACTCAGACTACGCTCGTCCGCCTTCACCCACCCCAAGCACTCAAACGACCGCTTCAACAATCCTTCCTAGCTATGCCGACACAGGAAGCTACAAGGGATTCCCTAGCGAAGCAGCATACATTGCCGCCCTGACCGAATGGGCAGAGCACAAGAAGTACGTTCAACCCAGTGAGGAGGCCCAAACATTGACCGGATTCTTTGGTTACAAGACCATGGAAGACTATACTGGCCCAAGGTCTCCGCAAGATGAAGCAAGAATGTCCAGAAGGAAGTCGAGCCAAGGTCAAGGCCAGAGAGGAGGCTTTGTCGGTTTCTTCAAGAATCTGGCCAAGAAGGACGAGGGAGGTGGGCATGGTGATTGATAGGCTTTTCTTGTATGTAGCATTCCGGGATCCCTGTCCTCACTCTTTCCACGGATGGTCGAGGACAGTGCGTGGGCTATAGACAATCAAAAACATTTTCCTCACCAAGCAGGCTTTTGTCGAAAACCAGAAAAGATATACCTTTCTGCAGATATCGCGAATGATCAAACGCGGAATAATGTGGAAGAACCTGAGTATATCCTCATGTCTTCCAAATGTGATTTAGTCTGCAGTCATTATCTATCACTAAGAAAGGACATGACTTTTTGGTTTGACAAACGTTCATGCACACATAGAATGGAGTCAAAGTAACAGTCATGTCTAGCACATGTATTTGAGAATAGAGCAGGGTTGTCCTTGTAGCAATGTGTGGCGCAGGCGTGGCCCAAGTGAGAGCTGCGCCATAAACCAAGCTTTGTGGTCGCGTCACTTGCTGACATGTGAAAGCGCAGCTATCTACATTTGCGACAAACAACTTTTGACACTCTTCATCATTCATCTCAACAAACATATTGCACACATTCATCATACGTCAATATGGCACCCATCAAGACGCTCAAAGAGATTCCAACTCTCACAAGCCTGTACAAGCTCAAACACCTAACGCCCGCCGCTTCAACAGTGTCAGGCGCCAGCAGCGCGTACAACGACAGAATCTGTGTCATCCGCACCGACATCACAAAGCTAGAGGTTGATGCGATTGTCAACGCTGCCAACGAGTCTTTGCTGGGTGGAGGTGGTGTCGACGGCGCCATTCACCGTGCAGCTGGCGAGGGACTCCTGCGCGAGTGCGAGAAACTTGATGGTTGCGACACTGGTGACGCCAAAATCACTGATGCTTATGAACTGCCATGCAAGAAGGTCATCCACACTGTCGGCCCCGTCTACTGGCGAACCAAGAAGCATGGAAAGCATACCAGCCTACTCCAATCATGCTACCGTCGCTCGCTCGACTTGGCTGCAGAGAACGACTGTAAGAGTATCGCATTCAGTGCTCTGAGTACTGGCGTCTACGGTTATCCTAGCAATGAGGCAGCAGCTACTGCTATTGGAGAGGTCAAGAAGTGGCTCGACACTAACGAAAAGGCCGACAAGCTCGATCACATCATCTTCTGCAACTTCATGGAAAAGGACGAGGACGCCTACTACGAGTGGCTGCCGTAAGTTTTTTGTTGTGTGAGCACTGTCTGTCAGTAACTGACTTGTCGCGCAGAAAGTTCTTCCCACCCAGCGAAGACAGCGAGGTGGAGAACAAGAGCGTCGAGACCAAGGAAGAGGGACAGGAAGAACAGAAGACAAGCGAGGAGAAGAGGGTCGAACAGATCAAGAGCGAGCTTGAGGTTGAAGCTGAAGACAAGACCAAGGATGAGAACAAGACGGAGACTGTGGAGGCAAGCAAGAGCGAGGAGAGTGGTCAAGTGGCCGAGCTCCCTGACGTTCCCAAGACGGAGCCAGGTGAGCACGGTCTGCCTGAGGCTAAGAAGCTCAAGACGGACCACGACCAGAGACTCTGAGAAGTACGATGTAACGGACCCGAAACAGAACAAGGGTCAGCAGCAGATGGGCGAAGCATGGAAAGGGAGGGTCATCAGATATGCCATGCAGTCATGAAATAACGAAAGAAAGTCTTTTCTATCATCAGTGTTGAAGGATCCAGGAAGTACTAGGTCAATAGGTATGTTTCAAGTAGAGATATGGATCGGCCTCTTTTCTCAAATCTTGTGACGATTGCGTGGTCGATCAGCTGGGGAAGTCGTGCACAGGCGGCCCGCGGACTGCGTCTGGTTTGGTTTGGCATCTGCTCTCAACCGTCGCAACTCCAATAATCCTGGTCAACAAGCTTCGCTCCTTGGCTCCATAATGACTCTGTACCGTCGCTGTAGTTGAATCTTAATGTATATCCTTTACTCTTATCCTTCTGCTCCTGTACAAACCTTCACCTCTTGACCTCGTCCCGCCGTGGCTGGATACATGGCCTCCACCGACGACCCTGACGCGACTCTGAAAACAGCCATCGAATCGCTGGGCGACGACTCTTCCTACACTGTCCACCGCCTGAGACATGCCTCTCCCGAACACCTGTATCTAACCACTCGTCGCTGTTTCGTCGGTCCTATTCCCGAAGGCTGGCTCAAGACGCATCGCAAAGAATGGTACAAGCACTATCTGGGCATCCACCATTCTTCCAGGGCCCCATCTTTTTCTGCCTCCTCTGACGTTGGCCGTCGCCGTCGTCTCACTGGTCTCGATGTCCCAAATGCCGCCTCGATCTATCGGGCAAGCTTTCCTCAACCGGCAGATGTCAGAGGAGAAGGAATCCGAGAAGAGGAGGACAATGACGATATCGACCAAGATAACGAGAGACCTCGCAAGAACAGCAAGAATCGAGACCTACACATAATACCCGACCTCGAAGGAATCGATGATGGTGCCGAGTCGGACGGTGAGGCCACTATCAGAGCGCCGGTCGCTCTCGACATTCCAAGAGGTGGGCCAACAGACCCTGGGCTTTTGAGAGAAGAAGAGAACGCTGAAGATTTGCTGTCTTCGTACACCACCGCCCATACCGTGACTTCTCCCTCAACGCCAACCCCTTTGGCCTCACCTAGACCTGGCGACGCACAATCAGATTATAAAGAGCCGCGCCCAACAGATACCTTCCGCAGACGACAGACCTCCGAAACTTCTTTTGTTACTGCTTCTGATGGCGGCTCAATCATTGTAGACGAGCCAGGCGCCACTTCACCAGGCGCCACTTCACCGATACGCATCGAGTCCCCCACTGACGATGAGGCAACACCGAAAAATAGCCCCCATACCGGAAAGGCGCGAAGCAGTGCTTCTTTTGACACGACCAGTCCAGCCACACCAGGGCCTACCGCTTCAGATACTTTCCTTCTCGGCTCTCAACATAGTCAAGAGCTAGGTCGGGGTGTGAGCGGAAAAGATACCGCAGGTACATTTGAGAACCCTAAGTTGCAGCAAGAAACACCACAGCACGCCGAACAAGGAAATGTCAACAATACCGAGCCTAGATCACCCGGTCTCGTAAGGTTTAACATACCGGAAAACCCAGTATTGAAACAGGAAATGCAGGTACGGGCAAAGATGACGCAAGGCGTCCGGAAATCGAAAATATCAAGAGCCTTCACTCGGGGGAAACTCAAAGATGGAGAAATCGTCAAAGTTGAGAAGATGCTCGTCCGTTTAGACATCACAACCGGCTCAGAGCAACCACACGAGGACTATGATGAAAAAGACAGCCAGCGAGTTGAGACTAGAATTACTGAGAAGTGGAGAGAGTTCATGGTCGTGTGCCGAGAAAGCCACGAAGATGTCGCTGCCCTGTGCCTGCAGATGTACAAGACTAGAGTGAGTGTCAAAACCTTGCTCAACACTTCAAAAGCTGACTTCGTCCTTAGGTCATTCCAGCGACCAATCAAAGCAAAACCAAGAAGCGCTTCAGACACCAAATCTTGCTCAATCCCAAGACTGTCAAGGTCAACCTGTACAGTAGTCTTGACAAGACTCTTGTGCTCTGGCAGACCAAGGGATCACAAACCCTCATTTGCTTCCTTCGACCCCAGTCCAACCCTAGCGCAGTTGAATGGTACACTTTCCTGAGGGGTGTACTCGGCTCACCCCGACCACGCACCCTGCTGATCAACATACCTGATCTGAAGGTTGGTCTCAGGCTTGATAATCCGTTTGAAGAACTTGAATCGTCAGAGACCTTGCAGAAGGCTGCAGACGGTGATGAGGCTGCCATCTTGAAAACCATGCAAGCGGAGCGAGCCATCGCCTCGAAACTTATTGACCGTTGTCTAGAGATGCTTGGTCAGAGCTCTGAATGGGACGACGTGCTCAAGAGTTGGGGACACAAATCAAAGATCGGCCTGGCTTGGAAGCGCTACGATCGATTAGAATGGATTCATGGAATCAACGAGCAAAAGATGTATGGTTCTATGGCACTGCAACGAACCCACGAGCTTGAGTTACGGCCTAAGCGACATTACCCAGTCTTCGTCAAAATGGCCAATGGAGAAACCATGCAAGAACCTGCTCCAGTCGAAGGCTTTCTTATTCGCCTAACCTCTCAGAAAGGAACTGACCAGAAGTTCGGAAAATTGTTCTACAAGCGCTTATACTTCAGCACGCAGAACAACTATCTCCTCTTCCTCCGACCAGCGAAAGCGAAACCACCGCCGCCACCTAAGATGCCAATGAAGGAAAACTGCAACATTCCTAGTGCGAAGCAGATTGCAGAGAAGATCCCTTTAATCTATGCGGTCAATCCGTTCCCAATGCAAGATAACACAGTAGCTTGGTTGGCAGGGGATTCTAATGACGTCGAGGATAGGAAGAGACATGATAGAGATGCCTACGACGAAGCAGAACGCAACGCGCAATCTTTGCTTGATTGTGACGGTTTCATCAATCTTTGTGATGTTGTCGAGGTCCGAAATGTGGTGAGAGGAGCAACGCCGGCCGACGAGGTTGTTGATGAAGGCCCAAACGTTGATTTCGACGAGGAGGTCGAGGATACCCATCATGATGATGGAGCCACCAACGACTTTGACGATGCACGAACCTTTGAATTGCTCATGCGCAACGGGCTGGTCGTGCGACTACAAGCATTCAGTAAGGCTACAAAGAAGGAGTGGATAAGACGACTTCGAGCTTTGGCTACATACTGGACACGACGAGCCTCTCAAGACCTGGCTCTGTTCAAGTTCGTCCGTCAGCAAAACCTGGACACCCTGAACATCGACATGCAAGCAGAAGCATACATCGGAATGTTCGCGCACAAGTGGGAAGTTACAAAATCGTTCGCCTCGCCCGAATTGTACAATGTTTGCGGTATATCGAATTGCCGTGCGGTCCACCGGTCTGGCATCCTGTTCCGCAAACCCAGAATCCATGGTACTTTCTCGCGCTGCCATGTGATTCTCTGTCATGGCCACCTTCTCATCTTCAAGGACACATTACGAAGTGCAACGGGTAAGAAAATGTCTCACATCCACCACGAGCGCATCGCGTCTATTGACCTTCGTGATTGCTATCTCTACTCGGGGCTGATCACAGCAAATGATCTCCTATATCAAAATCGCACGTTCGACAACAATCGACCTGGAAATTCAGCGCTCCCTCGCATGTATCTGGAGGACGGGTGGGCAAGTGCAGACGATGATGCCATGACTACTTTTGTGCTGTGGACCGGCCAACACAAAGGATGGTTCAGAGCACGAGAGGAGGATGGCAACGAAGGACAGCAGAAGAAGGGAGGAGCCCGCAACAAGCTCAAGAGAGTGTCACAGCTTGGCACTACAGGCAGGGCCATCGTGTTCAAAGCGAGAAGTCGAACAGAAAGAGATCACTGGGTGCTGGGCATCGAGACAGAGATCGAAAGGTTGTCTAAAGCGGAAGATGTCAGGGTTGTGGGAGAAGGCGTTGAGGATAAAAATAATGGATGAGGATCAGGAATGCCATGATAGGGTTATGGAATATGTAATAACGGGGGCCATTATTGTTAGGGCTTCCCTGCGTGCGGGAGAATAGGATCCGAAAAGCTTATTAATCATAGTATCAAAGCTGCTTCTGGGGACATCGGCTTTTTTGCTTGCGATCGATGGACTCGATGAAGAAGACTCGTACTTTTGTGACAATCCTTGTTCCGATCGTGCATACTTGAGCAGTGATCGAAGGATTCATCAGTTGAAAGCTGATGACTTGTTGCGACCAATGTTGCCAAGGTACTGCCAACGCTGCCCTTGCCGTCGGACGCGACCGGGCCCGGCCAACGCCCCAAGAGCTCTTGCAAGAGGCTCTCGAAAGAGGCTCTATAAAGAGTGCGCCTCGGTTGCATATTTACTGGTCGTAATCAGTAGAGTCGAGTTATGCAAGGCGGGAGTTGCCAGACAGCGCGTTAGTGCGTGAAAGAAGGTTTACGGAGGACAGGTGCGTAAAACCAGCGATTGGCTGTATGTGGAAAAGATGTGCTAGTGCGGAGGGGCTGGGCTGCTCGAGGACCAGTCTCGACCGGTGCGCAAGACCGGCGCATGTGTCGGGTCTCGGGCGGACATGTCCAAGGCCGCCGTAGCGAAAGTCGAGCACCTGCATTGCACTGCGACACGCTGAAGATTGGAAAAAGGTCGCCCGCTCTATACCATTGACCCTGCACGCCGCAGCACATCACTCGACGACGTACCTGCCGGCTACAGTCCACAGAACAGCCCTCGCGCAAGAGTCCCATGCCGCCCGAGATTGAATAACCCCCAAGATGGCCTCGCCATTGTCCCCCGCGACCTCAACCTCGAGTCACTCTCTCTACCAACCTCACTTTCCCAGCGCCGAAGGACGCTGGGTCCCGCAAGATGCTCGCTCTTTACCGGTGCGCCCGCGCAGTGTCGGTCCCGTCTTCGATGCCGTGCTCGCGAGCCAACCCATCCCCGAGTTCAACAAGGAAGCCCACGATCAAAATTACAACAACCCCGCCCCTACATCCGAGCCTCGCAAACAACCGGAACAACCTAAGGACTTCCAAGATGCCTACCTGATGCCCTCGTTGTCCGAGAACGAACGCCTTCGTCTGACTCTGTTTTGGTATTACACACACTCTAACAAAATGATGGAGGACAAGGACTTTCTGCTCGCGCTACAGCAAAAGCTGGACCTGGTCCAGGCCTTCATGGGCTGGGACTTTGCCATCATGGGCCTGCTGAGCGAGAACGTCTACACTCGTGTCGCTACTGCCGGCTTGCCCTTGGCTATACTACCTCGCCGCGAAAGCACTTGTTCACATACCATCAACCAACCATCCGGCGCCGTCTTCATGTTGCCCAACATGGCTAGCGACTGGCGCTTCAAACATTCCCCACACGTCGAGCAAGGCGGTCTACGCAGTTATGCTGGTGCAGCTCTTCGTTGCAAGGCTGACACTGGTGAAGATGTCGCTCTCGGTAGTCTTTGCATTGCTTCCAACTCCGAACAGCCCCCTCTCTCGCCCAGCCAACAAGATGCTCTGGTTCGTTTCGCCGACATGATCGCCAGTGAAATCATTGCCCGTGCTAGAGAAGCCCGCAGACGCCAGCGCCAAGTCATGGCCGATCTCATCGCTGAAACACAAGACCACAAATCGCCCGAAGCCGTCAGAGCTCATGTTTTGAAAATCCTCGCTCAGGTTTATCCTGATGCTGTGATAGATGTGCAAGACGCTCCTCTAAACGACATTATTCGTTTACCGCATCATATCCCAATCCACTACGAAGACTTCCAAGACGGTCTTTGGGAAGACTCGGAGCTCATCGAGCATTTGATTGTTACACAGAACCACACGGAAATTACCACCGAATCTACGGTTCGTGCAATCGCACATCCATGTCAGAGAATGCCTGAGGTCAAGTACCTCGTCCTCGCTTCGACAAATGTTCAATTTGTCTTTGACGATGTTGACTCGTGGTTTGTCGAGAAGTGCGCGACTCTGATAGCAAATTCTACACAAGAAACCCGGCTTAGGGAAGCGCTAACGGCCAAGGATGCTTTTCTCCGAGGCATCACTCACCAATTGAGAACGCGTAAGTCTTCTGCTCTTTGGTAATGCTGTTTCCACATTAACCATGTTCAATAGCTATTCATGGCGTCTTGGGCTCGTGCGAACTACTTTTCGAAGAGCTCGCTAGCCGAGACATGCTGTCAACTGGTGTTTCCGGATTAAATCCCTCTTCCGTTCTCAGTGCCATCAGAGACTCCGGTCGAGAACTAATGTCTACTGTCAATAATATGCTCAAGCTGAATCGTTGGGCTGAAGAGACCGGCGGCCAATTACAACCTGCCTCACTCCTGAGTCTGAACTTGATTGAAGCAGAGATCATCTACGAAGTCCAGCAATCAATACCCGAGCACGAGCTTTCCGAGGTTTCGGTCATGTTCGAGAATAGACTTGGAACCGACGAAAGTATGATCGTGATGGATCTCTCCCTGCTGAAGGAATGTATCCAGGCGCTTATCCAGAACGCTTTGTCATACACTGAAGCTGGCGCTGTCATTGTTGTCATATGGGCGTCCCCTGACTACACAAGATTGATTTTCGACATCAAAGACACTGGATGCGGCATTGCTCTTGAAGACCAGGGACGAATCTTCGAGGCCTACGAGAAAGTGGATACACATACAAGAGGAGCAGGTCTTGGCCTCACCCTATCAGCAAAGATTGCCAACGCCTTGAACGGCGACGTAACATTGGTTTCTTCCAAACAAGGCACAAAAGACAAAGGATCATTATTCCGTGCGGAATTCATTGATCCAGGATTTGCTTGCCCGATTGTGCGTCCAGTGCCATTTGATGCAGACTTGAAAGACATTCCTAGGAGATTCCACGTTGTACCGGCCGAGTCACAGCGACCAGAGCTTGTGTTGCACTTTGCATCTTACCTAAATCACCATGGATTCGAGGATTCGGACTCACCTGAAGACTCTTTCGTAATACTGACTTATACACCGGATGCCGATGAGTTCCGCCGTTTCGTTTCGCAAATTGACCCGAGACAGGTTGCCTTGTGCCTGGTTCCTGCTGGTGCAACAACAGACAGGCTTCACGGCGCTCACGAAGTGCGTTTCTTCTCAGGACCCTTCTTGACATCTCGTTTAGAAGAGATCACCACCGAACTCAACACTGTCTACAAACGATTAGCCGATGATCCTGAAGCTGGCGAGACTGCATCAGGACTAGCAAACCGCAATGATGCTCACCGTACATCCGGGACTGAAGATGGCGTTGATCCGGCAGACGCGCAACCAATGGCTCTTCTGGTCGACGACAATGTTGTCAACCTAAGGATCATGCGGATGTACTGTGAAAAGCGCAAAATTGAATACCTTACGGCTATGGACGGCAAGGAGGCAGTGAGCGTTTTCGAGTCCTCTCTTGAGAAGCATCCCATCAACCTCATTCTTATGGATCTCCAAATGCCGGTATGTGATGGCATTGAAGCAACACGGCGGATTCGCGAGATAGAATCAGAAAAATCCTTACCGAGAGCGGCTTTGTTCATTGTAACCGGTCAGGATACTAAGGTTGACAAGCAAATGAGCTTCTCAGCTGGAGCGGATGAGTTCTACGTCAAGCCTTTGGGCTTGAAGACTCTGGACAAAGGCATCAAGGAATACTTCCCGGCTGTAGCCCACGAAAAAAAGACTGCTTCTCAAGTCGTCAACGGAACGAGTGCATCGGGCGGCAAGGTGTGAGATCAGCATACAATAGATGCGTAAAAAGAGCATGGAACGGATTATGTACACGCATGTGGAGTTTTTTCTTTTCACGAAGGCGTTTCCGGCGAAAATGGAGACAAAACTGGGCAAGCGCAAGTGCTGTGGCCTTACAACCTCATACAGGATTGGGAAAGCATACAGTATTTTTCTTTTCGATGGAATTCTGGCAGCATGATATTCTTGTCTTTCATGGTGGGGATCCTTTATTTCTTGCCTTTTGGCGGTTTTCTTGTTGCATAGCATAGTTGATGCTTTTGTATATACGGCATTTGGTGTTTGACTCGTCATTGCTCATTAGCTAGGGAATGTATGCAAGAAGCGAACGATAGTCTTTACCTGAATACCTTGTGTTCTTGATGAGTGCGTTCGACGGAGTCTTAGTGAAGTTTACAGATAGGCAATGAGGTTGGGTACGACTGGAATTGGTAGGGCCTTCCTTGATCGACGAGGCGTGACGACGTCTGCCAAGTGATGCCTCTTCGACTTCTTTTCTTGGGGAAACGGAGAAACACAATCGATCTAACTCACGGAACAGAATAGTATCAAGTGAACTGTCATCCGGATGACCTTCGACAGACATGTCTCTGGTCTCGATGTTCTCGTACACGCTTTTGAGCCAAGCGTCTCGCCCTTACATGCGAGAAGATCGTGGAGTCGATTCGCAGCTGCTCGTCTCCGCGAGTTTTGCTGGGCCCAGAGAGCGTACTCTGTCTCAATACTTGAGACTGTGTCATCATGGTCAAGTGAAACAAGTTTATATCAAGAAGTCTCATCAATCCTGGAACGACGCATAGAGCCGCAACATTCGTCCAAGTTTTGGAGCGCTTCAATAGAGGATTGTGACCGTACAGAAGGGAAAGAAGGCGAGGTCTCAACCTAAACTTTCGTCCTCCTCATGTGCTAGAACCTGGCCTTCTAGAATTGCTCCGGCGACATGTGATTTGTACTGATTAGGATACTATCGAACTGCACAGTGGAACCTCAGCTAGAGATGGATCCGGAGAAACCAACTGCTCTGAACAGTCTCTCAAGTCTAATATCTTGCGGGAGTACAGCTGGCCAAGTACACAATGTTTTCCATATTGAAGATTGGCCCAGGCAGATTTTCTTCGATCACGATGCTCAGCGTAGTGTCATACGGAATGACATTGTGCATTGCTACAGCCTGCACGAGGCAAAAAGTCGGGAAGGCATGACTTCCAAATCATCTTCCCAATTGCGACTCACCACGGCGCTCGGCAAGGTTGAAGTTCCGTCGACATTACGACCGTCAGGAAAGAGCACCAGCATTGTTCCTTCCAGTTCGCTATCTTGGCCGGCTTTGTTTACATCTCACAACTGAGCTTCATCCATCTCCTCTTCTTTGCCCACCAACTACAAAGCATCGCAGCTATCCCTTACCAACCGACATCTATATTTACTATCAGACATCACAACTCATCACAATGGCAGAAGAATCCCGTTTCAGGGAACAGATTCCTGATGTGGACGAGGTATCCTCGATGTGAGTCTGCCTCGTTCATCCCCACTGTGTTTGCCCGTATGTTGACCATCGAAAAGTGATCAGCATGTTCTTTCCCAGGTTTCTACTGGGGCTCTCGATTCCGTTCCGGAACATCAAGACGCTGCACCACCTCGTCGTGAATCTTCAGAGCCGGCTCAACAGTCACAACCACCTGCACAACAATCCACAGAGCCTTCTCAACAGTCATCACCACCTGCACGTCCATCCACGGAACCTGTCGATGGCCAAACTTCACCTGCCAATACTTCTCCCTCTGGCCTGGTTAAAGGGTGTGAAACATGTGGCAACCTCTTTGTCACACGTTCGCCTTCTGAGCACGATGCCATATCAGAGGCTCCATCCGACAATACCTCGCCAACGCACCCGCAGGCCCAGGCTAGCACCTCAGATGAGAATGTCCCGCCTACTAAATCAAAACATATCGAATTCGCCAAAGAAATCGACAACAGGAAGGAGCTTAGCAGCACCGAAACACCACAGACCCGTCACGCTGCTGCAGTGGAAAGAGTCAATCGTGCCAACACCGCTCTCGAAAAAGCACACACAGAGTCGATTGATGCCCGAGTCGCTCTGCGCCTTGCTCAGGCCAACACTGACAATACACACCCCGGTGCTGATGATCAAGCCTTGAAGCATGCTCAAAGTGCTGTTTCACGTGCCGATGAGGCTTATCGAAAGTGCCAGTCGGAGATTATCCAAGCACATATTGCACAAAGCAAGGCGGAGTCCGATGCTAGACTCGCTAGCTCTGTTGCTCAGCAATCAACTTCTCGGAGTGATGCTGTTCAGGGGAAAGATACATGGAAGGGCAAGGGCAGAGCTGAAGAGTCTGACTCTTCATTCACCAACCAGGAGGAAGAGAAATTGAAGAAGAAGGATACAGTCGAAAAGTCTGAGTCTGCATCCGCCGATGGCCAGAAGACTCGCAATCCATGGAAGACCATCCAACGCACTCTTCGTCGTGGTTCTTCCAATGAGCAGAAGCCCAGACGTTCCCAATCGGCGCCCACTCTCCATTCGCCCAACCCTTCGCATATGGCCCATGTCCCAAAACCAGATTCACCTGTGAAAGGGAAACTTGGGTGGCGATTTGGCAGAACCCACGCTTCCACCACAAGCGGGCCATCAGGTAACAACGCTGGCGGCGCGCAGATTGGCACTGCCAGTAGCTCAGCAATGACCAATCTTGACGGTGCAGGCCATGGCAATGCCAGTAGTTCCCAGCCTGTGAACACAAACAACGCCGAGAACGGAACTGACGACTCACAGAGTCCTGGCAACTCACAAAATGTCAAATCCCAGGGTACACAAACTCTTCCAGCAGGCGAGACTGGCAAGAAACCAGGAATTGCTCGCAAGATGAGTTCCGACCTCTTCAGCAAGCTGAAGAAAAAGTGATGTGTCACATCGAGGCTTCTATCCTGTTTTCTCTGCAGCGCGAGGAGTCTGAGATGGAGGGGTTTTTCCTTTGTCATGTGAAGTCGAGTGGTCGGTCTTTATCTCAAGTCTGTTGAGACTTTGGTGCATGTCGTCTGTCTTTTACTCTTGGTGGTTGAAGGGTTGATACATTCCTTTTAAGGTATTCCAATCACATTCTTTTCTCTTTCTCTTGTCATACCATACTCTGTCTTCTTGCTGCTCGTCTCAAGAGCTTCCTCCGTGCTAGATCTTATCGTTCCGTCAATCGCATACGTCTTCCCGTGTGGTCTTATGAGTCAAAACGAGGAGAGGGCAGTAATGTAAACAGTAAACATCTTGATTGGTCTTTGGGGGAATATACAGAAGAACCATGAATAAATCCACAAACGAAAAAAACGACAAACGAGAAATATCAAGGAAGAGACAAGAAGAACTATACAAACAAACAAAAAAAAAAAAAAGGAAGATCCGAAAAGCACAAGGGAGAAAGTCAACATTACCTCCCTGTGTTTCCTTTGCCCTTCTCCACCTCTCTCAAAAGACAATAATGTGCTGTAGGAGTATTAGATAAAGAGGAACCAGAACAGATTACTTGGCCTGATAGACACCAGAAACAACCCTCCTGACCTCGGCAACCCTCTTCCAGTTGCCACCTTCGGCAGTCGCCAAACTCTCGTCCGCGAAGGGATCAGCTTCTTTAGCTTCCTCCTTGACACTGATGCCTAGTCCTGTTCCCAAGTCTGCACCAACGACTTCCCATTTGGCCTCGATATGTCCTGGCTTGGCTTCGCCTTCTGGAGTCTGGAAGCGAGCCAGAAGCTTGCCGGGAGTAGAGGACAGAGTGATGTTGCCGAGTTGCCAGTAGATGAGATTCTTGGTCTTATCAAAGTTGCCGACTGGTTTGGAGAGGCAGGTGGTGGCTTTGGAGGTGGGGTCGAGGTAGAGCATCAAGACCACGTTTTGCAGGGTGACGCTGGTCTGGCCAGCAGGCAGGCTGAATGCTGGGTTCAAGCTATAGCTGAGGATAGCAGAGGTTTGCGTTGGCTCAATCTTCCAGGCAGGAGTTAGGAGAAGAGGTGCAGCCGTTGCGCCAGGGTTGGAGACTTGGTACTTGAATGCCACGGCAGTCTTGGAGATGCCGCCGAGGTTGACGCTGTACTCGCCAGATTGCTCCCCAGCGGCAGTCAAGAAGGCAGGGTTAGGGGCCACCTTTTCCAAGCTCGAGAAGCCATCTACGCGGATGCTCTCATGACCAAAGGGAGATGAGAAGTTGGTTGGGTTGTAGGCAAGTGCAATCTCACCAATGGTGACACTACGTGTAAGTTGACCTTGGTCAAACCAAGCGCTGACGGTCTCAATAATGGAGCTGTTGAGACCGGGTTCATGCAAATCGGGGTGCTTGTTAGTCTGGCTCTGCGAGCTGCTGAGGGAACGACCGGAGCGAATGGAGCCTGCGTCGTAGTCGCTTTCGCCGATGCGCGAGGCTGGGCGTGCAAAGACGTTGGCTGCGATGGCTTGAGCGGAGCCATGGAAGGGCGAGAAGGCAGACGATGATGATGCGAAGCCGGGGGACGAGGGGCTCTGGGCAGCCGGCAAAGACGAAGTCGAGATCTCCAGAGGGGCCCGTGTTGCCTCGTGGGTCTGGACTGCAGGCGAGATGGTACGAACGGGCTCTTCTTCGGTAGTAACGTCTGGAGTGGTGACTGGAGATTGACCGTATACACTAGCGCGCATATCACGACGGCCACGGACAGTGCCTGCTCTGCGCGAGGTTGGAGGAGGGGCTTGCATCTTGAGCGTGTTGGCCATGCTAGTAAGAGCAGCGTCTCCGCCCTCCTCAGCGATGGGAGCATTGCGAATGTCTAGCTTGAACTGGGGCTGGTTGGCATCATTCGCGTCTGCGGCCTCTCGTTCAGCCTGCGAGATGGGGTCGACGGCAGCTGGTGGCTCGGAGAAGCCTTGGCTGTCACGGATGGGCTATAAGAGTCAGTAACTGGAAATCAAATAAGATGGACTAGACTGACCTGCACAGGCTGTGTTGGTTGCATGGGCTGCATAGTCGCAGGGAACTCCGAGGCAAATGGTTGTGAGGTGGATTGAGGAGGCAACGAGGGTTGCGAAGGCTGCAGAGGCTCCTGCAAGTGCGAGCTGCTGCTCTGCTGGAAGGACTGGTGGTTTGACTCAGGCGCAAGACCAGCAGCAGCCAGTGACTGGGCAGAGCCATCAATGGGTGGTAACTCCTTGTCGCCGTTGGCAGTGCCACGGTATGACGAGTTGGTGTTGCTCGTGATAGTACGCAGAGGAGAACGAGGGCGGGTGGGCTCTTCGCTCTCTTCGAGCGGTGTGGGCAAGTCGCTGTTGCGTCCAAATCTACTGGACAGCGAGTTGAAAGCCGATGGCCTAGATGGCTTGCGCTCTGGCGACTCGGACGCTCTGTCGGGAATCATCTTGCTCTCACGGTTCTTTCGCCCAAGCAATGTGCCCAGTCTCTTCAATCCCTTGCCAGACTTCTTCTCGGGTTCGGAAGCCCGTTCTGCTGGTGCTGCGACTTTGTCAGTTCATCTTCGCAAGCCATTTGTCGCCGTCAAGCTTACCGCTTCCCGAGCGCATGCTTGCGCCATCATCGTGGTGCGAGCTGGGACCCAGCGAAGGAGGAACGAAAATGGATTGGCGGTTTCTGGCTCTTGTCTCTTTTGGTACCATGTCTCCGCTAGAGACACGTAGAGCGTATGTCTTGATCTCATCCGCCGTCTCGACATTCAACAAGATGTTCAGCACAGATTCAGCCGATACTCTCGTCTTCTCAATCGCGTCAATCTCGTGGGTTTGGAATTGAGTGAGCACATCTCTGAGATGGTTCAATCTGCTCTCGTCGAGAGCTTGAAGCGACTCGAAGACGTAGGGCGATTGAGAGGACCATTGCGATTGTGCGCCTTCAAGCTCAGAGTCGGCGCGAGAGGCGTTGGTGGATCCCTTGTTGTTCAAACGTTCCGACTTCTTCTGGGCGTTCTCGACATCGCGGGCCATAGAGGCGAGATTGCCCTGGATGGTCGACATGGCCTGCATCTCACGATTGGTCGAGGCAAAGTCGCGCAGTGGTCGCTCAACGTCGACTTCAATTCTCTGGGCCAGGACTTGATGCGAATCGGCGAGCGTCTCGAGCGCAGAAGTAAGAGTAGTCCATGGTACCGAGAAGATGCTGGAATAACACGCGTCAGTCCTTGATCATGGTTTCGTGTCGGGATGGGTCGCGATACCCAAGATCTTGAATCGAGTCGCCTGGGGGTGATCGCCTCGCAAGCTTGTGCAGGCCAGCCGAGTATTGTTCCTCAAGTCTCCTTCGTTCCTGCCTGGTGTAAGCTCCTGTCGTGTTTGCGTGTTTCGTCTCGGCCGTCTTACTTGAAGCCAGTCGGCAATGTCAGAATTGAGACGGCCGACCTGTCGGACACGGTCGTTAAGAACATTGATGGCCTGGCCAGGCTCCAAATGGGCCTGTAATCGCAATTGTTAGCCCTTGCGCATTGGCTCTTGGCTTGTTGCTGTTCGTCGTGTGGCAGGACTTGGACGCCGGCGCAGCGCTTTTTGACATACCACCATGGTCGGGTACTCCTGTCTATCCATTGCGACTGATTTGCGCACTGGCAGAAAGCAATACAAGCAGGTACGAATACGTTGACAATGAGTGTGGTGTTTGGGTTCCTGCAAGAGAGGCAGGCACGAACCCATTCAATCCGCACCGCACCTGCCGGCACGCCCGACAGCAACGTCACTAGCCGCGGTTCCGCCAACCACCTCTTGCTGCACGAACCATCCAAAAGCCATCCCCACACGTTTGCAGCCAAGCAACGACGAAACTATAGTTCTCACTCTAACACCGATTGTTCATGCCAGATCATCCTTCTGCCTGTGAGCCACGACACATGTCAATGAACCTAGACATAGAGCTGAATGGAATTATACCTAGGCAAGACCAATCGAAGAAGCAAGCCTATGATCCTGCTAGGAACATAAATTGCGAGACCATGTCAAGATATTGAAGATACAAAGCATTCATTCCGATAATATATGAGATACAAGAAAAGAATAGTCCAATGTATCGCTATGCAGTGCGTTACAAGCAAGCAAAAGATGAGATTAGAAACAAACGACACGACCAGAGATCTTGAAAAGAAAAAGCACAATGAGCCTGTTCCATGCTATTTCGCCAATCCCAAAGGTAATCAAAAACTCCTTCTCCTTGCCCTCTGCTCCTCGCAAAAAGAACTGATCATTGCAATGATGGGTGAAAACAACATGACAGCCGACCCAATCAAAAGCATTCATAAAAGCACCTGCTCAACGCCTTGTGCGCCTAGTGACTTTCATCCTTCTACAACCATCTTTTCCTCTGACTCGAACATGTTCCTGCTCTTCCTTTCCGTGTCGCCAGATTCGACTTTCATTTCTTCTGCTTCATAAATTCGATAGGTTGTTTGGGGTCCGCAGGGTCCAGGAACGTTAACATCACAGTACTGAGCTCCTTGAAGTCGACTGGCTTGGTCACGTAGCTGTTGAATCCAGCATCTACGCATTTGGCGTAAACATCTCCCATGACGTTGGCCGACAGGGCCACGATTGGCAGGTAAGGTTGTTTGTTCTTCTTCTCCCACTTGCGAATCTCTCGGCAAGTCTGATAGCCATCCTTGTTGGGCATGTGAAGGTCGCACTGCAATCTATGTTAGTGATGCTCGGACTGAACCACTAGAGCGTGCTTACTAGAATGATAGAATAGTATCCGTGAGGGTTGGCAAACACCTTTTCGGTGCATTGTACACCATCCAATACTGTGTCGACCTTGACGTTAACCTTGCTGAGGAATTTGAGCAGAACCTGCGAAGATCGTTAGCAATGATCAGATTCGAACTCCAATTGTTTTGCCCACCATTTGATTGACTCTGTTATCTTCCACCAGTAGGACTCGCTTATTCTTGTTGCCCAATCTGCGTGTCATTTCTTCGTACACTTGCTTCTGACTAACAGCCACTTGCTGAGCTGAATCTTGGTTGCGATCGGTGCTCATTTCGCGCTCCTTGCGTGGGTCAAAGATGGCAGCAAACTTGCTTGGTTTGAGTGGCTTGAAGATGAATTGCATCCTGCGCTCCTTGGCCAAAGCATCGTAGTCAAACTGCGGTGCTTGCTCGACGAGCTTTCGTCGTTGTTGCAAATCCGTAATGAGCACTAACTGCGTCGACGAATGAGGAGCTGAAGTGAAGACTTGCTGCACAAACGCAATGATCTCCGGTACCGATTGAAGGACCAAGACAATGTGCGAGAATATCATGGGATCATCCCCTCCGATCATCTTCTGGCATTCCATCACATTTTCCCTAGCTGTGATCTTGTGTGGAATGTTTTTGGGCAGCGTCATGTCCATGTGTTGGACCGTTGCTTCACGAGCATGTTTGAGAGGGCAAACAACCAGGATTGAGTACATGGGAGGCAAGTGGCTACCGCCAGGTGTGACCATTCGGATGGTCGCATGTGGACCACTCGTTTCGCTAGCAGCCGAACTTCCTGTGTCGACGCGGCTCAACTTGCTTTCAGAAGGCATTGCCAAATCAATCGGTGGCGATAGTGACATGAGTGATGGATCAGGTACAAACGAAGACGCAGAAGACCTGGTTGACTGAGCACTACCCACGGTACCGGCTCTGATTGATGGATCCGAGCTTCCTGAAGATGATGCCACTGGAGATGGTCGATCAAAGTCTGGCGATGACAAGTCCGTGCCATCTGACAATATCTTGGGCGAGGCCCTGAGAGGAAGATTGAGCGTGTTGGATAGCCTGGGGTCTTGCGTTATTGTCGGCACAGGCGAGGGTGTCATGGGTGTACCAGGTAGTAGTGCAGGGCCTGGAGTAGCAGGGGGCGGAGGCGGCTTGTCGTCTCCAGTTGGCAAAGACGTTTTGATGACAAAAGTGAAGGTAGCACCTTTACCAGGAACACCTCTTGCATACATGTCACCTCCGTGCAATTGGGCGAGTTGACGTGAGATGACGAGTCCGAGTCCTGTGCCACCGTGTTGACGAGTACTACTTCCGTCGATCTGACTGAATCGTTTGAACAGGTATTGTGCCTCCTTCTCTGTGAAGCCCTGGCCGGTATCCATGATCTCGAATCGAATGTACATTGAATCATCAGTAGGTAGATTTTCTTCATCCTGAGGCACGCTGCAGCGAACAAAGACTTCACCAATCTGCGTGAACTTAATCGCATTGCCGATGATGTTGAGCAGGATCTGGCGAATGCGGAAACGATCACCCTTGATTTGAGAGGGTACGTTGGGTTCGACAAGATAATTAAGCTCGAGTCCTTTATCAATAGCCATTGCAGAAGTCAGGTCGTTAACTTCTTCGATCAGTGAACGCACGTGCATCCAATCCATGTTAAGTTGAATCATGCCAGCCTCAGCCTTTGAAAGATCCAGGATGTCATTGATAAGGCCACGCAATCCTTCGGTAGAAGCTCTAATGATGTTGACGTGCTCCATTTGTTCCGAAGTCAAACTGCTATCAATCAAGAAGTTGACCATACCCGTGATACCATTGAGAGGCGTGCGAATCTCGTGAGACATGTTACTCAAGAAACGAGACTTTTCATCCATGGTTTCCTTCAAGTCACGTTCTAGAGCCTTGTGGTCATTGATGTCGGTGCAAGTACCATACCAAGTCTCCTCTTCGTCTTCTTGAAGATCACGCTCTGCGAGCAGAACCCTAACAAGATGCCACCTGTACTCGCCGTCCTTTGAACGCAGCCTGACTTCAGTAGAATAAGAAGGCTTTCCATCAGCGTCTCTTGAGACCTTGAGGATACCAGTCGAGGCCAGTTGGGACAGTCTTGCTTGAGGTAGCTGAGTGGTAGGTGACGTGTTGAGGGGACTCGTAGGTGCACGCTCTGTGTCTGACGAAGCGGAGGATTGAGCTGACGATTGAGCTGAAGAAGAGTGGGCTCGTTGTGGCTCAGGCGGTACAGTAGTGGGGACATTAGTAGCATTCACCGAATCATTCTCGAAAGCCGGTAGCCTGCACTTGACGATGTCATCTGGATGAACGTGCTCCATGAAGCCGATACCCAAAGCCTGAGACTCGTCTTGGCCGGAATAGTTGAGCCATTGCGAATTGCAGAAGGTGATACCCCTCGATTTGTTGACAGTGAAAACTACTTGAGGGCTTGAATTGGCCAATGCTCGGTACTTTGCTTCAGAAGCAGCAGTCTCTTGCTGACGTGCAAGGTTCAACTCAGCCAGATGTTGTTCGTGGAAGTCCATGTTGGTGCCGATCCAGTGAACGATGTTTTGCTTCTTGTCCTTCAATGGCGCAGCTCGAACATAGAACCAACGGTAGTTACCATCGAATCTTTGTAGACGGATCTTTTGTTGCAATTGCTGACCTGTTCTCAACGATCTATTCCAGCTATCCATGTACTTGCTTCTGTCTTCGGCATGAATTGCTTGCCATGGCTCTTTCAAGACCTGCCTAGAATCATGCCCACGGTAAACCAAGAACTTGGAATTGACCCAGGTCAGCGCACCAGAACCAGGAGCAGCGGTGAAAATTTGCACAGGCAGAGAGTCAATGATTGTACGCAGTAATCGCTCAGAAGGTGGAGGCATATCTTCGGAAACCGACGATGTCCTGACATGAGTAGAAAGCCCAGGTGTTCTAGGGCCTGGCGTAGTTGCAGCTGGGAGACCTTGGAAGGACGAGCTGAAATCGGCACCGTAGGAGTGCAGGACAGAATGGCGCTTGTCTCCACCTTCCGCGACGATCGTCGGAGGAGGTGCGTTGCTGCGGAAGCTAGGCTTTCTTGAAACAGAGTTCTCGGCAGTGCGTGGAGGACTTTGCTCACGACCGGCGGATCTGAATGGAGACTTGTCTTCTATTGCTGAACGTTGTTGTCTGGGTCGTCGTTCACTTTTTGGTGTAATATGCTCGTCGTCTGCACCGGAAATAGATATTCTCTTGCTTCTGTCCTTCGCAGGAGTGATTAACGAAGTCTGGTTGCCAGCGACGCCTGATCGATGCTTCTTGGCGTCGAAGTAGCTGTCGACAATCTCCGACCCGCGAAGACCAGCTGGGGTACCAGCCACCGACTTGCTATTGGAATTGAGTCCAAAAGCCGATGGGTCCCATCCTGGGGTTCCAACTATTGAGCCAGAAGGGCTATGGCGAGACCGACCAGAGTAATCGGAGGGACTGGTCATACTACCTGATATAGAGCCTGCCACTTCGTCCAGGTCTGCGCGGATGAGATCATCCAAGTTGCCAGGCGCAATGTTCAATGGTGCAAAGCCGACGTTGTGTCCAGAGATGGATTTGCGGTGTCGAATACCCATGGCTTGGTTGTGCGCATTAGTGTACTGGTGAGCCATGTAGTAAGAAGTCGCAAGGTGCGGCCCAAGAAGTTTAAGCGATTGTACTAAATTCTGAGGGTATGGCACTGCCGGGCTGAGAATGGAAAGAATGGCAATTGGAGCTCTCCGTTCGCCGGACGATACTTGTGACACTGATTGTGCCCGGCTGTCCGGACGAGCCTCAGGGTTGGGAGATTGGTAGTTGTGCATTATTGGCGATAGGGTCGGATGAATGAGAGGAATGTGCACGACAGTATGAGCACGGTCGACACCAATAGCCTCTACCGGTTCTAAATGTGAATAATCATGAGTAGCCTCAGTGGGGTTGAAAGAGTCTTCGACACTTTCCTCTGCGACGAAGAAGGGGTTGTTTTCTGGATCGGCTTGCATGGCAGGTGAAGGTGCGGGTGATTGAGCCCAAGGCGAAGGTGGGTATTGCTCGTATTCCTCGTATGTTGAACCACGTCGCTTGTTGTTGTCAATCTGTGAGAAAAGTGTACGGAAATTGCCAAGATGTTGAGGGGCCTTGCTAGTGCTTTGAGGTGGATACGAAGACGATGGTGGTGGCTGCTGGACACTTGCTTTCGCCTGCCGTTGACCAGAGGAAGTGGTCTCGTCCTGTGAGCTGTTCGAAGAACTTTGACTGTCCTGACCGTTGCTTGAGTAGTCGCGGGTCAGTGTTATCAGCTTGCCTCTTTCCAACACTCTATTGATACCGCTTGAATCAATGAGACCGTCCAGCTCAGACTCCAGACCTTTGAGGATGGGGTAGACGGCCAACTGAGCGGGCTGACTGTAGCCACCGACACTGCTGAACTCAGGTTCGCTAATAGATGTACTGCGGTAGTTGTGACTGCGGTTTTCAAGACCTGGTGATGGCAGAGGGGGGTTAGTCAAACTGGGAGCATGGCTGAGAGTACGTGATAACAGGTTTGGTCGCAATGTAGAACCGGGACGCTGCGGTGTGTCGGCAGAAGTATATCCAGCGTAGGAATGGCGAGACTCAAGGTTGGGACGAATGCGACTGAGAGGAGATGGATCTGGAGTGGAACGTGGAGGCAAGGACACGATAGGAGGCGGCGGTGCCTGATTTGAACCCTGGCTTCCATTCGAATCATCCTCGCGGCCAGCAGCATTGAAAGTGGTCTTCTGGCCCCATGGCACATTCTCAATGTCATTTGAATCGGCGGGCAGGGCAAGACTCGCACGATCCGCCTTGTAGACATCGTTCATTATGTTTGCCACTGTTGACCACCAAGCCTCTAAGCCGGGTTCCGAGTTGAGCTGCAAGACAAGATCATAAACATTTGGCGTGGGGAAGCGAGGATCCTGATTGGGACCAAACTCGAAGCCTGAGGGAGCAAAAGCCGCACCGGAAGCGGCAGGAGTGGTTGCGCCAGATATAGGAGCACCTCCAGGGGTGCTGCTATCACCAGATTGTGCAGCCGAGACGGTTGGCGACAAAGCTGTGAAAGGTTGGTGGAACGAAGACGACCATGTGCGTGGGGTGCCAGGGACGTATGGGAAAGGGTACGAGGGTGTGCGCAAGGGCATGGCAGCCGGCGTAGCGGCGGCACTCCCGCGAATGGTACGAGAGGATGAAGATGTCGACTCGGTAGATGCAGTCTGGGTAGTAGCCAACGGGCTGCTGAAGGCGGCGGTCAGCGGGGAAACAGTGCCATGTTCTTCCTTGATAGGAGAAGGTCGACGAGGCACTTGGGCAGAAGTGTTGGAGCGGCTGACGGCAGGCGAAAGCGAATCGAGCTGAGGTTGATACAATTGCTGTTGCTGCTGTTGTTGAGCGGCTAGGTTGGCCTTTGCCCGCTGCAAATTAGATGTCATCCTGGCAGTCACAGCAGCACGCAAGCGTGCAATTTCTGCTTCATCAGGACTAACCGAAGGAGCGCTTGGGTCCGGTGATTTGGATGGCTCTTTAATGGTGGGTGTATTTGAGCTGAGTGGCGGCGAAGAACGCAGCGTTGGTCGCGATTGCACTTTGGCGGCGGCAGTCACTGGAGCGGCGGCATTGGCGTCGACGGGGTGTGCAGGGGTCGCACTCGGCGTGGCGTCATCGTCGTCGTCGGCGGCATCATCGTTGTACGGCGGCGGCGGCATGTTCGAACGCATGTCGGAGCCGGCGGTTGTTGTAGGATGGCCACTCATCCCCCTTGGGGCTCGTAGTCTTGTTCAGCAAAGCAGCGCGCAGATGGAGTCGTCGACAAAGGACGCATCAGCAACTTTGGCAGAAACGACGACGACGAGAGCAACAGGAACGGGTGGAGACCAGACCGGGGACGGAGATGGAGAACGACACGGCTCGACGTGGGCTCGTCGTCGAGAGCGTGCGTGCGTGCGTGGGAGGAGGATTTGTGAATGGATCGAGAGATGCGACTCTAGGCCCTCGTCTCTCGTTGGTGCTATGAGACCTTCGATCAAGGCGTGTGGCAGCCGCAGACGCTTGAAACGCCAGCGCCAGCCCTCAAGTGCCTGCTTGGCCCTCGTCATCGCGACAAAACTCAAACCCAATTTTGCCAACAAGTCTGCCTCTGCCCAACCTAAAAGACGCTCTCGAGTCCAACTCGTCAACAAACCTGCATTTTTCCACAGCAGAATATCTCTTTACGCAGTGATCAAACGACGCACTTCATAACCATTACCCACTCGGGTTCGTGGTTCGGTAGCAAACCTCAGGTTCCTCTCGGTCGGCTTGGTCTCCATGCAACGTTTGTGCATTATTTACGCTCTCGAACCACCACTCCCGCAATCGCTGCCTCACAATTTCACATCCCCTCCTCGCAATTCATTTGTCGTGCCTTAGATTCCCATCTCTTGACTCGTTCTGTTTACAAGCCTGCTGTCCTCGACTCAGCTCGAAAAGCAGTCGACAGGCTGTAATCGTCGATGGCTTTGTCCAGACCGTGTCGGAACGGTCTCGCCATTGTCTGGTGGCGCTTCCAGACAAACATATATGCATGTCCGCTCACTGCTTGCAGCCGACCTTTGGCTCTGGCCATGTGTCCCCTGATCTTCGATCCACATCGAGTAGCTAATTATTATTGATGTTATAGAGGTTCCTGCTGCTCAAGTGTTGTTCTCTGCGTTGTCCGACGACGAGATTTCGTCCCGAATCTATCCGCACCCATCGCTATAAATCACGCGAACATTATCCTCAAACGAGGCTGACAACAACAATGCATACAAGTATTTGCGACCTTACAGATGCAGTTGTCCGTGACAAAGCCCATGCACGGTTAATAGTAACCCTTGTATGGAGTGCGGTTTTAGTATTTACAAATGGTATTGATAGATGAAGCCTAGACCCAACTGTCCACCTCGCTCTCTAACCGGCTCTCCACACACGACACTTCTCAATCCCCGTCCCTATCTACTTTAATCAGCCCCAGATTTTGAACGAGTATTTGTCTGTTCCGGCTACGGTTCATCTGCTGTCAAATTGAACAGAGGATACCATGAGCAAGAGCCACCAGAGATGCGCGCAGTTCCCACGGGCCAGCGGACTTTTCTCCGCAGCCGGCACCGATATGCAACACTCAAATTGATACACTGCCGTCACCAACTTGTCGCTGCGATCGAAGAAACATTATTTCTCGTGAGCTCAAAAAAAAAAAAAGATAAATTCAGCCACGATGTCATTTTTGCTGTTGTAAACAGAGTGGCTTGTATATCCCCTTGATTTTGATGGAAAAGATCGGTAAACCCTCATTGCCGATCACCTGTCACGATCGTCAGCTGGCAGATCGCGGTTCCAGCAGTGAGCGGCTTGTGAATTCACAATCGTCTTCGCATGAAGGACCCGTTCAACTGTCATATGAAGTACCGTGACAAAAAGTCTCCGAGTGGCCTCCTGAAGTACAACCTTCGACTACGGTAAAGTTGAATTTCGGGTTTGCCAATTGTTGATTTGTCGGTCTCTCGTTCTGCCAAAAATAACTAGCAAAGCATTTGGAAGCCAACGATGATTGTTGGGAATACATAAGCGTTGCATACACCAGGTTTGTGTTGCCTTCAGCGTGTCTAACACCAGTGTACAAAGCATCGCCTTAGTTCTCTATGTCTATGTAACGTGAAAGTTGTTAGAGATAAGTATTTGCATAGCTATGCAAAGCCTCTTGGTCATTCGAGTGCAGAAATTGTTGTTAGTTGTTATTAAGTTTAGTTAAAAAGTGGCGGGCTGTCCCTGATGGACTAATGTGGCCTATTCTTTGAGAACGAGAATTTGAACAGAGTCCCACCAACATGATGATGCAAGGTCGCAAGGCACCCAAAAGCATTCCAAGGTCGTGCAAGATCAACTATAGTATAGCATGAACCTCATAGATATAACATGGCTTCGATGGGACCCTCGCGATACCATTTCGATGTGGTTGAGGATCCGACCCTGTCGTGAAGACAAAGGATCTGATGATAATGACCTTGCCTCATTGGGTATAAGGACCAAAATTGGCCAAAAGATGCACAGTATGATAAATGAATACAGTAGCGGCCGAAAGCGGACTTGGATTCGAGACTTTTGTGTATGTGCTAACCTGATTGTACAAAATGCAATCCGCAGACAGTACTGCAACGACTATCGTGTCATTGTTTTCGCTGCACTTCAACACTAAGTTCAAACGAACATTCGAATGAAGAGCCAGTAAAATCCGATGGAGTCGGATTCCCTTGGTATGTGTGGTCAAGGGTGGCTCTTCTGCTTCGTTGCAGTGTGAACAGATTTCGCTCCACTCGCATGTATTGTTTGATAGATATACGTCCTGGCAACACAGACTCGACAGGAGCACACGATATGCCAGGTGAGGTTGCTTTGGTATCGTGAAGGAAGTTTGAGCACAGATTGGCCAGCATATAAGACGTATCGGCACACTGTCTCTGATATCCTTAACGAGCCGCTCAGCTTGTTCTACGCCACTTGGTTGCATCTGTGGCGTCTTCCCCGTCGACCTCTTCGCCAGCGTCGGCGTCCTCGAATTGATCGGCAGTTCTCACTGTGCCAGCACCAGCACCAAGGATTCCACCTTCGGGCATGCGGAATTCACCATTCTCGTCCATGAAATCTTGGATGTTCTCAGAAGTGATCCAGCCACCAGTTCCTGGCTCAGGCTCCTGCTCGTGTTCTTGATCATCGTCCTCATCTGGATCGGGGTGTAGGTCGGCACAATTTGACACGGCGGTAAAGAGTTTCTCAGCAGCATCGATTGGGTTGCTGTCGCCCTGAGGCTCAGGGGTCAATAGGAGTTCAACAGTCTCGAGATCGTCGTCGGCGGTTTGCGAAATGTCGCTGAGGCATAGTTGCAGGTAGAGGGCGTTTTGCTGGCGTGCGTGTAGAGAAATGGTTCGGTATGGAATCTGAATACCATGACCGGCGCTGGTGCTCCAAAGAATAAAGAAACTGATGGTTGTTAGTAAGGATCCGAAAAAGAGGTAGACAGGAATAGCCTACTCTGATGTCACCCAAATCTGAATGCGCGGGACGGTGACTTCGACTCGGGGCTCGTGGTCGTCGCCATTGGCCTGGGGGTTAGGAGAAGCGTGAGGAGCAGCACCAGGACCGGCAGAGGTGCGCAATGCTTGTAGAGCAGCGTTGGTGTTCAAGTCGTGTTCCGACACCTTCAGGACAGCATTTTGTACGTGGTGATGCAGGACAGGTTTGGCGTCGTAAAAGCTGCCCGGTGTTTCTTGTTGATGCGCCTCAAGACTGGTGTATTCGTCTTCACGCGGTATCGTATCAATGTCTCTCAGAGCGCCGCTCATGTTTGCGATGTTCAATGTGCTTGATGAATGCGACAGCGCGTCAAGCTTCGACCCTGGCGCGACGAGCTTGCATTTGCATGTGAATGCTTGTTTGACTTGTTTGTTTCTACTCTAAAGTCTGTAATGTTCGATCTAATTTCATCATACTCTGACCACGCAGAGAGCAGAGTATACGCTATAAAAAGGCACAGTATGCTAGAAATCTAGATATATCCACAGATAGTCTGTATCTGTCGCGTTCTCAGTGGAAACTATTCTGTTTCTTGTTATTGTGCATTTTTACAGCTACACGCGTCACATACTTTAGCACGTGGGGAGGATCTAGCACGCAGGTGACAGAGCCTCCTCTAGTCCTCGTCCTTCACCCTCATAAATGTAGATTCAATCTTCCACTATCGCCACTATCGTAGTCATGTCGCTATTTTTGTCCATGTCACCCTTTCCATCATGTGCTTTGGCCCAAGGCTTACGGCACATTTGCTTTCGCTTATCTCGCGAAGATTTTGCTTGTTTTCTGGAAGAGTCAATGTTCCGTGGTTTCTTTCGCAAGCCTTCCCAATCTGGGTGACAGCTTGGCACAAACACGTTTCAGCCGAGGCTCAATCTCTCGGTACTCGCTAGACACTTCCTAATCTTCCTCAACATCCGCGGCCCTTCTACCAAATTTACACATCTCGTTGATTTCTTGCTTGATACACGGCCCCTCATAACCCCCGACCCACCGCATACATACTACACCTCGGTATGCTGACGACGAGTTTACTGACCCTAACGGCCAATTCTGTCTTCTCCCCCGATCGAAGGCCACGTCCCCCTTGTATATAGACAATAGTAGACCCACACCATGTAGAGTAGGCCTTTTCCTATTCTACCTTTATTTACAACCTCCATCCTCCCAGAATGGACTCCTCCGACTCCGACAAGGTGCAATCCACCTTCTCTCTCTTTCGTCTTGTCCGTGACCAAGCCCGTATCAGTCCAGAGGTTCTGGCCCATCGCTATGAGGGCTCGGGTACAACAGACGACCCCTACCTGGTCATCTGGATACCCGAAGATGCTGGCAACCCTCTGAACTGGTCCGCATTCTTCAAGTGGATTGTGACTGCGATTGTTGCATTGTCATGTTTCGCTACTGCCTTTGCTTCCAGTGCTTTCAGCGGTCCGTCCTTTCTCAGCGGATGCTGTGTCCTACACAATACTGATTGAACGCAGGAGGAATTCGTGAATTGGTATACGGCTTCCATGCTTCGACAGAGCTCATCACCGCCGGCGTCTCTCTCTTTGTTCTTGGTTTCGCTCTAGGTCCTCTCGTGTGGGCACCCCTGAGTGAGACCATCGGTCGTCAAAAAGTCTTCTTTATGACATTCGCGTTCTTCAGCGCCTTCCTTGCTGGCTGTGCTGGAGTCAACAACATCGGTAGTCTCCTCGTTCTGAGATTTTTCGCTGGCTCATTTGGTTCTTCGCCCTTTACAAATGCTGGAGGCGTTATCTCGGATATTTTCTCGGCTCAAGAGCGCGGTCGTGCTATCACTATCTTCAGTCTGGCGCCTTGCCTCGGTCCTGCCATTGGACCCCTTGTTGGTGGCTTCCTAGGCGAGAACGAAGGCTGGCGTTGGGTACAAGGCTTGCTAGCCATTTTTGCTGGTATTCTGTGGATTCTTGGCTCTTGCATCGTGCCTGAAACCTACGCGCCGGTTTTGCTCAGACGTCGTGCGGAAGCACTTTCCAAGAGAACCGGTATGGTCTACCAGACCAAGTTCGATGCCGAAAGAGGCCCCGTCTCGGCTAAGCAGATGGTTTCAACTGTTCTCATCCGCCCTTGGATCTTGCTCTTCACTGAGCCCATCGTTCTGCTTCTGTCCATCTACATCGCCATCATCTATGGGTAATGTTGTCTCCATCGTGGTTTCAGGGTTCCCAACTAACTCTTCTCGCAGAACTCTTTACTTGCTCTTTGCTGCATTCCCCATCGTGTTCCAGGTCCACCGTGGCTGGAGTGAGGGTGTGGGTGGTCTGGCTTTCTTGGGTGTCGCTGTTGGTATGTTTGGTGCCATTTGCTTTTCCCTCTACTCGCAAAGATGGTACACGGCATCGGCAGCCAAGCATGGTGGTTTCGCTCCTCCCGAATCACGTCTTATCATCGGCATGGTCGGTGCTGTCGCTTTGCCCATCGGCATGTTCTGGTTCGCTTGGACAGACGGCCCTTCTGTCCACTGGATTTCACCCATCATGGCTGGTGCACCATTCGGCTTCGGATTGACCACCGTCTTCCTCTCCGTGACAAACTACCTCATCGACGCCTATGTCATCTACGCCGCATCCGTCCTCGCCGCGAACACCGTTCTTCGTTCCCTCTTCGGTGCCGCATTCCCTCTCTTCACACGATACATGTTCGACCGACTGGGTATTCACTGGGCCTCATCCATCCCCGCCTTCCTTGCTCTTGTTTGCGTGCCTCTACCTTTCATCTTCTATAAGTTCGGCGCAAGCATCAGAGCTAGATGCAAGTACGCCTCTGCTGCCGAGCAGGCCGTCAAGATGTTCCTTGCAAAGGCTGCAGCAACAACTGTGACCGAAGTAGGAAGCAACTCGGGCAGTGACGATGACGTGGATATTGAGAAGACTGCTGAAGTCAAGGACCCATTGGAGCTTACAAGAGCCAAGACCAACGATACTGTCAAGGATGCTGCTGCGATTTACGAGGCCGGCCCTTACGACATCGATCGCGTCAACACTAAAAACTCGGTTTCGGGTCTTTGAGATGAGAAAACCGTTTTCCAATTATTACTATAATGATATGCATATTTAGACAGTTAGACTTTGATAGACTTCTTTGAGATACCCCTATATTCGAAACTCATTTTCTTCACAATCTTGGATCGTCCACCTCGTTCTCCTTATTCACTCATATCTGATATACCGCTATACCCTCCCCATGTGCTAAAGACAGTCACGACTTTGCAATTAACTCTTCTTCATTCGGATAAATAAGGGATACAATAAGCTATAAAAATGCATAATTGCAATCAAAATCCAAATCTAGCCATTGAGATAGCCAGCCTCTAATAGGGCTTTATCGGTGGAGACCACATTCTTCAGAAAAGAATTATGCATTTCTATAGCTACATTATTGTGGCTGACTCTTGCACATGGGGAGGACGCGTCAGAGTCAGATAGCATTACCTTGCTGAACAGTGATGGCGAGATCACAGCGTCATGTGCGATCATACGAAAGTGGCGTGGTATTGGATCAAATGATATTTGGATGTCATTATCGCGATTACGGAGCAATCAAGGAAGGAGCCGGAAGCAGATGTTGTACGTTTGGGAATAGAAAAAAAAGGAAGCTTCGGGACGACTGACGTGGCCCTGAGTTCAGTCATGAACATTGGACATCATGCCTATGGCATATCCTGCTACCAGAACTGGGAGAAATGAAAGAAAGATTGCCTTCTAAAGGCACGAGCTTCCTTGCAGCGACTAGCGAGGAGGATGCTGACTGAACAAATTCAGAGAGGACAAACACAGGTCCTCAAATCATGAAACCATATTGACCACAAAATAGCAAAACAAATCCCCGCCACCAGGGCTCAGTTGTAGAAAGCTCATCAGCGGGGAGAAAGCCACCATTTGAACCTGGTTTCATTTCAAGGTCAGAGCCTCAAGGGGCTCTGACATTTTTATAGTCCGACTCTGAGAATCGAACCAGTGACCTTCCAGCGGGGGTCGCCAACAACTTTGTTGGCGTGAGACCGCTGGGCCAATCCACCGCTTGTCGGTAAAGCGATGGTGGCTGGTGTGAGAGAGGCGATGGCGCTGGTATATAAGGTGAGTGAGAAAGTGAGTGGTTTTGCTTATCGGAAACCCCAAGTTGGGCGATTCTCTGGTCACTTTGAAGATGCTATATGCACTATACCAACAGAATGAGTAGGAACCATGTAATCATCACTGCTTTTCCTACTAGAGCAGGGCTTGTTGGCAAGTGGCTACACATGAAGGTTGCAGGTCTAAGACAACGATCTTGACAAGTCACCACGATGATCATGAAGCAATGGAGGAAGGAGCTGAAGAACAGCTGCATACAGAAGCTACAAGAAGGAAGGGAGATTTGATATGGCTGACGTCGCTTCTCAGCCGAAAACAGAAACCTAGAATCCAAGTCAGTCTATGAAGGAAAGCACTACCATCCATGCACTTACTATGACAACCAAAAGCGATATTAGCAGCGAGTGTTGACCAGCAACACAACGCCAATGTATTTCAGCACCCACCATCGCCACTTCTGGACTACTCTCAAGGAATTCTATCAAACTCATCCTTGACCCTCAGAACCCCCACCGCATGTTCATCTCCACCTTTCGCACTCAGCTCCATCCAATGCCGCGCAACAGCCATGGCCACAGGATCATATCTCTCACTAGCCGCCTCTCGATCCTTGTCCACATCTTTAAACACATCCTTGACCTTCGAAAATGGCGGCAAACAGATACCGAGAAGGTCTGGGTTTGTGAGGTAGAGTGTTGCAAGCTCGCGCTGGGCAGCAGGAATGCCTTCCTTGGCTGTTAGTTGCAGCAACATTGCTGCATCACTCATACTCAAGTCTGCAACCGAGGGATCGCTAGGTTGAGGAGTAGGTGGGGAGAAGGCAGCGGCATCGCGTTTTGCTTGTGCGGCAGAGGTCACACGCGAGTGGCCGCGGTTAAAAGTGTGGTGTTGGATGATTTGGTCGGCTGTCTCGATCATGCTTTGGCAGATCTCTTCTTTCAGGTCGAGGGCGGCAATGGTGGCGTTCCAGAAGGCACGGCCACGAGGCGTGCTGTCGAGGATATTGAGCGGGACAAGTGAGGCAATATACTGCAAGTCGCGGAACAAAGTCTTGGGCCTTAACTGCGGGTCTTGGAAAAGTTGGCGAAAGCTCAGTATGGTACTATCGTGGCCCAAAGCTGTTCTGGGAGCGCTCGAAGTATCGATTCGAAGACTAGGTCTACGTTGAGCAAACAGAATGGCGTCGGATTGTGATGCATTGTTCACATCTTCCAGTCCGCGGTCCACCCTATACGCCTTGAGCATGGATTGAAGCTCAAGAAGAATGTCAAGTTTGGCATAGGGGCTGGCTTGTAACTCGAAACGTCTCAAAAGCATGCGGAATACCTGATCAAAATCGAATGACAATTGAGAGACATCGCGTTTGTGCTCCGTCTCATCTGATGGTAGAACACCACACGGTAATCTGAGCTTGAGCATCTTGCGCATAGCTTTGTCCGTCTCACTTCCCGAGCGAAATAGGTCGTGGAAGTCACTCAGTAGCAAGCTGGTCAAGTTTTGCTTCAGCTCGTCCAGGAAAGAAGCTTGACTCTGCTGCAAGCATGAGTGGCGAGACAGCGGTCGTCCAGTTGACATGGGTGATAAAGCCCTTGACGGAAAGCTCGTAGCACTTGACGGAGATTGTGGTCCTGCACTGAAGCTTGACCATAAAGTGCCAGATGATTTATGAGTAAGAGTGGGACTTCGACAGCCAAAATAGTCGTGCGGGATGGACTTTGGACTTATACTTCTGGCAGTAAGGTTCGAGTGCATTGTGGTCCGTGATGAAGTAGTAAATCGACTCCATTGAGACGAAGCACAAGCCTCATATGACCCAGACACATTATTGTCGTACATAGATCGAAGCTTGGTCAATGCGCCAAGTTCAGAATTGGGTGTACCAACTCTGCTATAACATTGATCAGACAAGGTCTTCTGGTTCTCGAAGAGCTGACTCGACCACAGTATCGGGTTTTCGACGATGCTTTGACCTACGAAATGGTCGATGCATCTGGTAAGCTCAGAACAAAAACGATGTATCCGTCCTTCGGCCCTGCAGACTCTCTCCACACCGCGAGCTTGCATCCAACGCATGGTCATATCAATCTGGGTGTCACTGAGCTTGTTTGTGCCACCTCTTTCAACTGGAGCGGAAATTAGCTCAAGTGTTGCTGCTTCTGCTTTCAGTTGTACATTTTGGTTCAAAGACTTTGATGCACTTCGATGCCTGAGAAGAGGTTTCTTCTTGTCTGTTTTCGGGCGACTTGTTGACGCCATGACCCGTAGTGCTGTCACTACTTTACGCAATTCTTCATAGTGACCTGCTCGTTGGATGTCAGCAGTGTACCACATTTTCTCTCGTAGTCGGTCGTTGATATACGAAAGTGATCGTATCTCGGCTTGCTGCGAATTGATTCTGTCATTGATTCTCTCAATCTGAGCTTCTCCTTTTTGAATCTTGAGGCGACAGATATCGATAGAGTGATGAAACTCCTCTGCAACAGCCTGAATAATCTGCGATGTCAATGCAGGAGAGAGTGAGGTAGTCGTCTTGGCCAAGCGGAAGAATAGATGGGCCTGAGCAAAATCTCCTTGGTGGTAACAACTCGCTCTCGCGCTCTCGAACTGATTCAATAACGAGAAATGCACCGAATGATCATCCTTGGGCGTGGTTACAGTGTTCAAGGTGGCCACGGAGGAGAACCCATCCAAGAGGGTGACGATGCCAGTGCTTAGGAAGCCAAATGTTTCAGAATCAATAGGTTGCTCCGGGGAAAAGTCCATCTTCAGTCCATCGTAATCGACCTGGTGACTAGCGTAGTCGATCCAGGATGTTGTGCCGTGATTGATACACGTCTCGAGACATGTCCATTGCTCGGAAAACAAATCACACCTTTCCATGTCGGAGTGACCGCCAGTAGACACAGCCAATTCAATGCAAGCTTCTCTGAGTCTATGGCTAAAGCTGTCTCCGGCAGACAAAAATGCATGGTCCTGAGAGCGTCCCATTGGCGCCGCACTAGGTACAGAGAAACCAGTAGGTGTACCTACCTCAGGGACAACATCGCAACGACCATTCCTTGGTGAGGTAGGTTCTGAGGGAGACATAGTTTGGAAAAGAGACAATCCGGACACGGAGGATGCGGAGGACCTCAGAGTTGAGCCACGGAGGATGAGGAAACCACTGCAAAGATCGTGACTATTCTCTGGATAGAGAGAGTGAATCGCGTTGACCACTTCCGAAGCGCAAAGCATAATTTGTCTGTTGTAGCAGGAACTGCTGCCTGGAATGTTACTACCTAGATTCCTGGTATCCGGAACGGATACTGATTCCAGTGGACCCAGTCGGAAGAGGTCTACGATGGTTTCGATTTTCTCTATGAGGTGGGGCAAGATGGGAGAAGTTTGTTTCCTGTAACATATAAGATCAATGTGCAGGAAGGGTAGGCCTTACGTACCATGAGTAGGCAACACCCTCCATAACTTCTCGGGTACGAAGTGCTAGTTCATGTAGTATCCGCTGACGAACAGTTGACGATATGTGATGAGAGAGCAATAGACCATGGCTCTGTAGACACAATGAGTTCGGAGCGGGTATATTCTGTTTCTCTTACTCACCTCTGGACTTGTTATTAGTGACGACAAATATGACGCAAAGAGCCAACGAGTACATAAGAAGTACGGAGCTGCTTGTTGCTGCTGAGAAGAGGGGTCCAGTCTTGCAACAATGGACTTTGCCAAGCTTAAGACACTGTTTGGGATAAGTCTTGTTAGCTGATTGTCCTTGAGGAGGGAGAGCAATTTCTCGATCGCTGTAGCAAAGAAGTCATCAACGGCCTTTGCATCATCATTAGGAAGGCCCGAGGAAGGTTGGACCTTGTTCCGGAACGCACGCCGATCTGCGTGGTAAAGAATAAAGTCTCCGTCTCTCATTGTCTCCAAAAGCCAAGTGTCAAGGTAATGACGAGCCGTATTGTCCAGCTGTCCAAGGTGCGCGTTCATGACAGCGATCACAAACTTGTCACTTCCTGCCTTCTGGTAGGACAAGAGACCAGCACAGATGATTCCCCAAGCACTCGAAAGTGATTCATCACGGGTGTGCCCATCCGTAGGGATCAATTTCAGTAGCAGGCCAAGGACATCTGACCGGGAAAAGTCCAAGAACCGTTTCGTATCCTCATGCTCGGTCCTGTCTGATGGTTGCTTGAGATGGTTACCGAAGATTGAGGCTCCGGTCAAACTTTGACAATATGGCCTGGATAGAGTTGCGAAGGCGAAATCTGGAAGTCCTAAAAGACGGTCGAGAAGGAAGAACGGATCAAAAGAGACACGAGATAGAAACGTTAGTAAGGTCTCACGAGTACCCGGCGACACGCCATCCAGAAAATAACCACTTCGGTAGTCCGGCGTATGATTGTTCACATCCTTGGGTAGAGGAGACTGCGTGTCCCATTCGTTACATGCCTGCCTGAAAATGTGAAAGGCGTCGAAGAGAATGGAAAACTTGCTCCGGTTCCCAGATTGGATTGACTCGGTGAGTTCGTATCGTAGACCCTTCGCGCCTTCAACCATCCGGTTCCTGGCCTCGCAAGATATTCCTAGCCGGTGCAGTCGGTGCTCAATGGAGTCGCTTTTGCGCTTTTGGTATTTCTGCAAACGCCTGAGGTAAGCCAGCTCAGCCATAGTTGTCCTTGGTGAGTCTTCTCGTTGTGCCATGTTGAAGGCTTCTTCTACTAACACTCCAATCTGATGGCAGACGGTTTTTTGTGATGGTGATGGAATACTATTGTAACATTGTGAAACGCGTTATATTGTACGGTAAACACCCAGACGATGAAGGATCTCAAGGTAGTTAAAGAGCCACGACACTGCTGTAGTGAAGAATGGTTAGCTGCTGTCGTATCGTGGACGCCGGATAGATGCCAGCTCATTCAACAGCAGCTTGTGATTAGTACAGAATGATGCAAGCTACCGATTGGTTGTGGAGTAGAAGGAATTGTCCGGACATGATCGATACGTACGAACTGAGTAAGTAGAAAATTCGGAAGGATCAAATGCCTTCTTGATCAACGGGATGCCGTGAAGCAACGAGGCATTCCAGTCGTAAGGACAAAACTCGTAGCACCGATCGCAGCGCTGTCAGTTGCTGACCACGGCGAGCCGAAAAAACATGGAGGGTGGAGCATCAGCGAGAAGCTCGAAGCGTCAGCTTTGGATGATGAAGTGTGGGTGCCAGGGCGAGAGCCTGCATCACGAGCTCTCATGCCCCGGGCAAGTGGCGTGGCATGCAGGAGTTGTGTAGCCTATCAAGGCACCTCGAGATCAAGCATTCCTGTTGCAACATTTCTGGTAACGCATCTGAGAGGTCCGTCGTGACATGGCAGGAACATCAGAAACAGCGAGGTGCATGACCGATCCCAACTGCCAACGCAGCGTGACCTGGTGTGCTTAGGAACGGCCGGACACACCAAGCATACACTTGAGACTACACTCCCGCAAGATATTTTGGTGCTTGTTCCCTCGATAGTGATCACTTTGCGCAAAGCCAAGCGGCCTATCTTGCGACCGCCTGAGGATGTTGCGCGAATGATAGAAAGAGCCCGCGTCGCGGGTCGATCGTCTGTGTTCCCCCCCGCTTGTGTCTGCACCCAATCATGATCTCAGGTCATTTTTCCAGAAAATGCCATCACATTTTCACAGGACCGGCAGTGCTCGATGATTCTTTGCCGTGAGCCATTCACTAACAATCTATGATCTAGCGACTATAGGTGGACAGTGATCTTGAATATTAAGAGCATCAAACTAGGTACAGAAGGTCGAGAACGGCAGAAACGATTAGTTATCACTGATCGAAGTGTGAACACATCTTACTCATTCGAAACTTTGACAACCAACTTGCCACGGACACGGCCAGTCTTGAGTGTTTCGAAAGCCTTCGGTACGTCTTCAAGACTGAATATCTCAGCGATGACAGGCTTGACCTTCCCTTCGGCCATCCACTGTCCAATTTGCTTGAAGTCGGCTTCTTTAGCGTGACATGTAAGAAATTCGTACTTCATCTTACCGCCTCCTAGAAATCTTGGCAGGAGGAAGATGGGTAGTAGGCGACGGAAGAAGTCCATGCTCATAGTTGCTCCAACGTTGACGACCTTCGCACCTTCCTTGGACCAGTCGTGAGCCTGCCAATACAGCTCTGGAGAGCCGACAAAGTCGACGATGAGATCGAAGCGCCTACCACTGCGTAGGAATATCTCATGGACGTCTTGAGTTCGGTAATCGATTACCTCGTCGGCGCCCAGGCTCTTGCAGAGTTCCACATTTGGTCCAGAGCATGTCGTTGTGACCTCACAACCCATGGCCTTGGCAAATTGGATACCGAAAGAGCCAGTGCCTCCTGATCCACCGTTGATGAAAATCTTGTCTCCAGCCTTGACATTGGGGACGATGCATTGATAGGCGGTCAAACCAGCGACACCAACGCAGGCGGCATCCTCGGATCTGACGCCATCAGGAAGAGCGATAGTTCCATCACGGCCAGCGACCAGGTACTCGGCCATAGCACCGAAAAGAGGAGGCTCCGTCTTGCCGAAAACGGCTTGACCAGGCTGCAAATCGCTTCTCGTGGTCTTCACGACTACGCCAGCGAAGTCCATACAAGGTGATGCTGGCTTGGAGATAGCCAAGTTGCCGACAATGGGAGCTTCTGGCAGCTTGTAGTCGACGGGGTTGAGAGCGGCATAGTGAACCTTGACGAGAGTCTGGTCCTTGGCGAGCGAATTTGCAGACTTTGGCAAGGCTGCATTGTTGTTCACTCTGAGACTCTTCTCGATAGTGCCCTGAATGGAAGTCCATTGTGAAGCTCTCATTGTGGAGGGGATCGACGCGGCCATGCTTGCGGTCGTGTGGAGATGAGAAAGTTGACAAATTCACTAGTCAAAGTATCAGGTGGTCGATGTCGACTCAAGTAGATGCAGTCGTGTAGAGATGGCGCCCAGGTCTCAAGTTTGATGATGAATATGTCAAGTTCAGGTCTTGCGAGCTCTTGATTTCGGCTTCCATGTGATTATGACATATCGAGCACAGACCACTTTTGCTGCTTCGTCCGGTTTTCTGGATTTGACCTTTCCCGGCTCCTTCGTTCCACCGCATCTGCTGAACATCTTATCATAAGTTACTCGTAGCTCAAAACAATTCTTTCAAGACCATTAATTGCAACTTGGTAGTTGTGAAGCTTACGAAAATGATGACAAGCGGTCGTCTCGATTCGGGAGTCCAGATACGCTCCAGCCGTTTATCTTATCTCTGTCGCTAGAGGATGTTCGCCTAACCGCTTTCCACCAAACGACACTGCATCCGCTGGTGCGCCTCCACTCACACAACCACATGGCATACCACTTACCGCCGTCGATCACGGATGAACTGTACCTTTATTGGTGTCTCAAGATCTTAAACAGGTCCAGAATGTCTCCAAAAAACCCGGGCCAGATCATTCAAATCCTTTGAGTCTGTGAATGCCTACTCTAACCTGGAGCCAAGGCCCGGACAACTGTCTGGCTGCAGCCACGGCTCAGAATCACAAATTTCATCGCATAGGGACGCGCAGGCCCTGAAATCTGTGGTACAATATTTTCGTACCTACTCCACCACTATGCAGGTGCCCTTTACTCTCTTCATACTCCACGGTCTCTGAAACAACGCGGGTTGTAGTGGCGACGCGCCGTTTCGCGGTAGCTGGGGGACTTCAACGTTGGATTCGACCAGAACGTAAGTAAATGCCTGTAAAGGAGAGAAAGACGTTTTCTTCCACCATGTCTATCAGTCAAGATCATCTATATCTTTGTCATGATCCTTTCCTTAATTCATCATCTCTCTTGCACCTTTCTTTTCCACAGATTGCTCTTATAACTTCGCTCATTCCATTGTCCGAGCAAGTCTCGTACATTCCACTCTCTACTACACTACCATTCTTTACGATACCAAACCAAAGATGAAGAGCACCATCCTGTTGTCTGCCTTTTCTCTGGCCTCTATTGGCTCCGCTGCGGTGCATGGAGAGCGTGGTTTTGGACTCCAACGTCACCAGGCTCTGCACAGCAGCAGCAGTAGCAAAACCAGCACTACTATCAAGACCTCGACCCGACCCGCATCATCTTCGCTCAAAACCTCTTCAAAGGCTACCAGCAGCTCCATCAAGAGTAGCTCGAAGTCTTCCTCGAAGGTCTCCTCGACCTCCAAGGCCTCTTCCAGCAAAGCATCTAGCAGTTCGACCAAGCCAGTTTCCAAGAGCTCATCCACGATCAAGAGCTCCACACAGACTTCCTCTACCAAGGCAGCAACTTCGAGTGGATCGAGCATGAGTCTTGCTTTCAAGGCCGGACTTTCTGGCTTCCCTAGCATCGAGACTACTGATGTATTCAAACAACAGTGGATGCCCTATATCTCGTGGTACAGCAACTACGAACCCGTCGCTCCTAACTTTGATGCTTCGACCCACACTGTGGTCGGTGCACCCATGCTCTGGGGCAAGGGCGACCAATGTCTGACAAACAACCCTGATGGCCCAGTTGACGAGTGGCGTCTTGGAAACTTCACCGAGTACGTGACAAGCGGAGAGACACATCCCAATGTCTTCTTCGGCTTCTACGAGCCGGACTGCGACTGTCCTTCCTCCAGCCACATCACCAATGTTACTGTCGGTGTTGAGAAGTGGAATCAATACATCAAGCCTCTCCGCAACCGCGGCATTGCACTTGGCTCGCCACCCATGTGCACACAGCTCGATCAAACTTGGCTCACCAACTTCGCGGCTCAAGGCGTCACTTGGGATGTCACCAGCATCCACGTGAACAAACCCACTGTCGCTGAAGGCATCAAGGTAGTCGAGTATTACGTCAGTAAGTTCGGCAAGCCCGTCTGGGTCAGCGAATTCACTTGCGTCAACGACCAAAACTGGAGCTCTTGCGGCGACCAAGATACTGTGAACTCTTTCATTGATGGCATGGTTCAGTACTTCGAGGGCAACGACAATGTTATCGCCTATGGTGCGAACAACGGCGAAGGTGTTCCTGGTGTCTGGAACCTGATGACCAACGACTGGCCTCCTCAGCTTACTGCCACTGGTCAGCACTACCAGTCTGTTCTCAAGAGTCTTGCTAGCGAGAAATGCTAGAAGGTTTAGGTTTTGTTTTTCTACTTCACGAATTTTATATAGAGTGGCGTTCTCGGGATATGCTTTTCTTGCAGTTTGCGGCGTGGTATAAAAACGGCTAGATATAAAGGGCAGGACCCAAGCAATAGAGCATCATTCCAACTTCATTTGTCTCATGTCTTTCAGAGTTCGGTTCAAATCTGCTTCAAGACAATGTTCGTATTGAGTAGCAGATGGACGAACTGTATTAGATAACAAAATCAAAGAATCGTGTTCGATCAAGTAGCAACAACTGGATGCCCATCGCTAAGCGTCCAAAAAGAAACCTTCCGCACCTTCCCACCAGCAACTCCAGATCCCAACCCTCAAAATCATGGTTCCTTTCGTTATTCGCGAAATGTAAAAATTTCAGAAAAAATGTCGAGTCCTTGGTGACACGACGCAGTGAAACGTGAAAAGTATGGCAGCAGCCAATGAGCTCAGCTTGATCGAGGGCGACAGGTGCGAGGATAGCATTTTGGTTGTCGATGCGAGACACCCAGAAATGAGAGCATTTCAGTAAGAGCTCCTGGTAGTATGGGACCAATAATCTGCTTTTCCATATGCTGGGAACCTGTCAGCTGAAAGTTCTGTATCACAATTTCGAGGCTGTGATTCGACTTACTCTTCGTTGTCGATGTCGTGATGTTTTCGTGAAACGTCTCGCAGAGAAATGTGTCTTGATCTCACACCTTTCTGCGCTTCTGACCGGGCAAAGCGGCAGCGGCAGCGGCATCCCTCTGCATTGACTCCGCCTTCAACCTCTCAACTTCACCCTGCAATGCACGAATAGCCTCCCACAACTCATCGATATCTTGCTGCTTAGCTGCAGGTTGGATAGGCGTGAAAGAAGCAGCAGCAGCGGCATTCAGAGCCGCAGCACTGGCATTTGCGGCATTGGCTCCACCCCCAACCCCGCCAGCAGATGCGGCTTTGGTCTTGTGGTTTTCGCGATACCGGCGTTTGGCTTCTTCGCGCTCGGCATCTGTGTGATACTTGCGTGGACGGCCTCTGCTGCGTTTACTGGCTGAGTGAGCTTGTGTGGGTGATGCTGCTGTATCGTTGTTGTTGTCGGTGGTGTGGTTGGTGGGTTCAGTAATGGGGCTCTGCGCGGGCATGCTCATTGGAGAGGACGAGCTTTTTTCGTCGTGGTCACTCATGCTGGTAATTGTGTCTTGTGTGTGATGGATTTGAAGTTCACAACAGGAAGATGGCGAGAGCCAGATCAAATATAATAATGCTTGTTTGTGATTTGATTGACAACGAGCGTGTTTGATAATCCACTCTTGCTGCGTGAAAGAAAAAAGTGCTGAGAAGATAAAAGGGAGATAAAAAGGAATTCTTTGTTTTCTTTGCGCTTTTTTCTTTTCCCCCACCCCATCAACTGACGCAATGCGTGGTCCAAGCGCAGCACCTCTCTTCATTCCTTCCCCCCAACCACCGCTGTTCTTTTACGAAGGACTGTTTTCACATCAAACAAGCTACAAGATATCTCTTGGAAAAATACTGGAAGGGTACTGCACTCTTCGATCATGCCACAAACAAATCTACTTCTCCTTCCTTTGTGACATTCTCTGCCATGCTGCCGAACACACAATTCTTCAGATCTGGCTAGTATTCTGTGGTACTCATAGTGTGCTGAGCAAACGCTTTCATACATCTACCCCTTGTGTAGAATTCTGTTGCAGTCGAACGACTCCCCCTCTCCCACGACAAGCTACATTGCAAGCTGCTGAATTGCACAATTGCTTTCTGGCTAGAGCTTTGGCCATTGAAACGCTCGAAAACAATGTTATCTCTTTGTATCTCGGTCTGTTGTGGAAAGTATTCTACATTGCTGTAGTTACAGTCTAAGGCCTTCAGCAAGTGGAGGTTGTGCACAATCTAGCCCTGGTTCTCCTTGTTATACACCACGTCCTGCAATCCTTCGCGGACATCGAAACCTAAAGAAGATCAATTCATTCCTCTCCAGCATCAAACAGCTCAGTGACAAATCGAGACTCTGCCTGTCTACGCTTCTTCTGGTCCGGCATCGGAATCAAGTCATCGTCTCCTCCTTTTCTCTTCAAGGTGCTAGCTGAGCTGAGCCTTTCACAGCGTTTTCTGATGCTGTCGGGGGTTCTCGTGATGTTATGCTTTGAAAGGAGTCGAGCACTGCATACCTTGGCCTTCTCGCGTTCAGCCAGGATCAACAAACTCGAGTCTTCTTCGATCTCTTTGAAGACTTTGAGCATGGCTCTATCCTCATGATCCGACCAATGAGACTTGTTCGCGATACTACTCACATCATTGGCGGTATCGATCGCAGACTTATCAGCGGCGGTATTGGTGCTGTCGTCAGACTGGACAGCCTCTTTTCTACCTCGCAGTCGGTGGTATCGAGCAGTAATGGCTGGCAGTGTCCGTTCAGTCCCAAAGCGGGATTTGAGGAGCGACATGCACATCTCAGCACGCTGTTTGAGGGTCGAATCCTTGTTGGCCTTCTCGAGTTCATTCATGATCTCAAGCAGCGCTTTTTGTTCCTGAGAAGGCCATGAGCCCGGCTTCTTACATGTTTCTTCGAACAGGTTTTCATTATCATCAGGAATGGTCTGATCCTGAGCTTCGACTGTGGTTGCACCAGCAGGCTCTTGTTGTATCCTGGACCACTGATACTCAACGGCTCTCTCGGTACGGCGGTAACCATATTCGGACTCGAGTCGCTTGCTGCATATTTCGGCACGCTGGAGATTGCTCAATGCGGCGCATGTTTCGTCCGCGTTGATGTTCCTCATGATTGCGACTACAGCATCCTTTTCTTCTTCGGACCATTTGCCAGGAAACGAGAGTCGCGGACGAATTGTTGTCAGATCGGGCATACTGCGAGGCTCAGAAGCGGAAGCCATTGAAGAAGTTGGATTCTGCATCCTGGCGTTGGTGATCACCTCAGAGCTCTTCAGCCATCCCAAGATCTCCCACATGGCTAGAAGTCGTTCAGCCCTCTCCTTTGACTTACTGCCCCCGAACCTGAGAGTGTTGAGCCAATGGTTTCGATTTGTGATGGCTGCATCGTACTGGTTGAAGAATGTGCACTTCGTTTGTGCATAGTCCTCAGCATTCCAGCTCATGGCAGCGGCGATGATTCTGTCTGGTTCCGGAAGCTGGTCAAGTCCCTCAGCCTCAACACCAATCTCCAACCAGTTAGAGGGCTTGATTGTCTGGACTTGAGGCAGAGACGTCAACAAGCCATGATATTCAGGAGGATAGTGTAGAGGAGCACGGCTCTGAACTGTGAGCCATGTGTCACCAGCAGCCGCCTTCCCCTTTGGTGTTCCTGAACGAGATGTGCTAGCGCGGGTCTCATGCGAAGAGAGGTCGCCAATTTTTGACGCAAGCACGTTGTCGAGTGATGTGCGCACAGCAGCTTTGCTCTTACGAGATTTATGCGCCACAGCTTCCGGCTCGGTGGCGGCTGTAGGAGTATCGGCTGAGAGGTTCACTGGAGACGATGAGATTCCACATGCTGAGAATAGTCAGCATTTAACTTGTGGACATAGCAAGATAACTTACTTGCTAGGCGTTCTGCATCACTCTCGTGGTCGTGGTACTTGCAATATGCATGACAACATGTGCAGTTCTCGCCTTCTTTTTGCTCCTTGAACGAGCGCTGGAACAATCTCTTGAAAAACAAACTCGATTTTGGATAGTTCGATGGATCATCTTTGACACCGTCATCGTCATCCTGTAGTGAAGATGCTATTAGCAAGATATCAAAGACCAGATGTGTCGACACCACGCTTTACTGAGCGGAAACGCCAGAACGCATGCGGTAGTCGTGGTGTCTGGCCAAGTTCTGGTTTAACTTACAGCCTCGGGACTCCAGTGGTTGAAGTACGTGTCTTCAACATATCGAGATAGCGGAGAAGATGCACCGACCATCTCCTCGATCACAGAAATGTGTTCATAATGGAACAAATCAGTGCGGTTGTTGTGATCATTTCTACAAGCTTTTTGGAGTTGCGTGATGGCACAGCGCTTCAATGCAATGGAGCCAGCAGCATTTCCCAAGAAATACAACTCCGTCAGGGTATGCCAATCGGAAGAGTCGATCTTTCCAGTGTAGAGCCAGCTGAAAAGTAGCGTCAAGACTGGTCGGTTAGTCTCCAGCACAAATGGCTGTCCTGGCAGAGTAGAAGGCTGGAGTTGCGGACAGTAGTGAAGCAACAGCGATCGAGGGACCATGAACGATTGTGGCATGCGCTCGTTGGTACGAATCTCGACTTGTTGTTGGCTGCTGCCAATCATGCGCCTGCAGTTGTGTAAGCGCCGAGCATGTATCTCCCAATGGACATGTCTTTCTTCTGGAAAGCATTGTGCATTTCTATAGCGATGCGCAATAGGACATGTGCATGTTGAGAAGGAAGAGAAGAAGCACTTACATCAAAGTTTGCTCGGTCCATGTATGACTGGACCAATCGTGTGGCGCAGCCATGGCGAGCGAATGTGGTGTCGAGGAAGGAAGGAACGAACAAAACACAAAGTTGACTGTTTTGGTGTAACAAAGTGTTGTGATGTGCGTGTGCGACCAAGCGGGGTCTGCAAACAGCACGCGCGCCGAAGATGGAAGTGACAGCGGAGAATCTCGTGTCTCACTTTTACTCAAGCCCAATTACCTTGACCGCATGTTGATTCAAAAGTCGATCGTGCAGCAAGTCAATACATAAATCATACCTCAGCCGGCTTTGGGAGTCAACGCACTTATTCCACAAGGGACGACGTTCTTCTGTTTCAGTATGGGGTACACCATAGGTTTCCATCAATTTCTGCTTAGTGCAGGCATCAAGCTAGAAGACTAGCTAAACTACAGATCCAAGACGTTTTACAGCTTGCCAAAGTATCAACTTACCTTTGCCATTTCTAGAGTACTTCTAGAGGCAACAGATATATACTGTCTTCTCGTCCTGATGTTACATATTTACAGATTTTGCCCTCATTCGCATTCATGTGCCTGTACGAGCATCTGACATATCAATTGGGGTGCAGATGATGGGTCTGCTTGTGCTGATCACCAAGGTTGCAACGGTGTGTCCCCTAAATGTAGGTCGTTTGGCGGTAGCACTTCCCTCTTAACATAGCACGTTGTTCACCACCCTCCAACACAGATGGCGAGTCACGCCAAGATGCTTGAATAAGCTTAGTCAGTCACTAAGACATATAAGCTCCTGCCAAATTCGCAAGTTGGTCGCCGAACTCATTCATCTTCGCATCCATCCTGCTGACATCCGATATGTCTCTCGAGCTCATCAATGCCGACCTGCGCGCGTCCTTCGAGCTTCATCGATCTCATGTTCTGCAGCTAAGACGAAATTGCCTCGCGAGATTGTTCGAAATCCTCGAGATATCACCGGACACCACTGATCCTGAGGAGCTCGATATTGTTCGCGCGGAAGAATGGCCAAAGAATGCCGTTGATCGCCTGACCAATGCCATCAGAAGCAGCGCCGACTTTCTCGCGCTAATCACGGATGGCACAAGATCGCCTCTATCGGAGGAGGAACGTCTGCAGATTCTCACCAAGATTGAAGCAACCCTTCGAGACCGACCTTCTCTGGACACTGATCCTGTGGCCCTTCCTGAAGACTTCAAGCAGCTTTGTGCACTGACAGACTCGCTCCAAGGACCCGCTTTGCCGATGACTGAATCACAGATTCCTTGTGCGTTCAGTGGTTTACGAACGCCACTAGCATCGCTCAAACATCCCTTGCTCTCCCCTGATCAGTTGAAGCAATCCACTGGTCTCTGGACTCTGGGCTACGAGGCCTCTATCGTCTTGGACATGGGCGAAGTGTCAGGTGGTGCTGGTGGTGGTTCCTGGCTATGTTGGTGCAAGCAAGACGGCACGGATGATTGGAGGTGGAGATGGGCCACTCGTATCGGTTACGTACAACCACCTGCTATCTATGAGGATGTCAAGGAATTGTTAGATCGATACTGGAGAACATATGTGGATGCTGTTGCCTCGTCCTACGACGGTGACATCGGTCAAGAAGAGCTGTTATAGTCACCTTTTCATTCTAAATCGAAGTGTGGAAACTCTCATGAACCAAGTAGATCAATGAGTCCAAGTGAACATTGCTTTTGGCAGAAACATGCCATTCACCTCTGCAGCTGACGTATTACTCTCAAAGAGCTCAACAAGGAACTTGTGCTTGGAGAACATCTATTTTGTGTTTCTCGTCTCTCATCCGACCGTCGTCCTCTTCTCGTCGTAGGAGTCCGATGGTGTCAAACCCCACTAAGCTCGGTGTGGTCTTGCAGCTCTCTACCAGTTTTGACATGATCGAACGTTGCAGTGCGACACAGTTGAGTTCGTCAGCAAAGATGTAAAGTTTAGCTGTGCCAATATGCCACTGTTCAACACCGTCATTGTTTCCCTCTATTGGAAGGCCCATGTTGACTTGTCCTGTGTAAAGCCATGTAAGAAGAAGCTTCAGAACACTTGCACCAGCGTTGATGACCAAAGGCTTAGTGGGGGCCGCAAGGCCCTCAGCAAACTCTCCGTTTAGAAGTCTGTCATGGTATGGCGAGTAGAAGCAAAGCAATGCTTTGTGAACGCGGCGAATTTCTGGGGTCTTCTTTTCTTTGGATTTGAGTTCAACGATTGTGTTGTCCTTGTTTAAAAGGTGACTGACATATCAGCTAAGAGGTCATTGTGATAAGTGACATCGGGACTTACGCGACTGTGTCCTGTTTCCACACGTTGCGTCTCCATGCTTGCTTATCCTTGAGTTGATCAGTGCACGGAGCTGATGAAGTTGTGTCCGAAGTGGAAGCCATCATAGAAAGTAGTGTTGTGTCTTGAGTCAAGAAAAAGGACAGCTGAAGCTGGGAGAGGAGCGCTTTTTACGCGCACAAAAAGGGCAGTTGAGACCGGATGAGACCTCTGACTTCTTTCCACTTAGATGCAGATGTTGCACCTGACTTGGAGCTGAGTGATAGATGAAAACGATTCTCTTAGAAACAAAACTAGCATTCATGTGTCCAAACCCCTCTCCACGATAAACGTGTGTAGTGCGCTAGACGCAGTAATGGAAGTGGAGATAAGAGCAGGAATCTCATCAGTCATTTTTCACATTAAGGATCAATCAAACCTACATTGCGGACGCTTGTTCATGTTTGTTCTACTAGAATAGGGCTTCTGATCTTTCCTTCATCTTTCTGAAGGTTGTATTTTGTGTTGTATGTAGTGTGTGACCATCGGACGGCTCGAAACCATGCCCGCAATGTCCATTATGTATTCAGGGTCCCATTATCGTGTCGAAATCTGTTGTCGTGGTGCTCTCATCCTCGCAAGCCCTTTTACAAACTCCCCTTGATCCACCGCCGCTAATTTGTTCTTCTGAATTTGAGTAATGCTGCTGTATCTCGCTGATGCCGCGTTTCGGGAAAACATAAGAAGCCTGTTTCAATAGAGTGCGTAAGTCGATGAGTGCTTGATAACGCAGTGGTCGCTAGACTTACGTTGAAGTTTTCCAGTTTGCTTCGTATCATCTTTTCGACCTTCATCCCCAAATGTCCCAGTCGCGGCGAGGCTTGAGAACACGTGCAACTGGGTTTGTCTGCATCAAGACACCACCGCAACGACGACATCTGTCTTTCTTGGGGTCAAGTCTCTTGGTATGGTAGCCAATTTCTTCGCCACATTGCTTCTCAGTGCATGTCCAGATGAACTCAAACTTGGCTTTGTAGTTGTGTGTTCTTGTAACCTTGATACCGAGATCGGTGAACACTTCTTCGCATTTCCTGCCCCATTCCTTGAAACCAGATCCGTGGGAGCGAAGATCTCCACTGATCAAGATGTTGGCGACGTGACAGAATTCGTGAGCGACAGTGTTGAGCAGGCGGTCTTGGTCATCAATGAGTTTGTCGGACAACTCGATGGTGGCGGAGGACATGCGATGCAGGATGCCACGCTTGCACTTGGCCAGGCCAGCCGTGGCTGTCAGTCTCTTGTTCCACGAGATCTTCACTCCGCCAGTCAAAGCAGTCATCTGGCCAACTCGACCTCCGGTAAGTTTCTCATCGAGCTCCTGGATGAATTCTTCCGCTTTGTAGACCTTTTCGACGCCGAAGTATGCTGCGCGGCAGGCGTCGCGGTAGGCCTGTGCCCTCACTTTGTCGAGCGGATCCATAGATGTGCGTTGAGAGATTCCGTGGCTCGACCTCACCAGATCTTCGCAGGGCGGTTGTCTGAAAGTTGTGGTCTTGCGCGATGCGGTAAGCCGAGCTGTGAATGCGGACATGGTTTCGCTGCAATATCAGTTAGCAACATCATTTTAATGCATTTTCAGAAGGAATAACCTTTGGTGTAGATGTATGTTATAGAGGGGAGGCGTGATCTGATCTAGGAGGCCAAGAAGAGTTGGAGGAAAAAGAGTTGGAGTGGTCAACGGAGGAAAGAACAGGAGTGGTGCGATCTGAGCCAAATATATATAGTATGAGAAGAAAGAGGTGTGTGAGAACGGAGTGGATAGGGTTGGCCTTCGGAAAATGTAAGTGACTATGTTTACCGCCAGAACTCACTGCGCTCCGAGTATTGTCTAGCTTGTGCGCCAATGTGCTGTGAATAAGAAGCAGAGAGTCAATGGCATACCTCCTGAATGAAAGTGGCCGACTGTTGTCACAATTGCCTCCAACGAGAACAGACGTTCTGTTGTATTGGCAAAATGATACTTAACGCGGTTACAAGACTTCCAGCATCTTGAGCAGCATCCTTTGATTGTTGCAGGACGAACATGATTTTACAGGGTGCGCGGTAGATATTCTTAGGGCTGCCTCGCAGATATAACAAAAAGACCAGGATGAAGATATCCATATGGTTGTAGCTTCTGTCAGATACTATTCTCTCGTGTGCTGAAAATCGTCATAATGTTGCGATTGATCTCTTCGCCATCCAAAAGTCGTCTGACCATAGTCGATAGAGTTCTCGCCGAGATCACGTTCTTCAGGAGCGATGGTGCTTTCCTCTGACTATACCGTGACAATTCATAGCACTTGGGGAGACAGGACTTTTCCCCGTCGTCGAACATGTCAATCTAGGTAAACTGTGCTTACCTGACGAAAATAACAATCAATCATTAATGATCGACTATCAGGCACGTTGACAGCTGATTGTCATTAATCCGAGGCGGGCGCTTGCATTCATGTCCATGTCTGATGTTTTAGAAAGGTGAGGGCGTGACTAGTGCAGAATAACCTCTGACGTCTTTCGGTTATGCGAAAAAGGTACCAGGTCACCAGGTGTACATAATGCGTGGGATGGCACGATGATGCCCTGGTCCATTCGATTCGCCATATTCGTCTGACACCTGAAGAATGCGAGTTGGTCCTCTTTGGCATGATGGATGATGGCCAAATGCGTTCGAGGCCCGCCTGAGTGGCTCCTGGCTGCTGAGTGTCCCAGTTGCTTGAACCGACATGCGTTTTAATTGCTACTCCGAGCACCCCACTCCAGATCTGCACTCCTCTTCTTGCGCGACTCTCTTGCAGAGCACATGCGCCATGCATGGTGCGAGGCGTGTCCCGAGCAAGGATAGATTTGATGAAAAGGGTTTGCGTACCTGAGCTTCCCGCACGGCAACAATGGAGGCCAAGAACCTGACAGCAGTGCAGGGTCATCTGGCAATGCGCCACGACATCGATTTTGACATCAGTCTCAATTATTGATTGTTGTACTTGCGACTGAACATTGATAGATCATATTCTGCCTTGCACGCCCTACGCCTTTCTCCACTCACACAATTCATGGCGGATATGGTTGAGCTGACTACCGCTTATCAATGATATTGCGTACAGTACACAGTGCAAGAGATAAGAGCACGCAGAGCATATCGTCAAGGACGCCCGTGCAGCAGAGAGCCGAACAGCCACCGTGCAGCGTGCTGCGTGCGTGCATGCATCTCAAAAGCGGGAACGAGCTAAGGGTCGCAACTCATGCGTGGGATCTTGTTGCATGGATAACACAAGAGTATGTCTCGAGATTCGTCATCGCAGGGAATTTCGGATCTACAAACACAATCAAAGCAGGCGAGGGCGGAAGCTGGCGCCCAAATTGCAGACTCTGTGGCCAAACGAAATGGCAATAACGATACTTAAAGGAGCTAAGCAGGTACAAGGTTCCAGAGTCACTTGGCCATATCTGTGGCTTGAACCTGCAGGATCCTGTAGACCCGTGGCTATGTTGTTATTGCCGCTGGCGCTAACAAAGGCGAAACTCCAGGTGGAGACGTGAGATGCGATAGCAATGCTTGTTGTCGAAGTGCAAATCCTGCTGCCGGATGTTGCAGGATGACATGAAAGCTGCAGGCTGCGAACAAGTGTTTCGCTTGGCTTCTGGCTATACCGAAATCAATGCGACGACGTCGAGACGGAGACGGAGATTGACGCCGTTTCGATGTGAGTTGTGGTTCACGAGAAAGAAACTCGCAACTGTTGAAAGTTTGGTGGAGCCTCGCTATGAGCCGGCAACAAGCGGAGATTCTGTTGTCGACACAACTCCGTCCTGCTACACTCTGAGTCACGCCAAAACTAAGGGAAATAGCAGGAGATAGATAACACGGTTTCTCTTCCCACCAGCCTCGACCTATTAGTGAATTTCATTGTGGTACTCTATTAGAAGAAGTAGCCACATCCGTCGCGAATTCGAGCCTTACTTTTTCTCTCGTCTTTGTTCGCTTCGGCCGTCTCCGCCGAACAAGTCACGAAAAGATCGACTCTACCGAGTCGAAATTTCTTTCCTATACCTACGGCGTGACACCTTCCACGCTACACGACCATACGCGTGTGCAGCAGAATCTAAACCAATCCGGGGAATCCGGTGAACGCAGGAAGTTCTGCTTCACACCCCCACGTCCTAATTATCGATTGCGACTCGATCTAGTCACGCATATTGATCCGCTCGATCACGCACATCCGCATTAGCAGCACACCCGCGTGCTTTCAGCAGGCTCTGCGACGCATTGACACCTTTTTGCGACAATTCAGGTCGTGACACTCGAGACTTTAGACTTGCAGGATTCTCAAACCAGTCGTCTCTCCTCATAAAGTACATACTCCACTCGAGCTAGCAAAGTACCGGCCAGGACCGACCTCGTGAGGACGTACTCTTACTCCGCTCTGAACCGCCTCGTGTTATATATTCTGGACTGCTTCTCATCGTCCTTGGAGCTCTTGTCCGCCTTGACTTCAAATTCATTGCCTACCTCGGGGACGACCCCAACCTTTCCCGTACTTGATCTTTGGACTCGGATTATGAACTTCAAGAACGACTACTCTCATTGGCCCGCCGGACAGGAGCACATCAACCGCTGACCTGCCACTCTTGATATTCTTCCTTCAATATATTACAACTCCATTCAACATTGTTGCACATCTATCCATTCATTCGGAAGCGTGCTTCACCCGGGTGCATTGCCGGAGCAGCAGCAGCAGCATACCAGGTCCAGCTCATCAGCACTCGAAATCAACATCGACCCCGCAGTCGGAATTCCACCATGATGGATCAATCCATGGTCTTGTTGAACGCTCAAGTCCAATTTCTGGTACGTCTACCTTTTCATATTTATTGGATGTGCTCACGCTTGTACACGGGACTATATGTGCTTGGCTCCTCTTTTTGGTTGAGTAGATTCAGGAGTCTGCTTTTTAGTTTTGATTGTCTGTACATCAAATGGCCACTTTCTTCGTTCAATGCAAACCACCTATGTCTATCTTTACTAACCTCGACTCTCTTGTGCAGGAAACCAAACTAGCAATTGTGCACATCCCATTACACTTATATTGCCACTTCATACAACCAATATTGCGTCTACTGACCCTCACGGACAGTACGGACGAGGTGGATGGACTGCCTCGTAGGAAATGGGCATATCCAAACTCCTTTACCAATATTTCTGTCACAACGATCGAGTGCTCAATAGTTTGTCCACGACCCCTCGTCGATGAGCTATTCGTACCATTGATCGACAGACTGGATGCAAAGGCGAAACAAGCTGTTATCATCAGCAATGACGACTTTGTTGTGTTACAAGTCGGAGGTGAAGGTATGGAGGCCGGACAAAGAGTGTTGGATCTAACAGCACCTCTTGCGCTCGCCGGAATGTAAGTCAAATGACCCTGATCTTGATGTGCCCAGTACTAATGAGTGAACTCAGCTCCATCTTCTTCATCACAAGTTACTACAGTGACTTTGTGCTCGTGCCATTCAACGCCAAATCCACAGTCATCTCTGCCTTGGAGGAACGTGGTTTTGCTTTCGAGCCCGTATCTAATGGCCATGGGGCAAACATGACTAATGTCTCTTCACCGCTCCACTCCCACATCCGCAACAGCAGCAGCTCTTCCTCACTTGACCTCCAACCACCCGGCACACCTCCACCAGCCACAGTTGCCGAATGGCAAACTAAAACTTTTTCTACTCTTCACCGCAACGACATTCTGCCTGTGGTAAACCAAGCCTTGGAACTACGTTCGTGTGCCGGCTATCGCAGCGACAGCGCAGACATCCATGATGCAATCCAATTAGGTATACTCAAATCCCTGCTCACCAACCCACGATTCATGTCTATCACCCTCACACAAACGGACACTGTATCTCTGACTCTGGACCAAGAACTACTATCCCAATTCCCTAACTCTGGCGAAGGCATACTGCTTCAAAATGATCAGGCTTACTTCGCCATCGTCTTTGACTTGCGCAAGCTGCCTGAAGAAAGTACTGGTATCATTTGCGGTGTTGCTGGTCGTTTGTTGGAGAGATTGGGCGATGGAGGACAGGGGGAGGGTGCATTCAATATGAGTTATTTGTCCACGGCCAGGACGGGTAACGTCATTGTACGAGAGGACGAGGTCAACGAGGCACTGGAGGCGCTCCTGGAAGAGGAGGCTATGAGTGTCGACAGTCCTATTTGCATGGCTAATGGTCACTGACAAGACTGATGAGGTGGACGAAATTGTTGACGACCCAAAAAGTTCTTGTTTTCATTGTTAATACTTCAGCTTCGCATGATGGTCTGCCTGTCTCCTTGCTGGCTGTAGGTGCATAGGGTTTTACACCATTTCGGCTTGTCATCAACATTTCTGGCTGCTATCCAGTAGCATACTGCCCACCTCTTCTCTTTTGCTGTGCGTCTGCTCACTTAACATTCCATCTCGTCCACTCGTTAACATGTACCCTTTTCTCGCTGTCACATTTACATAATCTGTCCGAGAGTGACATGCCTCACTTGTTCAGTATGATGTATACTCGTCACTGCTGTGACCCTGATCCTGCAAACCCTTGTGCGCCGTTGCGCTGTCCTACAGGTTAACCACGAGTGTCGGTAGAAGAAGCAAAGACGAGTTACATATGTAGCGTAAATTCGATTCGTATTGTGACCAGCAGAGAACCGTAACCTACAGAGCATACAAGCTGGGCTTTACTGTACCTATGCTGATGAACACAAGCGGTGAGCTTGATGTTTCACGTATTCGCAGCTCTCAGTCACCAAGGCTGGCTGTCTATGGAGAATATTGAGGCTGAATTGGCGTAGCCTGATGTCTCGTCCACCAGCGCAATCAACGTCGAGCAGGTCTGCGTAGCACTGCCTGGACGGATGTCTGATCCAGGGCCAGAAGAGTTGCCGCTTACGGTGCAACGCAGTTATCGTTGATCGATCGCGCGTGCAGCAGTGGATAGGTATGTGCCCATGTGTGTAGGAGGACGAGATGGAGGAGCAAAGTGGAGATAGAGAGGAAGTTGTTCAACCAAAGGCACGATCCATCTGCGACCCCATGTCGTTCCCAGACCCTTGCGGCCGCAACGCATCGTTGTTATCATCCTCGGCATCCAACAAACTAGCGCCTGGTTTTGTATCCGGCGGCGGCGCCGTAGTCGCAGGTCTGAGGATCTTGGCATCGCTGTCCAACCAGCCAGGAGCTTTCCTCCTCTTCTCAGCTAACTCGCGCTCGTCGATTGCGGCACGCCAGTCGCGTATTTTGATTCGGGCTTCCGAGGCAGCGGTGTCGAGTTGATCGCGGAGGGCTTTGTTCTGGGAAATGATGGCCGAGGGGTGGGCGCGAAAGCCAGTGCCCGAGGTCACGTAGGCTGGGGGTGCAGAAGGGTCATCACCGTCCGAGTTAAGGATGGAGGGTGGTAATGTGGAAGGCAGGCTGGCGTAGTTGTGTGGTAGGGTCGGGGCCTTAGGCAAGTTGATGAATGGGGATACAGTAAGCGGTACCTGGGCTAGGAGGGCATTCTCTGTTTGGCGCATGCGAGTCAGTTGAGGCTCTTACTTTGCTGGCTCGGGTGAGAAGGAAGACGTACGTTCGGGCATGGTGGCAGCTTGTGACGTCGGGTGACAGTGAGCTCACGATGGGATAGACGTTGACGTCTTGAGTTTGAGCCCGAGCGTGTGTTAGAACCCGTGCTTTGGCACTGCCTGTCAACGCTGACTCTGTTCGGGGCCTTTGTTCCCGAGCCGTTGTGCGTCGAATTGAATCTTGTCGTATGAGGCGTGTCTTCCGTTGTTGGGGTGTTTTAGGCACATGCGAGATGCGAGATAGCCGTCCGCCGGCCCCGCATGCTAATCTTGGCTGGCCAGATAAGATTAGCCCTGCCGTACTAGACCCTGCTAAGTTATTATTGCCTACAGTCTTACCTCGCTATAGCGATCGGACTAAACTAGTGCTTTAATATCGTTATAATGTAAGTATCGTTTAATTAAAGGTTCTTAGTATTATATACGCTATATAAAGTAGCTAGTTATTTATACTTAATAAAGGCTTCTATTCCTTCGATCTTATAGTACTACCTTATACTTACTTAGCTACTTAATAACTAGTACTAAAGCCTTACTCTACTACTCTTTATATAGTTAAAAAAGCCTTAAGGCTTCGATAGCTAATTAGATTAGTATAGGTAGTAGTTCTTTAAGCTTCTCCTTCTCTTTATAGTCTTCTTATAGATTAAATTAAGTAGCTATCTCCTTTTCTATCTACTTAGTTACTATAAGGCTCTAGATAGCCTCCTTAGCTAGATTAAGAAAGCTATTAATTAATATAGTAGACTAAATTTGCTACTACTACTAAAGCTAGCTTATAAGGCTACTAACTTTAGAGGTTACTCTTACTATTTCTATACTATCTTATAGTATAGAAGGCCTTAAAATAAGTATTAAGTAGTACTAGTAGTTAGCTATAGTATCTACTAAAATAGTCTACTATAATTATATAGACTAATAAATAGCTTTAAAGATATTAGTTATTTTAAGAGGGTTTCTACTAGCCTTAAATTAATTAACTATATATAGTAGCTAGTACTTATAGTAGTAAGCTTTCTAAGTATAGATAATACCTTAATCTAGTAGCTAATACTTTAATATAGTATTTAGTAGAAGCTAGTAGATAATAGTATTTTATAGAGGCTTTAGTTTAATAGCTTTTATAGTAGCTATATAAGCTAAAAAGTTATCTATTAGTAAAAGGACTTTTTAGCTAGTAACTTACTAATTAAACTAGTATAGCTACTTAACTATAATATTAGTCTTTATCTATACTTTACTATTATGCCGCTAGTAGTAGCTAAGTAAATTAATATTAATATTAGTAGCGCTAAAAGCTTAAGGCCTTTTATACTTACTAATAAACTAGAAAAATAGCTTATAGCTACTATCTACGTTATAGCAAAAGTAGATAGTAATCTAAGCCTTTTTAAGCTTTATACTAGTAATAGCTTCTATAGCTTAGCCTCTATTAAAAGTAATTTTTTAATAGAGGCTAGATTTATTATAGTTATAGGTATTAGAAAAGTAGAATTAAGAGGCTATTACCTATATAGTAACTAGCTACTTAGTAATTAAAGCCTTATTAATTAAGCTAGCTTTACTATAGCGAACTTACTTTACTATGCTATGCCTCCTTTTAAACTTCTTAAGCTAGCTATTACTAAATTAAGGTACTTCTATGTCGTAATAGACTAGTAGTTAATACTAAAAGTAAAGGGCCGCGGCCTTAATAAGATCGTTTAATATTAGTACTTAAGTCTAAATTTAAAGCTACTACTTAAAGAGGTAGGCTTTAAGCTCTAGCTAGTACTATATGTAAAGCCTCTTAACTAAGGGGCCCTTATTACGCTAGTCTAGCTTATTAAAGCGCGCTAAGAGGCTTTAGAGATAGTGCCTTACGACGGTTAATAGCTAAATTACTACTCGAACTAGCTAGCTAGCTATTACTAGTTAAGCTTATAGTGCTACGCGTAGCGACGAAGAGCTATCCTCTACTTAGTAGTAATTACGCATTGCCGGCGAGGCTTCGGAGGCGCTATAGCGACTTCGATATAGCGATAATTAGCTCTAGAGGCAGCGATATATCGAGAGGGCGAGGAATAACGATATCTGTACGAGGAGTTAGATAAATCGCTGAAAAAAATCGCTTAAGAGAGGATATCGCTGTACGGATGATTGCTATAGCGAGGTGAGACTGTAGCTTGTCGACTTTTCATCCACGAAAGCCACTCGTCCAGCGGTCTGCCGTCCCTGACGCACACCGGTATACCTCGCCGAGTCTTGCTAAGCGAAGACTTGAGGATACATCTTATCTTGACCCCTTGAGACAGTCATGATGGTGGCTGACACTGCTCCGCCCCTCCAGAAGATCATTTGAAGGACATTACTCCGTAACATCTTTGCATGATCAAGTCGAGTCCCTGTAAAATCATCTCTGTGCCGTGTCCGGACTTTGCTCCATGCACTTTGTCGCAATATCTCACGTCGATGGCGTCGCAGACTCTCAGCTGCCTTCCTCCGTGCGCGACACCTGCAGATCCATCCTTCGTTGTGCTGCAAACCGCTCAAGGTCCACTACGGCGCAAACCGTGTGCCTTCCGCCTTGGCTTATGCGGAGCTTGCTGCGGTTGGTCCACGGTCGTATCAAATTCCAGCCGTCAATCAAAGTCTAATAATCGGCTTTTCAATCTTTTTGACTTTGAGCTTCTCTGATGTGAGCTTCATCTTTGGGTGTCGGTAATCTAGTCTGGTGCTTGTTGGCGGCTGTTCAGCTCGAGAGGGGTCGTCAAGGTCATTCGAGCATTTATGACATGGTTTATCGACTTTCGTTGGTGATCTGCGAAGAGATGCACTGCGAGTGGTTGTCAAGTGAGACGAGCAACAAAGGATGTGCTTGCCTGTTGTCTCGTGCCGTTGAAAGGATTGCAGGCGCCTCTTGTCAGCCTGCGTCCCAAGTCCGCAAGGTTCCCACATGCGTTCGCGTACTCTCACAAAGATCTGCTGTCACATCCAGGATTGTGATGAGCAGTGGAAACAAGACTACCCGAAGCTTAAAATCATTGATAGGGCGAACTCAACTCACAAACCGCTAAGACAGACATTCGCAGGATCCAAAACAAGTCACAATTGAGGAAAGAATAATGTATGGGTGTAGCATAAGTGTAGATTGAAAAAAAGGCTTGCGCTGATAGCAAGACATGTGGCTGTCAAATGCTCTGGAAAAAAAGGTCGACTAATATCGACAAGACATATAATCTCATATAGCCATGCCAGAGATAATAACACCAAAACGTCCAACCCGGCTCGAACGATCATCTGACAAACTCCTGCCTCACAGAGGCTCCCCATTCCCAAGTAAAAAGTGTTGAACGCCATTCCATGTGAAGTCGTAAAATCCAGTCATACTGCAACACAAGGCAGTGTGCTATAAGGATGCTCATGATTTGGTCGCAGACCGAAATCTTTAAGAAGAGGTGGAGTCAATGCTCATGCCAGAGGTCTCCTTGCGAAGACCGGCAATGTCGTGCTCTGGAGGAGAAGCGCGACGGCGAGCAGATGATGTGGCAAGCTCGAATTGCTGCTTGGTGTGCTCGTGCATCAGTCTCTGATATGAGAGACGAGCAGAGTCGGGGTCGTTGAGGTCGTAGTGTTGAGGGAACTCATATTGAGGAGCGATAGGCTCACTGTAGTCCTGAGCAATGTATACTTGCTGGATCTCAGAAGGGGCAGCCATTGTGTTTGATATTTGTTTGTTTGAAAGTGTGAATGGAAAATGCTCAGAGTTGGCTGAAGAAGATATGCTTCGGTGTGAAGTGGGAAGACTTGATGAATGTTTTTTCGAAGTGGAAGTGTGTTGATGAGAATAGAATTCTGGACGAGTAGAACCGGGTCCCTTATATGCCAGAACTCGTACGGTCAAAGAAGTGCTCGAGTGAGCAGAGGAGCAGAGAGTATGACGGGGCCGGATTGGATCAACGTCAGACCCTGCGCCTCTAGATTGTAGGCGTCGGTGCTAAGATCGGCAGCACAACGGTTGGCAAAGTCTAATGCAAGCCAGCAAAACAGGTCTATTCCCGCGTCAAGGGCCCGATGGTCAGAGGCCCTGTTATGGGGGCGGGAGGCCGCGAGTATCGGAAATTTCTCATTGGATCTAACAAACCCGCAATTAGCTCATTGCCCTGTGTGCAACAGCGGACCCGAGGAGGCTAGGCCCCGTCTAGAGAAGACCCTGTCCATCATGATGTAGCTGGCAAAATTGCCCGTGGTTCTCTCACCCTCTCGCCGTGCGCGGCCAGTCGCTCTCACTGGTCGGGCGTTGTGCCGTCAGGGGGGTGAGACGGACGAGAGCAACAAAGCCGTCGTGCATCACTGGGGTATCTTCTCGGTTCGAGGTCTTCAGATGGCGCTGATTGCTTCGAAACGAACTGCTCAACGACTCTCCGCATTCAACATCTGCGAGTGGGACCTCATTCCTTTGACTCTGTGGATTGACGTTGATGTGCTTTATAGACCGCGGCGAGCCTCGCGGTACATGCCATTGGGGATCTCACGACTCGAGGTTCACGCCGCTGACCCTCCTTCGTGACTTGTACCAACATCACTCAACATTGACGGCATCTATGGACAGACAGACCACCCGACGAAACACGCCGGTCACTTGGACCGCTGCCGCCGCCGCCGCCACCACCACCGTTCACTCGCCAAAATGGACGCACCGACATGTGACGTAGCGCTTGAAGGTTTTCGTGCCTTGTCGTCCGTAGCAGCAACGACCATCCATCCCCAGCCGCGAAACTGCCCTCACGCTGGGCCAGTTCTGACGTCGATAGAACCACTTAGTTGGGACTCCCTGAAAGACATGCAATGATACTGATGCACAGACTGGCGCCCTATGATGTTGTTTGCCTCTGTATTACTTTTGTGCTGCACTCCACTTTCGACCTCGCCTCCTACTTTCGTCGTGTGGAGGAAGATTGACATCAGACATGAACAAGTACCAGGATGATCACCTATCAATTGCCCCTTTCGGTCACCTTTATAGGAGCAAAGGGTTTGAGCTAGCGAAGTAAGAGGCACGCACTTCGTAACGCTTCGTCATATCACCTGGTATTATTCGAATTCGAACTGCTCGTCCCCATGCTGACAGCGAGCGACCCAGTCGTCCTTTTCGGAGTAGACGATCGGTCCTCATCATTGGTCCACTGCTTGACAAGTATGCATGCAAGGGTTCACCATCGATCATCGTCTGCAGCCTAAATCTGTACTTTTGCAAGCATTCCCCTATTTCTATGCACTCATTGAGTGTGCTCCTATCGGCATGGCGTGCCGCGTCCAGGGCACTTTCAGGTCGAGGCCGTCTCTCCTCAATTGCGAAATGCAGACCAAGGTGTTCCGCTGACTGTGCTCTGCCTCATGCGTCATGGGCTCAATATAATATCTTCATATTAGGGCATCAGGTTATACGTACACCGAATGTTCATCGAGAAGGTTGTCATCATTGCCAAGTGTTGCAAGGCGTCAGTCAGGGATCTCCTGGTATCAGACGATATCCTGCTCGCTAAGCAGTCGAACACAAGCCATCGACCTATTGTGCAACTTTCTGGGTCCCTTCCCGATGACCATCGATCATACTGCCTCCCATGAGTGATGAGTCTCGTATCATTCTTCACGTCTCTCGTGTGCATTCAACTCTGCCAGAAAGGACATCGACCGATGTGCTTTGCCGGGCGCAATCTTGATCTCCGAAGTCATCGGCCGCGATCGAAAGAAGACGTAGAATAGTGTAACCATGGACGAACGAGCTGTCTCGAACCTCTGCAACTTGCAAGCTGCATAGCAGTCCATGACTAAGGTCACCACACCGTCGACGTCGACGCTTCCTACAATCTAGGATCGAAGCCCTCTAATCTCGATTTTCAAAGTAGGTGCCCACGTGCCAGCTCGTATCGCCTGGACAAACGATGAGGTTTGGTCTTGTACGGGACAGCCCTCTCGGCTCTGTCATCGCTAACCATCGCGGCTGTCATCGCGGCTGTCATCGCTCGCCATACCGGCTCTGGCATCACCTGCCATCTCCATCACTACGGCTCATCGCTATTTCACGCCATCTCATCATATCCAGCCATCTCACAGCACTGGCCCTATAACGAATCTGCTAAACGGTACAGTATCTTGCTTCGGGAAAATGCTTAGTATAGCTTCGTCATCCTGCATGTGTAGAAGCACACTGTTTGAAACGGATGGCATGCTTTGGTTAGAGCTGCCGACCTGCATATCGCTTGTTCTTCTTGCGCTGTGCCTTGCTTCTCCACACATCGTTCGCAAGGGATAGAAATGCTTTTGCTCAGAATGGCTATGTGTCTAGTGACCTATTCTTCGTATACGGTATACTGAAATAGAAATACAGCACATGAGTCGCAAAGGTGAACGGTGAACGTAGACGCTGTATCGTTGATCATCACACGTCAGAAGAACAACAAAAGCATGGCAAGCATGTTGTATCATGGTGATGCATGTCGTTGAGGGAGATCGTAGAAGCCCAGACCCCAGATAAATAACGACCTGGGGAAAAGCAAGAAAAAAGCAAAAAAAGGACAAATATCACCGATTCACCCGACCTTCTTGAAGAAATATGTCATGTGTTTCTGATACTCAATCAGATTATCTTCTTCGGTTACCATGAGAGAAGGTTAGATGACACTTATTGTGGGCACTTTCAAAATGTGATTTTTGCTCGCGCTCTGAGCGAGCGAACAATAGCAGAGCAGACAATATGACGATGCCTTGAATGTAGCTGCGTCATTCGCCACGAGGTTGCCACATGTAAGTCGACTGACTCACGATATGATCGAAACTTAGAGGAAGGCAAGGGAGAACCGCTCATGACTTTTGTGATCAATCCTGATGTAAGAAAGACGAGTGAGTTGCGGTGAAAGGGTTTTGAATTGTTCTGTCATGGGTCGTTACGGATACGACGGCGCATTTTGTTTATGAAGCCAACAAGAAGATCAACAGGATGATCAAGACGACAATCAGAACTGCAATACAACAGCTGGAGTATGTATCTGGATAGAGCGGCAGTCGTCAGTAAAGAGTTCGATTTTGAAATGCTGAACATTCAAAACAACGGGAATAACGAGGAAAGAGGAGGTAGACAGATAACGAAGGGAAAGCACAAACCTTCGTTCTTCCGTATGACCCAACCAATCTGTTTAATGCCATTCTGAAGCTTTCCTCCCACGCGATCGGCAATATTGTCAACATCATCAAGCAGGTCTGCTTGTTCTTCGAGCTCGCGGCCCATGGTATCTGCTTGTTGGCGCAAATTGCCTACAGTCTTGAAGACATCATCCAATGCCTCATCCTGTTGCTGCATAATCTCCTCTTGTCTTTGCTGTTCGAATTGCGCATAGTCACCATCTCCCATCTCTTCATCGTCGCTGTCGAAAGCGCTAGGATGCGGTAATGATGTTTCTTTGCCTTTGCCCTTTCCGTGTATTTGTGCTTGCTCGACTGTTTTTGCGAGCTCGGTGTGCATGTCTTCAACTTCGGCGCCTACATCTTCAACCAATTTCCGTCGTCGCTCTACCTCGTCTATTTCTAGGCCATAGCGGTAAGGATCGTGTTCAACAGCTTTAACACTGTCGACTAGGTCGCGCAGGTCAGCGCTGAGGTCTGTAAGGGTGGATTCGAGTTCGGAGCGTGCTTCGACGAGTTCGGGGCTGGTGGCTGAAGAGGCAGAGGAGCGGATGCGGATATAACTGTTGAAGAGTGGTCGCGTAGTATCGAGGAGCGAGAGCACGTCACTGCAATTGTACAGCAAAGTCAGATAAAGTGGTTCTTTGCGATAGAGATGAATTGCAGGAGGTTGCGACGTACGCCTGAACTTGGAGAAAGGGGTCTTCGGATGCCATGGTCTGTGATGTGTCGTGTTTGTAACATGCGGCCCGCCTATGCCGCAATGCCAATCTAGCTCATTGTTTGAATTGTAAGAGAGAAGAAAGGAAGAGTAGCAGCTTTGGATGGCTTCAAGCTGTTGTTGATTTGGGGAGACCAAGTTGCTTCCCCAGTCGTGGGCTGGACCCCATGTTCGGTCTTTAGCCGCGGCGTTAAACTTTTAGTACTTTTTTCTCTCCCGCCAACTATTTTATATCCATCTGTATTTCTACCATACCGGAGTGTTTTAACGAACTAGCGCTGAAACACAGGCTTTTATAGATCAGTGCTGTCTGACATCGCGCCACTATGGGTCCTGAGAGCGCCTTGCCGTGCTCACCTGAGTTCGAGAGCCCAGAGCAATATGTCGACTCCTTGCTGGATTTTATTGCATCTTCTGAATTGTTGCATGCCCTCTGTGGTGGTGTCCATGTACTTGACTTCTTCACGCGCAAACCGGATCTTTATACCTTGGTGATTGAGCCAGAATGGCGAGACTTTTTCCGAGCACACGACATAATGGACATTCTGGATCTACTCATGCGGGAAGACCTGAACATTTTCAACTCAGAAACGAATTCTTGGAGAGAAGGTCCTGTACCGCCGGAATCTTTGTTGCAATATATCAAGCAAATCAGAAGGTTATCACTTCGACGGGAACACACGCCAATCAACAGAAAAGACCGAAAAGGAGCCAACGGACCAAAAACTTCACATACACTTGCCCGTCAGGTAGCCGTCGGCATGAATGTCAAGAAAATCCACGAAGTTGATAATTTCTGTCGGTATCTTGACAAACTGACTACTGAAATTGCCGAGTCTACGAATCAGGAGATTACACATTTGGTTGACTTTGGAGCTGGCCAGAATTACTTGGGTAGAGCGCTGGCATCGGAACCATACAACAAACACATTATCGCTTTGGAGAGTAGAGCACACAACATTGAGGGAGCGAGAAACTGGGATGTGCTTGCCAAACTAGCGCCAAAGCAACAGACCATGGTAAACAAGAAGGAATGGAGACTTCAGCAACAAGCACTTGCCGAACAAGGCATTTCCGAGAAAGAACCGCAAAAACAAGATCTCAAAGGAGAAAGAGGGTTTCGCGCAGAAGCTCCTGCCGAAGAAGAAAAGCCTGCACAAGCAACTCTCAAGATCTCAAATTCAGGAGTTGGCAGCATCCAATATGTCGAACACTACATAAAGGACGGCGACCTCTCACGCGTAGTGCCTCAGATTGTAGATCAGGATGCTGTACGAGAGAAGGTGACCTCAGACCTCGAGACCGCCACAACAGAAGCACCACCCTCAAAACAGATTCCCGACAATTTCGTCGAGGGTAACCTTCAACTTGACAACTCGATCAAGGCTCAAGATCCTCGCCTTCTCATCATATCTCTGCATAGCTGTGGTAATCTCGTCCACCACGGTATCCGCTCTCTCCTACTCAACCCCGCCGTTTCTGCAGTGGCCTTAGTCGGGTAAGCATCGACCACAACGACTCTTTCACTGTATAACGTACTAATTTCAAGACAGCTGCTGCTATAATCTGGTGACAGAACGTCTAGGCCCTCCAACATACAAGCTACCATCTCTAAGATCAAATCACCCTCGTCTAACAGAAACCTCCGAAGCCCATGACCCGCACGGTTTCCCAATGTCCTCACGCCTCTGCAACCAAGACACATCCAGTGGAAAGGGCGTCCGTCTCAACATCACAGCCCGCATGATGGCCGTCCAAGCACCCCAAAACTGGGGCAAGAGAGATTCAGAGGATTTCTTCAAACGCCACTTCTACCGCGCTTTGTTGCAGAGAATCTTCATGGATAAGGGTATTGTACCTGCTCCAGAGCCCGCGGATGTGGAAAACAACAACGGAAGTCCTCTGGGTTGGTCGGCTGGTGGAGGCACTGCACCCATCATCCTCGGCTCACTGCGAAAATCGTGCTACGAATCTTTTGTAGCGTACGTCCGAGGCGCTCTCGAAAAACTCATCAACGACCCCACTCGAGGCGAGTTGTTCAAGGAGAAGATGTCTACAATGAGGGACGAGGAGATCTGTCAATATGAATCAGACTTCAAGGAACGAGGCAAAGAGTTGAGTGTCATGTGGAGTTTGATGGCGTTCAGTGCTGGAGTCATCGAAGCTGCTATCGTGGTGGATAGATGGTTGTTCCTCAAGGAGCAAGATGAGGTTGCTGATGCTTGGGTGGAGCCGGTGTTTGAGTTTAGACACAGTCCAAGGAATTTGGTCGTGGTTGGAATCAAGAAGTAGAGTTAGAGATCTAGAGAATCAGCCCTGGCTAGATCTTCAACAACCCGATGAATTTGCAATCTTCTAATGTAGTGGAGGCCGATGCACACTCATGACCGTTGACGCAGCCCTTGACGATGTAAGGACATTTCGAGCTGTCGGAATGCACGATATGCTTTGATAAAAAAGAAAACCATGCCCCTCGCAGAACGCCACATAGGGGAAGGAAAAAGTCTTTTATTATCACAGTCCCAATACCAAAACATATCATGCATCTCAATCATATCTACACTGTAACAAGTTTTGGCACACGGAAAGGAAACAGCACTCTGAAGAACGGAAAGAACGATGTCTTCCACTTCAAATTCGTAGTAGTTGTATACAGAAACAAAAGAATGTTCCTTCCAAACATGGCTGAAAGTATATGTGCTTCTCAAAATTCCCATATTCAATTCATTCTCTTGCTATTTCGGAACTATGCATCCAAGAGCATTTGCCATAGACCGTTTGTTTCGGTGAAGTCGTGATGGATGATGTTGACAAGCCAGTAGTTGTCTCTGATGTCACGCAGCAGATTTGCTGATGCCGAGCGAGGTGGGTATACGTGTCGCCATTCGGTCCAGATGCCAAAGGCTTCTTCGGCCCAGGCGCGGAAGGAGACGGCTTCGATCATGGTCGGTGTAACGATTCTGTGGATGAGTTGTTAGCCGGATGAATACACACAGGCTGTAAAAATATTACGCACTCTTTGCCAGTGAAGCAGCCCCAGGTGACTGGGTTCAAGCTTTCCTCATCTGCTGCTTGGAAGTCGCCCTTGCCGTTGCAGGCAAAGTATGTGACCTGGTCGTCCTTGTCCAGCTTGGCGCGTAGTCGTGTCCAGTCTTCGTGTGAGCAGAAGAATTCAACAAAAGGCTGTCGATTATGTCAACAATCATGGTCCTGCCTCAGAACTTCAACACATACCTTCTGGAAGACAAAACCACCAGGTGGTCCCCAGCCAAAGATCTCGTGATCGCTGCGGAAGCCGTTCACACCAGGTTGAGAGGCAACTGTCCACCAACCCTTCTGAATTAAACCAGTCAACTCGTTCTTGATCGTCGCAGTTTCTGGGTTGAGACCTTCTTCACTCCATGGAATAGCACTGAGCTCGCCGCGAACATGACGCTCGAAGATGCTTGTGATATCCTTGGTGTCGACAGGGTGACCCCACAACTTCAATGCACTTGGGATCGAGACATGCAAACTGACACCGTAACCATCAATCTCACCATACGCCGGACTGCGAGCATCACCCCATCTTCCGTTGGGGAAGTCATCCCATGTTGCCTCTCGTCCCAAAGCACCTTCTCCTTCTGAAATTGCTAGAGCGTCTGCGCGAGATGGTGGGTCCTCGCCTGGCACACCGGCCTCGTCATCGAAAGCTTCGAACGATGAGCTTCCATGAGATGCTGACCTCGTGGTCTTGTCGACAACGACGCGGTTTTGAGGTGCAGAGTTGGCGAGCGAAGATCTGCGGCGTGCCTTTGCTTTCTTGTCGCCGTTGCCGTTTGCGACTGGAGTGTCATCGTCTTCTACCGCGCTAAAGTCATTGGCTGCACCGATCAGCTTGCAACGCTCTACAATATGTGCGACAGCCTTCTCCAGGTTGAGTGTGTAGAAGTGGAATCCTTTGGGTCCGGGTGAGGGGCTCTTTTTGAGTGTTTCAACCATCTCGCTCAGAATGTCGACACCAGCACGCTTGACAGCTTCGTCATCGTTCTTGATGGGTTCCAGTCTGTTGGACACCTCGCAGGGAAGGTTCGCATGACTCAGTTTGGTGGTTCTCTTGAGGATTTGGTAGCTCTGAATGGGCATCAAGCCGGGAATGATGGGGATGGACTTGAAAACACCGCTCTCGTGCTGTCTTAGCATTCTCTCGTAACCTTGATATAGGCTAATGTCGTAGAAAAGTTGTGTCATGAGGAAGTCGGCACCGGCCTCAACCTTCTCGACCAGGTAGGGCAGATCGTAGGTTGCATGCTGGTGCTCGGGGTGGGATTGATCAGAGTGGCCCTCTGGGTATGCAGCCACACCAATACAGAAGTAGTTTCCGTACTCTTTACGAATGTATCGTACCAGATCCACAGCCCAAGTGAACTCTCTGTTGCTGTCATCCTCTTCCTGGTTCTCCAGCTCGTTGGATCTGTATTCGTCGCTTCTCGGGGGATCGCCTCTTAGGGCAAGGATGTTTCTAATGCCCAGAGCTTTTGCTTGTTCCAAAGTCTCGTCAATAAGCTTGCGTGACATGTTTGTGCAGGTCAAGTGTAGACAAGTGGTGAGACCCAATTGGCGTTGTGTCATCTCTGCCAGAGCCAGTGACTTTGTCGAAGTACTGCCGCCGGCACCCCATGTTACATTGACGAACAGTGGTCGTAGTGAGTGTGCCATACGAGAGAGACGGGCGTGGAGGTTTGCGAAACCCTAGAGGCCAAATCAGATTTCTGTTTCCAGCACCTTTGCTGCCCCTCATGATCGCCCCTCACCTGCTGCGTCTTTGGCGGAAAGAATTCCAGAGAGAAATAGGTGCTGTCATCTGGCAGCGCAGCAATCTTGTCGACAATCCTGTCCGACGCCATCTCTGATGTTGTTGCGTGCATGTTTGCTCGTGTGACTGGGCGACAAGTCGAAAAAACGCGAGGACAATGTCAAGATGCGCATGATTCGGCAGTTGATCTTTCTTAAGGGTCCCTTCCGATACCGCCAATTTGTGGAGAGTCGCGGACCGTTCGTCATATCTACTACCTACGCATATCCCCAGCCGGCGCTTCTTTACTGCTTTTGTTCATTTGACGCGGTCTACACCAGCGACCGTGTTTTCGCACCGCTTGCTGGTGCTGAGACCTGTACTTTTACATTGATTGAATGCCCCGCCTCATCTGCCGTCCACCTGAATGGCCGATCCCCGCGTTCGAGGTGCCAATGCATACCTGCTATCCCTGTTCCTCCTTGGATGCCCCACGCGCACCACCCGAGAAAGCAGCTTTCCTATCCCAAACGCTCCACTTAGGTATCAGGTAATCAATGCCTTAAAATACATGCAGCCCAAGACTGCCATAACGTCGTCATATACCGCTTCATGATGCTGCCGCCTTCTCCTGCTCGCCCGTGCCGTTGCCCGTCGAGCTTTGGTTCTGGTTGCGGCGTCTCTCGCCGTGGTGGCCTGTCTTTTCTTGACGTGCCTGATCAATGGCGCTGCGTTGAGTGATGCTGTCATCATGGCTTTTCCAAACCATGTTGGTGTCTGCTGGCAGAGACAGGACGCGCTTGATGGTTTCCCTGAATTAATCTGTCAGCACCCATGTCTTGCTATCACATTGCCTCACAAGACCTACCGAATCTTGACGTTCCTGCCACCGTCGTTCTTGGTCCAGATGCTGAAAACATCCTCGCCACTGCGCACACTAACAACTGCACCACAAACCTCCTCACCAGCCTCGGCGAACTGATCTCCGATCATGGCCAAGAGCAGATCCTCCCAGTAGCGGTCTGCCACTCCCTTCTTCAATCTTAGAATCCACTTTCCTCCCTTCTTGTTCTCCTCATCCTCCCAAACAGGTCTGATGCCGTCACGGAAGAAGTGGTAGTCTGACACGGTAGGAAGTCCAGAGGGATGTTTGAGGTGTGAGTAGACCTGCCAGAATTGTTGTGCTGTTGAAATTTTGCACATAGGTCTAGTAGATTTTTCATAGTCTGAGTTCTTGGACGTGGGGGGTCTGTACCAGATGACCCATGTGTACTTGAGCGGCCATGGGCTGTCATTGCCCCGTGCTGCCGGCTCTGTTGATTGCGAAGTGGTAGGACGAGGCGTTGTGACAGGCGCAACCTTTCTGGAAAAGCTTTTCTTCTCATCGCCATCCTTCTTCTCGGCCGAGTTGGCGGTCGTGGGTGTGCCAGCGACAGCTTTGGCAAAGTCAAATGCGGTGCCGGGTGTCTTGGGTGTCTTTGTTGCAGAACCAAATGAAGCAAAGGCGCCTGAGCCCAGACCGAAAGCGCCAGAAGCTCCAGTAGTGGGCGAGGAAATACCACTAGTACTCAAAGGCGTAACAGCGTTGAAAGGGTTGTTGCGACCATGGGAGGATGTGCTGCCGAAGCGTTTCGAAGACGTGTGGCCATCATTACGGTCTGACTTGTCCATCGACAGGGAAAGTTTACCAACACTGCGCGAAGACACGATTAGCCAAGTCCGGGAAGGAAGGGATAGTGGGGTAGATACTTTGTACGACGGGACCAAAGGTTGTCTCTGTCCTTGTCCATTGCGACGACTGCTAGCTGTAGAAAGGATGCGGAACAGAGGGGAGCTTCGGATGGAAGAGAAGGCTAGCTGGGCAGGCTGGACAAGGACGGAAGGGTGTAGTGGGCGCGAATCTCAGGCGGACAAAGTCAAGATAGAGAAAATTGTGACAAGCTGGCGCTGCAGAGGATGGTATATGGCGGTGATGTGGTCGACTGAATTTTATAGCGTAGCTTTGGATGCAACAATGTTCGATGATCGGATGATAGCTGAATGGAGAGCGTCTTCTGAATGGTAAGGAATAGCGCGTGAGGTGGGTGTTTGGTGAGCTGTGGTATCGAGTATTTGCTTGATGGCCCTCGCAAGTCGCCGTCGGACGCAGAACTGTCGCAGCTCACGCCAAGCATGCACGGACCTTGACGTATTCTTTTCACTACAAAGAGAAGTCGCTCTCTCTTCTTTTCTTTCTCAACCAAGACCACCAACTCAAATCATCGCCAGCCGGTCAAATGCTCTACCTGGTTGGCGACTCCGATGCGTGTGTCGAGATTGATCCTACCCCACTTTTAAAACCGTCTTCACGAGGGCCCCTTCGTGGTGGCTCCCAGGACATGGCGACGACCTACAAGATGGGACACCTCGACCATTAAAGTCTATAGTTTTAACAAATGTATGTCTCCCTTGTTTTCACGTCTCTTCCACTCCCTTTGCAATGATGATCAATCTTGAAATTGGTAATCGCACTACCAGCGCAGCCGCAAGACATTCCTCAGGATGATCTTGCTGGTTGTGCATGTCGATAAATGGCTTGACTGAGCACCCATAAGAGTCATGTCGCTTGATCCATGAGGTTTGTCCATGATTGACTGAGACATGTGTGATTTACAGAAACCAATCAGAGAAACACATCGATATGCAAATCGCAAGAGGTATTTGGTTTGGTCTTTGTGAATTGCTAGTCATCAGATGCGGCGTATAACGTCTATGATCTACGTCTTCTTGCTCTTCTTGTTTCCTTTCTTGCTGGTATCTTCCGTCGAGACTTGGCCTTCCGTACCCCATTTCTTCCTCAGCCTCTCCTCTTGCTCTTCATTCCATTCCCGTGGTAGGACTGCAAAGACCAAATAACTTGTATGCGTCTTGATCTCAGGCTCGGTTCTGTGCACCAGTCTTCCTTCCTTGTATGTCTTTCTCTCTTCAGCCTCTTTCTTGATACGTTCGAGTCTTGCTTGCTTGCTCTCAAAATGGCTCGCCGGGTGGTCCTTGTTGCTGGGACGAGGTTTAGGTTGTCCGTTGGCTTCGGCCACTACATCAGCCTCCTTGACAGCTTCGTGCCATTCCTTGAATCGGCCCTCGACTTCGCGCAAGCGGTTCACGGCTTCGTCTACAGTTGCGGCTGTAGCATTTACACCGCGTAGACCTTCTTCATGTAGACCGACGCGTTCTCGTCGCACATCGATGCGTTTTTGCATGACTTCGACCATCTGTATTTCTGTCCAGCCAAGACGGCGCAAGGCAGCCACTGTGGCAGTAACCTGCTCAATGCAGGGACTGAAAGTGCAAAGGTGAATAGGGACATTGGGGTTGAGAGGAGAGATGAAAGGTTCGGTAGGCTCTTCTGAAGGTGTTTCTGTTTCTGAAGGAGCATTAATATCGGCAGAGTCTGAAGAAGCAGAGTTGGCGATGATTTTGGCGGTACGAGCTGGGAGACGTTGACGGGTTAGATTCTTAAGTGCCATCCAAGGAGCAGGGAGATCGAGGAAAATTGCGTCGGCTTTGGGAGACTTGTTCATGGGATCTTGTTCGTCGAGGAGGAAGCCATCAGTGTATACATCGCGATGTGTCACGCGGACGAGGTCATCAAGGCCATGAGCACGAACTTCGTCCTGCAGACCAATGGCACGCGGTTCATGGTACTCGAAACTGCAGACGCGGCCATAACGACGCTTCTTCGGCGAAGGCTCTGACGAGGTTTGCGAAGGGTAGCCGTTGAAGACGGCGCGTGCTGAGGCGTGCGTGAACGAGCCTGAACCAGCGCCAGCTTCGATGATGGTTTGACCAGGACGAACTTGGAGTCTTTGCAGGATATAACTGGCGTCGGGAGTGTAGACGACCTGGGTACGATGGGGCAGACTTATGGTCCAGCTCTCGGGGGTGGGTGGTAGTAAGTGCACGAAGCCTGTGCCAGCCTGGATGGCCTCCTTGGGTTCTGTGTCGTCGATCTTGCGCTTAACGCCACCACGACCTCTTGAACCAGTGTCGACCTTTGAGGCGCGGACTTGTGTACCCCATGGAATATCTTTCAAGGTCGAGTGTGGGAATGAGCCAAAGCGGGTATTGGTGACAGCGCCCTCTGCGTAGCCATCGTCGGCGGTCGACTTGAGGACGACAGGGATGAGTTGATCGCGTTTCAAATGTAAAATTGCTAGTGAGCCGATAGAAGCGGCAGCTCCGGCCTCCAGAAAGGGCGACGGCTTGAAGTCTGAGGCGGCCATTGATGTGTTTTGGCGGGTCGAAGAGAGCAACATTATTTTTCTGACCGAGTTCGAGATGCGCCAAGGATTGCGGAGAGGTGGTGGGGCACTCCCGCGCCGACCAGCGAGCGCAGCGACAGGCAGGAAGTGCAGGCGCAGGGTCCACGAGAGCTTTCTAGAGTCGAGTGTGACTCTTCGCTCCTTCTCTCTGCAACATCACAAGGAGCTCGTCGATGCTCAGCTGTTTCCCATCGTCTGCGCCTCTGCTTCGGATACCTCTTCGCCCGCCTGTTTCGTTCTCGCGACCTCTCCGTTCTGCGACTTCTGTTCTCGCGACACAGTCATTCTCGGTTTTCCATTTTACAGGACGCCCACCAGTTGCCAGAACTCCGACTCGCGTGTTTCTGTCCACATCGTCACCACATCGTTCAAGAGGGAAGATGGCGACGGTGCAACCACCATGGAACCCTCCTCCAGTCCCAGCTGGAGAAGCCACAATCCCCAAACTAAAGCTCTGGAACTCATTGACTAGGTCCAAGGTTGATTTCGTGCCTCTGAAATCGGGAAAAGTTTCGTGGTATAGCTGTATGAATTGCGACAAGGTTAATGCTGTCAGTATTTTACTGACGAGACGGCAGGCGGTCCAACTGTATATGACTTCTCTCACCTGGGCCACGCGCGCAACTATGTCAGCTTGGATATCCTCAGAAGAATCATGACACATCTGGGCTACGATGTGAACATGGTCATGAATGGTACCGACACACATGACCCCATCTTGCTGCTACATGTCTAACTCTCCGCATAGTGACCGACGTAGATGACAAGATCATTCTTGCTGCCCGTCAACAACACTTGCTGTCCAACTTCATCAACAAACACGACAACATTGACACTGACGTCCTCGACACCACAAGTACTGCTTTCAAAGCATACGTCTCAAAGAACCTGTCTCTTTTGCCTGAGGATGTCTCACCTTCCGATTACACACAAGCAGTAGAAAAGGCCTACGGCCATGTCTTACAAGGCAAGAACTTGGCCAACGATGGTGCTGCCCCTGGAGACAACGAAGCGAAGGTCAAGATGCACATCAAGACAGCTTCCACTGCTGCCGAAGCTCTCGTTGCTCAGGCTAACGCCTCCGACTACTACGCCAAGGCCTCTGGTGTCCTTCTGCCTTACCTCGATGCTCAATTTGGTTCCACCATCGATGCCAATGACCACGCTCTGTTCAACAGCCTTGCAAAGAAGTACGAGAACTACTTTTTCGAAGATATGACTGCCCTCAACGTTTTGCCCCCTTCCACCATCACTCGCGTTACCGACTACGTTCCCCAGATTGCAGATTTCGTCAAGCAGATCCAGGACAATGGCTACGCTTATGAGCACAATGGAAGTGTCTATTTTGATGTTGAAGCCTGGGAAAAGGCAGGCGGCGTCTATGCTCGTCTGGAGCCCTGGAACAAGGCCGATTCTGCGCTTCTTGCCGAGGGTGAAGGCTCGCTAGCAGCCAAGGGTACTTCTTTCAAGAAGTCTCCAGCAGACTTTGCGTTGTGGAAGGCATCTAAAGCAGGTGAGCCTGCTTGGAACAGTCCCTGGGGTGCTGGACGTCCTGGCTGGCATATCGAGTGCAGTGCTATGGCTTCTGACGTGCTCGGTTCGCGCATGGATATCCATTCAGGTGGTATAGATCTGGCCTTCCCACACCACGATAACGAACTCGTCCAGTCAGAGGCCTTCCACTGCTCGTGCCCGGCCGAAAAAGACAGCACATGGGTCAACTACTTCCTTCACATGGGTCACTTGGGCATCTCTGGCGCAAAAATGTCAAAGAGTCTGAAGAACTTCACTACTATTCGTGAAGCCCTGGCCAAGGGAACATGGACACCTCGTGGCCTGAGAATCGTCTTCCTTCTCGGAAACTATCGCGCTCCTTTGGAAATTTCAGACTCAATCGTACAGATCGCTTCGCAGTGGGAAGACAAAATTTCGAACTTCATGCTTAAGGCTCTGGACACAAAGATCAACCCAACCCAAGGGATAGTTGACAGCGACACTGGTCTGTCACCCGATGGCCCTCTGAAAGAAGCACTCCAATCCGCCAAGATCTCTGTGGAAGATGCTCTTTTGGACTCATTTGATACGCCGACAGTGATGAAAGTTCTCTCGGATCTGGTCACTGCATTCAACTCCGAGACTGGTGTCAGCGACGAAGTGACGATTGAAATTGCCAAGTACATCACGTCTATTGTCACAATGCTGGGTCTTGACGCCAACCCACCTGCTCATGGAATCTCGTGGAGCGGCATCGAGGTCGATTCTGACGTTGCACCATTCGTGTACCCTCTTGCAAAGATCAGAGATGAGGTACGAAAACAGGCCATTGCAGGTACCATAGACGCACCCGCTATCCTCAGCCACTTTGACGCCGCCGCACTTAAGACACCACCAACTACAAAAGAGGGTGCTGCAGCTGCCGAGGCTACAGTCGGTTGGCTGAGCAAACTCAACGACTTGATCAAGAGTGAGGCAGCTCCCAAGGCATACATGCCCCTTTGCGACGAACTCCGAGACACCACTCTTTGGAACCTGGGCATCTATCTCGAGGACCGCGCCAATGCACCTGCTCTCGTACGTCCCTTGAACGCATCTCTTCGTGAGGAGCGCGCGAATCGCGAAGCTTTGGCCGCCATGAAGCTAGAAAAAGCAAAGGCAGCAAAGGAAGCTAAGGAAAAGGAAGAGCGTGAGAAGTTGGAGAAGGGCAAGTTGTCTCATTTAGAAATGTTCCGCACGGCCGAGTTCTCAGAGTGGGATGAAGAGGGTCTTCCGACGAAAGACAAGGAGGGTAAGGAAGTCGCAAAAAGCAGGAGCAAGAAACTCAAGAAAGACTGGGAGAGACAAAAGAAATTGCATGAGGCTTGGATTGCCGCAACTAAATAGAAAGCGAGACCTTCAGAGACGATGTTTGGAACCTCTTTAAAATACATGCTTTGGATCGATTGAATCACTCAAAAAGCACCTATTATGCCAGACGGGTCTCAGCTCCAGCCTCCTTCTCTTCAACTAACGGTACCTTTTCAACGATGTCCACTGCTTGATAAAAGAACGCGGTCAAGGAAGCAAGCTCTAATACAACGTCACTTCGTACTTTGCCTTTGTTTTCCTTTGCGGTTTCTTTCTCTCCTCGCACTGCAAGATGAACCCACGGTAGGAGCCTACATCAATGAGGTGACCAAAATGGCACAATGTATAATTATCGGAAAATGTATAGGAAATGTTGCAAAATAGGAAAACCAAGGAGTCATGCAGCCATATCTATCGTTCTTCGGGTTCGAGCTGTGTCCAGAGATGGCCGTGAGTGGATAGGTATACGAGAATGCACTACTGTCCCTTGTTGGTTGAGGTTTGGCGGTGGAAAATATAAGGTCTGATGAAGAGAATAGATATTTTGAACAACTTTTTATGCTTCGAGATGTGTTAATACAGAGGGAGAATGGTTATATACAAACTTGATCGATGTTCGTGATATGTCTATCGCTTGGCGAAATCGCTGGCCTGCAGGTTTCTGGTCATGGTAGGGAGCTTGACGACCAAGCCATCGAGTTCCTTGGACATCTTGACCTGACAACCCAGACGACTTGTTTCTGTCAGACCGAAGGCCAGATCCAGCATGTCATTCTCATCGTCATCGGGCTCCTCCATCTTGTCAAACATGTCCGGGTCTGAGACGATAACGTGGCAGGTCGAGCATGCACATGAGCCGCCGCATGCGCCCTCCATTTCGAGATCATTGGCTTGTGCTGGAGAAGGGTCAGTGATGATTGGAACTGTTAATTTGAAGCAAACACACCAATGTCGAGCAGGTTGTCGCCGTCGGCTACTTCGAAAGTGTGCTCATCGCCCTCCTTGTCGATGAAAGTGACTTTGCGCTCCTCGCCGGGCTGGGGAGGGTCGAGGTGGCCATGCAGTAGGGATGACGAAGAAGAGAATGGTCGCGTTGAAGGGAATTTTGTGGTGGAAGCGATTGAGAGGCGAGTTGGTTGGTATGATGATTGCGGGATGGCGGATCTAAGCGGCGACGAGGTCGAGAGGGAAGGGCGCAGCGAGCGCTGTATTAATCTAGCGGCGCATCTGGAAGCGGCGACGGACATTGTGACAATGCAAGGAAGGTGCAATCGTAGACACAATGGGTGACTGAGAAAGGAAAGTGTTGGTGATGACGGAAGTCAAAAAGTGGTCAGCAGCGAAATGCGGGATTCTGGAGCTTCTCCGACCACGGCGGTCTTCTACCAAATACCTCGATATACACACACAACCATGGCACATCCAGTACAACTGTCGACCTCGCGCGACACGCCGAACCCTCTACGACCTTACTACCGTCCCCCCTCGATCGGCCTGCCGCCTGCAGACGTGAACGCGACAAGCTCCACGCCTGGTCCATCCAGCAGCCTGGGCACTTCAGCTCGCCATGTCTTTGACGACCTCGACTATTCCTCATTCCTGAACGATGGCGACTCGGCTTCCGTCGCCGACATGGGCCGCAAGGTCCTCGATCAAGCCTTGTGGAAATACACCTCGGTCCTTCTCGCACAGCCCTTTGATGTTGCAAAGACGATTCTACAAGTCCGCCTGGCTACTCAGCTCGATGCCGAATCCACCTTGAGACGAAGAACCTCTGCCCGCTTTGCTGTCGACCAGTACCCCCCGAGCGATGATGAGTCGGACCCCGATGAGCCCAGCTACTTTACTCCCACCAAGCCCACAAGAGCGGCCGAGTCTGATAGATCTCGTTCTCGTCGTCCTCGTACCCCGCCCTCACGTTCGTCCAGAGACCAGTCGCCTGCTCCACATGTCTTGCAGCTACGAAGACCAGACTCGGTCATGGAGGCCCTATCCCAGCTATGGCAGCAAGCTGGTGCTGCTGCTATGTGGAAGGCTACTAATGCCACCTTCATCTACAACGTTCTGCTCAAGGCTGTCGAGGGCTGGACCCGGAACCTGCTGTCTGCTCTGTTTGATCTGCCTGACCCTTCGTCTTTGGCTTCTGTTCCCGCAGAGGTCGTTGCTGGTGCAATGGGTGGTCTTGATCTTGCAGACAGTCCCTCACCCCTGGCCTCTTTAGGCATTGCAGTTGCTGCCTCGGCCATTGCTGGTCTCCTTCTTGCTCCTCTTGATCTTGTCCGCACGAGGTATGCAACCATCTATCTCTATGGCTTTCGCATGCTGATCCTTCTAGACTTATCCTTACACCAACCAATTCACAACCGCGTGCAATTCTACCAAACCTCCGCCTCCTGCCGAGTCTCACAGTTCCTACCTCAATCTTCCCCATCACACTCCTTCACTCTACGCTTCCTACTCTTTTGAGCACCAGCACTCCGCTCGTCCTTCGCCAATACTTCCGCATCGATCCACTCTCAACACCAGCCACCTACTCTCTTGCCACTTTCCTTACTTCAACTACCGAGCTCTTCCTCAAGCTTCCTCTCGAAACCGTCCTTCGTCGCGCCCAAATATCTCACCTCAAGTCTTCTCACAAACACGCATACAACAAAGCTGCGATGAATTCATTCCGCGGTAGCAAGTCTGTCAGCAGCCCAGAAATGGACACAATCGTTCCTGTCGGCCCCTACAAGGGCGTGTTTGGTACTGCTTGGAGCATCATGAAGGAGGAAGGCATTCGCGAGCAACCCCCACAGAGCCGCATGAGTACTCCCGCTAGACCTGGTCTGATACCGCAAAGGAGAGAGAAGAAAGGACAGGGTATTGGTGGTCTGTGGAGGGGATGGAGAGTTGGCATGTGGGGTCTGGTTGGTGTTTGGGGTGCTTCTGCCCTTGGAGGTGGTGGCAGAACTGGCGGTGAATTCTAGAAGGGTTCTATCCGTCTGGGCTCATTTCCACTCTCTTCTCGATTGTCCCCTGTACTCTACTCGTCTTGATTTTGTCTGTGTTTTACTGGCGAGGCGTTTGGGAAAGGTTGTTGCATTTTATGAGAACAAAAACCATCCAACTTTTATCCTTTCCAATGTATTATTATGACCCTACTATCAACTCTAGGCTTCAGAAAGATTCAATCCCACTTTGGCCAGCACTGCACAGACTCAAACCTGTGAGGTTGGAGGGACCCATTTGAGGAGACCGTGCCAGGGTCGCCCTTGGCCTGCGGTAGAACTTCGGCTTGATGTGAGCTCTCCGTACAAAACCGAAAATCTTTGCTGCGCTCCTTCACCACAACATGCGACCGACACTCATCTCTGAAGCGCATCGATCATGGTTTGCCGAGGCGTGTGTTATATGAAACAGATGATGCTTCCACGACCATGATAGATGCGCTCTGGAGAACCATTTGGTGCTTGGCCAACTCGCGACAACCTATCGTATGGTAAGCTCCTTCCCTTTCTCTCTTTTCTCTTTGCCCAGCAAGTCAAAGCTCAACATGATGATTATCCGGTTTGGAGACCTGTTCCGATTCTCATGACGGATGCTTTGGACTAATCTGACAATTTGTTTTTGACTTGCTTTCTTCTGTCATACTTTCGAATGGAAGATTGAGAAGACAAAAGTGCTAACTTATGCGCTTTAGATAATTTATACACGATGGATCACATATGAGAGTTGGGTTGAGGAATGAGATCGTAGTATAAGAATAAATGTTACATACTTTTCACGCATTTATCTGGAGCTTTTGCGAATGTCGAACCGTGATATCATTCGTCCAATTGTTGTAGCATCGAAGAAGCGTTCATATTTTAGGGTTGTCTATCTTTGAGAGATGTCTACCATCACGATTCTGCAAAAGCTGTTGGTAGATGGTGATGAGAGGAGATGGTTTTGGTTGCCAACGACGTGCTCACAGCACGCGACACGCGAGGGTGCTTGCCTCGCATCTCGTGGAAGTCCAGATTTGTATCGTGATTAAACATCATGTATATCTTCCCTGTGCTGTAGCTTCAGGTAAGTATTTGAGCAGGATGGATATCGAAGTCAAAAGCATGTTTGAAGCATCCAGTAAGCGCGAGTGTGCCGTTGTCAACAACCACCGACCGTCCACGAATACGATTACGCCATCGCACCTCATGCATTGAGCTCACTGTTTCAAGCAATTGGTGAGGCGAAGCCGGCTTGAACTTGTTGAATCGAATCACATGTGAGCAACTGTTGTTTTCGTTCTCGACAACCGATCAACTTCCTCGAAGCGTGTCACTGCGCTTCCAACCCAACTGCAACGCAACCGAGGTCATCCATCGACACGCGGGATGAAACTCAATCTGCTCAGGCTATCAGCATGGGCTGCTCTAGCCAATTCGGTGCTGGCCAAGCAGCCAAACATCCTCTTCATCATCACTGACGACCAGGATGGACACATGGGATCGGTCGAGCATATGCCTCTGCTCAAAAAGCACTTAATCGACAAGGGAACCTCTTACGAAAACCACTTCTGCACAATTGCCATCTGCTGTCCTTCAAGAGTCAATCTCTGGACTGGAAGAGCTGCTCACAATACCAATGTCACTGATGTCGGCCCGCCTTATGGAGGTTACCCTAAGATCGTCAAGGAAGGTATCAATGATGACTATCTTCCTTTGTGGATGCAGGCTGCTGGATACAACACATATTATACCGGCAAGCTCTGGAACGCGCACACTATCAACAATTACGACCAGCCTTTTGTCAAGGGCTACAATGGCTCTGACTTCCTGCTGGATCCTTTCACCTACGATTACTGGCACGCAAGAATGACCAGAAATGGGGAGACACCAAAGGACTACTCGGGTCAATACTCGCCCGATGTGGTGGCTGACAAGGCGTATGGCTTCCTTGAAGAGGCCATCGAAGGCGATGCCCCTTGGTTTGTCACGGTCGCACCTATCGCTCCTCACAGCAATATTGTTGCGCATCCACCTAGCGGTCGTCTAAACGAACTCGAAGTGCTCGCCCCTGGTGCCGTCAATAAGTTTGCGATTCCTGAATATGCTCCACGTCACGCACATCTGTTCAAGGATTACAGAATTCCTAGAACTGAAGACTTCAATCCTGAAGAGGTACACAAGAAGCATATTCCGAGAGAGACGAGAATAAAAGCTGATGACTGAATGAATAGGCCAGTGGAGCAAGTTGGATAGCTCAACTACCCAGACTCAACGACACGAACATCGAGTACAATGATGAGTTTCAGCGTGCTAGGCTTCGCGCACTGCAGTCAGTCGACGAGATGATTGAGCGTTTGGTCAATCTTCTCGACTCTAAGGGTGTCCTCGATGACACTTATGTCTTCTTCACCACTGACAATGGTTTCCATGCTAGTCAGCATCGCATGCAACCCGGCAAAGAGTGCGGCTACGATACTGATATCCACATCCCATTGGTTGTCCGCGGACCAGGCATTGCTGCAGGCGCAACCAAAGACATCGTAACTTCCCATACCGACATGGCACCGACCTTACTCTCTCTTGCCGGCGCAACTCGCAACGACTTTGACGGCTTAGCCATACCCATACTCGACAACAATACATCGCCTCGCGGCGAACACGTCAACGTCGAGTTCTGGGGCATCGGACTGCCAGAAGGAAAATTCGGCATCGCGGAACCACACGGAGGACTCTCTTACGCAAACAACACATACAAAGCTTTGCGGCTCGTAAGCGCCAATTACAGTCTCTACTACTCCGTTTGGTGCACTGGCGAACACGAATTCTACGACTTGCACACTGATCCATACCAGATGCACAATTTCTTCGCCGATCCAAAGTTAGCAAGGGATTACTCCCTCGCTGGTCGTTCATGGCAGCAATTAATCTATCGTCTGGATGCTCTGCTGCTGGTTCTCAAAACATGCAAGACGACCACTTGCATCAAACCATGGTCTTCTCTGCATGACAACAGCAGTGTAGAAACACTCACGCAAGCACTAAACCCAGAGTTTGATGCTTACTACATCAAACACCCCAAAGTAGGCTTCTCGTCTTGCGAATTGGGGTATATCCCAGAAGCAGAAGGAAACGTCGATCACATCCCCTTTGCTGCTGCGGGTGTGGAATGGACACTCGCGGCCGAGCAACCCGCACTAAAAGGTCAGGAGCCTTTCAAGTACAGAGGCAGCTGGAGCGATTGGGTGTGATTTCGTTTGCAAGGAAGCAGATTGTCAATCTTTTCGAACGGACTACTGCAAGTAGATATCCGAAAAATCCGATATCCGAGCAAAATGCAATTGTGATATCGAAACATTACCCTTTTGTGATTAACATGGCACATCTCTCTGTCCCAATGACCAACACTGTAATTTGCTCATCGGAAAACCTTGTCTGTAGATTCAAAAAGATAGACAGGCAAAGAATACCGACCAAGAAAATTGTCATCACAGAAAGCACATTATTATTATTGTCAACCCGTTCGTATGACGAAAACAAAGTTTCACTGTCAAAGATCAGGCAAAATTGCAAAAGATTAAAAATGAGAGTTAAACCCGTACAATCGTGTTTCGAAACGTGGGCTTACAAAAAGGTAATATACTTGAAGGTTACCCATGACTCGTCAATGGCAATGTCAGATGTTTTGTTTGGGGTCCAGAAATAAATTTTTTTGGAGTCGTTTTTTCTGTTTTTGTTCCTTGTTGGAGATGTTTTTTTTGTTGGAGAAGAGAGTTGGGGTCAAAAAAGAAAAAGAAGATTTGACATCAGAGTTGTTTCAGAACAGAGTTTTGTTACATCCCGAGAGAGTTGTCATTGGTGATTGCTGCTTTTGGATGATCCGTGACGACGAATTGTTGTTTGAAGCAGTGATCGTCTTGCTGCGTCGTCGTGTTCGTGGTTGTCCAGCACAAGCGGGACGGGACTCGGAAGACAACCCTTTTCCTGCACCACGCCGAACAGGCAAGAAGAAGAAGATGGTGATCACGAAACATAAAATACAAGTGCGATGGAAACCCTTGGATTTTCCATCGAATACAGGTGACAAGAGATGAAGAAGAAATCCAGATATACAATTGGGTTTTGGTGTTTTTTCAGATAAGACCTTTTTTTCCAAATCATACATACCCCGAGCAGTATCCAAACCTTTTTCCCTTATCCCCTTTTTTGTTTTGCTTCTTCTGGCACACACCGGACAGATAAAGAAATTGTTACGCCTTGAGCACCTCGCTGGACAAAGATGACGATAAGCATCGAAAGAAAGGAAAATTTGGCGGCTAGAACAACAGCGATGATTGCACATCACTGTACAAAGAGAAACATGTCCTCGAAAAAAAAAAAAAAACGTTTGTACATAGAAGTGAAATGCGAACAGACCTCCTCTTGTAGCCTTAGCTGATCCGGACAGGAGCATATAAGGTCGAGTCGCACATACAGCGACATTTTGTAAAAGGCGACATGCAGTGCAGTGCAGTGCAGTGCGTAAGAAACATCAAGATGGAAAATGTCATGAGATTCCGCATAAGCAGGAGAGAACCGTCGGTAGGACGGAGGCCTGTCATGGCTGACAAAGTTGGACAATGAACGGTGAGGCTCGAAGCAGGAAGCAAAGATCGGCAGGAAGCCCTGCTGGCACCAACAGGGGCTATAAACAGCTGAAGGTGAGTTCGTCCATGACCCTGGGCACTTTGGTTGACTTGTTAACGAGCCTGGTGTATTGTCGGGCTCAAGTCCGTGGTATCGATGCGGAAAAGTTGACGAATCCAAAACTTTCATCAAGTGCCATGCCGAGAAATAGAGAGAAGGGAGAGGTATGATGGTCGAGGGAAGAAGTCGGTCGTCGTCATGGCGATGGTAAAGGCAAATGACATGGTCGAATGGAAATAAGGCTCTGCGAAGTCATATGGTCGTCGTGATAAGGCGCAGAAATGAACAAGGTTGGCGCTCAGAGAATAACACACTTTCCGCCAGATCGTTTAGACTTTTTGACAGTTCCGCCACTGCCACCAGTATGCGAACGTCCAGAGTCTTTCTTGCGGTCACCGCTTCTTCCACCAGAAGAGTTGTGTCTTTGGCGGCGTAGTTGACGGACGACATCGTAGAAAGCCTTCTCGACATTGACGCAGTTCTTAGCTGAAGCCTCGACGAACTCGCAGCCCAGCTCACGAGCGAGAGCAGCGCCTTCTTGGGTGGATACCTCGCGCTCGGTGACACGATCACACTTGTTTCCCACAAGCATGACGGGAGCAGGACCAGATGATGCGGGGGCGGAAAGACTGGGTGAGCCAGGGTAGGTGGGTGAACCGGCTTGTGCAGACTCCTTGACGCGTTGGATCTGGCTGTAGAACTTCTTGATGCGCTGGAACGAGGCGCGTGAGGATATGCTGTATACCAGGACGAAGCCTTCACCATCGCGGATCCACTGGTCTCGCAACGAGACATACTCTTCCTGGCCCGCTGTGTCGAGCACTTCGAGCATGCATGATTGGCCGTCAATCTGAACCTGTTTGCGGTATGAGTCTTCAATGGTGGGATCGTAAGTTTCGACAAAGTGATTCAGACAGAGCTGTGCATGTCGTCAGCGTTGGTGCTCGCATTCCTCAGAGCGGCAGGTTAGCACATACCTGGATGGTGAGGGCGGTCTTGCCGACACCGCCGTCTCCAAGCACGACCAGCTTGTACAAGGTCATTTTTCCCGCCATCTTGAGTGGTGAGATGAATGCAGGCTAGAGTTGCGGAAGGAGTAGGTGTAGCTGTGGTGCGTCGTGTGCGAAGGATCTGCGAAGCTCAATCTCGGCGGCGGGCGGTCGAATGCTGCAGCGGTCGGACAGTTTTGGCGCGCGTGTACAGGATCGTTAAGCGGTGCAGATGGTCGATCAGGCAGTAATGGGATCGAGAACAGCAGACGCGCAGCAAGCAAGGCAAGAGCAGCAGCAGCAGCAGCAGATGAGAGCGCTGGCACTTGACAGATACAGGGATATTGTTCTGAGGCTGTAGCTAACGCACGTAAAGACGCCGGGGCCAAGGCTTCAAGGGGGGGCGGCAGGAGCGAAGGCGCAGGATGATAAAGCCAAACGGCAACGGCAGCAACAAAAAGCTGGGTATATCAGCAGCAGCAACAGCAGCAACAAGAGAGTCGTCGGGGCAGGTGCGAACAAAAGACAAACGATGGAGGAGAAGAGGGTCTTGTCGTTAGTTAGCCTCGCTCGACTCAGCTAGCAACTACCTAGCAACTAGCACCAAGAGCTTGTTTTCCCTGAAAGCAACAGCAACCCACGAGCTTTTGCTGCACTCGCAATTGCACTTGCAGCCCGACCCGAACTGACCCAAAAGTACCTGTGCGCGCTGCGGGGGTGTTCCACTCTCAGCAATTCAACCCAACTCAATTCTTTTGTCCCGGAGCAACACGGCGGCGCCTTCTGCCAACTGCTGCGAGACCGCAACGCTTCACCTGCCTCACTCGAGCAGCCAAGCACTAAGCATTCGTCTCCACCGTCCGCTTTGAACCTTTTTTTCTTCACGAACGCGTCCACTGCATTATCTGTCCACATTGTTCCGACATGCTCAACCTAATGGAATCACACGAGCTCCTTCAACGCTTCTCAAGCCGCCAGCCATCCTTGCTCTGATGGCTGACCGAGAACTGCTGTTTGTCGTCTATTAGAGTTCAATGCCTGTCTCGTCCCCAATCCTCCCGCCTTTCGACCATCGTTCAATGCTCTGGCGTGGAACCCTGATAAGCTAACCGCTCTGATCCCCGAATGAATATCCTCTCCTAACCACTGTGGGACCTTGAGAGTACCACTCTTTGACCACTAAACAATCACCCGGTGGCGTGCTACCATCGTCGTGAGCACTGCCATGCCCACCACTCTCGTTTTGACTTTTGAGTCTCTGCCATTCGCTCCTTCTGAATCAGGCCTGCTCGTCTCGCAGCTTTGCACAGCGCTTCACGCTCTGACTCGCATTGCGACAATCTTCTCCAAGCTTTTTACACGACAAGGTAGAGTTCCGATGCTGGTCGGGAAGGAAAGGATCTGATTAGATTTCGTTTTTGTGCTGTCCATGTGTCTTACAAGTCAGAGTCATTGTCGATCATTTCACTGAACAAGAGCTCAGTCGAGGCTTTGGGTGACAATGCCAATCGTTGATCGCACACATGACCATACACAAACAATGGTCCGCGTCTCTGCTAAACAGAGTCACGAGTCGATATCTCACCTGTCAATTCCAAAAAAGCAGCGCTGCAGCTGCAAGATCTTGACTGCCGTACCCAACAGATCTGCTTTCGATATCTGCCGAGTTACTGATCGGCGTTGCTGCTCGCTTGAAGCTACAAGAAAGGAATCGAGCAGGCCTATCGGCTGGCATTCCGGGTCGACTACATCCTCTTACTGTCATCTTCGTCTACCGAAATTCACCTAGCTACATACCGACAATTTTGCTCGTACATTACATAAGATTCAAGTTTTTGATGCAGCGTGACGAGCAACAAAACCTCATCGATAGGTAGCTTCCGGATGGCATCAGCAGTACATATGCGATAGCGCAGTTGACCTCGGGTATGTATGTTATATCGAACTCTATTCTAGATATGCGTTCCGATTATTACTAGCCAAGCTATAAGGAGATCCTGCAATGCTGTTCTGTGCATGCTCGTATATCTTGCATGCGAGAAGCACACAACAACGTCGATTTCGGGCCCTTTGTGCCCGCGTTGAGCTTTGGTAGATGACTCGATAATTAGAACAGTTTGGTACGCACCGTTGGAGCTGGTTGGCGCGTAAAAGACGTTAGGTTGATCGTTTTCAACTACTGCTGGGCGGAACACCCTGGTCCCGCATCCGCCCTCATGCATGAACGCATGATGCAGGAGTTAGACCCTCTGAAGACACAACATCAGTGGCAGACGACAACAAACAAAAGCACTCGAATGTGCTTTGTTGAAAGAATGCTGTGTTAGCTATGTGGATCATGGATGAGAGCGCCTATACCATTACCACGCCAACACTTGCTTGACAAGCATGTGCTAACTCAGAGCACATTTGTTTTGACTCGACCACATGACGGGCTTCATCTTAGTTTTTGTCTTGAATCGATTCTTCGGCCCTTTGCTCTAGGGATCAACATCAGCAACTACAAGTGTCTATAACGATTTGAGAAAGGGAAAGATGTCCCTAGAGCATTTGCAATCCTGCAAATCATGCATCAAGACCCTGAATATGCGGCAGACTACCGAGGCCAAGACCTTTGATGCCTACAAAATGAACTATCCGCGGCTCGTGAGATCCTGCGTAAGCATGACTCCCAAATCTTGTTCATGACTCTCAAGTTGAAGATGCCCTCCTCTTTGTCAATTCCTCATCAAGAGGGCTTCCCATGTATCTTGTACTTTGTCTTCCCACTTGCACCAATGATTCGATGTGAATGCTACGCACTTCCCCACATTGACCCTTTCTTCCAATGGGAAGCCGAGGAAATGAACCGTCTTCCGAGGAGGAAAGGCTTATGAAAAACTCACTTCACACTGCACAGAGTTCATATCAGAACCGCGATTCATGGTTTGCCATGCTAGGGGATGAAGATTGCGATCACTTAGGGCTTTCAGCCGCCAAAAGCCCTAGACGATAGTCTCAAAACTGCTACGCGGAAGTTGCTGCCGTGATCATGAGATGCTACTCCGAGTATATCCATCTGTTGCTGAGTCAGCATAGCATGACTCCCTAACGTGGAACAGGTGATGATGGAAGCCGCCATGTCAACAACACGGCCCCAAACTCGAACAATTAGGCAATGACAAGGTGGGTAGGAGCATCACCAAATGACAAAGTCTGTAGAACACATTAAGCGGCCAGACGCTACAAAAGGTCACTCGAAACATGCCGACTTCATATCCAAGCTATGAAAGCCTTCTGACAGCGGACACATCGCCTCATGCATCGCCAGACTTGCTACGCCTGCAGTGGAATCTCACCAGCGACAATGTCTCCGATTGCATCTCTATTCTCGATGGCCCCACAAACGCGGATTCAAAAGGAGAGCCATATTCCTTTACGCATTGCATCTGAAAATCAGTTTGACACTGCCCACCAGTCTCATCCATCGTTGTCTCTATTGAAAATCTCAATAAGTACGCTCGTGAATGGATCGAGGTACATGGTCTTCACGCGGATTCAGATGACTTCGATAAAGATTGCGAGCCACCTGGTTTTGACAGCGAAGGCGTTGTAGAACGCTGTTGTGGTAAAGATCGTCCCGGGAAAGGACCTCGTCTTGAGGTTGTGGCTGAAGCAGGTCATTTTGTGACCGTCAGGCAATTTGTCAGTCTCGTTCATCCTTGGTTGCGAAAGCTAAAAGGTCAACTTCGCGGTGCTGCGAGTGTTTGGGCTGGTTGGGGGCCACAAGAGGATCCCGAGATGATTGTCAGCTTGCATGCAATGCCCATCAGTGTTGACGATACTAGAGGATGGACGGCAGAGTGGGCTGCGATAGAAAGGGAGACGCAAGTAAACATGATCGGAAACGTGATTCGGACAATCAAACATCTGGGTCTGTGAGGAAGAGTCGATGTGTCATGGGCTGGATTAGAGGATATATTCATATCTAGGAGGTTGTCCACCACGTACGGCCACAGTCAGCTGAAAACTGGGCATCCCGTCCGCTCTGCCATACATAAGCAGTTGAACGGCAGATTAGTACTACGGTGGGTGACCACGTGGGAATCCCTGCTGCTGTACGTTTTGTTCTTTTGCAAGAACTCATTACCAATTTGTTCCCTCTGTAGCTGTAATTAGAGAAATCGAGGTCAGCCTCTTGTCTGGATAGGACTGTTTCGCTTGGTCTGTAGTGTGATTGGTAGTAGAACACTGGCATGTTGAAGCGATCGAACTGCTTCTTACTGGAGATTCTAGCACATCAACAGCTGCACTGAAACATCCGAGGTCAAAAGTGCGTGAAAACTAAGTCTTGTTACATCCCTGCATGAGAGGTCTGAGGAAATCCAGAACACAGCCTCGAACACCGTCGGCCGAGTGACCTACACCATCAACGATGTCGAGTCGAGTCTCAATACCTTGTTCTTCCCATGATCTTTGGACTTCTTGCAAAGTGCCTAGTCTGCCTTGCCCGACTCCTGAGGCATCGATATTGCTGGTTAGAGTAGCTTCTTCATTGGAGCCAGCATCCTTGGCTTTGACCTTCATCGCTTGCTGCCACTTCTTGAAATCGTCACCACCATGAGCTCCTATATCCTTGCTTCCGACAACCATATGGATATCGACAGCTTTGATCAGACTCAGATCAATGGGACGGTCAAACACGTGTTGAACATTTTTGATGCCTTTAGGCCAATCTTGTAGTTCATCAAGAAGAGTAACCTTGCCAGGAGCTCCTATACTGACAGCAGAGAGCCGTTCAGGGTAGACATAAAGAAAGCGCTGTGCGAGTTGTCCACCACCAGAGAAGCCCATGAGGAAGATTTTGTCCGTATCGATATGTGGCCACCGAGTAGCAACCTCATCAAGCATCGACAGCAGAGCGAGGTCGGAGCATACACTCTTGGATCTGAGCTTCTTGTACGAGTCTAAGTCATTAGGTCCTTCAAGGCCAGCTGGAAACAAAGGTTGCAAGACAGCACAAGGCGTTGAGTCGGCGAAGGTCTTGAGATCGCCATAGATGGCGGAGAGATTTCGTCTGGTTCCGTGGATGTTTACCAAGAGTGGTAACTTTTTTAACTTGCTATCACTTGCGTTTGCGGCAAGTGATTTGTACGGCTCGGGTGGGATATAGAGTGAATAGGAAATGCGTGGGTCGGACTGTAATGCCATTTGTGGAACATGGCCCACCATGAATGCAGCCTCCAGAAATTTAGGAGGCACATCTTTGGTCGTGAGAATCTTTTTCGACTTCGGCATCTTGCGTCAGGCGATGTTTTGGTAGAGGTATTTGCGTTTGATATAAGCTTCCAACGTGACAAGAATGGAGAATGCAGTTAAAGCCGCAATGACTCAAGCCATGATTTGCTTAGCAATCATCCGTGAGAGAATCACGCTTACTCCAGGCAAGGCAGCTTTGGTCTTCTTTCTGTATGCAAGGGATTCATGTCGGCTTTAGGAACACCGGAATTTTGCTGACGGTCCAACATTGCACCGATCGAGATTGGTATTTAAGCAAGCTACGAGTGCGAGGATCTGATAACGACCACACCATAACATAAATCATCCATTACTTGTTGATCAAAATCAGAACATTTTCAAAGGCTATAACGGCATCACAAGTCTCCTCCAATCATGACTTTGTCAACCTCGCCTTTGCTCGTCAACTCCGCCGGCGTCCTCGGCCATCTCCTCGTTGTAGGCGGATCTGCCGCAGTCTTCAGCCCACGCTCTGTCATCGGAGCCTTTGGTCTCGACACACCCTCGGCACCTGAATCTCAAAGATTAATCGATCTACTCGTCCCACTGTACGGTTTCCGAGAACTTTCACTTGGACTGTCTATGGTCGCTGTCTGGAGATACGGCAACATCAAAACTCTAGGTTGGACGACCATGGCGGTGGTTGTTACTGCGCTTGGCGATGGGTGGGTGGCCAGAAAGCAACGCAAGGGCATGGAGTGGGTGCATTGGGGGCTGACACCGATTGCGTTGGGACTGGGAGCTGGTCTGCTTGGATACTTTGATTGAGTGAGGACGAATAGATTAAGGGTGATGAGCGTGTAATTATAGGCTAGAGACAGGAGAGGTGTACGATAGGCAGGTTGACGTCGAGAAATATACTCTCTTCTCTGACATGTGGCACTACCAAATCGATTTACGATTGTCTAGTTGGCTATGAGTTAGGAGAGCATGTAAAAGATTGTGTTGTTTGAGGATCATACACGACAGCGTAACGTGACGAGACATGTGATGGTGAGTACCGGACAGGCTTGAGGAAAGGAAAGACCTACAAGAATAACCCACAGGAATGCATGTCACAACTCAATAATCTGAATCGGACAGAGACAAGGCTAGATGTTAGAAGGAAAAACGTCACATGTGAAGCGTGGTAAGCTAGATTGAGTGAACAAGCATCACAGGCATAACTTTTCGCTGCATTTCAAGTGTGAGACAAGACTGAACATTGCGCGTGGATAACAGTCGTGAACAGCAAGTGTCGGCAGCCATAGACTCCATAACAGTCGTCCTTGCTCGCAGTTATGTTGTTCGGTGGAAAAGAATCTTTTAATGCAATTCGTCGCAAGATCGGTGGTGTTGACGTTTTCTCATTCGGTGGTATCGCTTCCAAACTTTTGACCAAGATCCTTGCACTTGTTGCTGGTGGACTTTGAACATAGGGTCGGAAGAATTTTTTTGAACTTTTCCTTTTTGTTTCGAGACGTTGGTATTTTGACTCGCTATGTCCCATGATCATGCGTTAAAAGACAGCTAAGTCTTGAGTCCCCCGTGTCCATGAAGTAATTTTTGAAGACTCCCCCAACCAAGAAGTGCACCGCGCATTGTCGAGTCGTTTAGAATCCTGTAAGAGGGTACATGTTAGTGGTGTGCCCGAATTTGACAAGGACTGGAGTGTCATCATACTGAGAGGAGTGAAGAACCACTTGTTCTTGCCGCTCTGGTAACGCTCCTCGAGGGCCTTCTTGATGTTCTTCTTGGCGTCCTCTCTTTGCGAAACCTCCTTGAAGGTGTCGTTGGTGACGGCACCCTTCAGGCCCTCGAGCTCAAGAGTGTAGCGGGTGGGCATGATGTGGTTGTAGTTGACGACCTTGATGAAAGGCTTGACCTTTGAGCGCTTGGCCTGGCGACCCTTGGACATGCGGCGGGTGACTTGCTGAGGGTAGCGCTCAATGCCGGCGACGAGGGCGTGAGGGAAGGGGTGGGACTTGGTACCCTGGTCAACGGGCTGGATGATGACGACCTAAAGCGAGACTGTGTAAGTGGCATGTTCGGCGGTGTATATGCGAATTGCGGTTCGACGGTCGGAGGTGGTTGTGCGTTTTGATCTTTTTCCTTCCCATAACAGATCCTGGCTCTTTCTGTGTGCATGTGCGGCGCCCTTTCATTGTTCGTATGTGTCGCTCCGTCTCGTCGATCGTCCGCTCTTCAGAAGAATGATTGTCGTACCTTCTTGCCTGCATATCTGCCACGGCTGATGATGGCAACACGGCCGACCTTAAGGACTAGACAGACACTGTCAGCATTCGCTGGTCGCAAGTGACAGTCTCCATATCGCAATCGAGACTGCAGGAACATGCGCTGGACGTACACTTCATGGCTGCTGGGTTGGGACGGTTAGTATGTCTTGTCGGTCAAAATCGTCTGGCCTTCGAAATCTTGAGGCGGCAGCTTTCGGTGGGCTAGGCGAATTTCGCAGTGCGGTCGGACGTCGGGAAGTGCCGCCAGCGCGTCGAGCGGCTGGGTTCTCATTGGCCGCAGCGCAAAGGACTGCCAAGCAAGCGGTGAACGGAGTTGGGCTCACTAGCCTCGCGGATCGGGATTAAGATGCCCGTAGCAACGCAGAGAGGCTGCATCGTGTTGTGCTGTGTAAACAGTCCAAGTCAACTTAGTTGGGCGTCCGCGCTTAAACATGACCTATTATCTACACATCTGCCCTGCGTTAACTCACCACAACGGTTCTCTCCAACCGTTTCTGCTCTCAATTTCTCGTCTGTACTGCATCACTTCTGCCACGACCTGATTCTGTGCCTTTTGCGAATTCCTTTGAGATACCCAGTCTGCGTACAATGCCATTGTTGTTGTGACGCTCTCACCAGATTAGCGTGCATTCTTGAGCACTCGCCCACTTGCTCGCCTTATCAGCATCATCAGACCACAGCACATTCACATTCCTCAGCATGCCTAGTTACAGCGATCGCGAGTCAATCGACTCTGGTCGCCAGTCGGTGCCCATGTAAGTCTTGAAACACTGCCCTGACAACCCAACATGCGACCATGGGACTGACTCGTCATCTCTCCAAACTCAGGTGGGATAGCTCAGACCCAGACAGAGCCCCTCCACCATTGCCTATTCCACCCAACTCGCCTGGCCTGGCCACACGATCCAATGCTTCGGCTAACATCCAGGCCACCGCCCAAAGGCTGACCGAGCGTGCCCGTGAGAGCATGCCCGCCAGCGTCTATACCACAAACCCACCGCCTTCTACTTCTCCCGACAAGTCGTTGATCAAAGGTGCTCATCACCGTCGTCTACAATCTCTCCAGACTGGAAGTGTCCGAGACCTTCGCACCTACCTTGATGGAATGCGCAACACTTCTCCAGAGAGACCTACCTCTAGATCGACTGCAAACTCTCAAGGCTCGCCCACGCGCCCAGCCGATGCCGACTACTTCTCAAGTCCTCCTCAGGATCACTCCACACCCACACCAGCCGACAGAAATGCTCTTCGAGATGCACCCAATCTTCGTCCTGCCTCTCGTCCCAGAGCCATTCTGGGCGAGAACACTCCCCCCTCGGCCACCATGCTCGCTCTACAGACCATGGCCGCTCGCGATCCCGATACTTCGCTTCACGACGTCACGAACTCTTCCTCCTCTCGCGAACCCAAGACCTTAAATGAGATGATGGCACAACTTACGAATATCACGAACATTACTTCTGGCATGCAAAAGGAGATGGCGCAGTTGAACCGTCGCAGCAAGGACAATGCTGCTGACTTGATCGGTCTGAAGCAAGCTGCCGATAGCCGTGATGAGGAGATTCGTCGAAACTTGCGCGACCTACTCTCTAACGTCAACGCTTCTGATGCTGGCTCTGTCTTCGGCGGAAGATCATCCGCCTTTGGTCTGGGTCTTCTCGAGAACAAGGGTCTGACCTCACCACCTGCTGGAGGACGACCATTTGGTTCTCTGCCTCGCTCGAACAGCCATGGCAGCTTCCTCGACCCTGGCAGTCCCAACCCTTTCTCCATGGACGGTGCCGCTAGTGTTGCAATGCTGGAGAAGATCATTCGCGAAATGGTCACCAAGGATGGCCAGGATCGTCTCCTGTCCACTCTATCAGAGCTCCTCGACAAGCACAGCAGGGATAATGTCCAGGCTATCGAAACTGCTCAGAAGGTGGCCGAGCTCTCTGACTTCATAAAGGAGAAATCGGGCAGCCATGCTCTTGTCCGCCATTCATCAGACGCTCAAGACGACGAACAAAAGTCAAAAGCCATCGAAGCCATGAGCGCTGATATTCTTAGACTTCTTCACAAGATCAAGGACAGCACTTCCCAGAGCGGTGGCTTGAGCAATGAGATCAAGGCTCTTCTCCAAAATCTCAGAGGTGAAGTGTTGGGCATGGGTCGTGAGCTAGGTCGTCAGCTCGACCAGGCCAATTCCACTGCTAGGGTTGCCGAAGACGGCTCACAGATCAAGACCGATGTGGAGGAAATTGTCAGCCAAGGTCTATCTCAGCTCAGAGAGCACATGGAGCACATCATCCAGCAGAACTCGCAACAACTTGTCATGGCCAACCACCAAGACGAGAACAAGAACAAGGACATGTACGACATGGTCAAGAGCGCTATCACAGAACATAACTCGGCTCTTGTTCAGGCTCAACCTCAGTCAGAAGGTCTTGATAGGGCAAGCATTCTCGAGGCAGTCAAGGATGCTATCGAGGAGTTCAGGCCTGAGATTGAACTTCAGCAATTCGGTCTTGAACGTGACGAGATTCTTTCTGTTCTGAAGGAAGGCTTGCACGAATACCAATCCAACAAGGAGCCCTCTGCAGCACCTGGTGCCAATATCGAGGAGGTTGAATCTGCTATGCAACGTGCTCTTCAAGAGTTCAACCCTCCCAGACCAGTCGATGAGATGGCCTCGTTCAAGGAGGACTTACTGGCTTCTATTCGTCAATCTATCGAAGAACTCAAGTCTGCAGGTCCTGACGATGCTGCCACTCATGCGATTGTTCTTGGAGCAGTCAAGGAAGGCCTTGAAAACCACGGACCTCATGCTCCTCGCGAGTTCGAGATCAGCAAGGACGATCTGTTTGACGCCGTCAAGGCCAGTCTTGATGGGTCAACCCTTCCTTTCGGCAGCTTCGGCGAGCAAGTCCTGGATCAACTTCGTAATCTCATAGAAGAGATGAAGGTTGAATTCAAGCAGTATTCCGCTGCTAACGGTCGTGATACCGAGCAGGTTCTGGATGCTATCAAGGATGGTCTTGAGTCTCTGCGCCATGAAGTCGAGTCCTACGTCGACCGTGCTCAGGACGTTACTGGCAAGGATGAGATTGTTGATGTCGTCAGAACTGGTCTTGAACAGCTCCGTGGTGATGTCCAAGGCTATTGTGCTGAAGGTCCTACCAACGGTCGCAACGAGATGATCGATTACATCAAAGCTGAATTTGAGCATCTGCATGAAGCAGTCAGCGGCCTCGGCTCCCGGGGAGGTGAAGAAGGTGGTCCTTCGAGTACTTCTGAAATACTCGTTGCTCTCGAAGCTGGTTTCTTGGAGCTCAAGAACCAGACCGCTAGCCGTGGTCTTCTCGATGAGACCAACGAGGAAGTCATGGAAGCCATGAAGGCTGAATTCGAAGCTTTACGTGACGCCGTCATTGCTGGATCAAATACTCACAAGGCCGAAGTCATCGAGTCTCTCCAGGAAAGCTTGGACGCTCTTCATGATAAGGTCGGCAACCGCGAAGACGGCACATCTGACAACGAACTTCTACTCTCCATGAAGGATGAGCTGGCTCATCTTCGTGAGACATTGGCCAACACTCTTTTGAAGTCCGGTGCTGCTGCTGAGAGAGATGAGATGATCGAATCCATTCGTGAGGCCGTCGACACAATTCGTATGCAGATGAGCTCCGAGCAGGGTGAGGCTCATGCCGAAACTCTAGCTGTTCTCAAGGAGCAATTGGAGACTTTCCGTGAGTCCACCACCAAGGGTCTTGTTCTCAGCAACGGCGAGAACAATGGTGAAGAACCTACTCAGGCGCCGCTAGAAGAGATAAGAACTCGTCTGGATGAGATTGCTGCTGCCAGCAGTGGCTCAGGTGTCAACACAGCCCTTTTGGAGGCTATCCAAGGAGAATTCCAACAAATCCGCCATTCTTTAGGTACAGGTGGCTCCCGCGCCGACACAGAAGAAGTCCTCGATGCTGTCAGACTTGGTTTGGATGATCTCCAGTCGTCGCTTGAGAAGAAGATCGACAATCCTGAGATGCACAGAACCCTCAATAACGAGCTTATGGATACTCTGAATGAAGGTCTTGATAACATGCGCTCTGACGTCGCCAAGATCATGGACAAGCCTGTGGATATGACTGTCAACTACGAGATCCTTGAGACCTTGAAGGATGGTGTTGCTAGTCTCCGAGCTGATATGGAGAAGCTGACTGGCGGCGACCGTCCCTCCACTGCTCTGGGTAGCGAGCTCATTCTTGCCGATGGAGAAGAAGGATCTCGTGACTTAGGTGCAGAAGATCAGGCTGCTCACCCCGTCAGCCTCAAGGAGAGAATGGAAGCTCTATTTGCGCAGTTGCACATCAAGGTCGAGGGTCTAGCTGCCAGTATCGGCGATATGCCTACTGCATCAGCAGCTCCAGCTGAAGGAATTGCCATGAAGGAGGACCTGTCCAGCATGGAAGAGACACTCCGACAAATTCAAGACACTCTTTTGGTCATGGCTGAAAAGGAGAAGGCAGAGCTTGACAACGCCGTCACCAAGGAAGACACTGATGCCATCGAGACTCTGCTACGCAACACCAAGGCGCAGCTCGAGGAGCTTCCTGCTACTACCGCCAGCAGAGAACAATTGCAGGATGTTGAGGCAGTTGTTCGCAGTGCCAAGGAGACTATAGATAGCCTTGCTACCAAGGAGGACGTCACCGTTGTTGAGGTCCTACTGAAGGATCTCGCCGCTGCTTTCGAAGACTCAAAGTCCAAGAAGGCTGCCGAGGACGAGGAAGAAGAGTCGGCTCCTCGCTTGGACAAGGCAGACCTCGATGCTCTGGGCATGCTTTGCACTGAGATCAAGGAAAAGATCTCGGAGCTGAACCTACCTGACCCCGAAGCACTGCCTTCCAAGGCGGATGTGGAACAGATTACTGGCCTCATTAACGACTTCCGCGAGAGTCACGACAAGGTCAGAGAAGGATACGAGAACGACATCGCCATCACTGCCAAGGCTTTTGACGACCGTAGAAAGGAGGCCGAAGAGATGTCAGAGGCTATCACCGGTGTCAAGACTTTCTTGGAAGAGGTCAAGGCCGAGATTCTCGCCAAGGTCGAGGAAGGTACTCCTGGCATGACCGACATTGAAGAAGCCATCAAGTCGATCGACGACAAGGTCGCTGGTGACGAAGGTATTGGGGCTGACATCAAGGAGCTCTTGGAGACTGTAAAGAACGAGTTCGAGCGTTCTCATGAGTCTTTGGGTGGCATCAAGATTGATCACGAGCAGAACAATTCTACTTTGCTCGAGAAACACGCGGAGCACAAGGATGCTATTGTGGCTGCTGTTACTGAAAAGGTCGATTCTTGCTTCGATGGTCTGATGAGCAAGTACGACGATGCTCAAGCTGCAGCACATGAGAAGGCGAAGTCCATGGAAGAGCAGGTCGAGCAGCAGAAGGAGATGTTGAACAGCACAAAGGAGATGACTGACGAGCTAAAGCTCTCTATCGACACTCTTGGCACTTCCTTGACTGCGTTCATCCCCTCCTTCAACGAGGCAACCGAGAAGATCTCCGAGGACTCGAAGACTGTATTCGAGAAGGTCGAGGGTGCTATGCTCAAGATGGATGAGCATAACGACGGCCTGAAGACTGAGCATCAGACTACTCGTGATGAAATTGTCAAGGTTGCTGAGGCTATTGCTCTACTCCAAGGAGAGTCCACTGAGTACAACCCTCAGTTCTCCATGTCTCTCAAGGAGCTTCATGCTCTTGTTAGCGCTCACTACGAGTACTCCCAACAACTTGCTGCTACCGCTGAGGAACAGGCCAAGACGGTCCATGACACCATTCGCACCGCCCAAGAAGAATCGAAGACTCACATCGAAGGTCTCTTTGCTGAGAATCTCAAGAACCACTTCTCAGAGAATCTCAGTGCACAGACGGAAGAGCTTAAGGGAGCTCTTCCTGCTTTGTTGCCTGCACCCATCGAGCCCGTCGAGAAGTACGATGATACTGCTGTCCACGAGAAACTCGACAAGCTTGTCAACGATACTGCTGTCCATGAGAAGCTCGACACTCTTGTCAATCTTGCTGGTGAAGCTGGTGCAGCCACGGCTCAGATGGAACGCTTGGACGAGATCCATGCTCAAGTCAAGGACACTGCCGCCGAAGTCTCCGCCTTTGTTGCTCTTCAGCAAAAGCAGATCACCGATGGTCAAGAGAGCAAGGAACGCGAGGCTGAGGAGCTTGCTCTTCTCCTTGAGCGTCGCCAGGTTCAGAAGGACAACATTGAGTCTGATATTTCCTCTCTCAACGAAGAGAAGGAAAGTCTTCAAGCCGTTGTTGAGGCTCTTCGTGCCGAGAAGGATGCTCTAGCTGCGCAGAAGGCTCGTCTCACCGGTGATGTCTCTTCTCTTCACACTGCCTTGGAGATCAGACGTGAGGAGCTGCATATCATGGACGAGAAGGCTGATGCCTTGGAACGTCGCATTCTTGAGGGCTTGATTGATCACTCCCGCACCATGCTTCTTACGCAAAAGACTCCTAAGACTTCTCCTAAGAAAAAACCTATGCGTGATCTGCGCTTGCCCAGCGATGCTTCGACCACACAGCTTCCCGCTCCTACCACACCCAGCCTTTTGCAAAGCCATGCACTGGCTATGAAGACTCGTGGCATGCCCAAGAAGACTGGTACCACTCCCAACACTGGTGAACGTCGTATCATGTCTCTCAGCCAAATCAGTCGTAACCTACCCTCTGGCGCTGCTGCATATGCTGCTACTGCCCCTAGCCTGGTTTCGGCTCAAGGCTCAATCAATCGCAGTCAATCTCTCAAGCATAACAAGCTTCGCAAGATCTCTTGGGGTACAGCTCGTGCTGCAGCCGACAAGGAGAATGATATCGAAGAAGTTACTGAGATTGACAGCAACTATGGTGGATCTCGACCTGTGAGTAGAGATTCGGAGTACCGTCCTCAGAGTCGTGATTACGACTCTCGCCCTGTTAGCCGTGACAGTCTCGACTCTTCGTATTACAACAGCAGCAGACGCAGTGTTAGCTACGCTGGAAGCCAGAGTGCTTGGACCGGATCTCAATCTGACATGACCGAAGACGGCCGTCGCACTAGCTTGGGCACGCTGGGCACTTATGACACTGGAAGCTACATGACTGGCAGCGAGATTGATCGCCGCACCAGCATTGGTAGCACCATTCGCAGCACTATGGACCGCTCCACCATCCAAGAGGAGGACTACGACAGTGACCTTGAGAGCGAGCGTCATGTCGAGCCTGAAACTCCTGCTTTGCCCGTCGAAGCTGCTGTTGCTAAGGACCATGGAGACTATGCTCCTCCCAGTGACTCTGGCATTGGTTCAGACCTACCCACCGGCGCACTTCAGGGTCACGGTGACTACTTTGCTGGCGCTGTCGTTCCTGCTACTGTGGACGAGAACCAGGCTGCTTGATCTGTTAGAGGCAACAAAGCTGGAGCAATTGTGCATTCTGATCATCCGCACAAAGTCGGGTGGCTCTCAACTTTTTTCCTTGTTTCTTTTGCTTGATTTTCTCATGTTTTCTTTCCGGAGGAGAATGCGTTGTAATAATGAATGATGAGGTGGAAAATGGGCGCATTGGCATTGATGAGGATTTTGATTTTTTTCTTCTTGTTCTGCTTCTGAAGGATACCTGGCCCTCGAGGCACTTGTTTTGTTTTCAGTTGATGACTTCGCTGGCATCGCAGACCTGGTTTCTTTCTACTATTGATGCTACGATTAGACGATTGTTGATTATGCGAAATTGATTTCTCTTTCACTATTTTATGTCCCCAATGCCTTCGGGAAGCCTTCGTGATTGTGCCAAGATGGCGATCATGATGATCATGATGCTGATGATACCTTCCCGTGTGCTAGTTTGTAACTTCCTTCGTACTCTCTCCACAGTAAAGAGCAAAGTGTACACTATAAAAAGACACAAATGTGTTCGGAAATGGAGGCTTGGCCACAGAGAGCCGATGAATTGTCGTCTCTCAATGGACACTGTCTGATCACCAATAATATTGTGCATTTTTATAACTGCACTCGTTACATGGTTTGGCACATGGGAGGTATGGAAGGTATTGGCCACCATTGACGCCTTCCTCTCAAGCAGTAAGTGAGTTCAACAACTGATGTCACATCTCTCAATCGCCCTCCATTCCTGCCAAGTGAAAGTCAGAGGCACTGTTGCCTGTTTGCTCTATGTGTCCGTCACTAACACTACCATCTTCTATCACTCTCTTTCTGACTGCCTTTTAGACCTTACTCCTCTCTATGTCCAGTCCTCAATGTCGGAGTCAACTTCCAGATTGAAGAGTGCATCCAGAAGAAGCAGCAAAAACAACTGAGGAAGAAACAAGCCATGGCCATTGTCATGAATTGCTTCCAGCACTGCACGCAAAGGCACCCGAGTACGACAACGGCGTCCACGACCGTACTTGAAACAGTCTCGTTCTCCGACAGAAGCTTGCCTTGTTGGTGGTATTGCGTTCATGCATTGTAAGGAAGGGTATATGTTCGAACTTTAGAGATGGGCAAGAAAGACTTACTAAACCTCCAGATGGCGAGGCAAAAGACATGTCGAAGATGTTCTCTCGTTGGACTCATATGTACTGAACACTATCACAAACAGAAACTCGACTCATCAAGGAGACAGCGACCTCGGTATACATACTAGCATCGTTATCCGCCTGCTTTCTTCGGCTTGCTTTTCGACCCACGATATCCAGGTCTTGGATACGTCAAGCTGAGTTGTGGCTCCCGATGAACAATAACGACATCGCTTTCCGATATCTGATCAACATCATCTTCTCATGAGGGCATTGCTCACGACGAATGGAGATTCTACCTTCCATTGTTGACGACCGGAGCCTGGTTCGGTCGATGGTCGGGACCTGATCGATGCCTTCTCGAATGGTAATGATCTCATATTCTACTCGCTTTTCCTTGATGCATTCACTCTCAATCTTTTTCGTCCGCGAGCATCGCTAGCGCGACATCCTTTCATTGTGTTCTCTCCTGTCCCTCTCTCTTGACGCATGGTTCTTGTGTCTACCCTCTCTTGCCGCCCACATCAGCCTCGATCACCAAAGATCTCTATATCTCCTGGGCGTCGCTAGAACGCTACAACTCTAGACACAGCAGCAAGCTAGACTCTTTGCTACTATAGTCAGTGTCCTCTCTCTGTCCTAGTTACTAACACAAGCAGCTAACCATGGCGTTTAGTACCCACTACCAACCACATACCATGTCCTGGTCGACTAGAATCGGCTTTGGCGCACCCTTCGACAAGGTCGCCGAGCTAGCTCGCGCCGAACGTCCATTGATGATCGCTATACATGGTCTTCCTGGCTGCGGCAAGAGCTATACCCTCAATGAGCTCTCAAACCTCCTTCCCTCTGAGCAATACCTCTTCTTCGAGACTTCGGCTATCCTCTCCAAACTCTCGCGCGGCCTTGATCAGTTCGAAAATGCCGATGCAGAGCACAAATTTGCTCTCCGTGCTGCTACCACACAAGAGATTGCTAGAGAATGCACTGTAGTCGACAATGCAGGCATCGCAACCGGCTTCTCCTATCTATCAGACGAAAGACACATAGAAGGCGCTCAAGATATCGATACCCCTATCGACTGCTCCCGCTACTCGTGCGTCTTGTTTCTGCATGTACCTGTGCAGGTACTGATCAAACGCCGTATGCTTGGTTCTAAAACCACTGGTCGTAAACGTCTGCACAAAACTCATATCGTGGAGATCAATCTGCTATCGCAGTGGCAGGATGATGAGTGCGAGAGGCTTAGGAAATTATGCAAGGAGGGTGGTGTTGCCTTTGAGAAGATTGACATGGGCAAGGTCTCATTCGAAGATATTGCTGAGTTGGTGCGTGGTGTTAAGAAGGAGCGGAAGAGCAAAGAGGAGGCCAAGAAGGAGTAACAAAGCAAGGGTTTGGAGGAGATAGCACATCATACCCCCTGATTTCAGAACAAAATCGTAATCTCTCTTTGGATGTACCTCCTGCTTGTATCAATCTTGTGCATTTCTATAACCATGTGTTAAACCTCCTCTCTCCCTGGAAGATATTCGATGCTTTTTTTTTTTTTTTGAAATGTTCTCAAAACCATGCAGTTGATGTCGGGCTGTAGAAAATCAGAGTTGTTTTTCAAGATTGGGTTGATCTACAGAGATACGTCGGCACGATCAACTTCCTCTGCACACAGTCTAAACCCTAGATGAAACTATGCATTTTGATAGCTTCGTATTTGTCAGAGATGATCTTAAAGATCGGTATAGATCTTTCGAATGATTTTTGGGCTTGATAACACTGTCACCCTGTCCACAGCAATTGATATGAGGAAGGAGCGACCACGAGACTCACAACTGCCTCTACAGACATGTGAAAGTGTTTACGAAGACAGATACAGATTGAGAAACTTCTTTGATTTCATTAAGAGTGTTCGAGAGATGACGACTTTCGCTTTCTTCCCATGCTTCTATGAGTAGTACACTTCCTCATCTCCATTTCCATCCATGAACTCCACTTTGCCAGATAATGCAGCATCAAAGCGAAAAGTCTTACTCCAGCAGACTAGCTTGGTTGGTGTAAAGGACATCAACAACGTTGCTCAGCTTGTCGATCGTGTTCAAGGCAGCGTCGTACTGGGCATCGCGCTCGGGCTCGTCAAAGATCTCGAGGCAGCCTTGTCCTTGGTCGAGGACACCGATAATGACGCGATCCAAGATCATCTGACTCAACTTGTGCTCGACCTGGTGGACATCCAGACCGACCATCTTGGCGATGTGTGCAATCTCGACGCGGCTGAAGGGTTCGATGACCTTGATGAGGTTCTGCTCGAGCATGTTATCATATAGGCGGCGGAGGTGAGTCGCGATAAAGCGGTCGGAGGCGAGTTGATGGCGGTAGTCGGCAAGGGCGGTCTCGTACTCTTCAAGCGAACGGTCGTTGTGGGCTTTGGCGACTTGCTTCATGGCGTCCAGACCCTTGCCACCATACTTGAGGGCGTGCTTTGATTGCATGAGGTTGTTAACGTCGTCGCTGGCGTTGAGCATAATCTTGCACAGAAGCATGTACATGAGGCTGGCGGTTGCCTTCTCAGTCTCGTCCTGGGCGTGGAAGCCATCGAGGGCTTCGATGAAGTATGAGTAGGCGGTGTTGAAGTCACCGTCTTCAGCGTGAAGCATACCACTCTGCATGTCGAGGTTAGCTTGCAACAATGGCGGGCAGTAGACGGAAGCGGCAGATGTGCGAGCGGAAGTGAGGGCAGCGCGACCCTTGGGAACGTTGCCGAGTGCGTGGTATACTCGTGATTCGAGGAGTTGGACTTCGACCAGGACCAGCTTGTCGTCAAGACGCTTCAGCTCCTTGAGCAGACGGTTGATGAGGGTGAGAGATTCGTAGTAGCTTTGCTTTTGCATGTATAGCGAGACCAGCCGTGTCTCGAGGTTCTGGCGCAGGAAACCACGACGTTCTTGAACAGCCCAGTCGATACATGACTTTGTGACGGAGATCTGTGTTTCGAGCGAATCGGGGATGGGTGTGAAGAGGTCGAGCAGTTGGCGCACTGGCACACGAGCAGGTTAGAGAGTGCAGTTGGGTGATGTGACAAGGGCGATACATACCCAACTTGGCAGTCTTTGCCTTTGCGAGTGATGAGAGAACAGCCTTGGTCTGCTGGACAAGCTCGGCGAGGTCGTTTGTGCGGCGGTGATCGCGGTACAGCTCACCGAGACCCATCAAAGCATTCTCGTAGTCGCGAGCAGCGGCATCGGACTTGCCAGGCCCTTGTTCCAGTATGCTCTTGAAGGTCTGTTCGGCCTGTTGGGGGTGGTCCTTTGCCTGCTTCTTTGCTTCGGCGATGCGGGCGGCGGTGTCCTGTTGCGCCATGACGATGTGAGGCGAGAGGGTGTTGAGTGTGATGCTAAGAGAAGATAGAGGCGATCGCTAGGAATGAGCGATGTGCGAGACGAAGAGGGCGACGGTGTAGACGAAATGCGACGATGAAAAGGTTGGATGTTCGGGTGATTGAGCTGGTGCTTCAGGCGTGGATGGATACCTTGAGCTCTCGTCGATGCCATCACTGCTTCACCGACGCCAAGCCTGCGGAGTTGACTTGTCCATTCTCCGCCAAACACTTTCACCAGAACTTGTTAAACTTCTTTGTCATCTTCTCATACATTTTGTATCCTCGGACAATATTGTTCTATTGGTCTATATTTTCATCACCTGTTCCGTGCTGGTTTTCCGGGTATGTTCTCTCCTGATCTTGACCTTGCCTCGAATTTCATATCTATACTTTCTGAGCCCTTCTCGTCCTGTTAGATATGATCGAGCACAACTTGTTCACTGCAGAATGTTGTTTCGAAGTAGTTCATATTACCGCTCTTCGCGGACAGCCTTTGTCTCAGTTCGTCTCCTGCTGTAGAAGTCCAAGGGGGCATAACTAGCAGCGAGCCATCAACCTGCCAGTCCGTGGAACTTGTTGAGGAATAGACAATTCTAAACCCAGGGATTCCACCCGTATGTCTTGGATTCATGAGGCGAGTGTCTGTTGTGCTCTAGAGGTGGCCCCAAGGTCGGTCCAGGAACGTCCTTGCAAGTGCGAGCCAGGAGCATATTTGGGTCAACCCGTCCGACGACTTATGATGTCTGCTGGAGGAGAAGTGAATGTTTGCTGTGGCAATACTCTCTCGGTCTCTCTCGTGTTCATGCAGCAGGAAGCGCTGTTGATGGGGCAGTCACAGGTGCCTTTGCAGCAGAAACCGTGGCCTTTGCATCCTCCTCTTCCTGCGCCTTCATGTTCAGCCAACTCAGATAAGTCTGCCATCCAATAGCAATCACTCCTGCAAACACACTTCTGTTCTGTGGTGGCACAAAAGTAAAGCTGAATGCTGTGACTGCCGGCCACAACTTCCAACTGTTCTTCCAGCTGACGGGCACTGTATCGATGACTCTTTGCTTCGTCTGCTCGAGTGTCTGTCCAGAGAGCAAACTCTGCATGCCAAAAAAGTATGTATTGAAGCATGGTGTGAAGAAGGTCTGGTTGATGACAATCTTGGTCGCAATAGATCTCACATGCGACTTGTAGTTGAAGTGGTTGCCCAGGAACATGAACCACTTGTAGTTTGGTATGGATGATATACCGCCGATTATCAGCGCTCGTAGACCTCGGGACGGGTCATAGGGTTCATCGCTGGCAACTTTCTGGGCTGACAGATCACCCAGGAAGTAAATGACCAGCGTCGTCGATAACTGTGTCATGTACGGCGAACGATCTTGCATGCGACCATATGCCCTAAAGGGTTCTTTCAGTGGCTCTATCCATCCCATTCCAGGTCCTGGGATTGTTGTTGGGCGTGTTGGCACATCTTTGGCTTGGTTTTGAGGCTTCGTCGAGTTGAGTCGTCGTTGACCGTTCAATCGTAGTCGCAATAACAACCTGTTGCCTCGTCCGGCAAGGGTATACGAGTTCATGTTGGTTGATTCTGTCTAGAAGACATCGCGTCATCTTAAAAAGAAGGACTGCAACATTGTTGAGCGAGCTCGGTAGTCGGCTCGGGACTGCGACATTTCGGAGCCGCTATGGCGTGCGCCGGAGATGCTGTCGGCGATAGGCATCAACCTGCCGACGTAATGATGGTATGCATCATCAAGGAATACGCATAAAACAAATCGCTCGATATCGCAGAGAGAGCGTGGACAAGAGACACAAAGTAGAGACACTTACATCAGACCACCAGCGCTTGGATGACATACCGAGCTTCAAGCCGAGGCGCGGATCAGGAGACTGCCAAAAACACATGATAAAAGGAAAACAGATTGCGTACACGAGAAAACATGAAGGGTGTCGTCAAAGGCAAGACGGTCAAGAACATATCACAAGAGATGGGAAGAGGAAAGGTTTGTTGAAGTTGAAAGCAAGAGTACCGGCCGGTCACTCTTGCTGTTGGCATTTCATTATGTTACAATCAATGCTCTCGAGTCTGTGTGCACACTTTCGTGCACTCCCATGATAGTAAAAACCCCGAATCCCATGTCATTCCCTTGCTTGATAAAAAGAAAACTCAGAAGAAAGTCAGAAACCAACGCCGGCCATTCCAATGATGTCCCCCAAAACCATCCATCCTCAAGCTTCTCGTTGGTGGTATATGATGCTGATGGTAGGGAGAGCATCAGAAGTCGTCATGATGGAGGCGCTTAAGAGCGCTCACCACGGAGGCGGCGGGCGAGTTGGATGTCCTTGCTCTGGATGGTGACACGCTTGGCGTGGATGGCGCAGAGGTTGGTGTCCTCGAAGAGAGAGACGAGGTAAGCCTCAACGGACTCCTGGAGAGCACCGATGGCGGAGGACTGGAAGCGGAGGTCCGACTTGAAGTCCTGAGCAATCTCACGAACCAGACGCTGGAAGGGGAGCTTGCGGATGAGGAGCTCGGTCGACTTCTGGTAGCGACGGATCTCACGGAGAGCGACGGTACCGGGCTTGTAGCGGTGAGGCTTCTTGACACCACCGGTTGAGGGGGCGGACTTGCGAGCAGCCTTGGAGGCGAGCTGCTTACGGGGGGCCTTGCCACCAGTGGACTTGCCTGTGAATGAATGTAAGCGACTGATGATGGTAGACGATGAAGCGACGTGATGATTGATGGAAGATGCGGTGGCGTCAAGGCCAAAGACGCGTCAGAACGCGCCCGGGCAGTGAGAGCGACGCGCAGACGGCGGCGGCGATGATGAAGGATAGTGTGCAAGTGATTACTTACGGGCAGTTTGCTTAGTGCGAGCCATTGTAGATGATGACTGTTGAGATGTTGTGTTGGATGGAAGAGATGGTTGTTGGATGATGAGAAAGGAGGAGTAGTGGTGGGTGGGGGAAGTGTACTTATAGGCGTTGGGCGTCGAGTGTGGGTGACTGGAAAATCAAAAGTGAAAGCGCAAAAGATCACGCAGTTTGGGGCTGGCTTAGACACGCAGGAAAGCAGACGCTCCAACTGACAGATTCGCTTGCTTGCTTTGCTTGAGGCAACTTCTCAGATTCGCGGCTTCCTAGTTGGTCCGTGCGCCGTTCCTTCTTGATTCGGATTAGCCAAAATGATTGATCTTGGTTTCCTTCTCAGATCCTCGCTTCAGCCCTTGTGATTTCAACTCGCGTTCCTTTCACGCGTCAAAGTCCATAAACACCTCATCCTCCGCACGAATTAAATCTCCATTCACACTCCCATCTTCTTCCACCAAGCAACTCTATCACATTCAAAGACTTCGTGTCTATACAACAACCTTTCCCACTTTACCTTTAAACAACTTCTATCACAATGTCTGGCCGTAAGTGCTTACCCCGCTCCAGAGCTATTCGCCTTCCATCTTCATACAGCTAACACCTCTTCTCTATAGGTGGCAAGGGTGGCAAGGGTCTTGGAAAGGGTGGTGCCAAGCGTCACCGCAAGATTTTGCGCGACAACATCCAGGGTATCACAAAGCCCGCTATCCGCCGTCTCGCTCGTCGTGGTGGTGTCAAGCGTATCTCTGCCATGATCTACGAGGAGACCCGTGGTGTTCTCAAGACCTTCCTCGAGGGTGTTATCCGCGACGCCGTCACCTACACTGAGCACGCCAAGCGCAAGACCGTCACCTCTCTCGACGTTGTCTACGCTCTCAAGCGCCAGGGCCGTGAGTCATCCCGCCGCCTCTTCTTATCTCATCCAGTCACTGACATTTCTTCTCAGGTACCCTCTACGGTTTCGGTGGTTAAGCGTTTTTCTTTCTTCTTCATGGGTTTCACGACTGCTCTACTGGCCGCATCATTCATCCAGCGGGCCAGGATCGTTATCAATCATCATCAATGGGTTATCGGGATGGGAAGTGTGACAAATCACTCTGCTACTTTGGGGTCAATGCCGATGTACAATCATACAGGCAGGGGAGTTTATGGGAAATGCAATGCAATGATACCAGTTTAATCCTCAACACTTTTGCTACGCAACTTCGTCGTCTTTCTTCTCCCCGTGTGATTCTTGTGAAGTGTCTTCTGCGACGCGTCTCGCGTCTGTCACGTCGCGATATCGAGGCTGATCTGACGTAGTCCTGATCCGTCTAAAGCCATCCTCTTATCAGTCCAATCGTTGTATCGCATCGTCTTCAGTCATGCTTCCAGTACTCGGCATGTTCTTCTGTGATTTATTCGAGTCTTTCTCGTAGCTACAGTTGATGTTCTTCCACATCTCTGCGGACAATGTTCCTCCGCACACCCGAAAGCAGCCGGCAAGCTTGCTTCTTCGCCGTGTGTTCTCCCCGAGATATTCAAATGACTCTTCGTTCATATTATATAGTCTTGCGTAATACACTCATCTTTCCTCTCCCATCATCAATCAAATAAATATGGAAGACGTTCGTGCACTCCTCTTTGATGTTTTTGGCACTTGTGTCGACTGGAGAACGACAGTGACCAACGCCCTGGTTCAACAATGCCGAGTTGCTTTGATGAGAAGATCGGCAATCATCACAAACGATGTTCGGGCCAAAGCAAGTGCAATGAGCACTGAAGACTGGGGTGCCTTTGCGCAAGAATGGAGAAGCAGTTACTACAAATTCACCCGTTCTCTTGCAGCCGATGCATCCCTCAACTGGAAGACTGTGGACGACCATCACCTCGAGTCTCTGAATGAGTTGATGGTCAAGCATGGTCTAGGTCGTGAAGATGGCGAGCTTGGTGGTCTCTGGAATAAAGACGAAGTCAAGGAGATGAGTCTTATTTGGCACAAGCTCGACCCTTGGTCTGATACCGTTGCTGGCCTCAAGGCTTTGAACACCAAGTACGAGACATGCACACTTTCCAACGGAAACATTGCTCTCCTCAAAGACATGCAACAGCATGCCGGTATGCCTTTTAAGCATACATATTCTTCCGAGCTGTTCAACTCCTACAAGCCCAACCCGGCCATCTATCTAGGAGCTGCGAAGAGGCTGGGCTTGGAGCCGAGTCAGTGCGTCATGGTCGCAGCACATCTGGGTGATCTCGAAGCAGCGAAGGGCTGTGGCTATCATACAATTTACGTTGAGCGGTCTCAAGAAGAGGAGAAAGCAAACGAAGAAAAGGCCAGAGAAAAGGGCTTCGTAGATATTTGGGTTGGGATTAATGAAGATGGCTTCGTCTGCGCGGCAGAGAGGCTCGGAATAAGTGTATAACGCGCAAGTCTGCCATGTCCGGGGTGGCACCCTGCTTCGCCGATGTATCAATATGTCACTCGTTCTGCTTGGTTTATTTCATGTTTACTGCTTGTGTTCTCTGGCATTTAGCACCTTATGTATCAAATCGAGGTATCCAATGATTCACCAGATGGCTATTCTTCGAACTTGCTCTTGTTGGATTGATTGTAGTAACATGCAGTAACCTTAGTACAAAGTCAGTAAGCATGCTGGAGGAAACACGATTCGAATCCGAGGTTCAATGATATCTCAGCCAACAACCAATTGATGAGCTTGAAACTCACGCATACACAGTAAAGAGCACATGCCGACATAATGAGTGACTAACTGGCTCAAAAAATGTTGGTGCGAAGCCGTGGTACTGGAAACAAGATAGAAAAGTCGTCGAAATCATTGCTGCTGGTACAACCCTGTCTTTCGCACACAGATCCGAGAGTCAGGATCAGCACTCCGCCAAGCCACAGCCGTCCGTACCGCCTCGCACCGGCCATACACTTTTACTTGCAGCCTCCGCCTCGCTCTCTTGCCCTTGCTCACCATGAGAGGAACTGTACTTGGCAACGCGCGAGCTCCAGGACAGTGGGCCGTGACTGAAGCCGCTATCAGGGAGCAAAATTCATTGGACTGGAGATGATCACACATAGGAAGACTCGCACCGGCTGCGTGCAGTGCAAGAAACGTCGGATCAAGGTGCGTGGACCGAACAATCGTGCTGCTTTTGCGTCAACGTTTTGATAATATTGATTTTTCCGAGACTGACTCGCAATATGATTGGGCTATAGTGCGATGAGGCCAAACCAATATGTGAGAAATGTAGAAGGACATCACGAGAATGCAGTTTCCAGAACCCTCAGCCAGATACGAGTACTCGTGTTGGAGAAAGTTTTACCCTCAAGGAGATGGAACTGCTGCATCATTTCGTCACCCACACGGCCAAAACACTTTCCGACCAGACAGAGCATCAGAATATCTGGCAGACGGCAGTCCTCAAAGTCGCCTTCAAACAGAAATTTCTGATGCATGGTATCCTCGCGGTTGCTGGTCTTCACGTGTCAGTCACGCGTCAGTCTGAAGAAGATGACCTCTCTGTGTTGGCCGCCAATCACCAAGATCTGGCCCTGCAAGGATTCAGATCGGCTCTGGCGAACTTCAATTCAGAGAACTGCGAGGCACTGTTTGCCTCCTCGATTCTGGTCGCGTGCTACATCATCGCATCGTCAGGCACACGTTTCAACCCAAATCTGACCACAGAAAGCATTTTCAACGAGGTGCTACTTAATGCTGTCGTGGACTGGATTCGTCTGTTTAGAGGCACTGATCACATAGCCCGTCGTGGTAAGATGTGGCTTGAGGAAAGCCCTCTTGCGCCTCTGCTCATAGAGAGTTCATTTTGTCAGATCACCGAGCCGATAGACGAAAAGGCTGTCAAAGAAGATGCTTATCTAGTCAGTCTACAGGAACTGTGGCATCCTGGTAGCCCTTCGACCATTGAAGGCATCAGTAATGAAGAAGCAGCTCTATACGACGAGGCGCTGCACTACTTGCGAGAAGCATACGGTCGTATGAGCAGAGCTACAGCCCCGCAGAACACTTGCACATGGTGCTATAAGAAGTCTGCAGACTCAGAAAATGCTCATCAATGCATCTCTCCTATCGTTGCTGGTCTCTATTGGTTCGTGCAGATACCGGCTGAATTTTTCGAGATGGTGGAGCAACACAAGACTGTTGCGCTCGTTCTACTGGTGCATCAAGCAGTTTTGATCAAGCGAATTGGCAACATTTGGTGGAATCGAACGCCAGCAATCAAAGTCGCCAGTTCGGTCTACCAGACGGTATCTCCGGAGTACCATGCTTGGCTGGAGTGGCCAAATCAAGAGATTGAATATGCACCATAGAGCTGCTCTGATCACTCGTCGAAGAACCTTTCATTACCGGACACACACAACTACAGTCACTTTTGACGCTTTGTGTATGTTGTCCACTGCCCGCCGTTTTCAACACGCCGTATCACAACCAATATCCGCCGCCTTGCTCGCTGAGGCTTACCCGACCGACAGAATTCGAAATCCTACTTTGGCATTGCAGTTAGCCCACCGACACACGCCCACCTTACCCAGATGGCTTCATATCAACAAGCTCTCTCTGTTTCGACCGCACGACTGATAGCAAGAATCTAATCTGCGTCGTTGTCGGTGACTTTGGTGCGAGTCAGAATGCCGAGCCCCGCATTGCCTTCTAACGTGGGGATGTGGGGTAGCTTTTGGTCATCAAGAGGTCAATCTCAGTCTATCCCGTTGACCCGAATAACCTTGGACGTAGGCGCGGCTATCTGATCTAGTACTTGTACCTTGCTCTAGGTCGGTCAATCAATCACTTGTGTTCCAATACGCAGCTTTTGCGACAACTTAAGAGATAGTCATGCCGAGTACACACCCTCAAGATGCAGCTTACGCCGCTTCACTCGACTCGCCAGAAACATTCTGGTCTCACGAAGCCAAGCAGTTGAGCTGGGCCGTACCCCCGAAGACCATCATCGAGCGTACTACAAAAACTCTACAATCCGGCACCAAACATCAACACTGGAAATGGTTTCCAGACGGCGAAATTTCGACATCCTACAATTGCGTGGACCGTCACGTCGACGCCGGAAACGGACAGCGTACGGCCATCATCTGGGACTCGCCTGTGACAGGCACGCAAGAGAAGGTCAGCTATGCTCAGCTTGCAGAAGAGGTCGCAATCCTTGCTGGTGTATTGCGTGAAGAGGGGGTGAAGAAAGGAGATGTGGTTTTGATATACATGCCTCAAATACCTGCTGCCCTCATCGGCATACTCGCTACTGCCAGACTTGGTGCTATCCACGCCGTCGTTTTTGGCGGGTTCTCAGCACCGAGTCTGGCACAGCGCATCGATGCTTCTAAGCCTCGAGTAGTCCTTACTGCCAGCTGTGGCATCGAGGGTGCAAAAGGCCCACTACCGTATCAACCTCTGGTACGTGGTGCTTATGAACATTCCAAGCACAAGCCAAGTAAAACCATCATCTGGCAGCGTGAACAGAGTAGATGGGATCCTGTCGTCAAAGAGGACGGCGAACGCAACTGGCAGCGACTAGTCAAGAGCGCGAGAAATCGTGGCTTGAAGGCAGAGAATGTTCCAGTCAAGAGTAATGATGGGTTGTACATTATCTACACCAGCGGTACGACTGGCGCTCCGAAAGGAGTGTTACGTGAGGCCGGTGGTCATGCTGTTGGTCTGAACTGCAGTATGCGCTACTTGTTCGGCATTCAAGCTGGCGATGTCATGTTTTGTGCGTCTGACATTGGCTGGGTGGTTGGTCACTCCTTCATCTGCTACGCACCGCTACTGGCAGGTGCGACCACGGTTCTATTCGAAGGCAAGCCTATTGGTACACCAGATGCTGGCACTTTCTGGCGTGTCATCGAACAGCACAAGGTGAATGTGATGTTCACTGCGCCAACAGCCCTTCGAGCTATTCGTCGTGAAGATGGACAGCATAAATTCTTCATTGAGAAAGGCGAGAGGAACGGACTGAGATCACTACGAGCGCTGTTCTTGGCCGGCGAGCGTAGCGAACCAGCTGTCGTCAACGACTACACAAAGTTGTTGCAAAAGTATGGTGCTCCTGGTGCTGCAGTCGTGGACAACTGGTGGTCTTCGGAATCAGGTTCACCGATGACAGGACTAGCACAGCTGCCATCTTCATGGCACAACGGCGGTGGTGATAAGCAAACCAAGCCTCTTGAAACAAGACCAGGAAGTGCAGGAAAGCCAATGCCTGGATTTGATATCAGAGTAGTTGACGATGATGGCAACGAGGTACCGCAAGGAAAGACTGGCAACATCGTTCTCGGCATGCCACTTGCACCTACCGGATTCACGACACTTTGGAAGGACGAGAAGCGCTTCTACAACGGATACATGCTACGATTTGAGGGCAAGTGGCTCGACACAGGTGATGCTGGTATCATTGACAAAGATGGCTACGTTCATATCCATGGTCGTAGTGATGACATGATCAACGTTGCTGCACACAGGTTGAGTACTGGTACGTTTTCAAGATCATGATGTTTGCAGAAGCAATAAACTGACTCTATTTTTACCAGCTACACTCGAACAGGCCATCTCATCACACCCTGCAATCACAGACAACTGCGTTATCCCAGCCCCGGATGCTCTCAAAGGACACGTACCATTCGCATTCGTCGCCCTTTCGCCGTCAGCGGGATCGATTCCAGAAGGCGAACTGCTCTCTGCCATCAATTCGCGAGTCAGAGCAGCCGTTGGTCCCATCGCTACTCTGGGAGGTGTCATCATAGCACAGGGAGTTATCCCTCGCACAAGAAGTGGAAAGACTCTACGCAGAGTACTGAAGCAGATGGTAGAGGATGCAAGCGAAGGCCACTTCGAAAAAGAAGTAGAAGTGCCAGCAACGATTGAAGATGCGGAAGTTGTCGAGAGAGCGAGAAAGGCGATCAAGACTTATTTCACTAGGAAGAGCAAGCTGTAAAGCATGTGTCCTTTGACATGTTTGTATGAACAGTTTCTGTATGGGTCATGAATTAATTGCATTTTCTCTTTCTTATGTTGCGTCTTGCTTGAGCTCAAGAACGCCGCGCGTTCGCCCAAGACCCTGTCGCTCGGGTCCTCGGCCAGCGGCTGAAGAAGCCGAAAGCGGAAGTCGCGGATCTCTTACACAAATGACGTTTACTTTGTCTCTATAAGTGGCGAAGGCAGCGACTATAGACAAGGCAGTTGTCAAGACGAAAGAGAGGCAGAACACGTACAATAAAGTGGCTGTGTTTTGGAAACAGGTGGTACGATGGAGAAGAAGGCCGTTCCGTGGCTAGAACTCGAACGGCGAGGTCAGTCAGTAGAGGGCTTGGTAAACTGCGCCCAGAGGCTTGGAGCTTAATATCAAATGCGACGGTGACAACGACGTGCCCTCTTTGGTCTTCCTCTTTTACCTCCATTCTCCGTATTCTGTTCCGTTGCTGCTGTCGTCATTTCCACTTCTTCAGCTCTGGGGTTGACATATACATTCGCGTCCTCGTCGCTCGACTGCTGCTCTCCATATTTCGATATCAAGGTCCTGTTGTCGCATAGTGCTTAAGACCCTTTCGCCCGGACGAGCATCTCGCGCCTTTGTCAACCAGACACCTCAATTCGAAAACCATACACCATGGGTCAATACGTACGCGATCGCAACTGCTCTCACCCAAAGACAGCATATACTAACACCACACGCAACAGGACGCACCCTCGGGCCCACCACCCAACTACACCGGCCCCGCCCACAACAGCGGCGGCGAAGCAGCATCCTACTACGGCAACTCTTCCACTCCCGCCCCGCCCCAAAACAGCTACTATCCACCTCAACAAGGCTACTCATCGCCCGCGCCTGACGCAAACCGTGGCTACATGCCTCCTCCTCAGCAGGGATACCCACCTCAAGGATACCCGCAGCAAGGATACCCGCCGCAAGGACAGCCTATGTATTATCAGCAACAGGGTTACCCGCCGCCGCAGGGATATGTGCAGCAGGGTGGTGGTAGCTCGGCAGGAGGTATCTGCGCTGGTGTCATGAGTGCGTTGGCGTGTTGTTGTTGTTTGGACATTTTGTTCTAGACGAGCGAGAAACACAGAAAGAGAGATGTGGCACAAGCGGAAAGTGAGAAAGGGCATACAGCCATGCTGCGCTTCTCGTTTTCAGTTTGTACGTCGAGGCGTTCAGGGAGTGATCTGGTATGATATCAAGAAGGACTGGATTCTCATTTCGTTCACAATTCCCGAATCTGAGAGGGCGGGCTGTTTTTGCGTTTCAGGGTCGGGTCTGCATATTGGCTTATATGTTTTGTAGTATTAATTCAAGATTGCTTTTCTTCCACAATATATCTACATTACACGTTTCTATGTTTTTACAACCCACCAGCACGATCTTTTAGGGCTTACGCTGATCTAGGTGACAGGAATGTTTCTGACCAGGTAGTCGCGCCATTGAGGCAGAGTGCGCTTGTTCGGTGTGTTGGAACTGGCCTGCAGATCCTCAATCGCTGATCCCCACTTGACAAGCTTGTCCTCTGCGAAAGCCGTCTGCATGAGTGCCAGACCGAACGGCATACCATTCTCATGGGTGCCGGCGGGCAAGGTCAGCATAGGGTAACCGGCCTGAGCGGCAATCTGAGGTGCTTGAGCGACATCCGGAGGAACCAAGATACCATCGAGCTGGGTACCGTTAGGGCCCATGGCGAGAACAGCATCGATACCTGCCTCGCGAGTCGTGTAGCGGCAGAAGTTGAGTGCGGACCAGTAAGTTGCGTTCATCTCTCCCTTAGTGGCTAGCGAGGCTAAGAAGCCATCTTGACCGGAAGTGAATGCAGGGATACCGCTGCCGTTGGCATAAGGGTAGCCACCCTCAGTGCCGTCGTTGTCGTAGTTGAACTGTACGAGATCCTCGAGCGAGCGAATGTTCGTGTTGTTCAGATCGGCAAGGTAGGTGCGGATGTTGTTGTAGAAATCGACCTTGATGTAGGTGTACTCGCTCTCATTCGGGAAGCCGCGAGTGCTGCCGTAGTCCCAGTTCCAGCCGTCAGGAGAGACAATGGTCTTGTAGTATGGAAGCTCAGTGTTGTTGACGATGGTCGCACCGGCAGACTGGATCAAGGAAACCAATTCAAGGAGGACCTCCTGCTCGTGAGCGTCGGCGTAGACCCAGAAGCTGTTCCATGGAATGCCGAAAGTGGCTCCCTTGAGTGCAGTCCGATTGGTCAAGAACTGTGCATAACCACCCTTAGGTGTCTTGCCAATCTGAGCAGAGGTCTGATTGTCGTGAACATCCACACCGTAGATGGCGTCGAGGACAGAAGTCACATCGCGAACAGTCTTGCCAAAAGCACCAACAGTGTCCTGGTTCAAGGATTCAGGGATAACGCCTCCACGCGAAGTCAGGCCAACAGTTGGTTTGAAACCAACAATGGCATTGCGCTGAGCAGGGTTGATAACAGATCCGTCGGTTTCCGTGCCGAGAGCGAATGGGAAGACGTTGGCTGCTACACCCACACCACTTCCAGAACTGCTACCTCCTGGGTTGACCGTAAGGTTGTAGGCACTGTTTTCCAAGTCAGTGAGATCTGCTGAAAGATGGTGATGCTCAAGGAAACGGGATCTACCTTCGGCATTGTCCACCACGACCAGAGTATCCTTCCGAATAATAGTTGGAGCGCATGTCTGCCCACTCGGAAAGAGTAGCTTTACCGAACAGCACAGCACCAGCTTTGCGAAGATTGCTCACTACGTATGCATCGCGGGGTACAATGTTTCCTTGCAAGGCCCACGATCCAGCGGTCGTCTGCATCTTGTCCTTAGTGGCGATGCTGCGACATGGTTAGTTCAGAACATGAAACGGGCAGCCCAGAGTCGTACTTGTCCTTGACCGCAAACGGAATACCATGCAGAGGACCACGGACCTTGCCATGGCGGCGCTCCTCGTCCATAGCTGCAGCAATGTCGAAGACATCTGGATTGACCTCGATGATCGGACTGTACATTGATCAGTTTCGTTTCGGATCTTGGCTACCGTAGTCACATACTTGAGGTAGTCGCGAGTCTGGAAGAGTCTCTGCAGATAGCAGCTTGTGAGCTGAACAGATGTGAGGTTCCCAGAGGTCATGTACTCTTGGATCTCCTCAATGCTCTTCTCTGCAATCACAAAGCCGTGACATGATGGCATAGGGAACAACAGCTCAGTGTCGTTGACATCTTGCAGCAGAGGGAAGCCATATTCTGGATAGTCCTATGTCTCTGTTCAGCTCGAGGATCGCTCTGAAAGACGTTGTTACCCGTCTGGAAGACTCACGAGGGAAGCGTTGTGAAAGCTACGAGTAGCGCTGGTCGAACCAACCACGATCGCAGCTGCGACACAGTTGACGATCTGCATCTCCCCTGTTGCAGTGAATTTCGAAAGACCCCTGCAGGTGAATGTTATCAGGAGGGAACTCGATGTTGGGCTTTTGAGAAATTAAAGGTCAACTTGGCAGAGTTGCCTACACATGGAACAATGGACTGATCGACGAGAGCATTTGTTGAAGCACGTACCTCGTGAAATCCTCGCGAACAGTTTGGCGCAAGCCGTCTCGGGAGAGGCAGGGATCTGAAGGGCCGTCGAACTGGTCCGTCGAAGTTTAACAGGCTTCGGGCAAAGGCTGCCGAACCAGCAGCGCTGCTGTGTGGAGGCATGATCAGATGTCCGGCTTCAAGGTTTGCCTAAGCTGCAACATTATTGCCACATGAGTGGACCTCCGTATCGCGATACCGTTCAGCCATGCCAACGTTCCCTGAGCGTCCGAAAAGTTTGAGAAGGCCCGAGACCTTCACGCTGCCAAATATGGTGGTAATGGACTGGGCCCCTTGATTGTGCAAATGACTGTCCTAGCATCCTATCGCAGACCCCTCCCTCACGCATGATTAATCTATCGCGTGGATCCCAGCTTTGATCCGCATCTTGCATAGCACTGTCACTTGCCCTGACACCGCCGTCATGGTCGCTGCCGACGTCGCGCAGGCCTACGCTGACGGACGAGTACCCACGAACATATCATACATCACGCCTGATTATCTGAGCCAGTCGCGCGATGGACCGGCTATATCAGGGATTCTGGCAATCTACATCATCACCACTGTTTTGCTCATTTGCCGGTTCACCTCTCGAATCTTTATTGTCAAAAGTTTCGGGCTCGATGACAGCATTGCGGCCTTCTCCTGGGTTTGCTATACGGCCTTCATGGCCCTCTGTCTAGTTCTGATCTATGAAGGCAGTGGTCGGCATATTGCTTACATCCAATATGTACTCACTTTGCCCGAGGTCGAAAAGACAGAGGTGGTCGACTACGCAGCGCACCTGATCTACACAGCGACCCTGTACTTCTGCCGGTTGAGTGGTCTCGCTTTCTTCTCGCGCATTTGTAGCACGCATCCGACTTTTCGCATCGCCATCTGGGCTTGCGGTGCATTTTTGACTGCAGCTTTCATCGTGCAGTTTCTTCTCATCCTTCTGCATTGTCTTCCAGTGTAAGCAGCACGACGTTTCTGATACCTTTGAATGAATATTGACGCGGACGCAGCACTGGTTTGTGGCCATATGCATGGGTACGTATGCAAATGTACATGTATCACAAGTTAGCAAGCACCAAATGGTGTCCTGGGTTCGGTCTCACAGCTCGAACTTCACGGGCTCTTCGTCCTACGAGCACTGTGATAGTATGCCGTTCTTTGCATAAGAAAAATGCTGACTTGTGCCCTTGTCTTTTAGCAAACGACCTCAAGAACGTACAAATGTCTCAATTGGGGTGTCGTCTATGTGACCAATTCAGGCTTGTCTTTGGTCAACGATATTTTTCTTTTCAGCATACCGATAGCAATGATCTCAGTTCTGCAACTTCCCAAAGGTCGCAAGATCATGCTGACTATTGTCATGCTTCCAGGAACACTTGTCATTGGGTAAGTCGAAAGCTTGAGGAAGCCATCCGTATAGGTACTGATTGATTTGGCAGCATCTCATGTGCACGACTCTGGCTCTGCGTGGTTGGCCAATGGCGAACAGATGGCTCCTGGTACTATGACCCACAACTGGTCATCGAGGTCGCAGAGATCGGAGGCACTTTGATTGCTCTGTCAGTCCCTAGCTACAAGCCGATCTTGAGCAGGTGGTATGATCGCATGAAGAGTACTGTCGAAGCCTCCCATGGACCCAATTCGAAGTACGGCGATGGAATGTCAAGACGCAAGAGTTCGGTCCCAGCACTCTGGGGATCGCAAGTAGCGGACTCAAAGCTGAAGACATCCGTTCAGAGCGGCGGGAAGACAACAACAGGGTCCAGAGGCTCATCAGACAACAGTCTGCTCAATCCGGATGACAACATCTACGTGACGACGGACGTTGATATGAGGTCGATCCCGATGGCTAGATTGAGGACGGATAGCGAGTGTTGAGACAGTAATTGATGTAACATATGGCGAATACTAATCTGGCCATATTATGGGCTTTCTGGATAGCGCAAGACCGACAAGCAGAGAACAGAGCAAGAGCGATAAACTGCTTGAGTCTTCCATGAGTTGAGATAGACGTTGTGGGAGCTGGAACCGCAAGACGGTCCATGCCCGATGTCGAATCAACCCCGCAGCCCGCTGCGCGGGCGCGTCAAACGTGTCCGAGCAGTTTGGGAACGGATTCACCGTTTACCAACATGCTTCTAATGGTGATACATGGAGAAGAAGAACTTTCGTGGAAGCAGTCAAGAGCGTATAGTGTGCCCACGTCCGCGATACAAGGTACTCAAGTTCTCGTGAAAGTGATTATCGTGATGGTTTTGAAACAAGTCGCGTAGCAAGTAGTCTTACCAGCCACCCCAGCCGCCTCTTGCAGCAACACTACGTAAGTAAGACCAGAACCTGTATCTCGGTCGTTTGCATTTTTCTCTCGTCTCGTCATTCTCATTCACTTGTCGATACCTCATCTGCGTCTGGCTTTCACTCTCTCTTCTTGCACCGACTCTGGGCATCTTATCGTCAGCCAGCTGCGTTCACAACTATTCCGAACCAATCGCATTGAATCAAGCGGCGCCCACTGAGCCTTGCTCACTCACCTTCTCCGAGCGTCATCTACATTGAAGCGAGACGGATACATACAGTCGTCCGACCTTTACTTCTGAACCACAAAAATCACCTCTACACATCTCGGCCCTCATTTACGGTAGCACCTCCCCCATGGAAGCAAGAACCGCCAACGCCATGTCGGTGCCCTGGATCCTTGTCAAGAGAGCCCTGCCAGGCATTGTTGGGCGCCAAACAAGCCAGCCACATTTCTTGACAGCAAGAGACGGCATGGTTGCCATTCCAACAGTCTACTATGGTCTCGACAGTGGCCCTGGTGCTGGTACTGTCGTCGGCGCAACACTTGGATCAGTCGCTGGATTTATCCTGCTCGTCTGGCTCATTCAAACTCTCGCAAGCGGTCGTAACAAGCAACCCGATGAAGAAGTCATCATCCGTCACGAACGCTCGCCCAGAAGACGCCGCAGATCGGAGATGCGCTCTGTCAGCAGGGGACCCGAACGCATCATTCGTCAAGAAAGAATTGTCAGAGACTCGAGCCGTGCACCGCCACCCATGAGAAGCAGTTTCGTTGTCGAGCCTGAGAGAAGAGTCGAGGGAGATGACATTGTCGAAGTCATCGAGGAGCAGTCCAGCGTCGCACCGAGAAGGAAGAGCAGTCGCAGAGGCAGTGGAACATACCGGTCAGTAGACCCTCTGTTGTATGGCGATCGAGGCTATGCACGCAGAGATGCGTACTAGTCTTGAAGCGTCTATTTCCTATCTGCAGCAGGCTAATGTGCCTTGGTAGACACAGATGAACGAGGACAAAACGAAACTCGAATTAGCTGCGTGCTCGAAGCGCTCTCCCTTGCAACGCAACAAAGCTTGACTTCCGACATTCGACCGGAGTGTATGATAATAGGAGCATGGCGTTTTGGCTTTGGTGGATTTGCTGCATATGAACAATGGGAGTCGAGAGGGCCTTCTACGGAAGGCGGTGTCATAGGCGTTCGCTGTTCTCACTTTTTTCCTTTTCTTTTCTTTTTCCCTGCTGATCGTCAGTAGCCGCAAATACCCCTACCTTTGCTCAATTAGACTCGACTGTTTTTTTTCCCTTTCTGCCTAGAATGACTGTTGCTCTTCTTCATGTGATGTGTCGATGAAAATGGTCATGAGGAAGAAAGGACTGGTGACAAAGACATGGATGGGCAGCTTCCCCAGATTTTGAGTGACGTTGTGTTTGAACTTTCTCGTCGGGCAGGCACGACTCGGCGAGGCCGCCTGTCAACGTTGCATCTCTGAGACCACAACTTGCTCTTTCCCAAGCAGTCACCTCTTGACAACAGCTTGCTCCTTCTCACTTTGCTGCCTAAGCACATACAAAAGGCGGACCGCAGTCATGTTCAATCGTAACAACATACCAAACCCGTTCGGAAGCAGCGGCCAGCAACAGCCCCTCCCACCGCGCCGCCCTCAGCAACCCCCACCGACATATCAAGACCAGAAGACTTCCAGACCAGCGCCTAGAGCAATGAGACTACGTCCATATCAGCTGAAAGAGTCGGCTTTTGTCTTCGGCAACATGTCAGTCTCTGTCGTTCTCTGAACCTTGCCCTTCACACCTCCTGTTGCCCAAGACTTCAAGCTGACCTCTGTCTGTATTTTAGTTGCGCCGTATCGCCTCAAGACTTCGCACCGAACCCCGATGGTAGCGATCTCTACCTCCTTATCAATGGCTTCTTCGTCATCTCAGCCCGCATCAAAGATGGTTTCCCTGCCGGTCACATTAGCATGTCTGACCCTCAACGAACATGGATGCAAATCGCCCTGACCGACGAGATTGACGTTCAGTTCTACGACGCCTTCGCCCAGGGTGCTTCAAGTTACCTTGGTAACCTCGATATTGAAGTCGGATTTGCCGGAAGAAAGTCAACAGAGACACCCTACGATCAGGATCAGCTTGCCGCTGCTTTTGTCAAGAACTTCCGCAACCAGATCTTTGCCCCTGGCCAACAACTGCTCATGGACTACCAAGGCATTCCTCTACGTATGGTAGTCAAGACGGTTGAACTGGTTGACTTGTCTATGAAGAGCGAGTCCCAAGCTCCCTCACCAGACCCGCGTTCTCGCGGCATTCTGACACAAGAGACACTCATCAACTACTACAAGGACATTAAGACCGGTATCAACATCAAAGGCTCCAACCGTCGTCCAGCTGCCAACTCAGTCGTCCGACCCGACTTCAAGTTTGAGAACATGGGCATTGGTGGTCTCGACACTGAATTCGCTGCCATTTTCCGTCGTGCCTTTGCCTCAAGAATCTTCCCGCCCGGTCTTGCCGACAAGCTCGGTATCCAGCACGTTCGCGGTATCCTCCTCTACGGTCCTCCCGGAACCGGTAAAACCTTGATTGCTAGACAGATCGGAAAGATGCTCAATGCTAGAGAGCCAAAGGTCATCAACGGTCCTGAAGTCCTGAACAAATATGTTGGTCAATCCGAAGAGAACATTAGAAAGCTCTTTGCAGACGCCGAGAAAGAGTACAAGGAAAAGGGAGATGAGTCTGGTCTACACATCATCATCTTCGATGAACTGGATGCCGTCTGCAAGCAGAGAGGCTCCGGAGCTGGTGGCGGTACTGGTGTTGGTGATAGCGTCGTCAACCAGTTGCTGTCCAAGCTTGATGGTGTTGACCAACTGAACAACATTCTGCTTATCGGTATGACTAACAGAAAGGACATGATCGATGAAGCGCTTCTCAGATCTGGTCGTCTCGAAGTTCACATGGAGATCTCATTGCCCGACGAGCACGGCAGAGCCCAGATCCTCAAGATTCACACCACCAAGATGCGCGAGAACAATGTCATGGGCGACGACGTCAACATTCAGGAGCTCGCTCAGTTGACACGCAACTTCAGTGGTGCTGAGATCAGTGGTTTAGTCAAGAGTGCCTCAAGTTTCGCCTTTAATCGTCATATCAAGGTCGGAACACTGGCTGCAGTTGACGAGAAGAACATCGCCAACATGAAAGTCATGCAGCAAGATTTCTTGAACGCTCTCAACGAAGTGCAGCCTTTGTTTGGTGTCTCTGAAGAAGAACTTGACCGCTGTGTTGAAGGCGGTATCATCCACTTTGGCAAGCACGTCGACAGCATTCTTGAGCGCGGTCGTCTCTTCGTCAACCAAGTTCGTTCTGGAGATACACCTCTACTTTCTGTGCTGCTCTACGGTCCTCGCGGAAGCGGTAAGACTGCGCTGGCAGCAAAGATGGCACTTGATTCGGAATTCCCCTTCATCAAACTCATCAAGCCTGTGGACATTGTTGGCATGAACGAGATCCAGAAGATTCAATATATCCAAAAGGTCTTCACAGATGCATACAAGAGTCCTCAGAACGTTCTTGTTCTAGACAACATCGAGCTGCTCATCGATTGGGTGCCAGTAGGACCTCGCTTCAGTGCAAGCGTGCTGGCTGCCTTGAAGGGCATGATGCAAAACAAGCCGCCAAAGGGCCGACCACTACTTATCTTCGCTACAACATCCTCGCGCAGTGTGCTGCAACAGTTGCAGCTTGAGTTCTCAGCACAGGTTGCAGTACCCAACGTTCAAACACAATCTGAACTGGCAGTCATCATGAAGCAGAGTGGTGTCTTCAGTGATTCTGACATCAACCGCGCGATGGGAGAGATCGAGGAGACGACGGGCTCCAAGACCATCAATGTCGGAGTGTCGAGCATATTGCTAGCCATCCAGACTGCCAAGCAAGACCAAGACAAGACTGGCAGGTTTGCTGAAGTGCTAAGTGAGATGTGTGCGGATAATGCGGTTATGTAGAAGTGTGTAAAACGAGCCACCAAGACTAGATATCCTTGAATAGTGTAGACCTAGGCAAACTAGTATCATAATAATGCGATTATGCCGCCCAATCCTTCGGCTCTTTCGCTGCAATCTGCTATCTCTATAAGTTTCTTCTGTCACTGAGAATAAAAGAAATGACGGGGTAATGCGGAGCTGTCGCCTACTCGGCCTCACAATGATCCCAAGAGACTTACAGGTCGCAGATGGATACATACTGAGATTACCTACCTAGTTGAGAGAGCCGGGAGTCTTGATGCTCGCTCCGAATACGAATCAAGTAACTGCAAAGTAGACCTTTTGAGGAAGCTTCGATCAGTAGCACATACACGGAGAATTAGGGCAAAGCGATTTTCGCTGCTGTCCAATCTCTCTTGCAGTTGCCCGGGTTTTCAATCATGCCTAATCGCTTCATCTCCCGTGGAGGCTTCATTCGAGATCCTTCGAGAGGCCAAAGGGGGCCATACGAATCGGCTTCTCGCGCCATAACACAGTTGGAAAAAATTTCTTCTAGTGCACGAGCGCACAGCATTAGCGGTGGCAGCAGGTTCCGAGCGCGCGAAATCTAAGGTATTTCTCTGTCCTCTACTTGCATGTGACAGTCAAGGAAGGACGAGGTCCTCTTGGCCATCAAGACTAACTTTCGACGGAGCAAATACGAAACGGGCGAATTGGTGCGAAAAGAAAAATGGTCAATTGATTCTTCTGGAAATGTGAACATCATGATACATTAAAGAAAACGAAGGAAGACTGGATCTCGTATTTGGAAAGGAGAAGAAGGTAACTGTTGGCGAACGAGTGCGAAAAAGAACGACAAAGACACCTTTTTTGGAGTAGAGTTGAGGTTACATGTAGTACGTGTAAATCAGCTGAGGGCTTGGCAAGAGAGGAACTCGGCCACGTCGTTTATCTCGCGAAAGCAGCTCGACATGGTAATGATGTGATTCACGAAGCCGGAAATGCAACCTTGGGTTTAACAGAGTTGCGACCGATTCTTGCGTAGTTACATGCGAGTATGTGGTTGTCCGGTTCTCACTTGCGGCCAAGGAATGACGATGGAGGGAGGGCACAGCCGGATTCTCCGTCCATGTCTGTACTACTCGGAGTACTGCATAAGTACTGTACCTTTGCAATTCTCAGCACATATCATTTCCGCATTCAGAGATCACAAGAACGATCGTCTTGAAAAACATTGGAATGAGGAAGGAAGACGAGCGTGAGGGCCACGTGCAGCCACGAGTGAGCATGAGGTGATGGACCTCTTTTTTGCCTGAATGCAGTTGTATCCTTGTCGCCCATCTTGCTACTCGGATACACAAAGACGACTTCTTTGTCCTTGTGTCTCCTCTCCCATTGCTGGAACCACCAACACAAAGGTCTAAGCCACTGGATTTTCCTGCACCTACGTATGTGCGATCATCTTTCCGTTGCCCGACATCAGTGCAAGCCCGACTTTTCCGTCCAAGACATCATACATACCCACTGAATGTGTAAAGCTCGCTTCGAAGAGAGCATGAGAGTCGTCGTCATATCTTGTTCTTCTTTGCCACATATTGACGACAGTCACACGGAATGATTTGTCTGCAACAAACTTGCCTCAAGTCAACTTCGGTCGCCATAGCGCCCTGCTTAGGCTCCTCTACAACAGCATGCAACGATGCAAACCCGGTAAACGTCCCCCAAGAGCGGTGAGGTGTCCCTGCAGAACGAGGTAAAGAGATGCTGGTAGACTCGCAGCAGCGCAATGCGTGAGGCGGCGCCTCTGCGGGAGTCACCGTCCACCTCCAAGCGCGTACCGATGCAAGCCTCGTCAAAAGTCAAGTGTCCAAGAAGGTTGGAGGGTGGACGAGGATCAAAACATGGCTGGCTGCCCTTCAAACCGTAACGATTCAAGAACTTCAAAGTCTAGACCCACAACAATCTTAACACGGGAGGTTGCTTGCTCCCAAAGCATCGAGACCTGTAAAGTCGTTTATCGAAAAGAGTGTGTATGACGGAAGGCCCTGCCTCGCGAGAAGCCACGACGGGTTAACTGTTGTGTTTCAAGTTGATCGAAAGAGAAGTCCACACACACCCCAGCCCAACGGGAGGCGCGCGAGAACGGGCGGCGCGTAAGACAGGTTGAAGTGATTCGGAAATTTGATCTCGCCCCTGCTTGCGCTTAAGCTGCTGCTGCTGGATGGAGCTCAACTCCTCGACGGCTCTCTCGGACACGGTCCACTGCTCAAGCAACCGCACCGGCCCTGCGCAATAACGGCTACTGTAAGTTAGGTGAAGCTTGTATTTGTCGGTCACACCGCATCGAGAGAGCTCTTCCGATCCAAACAGATAAAGCAGTGAGCATCTTTCGGTAGCATGTTCGCTTTTGGGCAAAATGATGTGCAACGCCACCATGTGGAAAAGGCATCATCCTTGCAGAGATGGAAAGAATGTACCTGATTAGCGTAGGACGTACGCAAAAGCGCAGAGACCACGAGTGCTACTTGGGTTGATCTGTTTGTCGATCCTCTCGTGCGGCTTGCGCGAGTCGCAACGTGGAGTTACCTTTTAGATATCGCACGAAGCGAGAAAAGAGTTCAAGCCTTGGACTGGGGTGCAACGGCCTGTCAGCAACCTTCTTCGCTTGCTGCTGAAAGTCGAGCCGTGAAGGGGGCTCTACGCGAGAAGATCGCTGAGATGTCGCACACTTCTTCCAACGGTCAGTCTAACGTTCGCACAGCCTACTGCTGCTGCTTGCCGCGAAAACCGTTCAGACGGTCGGATTTACTCTGCTTGTCTCATCCGGCTTAGGAAGGGCCCGATGGCTGAACACGGACGGCGGGAAGTCCCTTGTTTCGTGTTCACCACGGCTGGATACGAATAGTTCGCAAGAAGATGACAGCGGACATGGAACAAAGAAAGGCACGAGACATGATCAAAGCTCGAGTGCGGCTGCACGTAATGACAACCCACCACTTCAAGAGTGACTCGTGCAGAAATCGAGAACAAGGGCATCTTACGATTGTGGAGAAGCTCATCTGGGACATCGCAAGCCACAAACCCGCAGGAAATAAAAGGCCCGCCATCATTTTGTCGATATTAGGAAAGCGCCTTGTCGGCTGGCCGATGCGATGGAGTTTCCACACGCCCAGCATTTTTAATATATACCTTGTTGAGAGCTCGTTCAAGCAAGCAAGAATGGCCGACAGCCGTTTCCAATGATCTGAACAAAGACGTTCTTTGCGATCCGAGGAGTCAGGGCTCGTCGGATCGAAAGTGATCAGCATGTGTTTTGACTGTCAAGGCTAGCCGCATGAGCATCGAAAAAGTCTCGTCTTGTCTATGGGTCCTGCAAAGTGTGTGGTTCAACTAGGCAGGAGCGTGCACAAGGAATGAAGTGATTGCGTGGTTTCTCCAGTTTTGAGCAGCTTGCAATTTCCCGGAGCTGCCGCAGTTCGCCAATATGTGTCAAGAGCTTGAAAGAGGTCATGAATCAACTCTCAATTTCGATGTCCCACTCTTGCCGAACCCAAACCCAAAACATGGCGAAGGACTGTTAGTTTGGGTCTTTCTTGGAGCGATGTGATGACATGCAGGGTGAGCACAGGTTGGGTTCTTGCTTAGACCTCACAACCTTGCGGAACAAGCGATGGCTAAGACGCCACTTGATTCTTGCGTATTGCCAAAGAGGAAAAGGCTACTTTGTTGTTCGTAAAACGGCTCCATGGCCCTCTATCTGAACAACCCTCCGGATTGAAAACTGATGGACCGTTGATGTTTCACGAAGACGTTCTGTCTACCTGCCTGCCTCTATTGTTTGATCCCATACGCGAGCTTGCTCGATTCTGTTGTGTCGAGAGACAGCAGATGGTCCGAGAGAGTTGCCATACTTATTAAGTGGACGCTATCTTCACGTAAGAAGCTCTAATGAGTTGTAGTCCTCGAGCCAGCCCTTGAACATACATCAAAAGAGGATATTCAGACCCGAGCACCGACCCCATCACCATCATCAGCATCACATCATCATTATCATCCACACTCGTCGCGCCCAATTGTTCTTCTCGGCATATCAGACGCGCGCGCCGGGGCTCAATAATCAGCATTCATTAAATTTCTTTGGTCGCCCTGACCCGAAGGAAAACAGAGTGCTGGTGTTACATAGCGCATACAGCAGCTGCACTTGGTCTAGCCTGAACCAGTCATCGGGTTGTCCCTTGACGAGCGTGAAAGCATCCACCGAGCGGCGGCCAGACCTGCCTTTTGATCGCGCGAGCTCCAAAACCCGGTTGCGGGCTAAAGCTGACTAGTTGCAACGGGTATACTAAGGCGAACGAATCAGTGTACCGATCTGCATCTGCATCAACATCACAACCCCCCTCCAGGGCAAAAGCAGGAGAGACGTCACGCAGCACACTCTCTTTCCCAAAAACTGTATGTTGCGCCCCCAGTCCTTTTTCTACGCCTTTAAATTTTTATTTTGGGCCGAACCCTCTCTCTTGCACATTTCCACATCATTTCCTTTTAACCTTTGCTTGTGCCTGTCATTCTGAAACCACCTTCCCTGCCCTCGGATCGGTTCTGCTGTATATACCAAATTAATGCTCGGGATCGATCTGGTTCATTAAACCCAACCCCGGACCCGGACTAGTCGTACGCTCGACCATGTTGCTCACATTATCGCAGCCCGGGAAATCAGATTTTGGTGCACGTTCTACGCATGACTTTAAATCACCTCCGTTGCCCAGATACTCTCCAAAGTCTGTGATGAACGACGCTGTACGACCTCCACTGCCGGCCAGTATCACCCCGACCATGTCCAACCAACACAGAGGCTTGCCTCCACCAGCGGCCATGACCCTGCCGGATCCAGGGAGAGCCCCGCCAATGATTCCCCCGCCACCACCACCTGCCCCGGTGCAAGCGCCGGCGCATATCCACCATGAAGCCCAGAGGGCCCAATGGCAGGATGAAGGGGAATCATCGCGTAGTTGGCATGCGACTCGGGTTAAAGAGGAGAGACGAAGGCAAGAGGAAGAGAAGACACGGCAAGAGTCGTTGAGATTGGAGCAGAGACGAGTCGAACATTCAATGTTGCGAGAGTCAATGCAGGGTGGTATTCCTCCGCATATGGTGCCCATGATCTTTGCAGGAATTGGCGGTGCCAACCTCGCCAACTTCAGCCTTGAAGTCTTGCAACAGTACACTGCCCAACTACAGGCTGCTCAGCAACAAGTCCAGGCCAGCCAGGAAGATGCTAGGGAACGAAGAAGCATCAACCAGCCACCGGCCCCGTATGCATTGCCTTCGCAACCTCAGTCTCAGGCTCATGCTGGAGCCATGCCTCAACAGCCTCCACCACCGCTGGCTGCTCACCAGACAACTTTCTCTGCCTTTCAATCGACTTCACCGCCAGGTAGACGAGGTCCTGGAGCGCCTCGGCCGTCCGTGGCTCAATCCACCTTGCCTCGTCTGACGACGGGGGACATGCAGATCAATCCACCTCCATCTGCACCGAGCAGCGCTCACCCTCTGCATCAGACTCAAACCATCCATCAAGACCAGCCGGCCTCGTCACCATCCATTTACTTCCACCACTGGGTGCCACCGACGTCACAGGCTGACTCCAAGTCGGGTAATCAGCCGCAGACTCCAGTCACAGGCACAGGTGCATCGCAGAACTCTGAAGGCCACCACACAGACAGCCCTCGCAAGCGCAAGAATCAGCAAGCTCATCAGCCACCTCCGGCCCCATCGTCGCTCCCAGCTCAATCTCACTCGAGCCCGAGCTTTTCTACCACTTCTTCCGGACGTAAAGGCGGACCTGCCCAAGATCTTGCCCGTAGCAATGCTTCGCCTCGTGCTATTTCCGGTCCTGGTCAGACTTCCAATCGCCGTGATAGTGGTGCTCCTGGTACGCATCTTGACTTTGTATACGAACGCGGTATTCCGCCAAGCAAAAGTCAGCACCATCATTCATCGCACCACTCGACTGCGCCACCGAGTCCAAAGAGGGATGCTCGTCACCAATACTGATCACAAATTTCTTTGATCTTATTCGCTTCTTTTGAGGTCGCTTCTAGGGATCAAATGTTTAATGACCCTCACTCGACTCTCTTTAACCCCAACCCTTTTTCATCCTCCTGGCGCTGGAAACGCCATATCATGTTTCCATCTGCCTCTGGCCATTCGTTCACGAACAGCCCGAGCATACGAAGAGTTATGTTCATCAAATCTCCTCTCCTGCCTAATTTTTAATAGGCTCGAGGTCAACAACCTTTCTTGGACGCCATTAACTTGATCGCCCGTACCTTTTCGAAGGAGCTTGCTCCTTTTCTCACAATTGCTCCCTTCAAATCTCCTTTGTGTGTTCAATCTTCTGACGAAGGATGATACCCCGTTACCTTTTCCTGATCTCGTCATCGACTCGATTTTTCTGGCAAGTTTTATATATACCACCTGGACTTCCACATCATCAGTTGACCTTCGAGCTGAGCTCGAAGCGTGTTTGCTCCTTTTGCTTTTTTCACTTTCTCACCGCTGGCATTTGATACTCTCTTGCATGGATCGAGAGCTGGACATTTCGAACGGTATGAAAGTTGAAAGCCGAGGAGAAGCAAAGCATAGAAACATATCTTGAACAGGGCTGTTCACAAGACCATTTACGTCTTTCTTGAATTTAGATAGACTTGAAAAAAAAAAAGAAACAATTATATACAGTGCTCATTCTGAAATTCTCCTTGTTGTGTTTTCTTTACTATCTGATCCGTCTGCTTGAACTCGTGATGTATGTTTCCTCGATCCTCGATCATTTGGTCTAGACCACTGGATGCCCAGGTACGACACACGCTCTGCAACTCGGGCAAGACACCACCACAGCATGGAGAAAATCTCCGACCGTTTGGTCATTGGATTGACAAGGGTCCAGCTTTACTTAGCAGCGGGATGTTCACTACTCTTTTGCTGGTTCCTGTTGTCTCTTTCTCTGCCGTCCCGTGTCTCGGAGAAAAGCTGGGAAGTGTATCTACTCATTTGGACATTTGACTAACATCAGCTCCAGCCTTTCCTTTCCTTCTCTCCAGCCGAACCTCGTTCTCAGCGTATATATTGTTTCGGCCCTACTTTTGAGTTATGGAGCTCCTTCCTTCAATAACGGCGAGATGGTTCTGAGAATCCAAGAGGATGGTAGCATATTCACTAGAGCCAAATGCTTGGTGCTGAATCATTGCAGCCCTGAAAGACGGCACGAAGGAAATCCTTTTGGGACGATTGAAACAATAAGCGTTGTGGATGTTGCACTTCTTTGCCTATATCCGTCGAATGTATCTTTGAGGTCGAATTCGTATACAAGAGCCCGGATGATCATAAAGCAACATGGTGGATGTGCAAGCACATGAAGTCAAGTCTAGCCGAGTTTTCGTTGCGGTAGGCAAGATCATCTGAGACAAGTGCAAAGTCTCTATCACGTCAACAGCGGGAAGCAGCAAACCAGATTGTCAATAATGTCTCAAGCACTATCTTGTTTTCCGCAGATCAAGCATTTACTGCAATTGGCACAATGTACATCAGATCTCTTTGATGGGTGTTTTGTTTGGCGAAATAAGAACGGCGTGAGTGCATTGTTCAACTGAAAAAGGTTTGTTCGGTTAGAGTGGATAGGTAGCTAGCATGCTCAGTCTATTGAATGATGATACAAAGGAGTCTTGATAAAGGGGTGAGTTATGAGTCGAGAATCTTCTTTTGCTGCACGCGCATCCGGATTTGGGCAGCCATGACAAGTTGAACAAGTCGATAGTTTTCTTGGCTGCAAGAGGCAGGAGCATTTCTTGTGGAGATTGCGATAGACAAGCATCTTTGGCGAGTAAGCAGGGGGAAGAAGGAAAACAAAGGGCGATTTCTCGCAAAAGATGTCGTCGTTAATCGCATGCAGCAAACAGCGGAGCAAATGCATATCTGATTACTCTTATGTCCGGGATGGAGAAGCAAGTGGTACGTGTGTGTCTGGTGACTGTTGCAGAGATCTGCTTTTTGACGGGAGCGCGCGCATGTTTGATCAGGAAGGAGATCTTCAGGTTCCAAGAGGTAGGTTGCCAAGAGATTTGGGTTTGGAGAAGGAAGTGCGAAGTTCGGAGACTCGGCAGCTCTTGCTTCAGGGCTTCATCTTTTGGTGTGTTTCATCGTTTCGTCTTGATATCACAATCACGTCCATCTGTCACTGAAGCTCTGGAAGCTCGACTGACGCGTCGTTCCATCCTTCCGCTGCATCAACCACGTGTACCACAGGATGAATTGTCTTCGCCAGACCCATCGACGACTCATCCAGACCAACAAAGCCCTCACGCTACTGCCCCCACCAATAGCAGCACCATCCTTGCCTGCATTCTCTGGCTCATCTCAACATACCCACCTCACGCCCAGAACATCCATCGCCCATGCCTCTAGCTCCTCCACACGATGGAAAACACGCCAGACCCGCGACCACTTTGCCCGCGAAGCTAAAGTCGCTGGTCTAAAGTCTCGCGCTGCCTTTAAGCTGCTCGAACTCGACTCCAAACATCGCATCTTTCGCAAGGGTGGCACTGTTGTCGATTTGGGCTATGCACCTGGTAGTTGGAGTCAGGTTGCTGTCAGCAAGACGAGTCCTGGAGGCAGAGTCTTGGGTATCGACATTATCCCTGCGCAACCGCCGCGAGGTGCTTCGAGCATCCAGGGCAACTTCCTAAGCCCAGAGGTGCAGGCTGAGGTGCGGAGATATGTGCGAGATCCTGCATTAGGCCGAGCGCGGACAAGAGTGACCATGTCAAAAAGAGGCGAAGACGAGGTTGAGGAAGACGAAGGTGCAACAGAAGAAGACGTCGAGACCGAAGGACGTGGTGTGCTGAGAATGGCGCAAGAAACAACGACAAAGGAGAATGAGCAGCCCGATCAGCAAGACGAACAGAAGCAGCAAGACGAAGAGGCGGAACAAGAAGCACAACTCAGCGTGCGGAAAAAGGACCTCCGCGACGGGAGGGTCGTCGATGTTGTGCTAAGTGACATGTCAGCACCTTGGGACCAAACTTCTGGCTACTGGATCAGGAGCGTTAGTAACCCGTATCTCAGGATGATGAACACGAGCGGCACCGCCTTTCGCGACCACGCCGGCAGCATGGTAAGTCTTTTATTTTGGTCCACTTCCTCTTTTCGTACTTTCCCTCTGTTCCTCCGATTTCTCAATCTTGCCATCTCTTTCCCTCCTTTATACCTTAAGAGTGCACTTGGCTGAAGCGAATGGCCTTTCTTTCTCACCGGTAGGATCTCTGCAATGCTGCCTTGACTTTCTGCTACGACACCCTCCGCACCGGCGGCCATTTCATGTGCAAATTCTACCAAGGCTCCGAAGACAAAGCCTTTGAGAATCGTCTCAAGAAGCTATTCGACAAAGTCCACAAAGAGAAGCCCGAGTCGTCGAGAAAGGTAAGCAACCATATAATGTTCCGCGATCATCACGCGATGGGTGAGTTTCCCTTTGACATTCGCTGACCGTCCGTGCCCTTTTCGTTGGTGTACAGGAGAGCAAAGAAGCGTATTTTGTTGCCTTGAGGAGGAAGCCTGATGTCCCACGCGAACTCGTCTTTCCGGATGAGTATGTCGAGGATAACGAGTTCCCGGCATAAATGAAATATTTCTATTCTCAAAATCATACTCGCTATAGTTGAGAGTGCAACTGTTCGGTGCGCCAATTGTGCCTGTGATCGAAGAAAGTCTCAGATACATGCGCTTCTTCGGAATGCACCCAATACTTGCTTTTTTTTTTCTTCTGACGACATAAAGGAATGATAGAGTACTAATGCTATGACTTTTATTCGAATTCGTGTTACTCGTGTCTTTTATCTGCTCACTGGCTAGCCAAACGTCTCAATTCTCCATCTCGGTCTCAGCGCGAGTCCACTCTACTGAATCTCGATATTGCCGTACTTCTTAGCAAACATGCCCAGTGCCTTGATGGGGAAGATGAATTTGTAGTTAGGGTACGAGATCATGCTGTGGCTTTGTCAGTATCTTTTCATTCGATAACAAGGGGAAGACTTTGTAGATGTTGTTACTCACCAGCTCTTGTTGAAGACACCTTCAATGCCTTCTTGCAGCCACTCGCCATTGGCCTGTTGACGCGACATGATAAGCTTGATTGCCTTTTCAATGGGCTCTCTATCTGGGTATCCAGCTTCCAGCAAGGCAATCACTGCCCAAGCGGTTTGCACGACTTGACTTTGCTTGTGTTGACAGTACTCGCCAGTCTCACAGCTGCGATATGTTTCTCCCCACCCACCATCTGCCATTTGTTTGTCGATGAAGAATTGGCAGCCCTTGCGTACGCGAGCAGAGTTCGTGTGGGTTTCTCCTGCTGTGGCGAGGGCTTCTAGAGCGAACATGCCTGCGTAGGTAAAACAGATGGCCCAGCTGCCGTACCAGGATCCATCTGCACGTTGCGCGTTTCTGATGTAATTGTAGGCTCCCTTCTTGAACAATGCAATCTCTTGACTGCGGTAGCTAGGGTAGAGTTTGTTGAACATGGTTAATGCTGTTACGACTGCGGTTGTACACTCAGGGTAGTCGTATTCGACCATGATACGGCCGAATACCTCTGCTGCGTTGAGCCATTCCATCAATTCAGAGCCGCGCTGGGTTTCGTACGAAGAGCAGCCGCCAGATTTCTTGTTTTGCATGGTTAGGAGGACGTCGATGGCTTCCTTGATGCGTTCGTCTGAGATTAGTTGAGGGTAGCTGGGTAAAAACTGGAGCATCAGAACAGCTTTGAGGCCTTCAGAAGTGGTGTCAGAAACAGTGTAACCTTGGCTCTTTGTGCTGAAACCCCAAGCACCCTTTCGTTGTTGACGATAAGTGATGTGCTGATCGACACACTCTTCGCGGATCTGTGCACTCTCGAGATACTCCAAAGCCTTTTCGAGCATGGGCCTCCATTTGGGATCTTCAGCCTTGTCGCATTCAACAACAGCTTGAATCAGGAAAGAAGTATCCCAGTTCTGTACTCCGTTTGTGCCGTTGACCAGCATACCTTCATCTTTGACCCACAAGAACTCGTGCAAACGCTCGCGGTGTCGACGAACAGAGTAGCTGTCAGGACCGTCGACAATGTAGCAGCAGAGCATGTTCATGGGCGCATTGACAGGAGCGAGATCGGAATAATCGGAGTTTTCGTCTTCACGCTTGACCAAGAACCAGACCCAGTCCTCTGCACGCTTGACCAGTGACTCTGTTCGGAGATATGGGTTCCAGATGTTGACCAAGATCCAATTGATGAGGTTCAAGACCCAGGACTTTGGGTGGTAGTTGTCGAATCTCGAGATGGAGTTGCGGTGAGAAGCGAAATTGATGGATTCGTAAGGCTCGACGAAGAGCTCGTTTCGTAGCTCTTTGACAAGCTTGTCTGCAGGGAAAGACCACTTACGGGACCAGATAAATGACATGGGCAAGAAGACCATTCGCATGTGGATCCACCATCTCCAGGGAGCAATGGGCACCCAATCAGGAACCAGCCATAGCTCCGGAGGCACAGGATTGACGAGGTCCCAAGGAGTAACACCCAGTACACTCAGCCAGAACTTTGCCCAGTGAGGACCATTGACAGCACCTCCAAGCTTATGCAGCAGACCACGAGCCTTAATCATACGCGGATCTTCAGCATCTGCACCCAACAGCCTCAAAGCGACATAGTTCATGGCAGTGCCAAAGACAGAGCTGTCTCCCTCAATGTGTAGACCCCATCCTCCATCTTCTGGGTGTTGACGCGCGTAGAGATAGTTCTTGAGCTCGATCTTGTAGGCGTCGGGGATGGGCGTCTTGGTGACATACCAGGTGATGACAACACCAGGGAGCAGGAACATGGGACCGCCATACTCGCAGCCCCAATTGCCAGGAGGAAGTTGCAGTTTGGAGAAGAATTCGAGACCATTTTCGGCGGATTCGAGGGGAGTCTTGGCTGGAGGAAGGTTGGGTTGTTCCTGCCTGCTGTCAGTGATTGTTCTTCTGAACCTAAGAGAGCTCGATGACCACGTACAGTAGGCAGACCGAGAAAGTACTTGTCTGCGGTAGTCTGAGGCCAATCCTTTGCTTGTTCCTCGCTCAGGTAGTGCCATGTCTGCTCTCCACCCACGTCTCGAAGCCTCCACCTCGTCGCGTCCGTCTTCTGGTCGCCTACTTGACGAGACACCATTTTTGACGTATTGATACAACCTCAGCAGGTTTAGTTGCTGAAGATGTCGCAACTCAAATAGAGATGGGCGTAATTTCCTCAAAGACACCCTCGTACGATTGACGCGCGCCAAGCTCATGCATGTGAAATTTGTGGAGTAGCTCCATTACCCCTGACCATCATCAGTACCACTAACCTGGTTATCACATCTGATCGATCATCTCAGAGATAATAGCCGTCAAGCAGTAAAGCATTCATGTCTTGTGTAGTGGTATCAAAGTAAAATCCAACCCTTGACCTCAACTCCACCTCCCAAACAAAACACCTAAACAATCCCTGTACCCATTCCTCCTTCCTACTCAATCAAGTCATCATCGTCGTCCACCATGCTGTCCATCAATGCCTGAACATCCTTGTCGTCCGCCATGCCACTGAAGTCGTAGTCTTCCATCTCCTCGTCCATGTCCATCCTCGTGCCCTCGGCATCGGGATCCTCAATCCTTGTTGACTCAAGTTCTCGACGCAACTGTGCATTGACCGGATCATCTTCAGCCTCAACTTCTGTGGCCTCTTCTTCTTCTTCTTCTTCCTCTTCCCTTGCATCTGCGCCCGTCACAGACTGTGCTGTCTCATCGGCGTCTGTCCTCTGCACGGCGGTGACATCTTCAACGACCGTTTCCTCGCCGCCGCCGCCTCTTTCTGCTGTTGCAATGTCGTGCATGAGCTTGAGTAACGTTGTCTGCATCTTGGCAAGAGCATTACGGCTGGTTGCGTCGGATGCCACCTTGGATTCGATTGCCTCTGCGACCAGCTCAAGCACAGTACGGAGGAGGCCAGGATCCGGAGAGGACACGGTCAAATGAAGCTTGCTAAGCATTGAGAATAGAACCTTGCGTTCGTCCTCTGCATCAAGGGTTAGCCGAGTTGGAAAACGACTGCGTTACAGAACTTACTGCTTGTTTGACTTGTCACCAGCTTCTCAAGGATCTGCTCTGCAAGCACAAAGTGAATCATATCGCTATCAGGAGCAGCTCCCTCTTCAACTCTAAGCTTGCCAGTCTTTGCTTCTTCGCTGCTGCCAATAATCTTGCGAGGGTCTGTCCAGTCAACGAGCATGCCACCGACTACACTCAGCGTCACCATCGCGTCTTCTTCGACGTCCTCCTCCTCGATAAAGGCTTCTCTGAGAGCAGCAAGGCGAGAGATGACTCCTGTAGCAATATTGGCCATTCTCTCAGCGTTTGCCGCTCTTGAATGACAATACACAGGCAAGAAGTATGTCAGCGCTTGTCTGAGAGAAGCATTGGCGCTGGTCTCAGGATCGAAGAATGCAATGACCAGGCCCTTGAGCAAGTCAGGATCTGTGATCAGTTGTGAAAGCATGAGCTTCGATAACGCTGACGCGCCAGTCGACTGAACATCCAAGTCTTCCGATTTCAGCGACTTTGAGAATACCTTGAGAACAGGTTTGAGCATTGGCGAGGGCTCAGAAGCGGAAACCGTGGCCGATGTCTCATCGCCGTCAGCTGATGATGCGACAGGGGCCAGTAACGATGGATGTGTTGTGAGGATGTCTGTGATGATTTGAAGGCAGATGGTTTGCAAAGATGCGTGACCTTTGATGAAACAGTGCAAGAAGAGAGTAAGGTTCTCTTGCGCGAGGTTCTGTGACAAGTTAGCAACCTTGAAGAAAACGATTGCCCTTGGGATATATACCTTTCCAAGTAAACAGCAAAGACCTAGACAGACCAGACCGCGCTCTCTTATGGGCGCTTCCTGGCTTCTGACTGCTGGAACAATAAGGTTGTTGAGCATAGTCACCAAAGGTACCGTCTGCTCGAGCTCGCATTGGATGTTCTGAAGCATGCACTGTGCAATATGCAAGCACTTCATGTTGACCATGATCTCACGGATGGCCTTCTCCTCATCGTGCTCCTCTTCTTCATCATCATCACCTCCCGAGCGCTTAGAGTTCTTAACTCTTCTCGCCGAGTCATCATTGCTGACTTCACTTCTTGCAGAATGGAAACTCTCCTCTCCTGTCGAGCTTTTTGTCTTGTCGCCCTCATCACCCATGATAGTATCATGGACTTCAGCAATAGCTTCGAGAACAATACCGCAGAAATCGCTCTCGCCTTTGTCGCTTCTGTCGTCTCCGCAGACCAGACGCAAAGTCTCTACTGCCAGCCTGGTCGACTCTTCTGGCAATTCGGGCATGGTGAGAGCTTCGCGCATGAGGCCAAACATCTTTCTGCGACCGACTTCGTCGCTGTAGTCAAAGCTGATGGCCATATGAAGCATCTGCTCAACAATGAACTCGCGCTGAACACTCTCCTCCTCCATTTCTTCGTCGCCGTCTCCGTCGGGTCCACCAGTTGCAGCTCCACGCACGCATTCGATCAGCTTGTTGATCTGAATCTCGAGCAGGAAACCGAACTTTGTGACTTCGGGCATCTTCATTTCCAGCATGTCTAGCAATCTTCCGTCACCTTGAGCATCTTTGGCGCGACAGTAGTCGTTGAACGTGCGAGCAACAAAGACACTTTCTGGTGAGAGCTCGTCCCAGAAGGCTTCCGAGTCGAAAGTGACATACTCTCTGTAGTCAGGGCGACCGTCCCAGAACTCGCTCATGGCTTCAAGCGCCACGCCTCCGGCATTTCCAGAGTTTGCGACGTCTATGCGCTCGAGCAATTCGAGAAGTGCATCGAGACTAGGATCGGCGGCTTTTGTGACACCAGGCTTCTTCTTGCCATCATCCGTCTCTTCTTCGGGAGCTGTAGCTGCAGGTAGAGCAGCACAGTCCTCGATCCAGCGCTCTCTGAACAAGCGAGCAGTGGCTTTGCGGACCGTCTCATCACGATCGCGAAGACCCCATCGAAGCAGCTTTTCTCTGTGTGTCAGACTGAGATGTCTGAAATCGCCCAATGCTGGTAGAAGACGAGCGTACAATGCGCGACGTGTGGCAGCATCCAAGTCTCTTGCGCGCTCGAGTAGGTATGGAAGGGTGGTAGGTGTGAGTGGTAGGTTGAGAAGAAGGGCTCGGCGAACTTCGGCAGATGGGTCGTTCTGTAGGACGTTGAGAAGTTTTTCCAAGACACCCGAGCTGGCATCGTCGTCGTCGCTGTCTTCATCTTGCTCGTCTTCATCGAGCTCGGCAGCGAGGCGACTCAGACCGTAGATGGCGTGCATTCGGACCGAGGACTCTTTATCGTGGATACGCTTGAGTAGAGCTAGACGAAGCAGATGGAACATTTGATCATCCAGAGTATCGAGAGTGTTGATGATGTGAGCGCTGATTTGAGTGGCTCTGAATCGCACAATTTTGTCTTTAGTCGAGAGGAGCTGTAACAAAGTGTTGAGGATGGCGTTGGTCAGGCGCGAAGTAGGAGTCTCTGGTAGTGCACCATCCTGATCAGCTACAAGTTGATTGTCCTTTTCGCTGGCGACTCGCAAGAAAATGCCCAGAAACTTGACGATGCGATCACCGACAGTCTCGCTCTTCTTGATGGGCAGGACACGCAGGACACAGCGCACGACTTCGGTGTTGAAATCATCCTCGTCAAAGTCGTACTCGGCCTGGTTCTTCTTGGAGCTCAGAGGCTCGTAACAACAGGCCTCTTGAATCTTTCGCAGGTTGATGACCAGCTTTCGGTGGCCAGTGTTTGACTTTTGGGCATCGGAGAAGACAGCAGCGACATGGTTTCGCAGCTTGGTGGTCGGTCCTTCGTCAGGAATGTTTGTAGCTGGCGACGAGGCAGCGGCTCTAGCGGTTCGAGAGGTGCGTGGTTTCGAGGCAGCAGCGGCGCCTTTGGCTGAGGAGCCGGCGACTCTTCCAGGCATTGTTGTCGTAGATGGGCCTTCACATGCGTGAGGCAGGAAGCAAACAAAAGCCCAAGCGTAAACAAAGAAACCACCCAAGAACCCCGCAATTTCCATTCATCTTTGATCTTATCTCATCTTGACGCGAGATGATCTTATCTCGATCATCTCCGATATGCGGAGCCAATGGCTGACATATTGCGTGACGATGGCAATTGTTCATTCTTGCCTTCTACCTACCCACTCGCATACCAACCATGTTTCGCACCGCAGTCCGTCGCTTCGCCGCCACGGCTGTGCGCCCGGCCGAGACGGTCGCCCAGATGCAGGCTCCCCAACTCCATGGCGTCGAGATCTCCAAGGCACAGCGCATTGCCCAGGATGGCTTCATTGATGGTGCACATCCCTCTATTTCTCATGCTGTTTCGTGGTTGACTGACTAGTAGGTTCCCCATGATCAGCCATCGGCAAGACACCACTCATTCGTATGAAGAAGCTCTCGGAAGAGACGGGTTGCAACATTCTGGGCAAGGCCGAGTTTCAGAACCCTGGTGGCAGTGTCAAGGACCGCGCTGCCCTCTACGTCGTCAAGGATGCCGAAGAGCGTGGACTGATCAGGCCTGGTGGTACTGTTGTCGAGGGAACTGCTGGAAACACTGGCATTGGTCTCGCCCACGTCTGTCGCAGCAAGGGCTACAAGCTCGTCATCTACATGCCCAACACTCAATCACAAGGCAAGATCGACCTGTTGCGTCTGCTAGGTGCTGAGGTCTACCCTGTCCCTGCCGTCGCCTTCGACAACCCCGACAACTACAACTGGCAGGCCAAGCGCCATGCAGAGCGTCTTGACAATGCCGTCTGGACCAACCAGTTCGACAACACTGCCAACCGCCGTGCACACATCGAGACTACCGGTCCCGAAATCTGGAACCAGACTGAAGGCAACATCGACGCCTTCACATGTGCCTCTGGTACCGCTGGTACTATCGCTGGTATTACTCGCTATCTCAAGACTGTCAGCGATGGCCGCGTCAAGTGCTTCCTCGCTGATCCCCCAGGCAGTGTCTTGCACAGCTACATTCAATCTGGCGGTGTCCTCACCGAGCGCAGCGGAAGCTCAATCACTGAAGGTATTGGTCAGGGCCGTGTAACCGACAACCTCAAGCCTGATATTGATCTTCTGGATGGCTCGCTCAATGTTCCCGACGAACAAAGTATCGAAATGGTCTACCGCTGTCTGGACGAGGAAGGTCTTTACCTCGGTGCTTCTTCCGCTCTCAATGTTGCAGCTGCCAGAAACGTAGCACAAAAGTTGGGGCCTGGTAACACTGTCGTCACCATCCTCTGCGATGGCGCATATCGCTATGCCGACAGACTCTTCTCCAGAAAGTGGCTCGAGAGCAAGAAGCTTGTTGACGCCATTCCTTCCAACCTGCACAAGTACATTGTCCTGCCGTAGGTGGAACAACTGGTTCTAACGCAGTGTTACGATATCTAAAAGTGTACATATGGCATGGCATTCTTATACCAATTGATCATTTCATGTAACAGAAGATTGCATATCTCAGCCGTCAAGAGAAATCGCAGCATCACACATCTCGTGCGGTTTCTTCACATTCCACAACGAACATAGGCACATTGTCAAATTAGTAAGTCCATGTTTGCATTTCGTCATTATTGTTACCCCTTATCCCTCAGAGCCGTCCGTTCCGTACCCATTTCCCAACCCCTGTCCCAGCCGTTTTTGACCCATTATGACTTTTGGGAGAACGTCATCGACAGACATGTGTTTTGCAACATCTTTTGTCGTTGTAAAGGAAAGTGTCGTGAGAAGGGCCAGTTGCAAACGTCATTTGCAGCTAGCCCTATTGTTCATAAGTTCAAAGTTGCATCTAAGACCAAGCAGGAGGAAGACACTATAATCGAACATCAGCATATTGTCAAGAGGATAGGAGCATCATCATAAACTCACAGTAATGTCCGACTCAGAAGCCTTGGGCAAAGGAGCAAACCAACTCATCTTAGCAGACTGCTGCAGACCAGGCGAAGGCAGAGGTGTAGCCGAAGGAGAAGTAGCTGCCGATGACGAGGGGAAGAAGCTCAAGAATGCCGACGACAGAGTGTGCGACATAGTAGGTCGTTGCGGCATGGATTGAGTGAGGTGTGTGGGTTTCTTTTCGGCGGCTGCTTTTTGCAGTGCCTTTTCTTGCTCTGCGCGAGCCTCGACGTAGTGGGAGGGTAGACAGTCGACGGGGAACATGATGATCGAGATTTGCGTGTGTCGCGTGTGTCGTAAGAAAGAGGTCGTGAAAGCCCGGATGCGAAAAAGGATCTTGCGACTAAAACTTCTGATTCGGGTTTGCGATGTCGTGTCTAACCGATTGTGTTTTGGTCGAGTTGGACGAGACACAACTGGGATGCTTGTGGTATTGATTCGAGAGTGAACGAGAGTTGAAATTGAAGAAAGAGAAGATCTTCTTGGGTTCGAGACGTCCCCAGACTCTTTCTAAGGGAAAAGGGCCTTGCGTTTTGTGGCGTTTTGTGGCGTTTTTGTCCTTGTTTTGCCGTGGGGGTGGACGAATGCGGGCGGGTTCCTCACTGGGGTAATTCGAAGCGCACACAGATTCAAGGTAAGTGTTTTGTTGCGGGTGAAAACGAAAGTGAAAGACAAAATGTCTTTGGATTGATTATCAAGCTGGAGAAATCGATGGGGAGCCGAATTCAAGTGACGAGGTAGGCGCCAACCACCTTTTTGTACGTACCTCCCCTCTTGGTTGTTGATTGTTGCTGTGCTGGACGCCCGGTTCCAAGAACAGGACATGCATGCGCCTTCCATGCAGGCTAGCAAGTCTGTCCCCGGTCGAGAGCACCGCATTCAGCCGGAAATTTGACCAAAATCGGCTCGACCGCTGTTTGTCCCCATACAGATCTACATTGTTGCAGCTGACGAGAGCCTTCCAGAACCATTATTCCCCAGTCCCCCCTCATTCTCATAGTCTCCATGAGTCTTGGTGCTGACAGCTGCAGCGAGATGCCTTATCACAACGCAAAAGCTTTTGTTGATTTGTACCAAAAGCCTCTTTGGTCCTCTAATCCGTTCTTTGTTTGGCTTTCGATATCCAGCTGGGTTCTCACGGCACTTTAGGATGTAGTGGTGGTGGCTTACGACCGCTGCCCTCCACCGGCAACCCCAGACTCTCGGGCTCGCCGCGTATGGATCACCAGATTGCCCCTCACGTAACCATATCTCGGAAGTCTCTATCCGTTGCATCGCTCTCTCCATTCATTCCGGGGAAGCATGGCACCAACCGTCTACCATCCAACACAGTTGTAAGATGGCATTGAATGAGTCTTTCAAAGTAGGTAACAATAACAGTCTCCTTTGTTTCTACTGCGTTTGTTATGTTTCCGCGCCTTCCAATAGTCACGAGGGTAAGAAGAGTTGGCGTGGTGATGAACTGATCATCCTTCTCCATTTGTGGTATCCCGGGATAGGTCTCGCAGGCATGGAGGCACGGCTTTGTGTCACGATGCGCTTACAGTGCGCCTATAATCTGAAAGCTTTCGCTACACATGCCATGCACCGCATAATCGAGTTCACGGGACCTTGCGGATACTGTACGTCCAGATAACATAGGCGACTTGTGTAGCCTAGATCAAGAGCTGCCTTGTCTGCCTTTATCTTTGACCGAGATGCCGCCATTCCACACATATCATATCGAAGTATTTTCAGACGAGGAAAACATCGACAAGACCGATGGCCTGGACCAACCAGTCGTGCAAACGCAATTTGATTGCTTTGCGCGTTGCAATCTGTACGGCTGGTTGTCCTTGTGCTTCAGGGAGGCCTTCTGCCGCGTTGTTCTTGCAGAAGAGCAGCGTCGCGGAGCCGTGAAGAGCATGATATGGCATCGTTGTCTCCGATGGCTTGGCACCTTGTCCTCGATCCGAGAGGAACGAGAGGAATGCTCAAAATACTCCACAGAACGCAAGACGCACTTGAGTTGGTTGGATCAACTGATGACTTGTTATCTCGTGATCACGAGTCTTGACGAACAACTGCTTAGAAGAATACAGTCAGTATTAGCACAATCGCCTAACCTTGCTGCGCCTTGTAGAGTCAGCGAAGCAGTGCTCATCCAGCGATACGAGAATTATCAGGCCAAAGTGGACAGCTTGTCAGTGCCCTAACAACTTGACCTTTTGAGAGCTCCAGGAATCCAATACGACCTTGAAGCGGTGTCGATCGTCGACGTGCTCCTGAATGGAGTATTTCAGGCAGGCGGTGTAACATCACATCACAGCTTTCGATTCGAGTCGACTCAAACTTTGTGGATATAGTACCCTATGAGGTACGCATGACCCCGTATTCAGGTGCTTTTGATATATCAACCCCTCTGGAATGATGCAATTTGAGTCAAGAGTCGTGTGGAGAGAATCTATTTTTGGTTTATACGAGAAGCTTGGCATATCAAGACCCTGCCAAGCGGCTCTTGACTTGCATCATTCACGACCGCTGCAATGAACTACGAAGGACTAACACACTGGCCTGCTGACTTGTTATGCAAGGTCGATAGTGGATGAGACCGGCTATGAGCTATCGATAGCGGTCACACGGTCAAGTGCAACACTATTCCCGCCTGCGGCAGTGCCTGTATGCAAAGCATTGCTTCGAATCTCAGGTAAGACAAAGGACTTCATAGGGTTTGCTGCGGACAGCTGGAAATAATGGGAGTGATCTGCCTTGCGGAAAGCGGCGATGGTTCCAACTAACGCTCACCTGCTTCGTGTTGTGGAATCAAACCTCATCACACTTGATGCAGAGAACGCCTGATGATCGACCAAAGTATCCACTGCTTGAAGAACGAGGTCCAAGAATAGCAAAGGCTCATGGAAGCGAATGCCATAGTCCTCGTAGAGACGAGGTAAGTCAAAGGTATATAAGGACCATCTCAGTCCTGCTAGAAGACAAGAATCATCAAACAAACAAATCATCTCTTCTCATCTACCAAGACTACCAAACCAATCAAACCACACCAATCTACTCTTCTTCAAATCAACCTCAAACCAATCAATACCATCAACATGCACTTCGCCACCTTCACCACCGCCAGCATCCTTGCTCTCGCCTCCTCCGCTCTCGCCGGCAAGGCCGCAGTCAAGAACAACTGCCCTCAAGACGTCTACCTCACCATCACCCGTCAAGACCAATCCCACACCCAGCAAAAGCTCGCCGCCAACGGAGGCTACTACAGCGAGCAACTCCAAGGCCAAGGCAACAGCTACGGCCTGACCAAGAACACCGACTACTACTCTCCCAACACTGCCAAGTTGATCTGGGGTGCTTCTGACAGTGCTGGTGTTGTTTACTACTCGCTCAACAATGTTGATGGAAACCCCTTCGACGGACAGAGTGTGAGCCTCACTGGAAACCAGCCTAATTGCCCTGCTGTTACTTCGGTGGATGGAAGCACCAAGGCTTGCTCTGATGCCAATGACTTTACTCTTACTGTCTGCTAGAGGGTTGATTGCAGCTATGATATGATGGACGGTGAACGATGGTTCGATGTAGACACTCTTTAATGTAATCATTTTTCTACACAAGTGCTGTTTTTGAACCATTTCCTCTCCTTGCATAAGCCATCTGTCACTTGTTCCAGCTATACGTGACTGTCTCATAGCCACATGATCTGCACAATTCAATTCGGAACCGGGGCTTTGCCCTTCGAGTGGCTGCTACAACGTCAGCTTTCTGATCACTTCTAGCGCAACGAATCTCTTACTCTCACCTTCAACAAGGCGACTGTCCACAAGATCTCTGCCCAGGAAGGCTAGAGTAAGACCACCTCTACTCCATCTTGGCTTTCTTGGAGGGTGTTTCGTCTAGCAGAGAGGCAACGAACTCATCAGAGATCTCCTCGTCAAGTTCGGCTTCATGCTCTTCCTGTTTGATCTCATTCTGGCTGGTGAAATCAAGGGGACAGAGTCGTTTTCTGGCGGGATAAACCTTGGAGAGGCTGTATTTGTTATCGTCGATGTCGCTGCTCAAGTCGATGACTTCGATGCCTTTGTCGCTAGCTGATTTGGCAGATGGAGAAGAGTCGGTGATCGATTCTTTCTAGGTGACTGGCTTGGGTTCGGGAAGGCGAGAGATGGTTACGGGATTCTTGGAGCGAGCCGAACTGAATGGAGAATCATGCTTGTCGTGCTTGATAGATTTCTGGATCTTTGGGGTTCTGGTGGTCTTTGTGAGAGTTTCTGCCGGAGTCTGCAATGCAAGAGAAAGTCAGGGTGTGGATCTCTGGACAGAAGCGCTATGAAATGGTTACCTGTTGTAGAATTGTGTTGTAGTCATCGATAATAGCCTCAACACTCTTGGGACGAGGACCCATGACAGCAGCTAACAATGTTAGTAAAATCGAACAAACGACGGAGCTAATCAATGACTTACGCCAACGGTCAAGGATCCTTTGGGCCATGTCTGTGGTCATGCCGAACCCATTGAGGTGAATGACTGCAAGCAGAAGATAGATCTCTTGCATTAGATCTGCCTTGGTAGGCATGGCTGTGGACACTGGTGGACAAACAAAGAGGGACGAGATCTGAAAGAGAAGCCAAAACTTAGAGTCACCCGAATTGCAACCGTAAGAGGAGTGAGTGACTTGGAAAATGTCGGGCAGTGGCTTGAGCAAGTGAAAATTGAATCGTACCAGATCACACTTCGGTGAGGTGTGAAAGTCTCACTTTTGCTATCGAAACACAACACTCTCATACCTTCGAAGATCTCTACTCTTCTTTCTCCAACACAACCTACTTGCCATGATGGCCACCAACCGCGAGTCTGACAAGGATATCTCCTTCCTCCTTGCCGTTGTCCATAACCTGACAATTACATCTGAATTCGCCAACAAGGCCATCGAAAACTGGCGTAAGTCGATTGATTATTCCCCCTTTGCCACAAAGACTGACGATCTCAAGCTAGCGACTTGTGTTCTGCTGTTCCTGTTGATGGTGAAGATCTTGGCCGCGGCATCGATGAGATTTGGCAGAAGGTAAGCAATATCCGATACAAGTCTCGAATGTTGAAAAGGTTAATACAAAACAGTGGATTGGTAACGATCTTGCTTGTGCATCCACGCCAGAGAAGAAGGATGGTACTTGCCTGAACGATGCAATCGTCATCGACGACAGCGACGAAGAGATCGAAAAGCCCATCATCCCAGTCTCACCTCGCATTCTGCCTCGCAAGTTCAGGATTCCGCCAGCTGCCAGTCTGGTCATCCCTCTTGGTGCCGGCGAGGTCTTGGTGACCCCTAAGATTGGCCGCAACTCGAAGATCGTCGTCGGTTTGGGCGAGCCCGACCACAACGATAGCACACCCACCATCGATCGCGCTTGCCCTGCAACCAAGAATGATGCAGGTCTTCTCACGCCATGCAGTCTCAAGAAGGCAGGAACAACCATCAAGAAGGTCACCAAGTCACGCGGTGCCAAAGCCAGATTATCCCGCCGCAAGAGCAGGGATGTCGCCAGCAGCATCGAGCCTAACGAGGAAATGTTCGAAACTCCTTTTGCAATGGCATCTTCCCGTAAGCGCCGCCATGGAATCAACTACAACGACGTGCCTGCCGATGGAGTTTTCGATAATTCGGACGACGAAGACTTCAGTCCTGAAGAGTTCGAGGACGACAAGCGCATTGACCAAGACTTTGAAGCAAAATACCCTGTCCTCAAGACCCGTTCGAAACGTCAGAAGACCAAGTCCTAGATTTGTACTATTGTCAGAAGACTGTGGCTGCAAGGTGTGTTAATCTCCGCAAGTTCAGGCACAAAATATCCTATGCTGACATAGTGATAGGTGATGTTGAAGACAGAAGAGGTGAACATTGGACTGTATTCTGTACAATGTCTAAGCAGAACAGACGGACGTTTGAAAGACGCATCAAGTAGAACAAGCAAGATGTAACTTTGGTGAATTGGTTTCTCTTGATTTTCGGTTTATTGCGCTAGGTACGATATTGTCGAACAAAAGAAGATCAGGACCTACCATGTAGTGTACACTTTTCGTCAATTCAATTTTCATTAACACGCAAGTGGCATGTTCATTCAGCACGACCGCAGGATGTTGAATCAAACGGCCTGTGATTTGGGAAGCTGTTGAAGTGCTTGCCCGACTTACCTGTACGCATCTTGAAGATCAAGATGAACTCGCGTATTGTCGTCGATGTCGAATAGTAATTTGAAGATCTGAGACAAATGTTAGTCTCTATAGACAACCTTGTGAGTTGAGTTGATTGATGAAAAGTGGGTGAAGGGAATCAGAGATAGGGAGTCTAGTCCCGTGCAAAGCTAATCCGCAGCAAAAAGAGTACAAGTCTTTCTAGGACTGGTGCCAGCTGGTTGTCTCATCATTTGAGATGGTGAAAGGGTGAAGAGTGAAGAGGCATGGAGTACTCACCATGATGCTGTCGTGCTGAGACTGGAGGTCAGGTGGAAGACCATCATCTTGAGGCTTCTCTCAGACACTTCATTGCAAGAAAATGGAGAGCGGAGAGAAGAGATAGTCGGCGCTTTTTGTCTTGCGATGTGCGATTTTTCTCGCTTGCGATATTCAAGGCCGTGCGCGCTGACACACATGGCTTGGCGGAAGCTGTAAGATGTGCATTCTGCAAAAGGACACGTCCATCCATGGTGTCTGTGGTATGCTTGTCACGACGTCCATCGCAAGTGGATATGGGGGATGTCATCCTCTAGTTGTTTCTGTAGTTCCAGTCAGCTGATGTCCAAAACATTTTTTATCAAGCAGAAAAGAGCTGATGGGTTGTGCGATGCGTCATGAAAAAATTAGAGTGTTGCGTTTTTGATCTTCATCGAAAAGACTCTGGGTTAAAAATGTTATAATCCTTCGCAAGGATTTTTGGAAGGGGAAATGTGTAAGCAAGAAAGCGAGACTGACCTGTTGATGATAATGTGTCGCACTAGAGTCGCTGCAAGCTCTATGCTTTGCGTGCAAAGATGTTTGAGATGTCGAAAGGGCAAGTGAGACTGCAGCTTTGCTGGGTTGCGAGAAGCAAAGAATTTTGCAAACAAGGAGATTGCCGGCGCTTTTCGGCTGCGACGTCATCGCTTCCCTGGTCAACATCCATTGAGTCGGTCGTGCTTGTCGCATGTAACGAGACCATCTTCTCAGATTGTTGTTGAAGCAGGAAAGAGCGAAAGACGTCCAAACTGTGTTCCAAAATTCCCCCAAATCACATCAAAACCAACTGAACGCATGACACACGCACCGTACGCAGTCTAACACGGATAACGTAGTTACGAAGAACCAACGAAATCCAAACAGAGACAATTGCATGACGGGCACGTATATCACGAGTTCATCTTAATCGATGGTTATTGAAAGAGTGATTTGAGTTGGGTATCAAGGAACTCAGGTCCAAAATCATGCCCTGCTTTCCCGCCAAAGCAAACAGCAAAAGAGACAAAAAAGCAGATCGCGTATATACAGTTTATTCGTCCGACGGCGTTCCCCTTGAAAGAATCGTGTTTTCATGTTGCGTCAACCATGCCGCTTATTTCTTGAAGTAGCGGTACTCAAGATGGCGGAGAGGGATGTATGCAAGGAGGGTGAAGGCAAAGGTAAGCTCATTGGCAATATCACCACCACTCTCACCAATGTGTTTGGCAAGGGGTCCAGTGAACCAAGTCTCAACCATGCCAAGACACCAACCGACGACGCCAATAAGGAAAGCACCAAGACCAGCAAGACCGATAGGCAATTTTGAGGGGGTGTTCCAGCCGTCGAGATCATAGTTGGCAAAGTCACCCTTACGGAACCAGTAGTGTTCGAGGAAGACAATGACGAAGTAGGAGGTGCCCCAATAACCGAGCAGAGAAAGGAAGTTCTCCAGGTACTCAAGCAAGTGATCGCGACCGGCAACAGCAATCGCAGTAACGACTCCGAATACGACGAGAACCCAGAATGTACGGGGAACCTTTGCCAAAGGACGAGCGAACTGTTGAATCGACAAGGCGCACGAGTAGAGGTTGAGTGCATTCATACCGACGGCACTAAGCACGAGCAGGACCAGGATGAATTTGGCGAAACCTCGAGGGAAGAGCATCTTCTGGATCAGGTAGCCGAGACCGTCATCGGTGTATGTGTCGCTCCAGTCCTTGTTGACTGTCATGGCAGAACCAACACAGCATCCAAGAACCATACCAATACAAGTGGGAATGGTAATACCAAGGGTACAGAGAGTGAAGACCTTGACCTTGGAGGTGTTGATGGGGTAGTGAACGTAGTAGTCGGCAGCAATGGTGGCCCACGAGCAAGAACTGCCATAGACGACTGCGAGCAGAGAAAGAACGTTTCCAGCAAGGTTGCTACCATGGAGTTCGGTGCCAGAGACGTTGACAGAGTGAGGAGCAGCCATGCCGTACATGATCATGAAGACGATGAAGAAGACGAGCCAAGCGTACTTCTCATAGTACAGAATGGCCTTGAGACCGCAGAAGTTGATAATACTGCTGCCAAGAGCAATGATGACGCAACCAAGAGCAGACGACACCTTGCCGTCAGAAACAGCAGCAAGAGCAAGACCTAAACGATCAGCATCTGCTCTCGTGTTAATGATCGATGTACATACCACCAGTAATGCAGCCAACAGCACTCCAACCAGCTTGAGAGATGATGTTGAGAACAGCAATGAGTTTGGTGGGGTACCAGCCGAAACTGTAACGAGTGATTGACATTGCACGGAGACCGGTTCCGGGACCAAGGGTAGCACACCAACCAGCAACACTGGCGCCCAAAAGGGTACCGAAAATGGTAATGACGATGCTCTGGCCGAGTGTGAGACCCCAGGTAGGGCCCAGGAAACCGGTCGTCATGCAAGACAAGTTCATAATACCACCACTCCACAACAGGGCCATGACTGCCTGGTTGTGCCACTTCTGAGGCACCTTCTCCTCAGGCAGCTTGCGACGAATAGCTTGAGACTCAATGCCGAGCTTGCGATCGAGGGTTGCTTCCCAGCCGCAAAGCGTACCGAGAATGCCACCGCTCTGTACTGGCTTCTCATCGACAAGCTCAGTAGAGCCTTGGGCACTGCCAACATCGACGTTGACATCCTTTTCGTCAGGGTGCAGCCTTCCAACCTTCTCTTCGTCGTAAAATTCCGCCATGGCTTTTCTCCTTCGTCAGTAGCCGGTTAGAAGTTGCTGGCTGGAGAACGACTGCAACAAGGCAGAGGGAGAGATGTTGTCAATGAGGGAGACGAAGGGGAGGAGTGGAGGTCGGAAGAGGAGTGGAAGTTGAGCACACGACACGTCAAAACTGGCAGGGCGTCGCCGATATTTTATTTTTGCGCGTGCGCCGTCGTGGACCCCACCAACCCACCGTCGCACCTCTGAATTTGGCAGCTCGTTATGAAACGCCAAAGAGATCTGCCGTTATCAGCTTCTGGAATCCTGCCTAGACTATAGATCGGCCAATCAGATGTCATAGCGGGGACCTCCGTGGACCCTTATCGGATCAGCCTATGGACAGAGCTTTAACGTGAAAAAGAGTGTGCATATTTAGCGAGGATGTATCTGTAAGATGCAGATAGGAAACCAGCCTTCTGGGACCTGTCAAGGTGCTGAAGACATGGTTGAATGGATACCTGCGGCTGGAAACTGGCAGAACGCTTTATGATATGCCTGAGTTCTGGATCGATGCTGTGGTAGACAACTCGCTCGAAGGCTATAAGTACCACCTCAAGGTTTGACGTAACGTGCCAAAAAAACGTGTTGGTGCCAAGTAAACTCAAGCCTCGCTGTTGCCGGCTTGTGTGTATTCACAAATCAGTGTCTTCAATAAGCGACAAAAGCAAAGCGTCGTGGTTATTGGTGTTGAGCACGGCGGTGTCCGTCACGGCTCGCTGAGATGACATGTCTGCTTTCTTGAAATCGAGCAAGATATCAACATGAAGGCGTTACAAGTATCGTGTGCCCGCTTCATTGCCAAGTGATAAGGCACTCTCAAGCCATGGACAAGACGGCAACAGGGACTTCTTGTTCGCGCTTGGATTCTGGATCCCTTGACTGCATCCCTGTCCAGTATCAAGATGGCATGGTTCTTCTTTGAAGCCACGACTTTCTTGGAAGCTTTGGCATGGTACATGGTTTGGCGAACTTGCAAGTGCTGCAGCAAGATTCTTGACGGATAGCAGTCTGGATTCTTGATTGAAATTCTAGATCCGTAAGTTGTGATGCCTGCTCAGATGCCAGTCATTGCTGTATCAGAGATCCCTTCTGACTCGACATCGCATTGAACTTGTCGGATAGCCAGAGTGGAAACAAGGGGAGCGTCAATCAGAAAGACGAGAAAAGTACGCACGGACCATTCATAGTCGGCTCAGTTTGGGAGGCAGGAGCTATCAATCCTCTTCAAAGGCTACCGATACAGCAAAAGGACTTGTAGGAGAAGGTGGAATGCCAGAACGACGTTCCACTGCTGTCGTAGTAATGTGAAGCATGATTCTGCTACTGGCATCATCGTCTGCTGCGAATTGGCGGTTCAATTACCTGCCGCATCGAGACACCGGGAGTGTGCTTGATTCACCGAACATATAAGTACTCGACAGGCAAAGGCGCAACTCTAAAACTTGGATTATAGACGACTTGCTATTCTATGTCTGATTTGTACTTCACACGCAAAACCACACATCACTTGCGAGAATGGCGTTCGAGATCACACGCATGAAAGACGACGAGATTGATGTCTGGAACAAAGTGTCGTGGGATGCTTTTGCTGCAGCAGAGGATAATCTGGCAACACTACTCTACCCCGGAGGACTAACAGAGCGCACACAAGAATACATGCGCGAGAGCACTCGTAAGAGCTTGTCCGACTCTTCCTACTCTTACATGTTTGTACGCGACAGCAGCAGCAAACAAGTCTTGGCGGTGGCCTGTTGGTACTTCCAGACCAAAGACTTGAGCATGCAACAAGTGGTGGACAAGGAAGACAAGGCGAGGAGGGAACGAGCGGAGCAGGAGCCCATCCCCGGCATCAACTTTCCAGCAATCAGCTCGTTTCGTGAGGCGCAGGCAAGGAGCAAGCAAGAGATCTTGTCCGGCAAGGCGCATGCACTATTGAAGGTGCTTGCGACACTACCGGAAGCTCAGCGAAAGGGAGCGGGCGCTGCTGGGCTGATCTGGGGCTTGCAGCAGGCAGATGAGTTGGGGTTGCCGGCCTATCTCGAGGCCTCGAGCATGGGCAGGCCGCTCTATGCTAAGCATGGATTCATCGAGGTGAGTGCAATCGATCGAGTATGGAGTCGAAGCGGGTGGCGAGAGCTGACGCCGGGATCATCAGGTGTGTGAGCTGCCACTGGATACCAGCAAGCATGGCCATCCTCACGAGTGCACGCATTGGTGCATGCTCAGGGCTGCAAGGCGTCTAGAGTCAGATCAGTAGTGAGCAGGGAATTCGGAGGGACTCCGACGGTGCGATGACGAGAGAAACATGCGAACATGTTCATGCAGGGCCCTGTGTCATGTCGGGCAATAGTGCCAAAGGACCTCGATACTTCTTGGCTTGTCGGGCGCATGCCCGCCTCCGCGTCTGGTCAACCCTTTTTTGTACTACACGTCGACTTTAGATCGTCCATTCATTCTTGCCGCTGACCTATCTTTTGCCAACCGTGTTGATCTTCCGCTGTTAGCGCTGCTGATTATGCTTGTCCATAACTTCGCGTGCAATATTCCGAGCGCAGAGTAACAGCCATCTGACGAGAGACAACTCACAGCACGGTGCATTGTCATCGTTTGCTGCCCATTTGCTTATCCATTGTCTAATAGGTCATCTATCATTAAACCCGATGAGCCTTGTACCAGATCCAAGGTTTGCGCTCCTTCAGAGCCCTATATTCAAGTGTGACGCTCGACCTTGTCGCCCCTTTGAGCAGGGAACATGTCCGGTCGCTCTTTCAACCTCTTCTCGGCATCATATCCGAGTATTTTACGACCATCTCGGCTTCTGTGTCGTTATGCGGTCACTGATATGTCTCCAAGACACTGATCATGGCACCAAACAATCACTGGAATAATGACATGTCCTGCAGTAACGAGAGATATCTTCGTTCAATTCGCCACCTCTTTTCTGGGACAGCTCCGAGCGCTATCTCAGATTGTCTTCTGCAGAAATCTCTGTACCTGCATGGGATGCTTGCGCGAACCTGCAAAATCGCGAGTGTCCTCTTGGTCACCTTCACTGCTCTCCAGCCCTTGGCAGATGGCAACATGCCGTCAAACCGTGGTGTTCTCATTGTGTCATTGTCACATTTTCCATCATTCCGTCTCTCTTATATGTCCAGCTCTCAGCTAGGGCTTGCATGAGGCAGATTGCGACATGTCTGGCTCTTCGCAATTGTTCAACGCTGTTCTCTGTCGGCACGTTCAAGAACATGACGGGCAATAAATTCGGTGGACGCGGACCACCAGCAACACCATTCTTTCTCCTCCAATGTTCGGCAAGAACGGAGTAGTATAGGAAGTCGCAAATGAAGTGACCCGCTTCGCGACTCTGGCGGATGCGCACGCTACCAAGTTCTGGCGAGATCTCCGGCGCATCAAGCAGCTTGGAGCGCCAACGAGTAAAGACGTCTTCCGTATCGAGCGTGGTGTCCAGAGACTCGGGGCAGCCCCGAAAGAAGGTGTCGGCCTCGCTTGCAGGGAGCTTGTGACCTGTGATGTCCTTGTCCAGGTGATAGCCATCGCGACGGCTAACTAGCTCCATTGAGTACGAGTTTTGCCCAGGGCGCATGCCAAAGTGCAGCCAGATATCGACATCGTGGCTGTAAGCATCGTAGAGGCGCGGTACAAGTGTTCGCACCTCGTTATATATGACGGGTATATCGTAGGGATGCACGACGACGCGCACGGGGACCGGGCTCGCAGAGGTCGCGGGTAGGAATTTGGGTAAAGTCGTCACGATCGAGTATGAGAGATTGCCGGTTCCAGCTTCATCGAACGGCTATGAGTGGGATCAATATCAGCGACGAACGATATAAGTACAGTTGACGAGTGCCGCCCAGGTTAACGCTTGACGCTTGAGCTTGACGCTGCTGTGCGGCTCGTCTGGAGAACTCGGCCATCCCAACCTCGCTGATCAGAAATGTCGGCAACGCCTCGTCGCCAACACGCTGTGAAGACGCAACGTATGCGTCTATACAGAGGAAATGCACTTACACCGAAGCCAGTGATAAGGATAGACACAGGTTTGACCTTTCTCGTCATTCTATATGTCGATGTCGAAGACTTGGATGTGAGGAACCGACACGGCTATGTGCAAGGCAGGCTGGGGAAGATTTCGTCAACAAGATCCAGGTCTTTGCAAGGGAAGGACAATGGCTACTTTATGAGGACGTCGGTGACGCTAGCCTTTGCCCATGTAACAACCACAGGCCCTGGAATGATCGTCCTTGTTGGAGGTCCTTCGCCGTGTTGCACACTCCTTGTAGAAAACAACTGGAGTATGCTCCGCGAGAATACCACCCGATATAACCGACTCTGGTAACCTGCTGCACTCGTTGCCTGTCTGTGAGAGGAAGCAGAATCGCACACAACAGTCGCCTGGGTCGAGGCTAGATAAACTCGGCAAGAACATGCAGAAGTACAGGATCGGTTCGATCTCCGTCTCACATTCTCTATTCTCAAGCTACTCGGCTGAGAAACCAGGAGCAGGGTTCATTGGTCCCCACGCAGAGATGTTTGTCGACGCCCAAGTGGTGGCGGACTTGGAACCGCCGCTCGAAAACGGAGCTCAACAGACATAGATTACCGAGACTGAGCGCACCGCAAGGCTAAGGTTTAGCTGGGGCTTGATTCATGGCATTTATCCTATCTGTCATGCAGAAACTGTTCAGATTTGTTTCTTGTCACAACTTCTACTAATGTATCGGGGAGACCGAGTGTTATGGTGTAACATTCGGACGCGCATGCCGAGTATAAGAAGCGGAAGTTTCTAGCTGTATTACCTACATGATAGCTACGGTCCTTGCGTTGGGCCGAATCACGATATGTCAAGTCACAACAAACCAGAGAACATCACTCTAGGGGCTGCAAATGCAACGTCACTAAGGAGATTGTTCTCGAGCCTCGAGCATCCTTTCAATGCGAGGAGATACATGGTGCAAGCATTTCCTTCCTTTATTGGACAAGCATTGACATTATGATAATCGGACGGACGTCGTGATCTGCTTTAGGTTCTCGATGCGGACCCGGCTCCGAAACATGCGAAATTTGCAAATTCGATACGCACCCAGCACCGCTTTCTACCTATTACGTCCTAAAGCTGCTCGAGCTTGACTTCAGCCGCCTTACGCAACCGGTTCATGACTGCCGCCGCAATATCGCCTTCTCCGTCATCAATTCCTTCCACAATGATTGCATCCACATCCTTGCGATCCAGCTCCCTTAACGCCGAGAACAAGCCCCGCGCTACATCAGCAGTATCTGGTCCTATGCACATGTCCCACACGGTAAAACGCTTATTCTCGTTTTGTAGAATGACCTCTCGTGCGTGAAGCTGTTGCTGGTGATAAGCGCTTTCCCGAAGCATGGCTTCCAAAGGTGAAGCGGAGTTCACAGCGCTTTTCGGAGCCGGGTCCAGGGAGACCGAGCCCATCTCCTTGGCACTTCCAGCTGCCTCATCAACCAACAGACTCTTCCAGGTTTTTGTCCTAACTAATCCTAGGCTGCCGCTTGAACCGAGCTGGCGTGACAGATCCGAAATGTGTGGTTGCTTGCCCCCTGTGGCTTCAACCAACATGACAGGTGCTTTTGGAGAGTAGTGTCGGTATTTCATGCCCGGAGCTCTAGGTGCGGCATCTCCTTTCAAAGAGACGTCATGGTAGCCTACCACCGTGTTCTCCCAGCCGGGCACCGTCTTGATCAAATCAATTCCTATACCACCTGGTCTGAGAACAGCAGGGGGCGAGCTAAGACCGTCAACCACTGTGCTCTCGACGCCAACATCGCATGGTCCGCCGTCCACGATCAGCTCGATACGACCGTCCAAATCATAGCGTACATGTTCGGCAGCTGTCGGAGATGGTTTCGTCGAAGCGTTTGCTGAAGGTGCTGCCACGGGGACGTCTGCGGTCTTGATCAAGGCCAGGGCAAGTAGGTTCCGTGGCATTCTTGCGCCAAATGTGCGCAAGCCAGCCGTGACTTCAGGTGCCAGTTTTGAGTCTTGTGGTACTGGTAGAATGATTGTGATTGGGCCAGGCCAGAAACGTTGGATTAGGGGATGGTAGATTTGGGGAATTGGGTCGACATTGGGCGATGAGTCAGATGTAGACAACAGCTTTCTCAACTGCTTCAGAGATGCTATGTGTACAATGAGAGGGTTGTCGGATGGTCTCTGTTTGGCTTGATAGATTCCCTTCACTGCTGCGCTGCGAGTTGCGTCCGCTCCAAGTCCATATACGGTCTCTGTCGGAAAAGCAACTGGAACGTCTGAGCTCTTGAGATTTGAAGCCGCTAATTCGAGATCTTTTCCATCTTGTGTAGTCGTGTCCAGTTCTAGATGCCAATCCTCCAGAGGCATTCCCGTGTCCGTAGATTTGTCAGAAAAGTGACCCAATTTAGTTGCTTCCATGGGCAAAATTCGCGTTTGATGGGTTCGGTCATTGTGTTCCGCCATCGTGACAGTGTGGCTTGAGGTCGCTATATTGCCTCTTTGTCTTGAAAATGTCGTGTGAGTACTTTGCGATGGTTGAAAAGTCCGATGGCAAGCTGTCGCCAATCCAGAAGTGAGTCTTGATGAACGCGCTACGGTAGTGAGCACAGATCCAGAAAATCGAGAGACTGTACAATTTCGTATCATGTAACTTCCAGTATGCGTATCAGATAGCACTATCTTCAATTTTTCTCTTCACCGATTATTTTTCTTCTGGATTGATGACTTCAACGCCGTCCAAAAAAGCTTGTCTCATGCTTACATAATCAATCACCTCCAACCTCACTTTCAAAATAACACATCGATAACTGGAATTATGGATACTGCACGATGGACAAGTTGATACCTTTGCTTACAGTACCTCCCCTTGGTCTGGCAGACCTGCATATCCCACGGCATGACAATTTGGAATCGCGTCCTGAAGGTCGCTTAATTGGTTAAATGTTATGTCATTGAAGCGAGAGTGAGTGTGCAACTCCGGTGAACAGGTTATCTACCGTAGGCGACGCCGCAGCTGTCAGAAATGCGTCAGGAACAGAGTTGTGCCACATTGCGGCTTCGAGTCACGCACCGCTCTATTACGATCCTTGATCGCGATTCACCAATCAATTTCTCAAGGCAAGGACAGGGTGGCATGCACATCAAATGGTCTTGGCATTGCCCATATCGTAAGTGTCTACTTTGGGACAATGCATTCAGGCCTCTGTAAAGACATCGCAAAGATGACCGGCCTCGTGCAACCAGATGATGTGCAGGTGACCACAGCAGTGCCGAAGGTGAAGGGCGAGCGCAGGAAGCCATGAAGCCAGCAGCGGCTCTCAGCTATCGCTCGTGCGACTACCCCGCGCCAGAGTGACCAACTGGCAGTCTTCGCGACAAAGCAATCATGATCCATCAAGGTGAGCATGGCGGGCTTCTCCTCGGCTTGCTTGGGTACATACATGAAACGGTTTTACGGTAGTCGTACATAGCATCCTGCTGACAGGTCATGTGCTCAAGTAGTTCTATAGCAAGAGTCAAACGCCTTTGAGCCAGGAGATGCTTCTTACAAAGTTAATCCATAGAGCATTTTTCAGCCCCTGATCGAGGCGTCTTGTGATTAGAGTAAAGTTTCAGAATGAGTTGAAGATACCCGCGAACTTTCATGATCGTGTGATTGAAATCGTTCTGATATGGAAGACAGTCTTGCGTTCTCGATCTGTATCAGAAGACGGCAGGATGGGCTGACTTCGGATTCTTCAGGCAGCTCACGAATGATTTCGTAGCCGACTCGCCTGATCCTCTCCTACGTACTGTGTCGAGCGCAGCTCATGACCGACCGATGTCAGTGGTCGAATCAAGCGCGCTGTCGCTGCGACTTGCCTGTCTGTCATTGAGTTTGGCTAGCAAGTGTGGGGGAAGCTGACATAATGTAGTTACACGCCATGTGCCATCTTCCTATCTTTTGCAAGACACCCATCAAGTGACTGACCGTTCGCCGACAATCCAAGACACGATATATGTCTCATACAGACTTACCCCTGAATGCTCTATCGATTGCTCTCCGTTGAACGCTCAAATCGTGGAGGTTAGTAAGAAGCCTCCACGATCTGATCCGGGACAACCGATAGAAGTGGAGAGAGCTGTTTGACAGTCAGTTGATAACACATGATCTGATACAACATCCTTCTACTCGAGTAGCCCTGATTAATCATAGTGGCATGATACTACGCGGGGTAAGGCCATGGCGCCGACGGCAGACTTCCTGCTCCAGCCTCCAGCCTTCCTTTGTGGTATGGAGTTTCTTGGCCGCATTTCCGTCCTTATAACCGTACTGAATCTAAAAGATCCATGATATCCGAAGAAAAAAAGTCGCATTGTTGTCACAGTATCTTCTGGCGTCATGTAAGACATCGGCAAACTAGGAGGAGAAGGCTTGATGTACCAACGTGACTATCAATCTGTCGTAGACTTTTGAATCTGGAGGCTGGACCTCAGTATGGCGGTACTGGAACAACGTGTATGGGGTGAGATGAGGTGAGTACATTCTACCAGTCGCCCAGGGATGCCTGTCGAGAAAATTTGAGTTGCAAGCTATGATAAGCTTGTCCATCGATATCTACGACAACACGAAACCCTAGATAGAAGAAAATAATTATCCTCGGGCATTACTCGCACGCGTTCTCTCGGTGATACAAGTTGGTGCGAAGAGACATGGACATGTCATTGCTCCGGATCTCTTGCAAGAAAGCCGAAGCAATCAAACTCTCCAAGTTCCAAAGCAGTTGTACTGGAGACAGATGTAAACGTTTATGCAGGAGGTAGATTGTGGCTGAAGCGGAGACGGGAGCCGGCAACACTTCGATGCTGGGACTGGAAGTTCTGCTGCGCTGAATCGACTGCAAGCGGATTGCAGCGGAGGCCTCTCCATCGCTCCACGGTGCTATCGGGTTTGTGTTCCGCGTAGACGCTTTGCTCCAACTATCACACGTAATTATTTGCTTAGAAGTCAGGGGAGTACAGTACAGTTGTGCTGCCGCGCGATATCGAGCCGCAACTTTTCGTCCAACGAAAATGTTCGTTAAAACGAGAACGAGAAAAACTGTCGACACACTGTGATGTCACTGACATCACGAATGTCACTGGAGCAGCATCAACTCAAGGACGCGAAAAACGACGAATGAAATGAAGGGCGAAACGAAGCGCGTGCGCAAGCCCTCGACAACATATGGTGAGTAAAGATAGACACGAAAATGCCACAAAGCAAACGTGGCAGCCAAGTTCTGCCAACAAAAGTGGCAGGTGTGGCTTACGAAGAGCGCCCCGCAAACCCAGACACCCAAAACATGGTTTCGCATTCATCGACCCTTGGCTGCCTTTTTAGAGCCTCACATCGAGCCACAGATCAGGAGGTTGTATGGATATCGCGCGATCGGGACAGCCCTCTCTCCGAAGGACTTTGTTCCTTCGGGTCGTCCCCTGAACGCCTATTGGACGTGCAGCTAATCGCGGCGATTTTTAACCTTCTTCGACTTCTTGGAGACCCACCTTTCGTCAGCGTTAACACAGAAAACAACTTTTGAGCTTGATATGGCGGTCGATCAGCAGGCACGTCACCTGCTTTCGTTTGCGCGTCCCTACGACTGAAACCCCTGCATTCCTCGATCCAGCGGCTTTTTGTGTGATCCTTGACATGCGTTTCCAGTCAAGAAGGTGTGGATACAGCTGCATGATAGCCAACGCTAATTTCCTTTGTAAACATTATGCAATAATAGCTTTGCTGGATACTGTACATATATCCACTGGTGTACCCTGACAGCCCTGTTCTTCCAACCTTTTCTCTATCACATATCGACTTCTTATCTCGGACGTTCCCACCGTCTGTCAACTCACAATCCTCGGTGCTCACTTGGACAACTTCATTCCTTTCATCACTCTATCAACCGCTGGCAAAGCCCTCTCATATATCAACTTGACTGGAGCCGGTCTTCTTCCATCCAGTAACTCACCGCCGATCAACAACTCTTATCAAAATGTCTTCAAGTCCAGAAAAGGTGTGTTGTAACTACTTCCACTGCAACTGGAGTCAATCAACTAACATATTCCTAGTCACAACTCATTCAAGCATACATGATTCTGCACTCTCAGCAGACCAACGTTCGTCGACGATTATCAGTCGACTCAAGCTCAAGCTCGGCGAGCAGTCCCAACTCGAGCACTTCATCTTCAGCAAGCGTCTCTCCCATGTCATCATTCTCCTCGCCCTCACCCGAGTTCTCGTTCTCATCGAGATCTCCTCCATCTTCTTCTGGCCTCAGAAGACACTCCCGATCAGCTTCTTTGAGTTCTCGTCGAGGCTCTCTCTCACCACCTACCTCGCCCCACCGAATGAGCATCACATCCATCCCGGAAGAACCTTCAGGACCACCACCGCTGAGCGTTGATGAAGCCAAGCTTGCCGACATTTCATCTCGAATCAAGACCACCCTTACCGACCTTTTGAACTGTGACGCTGTCAAGAATGACCCTAGAATGCGATCATGGGTTGCAACACGATTGATGGATGTCGAGCATGAGCTCAAAGAGCAAAAGAGACGACGACACAGCTCTCATGCCGAAGATGCAGAGGTGATTGCATCGCATCTTCGTGTGTAAGATGCCTCAAAATTATCCTTGGGACCTTTTCCTTTGTCTGTCAGACGTTTTGGTTATGCTTGAGCATATCACTCGAAACGATGAGATCACGAACATTCATGACGCATACGCATTTTGTTGTACAGCAGGCGTTTAAGGCCTTTGGTCTACGACAGTATATACCCAAACAGTTTGATTTCTTGTTGATGTATCAAAATTTTCTTTTATCACACCAAAAGCTTTTGTTTCAATGACTATGCGTGACCGTTTTGTACTCTCTGTACTTGTATGTCTTGATAGATTGATCGCATTGCGGATTTTCTTCGCCTGTATGCTACCCACTCACCTTATCGTCTTGTCAACTCGTCGCTGTTGACGGCACTTCCGGGATAGCCCTCACTGTGCCTTCTGTGCGTTCTGATTATCGCTTGTATTCAGTCATGTTCGCGTCATTGTTTACCGCTGCGGCTCTGCCCTGCTCGAATACCACTATATGCATGAACGAGCGCATATACTTGCATGCATGCCTCTAACCCGACAGAGCCGCAATCCAAAAAACTTGTCCCCATCGAGCGACCGAAAGTTGAGCATTTTTTCCCATGATCGCAAACTCTTACCGACATCGATCAACCTTAAGTTGTGGGAAATAATAGAGCATCGGGCTTCGCAATAGAAGGGTCATGCGAAAGTAGGCAGCAGATCTTCTTTCGATCTTGCCTCATGCGGGAATCGCAAGAGTGTGGCGGTGAAAGGCACTCAGATCGCGTCTTTTGCACCATCGCGCTGGCAGAGGGGTCTCCTTTTTCAGGTTTGATGGTGTCGCCGCATCGAAGTGATCGTGAAACACGGTTTGCGATCCCTTTAGAGCTCGATTGGTCTTTGGACGTTTTGTGATGGGCGGGTGACTCGACTCGAGTTGTGTTGAAAGATTTGATGATCGACATGTGTGCGTGTGGAGGATCGATCGGGTCGAGAGCATCGAGACGCTGCCAGAAGAAGGATATTCGACTCGTGACAATCTCTTGACAATCTAGATTAGTGCATCTGAAAATCAGAAAGAATTCCTTAACCAGACCGAAAGTCCTTAATGTCAGGCCATGCTCTCTGGTCATCAGACGCGATAGGTTTTGGACGGCCTAGCGATCACTTGCGAGTCGAAGCGGTGTCGACACAACAAACTACATCGGGATCGAGCTGATGTTATTCCCACGTCCGATGGTCGAAAGGTGGTTGTTAATGCCTTGAAGGAACGTGCTCGAATGACTTGTCGTGATCAAAGTCATCGGACCCCCTCCTTGCACGTTTCGCAACGTAAAGCAGTCAGGAGGGCAATTTGCCGCCGCGGGAAGAGGATATATGCTTAGGCATTATTGCCAGCGATAAATAGAGTGCAGTCGATTAAATGGTAATGAAATGAACTTGTCAGAGATTCACGAATAGGTGGGCTGAATCGCGACGACAGCACTTTGTACATCGCAGCCGAAATGAAGCATTGGCAAAGGAGCGGCTGAGAGTCGAATCATGAAATCCTACTTGCCTCGACGATTTGGTTCGACGACTGCTCCATCATAGAGCTATATCTGCTCTGATAAGGACATCTCAACATGGAGATAAGGGCAATCGACCAAGGTCTCGCTCTTCACTGGTCCGGAGTTTGACCACAGGCGCCTGTTCAACGACCATCTCAAACAATACTGCGAGCGCAATGTGCATAGACCACCGATAGAAAAGCCATCTACCAGAATCTAATGTCCCGGCTGTGGGGGATGTGCAGAGCTCGGCCCAAATAGCAGAACCCCAAAGGTTCGTCCCTTGCTCCTGTATCCTCCCGTGGACCTTGTGCGGTCTGTTCATGAGATGTTGATGAAGTTCGGCGATATCAAGACGAGATATGCTGCGAATAGCACGAGCCGACCTTTTCGCCAATCGTGAAAATCTTGACAGCCATCGGACATGCCGAGTCGTGGTTCAAAACGGTCCAATACAAGTTGCCTCAGGCCAAGAGGCCGCGACTGATACTGGGCGAGCGAAACGGGCAAGAAAACTTGGATAGGGCTTTAGTAGAGTCGCAGCCCTGGAGAGTCGTGGGGAAATCATTCGCTCTTTCGAACCGCACTGCGTCGCTGACGCCATCTGACTCTCATGGCTCGCACGATACAAACTTTTCAACCTTTCAGCCTGTTGGCATGCTTGGCTCTGCGCAGTCGTACATGTCTCAGGCAAACATCGCCACATGCTACCTTACCATCCCAGCAACTGCATACAGATTCGCGCATTGCTTCATTAGTTTGGTTGCAGTCATGAAGTGTGCTTGCAGCGCTTGAATAACGAGTCGAGGTGCCTGTCATTTCACCATACTCCAGGCTTATGCAGGAACCCATAGTGCCCTTGCAGCGTGCCCGAACTAAGACATTGAGAGCGCAGAAGGGTGGCGCCTAACGGCGAAGTCAAACCCACCAGAAGTGACCAAACCGATCCCAAAAGAGCAGAGTGTAAGCGGAGTTGTCAGCCAGGCAAGCTGGGCCTGGCGTCTGCAGTGGCAATTTTTAGAATCAATAGTCCATTGACAATTGCGCTAGACATGTTCCTTACCATTATTTGGCCAAGTTGCTCAGCCACGGGCTGGAAGGATACGACTGTCAATGGCCTGCATTGGGGTCGTGGGAAATTGCATTGGCACATGGCTGTCGCCACGCCAAATCTCGGGTACGGGGAAGCCTGGCCCTTAGTTCGCGCTGTCCCTGGAGACTCTGGATTTTGGATTCCTAATTGCTGCTGTAAAGATATGCAGACGCAGCAGAAAAAAATCAGTTGCGATAGCGATACTGTCGGATGTTGCTACGGTTGAAAAGTCGTTGATGGAACTGCTCAGGGAAGGGTCGCTGACAGTAACGGCCGGGCAAATTTGAGAGCCTAAAGGTGAGACCGATTATGAATCCTCCAATCCAGGGCTTCTACCACACATTTCGCTGGGATCTGGGCGTAAGGCACTAACGTTTAGTGGATGAGTCGGCCGAGGGTGAGGCTTGCGCCAAGGGTCAATGCGACCAAACACTTGATCATGGCAGCATGATATATAAGGACTCTACTTGTGCCTTGGTGATTGCTCTTCTCTATCCATCCACTCACTAATTACTCAACCCAACTTCGACTTCGGTCTCACACTCGCTTCAGCAACCAACCCAATAATATAATCTCTGCACCTTTTTCTTCCCCAAACCAACACCACCCCAACAACATCAAAATGCAGTTCACCATCGCCGCTATTGCTGCTTTCGCCGCCTCTGTCTCTGCCATGGCTCTTAACACCACCGCTTCTGCTAGCCCCGTCTACGTTACTGAGGTTGTTACCCAGTAAGTCTATTGAAGCCTCGTGTTAATATACACAAAAAAAAAGGTTCAGATTGACTGACTATACCATAGTTTGACCACTTTCTGCCCTGCCGCAACAACTTTGACTGCTGGCTCTCACACCATCACCGTCACTGCTCCTACTACCATCGTAAGTCCTCCGAAGTCTCTGGACGAAAATATGGACCCGGGCATTTCTGAAGCCTCGAGCCCAATCTTCGACCACCTGATTCTACACTACGATACTGACCAGCTATACAGACCATTGAGGATTGTTCGTGCACACTGGTCAAGACTAGCTCTGTTGCCGTCCCTACCGCACCTGTTGTCACCGCTCCCTACAACAACGGTACCATTGCCACCAAGACCTCTGGTCACGCATCTGGCACTGGCGCCGCTGCCTCCAGCACCAAGCCCGCCCACTTCACCGGCGCTGCTTCTTCCATGAACGTCGCTGGTGCCGCCGCTGCCGCCCTCGGCATGGCCGCTCTCATCCTCTAAGCACATCACATGGTGGAACTGGAGCTGAGATGATCATAATGTCTTTGGGATCATTTGAGGCTCCATGGCACTAAGATGAGCAATCTGTATGGACAAGGCATCTTTTCGTATATCTTGTACATTTTGTTTTTGATATCTGTTGTTTGGATTTTTTTTCTGTTCTTAATGATACCCTCCATCTGCGCGGATGAGGACGTACGGATTTATACCCTTTTGCAAGGGCTTTTTCTTATTGGGCTTGCTGTCAATCAATACAATCGAAAAAAGTACAACCGTTGTACCCACACTGCTGCAACTTTGAAATGCTTCTTCTCTTCTTCACGTTCGATGGACATTGCTTTGTTCCGCGAACCATCTTGCATTGCATTGGACATAAACACTTCAGCCATGATCTTGAGATAGATCACGGAAGTCGATTGGAAAACCTGCAAGTTGCAGATTCTCTTTGGTCATGTCTTTGATATACGAACATTCATGCCTTTTCATGGTATGGAAACTGCTCTACCTCGTTTGGAAGTTGGAACAAGTAAGTGTTATCTATCTATAAAATTGCACAATATCATTGGAAAACAGATCAGTATCAAGTGAAAGGGTGACAAGTCGTTGGCTTTCTCTGGTCATATCTCTGGTTGGTAAGCATTTGTGCCTTTGGATAGCATATGGTTTCAACTATATTGTCACGGGCGGTAGGGTCAAACTGCTAATGGACACATGTTTACAGAGAGTGGGAGAGAGATTTTCATTTCCTGCTTGTTTTTGACAATCCTTCATTGCCAATTGTTTGTACTTTTGCTTGTCCCAAAGCATCTCCAATCCTGCTTGCCTTTTCTAAAGATCCTTTCGCTCCTTTCTGTTGTCCACAGCACAAACATCGCACAAACAACCTCTGGGAAAGTTGCCTTGAACGATCTGATCAACGATGATCCAGAAGACGTGAGGAACAAACGAGGTGAGGGAACGGAAGGGTTTATCGTACTTGAAGCCAGCATTCTCACTTTCGTGGTGGCCAAAAATGTATCTGTCGGTGTTTCTGCCTGGCTTGGGAGGAGCAGCAAAGGCAGCAAAACCTCTGGGCAAACCGCCAATGAAGCGAATGCGGTCACAGTCTGTTCGAGCACCAGGCGTTAGTTGAAGTTTGGAAATGTGTCTATCCCGCGAGGTCGTTCTTACTCAATTCGAGCATCATGCTTGGTGCAGAACGGTGTTTGTTGAATGCGACTGTTAGGCGTTCGAGGAAGTCGTCGTCGGGAATGGGAGTATAGTTGAGCTCAGCCTTGGGGCGATGCTCCGGGTCACTGTCGAGCGATTCGATCTTGCTGAGGTCGAGCTCGCGGACGGCGACGTGGGTGGGGAAGAGGACGTGTGGCATGGTGTCTTTTTGTTTGGCTTGTCGATGCGTCAGGATAGGTTCAAGGAAGAGTGATGGGATCATATACACAAACAAGGCGGTCATTGCTCGTGATAGAATGTTCCGGTCCCTGTCCGTAGGGTTCTTTGAGTCTCCGTGGATGAAGTGAGCATTGTGATTTCTGTCTTGTGATGTGTGATCGGTATGGCTCACTGTTCGTCGACATGAGAGAACCTTCAGACTTCACTGAAGATTGGCACACAAAAACTTGGGTGTCCAGGATCAAGACCTGATGTAGGATATACTATAAAGATGCATAACATCATTTGTGATGGGGAGACTCTTCATTAAAATCAGAAATTTGGTCTGCTCTCGTTGGACATATCTGTGTATCTCGTTTCCATTGTGACCTTTCATAGTATACCAAGATTCTGAATGTTCTGTGGGAAACCAACAACTATTTTTCTCCCATGGAAACTCCCATTATGTGGATATAGTACAAGAATGCAGGTTATCAAATAGTTCTACAACGATGTCCAGTGAGAGCCTCTCGGATCCTGGCTTTCGGTGGACAACGCCCATTCATCTAATCATATTATGACTTTTGATAGTATATTGAAAACTTGAGAGCTTCGTAGAGGAGATGGAACATGTGGTTATCCCAGCAAAGACTTGTACATCCCAAACCCACCATAAAAATGCAAGATATCTGTATGATTCACAGTCACATCCAGTGAGAGTCCCTCTTGCCATTCCTCTCAATGGCGAATATCACTTCCATACTTCTCTTTGTGACTTTCAATAGCATTCCCAAACATCAGTCTCACCTCGGAGATCCAGAAATCAAAAATCTATAACCCAAGAACCGCCCTCAAGGCCCCCAGAATCCCACTCACAACCCACCAAACAGCACCCCAAACCACCTTCACAACTCCTTTAAACACCATAACAATAGCGGCACCAATAGCATAATTAAGCACAAACCAAAGCAGCACCACCGAACCAATAACCAGCAAAACACGCGTTCCTGCTGTTTTTGGGCCTACCACTGAGCCATTTTTGTCGGTGAAGAGTTTGGAGGCATAGTCTCGGGGTGTTGTGTACTGACGGATTTGGCGATGGTGAAGAGATAAGTGGGTGTTGTGGTTGAGGAAGGAAATGTGGTGTTGTTGGATAGCGCCAAGAGGTGAAGTGCAGGATTTCGGTGATGACGCAGGGTCCGATGCTGTCCATGTCGTGCAGGCGACAGAGGACCTGGTTCTCTCCTGCCAAAGTCGAGACCTTCTGGTTGACTGTGTAGCGATGGAGCTCACATCGCCAAAGAGATGACAATGCGATGAGATTGACGGTGTTGATGAAGCAAGCTTCATGGTCGGCCTACACGAAAACTTCCGACACGAGCCTGGGACTGCGGCCTTGCACGCGCCACTGAGAGAAAGGCATTGTCTGCCAACAGAGGCAATGGTGTTATGTTGCATGTCTGCTGCGACAAATACTGATTGAATGAGAGAAGAAAGTTGTGTTATATATATAAGTGTACTTGAGTAGAGTATGATTTGAAGCCTGGAGAGAAGATTTCCGCAAGAAACTCTATGGTGAACACCGTGAGAACAACATTTATATCACACTCACTGCTTCTCATCGAAAGTATTTGTATTCGACCTGGTGTTTTCGTCAAATGCTTTTCATCCCATCACACCCCTCAAATCCTGAGCACCTCTCAACCCGTCCACCGAATCCACGCGAAATTGACCGAACGCCCCTACCAATTATCATAGCACTGTCTGGATCGCAGTCCCGATCTCATAACATATGCCAAAATACAATCCAAATATCGCGCAAATACATGGCAGCCTCGGCCAAGACGGATATCTCCTCTCCTTTAGAGAGCTTCTTTGTTTTGTTATTCACCGTGTCCTTGTTCTTGTTCTCACATGGCTTGGAGATGTGATCGCCAGGCTTTGTATCGCGGCTGATTTGTTGATGGCATAGAAAGCCAGTGAGTTTGAAGTTCGGACGCGTAAATGGAACAGTATGGGTAGACATCTCAGTCGAGTATGGCAATCCCGTACCAATCTTCCGCAGCGGAGGGATAGTAGTGCTATATCTATGGAAGGCTGGAGCGCAAGGCGGATTTGTGGTCGCAGAAGTGGGTGCTCTGTTCCAAGGAAAGCTTTGTCGCGCAACAGCTGTTGTGATGTGGCATTGCATCTTTGCTGAGCTCTGATTTTGGACAGCGGGTAAAGTTGTTGTAGACTTCTGTATGTGGGTGCATACATGTAGGTGAACGAAGATCAGATAAAAGTTCTCATAGGCAGCTCATTTTAGCTCTTTTGCAGACACGTGGCAGGCCAGTCATGAGGTCTTGCGAGCACTTGAGCTGCTGTCGCCTCATTTCTGTGAGTCTATTCATCGTTCGATTTCTCTACACTCGAGGTCTAGCAAGTAATCTTCCTTTGCTTAGACAGTATACCGATTACCAGCGCCATACTTGCCAAAGCAATCTGAACAGCTACGAAGCGAAAAAATCAGGGTCAGCTGGACGGTCTTCAAGAGAGGGAGTTTGAGCGACATACCGAACGTCCTCCTGAAACTCATGACGAAGGCACGGACAACCATACGTCGAAGATGACCATGCAAAGTATGCACATAAGCAACATCTGACAACACCTTTCTCGCGATCTGTGCCAACGCATCAGCTATGGGATTCGATCAGAAAAAGGGTTGACTACGACATACCTTATCACCACCAACAACTCTGCCCAACATCCTGTGGAGATTCGAACGTAAAGCAGATCGGAAAATGGCACTTGCAGCACTGACGCCAGCAACGACACTGATGCTGGAGCTGAGGTATAGTCCTGTAGTCGCAATGGCGATCTGCTCTTTCTCAAGTCCAGCAGTCAAAGCAACAAAGACTGCAGAATTGGCCATGCCCGATCCGCAGCCGCCGAAGAAGATGACTAGTGATGCAGCTGTGCTGGTGTGACCGTGCCAGAGGACCAAAAGCAAGGAAAAGCAGAGCATAGCGGATAGACTTGCTAGGATTGTCGGAGGCTTGTAGCGACCGGTGCTGTACACTGTTAGTCGATTGAGAGAAAACATGTCTTGAGACGATAAACTGACCGCTTTATCCAAGCACCGACAGCAAGGCCACCAAGTGTATTGCCAAACACAGCGGGAACAAGGTGAGCACCAGCTTCACCCATGCTTGCATTAGCAGTGACCTGGAAGTATAACGGCACCAAAAACATGAGCTGGTGATGAATGTCAGTACGGAAGGACAACCCAAAGGCATACAGCAGAACTTACAGAAACTTGAATACCAGTCTGAATGAAGATGATTGTGTAAGAGGTGATCACTGCATCTTTGCCCAGCAATTCCAATGGGAATATCGGTTCGTTGGCCCAGAACTTCTCTGCGAGGGCAAAAAGAACCCAAGCAGCAACGGCAACCGCAACCAAGGTGACAAGAACAGGAGTACTGGCCTGTTTGCTGCCAAGATCGAATGCCGTGATGCTTGCTAGGATGGCAATTGACATGAAGAAAGCGCCGACAAAATCAATCCGTTTGAGCTTCGTCCAGATGCTTTGCTTGAGTTCATCGTTTCTTTGTGGTTCCTCAAGTCTCCACCAGACCAGCACGATGGAGAGAAGTAAAAGCGGACATTGCCCAATGAAGGCCCTGTAGAATGTGAGTTGGTAATCGAAGCATTACCGAGGTACTCACCATCGCCAACCAATGGTCTGTGTCAAAAAACCTCCTATAAGACCACCACAACTTCTACCTACAGTTGAAAAGACGTTGACATAACTTCTGTATGCCGCAACCTCATGCAGTGGTACAAGATCTAGGCAGAAAATAAGCAGAAAGAAGACATCTCGACTCAAGATAGACATACCAGTCAACAAGATGGAAACCATGGAGACCATACCAGCACTTCCAGCGCCTTGGATGACACGTCCAATAATCATCTGAATCATATTCTGAGCAATTCCAGCGATAGCAGTGCCAGTCAGGAACAGAACATATGACAACTGCAAGATTGGCTTCCTTCCGAAGATCTGTGATAGCCGTCCGTACATTGGTTGAGTTGCGCAAGTGGCCAGACCAAAACTCGTTACTATCCAACTGCCATCGATCCAATTGCCGCCTCCTAGGCGAATGAACTCAGAAGTGATATGTGCATATGTCGCAAACACTAGAGTCGTATCGGCTTGAGAGACAAAAACACCGATCAGGAGGACCGAGATAATGCCAAAGATAGAGCGTGCGGGTCGTTCATTTTGTGGGCTCCCTGCTGTCGAGTCTTGCCCTTGTGATTCCTGAGTATCGACTTCCCCGGCATTGGCCTCCTGGTCCAGCAGAGGCGTTGTTTCCTGCTCGACAGTATCCTTTGGTGCGACCAGCGCATTCGAGTCCTCTCCTTGGCGAGCAATCATGGCTGATAGTCAAGATAGGATAAGAAAAGATCCAAGAAAGGGGAAGTCTCACAGACGCAACACGAGCACGTGGGCGACGGTTGTTAAGGTTGATGCGGCTGGCGGATACGAACCGATACTTTTACAGAATAGGTAGCGAGGCCACGCGTGCTTATATTCTCCTTACCTTCCTGCCATTCTACGTGCAAATTTCTCTTTAGAGTCATTGCTTGTGATTGCACCATCGCACCGCGACATTCTGGGCCGGAATGTCGGGTTAGGGCTTCTTGACAATGTGATCGTCTGTTCTTGTTGCGATAACAGGATGTCGCAATTGGTTGTTGAGCAGTCGTGATTGAGAACCTCGGGATGTGGAAGGGAGGCTGCAGGCTATACCGCTTCAGGATAATGGCGTGGGGTAGCGGTTGCCATTCAAGGGCAGCATCAGGGTGTTATGCTCAACAAACTTATCACGAGACATCGGCGACGATATAAACTCTTTACAAGACCTTATAGCATCTTGGAAATATCGAATGAGGTGATCATGGTGTCTTTGATGCTTCGGGAACATATCCGAGCTACAAACTGCGCGTGTTGCTGTCACGATACACGAAGGGAACTTTTCCAACAATGTCTACATGCGTTTGCGTGTGCACGAGTAGGAATCTTCAGGTTCACAAGACCAACATACAGACTATCTCCAACACAACAGTATATGCGCAGAGAAAACGCTCCTGAATATAGAAATGTGAGGGCGGCTATGTCTAGCTTCATACAAGTATTCTTTCGTCGATAATGTGTTGATATGACTGATTATGCGCTTCTACCATGCTACGTTCATGACCGGTACCCACACCTACACTGTGCCCCTGAGCTGCATTCCTGGCTCAGTAAAGTCATCGACGAGATGGTGGCTTCTTTCAGCCACACACGGACAGTACCCTGGCCAGGCCCGCATGTCTACAACCGTGCTCTGATCAAAGCTATAGTATCGTCAAAGTACCACCTGGATACAAGTGTGTGCTTTTGCCTGTTGCGTCCATCTGGAACGTACGAGAAAGCAAGACAAGCGGCTGTACGGGGACCAGGCGAGAGTGTCATCACAGATTAGATTCCGTGCCTGACGCCATAAGAAGGCTGTGTCTCGAACGACTCGCCACCACGAGGCAATTCTGCGGCGAAGGTGTTGGATGAGTAATTTCATCCGAGCAACCAGCTCGTCCTTGGTTGAATAGATGTCAAAATGCAGTTCAGACCCTTTTTCTCGCGACGCCAATGTTGCAATGGTCGACAAGTTCTGCTCAACCAACAAACTTGCAGGTGGGCATGCGGTAGTTGTCCAATGCCCAGTAGCGGCGGCGCACACCTTCCCATTCACCCTGCTCATCAAGATCGGGAATGTGAATATCCTCAAACTCGGTATCCATACCAGCATCGAAGAGGTCCATCTCTACTACTCTGGTGTAGACATCGTAGCATACCTGTCTGTCGGCACCGAGACCATTGAAGAAACCAAAGCGACCTTCGGGGTCAAGCAGACCAATGACATACTCGGTGAAGAACTCCTTTAAGGCCTTGTACTCCTCGGCGAAGGTATCAAAGTAGATTCCGTCAAAGACCTCGTTTTGCTCAACGAGCTTAGGGACAACATCTTGCCATCTGCCTTCGTGGATCTTGACGCCAGGCTTCTCGTACCAGCCATCCTTGCGCATGCGAGCTAGGACATCAGGGTGTGCTTCGATGATGTGGTGAACTGCGACCTTCTTGTCTTGGAAGATACCATCGATGATGCCCATGCCGTGACCGACGTTGAGAACACGAAGCCCGGGCTCGGGGCACAGGCGGTCGACAGCCTTTTGCATGATATCGGTCTCCCAAGACATCATGACACCGTTCTTGTCGGCATCCAGCAGTCTGTCGCCCTTGAAGGTCAAGTGTGAGGCAAGATAGTCTTCGCTGTTGACATCGACCTTTGTCTCTTGGCCGTCCTCGTCGATCTGAACGAGCTCGGGCACGCTTTGAGTGCCAGGAACAGTGCCGTCAGGGCCAACGAGCTCAGGGGCACTCTCTTCAACCTCGACCATGGACGCTTGCAGAGAGCCAGCGTTCTCACCCTCGACAATTTCAAAGCCTTCAACTTCCTGCTCTTCCTCTTCGCTGTCGTCCTCGTATTGTGCCAGCAGTTCAAACCCATCAAGACGGCTGAGTAGAAGCTCGGCGCGGACACCGGCCTCGACCATTGCCTCATAGCACTTCTTCAAACCCAGTCGCAGAGCCAGGCATCCGGGAGTCTCGTTGTTGTCGTCCAAGTCGTTCCAGATGGCACCGTTCTCCAGTAGGAACTTGATTGTCTTGAGAGCCTCCTCTTCCTCTAGAGCAGCGTCGTTGAGAGTGGCTGCTTCATCGACGTCCATATCTTTCTTGTCCTGTGCAGTCTCGTCGTCGGGCTCGCATGCAGCAATGGCAGCATGAAGAGGAGTCATTCCAGTGTCAGAGTCGACAACATTGGCGGAACCTTTGGGCGTGCGCAGGAGACGGCGGAGTGAATCGATGTCGTGATTGGTGGCGGCAAGGAGGATCTCCTGCTCGGTGGTGTCTGTGTCGATGTCCATTGCTTGATCTTCTGCCATGTTGGGCTATGTGATTTGACGGCGATGATGGTGTGAAACAAAAGTCGCGATTGTGATTTTTCTGCCTCAACAAAAAAGCGGAGAAGATGCGGGGAGTTCGTCTCACGAGCAGCCAGACTTTCTCTTCTTGCAGGGCCTATATCTCTGTCGTTTTTCGCACCATACTCAGTGTCGGTATACACGTCTTTCTACGATCAGAGAGCGTGTCGAGCAGGAGCAAACCTCAGCGCCTAAGGAGCATATCTGCAGCCATGTCTTTGGACATGTTCCCTCGTCTCTATTCATAAAGATGGAGCTCTCGGCGAAGACCCTGACGGCATGGCTGATTGGTCAGGTTTCGTACAACGAGTACGATAGCAACGCACAACACCAAGCTATCTTCTGTTTCGGATGCACAAGAATTTGTTGCCAAGAGCATAACATATAACTTCTGCATACCATCTTTCAGAACGACAACGAGCACACATACCTAGTCATGAGTTACTCGGATGCGTAGACGTCCGAGACTCCGGCTCCGAATAAGCTACATCACCGGTCAAAGCTGGTGCACGTCATATCAGATCGTCAGCCAAGCGACAAAAAGTAGTAACTCTTCCGACTGGACATGCCAACTTGTTGTCAGGAGATTCGAATTTCATATACGACAAACTGATACACGTATTGCTGTGGGCCGGCCCTGTTAACCTGCGAATTTCATCACCTTGTATCATGCTCTGCCATTTCTTCTTCCACTAACCCTGTCTCCTTCCTCATCTCACCCTAGCCACTTTATCCATCTTTCCATCAACCAATCAATATACTCGGCTCGTCTACGCTGACGACAACTCGCTATCATCATGGACGGACTTGCAGAGTCAAGTCGTCGTCGTCCCAACCTCCCGACAAACGACACTCTCGATGTCCAAGAACTCGTCGGCAGCATACAAGGCGATGGCACTGCCTCTCTGAAGCCTCGTCACAAACAGACAACCGATCTCCAAAGTGCAGACACACCCAACAGTTCAAGCTCCTCCTCCTTGACCTCAGACGAAGACGTTGAAGACTACGACAAGATCAAGCTGGATCCAGACACCATCGTTGACGGCAGCAGCGGCGGCCCTCTAGGCGATGCAGCCACCGACGATAAGCCAGACCAGGACCTCTCACTCAAACCTTCTAGGTCAGGTGTGGGACGCATCAGACAGAAATCCGATACCGACACTCGTCAACTATCACCAGACTCTCGTCGCAAGAGCATTCAGATCCGCCTTGAAAAGACCGATCGCAAAGGTCACTACATCCTGACCGCCGACGACCCAGACATTCGCGACATCCTTAGAAAGGGTATGGAAAGAGAAGAAGCCTCACAAGATCCGTCCAAGAAAGCGAGAAGTCTACGAGACCTTGTCTTTACTCGCCAGTTCACAACTTTCGACCGACAAAACCCTCTCAGCGCAGAGTCGCCCTTCCACGGTTTCTTCACTCTGTTCTGGTTGGCCATGGTCCTCATGTTCTTCAAGGTCTCTGCGTACAACTGGAAAGAGCATGGAAGTATCTTTGGTGGTAATGAGGTCTTCAAGATCATGTTCAGTCATGATGTCTTGATCCTGGGACTCACTGACGGGGTCATGGTCTTCTCATCTGTCTTGGGATTCTTGCTACAAAAAGCGATTGTCAAAAACTACATCAGCTGGAACGGATCAGGATGGATTATCCAGAATGTCTGGCAGACCTTCTTTCTAGGCTCTGTCGTCTGGTGGATGTTCTACCGTGAATGGCCGTGGACCCATACTATCTTTATGGTTCTACACACCATGGTCTTTCTCATGAAGCAGCATAGCTATGGCTTCTACAACGGTCACTTGTCCGTCTTTTACAGGCGACGCAACATGCTGAGAGAAAAACTGCGAGCCCTTCGCGAGATGGAGCCTATACCATCCGCGCCAAGCAGCCCTCAAGGCATAAGTCCTGCAGTGACTAGTGCGATGGAACAGACTGACACAGGCGAGAAGAAGCGTCGTCCTATGGTTCATCGAACTTCAACAAATCTGGATAACGAAAAGTCTGATGTAGCTCGAGTTGCGAAGGCTATGCAGTCCGGTCAACCTCTAACAGTGGATCAGATGCTAGCATTTCAGCGCATCATCGAAGAAGAGATTGCCGCGCTAGACAAAGAGCTGAAGGGTAAGGCGCAGTCTGACGAAAAGGCATATCCCAACAACCTGACAGTGAGCAACTTTGCCGACTGGACCATTCTACCCACACTGGTGTACGAACTTGAATATCCCCGCCAGGAACAAATCAACTGGTGGTATGTACTGGAAAAGTCTATGGCAACATTCGGTACGCTTTGCGTGATGCAAGTCATCTCTCAAGCATACATTTACCCTCCAGTGGCCGAGACTGTGCGCATGAAGGAAGCAGGCATGTCATTGGAAGACAGAGCAAGGCAGATGCCATGGATTGTGAGCGACATGCTGTTTCCACTATTGTTGGAGCAGCTCTTGTCGTGGTATGTCATATGGGTAAGTCGTGACGATGCAGCTACACTGTTTAGAATACAAACGACTGACTGTAATATAGGAATGTGTGCTCAACGTGCTGGCCGAACTCACATGCTTTGCCGACCGAGGCTTCTATGGCGATTGGTGGAACAGCGTTTCATGGGACCAGTATGCAAGAGATTGGAACAGACCAGTGCACAACTTTTTGCTTCGACACGTCTACCACTCTTCAATCTCAGCCTTCCACCTGTCCAAAGGATCGGCGACATTCGTTACGTTCCTGTTGTCGGCATTGGTGCACGAGTTGGTCATGGCATGTCTTTTCAAGAAGGTGCGCGGGTATCTGTTTACGATGCAACTGCTACAGATGCCTCTGGTGATGCTCAGTCGAACCAAGCTTCTCAAAGGCCGAAACCTGTTAGGAAATGTGGTGTTTTGGATTGGGCTCTTCGTTGGCCCGAGTGTGCTGACCAGCTTCTATCTTTTGATTTAGTCTTATAGAATTAGAGATGGACGTCTATAGAACAGAAGAACAATCGTTGTTACTCAGCAGAGAATATCTGTGTTTTGTGGCTTTGGGCATTGATCGTGAGTGGCGGTGCAATGCAGACCGAGGCCAATCAAAACTGTCGGCAGGTGAATCCTCGTGCTCGTCAGGCGAGTCGACGTCACCCTCCGCGTGTCTTCCTATGCTTCTGCCTTCTGTCTCTTTTTTGTAATAGCATCGATTGAGGCTGAGTAAGAAAGTCGTAGGAACAAGAGGCCGTTGAAACTGAAGGTGGAACAGCAGGCATCCGGATTCCGCGTCGCATCATTAATAAAAGCAATCTCCGCCCGCCATCGACCGCATCTACCGATAGCTCCTCCTTCACCCCACCACCGCAACCATGAACGTGATCAAGCTGCAGAGGTACGCCGCGACTGCGCGCAATCTGAGGGCATGAGTTGACTTGCTCTAGGAAATATCCTCAATTTGACCAAAATGAGATCTTCCAGCTCTCCAATGCCTTCCAGAACATGGACGTCGACGACAAGGGCTACCTAGATGAAGCCACCGTCATCAAGGCCACCCAGAACTCAGAGCGCCAGCCCTACGATGTTGTGCGACAGGCTCTCAAGGAGGTTGAGCTCGATAGCTCGCGACGAGTCGAGTTGGATGACTATGTTGATGTATACCACCATGACTGCCCAACCCACCCAGCACCCGGCTGACAGGCGCCCAGTTGATCTCGAAGCTCCGCGCACCATCGCAAGCCCAAAAGAGCATGGCCACCGGGCCCACTCGTTCGCGCGGCCTCAGCAATGCCCAACTACAGGGCCAGCAACCCACTCCCGGCCACGCCTCCAAGGGTAGCATCGGCGGCGGCGCAAGCACTGGAGGTGGTCGCATCCACGTTGGAGGTGCCACTGCCAGTTCGCAACACACTATTAACGAGGATGAGCGCGAGGAATTCACTCGTCACATCAATGCCGTTCTTGCTGGAGACGCCGACATTGGCGACAAGCTGCCCTTCCCTACCGATACCTTTGAGATGTTCGACGAGTGCAAAGACGGTTTGGTGCTGGCCAAGCTCATCAACGACAGTGTGCCCGACACAATTGATGAGCGTGTTCTGAACAGACCTGGCAAGAAGATCAAGACTCTCAACGCTTTCCACATGACCGAGAACAACAACATCGTCATTGAGTCGGCAAAGGGTATTGGTTGTTCAGTTGTGAACATCGGCTCTGGCGATATCATTGAAGTCAAGGAGCACTTGATTCTCGGTCTGATTTGGCAGATCATCCGCAGAGGTCTGCTCGGCAAGATTGACATCAGACTTCACCCCGAGTTGTACAGATTGTTGGAAGACGATGAGACTCTGGAACAGTTCTTGCGCCTGCCCGCTGAGCAGATTCTGTTGCGCTGGTTCAACTACCACTTGAAGAACGCCAAGTGGCACAGAACGTAGGTGCAAAAACGCAACAATCTTGAATATATGGCTAACAGTATGCAGCGTCTCAAACTTCTCAGGCGACGTCAAGGATGGTGAGAACTACACAGTCCTTCTCAACCAACTCAAGCCCGAAATCTGCTCCCGCTCGCCCCTCCAGACCAACGACCTCATGCAACGCGCCGAACAAGTCCTTGACAACGCCGACAAGCTCGACTGCCGCAAGTTCTTGACTCCCAAGTCTCTCGTCGCAGGTAACCCCAAGCTCAACCTTGCTTTCGTCGCCAACCTGTTCAACACCCACCCTGGTCTTGATCCCATCACCGAAGAAGAGAAGGCTGATATCGAGGACTTTGATGCTGAGGGTGAGCGTGAGGCTCGTGTCTTCACTCTTTGGCTAAACAGTCTGGACGTCCAACCTACTGTTGTTTCCTTCTTCGACGACCTGCGCGACGGTACTATTCTTCTGCAAGCCTACGACAAGGTCATTCCTGGCTCTGTGAATTGGCGCCACTGCAACAAGCGTCCTGCCAACGGCAATGAGCTCATGCGCTTCAAGGCTGTCGAAAACACAAACTATGCTGTCGAGATTGGCAAGCAGAACCGTTTCTCCCTTGTTGGTATTCAAGGTGCAGATATTACCGATGGCCAACGTACTCTTACCCTTGGTATGGTCTGGCAGCTCATGCGCAAGGACATTGTCAACACTCTTGGTAACCTCGCTCAACGTATGGGCAAGCGCGAAATCAGTGATGCAGACATGGTCACCTGGGCCAACGGTATGTCCAAGAAGGGAGGCAAGTCATCCTCCATCCGCAGTTTCAAGGACACCACTCTCGGTAACGGCATTTTCTTGTTGGATGTTCTGAACGGCATGAAGAGCAGCTACGTCGATTACGACATGGTTGCATCTGGCCGTAACGACGACGAAGCATATGCCAACGCCAAGCTTGCCATTTCTATTGCTAGAAAGATGGGCGCAACCATCTGGCTCGTACCCGAGGATATCTGCAATGTTCGCAGCAGACTTATCGTCACTTTCATTGGCAGTCTTATGGCCACTGCTGAAAAGATGGGAGTGTAAAAGAGAGATGAACACATTTTGCGTCTTTGTCGATTATTCTAATGTTCCTCCTCCCATCACTGCTTTGTTTTATATCCAGATCACGCGAATGCTACAGAAAGTTTTGAATACACGAGTTTCCTCATTTCTTGTTCTTTTTGCTTTTTCTTGTGTTCAGCTATTGCTATGGTCGTTGCTTGGTTTGCAGGTGAGTTTGTTAACGAGACTTTCCACGTGCTGACCACGCGAAGGACATGTCCGAGGTTCATTCTTTTTCGAAGATGACTCTTCCAGTTTCTCGCGCCAGTATTATTTTACTAGCTACTTTCTTTCCTGCGATTTTCTTCTCTCTACACCCTGAGACCACTTCTCTTTCCTTCCAAGACTTGATCACAGGACGATAACCAGTGTACCTGAGACAAGGACAGGATGGTGTTTTCCCTACGCGCTGTCCAAGCAACTGGACGGAGTTTACCTCTCACGACTTCTATGACACTTTGTCGTATCCTCACACAGCAAGCAACAAGAGTGTCTGCTGCAGAGAGGACTATTTCCACGACTGCATCCACCACAACACAAAAGAGGGATATCCACAACGTTACCCTACCCACGGGGCGGCCAGAATTCCCCCGACACACAAATCAAGAGCTGATAACTTCAAACCACAACAACGTAGGCAGTATTAATTCTATTTAAATTCTGAGACTTGTATCTTATTCTGCATATGTTGTTTATCTATTGTATCTATTTAGAAAAAAACCAAGTTAGTTGGATCATATAAGAAACTAGAATATATACTAAAACACAGTGACCAAAAGGCTATATTGGTTACTTTGTTGAAAACCCATAGTTATTCTTCTGTCTACTGGATTTTAATACAGAAGATTTATCAATAGATATAGCTACAGTAGAAGATCTATCTATCTTTGTTTTAACCCCCTACTACTAATATTCGTGTTGTGGTGTTACTTGTACGTTCTGTAGTTGTCATTTGTGTGTCGGGGGAATTCTGGCCGCCCCGTGCCTACCCTGGCCCTCCGAACCAGAAACCAAACCCATCAACATCGAATTCCTGCATCAAGCAGCAACCTCCAAAGCCAAAATCTCGAACCCGCAAACGATTCCCGAAGAACAGAGTACCAAAGATCTACACTCAACTATCCAGTCACAGAAGGAACAACTGGTTCGACAAGAAATAGATATCAAGCGACTGAAGGAACTTCTGATGCAACCTGGATTTTCTAGACAAAAGAAATGGGTTTATGAATGTAAGAGTTGTGGGGAGGTTGGTGTGGGGGTGGAGATGGAAGGAAAGGGGAAGAGTAGATTTTTGGAGATGCTGGAGAAGAAAGAAGGGCAGAGGGAGAGGTATGATGTTTTGTAGATGGAAACCAGGATAGATGGATGGGAGGGAGAAAAGGGTACGAGGGGTTAGAGAAGAGGAGAGGTAAAGAAAAGGGATACACGGGTAGCGTAAAAATGATGCTTGGGATGGTTCAATGCAACGCCCAAGGGTCAGCAGGAGCACCGAGTTTCTGGAGTAGTAGTAGTCATATAGTTAGGCCACCGATGCCGGAATGTGGAGTTCACAGTGAACCAAAACAGCCTTTTCGATCAATAAGAAAGGTATAGAACGGTCTAGGTGCTCATTCATTTCCAAAAGTGATGTTCACATTCAGGGATGAGAAAAAGTGTTATCTAGGATGGATGATAGAAAATGGATGACAATGATGAGTGATAGGGCTGTATGATAGGTATGAATGATGGCAATAGATAATCGGGATAGAGTTGGGAAGAATGAGAAGGGATTGAAGACGGGAGTGAGAGGGTAAAAGGGGCACGGGGCATCGGCTGAGAGAGGTTCGAAGAGTTTTGAGAGTTTTCTCAGGGACCGTTGGACATGAAGCGTCAAGGTTGTGTGCTGGCAAGTTTTCAGCTCAGTCCTTCTGTTGGCATCTATCAGGGCAAGTGGGTTTGGGTATAGGAACAGTGACACGTAGGAAACTAGAAAAAAAAAACTGGATACTTCAAAAGAAACATCATGGATACTAAACCTTTCGCACTTCATATCCGAAGGTGAGATAGAATCATCCTCCCCGTGTTCGAAATACTGTAACGCTGCACGAAGTGATAGTTTTGCAACAAAGATAACTTAGGCAATGCTCGTTCGATCTTGACGACAGTTGGTTCTGATTACTCGCAATATGCTAGAGTATATTCTGTAAAATTTTCAGTACATATTATCTGTTCTGTTGGCGAGGTATATGGTGTTGAAGTCAACTCGGAAGTATCGTGGTCGAAGCCCCCACCAGGATTCGTAGCCGCACAGCGTTACAGTATTTCGAACACGGGGAGGATGTAATCTCGTGTAGCTTGTGGAGTGGGAAACAATCGGCTTCGGACGACTCGCCTTGGTGCACTAGAGTATTTTGGCTGCTGAGTTCCACTAGATATCGAGTTTATCGAAAGCAGTAAAGCGCTCAGAGAAACGGCAGCCTTGGCGGCGCTTGCGACTCAAAAACACGACTCAGTCAGCAGGCTCAGTGGCTATACCACTTTGAGATCTTCAACGCCGAAGAAGAGTTTTCTTTGAGCTCGAAGAAACGGTCAGATTTATGCAAATTCATAAGGATACGCTTGCGCGAGCTGAACACTGCGACTCGCAAGCTCAGCCAGTCGAATCTGTGGAATCTGTCGGTCATTACCAAATTGGGGGCAGCCAAAATACTCTACTCTTGCGGAGCTGGACTTGGATGGATCACTTGAGAAGACTGTGGGTCCGTTCAGGACAAATTGAGACTGCCCAGTCTCCATTGAGCGATCGTTGGTGGCGAGAGGCACATCGAGGAGACGAATGCAGGCATTCATGTCCTTCGAGAGTTTCAAGAACCGCCGGTTGGTCTGCGCCGTCAACAGAGGTCCAACGGCGGCGAAAGTATGGATGATAGGGCACAGATCCAGTCCACGATCTCGCTCCGACTGAGAGTCAGGGCACAACAAAGGACCTGGACGCTTGCGATAGGGTCTTCGATGCTGAGGAAACAGCGATGATCACCTTGCTCCTCGAGCTTGTGCTCTATGGCGGCATCGATGGTGATAGTTTCGCGAACCTGAGCCGTGGCACTTGACCTGTTGTCCAAGAAAGGTCAGGTGGACGGTGCGTGGGGAGTGGAAGGCGATGGACTCGAGTGAGACCAGTGTACTGTCGTGGCCATAGTCAGAAACGTATTGCCTTAGCGCTAGTGATTGCGTCTGGAAACGCGACCGTGGCAATCAGCAGTCTTTTTAGGATCGAACTGCTGCTTCGACCGCTGCAGTCGATGCATGCTCGGCGTACCTCATCTCACCTCTCTCTGGGAGTTTAACATGAAGGTCTGACCGAGCTCCTGAAGTGCATCTTTTAAGAGTACTGCGGGGATTTACATGTGTCATGTATTGCCAAAATCCTTACGGCCTGTAGGCCCACTTCGCGTCCTTTAGCTGGGATTGTCAATTCTCGCCGAGCAAATAGTGCGTCTTGTCAACCACCTGCAAGTCTCGATCATCGCCCCTTCTCACTACAGCCATCTCTCCTTGTTGATGCCTGTGAAGACCCTTCCAAGGCAGACACGTCTAACTCAGCCGTGACAACAATCAGTAAACTTCGTGTCCAATCGCTGATCAGCTGCGCTCCGCCCCGATTGCGAGTCACGACTAAGGACCATCGATACTGAAATGCGTCAGACATTGCTCAGCACCACTCGCCCTGCCCATCGTATTGCCAGACTGCAATGACACCAGGATCCTGTCTCAAACGCTCTCGATATTCGTCTGTCATCGTGCCACTGCTGAGTCCCTCTGGTTGGGGTGCATCCTCTCGAACCGAGATATCTCCCATGGCTTTCTTGTGTGCTTCTAGCGTGTGGTAGTCGGCGAAGCGAACATAGTACCTCCACGGGGTAGTGCTGCCTGGCTCAAGCTCGAGGGGTGCCACGTAAGGTTTTGAGTCTTGTTGCAATGGTGGATTGTTGGTGGTTGAATTTTTGGTGGTTGAGTTGATGGTTGAATTGCTGGTGGTTGAATCTTCGGCCATGGTGTTGAAAGATTGCTAAATGGGAAGCAGGGGCCTGTGCCTAGTATATATTGTATGCCGGTCTAACGCCCTAGGTGATTGGGACTAGTCATGGCTGATATTCACCTTGTTATGACAATGACTCGCGATTGCATCATGCAATGATGACGTCAAAAGATGCCTGTAGACAAATCTGTATCTTCTTTCATAACACAATTTCAAGTTTCAAAAAAATGAGCACGTTTATGAATCGTTTAGTGTAATTCGTGGTAGCCAGACCAAGCAGGTATATCTTTTCTTGGTGCTACTTGAAAGGTTGTCTAAATTCCCTTGGCCTCCGACGTCGAATCCCCGCGCGCACAGAGGAATTTGAAAAGCATGTCTGAGAAGATGATGCGATGATGTACAGTGGATAATCTGCTAGACATGGAAGCCTTTTCTCCAAGTTTGGGCGACCATGTGAGCCTCATACCTAGAGACCCATGCGATATGGCTGGCCACCGGTAGCCTTTCGAAAACCAGAGTTGATCATGAAGTTTGCTTGATCGGCGGGCATGTTCTCGATGTAATCGGCATCTGCGTTGTAGAACAGAAGATCTGCAGCATCACTCGGAGACAAGTTGGGGCCCTGGTATCCGTAGAATACTGCCAGTACGCCGGCTGCATAGGGCGCAGCAAAGGAGGTGCCAGATTGACGGATTGGAGCGTTGCCAGCATTGGCTACTGTATAGACGTTGTCCCCAGAAGCGACAAAGTCGACCGCTTGACCACGGTTGGAAGATGCTGCTAGTCTGTAGTCGCTACCACTCGATCCGATACAAGTCGTGTAACCGCTGTTGCATGGGAATGTGCCTGAGGCATCCTCGCCGTCGTTTCCTGCAGCGGCAACCATCGCGATACCTGCATCAAAGGCTTGTTTCAGCGCTTCAGATGCTGTCTGGCTAGCCCCAGTACGAAACGACATATTGATGATCGAGCCCTTGAAGCCAGAGACAGACTTTTGACTGTTGTGGCGGTTCACAACATCTCCTAAGGCTGCGATAACGACGTCCGCCGTGGTCTTGATCTTGACATTAAGTAGGTTAGGTTTCTTGGCTGCTCCATAGGTTCTGCTGCCAGCACAACCCGCAACTCCCGTTCCGTGATTGCGTTTGTCGTTGAAGCTGGGATCGTCAGATCGGTTGATAAGGTCGGTAACTCTGCCTTCGAACTCTGGGGCCTTCCCATTGATACCACTATCCATGATGTATAGATCCACGCCCGCGCCACTGTTAGCCAGGTAAAAGTAGGAGTCATCTGCGGGATTCTTCACGTTCGAAGAGAGATACTTGAGGGCATACCCTACACCAGCATCGGCATCGCGAGATTCTAGGATTGATGACGAGTTATAGGCTTCGGTATCCGCTTGGGCCTCCAGATCGAGCCACTCGCCGCCCGAGTTCTGCTCAACATACTGAACGCACTTGTCTTGTCTCACAAGGTTGAGAGTGACGTCCAAGAGGCCAGCACTATATCCGAGGTTGAAAGGGAGTTTCAGGATGATCAGGTCAAGGAGACCTGGGACAAAATTGAGATGGTCCTGTAGAGAGCATCCTGTGATTGGTCAGATATCTTGGATGATCGTGTCACTCTCCAAAATTCTTACCATCCTTAAGACGCACGATGTAGGAACCGTCTATCGCGTACTGCGAGGCAGGATAATACGGAGCTAAGTCGAATAAGTCGGCCGGAGCTGCCACTGCCATACTGGCGAGTGCTGTAACGATAACGAGGAAATTCTTAGACAGGGTGAAAGACATCTTACGAAACTGCGTGGTGGAAGAAAAATCAATATTCGAGCGAGATCACCGACTAGATATACCTGGAACGATACAGACAAAGAGCTGCGAATCTGCTGATCTTACCACACCTCTACAAACGCTATGTCGTCAACTCCCAACGATACTCCAATCGTCACATCTGTACGTAGGCCAAGGGATATTTCAGTGGATATAAGATAACTAGATTGAGCAGTGGATAGAGGGAGTGGAGCATGATCAGATGTCGGTTCGAGTCAGTAGCAAGAGACACTAGGTACGAGTCATTCGGGCCATGCTTTCCATACCCACGGAAATCCTGCGAACAGTTTACTTGGAAGCCAAACCCAGAATTGGACAAAGAAGTCTCCGCGGCCACTCCACTGCGCCCCTTCCTCGATCATGCGAACCTCCCCGTGTGCAAAAATGTGTAACGCGCGTGGCCATAAAAATGCACAATACTACTAGAGAGTATGTTGTCCACTGAAAAGCGATCGCTTCTTAGCTCTCTTTGACCATATTTTATTGCTCAATGATATTGTGCATCTTGAAAACGTGTACTTCGCTCTGCTATGGCCGGACTATAGTGAAAGTTACATCCTCTGGCTCGCGGGGAGGAAGGAAGCACTATTCAGCGTGCAGCTCTTAGCTTCGACAAGTTGCTATATATGACGATGGTCATCGATAGCTGCAACCTTATAGATCATCGATTTGTCCACGGCGAGGAGCAAAAGCGGACAGCGGGAGTCACAAGCTGGTATGAATCTTGATTCTGCAGTCATCCTTCTGTGGGTCTTCTTTTCAAGGTTCAATTTGAACGTTCAGGGATGAATGGTAGCTAGCGTATGGTGGCACGGCGTTCTGCAACTTCACGGGACAATGCAGTTGGAAGAGCAAACAATATAAGAGGGAGAATTCTGCCTGCCAAACACTTATTCTCTTGACAAGAAAAGATCAAGCACCTGACAAACCCAATCATACCATTTCTCTTTGGACTCAATCCCAGTCCACAGATCCGAATCTTCTTTTATAATCAACATGCGCATCTCAATTCCCACCTTACTTGTGGCTCTGGCTTCTATCATTTCCGCCTTTAGCGAGCCCAAAAATGGTCTTCAGACCGCAAAGGTAAGTCTCGATATGTTAACGGCAGTAGAGGCGGTGGCAGCAACTGACCTTGCAACTCTAGTTTGCCCTTGGCCGTCGCCAGGACACTGTCTGTAACGACTTTTCATGCACGGTGGATAGCGACTGCTACGCTCAGAGATGCGGTGCATGTATATTGCCTTCAGATGACGGCGATGAAGATGGCGGCTTCTTCAGACAAAAGCGTCAGGATGTCGTTGGATTTTGCGATTGTGCTGTCGAGGGCTGTCGGTAGATATACTCAAGCTTGACTATGGAAATGGTGTTGCTGCTCGTCTCCTCTGACGCATCGATGTTGGTATTGGTATCTCTTCATGATATATCCTCCCAGTATACCTTCGAGGGGGCTGACTCTGGTCAAATCACATATATTCCTTGTTTGTTCCTAAACAGGCTATAGTGTTACAGTTGGATTTCGGGCTATCATGAACTGTACGGCGTGTAGGCAAGGAGGGATAGAAAAGGATCCAGGATATGATATCCAGGTTCAGTGGCCTTCTTTTGATGGTTTAACAATCAGCTTGCTCAATGCTTACTTTTTCGCTTGCTCTTTTCCGCATTTCATTCTCGCGCTGAACTCATTAAGAGAGACGAGAATGATGGATGTGTACATGTCGAGATAGGCGTTGCGGGAGTGCCCTCGTCGGAAGAAGTGGCCGAGCCCTGAATCACGATGACGCAAGCTAACAATCACGCACGAGTCAAAAAGCAGACCCGAGTTTGTGGGGTTTCTCGACTTCTTTCAGACATTTATCCACTGCTTACACGCCACTATCCTACCACCTTATCTCGATCTACGACCGCCGAAATAAGATTCGCAATTCCTTTCTCACGTTGGCTCCGTGCCGCCCTCAAAATAGGTCGCAAGAACAAACCACACCGCCAGTCAGGCGCAAACAAGGACCGAGGAAAAGTTGGAAAAGGTCGTTTCAAAATGGGTCAAGACGGTTCGAGTCCAGTAGATGAGAGTGCGCCTTCCAAGACACTCGAGAATCGCACCCTGGAAGGTCTGGCCAAGTATATCAAGGATGGCCATGCAAAGCGCATCGTCGTCATGACTGGTGCTGGCATCTCGACAAGTGCTGGCATTCCCGACTTCCGCTCGCCCAATACTGGTCTCTACGCCAATCTTGCTAGACTCAAGTTGCCGTATGCTGAGGCCGTCTTTGATATCTCATACTTTCGCGAGAACCCTACGCCCTTCTATACACTAGCTCACGAGCTCTATCCTGGAAAATACCGTCCGACTGTTACACACTCGTTTATCCGTCTACTTCATGAGAAGGGTCTTTTACTCAAACTCTTCACTCAGAACATTGATTGTCTCGAACGCGAAGCTGGTGTGCCTGACGAATCCATCATCGAAGCCCACGGCAGTTTCGCCCGCCAGAGCTGCATCGACTGCAAGAGCCCATACCCGCAAGAAGAGTTGAAGAAACACATCGACGCCAAGACTATACCTCGCTGCCAAAAATCCAGCTGTAACGGCCTCGTGAAGCCTGAGATTGTCTTCTTCGGCGAGCAGCTTCCTCGCGCCTTCTTTGACAACATCGACGTTCCTGCCGAGGCTGATCTCTGTATTGTCATGGGCACTTCCCTCCAAGTACAGCCTTTCGCAAGCTTACCCGGTGCTTGCAAATCTGGCGTCCCAAGAGTTTTGATCAACATGGAAAGAGTCGGAGGTCTTGGTTCACGCTCCGATGATGTTCTATTACTAGGCGATTGCGATGCTGGCGTGCGAAAACTCGCCAAAGCTATTGGATGGGAAGACGAGCTTGAAAACCTATGGGCAAAGACAGATCCTGAATACGTTCCTGGCAAACCCATCAAGACAAAAGATGAGATCGCCAAAGAAGAAGCAAAGAAGTCGAGAGATGAGAAGTTCCAGGATGAGGTTGACAAACTTACCAAAGAAGTCGACAAGACTTTGGACGTGTCCAAATGGCATCGAGATCAGCTCAGGAAAGATCATCTTGATGGCCAGACTGAGACTGGCTCAAAAGATGCAGTCAAAAGCGAGAAGACCATGCGGTATGATGAGAACGCAGACGATAAGAACAAGGCACCTTCCAATGGACTAGGTCATGTGTTCCCTCACATCAACGAAAAGTCTTCATAATGAGATGACGTTTGGTTTTCTCTTTCTTTTCTCTACCGCGGACGCGTTCATACAACTACATAAATGATACCCTGTTATGAACTCTTCACCACTTTCCATGGAGTCTCACTTCTGAGTTTCTTCAATTGTACTGCAATTGATAAGCGAGTCTGCAAGAACAGTCTTTGACAGTGCAACCCGCCTATATAAAGAAACCTTCGTTAGCGCTACACCATCGCAGAGGAATTGGAGGATCCTCCGGGATCTGGAAGGAAGAATGCAGGAGCTGGAGACGCCTGTGCGCGAGCCTTTGCCCCTCGAACAGGTCAGACTGATGAACTGCAACACAGAGCAGAGCACCAGGTCACTGAGGGCAGTGCTTACATCGTCGACTCTCCTATCGAGGAGAAATAGACGTATGGTACTCCGATGTACTTCCAATGCAGGAGAAACATGGAATTCAGGGGCTACAATGGGTTTGGAGCAGGACACTCGATCAGGAGATGTGACTCTTCATCGACTGTACATTGACCTGGTCGTTGTGCTCAGCCCCAGATCGACAGCATCGTTGACCGCAAGGTCGAAAGGGCGAGCGTTGTCATGCTTTTCTTGACCGAATGGTGTCATGGCGGTCCGAGATTGAACGCCGTTGAGGAAGATGTGGTGTCGATTGTACTCCGAGTTAGCAGTGTGATATGCTATTTATATGGTGTTGGATCCTTAGAGATCAATTAAATCACTATCACTGTCACTTTGTCCAAACAAAGTGAATCCCCCAATCCCCTTCCAAAACAAGCAAGCACCAAACTCCCACGACTGACTCCCCACCCACGACTCCATTGTTCGCCCTCGTGCATCCCATCAACTTTCCCACGTCCCCAGCAACGTCAATACTACGATTTCATCTATTCTCTACCTCGTCATCGACCGGACCCTCGACTTCGGCTCGACGCGTAGGCTCAGACATTGAGATGGACAAACAACTTCAATCGCACTTCGATAAACTCTTGTCTGCGAACCAATGTGACACCAGCTGTTGATGCAGTGAGCTGCGTTTAGAATTATTGGTATTGGGATAGTGCTGGTTGAGGGGTTTTATAGTGTTGGAGAAATGAGAGCATGGAGATGCAGGTTTTATTGTTTGCTATCGTGCATTTCCTTAACTTTTTCGAGAGCATGGAGAAGGTTCATAGGGGAAGGTGGGGGTGGACTTGCATGCTTGTTACCGAGTAACTGACGTTACTAACACGAGATAGGAAGCCATCGACATGCCTCGGTGCTGCTTCCAGCCGAAGCCGAAGGACTTCCCAACTGTTGCATCTTATCAACTAACACCTTTTCCTTTCGCATCGCTCGACTTTCGAGCTCAGTAACACTTGACTCGAATATCAAACGCTGCATCTAGCATGAGCGAAAATCTCATCGCGTCCCCACCCTGTGGACCAGTACAGGGTTTCAAATCGAACCATGTCGTCAAATACACCGGAATTCCATACGCAAAAGCAGCACGCTTTCAGATTCCCAAGCAAATCGAAGACTGGACTGATACTTTCCTGGCAACCTCTCCTAGTCCAGCATGTCCGCAACCACCAGGTAAAGGTTCTGAGCTATACTTGAAGGTTCCTGTACTTCAGGGTCTAGACATCAGCGAAGACTGCCACCATCTCTCCGTCACTGTGCCTGAAACCGCCAAATCTGATGACAAACTACCTGTCATGATTTTTGTGCATGGCGGATCTTTCGAAATCGGCGCAGGCGACTCACCCGCTTATGACCCATCAAAGTTAGTGGCTGAGCATCAGGTCATCGTCGTCAACGTCAACTATCGTCTCAACCTCTTCGGCTTCCTAGGTGATGGAAAATCGAGACCGGCCAATCTTGGACTATTTGATCAATTGGAAGCGCTTCGCTGGGTGCGAAGGAACATCACAGCCTTTGGAGGAACGGGTGATACAAAAAACATCACATTCTTTGGTCAATCAGCAGGCGGGAGTTCTATTGCTGATCTTATGACTTTACCCGAGGCATCTTCATTGTTTGGACGCGCGATCATCCAGAGCGCACCGTTTGGAATCACAAGAGGAAGAGATGCTTTGAACACCACTCTACTCAAAGTTGCAGACTCTGTAAGCACCGACACTCCTGCTGAAGAATTGGTCAAGCTATGCAAGGCAATCAACAAAGCTGGTTCAGGGACCTTTCCTATGGGTGCCATGCCTTTCGCGCCTCAATATGGACATGCGCCACTTCCTGTTGAGGCAGATATCGACACTGCACTGAACTCCATCGCTCCTCAAATCGACATACTCGTCGGAAGCACCGATACAGAAGCCTCATTATTCATGCCATTAGTCCCGGTCATTAACACAGCTATCAATATTCCTCTGCTTGGTAACACAGTCCACGATTGGTTTGCATCAAAGTTGACCAACCTCTTGTATCATCCTTACGACAAAGACTTTGCAGAGCGCCATGCTCGAGCAGGCGGCAGAGCATCGCTATACCGAATTCATTGGAGCAATAAAAGCAACAGATTTGGCGCGACTCATACCATTGAATTGCCATTGTTGTTTGGTAATGAGGATGCATACATTGGTGCAAAGATGTTAGAAGGGTTCACTGTCCAACAAGTTGAAACCGCAGGAGCACAGATGCGAAAACTGTGGGCAGACTTCGCAAAGGGAAAACAATTGGATGCTACGGATAGTGTCGTTGATTTGATATCAATCGAGCAGATATGATCTTAGAGGCGACTAGAGATATACGCAAGTTCATGACTGGTCAATCTCAAGCATCAATCCCAACTAGCGATACTGTCGGAGACTCGGTAGAATACCTCTGAGCCCAGCGACTGTCATGCTCTATAGGTGACCAATATTTCCTTTTCAATGGAAGCACTTAGTCAAGTCGTCGTCCTTTCCTACAAGTACCTAGCTCTTTGAACCATCCCACATGTTCACCGAAAAGTGCCTAAATGATTTGACGTCATCAAACAACAGTGGAGCGGAAGACTTCCGTCAACGCGAACCTCGGCATCGACAGAAACATGTTTCTAGCTATATGAGGACAAAGGAGGGGTCTGTATGTATGAATAAACAGTTTGCTTGACCCCTCTACCCCTCTACAACACAACTCCACGGCAACCGCAAATACCACCTATCATGCCACCAGGCAACAGCGCACCACGTTACGAGCAGGAGGTCTACATGAACGGCCTCGCATGGCACAAACCTCCGTTCACGTTTCAATCGGACCAGTGGGAAGAAGAAGCTCGCAAAGTGCTCAGTGCCAACAGTTTTGGATATGTTCGCGGTAATGCAGGCACCTCGGAGACCTACAACAAGAACCTTGCCGCCTTTCAGCGGTGGTCCATCTTGCCCAGCCGCTTGGTGCCCAGCTTCAAAGATGACGAGGGTCGTGAGCTAATGGCCGACGCAACCACCAAGGTCTTGGGTCATGAATTGCCTTTTCCAATGGCTGCTGCACCTGTCGGAGTGCAGAAGATCTTCCACGCGGAGGGCGAAATAGCTTCGGCGAGAGCGACTGGCGGTGTCGGCATTCCATATGTGATGTCCACCGCATCAAGCACATCCATCGAAGATGTGGCCGCTGCTCATGACCAAGGTGCAAAGAAGAACGACAAGACACCGGTACGTTGGTTCCAGCTTTACTGGCCCAGCCGTGAGCATGACGACATCACGATTAGCATGTTGAATCGTGCCAAAAAAGCCGGCTTCACCGCTCTGTTCGTCACACTGGACACATACACCCAAGGCTGGAGACCGGCAGACATGGATAATGGATACAACCCTTTCATTCATCCCGATCGCGTGGGTGTCCAGATCGGGCTTACTGATCCAGTCTTCAAGGAACACTTCAAGAAGAAGTATGGAAAGCCCATCAGCGAGGAGATTGGAGACGAGTATGGCATAACTCAGGCTGGTGGTATCGGTGATGCGGCTAGGGAGTGGACATACACCATCGTACCCGGTCACAGCAAGAGCTGGGAAGATCTTGAATTCTTGAAGAAGCATTGGGATGGCCCAATTGTACTAAAGGGCATCCAGACAGTTGCCGATGCTCGCAAGGCTGTGGAAGCGGGCATGGCTGGCATTGTTGTCAGCAATCATGGTGGTCGTCAACACAATGGCGGCGTCAGCTCGCTTGGAGTTCTGCCTCGCATCGTTGACGCAGTAGGAGATAAGCTGGATGTGCTGTTCGATAGTGGGATTCGATCTGGAGTAGACATCATCAAGGCCATCGCTTTGGGAGCAAAATGTGTGCTTGTCGGCAGACCTTATATCTATGGGTTGGCGATTGGAGGTGAAGATGGCGTCAAGCATGTCTTGAGGAGTCTTTGGGGCGATGCACTGCTGAATTTGCATCTGGGTGGTCAAAGAGACCTTTCTGAAGTCAACAGAGATATGCTGATCAAGGAAGATGATCTCTTCCGCTAGAGATTTTGCGTGTAGCTCCGTATCGTTGCATTAGTTATCCCTGCTGAAAAAGAGAAGCGAATGATCAGTTGCGGTTCATCATGTTATCAGACATGCTGTGTTAAGTGCTGATACTGGTCCGAGAAGATGATCAGCTCGCTAGGAGCACGAACTGAATAGCCGCTTCGCCCTATGCACAATTATCCTTCAATTGCTCTACGTCAGCATAAATCATCCCAAAACCACGAACGCTTCGACGTTCAACGATCCAATCTGTGGGATCCATGCGGAAGCAGTGGAAAGTATATCTGAGTGTATCAACTCTTCGGATGGAGATGGAGCCTGAAGGTATTTGGAAGGTGCCACTCATGTGCGGAGCATTTCCGCAGTGTCGATCGTCGGCGCTGAGATAAGGTTGTGGAACGGGGCGGGATCGGATACACGGGCCCGAAGATCCGCCGGCCTCCGCCTCACCATCGATGCTAAATCTTCTGAGTGCTCAGGAGGACGAGCTTAATGTTTCCTCGATGCGCGCCTGGAAGCTGCTTACAACAACGACTGCCACGACTCTTTGCACTGCCTACGAGAATGCTGCACCGCCACTGCAACACCGACATTTTCGGGCGTCATCTCTGGAGAGCTCGTACGTGTGAGTGGATTTGTTCCACAGAATAAACTTCTGTCAGTGAACCTGCGAGTATGGAAGCCTCGAAGGCTCAGCTTCCTAATCACATGGATTCTATTCGACCCGCATGACGGAACCAGCTTGTAGCACAGGTCGAAAGTGTGAAGCTCGGACTCTGATCTTTGTGACAATGGAGAAGACAAGAGGGTTTCACGCGAGATATTGCGTGTGCAGTCGCTTGCGCTTGAATCCCAAGAAATGACATCCTGGTGCTGCTTACGGACCTTGCCATTGGAGACCACAAGACGATCAAGTGAGGAGCGCTCGAAAATAGCAAATAATTTGCATGAACATATACCCCACCCTAGACGCACCATTCAGCCTTATTCTGACTGAACCATACATCGTGCCAACCAACAAGCTTCTTCGGTGCTGCAGGCTCGAACCTGACAGGCTACAGACCGTGCTTACGAATGCAACCAGCCGAAGACTTTAATAGGCCAGAGATACGTTGCTTGAAGCACTGCTATGGGCACGTCTCGCCACGATCAATCTTGGTAACCTACTTCGGTTTGGGGTGCGTTGCCCATAGGTATACGCTCGAATGACAGGACCTGAAAAGTCTTTCGACAAAAACCCAATGACACGGACGCACTTTGACGTGAGGAATCAGGAACAGACTCGCACACATGTTCCCTGGAACATCACTTTTGCTAGGCATACGACAGGATAAATCAAATATGCGACTCAGCAGGTTAATGAAGCTACGCACCTGCGGTTGTAGGTACTTGGTGTGATGGATCAACCTGCATACAGACCAGAAGCCACTGGCGCATGGAGGCATCATATATAAGCACAAACTGCGCCATCAGTATCGCTTGCCTCAGCCACGTACGTAAAAAAATCCGTTGACGGCGCGGACTTGGTGACGCATAAGTTGGAGCGACATCTTCGGCGCCCGTGAGCAGTTGCAAATCCAACTATTCTCATCATGTTCCAGGCAATCCCCCTGTCTCAGTCCGAATTCAGAAGCTCGACATGGCCAATTTCTGCACAAGGTCTTCATTTCACCGATATTGCAAAGAGTACAAGATCTGAAAAAGACGACACCCAGCACGAAAGTACGCCAGCTCATCAGGAGGAGGATGCTCATACATCTCAGTCAAGCTCTACACTGCGTTTTGAGCCGATCGAGCCTCCAGATGGTTACACTCCTCTGACTTTTCTACCAGTGCTGCTGCAGGGCTGGGCGCTTTGGAGCCTTGTGTCATTTTACACTGTTATCTCCGCACTCCTTGCTTATTTGTTCTATCGTTCAATGCTTGACTATCGCTGGACAGTCCATGATGTCGATTACTACCTTACGGCACGCTATCTGCCGACAATCGTGGGCCTTGTTTCGTCCGCTTTGTTCCACAGCACTATGTCGAATCTACGCAGAATTCTCCCATTCATTTGCATGGCAGACCAACATCCGAAACGAATCAAAAATCGCAACTCCCAGATTGTAGCCACTGTTTCTTTACGCCTGTTTCCAACACTGTTACGCTACTTGAACTTGTTTGGAACACGCGCGATGTTGCTAAACATAGGGCTCAAGAGCTTGCTGTTCTCTGTCCAGGAAACCGATGATCATATTTGGGTGGTCTCGGTTAGGGTTGTACCCGCAATGTATTTGAGCATCAACTATCTAGCCATAGCCCTGATAACTGCCTATGTTGCTCTCAAATATGGCAACTGCAGCACAGGCCTAAAGAAAGATTGGGACCCGACTTCCCTAGCCGACATCATGCTTTTGTTCTCAACCGAGTACACTAAGCCAAAGCTAGATTTTCCTTTGGACCGCAAATCCTGGTATAAAACGATGAAGAAGTCTGGCGTAACTTACAGACTTGGCTACTGGAAGGTTCACTGTCTAGCGACTCCGCAACCAGATATTGTCTATGGAATCAGGTCCCTTGATGACACCCTGGAGCCATCTGAAGCATGTGCGTACCTGAATCAATTCAACGAGTTCTTCAATCAGCAGGGATCCCTGGAGCCGTACTGTCGCCACCTCGTCGATCGAGTCTCTGTGAAGAGTTCAGAACTTGCAAAAAGGCCACGCTCGGGTGCGCATGAACTTCTTCCGACCCGTTGTTGCGCAGAGACACCGGGTTGTTCACACTACCCGTATCGCAAAGCTCCAGGAATTCCATCCAAAGTTTTTGCCAGCCTTGCAATTCTATATCTCATTGTTCTCTGTGTATGTCTTGTTTTCGCTCTGATCCGGATCTGGACATCTGAGGGTGTAGTACTTCAACTCCCTAGGTTGCTGGTACTATCGACCAACATCGCCGTTTCGATAAATAGTACAAGCCTCACATCGACCGGAGATCAATGGCCCACTGCTCCTTCTCAGACTGATTCGAGCCTAGTGATAACCCTGGTACCGATTTTGATCTGCAGGTTCTTACCAGTCATGACTATGAATCTTGCTAACTTCCTGATCGCGGACTTGGACACGCATCATAGATGGTCGCAACCCTTCGCGTGTATGTATGCAGAACCTAGCTTTGCCTCTCAATCGATTCTACTGGACTATATGACTGTGTCCCCACTCCAAGTCTTGTCTCAGGCCTGGGCCAATGGACATTTTAAAGTCGTTTACTCTGGCATATTAAACGCTCTCAGTTGGATACCAACACTGATTGCCACTGGATCTTGCTCGTTTATATTAACCGATATTGCTGTTGTTCGACTATCCCCAACTCTGGCGGTCATCGGAATTTTCTGGGCACTTCTGTATATCCATGCAATAAGTTCCTACTGGGCTCCTCCTGAACGAAAGCTACCTAGGGATATCGGTAGTCTCTACGCCATCTTTTGTTTTATTTATGACAGCAAATTTCGCTGGTATTCAGAGTTCTGTCATGCAACATTCAGTCCAAATCTTACGAAGGATGAACTATACTCCCTTATCCGTCTTTCGAGTGACAAGTATCGCTTTGGTATGGTTGGTGAGCTGGGTGAGGAACATCCTGGCTTCGATGTCGCAGAGACTTCTGACGGCGCCGACACGGGCTATGTACGCTGGATCAAGCCACATCCTGGCTTTTTCGCCCGTGTCAAATCCAGATTCCAGAGGCGCAAGAGCAAAATGGAAAGAGGTGATGATGTTTTCGATCCTGAAGGCATTCCATTGAACTACCTCAATGCTTCCACCTCGACCTCCCACCAAAGACGTTTGAGCGCAGAAGATCCGTACCCACAAGGTCATTCTACTGCATTCGAGTCGGAGTCGATTCAGTCGTTCCGGGTGATGGCGGATCTTTGAAACACCGCGGCTGTGGGAGACGAGTAAGATATATAATATACATCACTGTCTACAAGCAAAGAGAATATCTCGGCCTCATCAAAGGACGGGCTTGATTACATATATATCTTCTGTTGGCCAAGAGCCAAGGACAACTCCACAACCAGCTTCTCCCTCGACTCTTGTTCAACCTTGATCTCTCACCTCGGCCTTGGTGTCTGCAACATGACCAAGTAGGTGTAGAGGAATTGTTGTACCTCCAGGTCTGTGGTTCATCAACGGAAATGTGCTGCGAATTTTGTGTCACACAGTATCAGGAATACCCATCAGATCACAGTCTTGGGATCAAGAGGTCAGCTGTCCTGTCTTCCGGGGGTTCTTCCTGCCCACGAACACTACTCAAGTGCATTGCATCTCGAACATTTCTGCCACATACTACCTCTACCACAAACAATCATGGACGAGCTTCATCTACCTCAAGATGCCGCTTCCATATTGGAACGCACCTACAATAGCGACGCAAGAACTTCTGAATTTGACAAGTGGCTCATATACACGACTTATCATGCGCCTCAAGACGCTCAAAAACTCTATCGATTGGCAATGTCAGCATACAATGAACAAGCCCTGAACGAGCCAGAATCCGAATGGGAAAGCGTGGGGTTTCTTAAACCAGCCAACCAAAGCCGTCCAGACCTTCGATCACCCTCACTGCAGCGTATCCTGGAACATCATCTGCACATGGTCGAACGTCAATTCCCAGAATTTGCACCCGATGGTGGGGATGATGAGCAGTTCTACGTTTTCGGCTTTATTGCATTGACGCAACCTGACTGGAAACATAAAGGGGCAACAGCAGTACACTGTGACAAGGATCGCGGAAAATGGAAAGTCACTCAGTGTCGAGGTATCCCAATTGACCAATTGGGTATGGAGTTGACCAGTGTGAGCGACAACGACGACGACTTCGACAATGTTCGTGTGAGGTATGATGATAGCGGCAACGAGGGGCCGGACAATCAAGGTGGTGCCGCTCCACATGGACAGTGGCAGTTCTTGGTCTACTCAACGAATCTCTCTCAACTAGAAGCGATGCGGTGCATACCTGATCCTCGTGGTGGTCCCGATTTTCCACTGGGTGAGGCAACTTTTATGTTTCGGCCATCAGAGTTGTCCTCCATCGCAGAAATCCAAGAAGACCTTCCGATCGCGTACGCAGAGACAGTCAGGAATCCTACAGTACCTGCTACTGGTAGCCAGAGGATTTCCAAAGTTCACCCGGGATTGTTTGTTGTGGTAGAGGGCAAAGAGAATCTGTCAATCAAGATCGTCAAGCTTGATTGGGACCACAATATCCAGAAGTCAGATGCGGAGTTAAAGAGAATCGGGCGAGAAAGTCAGACTATCTCTCAATGGCTAGTTGAGCCTGAGGCAGTTGTATCGACGCTTGAGCGACTCGCGACAGAGGTTTTACAAGCGACGGAGCCATCTCTATCATCTGAACTGCATAAGAGGTCTGAGATCGATCACAGGGACTGCGGGGTCAATCTGAAAGATCAGCCAACGTCTTTTTAATCAGACCCCCTTTTGACCATACATCAATTGCAAGATGACTAGCTTGATAAGAACGTCAGGGGTACGAATGGGTAAGATAAATCCAGTTTGTGCACCACTTTCTGATATTGGTCTGAGCTGTTGGTAACTGCAAATTCTTTGCGATGTAAGCCGTCAACATCTACTGTATCTGAGGCATAATGAAGCAAGTAGGTTGAAGGATGATAGTATGCATCCTTGCTAAGTATGGTAAACTTGCCGTGATACATTGTTGGCGCTAAAGTATCAAGCCTAGACATGTCTAAGAGCCCTCATCTTTCCTCAACTTCCACTGCTCCACCATGCACATATACCTACATCAGTGTATGTCTCAACCAGGTATGGTAATGCCTCGCATCTCACTTTTTCCCCTCGACCTTCCCAGAATTCATCATGCCTAGCTATGATGCACCTAACCGTGGTCTCTCAGTAGCCCTGGTGGCGATTTCTTCGAAATCTCACACTGCCAGCTAACGTGGAATGCCTAGAATTTGCATCCCGATCCTGTGATCAATTCTGGGCACGAATCCGTAGGGGCGTCCTCAAACGTGAATTTGCATCTAGCATACACTTTGCCAGAATTTCTGTCGTAGGTCGTGAATTGCGCGTTGAGATCTTTAGTGCTGTAGACGTGACCAATCATTGCGTCAATGACGTCTCCCATGTCTTTGGAATTGTAGTTTTCGTCTCCACAGCCGTTCTTGCATTGGTGCTTCATCCCATAGTTGCCGTTGTAGACAAAGTAATGGTTCTTTGTGTATAAATCGCCATTTCTGACGATGCATGACCGCTTCTGCAGTGATTCAGTGCTGTTGCCACCGAGTCTCTGGAATCTGTTGACATCGATAGCGTTGTTCATGAGGTCGATAACATCATCAGAGGTATGGTTGGTGCCGTATTCGAAGTCTGGTGGGTCGAAGACTGATCTTGCGTTTGGGCCCTGACCCTGATTACCATTCAAGGTGTTTGCAACTCCGAGCACACCCTGTAGGAGCGCAACGCAAGCCGTATCGCCAGCATATCCCAAGGCACCAACGATACCATAGCCAGCAGCAAGCCTCATGGAGTTCTTGACGCACAACCCTGCAGTCGTGCGTTGTCCATTATGGTATTCCTCACAAGCATCCACAATATCCCCCCATTGTTCAGCTCCATAAGAATAAGTATAACCTGCAATCGCGATGGCATTGGCATAAACACGAAAGTTGAGTCTCTGTTCCTGTCGCTTTTGAAGTCGATCAAAGTAGGTCAAGTTGTACCATTGTTGATGGACATAGTCTCCCGCGAGGGTTCAGTTATCAGGAGAGATGATGCCTTGACCGACAGCTGAAGAGGCAACGAATAAGAAGAAAAGCGCGGAGATGAACATGGTGTCTCCAAGCTAGAACGAAGTAGTTATGATGACTGAGAACTACTACGAGGGCTTCGTGTTTATATACACAGCAAGGTTCGGATACGAGAGTTAGGGGGAGCCTTCGAGCAAACTCGCGCATCGGGATGAGCGAGAGTCTCGTTGAGACTAGTTTCCATACCCTACCGTTACAAGTTTCCGTTACGAGAAGACTTAGCAACGCCATCGTACGACGTGGCACTGGTCTCGCAATGGTCGAAGTCGCACTGTAAAACACTCATAGTAACCAAGTCGGTCTGTTGACTTAGAGACAAAGACTCCTATACGACGAGGGAGAGAGATGTCTCATCCAACAAAGTGTGTTCTGGCATTGCCATCAATCATATGATTGACCAGAAGACGTGAAGCCATCTGATCACATTTCATGCAGCCTGAAGAATTGCGAGAGATGCTGCTTCATCGATCGCTCGCGGGCTTACAGCCATGATGCCTTCCATTTTTTGGGTCAACGTTCGCATTTGCAGCCATATTCGGTTTGATGGCTGCCAACAGCGATTTTGACTTCTTGCTGGTGGACATCATTGACCTCCGAAGGTCGGCTGCGTTTCTTGATAATTTACATTTACGAAGTCATAGTGAAAACGGCTATCCTGGTGGCGCTTGTCTTGGATATTATCTATCAAAAAAGGCAAATTATGCCGAACACACTCCTCTAGAGCTCCATGTGATCTGATCTATTTATTGCACTTTCCATGGACGAGGCAATACAAGGAGACAGTAAATCATCACAACTCCAGCAGGCGCTGAGCGACGCAAACCGTAGAACCAAGGTTTTTGCGTAATTATCAGTTGCTGATAGCGGTATCTGATAACGTACGTAGTGAGCATCTGTATACATAGTGGACGAGCATATGTTTTCTTTTTCCCTTCTAGCAAGCAGAGCACGATATAGCCCTTACACTTCGCCGCATACGCCACACCACACCTCTTTCACTTAGTCCGACGTTCTCACATCGATGACTTCTGCCATGTTTAGCGAACATGAGATATCAAACAAGCAACAGTTAGCGACATTAGCATTTCCGCTCGGGAATGATGCCTCGTAGCATGACTTACAGATCACTAGTCATGTATAGCTTGCTCTCGTAGTAGTTTCAGGTTTTGTAGCTCCCAGACTGCTAAGCCTGAGAGATGTCTGTCTTGAAGCTGAAACTGTTCATCGAATTACTGCTAGCTACAGCGTCCTCAACCTGCCAAGATCGAATCCTCACTCCTTCCTTGCATCGAACCCGATTCCAGCCTCACTGATTGACGTAGCATGGTGTAACAAGGTTTTCCGTAAATTGGCACCTCTCTAGGAATCTTCCATTGCTGCATCGCTTCGGTTGCTATTCCATTGTGGAGAACGAACACGAACACTAAAATCCGATGAGAATCCCTTATCAGCTTCAAGGCTGTCTTTTTTATACGCTATCGAAACCATCTTACCAGCAGCTCGTGTCCGTACTCGTATCATGATAAGGCTTCAGGTCATGGTTGTGAAAATTGGCCTTCGAAATCCTACTGTCTTGTAAGAGGCTGTATTGATACTATGCTATGGCAGGCCGCCAAGTTGAAAGTCGAGAAAACTCTTGATTATCCCATTCCATTAGAAAATTTTGTGTTATAGAGTACATTGAGCGGCACAGTGGAGTTCTTAGCAGATTCCAAATGGTTCACGCACGGACCACTGGCTGGCTGGCGCGGCCATATAAGACTGTTGTCGCTCACTCGAAACAGATATTGTTGATTGGATGGTTCAATGTGATCTTTCGCACTCTTCGAACACTGTTTTCTGAAAACGCACTTGTTTTATCTGTTACACAACACACGCTCCAGGATGATCTATGGTTTCATTCTTCATTCACTGGCGCTTCTGCTCGCTTTCCAGGGCGTCATCGAGATGGCAGACTGTTTTTTTGCCTATAACTATTTACGGTCGCTTTGGCTGCAGCATGTACGAAATCACCCATTCCGAGAACAAAGAATAAACCTTCGCGTATATATCACCATCCTTGCCATTGCGATCTATACATACGGCTACGGAGGCGAACACTGGGAAGCAATGGTTGATGCATGCCAAGAGTACCATAGAGGAGCACGAACGACTGCAGGTCGTTGCACGGAAGCTTCGCTCAAGCTTGGTTCTGCCTACAGTCTCGTAGGCGTCCTCGTATATGGCGGAGATAATCTATACAAGGCGGCCTACTCTATGATGGCATTCACGCGAAGCCTCTTCATAGCATTGACCTCTTATCTTGGTTCATGACCATTTCTGGACGACTCCTTGCGACCCTCTACCTGTGGTTAAGGATACCGAATCCCCCTCGCCGTCAAAACACATAAATCCCGAGAACGTACATCATAATGCTATCCGCGACTTCCTGACGCTGCAGAAATCCCCGAAGTATGCGGCGCACGCCAAGCAAGAACTGAACTCTGTCATCCTAATCCACAAGTCAACTTAAAGACACGCCCAGGAGTGACGAGGTCAACATGATGGGGTACGGACTATCTGGGGAGGTACGTTCTGGTTCGTTCCCTAACGCAGGTAAAAGCACATTACCAAGCCGCCGTGAGAGGATGCTTCGCGGCTTCGACTGGTGTTTTTTATAGCATGGCGAAGCGCCTGGGATCAATGCAGATATGGGAAAATGCTTTTCAGAGGAATTGGATGCTTCAGGGATTAGGACCATGGTGCAGCAGCGACGGCACGACAAACTTGATCTTGGGCTGGCAATGCGAGACCTTGAACGCAGAAGTGGGATGGAAATGAAGTCGAGTACAATCTTGCTACGGCCCGATGACCTGTTAGCGAGTAGTGGCATTAGAGAGAGCTACTGCGAATTGTCTGCATAATCAGAAGATGGAACATCATATTTATATAAAGCCACATATCCAGGTCACTGAAGGTAGAGTAGTTTCATTTACTGATTGGAACAAAGACCTCAGTTGCGCTTATTCCGGAACCGATTTGACTAAGAAGGTCTGGAGAGAGTAAATAGGTCTAGTCAATATTTGGTCTTCCCTCATGGCTCTCTCAAACACACAAGACCTCGAAAGCGCCCCATTGAGTACCTGCAGGTGCATTCCCACAACCGACACTGTTGCCAACAGAGATACCATTAAATGGCCATCCATAAAGATTGTTCGTAAGCGTGATGCCGCAACCCTGCTGACTGTGACCAAGGATATAGCCTGTACAGATAGTGATCAGTCACGTTCCCATCAATTTCAGAAGACGGCACTCACATCCTACGGTTCCAGTCTTTGGCGTGGTTGATAGTGTTGCTGTGATTGCTCCTCCGAACAAGAGGCTAGCAGTTGGGATTGTGCATGTTGCTTCTGCGATTGTGAATGTGGTTGCTGTTCCAGCACTACCATCTGTGGGTGGGGCCTTGACACGATATCAGAAGTGCAATCGTGTACTAGCAGAGGGCAGCACTTACAGTGCCTGGCGCAGCACAAGTATAACTGCTGTAGATGGTCACTTTTGCCGACGCTGGACCGCCGACAGGAGCAGCACCTTTACGGGCTTCGAGGTGAGGGGGAGCGGCTGAGACAGATACGGCTAGGAGAGATAAAGCAAGAGCTGTCCAAGAGTACATCTTGAGTGTGTTGAATGTGCAAGATTGGTCGCGTCGTGATTGCCAATTTGTATTGTTCAGAGGAAAGGAAGGCTGAATTGTTGCTGATGATGTCCTGGAAGACGCGAGAGAAGACCTACTCTTATATCTCTGCAATGCCGCAGTCACAACTGGAATGCACATTTGGAATGTCCGAATATCGTGTATCAGCTCTGTTACAAGTTGACTTCTCGCAGGAAATCAGCACAATATTCTTCCAGAATCGAGATACAAAGCGATGTCTCTGGCTGACAGAATGACAGTGGCTTGGTTATTCATGTCATTATCAGCGTCGCTCTTACCACAGCTACGGCTCCGAAAAGTTTATCTGTGCTTCATCTCAGTCAAGGTCAATAGTACTGTAGGGTCAGGCAGATCCGTGGGATGCTCTAGAAGTTGTGAATAGTCTTGAAAGCAGGATACGTACTTTACCACGTTCAGCTTCGAGCCTAATGTGTGTATACATGCTTAAAAGTATATCCAATTCGGGGAAGGACAGCTCCGCTGAGTTGGGTAAGAACGGGACATGAGCGGTTCGCAGATGACCAGGGTCTCGACCGGGCTCCAGCTCCGTCAACGATCCCGCCACGCGACTTCTTTCCGCACCTTCCTTCCCCCTTCAACATCAAGACATGGAACACATATCGTTGCATTCGAAATTGACAGACCGCAAGACCTCCTTGTAAGCCTTTCTGTATCGCCACTCATGCTTTGCCATGTTCTGTGCAAATAAGGTCGACGTTCAGCAGTGCCTGCCCGCACGAAACTCCGGTCCGTGTCAGCTCGGCCATGTTTGGTCTCGTCCGATCTGTAAGCACTCAAAAACATTGTTTACAGCTCTTCTCGTATTTACTTTGATGCTTTCCTTGGCATTCTCAAGCACAAGCTGATCCAAGGCACGTCTCTTGCTAAAGTTTTCTGTTTTCCGACAATGATTTGTATTCGTCAGCTACACGTCAAAGTCATCAAACATCGTTCATGGAGAAAATAAATCGCCAATACTTCAACTCCTTCGTCTCTGTCATAGGTTCTGATGATATGTCTACATCAAGCGAGGACACCAATTCTATCAAAGTCCGGCGCATAAGGCGACACACTCGATAATCCCGAAATCGTGATTGTGTTATCACCAGACGTCTTGAATCCCGACAATCTAACCAAAAATCCTTTGGCAACATCTTTATCCCAGTTATAGCCAGTCAGCGGGAAACTGACAGATTGAGCAGCTCCACCGTTGACACTGATACTCGCTCCTCTGACGTTGCCGTAGCCTCCGCCAAATGCGTAGCCGATCTCGCAGTCAATGTAGTCGAAGCGGACGTCTTGTGTTGCTTGGCTTGTGCGAATGCCCGTGAGGGTGAGGGTGTTGCTGTCGCCGTTGCCGATGGAGCCGACTTTTTTGCCGCCGGAACAGCCTGAGCAAGAGGTTACTGCTGCACTGCCTGATAGCTTACCGGCTTCGGCTTCGTAGTACTTAAGAGTTGGTGCTGCTGGTGTTGCCTTCTTGACATTGCTCAATCGAAGAGCAACAGAACCATGGCCGTTGACAGTGGTGGAGTAGCTGTTTGCGTTCGGGACTGTCTTTCCCGTCCAAAGATCTGTGACGGTTGCAGAAGAGATGTTGAGAGCGGAAAAGTTGATGCCCAGACTACGCTTGGTGTTGGTCAAGTCGACAAGAAGCACCGCTACATCGCCATTGGCAAGAGGTCCTGCAAACCGATCATTGTCGCCAGTGAAACGCTGAACAAGAACGACCGGCTTGCCCAGACTATCCTGGTTGATCGCAATCAAGCCTTTGTTCTGCAGAATTGCTTGAGTAGAGCTTGACATAGTCGTGATTCTTGTCGAAATCATGAGGGGACTCTTAAACATAGCCCAGATAGCAAAATGAGTTGCTTGCTCGTCAGTCGTCATGCCAGCTTGACCAACTTCAAGCAAGTCCATGTCTGAGAAGTGGCCAGGACCGTTCAAGCCTCTCAAGTTGACATTGATTGCCTCATTGTAGATTCTCGAGACACTCGCCCATCCTTGGGTAATATCATCGCTGACACGGAAGGAAGTCGATACTGCCGGAGTCCACTCAGCAGGACCTCGCAAGCCACTTGGACTCGAATAGGGAACTCCCCATTGGCAAGTCAACATGCCTTTGATACCGACCGCTTGAATAGCACTCGAGAAAGCTCCAAAACGAGAAGGAAAGTCCGTCCTTGGGTCTTTGGGGGCGTTGGAGTCAGCAGTAATCCAGCAGTTGTCTACTTTCATGTATGCGACGTTCCAGCCTGCGAGTTGTAGTGCATCCTGTTTCTCGTGGTTGAGAGAACCCGGTCGGTCGACGCCAGTGTCGCAGGCTTTGACGCCTTGATCGGTGTACATGCCCCAGTTCTGACGAATATTATCAGCCAAGCTTCACTCTTCCTTGACTTGGATCGACTTACAAAACCTTTACTATTCGCAAGTTTGCTCAAAGGAAGTATACCATCAGGAAACGCACTGGCATCATATGTAATCGAGCCATTGCTTTGTCGCTGCGTACCCTGCCACCCACAATCAAGGCCAAAAATGTTATATCCAGCAGCCGCAAACCCCTTGTCTGCAAAAGCGTTGATGGTATCTCGAACATAGGTTTGATTGATGGTGCATGCGGCAGGATTGTAGGTGTTGAAGCCCATGGGAGGTGTACGGCCGAAGCCAGTATCCAGAGCTGTGGCTTGGGAGGCAAGTGCGCCTAAGGTAGCGAGAGAAGTGGTCTTGATATACATGACGGAATGTGATGGTCGAAAAAGGTTGTTGAGATCTTCGAGCCACTTTATACTATGTTGCTTCAACCTGCCAGTGTCGTATCGTTGTAGCTGGCGTTCTGATCAACATCGGTTGAAGTCGCATCTTGTGTGCGCATTTCAACCGATAGCGACTGGAATGCTTCCTCAATAAATTGTATACGAGCCCATGTGACACTGTACGCTACCGGCGTAGCGTTATACATTGATTAGTTGGCTGTTGGCTTGGTTTCAGAAGCTTGTGTCTGCATCTACGCGACTGGTCCGGCGGGGTAGCTCGAGTTGTTTCGTCGTGGAATCCGAACAAGGTAGGAGTTGCATAGGGCTTCACATATAGTAGCGGCTAATCTGCCTGAACTCAGGTTGAAGCTGGTCGTTTGGGGGGATCGACAAGGTGATGAATGGAGATTGTGTGCGGGGTGTGGAGCGTGCGGAGAAGGTGCAGCAGTCGATGTCACTAACGTTAGTAACAATGAGCACAACATCGGCACAAAGGAGATGCATCATCCGTGTTGACAAAAGAGTTTGAACAAGCAACAATGACTAGCGATATAAACATAAATTTCCACAGGATCCACCACATCGCATCATAGCGACATAAAACCATCTCAAAAGAATGTCAACAAACAACACCAACCTTCACCAAGATCGAGGTCCAAAGAATTCGCCCTTGCCCAAAGTCAACCTCGTGCAAGCCTTACCCTCACAACCCTGATACGAGACATTGTTACCCCACCAATCCAAACTGATATTGCCCGAATATTGCACGCTGAAGAAGATGATAATGGCAGAGATACCAATGGCAGCGGACCAAGAAGCACTAAGCACATAGTTGTACTTGGACCAACAAGCCAGATAGCGAGTCTTGAGCCATACCATGGCCATGAAACCGATGGGTACCTGAGGCCAAACGTACGAGAGGTTGTAGGGAGCCCAGGCAAGACAGCCGTAGATCATGGCGACAGGATGGATCTGACGAAGCCACTTCTTTTGTGGGAAGCTGCGGGTGATGTAGTAGACGATAGGAGGTACGACCAGACCGACAGGGAATCCAATAAGGAGAGTCGTGTATAGACCACCCTTACCGAAGACCTTGTGAGGACCAAGCGTACCCCAAAGGACGGAGGCAGTGAAGAAGGTGTTGTTACCAGGGCAGTAGAAGCGATTTGGTGCGTCGGTGGTGCAGACATCCTTGATGTGGATCTGGAAGTTGAGGACGCCTGTACAAACAAAAGTGGAGACGAAGCATGCAGTCATCTGAGCCCAGAATGCGTGACGAGGAGGGATCTTGGTGTAGTGCGCGAGCTTGAGGTCGTTCAAGAATTGTATGGTGTGAGCACAGGTAACATAGCCGAATGACTTGAAGAAGTTCATAGCCAGAGCATTACCTCCGACCCAAGCACCTCCAATAAACTCGGCCAAGACGTTCAGAGTGACTGGGATACCACTAATGGCTCGGATAATACCGATGGGAATGATGAAGACCAGACAGAGCGCGAGACCATAGAAGACGACACCAACAGTAGTCTGGCAGCGAAGGAGTCAGGAAGAAATCCAAGATATACTGCTGGGTACACTTACATAAGTCGGCCAGGCAGCGATGCCAGCACAGCCGAAAGCAACAGAAACCAAGAGGCAGATGAGATACCACCATTCAGGGACTGTGTTCCATTAATTCCTGCATCAAATGAGACTGACAAGAGTACTAACCTTCAGGATAGACAGACATCAAACGATTGTGGATATCATTATACTCCTGTCTCTCGCCGCGATGGAAAAGGTTCTTGAAACCCATCATGATCTCATGGCGGTGGTACATGAAAGCATATGAGATGGTTGCGGTGTAAATGGCGAAGAAGCATGCGTAAACGGTCGCGTTCGCAGCACTTAGATACGCTGGTGAATAATCGGCATACTTGGCAGCATCGAACATTCCACGATCGTCGAGAGTGCGAGTGACATTGTAGAACTTGCCAAAATGGTCAAAGACCTTGTTAGAGTTGATTGGTAGGTACCCAGTGTTGAAGGTGTTGGAATACCAGAGACCGAGCACAGCGAAAGCGGAAATGACCATACCAACAAATCGGTTGACAGTGTTGAAGAAAGGCACCATCAACGGGTCCATCTGATCCCACAAGAGAATGTTCTAGTCGAAGGTTGGGAAAGGATTGATGCCGAGACCGTTGTTCATTCCAGTGATGGTAGATAGATGCAAATTGTTTGGTGCAATCCAGTTCATCCAATTAAAGATGCTAAGAGCTTCGAACAGGAAGTTTGGGAACCAAAACCAGAAGAACATGGCAGTGAAAGTCACAACGAAGAATTTAAGCCTAGACATGGTGAGGATCTTCTTGAAGGGACCCATGACGGATGGGTTGGAGCTGTCGTGGAAAGAGTTGTTCAAAGCCATGGTGACGAGAGACGTGGGCCAAACGCAGTAAGCGGGATAAACAAGGAAGCGACGACATATTCCAGCAAGACCAAATCCAATAAAGTTGGTACCAATAGCGATCACGATTTGATACGCGAAAGAACCTGCCCAGCTTTGATTGAACATGTGAGGCAGGAACTGTACCCAAACAACATAGTCAGTATAAGGAAGATTAGCACCGACTTTGGCCATGATTGTGATGAGCATGTGTTCCTTTCTGGAGAACGGGCCAGGGTTCAGACTGTGGCGTGTTCCGAACAAAGTGAAACCTTTGTCTGGCAACCATCTCGCAGCAGCGACTCCGACAGGATACGCGAGGAGTTGAGCAACATTTGCCTCGACGGTAATTGAGGGCTGTCTGATCGAGAACAACTGATTGATGAAAGCAAGCAGAGTGACAAAACCAAGACCAATAATGTACGCGCGGAGAGATGCGCATGGCATGTTAGGATCATCGGTGTTATCAACTACAGCTCTGACTTCGGCATACGGAGAGTTGTTGACGATCAGAGCAGCTTCGATCTTGACTTCGGCAATGAGCTCAGCATGCTTCTCAGGGTTGATGAAGACATCTTCGTTGAACAAAAATTCTTTAATCTTGTCGAGAATGTTGTCGGGAAAATTGGGATCGAGCTCATGGATCTTCCAGACCTTCTCCATCATGGATCTGGTCTCTTCGAGGGTGAAGTTCTGTGCTTCTTCTCGTGCATGAACATAGTCATCTGCGGTGACGTTGAGATCTCTGTAGACCAGTTAGGATTTGATGAACAATCGATTGACACATAGACGCACTCTTGGAACTCCTTGTTTGGCAGGATCTCGTCCGACCCATTCTGCTGAAGATCTGGTCAGCATCGAAAGCTGGAGTCGATCAAAAGATATATTGGACTATTAACCAATTCAACGACGTTACCCACAGCCACATCCTTGCCAATGGGCTCAACCTCCGCCTCGGCGATGTGTTTCTCTGGTCCACCCATGATATGCGACAACCAGGTAGTCGGTACAAGGTGTAAGTGAGACAATGAGATATTTGCTCAGAACAGACGAATCGTGCATGGGACGACTTTATATCCTTTGTCCCACATCTAGGCCTTTGATCGCTTATCCTGGAGTTAAATCCTCCCTATCACAATCTGGGTGGAGTATGGTCGCATTGCCACCCCTAGAGCACCATGGGCATACGAGCTTTCGTGGTGGCGTCGCTGTTCTGCGTCCCATTCGCCTGATTGTGCCATAGTACTGGCTGCGGTCAAATCCCTATCAGCTTGGCCGACTGATGCTCGCCAACACGTCCATAATCCAAGACTCTTGGTAAACGTGAGAAGCAAAGCAAAGAGGAGTCTCGATGGTTGTATCGTTGGTGTCAAGATAGCGACAGCTTGGCTGGTCACAGCCCATTGAACAAATGGCTATCGCTCCATATTGCTTGGCCCAGAGCTGCCATCTCTCATGCCCGAATAGGAAGGTTGTCATAACGTCGACTGCGAGGGGTACGAGTACGAGGGCCAAGAGACGCAGTCGGGAGCTGCGACCGGTAGTCCATCAATCGCCTAATCTACTATGCCTGTTTCCTTATCGACTTCCTTTGCATGAAGCGAAAGAGGTGGCCGGTTATCAGCTTGGCGCGTTCGGGCAAGACTTGGCGAAGTCGGTCAAGAGGCGCCAGATAACTTGGCGCAGGAGTTACGGCCGGTGATAGTGTTTTTCTTTTGCCTGAGGTTCTCAAATATTGAAAGGTGGTCGTAACATGTATCTATTGCGAGAGATAGCAGTGCTCAATTAGGGAGGTGCTGAATAACAGCCTCGGGCTGGTGTCAAGTCGTCCAATTTGGCCGCGATCAATCTGATATCTTGCGCGAAGCCGGAAGAAAGCCTTCAACCACGTTGGATGCCCTCTGGCCCTTTTCTTCTCTTCTTCACAAGTGTGGCGGGATAACTTCTGAACCCTGTGGGCGGGTTGAAACTGGAGAGCCCTGAAGAGTTCAGCGAGAGTGAGCCTCGAGTGATCGTGTATATTGGCGGTCGTAACCTAGATAATGAAATGACGTGTTGCCGCTCCCGTTCATTCTGATGATTGTGTGATGCGGTATGGTGTGGTGTGCTGAAGAGACATTGTTGAAATCTTAAGCCCCAATCATCTCATTGACCAACCTCAGGATGCCTGGTTGCGCCTTCTCGGGAGCAGCAACCATCTCACTATTATTCTCAAACCTCCTTCCAGCCCCAAAATCAATAGCCTTACCATCCAAATCCGTGACTTTGCCTCCCGCCTCCTCGAATATCAGGAATCCGCCTGCATGATCCCAGACGTAGGATTTGTGACCTTTTTTGCTGTAGAAACGGAGCATAATATCACCACCTCCTACTGCCATGGCGATATAGCGCATTTGGGATGACCACATGTCGGTGCCTGGCCATGGTGCGCCGAGTTTTTCCGCGACTTTGCGGTGAAAGTCTAGATCGACGGATTTGCTGTTTCCGGACTCGACGAAGTCTAGAGATTTGGGGTCGGTGGAGATGTCTTCGCGTCTGGGGATTGGCGTGGAGGGTTGGAGGCCTGCATGACCCAAGGGCCTGATACTCGCGCCTCGGCCCTTGATTGCAGAGAGCATTTGGCCATTGCCAGCATTGTCTGCATTTTCCTCGGAGATTTTGCCGGTGCTGAGGTCTAAGTTTGGGCAACCAATGACGCCTACCTGTTGTTCACCATCGACGATCAAGGCCAAGCAGACAGCATATTGTTGATTGCGCATGAAGGTCGCTGTGCCATCGATAGGATCAAGAATCCAGATGCGGCCTTTACGGCCTCCAGGATGATTGCCCAGATCAATAGTGTCCATCATTTCCTCTGCCGAACCAATAGTTCCTAACAACTCATCCGCCTCTTTATCTTGCAAGTGTGTGGTAGACACCAGATCCCACACACGGCTCCGTAGTTGTTCATTCTCGCGTAGTGCAGTTGCCGTTTCTTCGCCGATAAAAGAATCCTCTGGGAAGTTGTGGTGTATGGCGCCGATCATGAGTGCTTGAGCGCCAAAGTCGCCGACGGTGACGGGAGTGCGGTCGCTCTTGTCCAAGGCGCCTTTGTCGATGTCGGCGAGGATGCGTTTGGTGAGGACAGACGCTCTTTGCACCGCCAGCTCTGCGATCATGCGTTCTTTCTCGTAGAAAGCGCCCATGGTGTTGTAGTAGTATGAAGTATGCCAATTGGTGGAAATGGCAATGGTCAGACTGTTGGTTAGTCCCTACTGTATCCTCGTCGTCTCGACCATTCTGTACCGGGGATTCTCCGGGAGGCGTCTAACAAACACATCGTCGTCGCGAGATGGGCATTCACACTTGCATCAACGATGGACTGTTTGTCGCATTAGCTCCTCAAAGGTAAACCCGCTTTACCAGGCTATGCTCCATAGATGGCAGAAGAATGTCAACGGCCTTTCGATTGTCGTTTGAAGCCTTAATGTAATTGCCAAAGGAACTTGATTTTTTAGACTACTGGCGCACGGCACGATTATATACCAAATCCGCCAAGCAATAGCTTACTCCGGCTTCGCAATAACATCCTCCCCTACTTAGACTAAAGCACCTGCTTTAGTATTGTCGCTAGTATTAATAGAAATCAACAATACAAAGGAAACAATTAGTTAGACTTTAAAGAAGTCTTAGTTACATAGCTTATTATAGCCATAGGTAACTCCTTTCTCTATAACTTTTTTAGTTATAGCTATAGGAAACTTCCTTTATCTATAACTTTTAGTTGTAGTTATAGGAAGCTTCTCCATCTATAATTTAGATTATAGTTAGGAAATTTGCTTCTATTACTTATAACCTACTATTAGAATCTTCTTTCCTACTATAATAGCTATTATATCTCCCTATGTCTCCTTTAATTTCTTAATCCTCCTTTATTACATTTGTTGCATCTAATTTTACTTAGCTAGGTAGTAGCCTTAGCGCTAGTAACTTCTATAACGATCTTAGATCGTTTTTTATATGCTCCTTCCCTTATAACGATAGCACGCTCTAACTTCTTACCTACTAGCATTATAAGGAGCACGCTCTAAGTTTCTTACTTCTTAATTTTACGCCTTAGTTACCTACAACTCTAAGTTATAGTTACTAGCTTATAAAATTCTAGGTATAAAACCATCCCTCCTATCTAGCTTAAACCTTCTCTATAATATTAACATCTAACTTAATTAAGCTTTTTAAACTTGCTTAAGTACTTTTACTTCTTCTTCCTTCTTTAATAGTTGCACATTATACTACCTCTTACATACTATTCTTCTTCTTTATTAGTTATAGTAACATCTTATTACTTATATACTAATCTTCTCTTCCTTATTATCTATAACTCGCTTTTACTACGCGTGCACTTTATAATAGCTTCTTTATACTCTTTACATTACCTTCTTTATAATCTATAATAATGTTAGCATCTATTACGCGCCCTACTACTAGTTCTCTTACTAGAACTAGCAAGCGTAGCGGTAATAGTAGTAGTAAGCCTCCTTATAAGCCTTTAGGTAAGGGCGGTCCTAAAGGACACTATACTATAAAGAAGGACTTAGACGATGCTCGTAAGTAAATCTTCTAACTTTTATAACCTTATTATAGCCTTTTCTAACTTCTATAATAGGCAAAAAGTCGCGTAAACTAGATCTCTACTTCGCTATTTAGGCTCTCTTATCTACTCTAGCCCTAGCTAATATAGGTAAACGCTATAACCTTAGAGTTATAGCTAAAAACTTCCTAGATCGTAACAACTGTTAACTTCTAGAGCCTGTTTATAAGCTAGTCTTTAGACCTAAGAAGTTAGACATATACAAAACTACTAGTACCTACGCCTTAACATCCCTTCTTAGTTATCTTTCTCGTAGTAGAACCGTTAACTTTAGAAACGATGCCTACTATAACTATAAGAAAGGTTCTAGTTACTTTACTAACTATATTACTATTAATAGTCCTAATAGAGAACTCTTTTCTAGAGCTTATACTAGCTATGCCTTCCTTAACTGCTATAAGAACTACTTTTACTATAGTAGTAAAGCACTTAGTCCTTTAAGAGCCCTTATTATAACTTCTTCTATAACTCCTAAGCCTAGACGTCGTTAAGAGGTTTAGGTTATTATTTCGCCTATTCCTCGTTAGGTTATAACTAACCATTATCGTGTTATAAGCTTAAGTGCAACTCCTTCTTTAGTTATAGAATTAATAGGTAGTCTAGATCTAGGTTCTCTTATTCGTGTAAGTCTATCTCTAGCTACTCCTAGACCTGTAATACTAAGTTATACTTACAGTAGCTTGGCTCCTATTATTAGTTCTCCTCTTATGCCTATAAGTCCTAAGCGTATAACTATGGCTTAGTTTAGAGCTACTACCCCTTTACGCTAGGCTAACTACATTATCGATAGCATTAGCGGTTAGCGTAAAAGTTTTAATACTGCTCCTACCTAGTCCTCTAGAAACATTAGAGTTTAATTTAAGATGTTAGTTAACCTAGCCTATAGATTAACTACTACTCGTTACCTTTAGATCCGTAATGCTATCTATAAGTAGGACTATAAGTTCTTCGACAAGGGTTCTATAGGTCCTCGTAACTTTCTTACTCTAACTCCTTATAGATAGGTAGCTCTAGGTATAAACTCTATGTATACTTATGCTCTATACTATCTCTAGATAGAGTACGTCGCCCTTTAGAAGGCTTGCTATAGCTGTAGCTCTAGTAGTTCTCTAGAGTGATTATTATAGAAGGGTTTCGGATCGAGGATATAGTTATAGAGGTGTAACTATGATTTTAGTTAACTTTTAGGGTTTTTCCTTTATTATAAAGAGGTTTTTATAATCTTTTTAAGGTAGTAGAATGTTACTAACCTTCTTTCTTTTTAATTTGTACTAATAGTTAGACCTTCTACCTTATTATAGATAACTAGTAGCTAAAAGTAGCTTATAATTAACATTTCCTTATTTAATTTACGTTCTAAACTTCTTTATAGGAGTTCTTCTTATACGTAAGAAATACTAGTTCTTCTTAGTAGCTTTAAAGGCCTTTAAGACGTCTATTATAGTAGTTGCAATTAGTACCGAGTCCTTTTCTATGTTTATAGACTCTATTATAGCAGTTTTCTACTACTAGCGGCAGCTAAATTTATCCCTTAGCTTATTACCGTCTTCGATTTTCTTTTATAATACCTCTTCTTAGTATTACTTATGCCGCTTATCTACCTTTATAAGGGCTTCTTAAATAGTAAGCTCTACTAGAGCTATCTAAGCGTCCTCTTAGCTTCTAGACTTTCTAGTAGCTTTTAGTCTTCTTAACTTATAGACGCTATAAGAGATCTTAAGGTCTTCGACCTTAGTTATAGTCCTTATAACCTTTTCTCCCTCCTCTATTAGGAATCTTTATGCACCTAGACGATAATTAGATCTTAGGGCGAAGTTCTATAGTCTTCTCTACTTAGCTTCTAACAAAGTAGACTAAGTCTTAATATTAGGGATTATTAATTCTTCGCTATCTAGTACATTAAGTACTAATAAACTAGTCGGTTTAACCTATAACTTCTCTACTAATAGATTCGGACGGTTCTAAAAGCTTATTACACTCGTATAATTAGCCTTTATAAGCCGATTACTATAAGTTAAATGCTATAACACTCTTCCTTTAGGAGTTTATAAGGCATACGTGCCTAACTAATGTGCCTTTAGGATTTTATAAGGCCTAGTCTATTTTAGAACGAGTTTAGTTAGTTTTAGGTTCTATAATAAGACCTACTTATTCTCCTTAAAAGTAGGTCCGGCATACTTCTTAAGTATTTAAGAGTTAATAAGCTTTACATAGATCGCTTATTATAAGAGCTTCTTATTTATAAGGTGCCTTACATATTTTATAACTATAAGTCTCCTCTTATAATCTATAATAGCAATATTAAGTAGTTAAGGCTAGTTTTTATCCTTAGGAATACGCGGATGACAGCCATATAGTAGATAATATAGGCTAAAACCTATGCTAGAATGCATACGAGTTCTATAATAGAAGACTACTTCTAGTAAGAAGTCTTCCTATATCGTAACTTTATTTCTAACGCACATTCTAGTTAGAATAGACCTAAGGATACCATTAAGGTTCTTATTCTTACTATTTATACATAAGTAATAAGGGGTAGACAATTAATGCCTTATCTTAAGTTTATTATAGAGATATTATAATACTCTAGACACGAAATTAGCACTATTATCTAACAAAATTTCCCTTAGTAATCTATATACATAATAGATTTCCTTATATACAAATTTAGTAGTAGTTTCATTATCTATAGATATAACTACTTTTATAATAGGCTAATTTGTTACATAATTAATAGTAGTAAGCACATACTACTTTCTACTAAGAGAAGGGGGCATAGGGCTAATAACGTCTAGTGCCTAGCGTTTAAATGGTTACAACTCTATATTAATTTAATAGAAGCGTGTCTTATTCTCCTTACTACTCTTTTTCTAAGTAATCTAATAAATAGGATAGTGCCTACTAAAGTACCGAATGTCCTTTTTAATAGAAGGCTACTATACTCTAGACTCTACATATCTAAGTAAGCTAGAGGAGCCGAAATAGCTATAGTTATAATGTATATAATCTAAGAAATCTATACAGAATTCTAGTATAAGATATAGTATAACTCCCTTATTATCTAGTAGAATATATTGTAACTCTAGTGTTCTATTATTATTAATAACTACGTAGTTAATTACTTTTTCTTATACTAGCTTTTATAAGCACTCTTCTTATAGAAGAGTACCTAATAGTTAAAAGGTAATCATTACTTCTATAAAGTTAGTTTCTTCGTCCGCTTAAAAACGCATAGCATTAATACATTCTATAACATTTATAAGAGTATTCCCTATAAAATTAGGGCGCCGTAATATAGCGTTAAGGACAATGGCTTCTAATCCTTTCCTATATCAAATCTCGATATTATACTTAGAAAACTCCTTAAACTACCTTATAACTTACTTACTTAGGGTTTTTATAGTTTATAAGTACTTTAGACTTTTATAATTAGTTAGAATAACTATCTTAT